ACCCCACCTAACCTAACCTAACCTAACCTAACCTAACCTAACCTAACCTAACCTAACCTAACCTAACCTAACCTAACCTAACCTAACCTAACCTAACCTAACCTAACCTAACCTAACCTAACCTAACCTACTACAGAGAGGATAGCTGGCACAACCTTGGCATTGACCGCTTCCCCCGCCCGACACCACCACCCAGATTGCCCAATCCCACACACCCATTCTGGCCCGCCGATGACACGCTGTACGACGAGTATGAGCAGTGTCCAACACAAGAGGACTTCGTGCCCTTCAACAATACTCGCGAGATGGAGTACCTGCACACCTACCATCTCTTCGGCGACAGCTTCTATCAGCGGACAAGCGAACGCAGTACCTGGACGATGTTCATTGACTACGGAAACAGACTGCTGCCCTGCTATGGCAATATGTTCTACCTGAACGCGCCCATGCAGCCTCTCGACCATATTCTCTGTGTTGGCACCCCCAGCGACTACAAACCTACAGCGCAGCTTGGTGCCGCCACTGAGGAGTATTCCCTCAGCCGTGGGCTTGCAAGCGCTGTGAAAATCAAGATCACGGATGTCACTGAAATGGGTTTTGAGGACATGCTGTTCCACGCAGGTGCTCTTCCAGGGACGGACGAGGCACGCGACATCTTTGTGCGTGGTCGAGCGGACAATGACGAGAAATACATCCATGTCAACCCAGAACAGGATGGCGAAGTGCTGGGACCAGACAACATCGACGTCTCCATCGACATCGACAGCCTCATCTGGGTGACAGACAAGCTTACCTTCAAGCTCGGCGTCAAGGTCCACCTCACTCCCTCTATTGGTCCCATGGCCATTATCCCTAGGTCAAACCACGTCTACGTCCATCTCCTCATGCCCCCATCGGACCCGAACGGCCTAGCGGGCGGACGCTCAGAGTGGATCGAGAAGCGCATACCCCTCAGCAACATTCCGCATACCCGCTTTGCATCCGTCGTGGAGGGACATGGTCCGTTCACAGCCTACATCTTCTTCCCTCGTATGCGCCACAAGAGCGAGTACACGAACCGTTGGCAGGTCATGATGCCCTACGAGCTCCAGGAGATGCTATACGAGCAAGTCATCATCCCAGCTGTGCGCACCGTCCTCGGTCCAGAGACTGAGCCATACATTGGCTATACAGTCCAGGAGTTCAAGCTCAAGTCTGCATCCAAGTCGCACCGAAAGGGCAACCCAGCTCGTGGCAAGGTGGTCGATGTCAGGCCCGCAGACCTCATACGCATACAGAACGAGATGAGAAGCCTCATCGAAAACAGCCCTACAGGTCTATTGGACCGCTTCGGCTCGTTCTTCTTTGTTCTCGAGGGCAAGGGCACCAAGCTTGCGTCCCAAGTCAACCTGTCTCGTTCCCAAGAGAATCCATGGGAGCTGTTTCAGAAGTCGTACCCTGTCCTCGATGCGCCCGCCATGCTCAGCCATACCCGGGGAGAGCTGCTCGTCGACGTAGGCTTTTGCTTTGTTCCACGGGCACCAAATCCGATGGTCGGCCTATGGCGCCTTGATGCGCTCGAGGCATCGTACGGGCGAGGTGGCTACAGCCGAGGCACCATGCACACGGGCAACACCCTCGCTCGCTATGGCGGTATGCAGGCCGAGATGCTCCAGGCAAGGGCGGAGCGCACCCACATCGCCTTTCGATCCTCGTACAATCTCTATTACGAGGCAACACGCACACATGACAACCGTCCCATCTTTGCAACAGACGGTGATGCCTACAATCTCAACGAGCCATGGTCCACGGACTGCAACCGTCTTCTGGAGCTCTATAAAGGCTCTGCACCGTCAAACTCGTATGGAGTGCGCGATGAGTACCGCATTGGAGGCAGAGTGGTTGAGCAGCTCATGACGTCGTGTAGGGAGATGGTGAGCTGGCATGTGCACACGAGACGAAATGAACTGACATCTCCTTCAGGCAAACACCTTCATCCTGTCCCAGCCAATTCTGTGGGTCACGTCCGACCTATGGTTCAGATGGCTGTCTCGCCGTCTGGATGAGCTCATGGCTGTTCAAATGTCTCTTTACCGCACACGGCCTACAAACTATGGTCGCATCACTGGCGTGCTGACCCACCTCATCCGCTCCGTCGAGACCACGCCTATCATCGTTCCAGGGCATGTCCTGCACTCCCTCGGCGACCTCCAGATGCGCCAAAATCGGTCCCGGTTTGGCATGATGTTTCTCCACAACCTGAACATGACCTCGCCAGAGCTCGCCCTCATGGACATCGAGGACTTTGACAGCCAAGACGTCCTTGCCGCTCTCAAGATTCGAAAGAAGTTCAACCCTCGCACCAACCCCGCAAACTCTGGTCCCTCGATCGCATATCCACTCGGCGAGTATCCGACCTGGAATGCAGTCCAGACTGCGGTCCGAGACGAGCCCTGGAATATCATCCGGCAGTATGACATGCGGTACCTCCCTCTGCTCATCATTGTCCGTCGCGCATTCCAGTCCTTTACTGCGCAGATGTGGGACATGCTAAACGAGATCTACTTCACGTCGAGAGGCGAACCAGAAGTGACCACTCTGGAACAGGCAATGAAGGCATGGTCATTGGGCACCGTCTTCGACTCGATTACAAAAGTCAGCTGGGACGCCATCAACACAGGATGCTGGAAAAACATCCGTGGCCCGAAAGAGGTGTCTTTCAAGGACAGGGTCAAGATGTACTTTCCCGAGAGCCAGGAGATCGCCTCCAATTCGGCCGCACTCCGCCCCTTCTACCTCCTCAGGACAGGCTACCTCTCGCGCTTTTGGCGTGACATCGCTGAGCTTGACGAAGAAGAGCGTCAAGACGTGTATGACGAGCTGGGTGAGATCTTCTCGAGTATTCAGTGTCTTCCGGCTACTCGTATCAGCCGTAACGATGGGGCCATTCTTCCGGGGAATACATGGCAAACCATGAACGGCTCCATACGCATTATCACGAACCCTGCGCACTACATGATCAAGGGTATTGGCGAGGAGCGGAATGCTCGCAGAGCGCAGCGGAGCTCTAGGGCAGTGGTCTCGGAGCGCGCAGCTCTCGAGCGCCAGCTGGAAAGGCAGGCTGTGCCGCAGAAGGACAGGGGGAGGATGATCAAGGCGGCCATCGGCAGTAAATCAACCAGGGAAAAGAAGATGGAGGAAAGGCGGTCTAAGAAGTCGAAGAATATGCGGGCGCCACCAGGTGCTAAGAAGCAGGGCTCATCGTCGAGTTCGGGTTCAAGCACCAGCGGAGATGGGTATTATTTGGATGAAGAGGGTTCAGAATAGGATGTAGACTGTACGCAATTTGTGTCATATCCATGTACACAGATCTTGAATGCAATGTGTATTCTCACAAATACTGGTCCGAGGGCAAATGAGCATATACATTGGACTTGACACACAGCGTGGACAGATTAGGAGTTTGCCTGAACCTACATGACGATTGACATGCTAGAGAAATGATTCCTAGGCGTGTAACATGTCTCAGAGCAACAGAGCAAGACATATTGACCAATTGCCCTCAACACAAATGACCATACAAATGCTAGCTAAGATGATTGTAGGGCATAAGAGTATGGTAATGAGGCGTCTTAGGACGCATCCCAGGTGCTAGAACGGTGTGTAAATGGCTTGGTCAGTGCCGGAAAATCCACAATATCGAAATCACTTACCCTATTTGCGCCCCAGGACCCAGTCCAATGGGGGAAGTCGTGGGACACCAGGTACCCACCATCTCCGGCGGCGCCCAAGCACGTGGATTGGAACCGAAGACATGATCATGTCAGGGCGTACAGCAGGGTGTGCTTTACGCCACTTCCGCCTTTGCTGCTCCGGCGTCAAGACCACCTTCGCCTTCTTCTGGTAACGACTGTGACAAGCAAATAAGTGACCAATCTAATGATACAAAAAATGAATACATACACGGGCAAGTCGTCCTCAGCCTTGCACTTCAAGGACGTCGGCTTCTGGGGCACCACAGCCTTGTTAGAAGACATTGAAATGTTGTCTAATCGACTGTTAGCTCGGCTTGTAACGCTTAACAATGGGATTTACTTACTGTTGACGAGGGATGGTGGGGGAAGGAGGGAAAGAGACGAGTGGGTCGGTCAGACAGCAGCCAGGTTTATATACCACCCTCAAGGTCATGCACATGATCATAACCGAGGATTTTGCCACCGATGGGCCATGGTGTTTGACGAAAAAGGAAAGGCTCATGTTGCGCCTATGTCGAGCGAGACCGTGGCCAAATATGGTGCAGGAATTGAAAACCAGCTTAGTGCACGTAAGGAGTTCATATTTCAATAGAAGGGAACAATACAGATGTGGTAGATCATTGACACAGATTATCGGACTTGACAAGACGGTTAAATTGGCCTCAACTTATATGACAGTATACGAGCTGGCTCAGATCATCGTAAGGCATAAGGGTACAGTACTAAAGTGTCTCAAAGGGTATAAGACGTCTCAAGGGCTCAGCCTGTGTAAATGACTTGTTCAGCGCCGGAAAATCCATAATATCAATATCACTTACTGTTCTTTCCGTCCAAGAACCCATTCGAGCGTGGGCAGTGGCTGGACACCAGGCTCCAACCATCTCCAACGATGCCCAATGACATGGATTGGAACCGCACACAGGACCATGTTAGGCCTTGCAGCCGGGTGTGTCCTGCGCCGCTGACGCCTTAGCTGCTTGGCCGACAGGGCTACCTTCGCCTTCTTCTTGTGACGGCTGTAGCAGGCCAATGAGTGAACAATCTAATGCTTGAATTAACAATCACTTACACAGGCAAATCGTCCTCAGCCTTGCGCTTCAAGGACTTGGGCAACTCAGGCACTGCAGCATTGTTAGAGGACATTACAGTTCTGTCTTATGGACTGTTAGCTTGGATTGTGATGCTTAGATATGAGAATTACTTACTGTCGATGACGGATGGTGGGGGGAAGAGGGAAAGAGACGAGGGAGGCGGTCAGACAGCGGCCAGGTTTATATACCATCCTCATAGCCATGCACATGATCATAACCGACGAATTGGCCACTGATGGGCGGTGGTGTTTGACGAAAAAGGAAATGCACTTGTCTTGAGCCAGACCATGGCCAAATATGGGTGAGGGAAATGAAACTCAGTGTTCTCTAGTGGCCATGGCCCTCCCCCTCGGCTGACAGGCTGCCAACAGATTAAGAATGGCTGCAGACATGGGTCCCAGATTTGGTACCCGTATTCCTACATAGGAATGGACCATATTGACGATAAGGAATCTACCCCGAGATCGTAGTGGTTCAAGTGGTCATTACCTCCCCCCTTGGCTGGGATGCCTGCCAACCAAACAAGAACGGCTGCAGCTATTGCTCCCAAATTCGGTACCCGTAATTCCACATATGAATGGATCATATTGACTATAAAGAACCTACCCCGAAATCGTAATGGTTCACATGTTAGTGGTTGTGGCCTCCCCCCTTGGCTGGGATGCCCGCCAGCCGAGAAGGAACGGCTGCAGTTATGGCTCCCAAACTTCGTACCCATGGTCCTACACATAAATGGATCATATTGACTATAAATAACCTACCCCAAAATCGTAATGGTTCACATGCTAGTGGTTGTGGCCTCCCCCCTTGGCTGGGATGCCCGCCAGCCAAGAAGGAACGGCTGCAGCTATGGCTCCCAGATTTGGTACCCATACTCCGACATATGAATGGACCATATTGACTATAAAGAACCTACCCTGAAATCGTAATGGTTCACATGTTAGTGGTTGTGGCCTCCCCCCTTGGCTGGGATGCCCGCCAGCCGAGAAGGAACGGCTGCAGCTATGGCTCCCAAACTTCGTACCCATGGTCCTACATACCAATGGACCATATTAGCTATAAAGAAGCTACCCCCAAATCCCCTTTCTTGGTCTCCTAGAATATGCCCTCCTGCCCATGGTACGCATTTTTCGCCCATAGCACCGGCATCAGACCTCCAATCGCCAAGCGGCTTGGCACCAATGTTCACACATACAAATGAAGCCTTTTGCTATAAACAAGCTTCCTGCCAAGTGCTGTTGTTGTGGCTCTGCACATAGCAAAAATGCGCCTATTAACAAAAAGAATTGCCCACTGCTCGAAAACCGGTCCGCCGATTTCCCTGAAACTTTGCACCCATCATCTACATGATATAGACGTCCTACATACCAACTTTCAGCCCGAAATTCCGGTACCCTCTTTTGTAATTAATTCCTAACTGACCCCTATTAAAGGATAGGCTCCTCGCCTACTCCTGCCCCGAGCTCGGCTCCTCGTCGTCTCGTCACCTGAGCTCCTCGCTGCAGGCACGACTTACCCTCGCCGGCTACCCGCCTGCGAACGTCCACGAGTACGGTCGTCGGCTCCTCGCCTCGACTCGATAACTCGTGCATCACTGGCTCCTCGCCAGTGCACGTCCGCGTACGTGTCAGGCAGGCTCCCCGCCTAGGCCCGACTCTCCGCTCCCGGCCGGCTCCTCGCCAGCCCACGACCTCCACGACCTTAAATACGACCCGGTCTCTGAGCGACCACCAACGTTCAAACCGACAGGTAGCCCGTTCCCTCTCAGTGCGAGTAGACAAAACCACCGTCTCTCACAGCGCGAGCACTGCGAGGTCAGGGAGCCAAAGGGAAGGGACGCCGCCGGGGGGAATCACGATGAACACTTTGTTTGCGATGTCTTCGCTGAATGACCCGTGGAGCCGTGATAGTACCTGCGAGACGTCCAGAGCAGTCTGAACGTCTAGTTCGCGCTCGAAATTGAACGTGGCCTGAGACATGGCGAAGAGTCGGAGGAGGAGGGAGCGGACACAAGGAGGGATCGAGTGCAGCGAGTGGACAGAGGCCGGAGGGTGAGAGGGCACGAGGATCGCACAGGCACCGGCTGTGAATAGCAGCGGAAGGCGGCGGAAGGAAGCTCGACTGGGAAGGTGACCATCCGGACCGATCAGCCATCGGGATGCCACGCAATAGCCCCGGAGGGAGCGACTGACCGGGGATGGTCAGTATTTTTGGGTCGGGGCAGGTGCCTAGGCCCAGAACTGAGCGATCAGGCAATGGCGTCACGATGGGGCCGTCTCATGGCAAGCGATACGAGCACGACGCACGCAGAAGGAGAGAAGGCAATGCGTTAACTTGAATATTCTAATACAGAGAGAGAGGCACACGCGTCGGATCGTACAAGCAACACAACAAGTCCAGGCACTTACGGCGAGCTCGCCTCCCAGGAGCGTACCTGACCCACCAAGTCAGCAACTTCCTCCTCATTGTCGTCCAGCTCGTCGCGCTCGTCCTCGCTCTCGTCCTCGCTCTCGACTTCATTTTCGTCGCCCACAGACGGAGTCGCGGAGGGTGACATGGGCAGGCGAGAACGGCGCGCCGACCGGGAACGATCAGCCAACTGTGCGGCATGAGTCGCACCGGAGGCAAGCACGGCGGAGCACATGGCCACATTCGGAGGGACGGAGGGTGCGGGAGTACTACCCGGGCTGTCAAAGAACAGTGGTGTCGATTTCCGCGGCAACACCGACGACGAAGGACCGGCCCCGCTGGAAGACAAAAGGTTCGCCGCCCTTGAAGACGACGGGTTCGCCACCCTAGAAGACGACGGGAAAGCCCCGAGTAAGTCGGCGGGTGCGTTTGCGACCGGAGGGTCGGGAAGGAACTGGAGGGACCCGGCTACCGAGTGCCTGGTCTGCAAGGGGTGGGGGCCGATATATCGAAGCCCGAGCCGCGCTGTAGCTAAAAGGAGAAGGAAGTCGTCAGAAGGAAAGGACGGGACGGGTACCAGAAGGGAAAGACTTATGGACACCTCGGAGCGAACAGCCCACCTTGGCCTTCACGCACCCAGCGCATGAGTGCTGCGAGTGGCCATCCACGCGACACACTCCCGGAGGCCTCTGCGCAGCGCACCTGCTGCAAGCCTGGCTAGGGGCGTATACAAACAAGCCGTAGCGAGTTCGAGACGCCGCCGTCTGACCGGAGGGGGTCGGGGGCACTGGATCGGAGGAACCTGCAGCCGGACCGGAGGAGGCAGCAGGACCGGAGGGACGCGACGAGGAGGCAGCAACCGCGGCGGAGGGACCCGGGGTTGAAGCGCTAGGGGCAACGGCAGGGGGTGGCTGAGAGACCCCGTACAACCACAGCCCAGGAGCTTGGATGATGGGCGCGGGGCGAGAGCTGGCGGGGGGTGCACGAGAAGCCGCCGCTGGGGCCCGAGGGACAGAGTCGACGAGGCCCGTAGTGGGGACGATGGGACCTGGGGCGGATGGCGCGGGCAAGGATCGCGAAGGGGCGAGGCGTGGAGCAGCCGACGGAGGGCCAGTAGGCGAAGGCTGGGGGGCGACCGCCGAACCAGCGGAGGGAACGCGCAGGACGGGGTCGAGGAGGCCGGTGTCACGAACGAAATGGTCGGGGCTGGACGGTGGACGCACAGAAGGGCCGGGAGAGGATTGTGCGGGTGGAGGAGGAGGCTGCGAGGCGTGATGAGGGGAGAAGCTGCCGTCTAGACGGAAAGGCCCAGGAGGAAAGAAGGGTGGGACGAAGACTCCTTCCGGGGGCTGAGCCGCGGGGCTCAGGGCGGCGGAAGGAAGAGACATGGTGGCCAGGTTCGGGGTTGCCGCCTCTCCGCGCAGATTAGCCCGCGGGTACTCCTCCAATGGTCGGGGCACGAAACGACGAGGGGGCACATTTTGGTCAAACACGATGGGATAAAAGGGGAAAGGAGGGAAAGGAGGGAGGAGAGGGACGGCGAGAGGGAACGACAACTGGTTCGACCCCCAGACAACGTACCGGCCACTGGGATGGATCTGCGCTGGGCAGCAAAGGTCGGCCTCCAGATTGGCAAGGAGGGGTCAGAGGGAGGCGGGGACACGGTCATTTCCGGAGAGGTGGTACATCGACATCGAAAGCCGGACGAGAACGGGCTGGATGTCGAACTCAGCCGGGGGATGGTGGAACTGCACCGCTAGATGATGGTTCACAATGTAGCCATACTGAACGGAGGGAAGGAGGTCAATGGGAGGAGGCCAGCCACGGGAAGGGACGTACGAAGTCAATCACGAGGGCGCGGGCCCACGACGCCCAGCGATACATCGTGTTGGTATCGGGAAACTGGGGCAGACAGATTTGTATCTCCTCGGCCGTATACACCTTGAATGCGGAGACGAGGCGGACGAGGATGGCGGAGAGGTCCGCGGCAGCAGCGGCGTCGAGGTACGGAGGGGCGGACATGGTGGGTGAGGTGACGGAGGGAAGAGAGCGTCAGCGAGGAGAAGATAAGGGAGGACGGAGGGAGGCCATGGCACGAGGATCGAACAGACGCTGACCAAGGGCGGCCGAGGAGCGGTGGCTACAGGCAGCGGGGAGGAACATCGCGTTAGCACCGGCCAGGAATAGCAACGGGAGGGGCGGCACGGACGCGAGAATCAGGGGACATTCATGCTAGGAGAAGGGCGGGAAGGGGACTGACCGGGGACGGTCAGTATCTGAGGTCGGGGCAGGTGTGGGCGGGGCCCACGGGCTGAGGCCGGAACCGCCGGAAGATGGAGAGTCAGAGAAGGCCGGGGACGTTAGCTGGGAGACAAGGATCGGGCCGCGGCAACAGGACTGGAACGGGACGTCTTACGAGGTGATTCGAACGCGGCACAAGTCAGATCTATTGAACTTCGCAAGCTGTTACATGCCAGGACATACGGGTACCGGGGGGAACAAACTGGACGGAGGAAGATGCTACTCGTAAGGGTTCAGTCACGGATTAATTCCAACGGGGGAGGGATGTCTCACGCATCACATATGTCCTCTAGACGGCCCGAGATGGAGACTACTTCACGCATCACGGACAGCTGGTCGATCCGGGCCTCAGCCAGGCCGCGGTGGAGGTGGCCAAGCTCGAGGCGGAAAACATCCAAGGAACGGTCCGTCGCGGCAAGGACGCGGTCCCAGTTGTTGGTCGAACCGCGGAGGGAGGAGAGGCGGAGGGGAGGATCATTATACGAAGGAGGAGGAGGGGGTCGGGCTTCTTCCGCGGCGGCTTGCTCCTTCTGAAGCTGGTCCGGGGACCAAGGGATGGTCGCGTATAGGAGCGGCGCCTTGTTCTGCTCGGAGCGGAGGTTGAGGAACACGCGGTCCAGGTGCTCAATAAGCTCGCAGACCTCGGGGATACCGGACAGAAGGGGGATGTGGGCGTCGCCGTGAGCGGTCGCTAGAGCGTAGGACTCAAAGAGCATCCGCTGGGGCAAGGCAGACGGGTCAGGAGGGACGAGGAGAACGACGGAAGGTGACGAACCACGAGCCAGCGAGCACCATGAGCCCAGGCAAGCCAGGCAGTGGCGTGCTCTACGTCGAACCGGGGCTCGAAGGTTCCTTCGCACCGGAGAACCTCGATTAGACGGAGGTAGCGAGCGGAGTGCGACGAAGTGGTGGGGTTCGGGGGCTGCGCCATCGGTATGGGAAAGAAGGCGTGAGCGGGAGGAGAGGGAAGAGTGGGGGCAGACCCGGAGGGAAGGAGGAAGGGGCACGTGAGCTCGGCTGAAGGAGGATAAGTAGCGGGTCGGAGGGAGCGGGAGAGGACACATAGGACCCACTCTCGGACGCGGACTAGGACTCAGACTCGGAGGCTCTCAACTCGGGCAGACGGCTCGGAAGGAACTCTCTATATTTCGCTCTCATATAGACTTGTCTTCTCGACGATACACTCGTCACATACACCTAATACCACTACCCATCCTTGACTAAAAATCTACCCTTCCTCCTTACCCTGTACGGAGGGAGCCGAACTCAACAGCACACACCGGCATCCGCGACCGTATCCGCCGCGTCTGGGGGGCTGGGACGACTCTATACCCGTCGACACTCGAACCTCGCTACTTCGACAACGAGGATGACCTGGTGAGGCTGCGCCACTGGTTCGCCCTGGGACGGTTGATGCTGGAGTGGAACCTTTGACCCGACCTCGAGCACGACCTTCAAGTCGCGATGGGGGGCTCTGTGACGGATGCGGCGGACCGCATACGAAACGTATTCATCACACTGTACAAACGACAGTTAATAATTGCGACCCGCAGGTCTTCACACCTCGTACATATTAAAATACTAATTATGTAGCACTTACCGTACTTAAATTGTATCTACTGTACACGCGTGACGTAGAATACCTGGGAGCGCGTGCCCGGGAAATAGACGCCTTCTTCTTGCTCTCAAACCACCTCATACGCTTGCGACTTACCGCACCGTCCGAGACTGAGAGCCCTAAGGCGATACCCGCTGCCCGCGCTCCTCGCCGGGTTAGCCCTCAGAGTGAGCTCCTCGCCACTCTGGGTAAGTCGGCTCCTCGCCGTCTAGCCACGTGGGCTCCTCGTCCACGTACGAACCTCTACGCGGACTCCTCGTCCAGCGAACGACCTGCTAGACCAACGTCTAGTTATGACCTTACGACTAAGGATTGGGCCACTTAGTGCCCACCAAGGCCTCGACGGTTAGACAGCCCGTCCCCTCTGCGAGCAGACAAACCACCGTCTCTCACAATAATAGTCGCGCCCCCCGGCGAGCAGAACAATCGCATTGAAGGCGCGGCGGTGGGGACCACGGCCACGGTATGTGCTCATTAGCTTGTTGTGAATACTACTCACATTCCTTTAGCCGGCGGCTCAGGCTCTGCCTTCCATGACGTCAAACACCAACGACATGGACATTGACGACACCTCGAACAACAACGGAAACATGGGCAACCGGGACAGTGCTGCCAATGCTACTGATAAGGACATGGACATGGACAAGGACGTGGGCACCAGCGACCAGGACGACACCTCCAACGAGGAGTCGAGTGTTGACCCGGTGGATGCCCCGGTGGCCATACTGATGCAGACATCAGGAAACTGTGCAATCTCTGACGGTATGTGTGTCTGAGAGTCAACCGTCAGAGGCGTCAGAGCACTCCAGACATGGCTCCTCATCAGAGGATCTCATTTGGCCTCAGGCAGTGCCAGACAGTGTCAGGTAGCACAGTACGTCAGACAGCAACCATCACACAACTCACTTGGAATACCCCCTTGCATGTGAATGAGCATAAATGCAATGGATTGAGAGCTACTACAATCACAATAATACATATGTCTACGTGTTGGAGCACAGCATGTAGGCTGGGACTCATTGCTCTCACGACTCGTCACCAAATTCTCCTCCACGTGCATATACGCTCGCGTCGGGTGCGGACGCGAGGGTCGCGATCCGCGTTGGTCACGTCAGCAGAGGGCAGCGGCTGCGAGATACCTGACTCCGAGGCGTCTTGGGTGCAGCGAAGGCATAGAAGCGCGCATGTTGGATGCATGGCCCGCTGCGGCACTGGTTTCCGACATGAACGCGGATCTTGCACGAGCTCAGGGTGCATTCAAGTACGCGCTACGAGAGAGTGCAGGAGCGACGCAAACAGCAGATTGAGCGCGACTTACCTGTTGGTCTTCCACACGTGCACATCCTCCATCCTCACTCCCCGCGCTCGCTCTCAACTAGGGCTCGTACGTCCAAGGCCGTGTGCGACTTGTCTGCCGCGGCGCCGCCTTGGTCATGTCGAAGTTATGTAGCGTGCCGCGGAGGAAATGGTTGAGGAAGATGTTCCGTGCGTGCTCGTCCGCGCGCGGGCGGAATGCGCACAACGCGCAGAGGCACACTTGACGTAGTCTCGCTGCGAGACCTTTTCACGTGTGAGTGTGTCGAACCTAGCACTCAAAGGAGGGATTCAATCCCTCGAGCGACTCGGAGGGGATGGACGCTACAAAAATGCCCATCGCGCCGATTGCGAATGGGAAGACCATGGAATACGCACCAGTGTTCAGCTCGTCAAAGAGGAGCTGCCCCGCGGGCGTCGTGCACATGTCGAGCCAGCCCAACCTCAGTACGCAGGCGCAGGCGATCGCGGAGAGCCCGCTCACCAGCAGAGCATCGGGCTCCGACTCCGCGTGGCTGCATAACAAGACGTCCAAGCTTGGATTGAGTGCAGTGGCGACGAAACCGCGCTCCCGCGTGCTCTTGCTGTCGGCCGGCGGAGGCGGAGGCGCTGCAGAATAGGTCGGAGGTCTGAGGTAGATCTGAGGGGCGGGTAGGTGGGCGGCGGCCAGACGACGAATGGGTGCGCGAGTGGGCGATTGTGCAGGAGCGTGGTATACATGAGCGATTGGCTGCGCGAGTGAGCAACAGGAGTGAACGAACATGCATGACGTTCACTCGTTGCCTGCAAAGACGGGGTAACTCAGCAAATATTGAGTGTTTGCACTTACCTGTATTGTCCCTGCCGCGCCCCAAATCCTCTGTCTCTACCACCCTCGCATCCCCGTCGTGTTTCGCACAGGTCCTACTTGCAGTGTCGGGCTTGAGCGTCGAGCTGTAGAGTGGGTGGGGTAGTCCGACGGCGGCTGGGGCTGAGTGAGACGACGGTGGAGGCTGTGAGTCACGACTCGCAGGCGCAGCTGAAGTGCTAAGCGCCTCAGCCACGACACGCAACCGACGCGCGCTTGCCACCGGAGTCCTCTCGTCGCACTTCACCACACGTCTACACTTGATCTCAGAACCCTCATCGCCGTCTCACCTCCGCTTCGCCCGTTCTTCCTGCCGCCTACCCCGATGCAAGACACGTCAGCACGTGGATCGACCTGCTGCGCGCCCACGACTCGGATTGCGTGGCCTAGCAGCTGCCAAGAGCTCCAGCAACGCGGCACCGAGAGCATCGCCAGAGGTCTGTGGAGAATGCGCGGCCAGCGAGCCAGCAACTTCAGTGAGTGCACCTCCCTTGTCCGCTTGACCCGCAGACTAACCGAACAAAAATATCATCCAGGACAACCTGGCGAAGACTAACGTGAGGGAGACGGACCCGATGCGCGTGTATACGAGAAGAAACGAGTGTGGTGAAGATGAGTGACAAAGACTTGTGAACTCAAGCCCGGTAAGCATGCACTGGAAAGCCCGAATCGACCCGCCACGCGCCCCGCGATCGCATGGCCCAGCAGCCGCAACGGGCTCCAGTGATGCGCACAGAATACCGACGGAGTGTGAAGGATGCCCACGAAGGAAGGGAAAGATGCTGTGGCTAGGAGGCAGAGCAATCGCGTGAGTACCCTCCTTGTCGTCTCACGATTGAACCGTTGCCAGTGCACTCAGGTCGCAGCGACGATTGTAACGCGGGCGTGGACGCGAAGTTCGAACACATCCGCACAGGCAGAAGCATGCAGAAGGCGACGGACACAACAACCAAGGTCCTGAGGCTGAGGGAGGCACGGACCGCGGTAGCTCGTCGCATGTCCCAAGAGTACCCGTTGTGCACCAACGCACAACATGTATGAGCGTGCCGAAACCAAACCTGTATTCCCCTGTAGTGACAGAAATATATTGTTTTGAGCATATGTCATCTGGAATCACTGAGAGTCTGACGCCTCTGACGTGTTGTCTGACCACTCTGGACCACTCTGACACTCTCTGACGCTCTCTGAAATCTCTGTCTGACAACAACAATTCACAAAAATCCGACACCTTGAGGTCTGGCCATATGAGCCATTCTGAGGCGAAATGAAGCGTTCTGAGTGCTTATGAAGCCCCTGACAGGGCCCTCAGAGGAATTGCACGAAATCCTGATGGATGGATCAGGAGGAGGGTTGGGAGGTTGTTCAGGTGCCCAAAGGTGATTCTGCGAGTGATGGTATGTCCTGTCATGATTTCTATTCGCTTGTGCCGCTGACTTAACATATACCACAGCGGATAAGCCCTTGCCCAAGAAAAGGGCCACAAGGGCTCGTGACGGCGCGAAGACAGATGTAATGGACAATGTAGCAGCCGTTGAGCCTGCCATGAAGAGGCTTAGGCTTACGAAGGCTCGCCGCGACACAGAGGAGAAGGCCACGGAGAATATTATTACGTAAGTTAATGGGGTCCTTATCCTTATACATGCTGACCGGTCTGGCACTAGCACGGCAGCAACGAAAGGTCGCAAGCCTAAGTTGGCGCAGATGTCAAAGACCGCGAAGAAGACGGATAATGGAGGTACGACCTCAGTGCCAGCCCGGAACACTCGCTCGACAGCTCAAAGTAAGAGGTGACTCATACATGCTTGTAGTCTCAACGTGGCTCTTATACTTCACTTCAGCATTGTAACGTGTTCTGCTGTCCGCAAGCCTTGAAGTTGACATCCTTGACGTGGTGCTTCCTCCACAGAATAGTGTCCTAATATGGTATATCTTTCCTCATATGGCAGTAGGCTTCGTATGTGTTTGACGTTTGGGTGGTCTATTGATGGTGGTTGGCTGAAGTGGCAGACTATGTGCTTATGAGTCAGCTTAGTAGTTGCTAGTGGTTTACCATGTTTTTGTGTAAGCCTGATAATAGATGGAGTTGTGATGAGATAGACTTAGCATTGATTCCACCCTACTCAGTAACTGGTTCAAGGATTGGGTTCATAGTACATTGGATGGTCTAAGACATGGATTAGAACTGACTTAAGTACTGGCTAAGTAAGGACTTCATTTGGGATCAGAACTGGCTTAAGGTACATAGCATAGGACTTAGGACTGGCTTATGTGTAGCTGAACCAAGGCTTAAGTCATGGCTAATCTCATTCCTAATCCATGGATCTGGCTAAGTAGATGTCCCAGATGGTGTCAGGAATGGATGAAGTACATGTAAGTCATGGCTAAGTCAGTGCTTAAGCCATAGGATTAGGTTCATAAGGGCTTAGAACTGGCTTATGTGTAGTTGATCCATGGCCTAAGTCAAGGTCAATCCATGAGATTAGCTCAGTATCTACTCTCAATGAGATTAGCCATGACTCAAGTACATAGATCTGGATGAGTAGCTGCTTAGAACTGGCTTATGTACAGCTAACCCATGTCTTAAGCCATGGGATCAGCTTTGAATGAGATGAGCAATGGTTCAAGTACATGCTTAGCCATAGATCTGGCTAAGTAACTGCTTAGATTGAGATTAAGGATGGCTTAAGTACATCTCAATTATGGCTAATCCATGTTGGTTAATCCACTACAGACCCATCTTATTGATCCTATAGCTTAGCCATGGCTAAGCAGTGGATTGGATTGGGGATGTACCCTACTTAAGTTGATCTTTGATACATAAGTGATTCAACATTAATCCTGTTTAAATGACAAAGACGCCTATCCCGTGTGATAACACCTAAAACAGTTGAAGTTCAACACGGGGTCTTCCCAATAGGCTGGAGAGCTACAGGGCCCAGTGACTGGCTTCGGAACAAGCCACGTCCATGGGACCACGGTGCACCTTCACTAAAGACTTGTTCCAGAGGTACCTCGTTGAGTTCATTGTCACCCACGACCAGGTGAGGTTTTTGTGAGGCTTCTATCGCTGGAAATCATAACTGACCACTGCAGCAGCCTGTCAACATTGTGGAGGTCCCTGAGTTTCGTCGTGTCCTCTTGCTCTGCAAGCCGGACCTCAAGGACAACGACATCCCTCATTGCACGAAGACGACAACACTCATTCATTATGGAGAACTTCGAAAGGCACATGGAGGGCCTTAAGGTCCAGTTGAAGGTATGTGACCGTATGTCATTTCACTCTGCCATGATACAAATGACCCGTGTTTACCAGGGCTCTGCCGGGGAGATATCCTTTACGACCAACGTGTGGGACACCAAGGGCCACCGGTCCTACATGGGCATTACTGCCCATTGGATCTCTGCGGACATAGTCATGCAATTGGCGGTCATTGGCTTTGCCAGAGTGTATGGTCGTCATCAAGGGACGAACCTCGCTGTTGTCTTAACTGGTGTTGTCGACAGAGCGGGTATCATGGATAACGTGAGTGGTATCTTTGATACAAGAAAACTTGTTTGACCTTGGTTCTACAGGTGGGAAAGTTCACCATGGACAGCGCGTCCAACAACACCACCATGCTCAGCGCGTTCGAGGACAAACCCATTGTCAAGGTTCCGGACACGTCCTTCAAGGCTGTGAATGGCAACGTTCACTGTCTTGGGCACTCTCTGAACCGGTGCAGCCAGATGTTCGTCAAGAAGATCGGTGCTCTTCCACCCAACAACGGTCATGACGGTGATGATGTCAAGGATGGCGATGAAAATGGGGGCGACCCCGATGGCCCACCCGACGACCCCTTGAGCGTCGGCATCATACCGAAGGTCAGGTGTATTGTACGCTCCATCCGCTCCTCCCCCTTGCACCGGGACGCTTGGGACCAAACCATCCGCACGGGTAACACCTCAGGGGTGTTCCTCCCCCATCTCCGTGAGGTCCAGCTCATCCTCGACGTCCGTACCCGGTGGAACAGTACATACAACATGATCGTGCGTTTTCTGGAGATGAAGCCGGTAAGCCTTAGCCTTCACTCTCCAGAACCCCTTGTCTGATATCGTGTGACAGGCATACCGTCAGTTCTGTGTGCGGAGTGATGAATTTGCGGCAATGTACCCGGAGCTGACCGAATCTCAGGAGAATCCGAATCTCAGGAGAATGATCTCCAGCTGTCGCGTCGCTCCTCGAGGTAGCTAATCATACATGTACTTGAATACCATATTCGCTTATGAAATGTGTACGTTGCAATCACGGTTTCAGGTCCCGATGAAGGTGTCCCTGGCTCTGGCTAGGGATGACTTGCCGCTACTAGCGGACGTCATCCCTATGTTTGAGATATTTCAGTCAGAGTGGGAGGCGGTCCTGAGTCCTGACCATGGACGACATGTCTCGTTTCCATGGAGCTATAGAGGCAGCTCTAGCCGTGGCAACGAAGCACTACACTATTATGGATGAGACCGGCAGCTATGTGCTGTGCATGTGTGAGTGAACTTGACCATATTTGAGCACAACGTCTCACCATAACAAAGTTGTCCACCCCAAGTACAGACTTGATCACATCAAGGAATACTGGGACGACTTCTACATCCAGAAGGCCCAGCGATTGATCAAGAAGAAGGTACACTGTACAATCCCCTTCTTACAAGGCGTTTACATTGCTAATGCTGACAACGTACATTCAGATGAAGGTCTACGCTGAAAAGTTCGGGCTGTACTCCTCCCCTGGTCCATCATCCCAAGCCCCCGCTACTGGCAAACGTCCCATCCCGCAAGGCCTCAAGGGCATGCGCGAGATTTCTGAGGCCTTGCAGAGGACTGCGAAGAAGAACATGCAGCCGGCGTCGAAGTCTAGTGGAATACCAACCACGGTTGAGGAGGAATATTCCATATGGGCCGCTCATGGAGCTGAACCTGAGCACGGCGACGCCCTGGCGTACTGGAGGGTAAGTGACCTTCAATACGTATCACTGGCACTGCGAGCTGAAGATATCCTAGAACAAGACCGTCCAGACTACCTTCCCGGTCCTGTTCCGCATCACCATGGATTATTTGCCCATCCAGTCGACGTCTGTGCCCAGTGAGAGGGTGTTCTCTTCAAGTGCCGAGACTAACACTCCTCGTCGAAACTGCATGGGGCCCAAGCTGATGGAAGCCACGCAGGTCTCCAAATACCTGATCAAGCGAGACAGGCTGTCCTTCACGTCTCACATGGATGTCTCGCCTGTGGAGTAGGCCCTCTGTATCATTGCCCCTCACCATGTATCATGTCCTGTCTCATATCAATGATATCATCTTGTACTTGCGTTCAACGTCGTAGACTCGTATCTTTCATGGAATCCTCATGAGAGGTGTAACTCTCCTCTCTGACGGTAGCATACCAGTTCTGAGCTGCCATCGCCTTCAGCACCTACTGGCATCTTAGGGTTTCGCTTGCCGTCATCGCCTGTCAACAATGTCTTCTGGATCACAAGCTGTCCTCAGTCCTGACATCATCATATCTGTGAAAGGACTCACAATTTGTGGGAGTACAGAACCCAGTAGATGCTACTTGATGTGGGACTGCCCCAGTGTATTGAAATGTATATAGATACATCCTATATGGCTCTGACTAAGAGCTGATCAGCAGATAATTCACAATGTGGAGGAGGTATGAATTTTTGTACTGGTGATGAGGAAGGGTTATGGCCCTGTGATGTGCATAGATCTCAAGCTATTGGTACAATCATAACACAGATGAGCCACAGACTCACTATTTCACAGTAACTGATCTTACAAGCTATGATCACAGATACATTGGAATGAGTGCACTGACATTCATCATTCATTAGGGACAAATGTGAAGTGCAGTTTGGTGTAGATTTCATGCATATCAAACAGACATGCCAGGGCAAGTGAGAGAGGAGGAAGAGAGAGTGAGGTGAAGGCAACAGCTGTGCAGTGTGGAGCTGTGCAAAGCAATGACATTGCATGTGACCTATGGCACACAGTCACATGCAGTGGTGCAGCAGGTGGCTGCCGCTACCTCACTATTACTGTCAACAGTAACAAGCCTGTCCCTTGCTATTACAGCAATGCATGCATGCAATGCAAACCATACTCCATTGTTGCAATGTGTTGTTGCAAATTCAAGGTATCTTGATGCAGGTATGGCTTGTCATCTTGTGCACAACAATCCTTGTTTTGACTGTGTGTCATTGAGTCTGCTTGAGCTATGCACACAGTCCCTGGACCTACACACCGGGGCTGGTTGTCACAACACATAGGTCATGCAAGCCATAACCACCAGCACAAATGCCATGGCCTCTGTTTAATACAGATCTCATATGGGTCCTCTCATCCACTCCTCCATGAAGGCCAAGTTTAGAGTTGGCATTGGGAGCACAATTTGTGATAGGCCTCTTATTGGTCCTCTCATAGGTGTAACCAGTCTGGTAACACCTAGTCCCCTCAATGATGGACTTGGTCTGGGACCCATCACTACACTGTTCAAAGGGGCTACTCCCAGGGCTTGAGGACCTGTGCTTCTGAGGTCCCAGCATGACCTTGTACCATTCTGTCCAGGCTGTCCAGCTGTCCAGATTGAAATGATCCCTGAGAACCTTATTTGGGCATTGAGACATTGAACAGCTTCCTACATGCCTTCCAGGCACAATGTCCATCTCAGCTTTTCCACTATTCTACAAAGACCTAACCCTGATTCAATATCTAGCCTTCAGCTCCATCAACCCTATTTATACCTATCAGTCATGGACTAGCTTCTCAATAATGAGGTCTATCCAGATTTTCAATCTCTGATTTGGGCATGTGAGGCACATGAGTGAGTTGTCAACACGGACAAGCCCTTTTCAGGGCACCTTGGGTGGAATCCATGACATAGATGTAGGTCTTGGAGATACAACCTTGCTGTCTGTATTTCCTTAAGGAATGTAAACCTCCCTTGTACAGAAACAAGGGAGGTAGATGCCTAGGCCTCTGAGCAAGGTGCAGAGGCTCTAAGTTGTTGAAGACCTCTCTGAATGTCTCATTCCAAAATATGTTCTCATTTGAGAAGATGAGACCATGGCTAGTGTCGCGGAGCTAGGTCTGACGCGACTAGAAACAGAACTTGAAACAGAAATACTTGACCTCGAGGTGTTGGACCGAGGTCAACAACAGTCTAGACAGCGTAAGACGCAATGACTAGCAACTCCAAGTTAGTTACATTGCACTCTACTTAGTACAATGTGAAGTGCTTACCTAGCAACTCCAAGAGGACGAGCTGGAGTGCTAGGCAGCGTACAGGACCCTATATATACTGGCTAGGTTGAGGGCAGGTCTACCTACGCTGGATCCGAGAACTGAGGTCATGTGTACGTATGAGTCAGAACGAGTCAGGTGGCTAGGCGCTGCCGCAGGGCACCTGATAAGTTACATAAGCAAGGCCACATGATGGACGAGTCACAAGACAAACCCTAGCACGTGATGTGTCATGTGACTAGTTAGAAAGCCGTTCCAGGCGAAGTCTACCGTACAGCGTATCGTGCAAGTCCATAGAAAATGAGCAAAAATAGGATAAAACAAAGCAAAAATACGGGGCCTCCGTGTCATACCATGACAGCTAGAGGGCCCAGTGACAGGTACAGAGGGCCCAGTTGTCCCATGCTTGTTTGCCATCAAAGGCAGGCTTGTCATTCCTAGAGAATAGAGAATCCTGGATAGCCATATCCACAGACTCACAGGCTCAAGGCACAGAGGGCCTTAGTGTTCTCAGGGTGACTTAGGCCTAATGAGGTTATTCAAAATGTTCTTTCTAAGGTGATACCTTTCCCCAGAGAAAATGTTTGTCTTGTCTCTGGACAGATATACTTGCTGTTGTTGTTGCCGAAGGTGATCTAAACATAGCAACAAAAGAAACAGACTGTAAGTGAAAAAATTCACAACTTTGAACAACGTCATGTACAGACTAGGATGAGTTCACTGCTGACAATTGAATCAGAACCTGTCACAGTGATTGCAAGTATGTGAGGTTGGAAGTTTGCAGAGTCAATCTCATCCTGTTGGACAACTTCCAAGTTGAACAGCCCTGCAGCTTGCCTCCTCTTGAAGATGCAAGTCATGGGATGCCAGTTTGCTGCAGAAAGCCCCTGAGGAAATCAGCAAGCTTGATAGGACCTTTGACAGTGGGAAACAAAAGAAATTGCAGTGAAACTGAATGCTTAATAATAACATTGAGGCTGTCCTGCAGCATTGCATGACCAGTGATTTGTGTTCAGTAGCTTGAAATGACAAGAGCAGGTGGTCTGCCAGCAAATGCTTGTGCAATCTAGAAGCAAAAATCTCAACTCAGTGCTACAAATCATTGTAACATGGCATCCAGTGATGAACCTTAGACAGTAAGGCCATTAATAGGGCAGGTTGAAACCCAAAAAGGCTGTGTGTCTGAGTGTGCTATGACAGTGTTGCTTCCTGACTAGGCACAATAGAACAAAATTGGGGTGCGGCCAGCATGTTTTTGGCATCCAATCTGCAAAGTGGGCAACCTACAGCATGCTTTGTCAGAATAGCCACCTCTGCCAGCATTGAGGGTATTGTAGGCAAGAAGGTGGCATAGTCATATATGATTGCGCTGTAGATCCAGGGCAGCAGAGGAGAGGTTGCCCTTGTCCTTTTACTAATCTTGCTTACACTTTGTGTACAATACTTGGAGTGGCACACTGTATGGTGGGGTATAATGCTGTACATACCTCAGGCTGTAGGCCCAAGCATTGATACAACAATGTTGCTTCCACATCCAACTATCAACTTCATGTGTGTTTCTGACTTTGCCAACACTATGCTTGTTGCTCACCACACCAATGTGCTGACAAGCTGGTTTTCTCACACTCATCTGTGTATGATTGTCCATACTGTCTGAGTAGGTTCTATCATCTCATCCTTGGTATTGACTCCATGTCAGCCTAGGAAACACCTTCACTGAGTCTCCTCATCCTGGCTAGGACCAATCTATGATGCCAGCGAGCACTCCTTGCCTTGCTCAAGACCTAATCATGACCTCACATGACCCTTTCTATCTTATTGGTAATGCAGCTACCACCAACATTTGAGCTTTGCTGGACAGCCTGGCTGCAGTCTTGAGAGTACTGTAAAAAATGGTGAGTCTCAGGCCTCAGTTGTGGTGTGTCAGATCCCGATCTGTAGGAAGTACCAATGTGTTGGAGCATGCAACCATGGTGAGCTTGCCAGCTAAGCCGCAATAGACCTGACTGGGATGGATAGGGGGGAGCAGCATATACATGAGTTTTTGATATATGTACCTCACATGATTGCCCTTCAGGCATTGTCCATCCCCAGGACACTTGCACTCACCATACCAAATTTTGCTTGTTCTCACACAACAGACAGTGCAACAGCAAGGTGAAAGAAGACTGAAGAGTGTATAGTACAAGGCATAGACCATAAGTTGCATATCTGCTTATATAGGATCTTTTAGACCCTGGGCTACTGGAATGGGCACCTTACAAGTACACCGCCAGCAAACTCTCACAACACTACACAGTTTGTAATCCAATCTGCAAGGGCAGGCAATGTGTTGCCTGCCTATAAGAAATGCAGGCTTGTGACATTCAACATTTGTGCAGCTGAGCACATCATGAGCCATAGTGAGCATGTTGTTTGGCACAAGGAACTGTTCCCCACAGACATATACATGTAGCCCATTATCACTATGCTGCACCTGCAGCCCTATACCATCGTGCTATACCATCCTCTCCTCCTGACATGAATGCCCCAGCACTATTGTTTGCAGCTGAATGTGGTCTCCATGACACACTCCATACTTCACCTGTCTCTTGAGTGGTAGATACTGCTGCATGAGCAGCAAGATCCCACACTTTGACAGCCTTGTCAGCGGACCTTGAGTCAAGCAGATGAATATGTGTATGACAATGTTGAAGGCAACAGATGAACCCACCCTGACAAGGCAAGGCGGCAATCCGACGAAATGTCCACACTGAGCACCCACGACGAATGGCCGGAGAAGGTAGCGACTGCGCCAGAGCCCGGCTTACCAGACGGAGAAAGCCTCACGTCGTGCAGAATGAGCCGCTTGTCTTCCGATGCAGATACGAGGAGCTAGGAGCAATGTCAGACTTTGCGTGAACGATACGACGATTGGCTCACATTAGAGTCTGGGGACCACGCTAGTGACCGGACGGCCATTGCATGCGTGGTATACGTCGACGCGAGGGAGGACGAGGCGACATCGAAGATGTAGATCTGACCAGTCTCCGAGGCCATGGCGACGCGCCTTCCGTCCGGGCTCTGTGGGCACATTGTTAGCAATCGGTAGCGCGGAAGACATGAACATGAAGCGCGGGCAGAGCCTAGACAAGGCGGGCTATGGGACGGCCCTGCGACACTCATGCGACAACCCACGTATTTGCAGAACATCCCAAATTTACTCCGGCCACTGACGAGTGTCGCGCGACGCTCGCCGAACGAGTCGCGAGCGGCCGAGTGAATGGTGACGTTACCCGAGCCGCCCGTGGATGCGTACGTTTGGCTGTTAGGGCTCAATGAGACCGACCAAGCTGAGGCGGCGAACAGTCAGTATCCTTTCGGAAGGAAGGATACATACGAGTTCGCAGCCAGCGGAAGGGTAGTGGGTTTGCAGTGAGAGGTACTCACAGGGTTCGATGTGCTCCTCGCCGGATCGCACATAGCTCTCAAATCTCCCCTCGACCTCGCCGTTCTCCAGGTTCCATAGGCACGTAAGCCCTTCGAGACTGTTGTACAGCGCGTGCTTGCCCGCGGCATCGACGTCGAGGGATACGAGACCGTGTGTATGCGCGGGCTGTGCGCGCGAGACTTGTCCCGACGCAGCGTCCCATTGCTTGATTGTGCCGTCCGCAGAGGCGGTCAGCACCGTGTCGGCCTGCGTCCACACAGCTCCCCATATCGCATCGGTGTGGGCTGCAGAAGGTGCGTGAGGATCGACCGCGTCGCGGAGGTGGCTGGATCACGTACGCTCGCTGCAGTCGTGAGCGTGGAGAAAGGCCAGACTCTGCGCGACGTGAGCACCAGACGACGTTCTGGCGAGACCGCGCACGCACCATGGTCGTGAAGGAAGGTCGTCGGAAGGAGGGTCGCCGCTGGGCAGAGCCGCGTCGAGGGCGCGCGACGCCTCGACTGGCGCCACCGGCAACGTCCGGCGGACTTTGAAGCCCGGTATATGTGCGCGCGCAGGGCAAACTCTGTTTTTCCTCACATCAACGAAAGCGGACGAAGACTATTCTCTCCTCTCATCCTATATAAGTACGTCTGCGTTCTCTCTCGTTTGCCGCATCGCTTATTCTCTTGTAGAACTAAGATGTCTGACGCTGGAGATGACATTCCCGTCGAGGAGGTGACCGTCGAGGCTGAGCCGGCCTCCGACGCGCCCAAGGGAAAACTTTCGGTCGAGGACGCTCTTCAGGTGCGTTTGCAGACACGCATCTGGCTTCGCTAACTAGCTCGTGCAGCAAGTTCTGAAGAACGCGCTCAAGCACGACGGCCTTGCTCGCGGTCTCCGTGAATGTGCCAAGGCCCTTGACAAGCGCCAGGCCCACCTCTGCGTGCTCGTCGAGACCTGCACGGAGGCCGAGTACATCAAGCTCATTGAGGCCCTCTGCGCCGAGCACAAGATCAACCTCATCAAGGTCGGTGACGCGAAGGTCCTCGGTACCTGGGCCGGTCTCTGCAAGATCGACCGCGAGGGCAACCCCCGCAAGGTCGTCGGATGCTCCTGCGTGGTCGTCAAGGACTACGGTGTCGAGAGTGAGGGTCTCAACGTCCTCCTCGACTACTTCAAGAACCGGTAAACGGTAAGTGATTATTTCCCTCCGCCCTCTTCGAGATGACAAACAGACTCCCTCAACGGAGAACGTTGTTCATTGAGGATTCAGTCTATCCGGAATCATTACATTTTGTCTGATACCTCACTTGCGACGTGCTTCAAGCATCGATGCTGACTCTTGTTTCCAGATCCCCACCGCTTTCCTTGTAGCCGTAGCTGTGCTTGTCCTCCATAAAATGCAATGTATGCAACCTACTAGCGGTGCCTTTAGCATGTCATTGAGCAGCGTCAGTAATTGAGTCATCACTCGACACGGCCTTGCCTCCCTCTCGCAGCTACCCAGGCTGCTCGATGTCATTGTACACTTGCAATGAATCTACGGCGCAAACGACATGGCAGGGCCCTCGTGCACGGTGACTCGTGAAAGATTCCAATCTTTGCTCTGCGCCTCGATCATCCCTTCATGCCGGCTAAAGAGGCTGGTTTGTTCCCACACGAGTACATCTACATCGCCTACTGCTGTTTCTCGTCGTATGTCGATGTCGCACTTTCCACCGTCGACACCGGACCCGTGAACCACTTGCGCGCAGACACAATCCAGGACACGCTGGCAAAGATAAAGACGGCCATGATGATGATGACGGCGTAGTCTGCGGACAAGTATGAGTATGTGTCAGGATGCTGCGAGGTGGACATACTCATTGTGTCAGCCGTCGGATTCGACTCGGGCGGGAAGAGGAGCAGGACGATGATAAAGGCGACCCACGCGCACGCAATGGTACCCACAGGCAAGTACCATTTGCCCAGCGTAAACGGACCCGGCACCAGCCTGTTCCTGCCGGACGTGATGCGTAGGAAGATGGGCGTGACGTACGAGGTGTACAGGCCTATCACGGACGCGCTGCGGGCCACCATTCGTTGAGTAACACGCAAATGAAGCACCGATGGCAAACGCACCCAGCAAGCGACGACAGCGCCGTCTCCGAAAAGCCCAGCAGGCCGCAGATCCCCGCGAGGACCATGACCAGCCAGACCGCATTGACAGGGGTCTGGGTGTAGCCATTCATCTTCTTCCACCACCTGCTGCCAGGGAGCGCGTTGTCGCGCGCGAACGCGAAGACGACGCGGCTCGCGTCGACGCCCTGCGCGGCGCCGGTGACGAACTGGACGACGATGATGAAGCTCCATATGGCGAGCATGCCGTGCTTGCCGAGGACGTTGAGGAAGAGCTGGGCCATCGGGAGGGGGAGTGTGGTGCTGAGGAGGTCGGAGACGGAGGTGGTCGCGAAGGAGGCGGCGATGAAGAGGATCCAGCCGAGGGAAGCGGTTGCGCCGACGCCGACGAGGATGGCTATGGGGGCTGCGCGTGCGGCGCCGGCGGTCTCTTCAGCGATGTGGGCTGCCGAGTCGTCTGGGGAGTATCGTCAGTTGACACGAGGGGACGCTGCGCAGGGGACTCACATCCGGTCAGCGTCCACATGGGCGCGGTGAACGCGAGGAGGAATGCCCATCCGCCTGCGCGACATCAGCAGCGCGTCACACCGGCAGTGGGCACGACGTACTGTTGGCCCAGCCCGTGTTGTTCTCGAACTTTGTGAACGCGTCCTTCGTAGACACCTTGCTATCCCCCGAGCACACCAGCAGCGCGACGATGGCGGCGACGCTCGTGCCGACTGCCTCATACTAGGATCAACGGCTCTCGCGGGGCAAAAGACACACCACTCGCCATTCACAATCACATAGAAGAGGTTGAGGCGGGCGAGGACGTTGGTCGCGGCGGAGCAGACCATGGCATGGACGAAGAGGATGGCGAGGAGGATGCCGTAGGTCGGGCCGGCGCCGAGGACGATGGCGCCGTCGGAGCCGACTGCGAGGGCGCTGGTAATCATCTGCGCGCTGTTTCACCGGGTGGGACGGTCGTGAGCAGGGGCCGGAGATGGTGTGTGGCACGCACCAGGTGAAGTCGATGGAACAGACGAGCGTGACCTGGCCAGTGATGTTGGCCCAGCCGGTGATCCAGCTCGCGAGCGCGGAGTACCTTGGCGGGGCGAGCTTCGCAGAAAAGTAGTATAGGCCGGCGCTCGTCCTAGAAGCAATTGAGTACGCGCGCGGCTGCGAGATCTAGGGGCGTACGGCATGGAGGATGCGAGCTCGGCCATGGAGAGGGCGACGGTCATGACGAAGATGGAGGGTATGAGCCATCCGAATACCATCCCGACGTGTCCGCCTGGGCGGTGGGTAAGACTGGGGGACAAGCTGACGACGGCACGACGCACCGGACTCTAGCGGGAAGGAGAAGGTGGAGGAGACGGACGCGATGACACCCATGATGGAGAACGCGAACGCGATGGTCTCGATCAACTGCGCAGAGCCTTGTCAGCACACGGCGCGCACGACGGGGAGGAGACTCACGGAGAACTCGCGCCTGAACTCGGACTTGTAGCCCAGGTGGGCGAGGAGCTCGTCGTCCGCATGGCGCAGCTCGGACAGGCCGGGATGGTGGTGGTCGGTATGAGGGTGGACCGGGACGGTCGTGGAGGTGGCGACGGTGCGTTTCTCGCTCTTCATGGACTCGCTGGACATGTTCGAGTCACGGAGGGGGGACCTGGAAGAAGGCGAAGAACGGGAGGCGAAGAACCGCCGCGGGGTCTTATGGGTGATGGGCGGCCGGTGGTGTATCTGACGGCGTCTGAATGCAGAGGCCAAGCAAAGTCGATTGGCCAGGAGAAGGAAGACGGCGCCTGGGATGGTGATCATAACATCCTCGCAGCGCATATGATAGCACGCGTTATCAGCGGTGCGCTCCTATTCGACGGGCCCACGATACACGTCATGCTGCGACACTCGTATCCGCGTTTAGGATGCCAGCGACTCGCACGACTCGGAGCGCGTCTGACGCGTATGTCTAGAGTGTGAACATAGTCCGCGCAGCACCGCGGCGTAGAGCCCCGGAATCTACGGTGGCGCAGGGGGCGGGGAGTTTCTCTTTTGCCTGCGGTGGGCTCTGTGGATGGTTAGAAGGTAGAAGAGGCTTATCTCTGGGCTGGTGGACTGCTCACCCAGGCTCAACGGTTTTCTCCCAGTATCAGTTCCCCTCGGACGAGCTGAGAATGGGCGCGGTGAACGACGTCTGAGCGGTCGATCGCGCGCGCGCCTCGGGGTGTGATGGGCCGGCGGCGGGACCGCGGTGTGCAGCAGCGAGCACGTCGTTGGTCGGTGTTGTGGACGAGTGGCGGTCCAGTGCTTGATCGGTTGCGCCATGTGTGTACCGAATGGCAACAGCACGGTTGGAGGCACGCGTACGCGACCTGCTTGTCTCGTACCACCATGCGTTCCGCGTCGTGGCGCACTTTCACTGCTCGCGACGAATACGTCGCATCCCGGACAGCAGCAAGCACGGAGCCAGGGTTTGCAGGCGGTGCGTCGCAGAGAGGGACACTGACACTGGCGGTAGGGCGAGGGTTATCGTGGAAATGAAAAGCGGGGCCGGAAGAGTAAACAATGATCGAGTCGCCCGCCCTTCCACATGCGCCCACAGCGGCCTGGTTGGCACGCACGACCCGCGCGTTGCTGCACCGTCGCCGGACGTCGTGCAGCACAGCGGCGGCGACGGCGGGCGGACAGCGCCTGGGACGGCCACGTGACAGGGCGCGATAGGGCGAGGAACGATCGAGGCGGATGTGGCGGGTCCTTATCTCTCCAGACATGCCCACTCATTATAACGCCGCCTTTTCCGCAGGTCGTCGTCCTCGCCACCATGTCCTCCACCCTCTCGCGCGACTCTGTCGTCAAGGAGCAGCCCGCCGCTGTCCCGCCGCCCACCTCGGGCACACGGGCAGCCCTCCACGCACGCGCATCCCACATCTACGACAGGGTCACCACCCGCCATGGCTGGCTCGGCGACTACGACTACGCCTGGCTCTGCATGCCCACCCTGCCCTTCGCCCTCCCCGGCCGCTTCAACCGCAAGAGCAGACAAGTCGGCCCCCCCTTCTACGCCCTCGAGAGCGAGCTCCCCATCCTCGTGTCCATGACCACCGGCCTCCAGCACGCACTCGCCATGCTCGCCGGCCTCATCACCCCGCCCATCATCTTCGCAAGCAGCCTCAGTCTCGACGGCGAGACCAGTGCGTACATGATCTCCGCCAGTCTCATCGGCTGTGGTCAGTCCATCCTCCCATCCAACCGAGTCCCTCTCTCACCCGCCCACAGGCATCCTCAGTCTCGTCCAAATGTCCCGCATCCATCTCTGGCGCAACTTCTACCTCGGCACCGGCCTCCTCTCCGTCGTCGGCACAAGCTTCTCCACCCTCAGTACCGCGTCCTCCGTAAGTCCCCATCTCTCCCCGGTCTCTTCTCTTCTCACAGATTGCAGGTCTTCGACAACATGTACGCTGACGGCACGTGTCCGTCCACTACCGCTGCAGACGGCACCGTAACGCGTCTTGCCTGCCCCGACGCGTATGGCTACATTCTCGGTACGCGCTGCCCTCTTCCCCGCCCACTCATCTAACTCTCGCACTCCCAGGCACCTCCCTCATCTGCTCCTTCCTCGAGATCTTCATGGCCTTCGTCCCGCCGCGCACCCTCAAGCGCATCTTCCCCCCCATGGTCACCGGCACCGTCATCCTCCTCATCGGCGCGTCCCTCATCGGCTCGTCCGGCATCCCCAACTGGGGCGGCGGCTCCAACTGCGAGGGCCGCCCCACCACCGGCGACTACGTCTACTGTCCGTCCAACGCCGCTCCGCGGCCCGCTCTGTATGCCTCCCCTCCTCCCGCCTCGCAACCACCCTAACGTTTGTCCGCAGATGGGGCAGCCCGCAGATGATCGGCCTCGGCTTCCTCTCCTTCGTGTCCATCATCCTCACCGAGCTCTTCGGCTCGCCCTTCCTCAAGAACATCTCCATCATCGTCGGTCTCGCCATCGGCTGCATCGTCGCCGGTGCCGCAGGCTACATTGACGGATCGTCCATCTCGTCTTCCCCTGCGATCACCTTCCTCTGGGTCAAGACGTTCAAGATCAGGGTCTACCCGCCTGCCATTCTGCCCATGCTCGCGGTGTACAGTAAGTGGTGGCGCCGTCCGCGCAGAGTATATGCTGATGTGTATGCCTGTAGTCTCCGTAGCGATGGAGGCCATCGGCGACATAACCGCGTCGGCAGAAGTCTCGCGCGTCGCCGTCGATGGCGAAGAGTTCGACTCGCGCATCCAGGGCGGCGTCCTGAGCGACGGCCTCGGCGGGTTCATGTCCGCGCTCTTCACCGTCGCGCCGCTCTCGCTCTTCGCGCAGAACAACGGTGTCATCGCCGTCACGCGCTGCGCAAACCGCAACGCGGGGCGCTGGTGCTGCTTCTTCCTCATCCTATTTGGCGTGCTGGGCAAGATCTCCGGTGTCTTCCTCGCCAGTGCGTGTCCTCCTGTCTCTCATGGTACTCACCGCACTCACGACCCGCCCGCAGTCCCGAACCCCGTCCTGGGCGGCGTGACGACGTTCCTGTTCGCGTCCGTCGCGGTGTCGGGTGCGCGCGTGCTCGCGTACAACCGCTTCACGCGGCGGGACCGGTTCGTGCTCGCCGCCGCGCTGTCGTTCGGGCTCGGCGACATCCTCGTGTCCGACTTCCTCACGTACCTTTTTGCGGGCGTGCGCACGAGCAACAAGGGCCTCCAGGGCTTCCTCGACAGTATCACGATCGTCTTGAGCACGCCGTGTGAGTCCGCTTGATGTCCCTGAGAGTGATTCCGTGCTGATGCGGGGTTGGCGGGCAGTCTTGATCGCGGGCTTGATCGCGGTGTTCCTGAACTTGATCCTGCCCCAGGAGGAGGACCCGAATGGCGACGACGACGATGTCGTCGAGCGGGGCGTAGAGCGCGAGATCGTCGACGTCGAGACGATAGAGCGTGGGCACGACGAAAAGAAGCTCTAGATGCGGAGTCGGAACAATAATGGATATAGGAGTAGAATGGATGTAATGTCTTCTTATGTACACACTAATGAGAAGGTTTACAATACTGTGCCGGCAGCCTCTGCTACACGTCCGCGGCGTTGACGTTCTTCCTAAAGTGCGATAGCCTCGTCATCAGTTTACGGACGATCTCATTGGCTGGGCGATGTACCTTGCACATGCTTATCTCGCAACGCTTCTCGACATACGTCAGGGGAATCGTTGGTATATCTAGGCGATCATCGGTGCGACCGTTCTCAGTTCTCTCATCATGCCTCGCAGAGTACTCATCGGGTTCGGTGTCGACGTGGACGCGGTAGCAGGATGGTACGTCCATGCAGTTGTAAAAGACGCATAGACCCGCCGATCGTTCGCGGCGTAGGCTCGGATCGTACGGCGGCGAGGACTCCGTGTCAGACATATCCAGAGTACGTACCGTTCGACCAGATGTCGCTTGATGCTGCGCCTCACTCGCGACGCGGTAGGGCCTCTACTCTGGCGAAGTAGGCGTCCCGCGCCTTCTGAAGCTGTTCAAGAAGTATGGCATCAGGACAACGTGGTTCATCCCAGGCAAGTCCGTCTCGCGATGGGGAATCACAGGGTCTCGTCATGTTGAACGAGTGCGTAGGCCATAGTCTGGAGACGTTCCCTGAGCAGATGGCAGCGGTACGCGATGCAGGACACGAGATGTCAGTACACCCCACTCCAGCCTCCTGCGGAACGTCCGAGTCTTGCTGACACGGCCGTACACTCGCAGCGGGCTGCACGGCTACTCGCATGAGGTACGCACCCGAACGACAGTGACCAGCGCGGATGGCGCCTCCTGATTGAGTGATATGCCGTAGAACCCAGTGTCCATGACCCTGGAGCAGCAGAAGGACATCCTCGATTACACGTACGACCTCCTGGCGAAGTTCAATAACGGTGTCCCGCCGAAGGGAAGCGTCGCGCCGTGGTGGGAGACCAGTGCGGAAGGGACGATGCTGCTTCTCGACAAGGGTATTGAATACGGTATGTCGCAGCATTGAGACGTAACTCGATCTGACTTACTCCGATGTCCTCGTAGATCATTCGCATATGGCACACGAGTGAGTACAGACGACACTTCGACATGCCATGAGTGCCGTAGTACTCACATTGGGATCACACGCAGCTCGCAAGCATACTACCTCCGCGATGAAGATACCTGGACGAGGATCGACTACAGCGGGAAGGCCGAGACCTGGATGAAGCCTCTACAACGAGGAAACGTCACTGGATTGGTCGAACTGCCTGCAAACTGGTATCTGGACGACCTACCACCGATGATGTAGGTAGACGTTCGGCTTGTCCACCGGCTGCTCGTTCATGTCGCGGCCCGTCCTAGGTTCATCAAGGGGAGCGCAAACTCACACGGTTGGGTCAACTCCCGAGACGTTGAGCAGCTCTGGAAGGACACCTTCACATACTTGTACCGGGAAGAAGAAGACTTCATCTTCCCCATCACCATACATCCAGACGTCAGCGGGTGCGTATTCTCCGCGTTGGATACGCCTAGCGAGCTGATGATTGACCACTTCCGCTACCGCGACAGTCGCCCGCACGTATTGCTCATGTTGGAGCGCTTCATCGAGTGGGTCAACACTCATGAGGACGTGCACTGGGTATGCATGAACGACATGGCGAACGAGTTCCGAGCGAAGAACGCTCCTCCGGCCGGAGCACGGATGCCGCGTGGCATGGAGAGTGGTACCTCGCAATAGCCACAATAGGGTTGTTCAGAGTAAGGCTGTCCGGGCAGCTATCCCGTCCAGATGTCCGAGGCTCGACGCCGGCAAACGCCGACAGCGAGCCTCAGCTGTGATCCTGATCGCTGTCGCAGGGCGCTCGCTGTCGGTGCGCACCGGCGGAGTTTGAACGGGTGGCGCGCGCGCTTGATGACTCGATCAGATATCATTGCGAGCGATCTCCCTCGCCTTCAGTTCCCCCCCGTTCTCGTCGACACTCTCCGGCTCTACGATGCCTAGTCGCACTGAGCGACAGCTTGCAGCCGACGCGCTCGAACGCGCATTCCTTGTCGAGTACATTGCGGAACTTGAAGAGAACCTCTACGCAGATCAATATGAATTTGACGATAACAACCCTGCAGGACGCCATCGCCACCGCAATCCTGCACCCGCAGAGGACCCTATGGCTTCATCCAGTTCGTCTTCCTCTTCCTCTGGCACCCCCCCTTCTTCCTCCGATGAGGAGGAGGGCCTTCTCGGTGGCTCTGTTGCAATCGACAACTATCTGTTGTTGATGGCGGAGCTGTTTTCACGTCGCTACCTGGCGGATCGGGAGGACATTGAGAAGTCATCTGGGCTTCTACACCTTGTGTTGGACAACTACAGGGTCAACCGGCCAGAGATCTTCCAATCGTACGCACGCATGTCCCCAGCATGTTTCAATGATCTTGTTGCGATCCTCCGTGACCACGAGGTCTTTCATAATAACTCAAATAATCCCCAGCTGCCAATTGAGCAGCAGCTTCTCATCGCCCTCTTCCGTTTTGGCCACTACGGGAATGCTGCATCTACGATGAAGGTAGCTTTGCAGTTTGGGGTCAGTTACGGGATGGTCCACCTTGCCACAGCACGTGTCATGAAAGCATGTTGCTCGGATGAATTCCGAAGTGCGACTGTTCAGTGGCCTGGGTCTCGGGCACAGCAAGCAGCAAAGGAGTGGGTTGAGGCTCATTCATGCGCGGAGTGGCGGAATGGATGGCTTATGGTGGATGGCACGCTTGTCCCAATATTCCGCCGCCCTGGTCATTTTGGCAATGCCTTCTATGATCGGAAGTCTAACTACTCTTTCAATGTCCAAGTATGTGTCTGTTTTATCATTGAGTGAAACTGGCACTTATTAGCCTGCAGCTTGTGTCCACACCAGACCTGCGGATTATCGATTACGCTGTTGGTCTCCCTGGCAGTCAAAACGATGCTGCGGCTTGGGAGAGCACTCATGTAGCAGCTGAGCATGACATGCTGCTGCAGGATGATGAATGGGTCTGGGCGGACACAGCGTATCCACTCCGGAAATGGTGCCAGTCACCATACAAGAAGTAAGTCAATCTCATGCTAACTGTGCATTTATTCTGACACTTCTTAGGCCCGAGAAGCTGATTCCTGAAAACAAGACGTACAACTATCACGTGTCAACTGTCCGTGTACGGTCTGAGCACTGTGTTGGATTCCTAAAGGGTCGCTGGTGCTCTCTCAAGGGCCTCCGTGTTGCTGTTGACAGTCCTTGTGGACTTGCATATGCCACGTTGTGGATTACTGCATGCATTCATCTGCATGCCTACGCAATGGAGCATGAGGATCGCAATGTTTCAACAAACACATTCTATCGTAATGGCCTAAAGTACCTAAAGAAGCAGCGCAGGAAGGAACGGGCTTGGCGAAGGGAATGGCGTGAGCATGCAGCTCAAGTAGAGGCAGAGGAGGCAGAAGAGGTAGAACTACTGGAAGGGAGGCTGAAGCGAGCGGAGTTAAAGGAAGCAATATTAGGGGGACTATAGTATAAAAATTTACTGGAGTGAAGGATCAAACCATGCCGGCGGTTGAGCAGCAGGGGGACCATTGCGCTGAGTTTCTGCAAGACGAATTTGAAGCTCTAACATGCGCTCTGCATGGAGACGTTGAGCTTCGCCCTCTTTGCTCGCGTGCTCACGACGCTCACGGTCAAGAAGTAGCTCAGCATCAGCCTTGAGCTTGGCCTTCTTCACATCGCGCTTGGTCCTCTCCATCTCCTTCATCTCAGCCATCTTCTGGCGTTGATCACGGTTCTCAGCAGCAAGTTCTGAAACTTGGCTGAACAACTCGTTGATCTTACGCTTCTGAGCAGACTGAGGTGGAGCAGACATAGAGGGCGCAGGTGCCTTGGAAGCAAGCCGTACAGGCATATGAGCTGGCTCATCATCGTCAGATGACGAGGAATCGTCCTCGTCATCCGATGACGACTCATCGTCGCTCTGCTCACGATGACCACGGGTCCCAGTCTTGCAAATCATAGTCAGATACAACAGATTTACAAGAAACACATATTTACTCACATTTGACAAGGAGGAATCAAGCACACTCGTGTTGGCAGACGTTGTGCTGTTAGCCACTGAGTCCCGACAGACAGACGGATGGTTGCGCATGAGCACGTCCATCCGCTTGTACCACGGGAAATTTGTCTGAATTTGTTCTACAGAACATGTGAGTACATAGAACATGAGAGGATACCGGACATACGCCACATGTTGTCCAGCTCAGAGCCCGGAATGATCTCATTCTCCTTGTCACCGCTGATGAGGCCTGCACCTGTCTCACCGATAGCCTTGCGGTGACCACGGTACATCTTCTTCAAGCTTCAAAGGGTCAGTCCTAAGCATGTACAAAGGATCAATACTGACATACCTGTCTACCCGGTTCTTCACTGACGTTTCTGCCTTAGGGATCAAGAAGGCGGGGGATGCGTGCGCAGAGTTCGACGGCTGGATTCGTCCTGCCTCGAGATGTTCCTGGATCAAGGTTGTCCAAGCCTCCTTGTAGTGGAACCCCGCCGAGGTCGCGGCGGAGAACACTCGGATCGGTTGGGTCGAGCGAAGCGCGCGCTAGAATACGTGAGACGAGGGAGTGTATTCGAGACGCGAGTCGAGAGCCTAGGAAATACACGGGATAACAAGAGAAGGAAACTACGGCTACGAGAGGCACGAGAGAGCGAGAGAGAGAAGATGAGGGTTGGGGAAAGAGAGAGAGCACCGAACCAGAAGTGGAGCCGCGGAAGCAAATGCGGCGGTCAACTACACGTGAGTACACCGGCGTCCACATGTCCGCAAATGGCAAGTATCGCCAGATGTCGTAAGCCGCCGGCTTACACCCTCCCCGCCTCTGAAGCATTAAGGCGGGTCGGATGAGCACATTACGAACCGTCTTTCAACCAAGCATCTAAAGCGACGTTGTTCTCCAGTTCTCGGCCGGGTAACCAGGAGTCATGCTCCGGTCCCCAACCTTTCCAGCGCACTAGGTATTGCCGTCCGCGTCCGCGCGGACGTTCGTCCAGAACCTTGTCAACATAATATTCTTCTTGTCCATCAATTGTAAGCACTGGTCCTGGCTGCGCGAACTCTCTGCCAGGGAACAACTCAGCGTCGTTAGCTTTGTGCCGTTTCAGCTCGGACGTATGGAAGGTCGGATGAATGTTCATCCACTCAGGTAGATCGAGGACGTAAGTCGAGGTTTCTGGGTGCGCCTCTTTCACGGGGTACGGACCGTCGTACCTCGGGAAGAACTTCGCTGCCCGACGTTGCCCTTTGCGCTTGTATTCGCGCCGCCGGTTTGCCGTCGACAGCATGACCAGGTCGCCCACGCTGTAACATTCTTCAGTGCCGCGGTGGGCATTCGCGCTCGCGGCCTGATTGATCTTTGATGTGAGCAAACAGTCCTTTGCTTCTGCGACGTCGTGTTGCAGCTCTTCGACAGCTCGCCATGCCGCCGATTCGGCCACCCCTAGATCGGTCATTTGGGCTGGTACCATTGGTGGTATCATTCGGGGAGCGCGTCCGAAGCGCAACTGGAAGTTGGACTTCCCCGTTGAGGCGTTCACGCTACTCATCAGTTGGAAACGTATCCGGGGGAGTGCGCGGACCCAGTTGCGCTGATGTCGCTCGACATAGAAGCGGAGGCACTGATTGATGGTCTTATTGGTACGCTCGCTTTGTCCATCTGTCTGCGGGTGGTATGATGTGGACATCTTTAGGTCGACCCCAAGCAGCTTGTGCAAAGCCTTCCAGAAGGCGGACATGAAAAGCTTGTCCCTGTCGGAGATGATATCGCTCGGTAAACCATTTTCGCAGACCCAATTGTCGAAAAACAACACGGCTAATTGTTCTGCAGTGATGTCCGTCCGAGTTGGCACCGCCCGCACGTCCGAGTGCAGGCGATCCGTCATCGTGAGGATGCAGTTATACCCCTGGTCATCAGGAAGCTCGCCGATGAAATCCATGGCGACGCTGTCACCACGTTCGTCGGGCACCGGCAACGGGTGCAGGGGTCCCGTATGTTTGGACGTTGGCCCCTTGTTACGCTGGCATGGTCCGCAGGACGGTACGTAGGCGTTTTCGAGGTCTCTACGCATGTTGGGCCAGTAATATGATGATCTCAGGTGAGCGTAGCTTTTGTCTGCCCCGAAATGCCCTGCATTGTCGTGCGCGACCCTGAACAGCCGTTCTCTAATGTCACCTGTTCGGGGAATCAGCAGCCGGCCGCCGATGTACCACAATCCATTGGACGTTTCCGCTCCGGGAGTGGAACGCGCGTTGTCGATCACGCGTGCGCAGAAGTCATCCTTCGCATAACCCTCCCGGATGGTCTTCAGCAGCTCAGCATCGGGACCAATGCTGAAGGTTGCCGCGCATGTGTTAACCCGTTCGCAGGCGAAAGCCTCTGGAGGAAGGCGCGACAGCGCGTCCGCTACGGTGTTGTCCTCCCCTTTGATGTACACGATGGTGAGGTCATAGTGGGCGAGGAATTCCTGCCAACGGAGCTGCCGCCGAGATAGGTCTTTCTGTGTGGCGAAGTTTTCCAACGTCCGGTGGTCGGTATACACTAGGATGGGCATGCCTAATAGGTCCGCCCTCCACTTCTTCAATGCACGGATAACCGCTAAGAGCTCCTTCTCATGTATTGGGTAGTTCAGCTCCGGTCCTTTGAGCTGCATGGAGTCAAAGGCCACAGGCCGCGCGGTTTCCCAGGTCGGGCCGAAACTGAGGGTCGCACCTGTGCGCCAGTCGCTGGCATCGCAGGTCACATATATGTTGTTATCGCCCGGGTTGGCATGATCAATCACCGTCAAACATTCGCGTGACACGACCAAAGCTTTGATCGCTTCGAAAGCGCGCTGGTGCTCCGGTAGCCACACTGGGAAGTCGCGCTTAGCCTCTTTCGTCGTCAGTGGTGTCAACAAACGCGTGTGTTCAGCCAGGTTTGGCAGATAAGACGCGATGTACCGTACTAGCCCCAAAAACGCACGGACTTCGGTGGCGTTCTGGGGCACTGGCCATTCCAGAATTTTGTCGACCTTCGTCGACTGAGCCTCAATGCCGTTCTGTGAGATCTTGTGACCCAAGAAATCGAGTTCGAGTAGGAAAAAGTGGCATTTCTTCGGGTTACAGTAGAGCTTAGCTCCTCGTAGGGCGTCTAAGATCATCTGAACGTGCTGGGCGTGCTCCTCCACGGAGTCGGACCATATAACAATATCATCCAGGTACACATGGCAGAAACGCCCGATAAATTTCCTTAGTGCCGCGGTTACCCTTCGCTGGTGTATGGCGGGAGCATTCCGCAGGCCCATGGGCATTACCAGCCATTCGTATAAGCCCAGCGGGGTCGAGACAGCCGTCTTATGCACGTCCTCGGGGTGTACGCGCGTTTGGAAGAAGGAGTTAGTCATGTCCATCTTGGACCAGATCTTTCCTTTTCCACAATCCGCCAGTATGTCATCAACGCGAGGCAGGGGATGCGCGTCGGGCACGGTATTGTCGTTCAGCATTCGATAGTCGTTAACCCATCTTGGCAGCGCCGTCGGGTCTGCCTTAGGGATCAAGAAGGCGGGGGATGCGTGCGCAGAGTTCGACGGCTGGATTCGTCCTGCCTCGAGATGTTCCTGGATCAAGGTTGTCCAAGCCTCCTTGTATTTACGCGGGGATGCGTACGTCCGGGTCACAATTTGCTTATGAGCCTCTTTCAATTGAATGCGGCACCACACGTCATCGGGTAACACCTCCGCATGAGGAATGGGCTCGAACACGTCTTTGTTCTTGGACACCATGTCCTGCCCTAACTTCGTGAGCCGCTGTTGTGCTGCGAGCACCTCCACCCGCTCTAGAACAGCCGCCACATGGGCCTCAGGTTTGCCCGGGGGTAAGCTATCCAAACGTGTCCGGATAGCTGCGGTTTTGTCGCGCAGTTCAGTCAGAGTGGCAGTATGATGAGACACAATTTCTTTGAACTGCTCGCGCAGGCGAGGCTTAGGTACGGGTACTGGTAATACAGGAGCCGGGTCGAGGATATTAAAGGAACAGTCCTTCGGGACGATGCTACGAGCCGCGTGATCAATTACGATCCCGTTCCGAACGAGGAACGGGAGACCCAAGATTAAATCGGTACAAAGACCGGGAGTTACGATAGCACGGACAGTGCGAGACTTCCAGCGAAACGATGGATGCGACACAGACAACTTGACGTACTGATACAAGGAAACTGTTACTTTCTTCCCTTCTGCTGCCATTGCGAGTTCGACGCGTTCCGGCTGCGGCAAGTTGCGCAGACGGAGACCCAGCTGGTGAGCTAACGGCTCCCGTATGAGGACTGTGTGGGATCCGCTGTCAATCAGCGCCTGCAGAGGTATCGGGTCGTTAACGAGCGGCCCATCGACGGCGCATTGCCACAGCAGATGCGGCTCGCGAAAAGAGTCTGCCTGCACTGGGGATACTGCCGCTACGACCGATGGGTCACTCGTTAACGGGACGGTTGGACATACCGAGCTGCGATCATCGTCGTCCGACTTGTACAGGGCCCCGACGCTCGGCGAGCGTGAGTACGAGATCCGACGGATGCCCATTACAGCCGCCACGGGATGCGCTGGGCGGTTCTCGTCGTCGTCATCGTCGTCGATCTGGATGCGCGAGGAGGACGCGACCGCTGCGACGGGCGCGGGTTTGCTTCGCGAAGCAGGCGGCGCGGAGTGGCTTCTGCCTCGCTTCGCCGCGAGCGCGTCGTTCTCGGTGAGGGTACGGTACGTAGCGGGGTTCGGCCACGGGTTTGGACAGGCTTCGCGACGATGTCCCGCGTAGAATTCCCGACACTTGAAACAGCCGTCGTGGGCCCGTAGCAGGGCGCGTTCTGCCACCGTTAACGGCGCCACTCTGTCAGCCGAGGCCGGACGCTGGGGAACGTCCTTCATGACTGCGTTAACCGAGTTCGTGTTGCCGCGGCGGGAGGGTTCGCCGAGTGCCTGTCCGCCTCGCGCGTCTGCCCTGGCCCTCGCTGCGTACAGCTGGAAGGAGGCGAAGTCCGCCCTCTGCTGCTCGTCGATCCGCTTCATCGACTGCAACCACGGGTGGATACCCTTCTCCTTCAGCACCTCTGGCTTCTTTGCCGCCTCCAGCTCGTCGTGGTTAGAACGTATCCGTGCGACCAGCGTGTCGGCTATCCCCGCTTCGAGCACTTGAATAAGGCGAAGGGGCTCCAGTCCGGCGTTGCTGCGTTTCAGCACGGTGTTCTTCTTTATGGCACGGATGCTGTATTCTGCGAAGGTCTCGTTGTTCTTCTGCCGGCAATGGAGGATCTCGGTGTGAAGCGTTCCAGCCCAGTCTTTGTCTAAGAACTGCTCACGGAGCTTCTGCATGAATGCCTGGAACGACAGGACCTCGATCGCCGCTCGGTCGCAGGTGATCCAATCTCGGATGCGGAAGTCGAGTAGTTCGCCTAAGATTGCACTCGTCTGGTCGGCGTCGTCGATCTTCCGCTTGTTCCGGTTGAAGTAGTTGATGCAAGCGTCTTCGAAGTCGCATAGGATTTCCGCTGTCAGCTCGCCTGGGTGCAGCGTCGGCGCCTTAGACGACCCATGGTGTTCGAGTCGAGCTAGATTGGCAACCATCCCGGTGTACGTGATGAAAACGGAGGGGCCGTCGGTATCTTCGCTTGACGAAGACGAGTTCGAGGTTACCGAACGCGATGGAGACGAAGGCAGCGACGGGAGCCGCTTGTCTGGGGTGGGAACGGGGACTGGTTGGTCGGGTTGCGAGAGACGGGGCGGGGAGACGTGTGGGGGTGACGGGGTGCGGGGTACCGGTCGCGGGGAGGACGGTGGTGAGGACAGCGGCGAGGATGCCGTCGACTGAGCCAGTGCGTCTGAACTGGTCGGCGACACGGTGGGCGTCTGCTGAGCGGGGTGTATGCGGGTAATTCGGGGGTATATGCGCGAGTGTTGGCTTGCTAGCGACGGGTACGGGTACGGTTACGGGTACGACGCGCGATACAGTCCGGTGACTGTCCGGCGGGGCGTCGGGAACGGGTACGGGTGAAGCAGAGTAGTCCGATGACTTCCTCGCTCAAGACACGGCTGCGGTTCGGGGTCGAGAGGAAGGGAAACGGGGAGAAGGCGGTACACGCTCGTTGGCACGTAAAAAAAAGTGGAACCCCGCCGAGGTCGCGGCGGAGAACACTCGGATCGGTTGGGTCGAGCGAAGCGCGCGCTAGAATACGTGAGACGAGGGAGTGTATTCGAGACGCGAGTCGAGAGCCTAGGAAATACACGGGATAACAAGAGAAGGAAACTACGGCTACGAGAGGCACGAGAGAGCGAGAGAGAGAAGATGAGGGTTGGGGAAAGAGAGAGAGCACCGAACCAGAAGTGGAGCCGCGGAAGCAAATGCGGCGGTCAACTACACGTGAGTACACCGGCGTCCACATGTCCGCAAATGGCAAGTATCGCCAGATGTCGTAAGCCGCCGGCTTACACGTTCCAAGCTTCGGAACGTGGGCTTCTGTCTTGTTGAGCGCAGGGTACTGGTTCAAGAACAGTTCCCGGGCGAGCCGCTCATACTGCGTGTCGACAGAGTCCCCGCCGCCGGTTTTCGAAGCACCGGTGACATCATCGCCCTTCGCGAAGCCAAGGGCCATCTTGATGGAAGGGCGGTCTTCAATGCTGGTGAGCAGCGCGTCGGTGAGGTAATGGTTCTTCTTCGCAGCCCACCTTGAATTCTGTAAGCACCATCTACACGAAAGCAAGAGATTTTACTCACGCGACCTCCACTTTCCGTTTGGGACCCGCCGGCGGGCTCCCTTTCTCGCGCGCCTTCCGAGCTGCTGGCTGGGGATTCTCCTTGGCGGCCGAGGCAGTGGTCTTCCCCGGCTTTGAGGTGCCCTTCGTCTTCGCCATCGCGAGCCATTGGAGGAGCTGTTCACGCTCTGTTGCCGGGGGCATTCGCACGCTGCCAGAGCGAGCCAGAACAGAGAGGTCGTAGAGGTACAGGACGATCGCAGAGGCGCGCTGGCACACGCGCGCCACCCGTTCAAACTCCGCCGGTGCGCACCGACAGCGAGCGCCCTGCGACAGCGATCAGGATCACAGCTGAGGCTCGCTGTCGGCGTTTGCCGGCGTCGAGCCTCGGACATCTGGACGGGATAGCTGCCCGGACAGCCTTACTCTGAACAACCCTAATGACTTTCTCCCCACGAAAGGAGCAAAATACAATGAATGTACGGCCCACCATGATCAGATTGATAAGAGGGTCATACAACATGATCCATCCAAGACTTGTTCTTTTCATTGACGGACATACAGGAGAAAGTGTACTTGTGAGATTGTCTGCATTGTGTGTACGGTTCATAAGCCATGCGCACTTGCGATCATATACGACCAGACCCTACGCACCGAGTTTCCATCACTATAGCTCGAGGCCACGAGGCATGTGCGCTCCGGCAGGAGGCGGATTGTTGTCACGGAACTCCTTCGCCATGTCATACATGCACACCCAGTGAACGTCCTCATGGGTATTGACCCACTCGATGAAACGTTCGAGCATGAGCAAGACATGGGGTCGACTGCACAAAGATGTCAGCAGAGAGATTGCGTCGAGACGCGAGGCATCGTTGCTTACCCGCTGACGTCAGGATGGATTGTAATCGGGAAGATGAAGTTCTCTTCCTCTCGGTAGAGGTAGGTAAACGTATCCTTCCATATCTGTTCGACATCTCTGGTATTGACCTATATCGCTCTATGAGTATGGCGTCGTCGGGAAAGCTAGAATGAGGCTGCACACCCATCCGTGCGAGTTGGGGCTGCTCTTGATAAACCTAGGAAGGAGCGTCAGATTATGCTCCGACGAAGGAGATACCAACGTACATCATGGGTGGCAAGTCATCTAGATACCTACAATACGTTGTTCGAGCCAACTCTTGCCTATGAAAAGGTTCTCGCGCACCAGTTGCCAGGTAACTCAACCAAGCCGGTCGGCTTTCCTCGCTGCAGAGGTCTCATCCAAGTGTTCGCTTGGGCAGTATAATTGATTTTGGTCCACGTGTCCTCGTCACGCAGGTAGTATGCCTGCGAGCTAAGGTCCATCTCAGTCGCGCCCAGTCCGCTCAGAAGGCATGAACTCACTCGTGTGCCATGTGAGAATGATCTACGGTGAAGAGACACTGTCAGTACGACCCAAGCTCCGCAGTGATCGATACCATACCGTATTCAATGCCTTTGTCAAGCAGTAACAATGTGCCTTCGGCGCTGGTCTCCCACCAGGGAGCCACGCTACCCTTCGGAGGAACGCCATTGTTGAACTTCGTCAGTAGGTCATACGTGTAGTCCAGGATATCCTTCTGCTGCTCAAGGGTCATAGAACGAGGATTCTGCAAGAGGGTGCGTTCTAGCAAAGACTTCACAGGCAATCCCAGCTTCCTACCTCATGCGAGTATCCGTGCAATCCTCTGCGATTACGATCGCGTTAGCGCGAGGTCTAGGTGGGTGATAGCCGCTTACATCTCGTGTCCAGCATCTCTGACAGCAGCCATCTCCTCGGGGAACGTTTCAAGGCTATGACCTACTCCACAGTCAACCAAGTGATCAGAGTCGATGCCATAGCAAAGCTCTACCAGGTATGAACCACGTTGCCTTGATGTTGTATTTTTTGAACAACTTGAGCAGGCGAGGCGTGCCGACTTCGCCTGCGTATATGCCCTGTCCTTGCATCAATTTGTATATCCATAGCCCTCAAGTATCAAGACAGCGTACTCTCGAGATGTCGGACACGGAGTCCTCACCACCGTACGATCCCAGCCTAATGCGTCGGAAACATAATCACTACAAGATCGCGAGAACTCGGGAGACTGACGCACCATCCAGAGACCGCGTCGACGTCAGCACCGAAACCGATGAGGATCTTTCGCGGCATGTCAATGTTGAGTACGCTCTGAGCGGTAGAGACAGAAAGCCAGTATGCAGGCGGCCCTATATCCTCCTACCCATGACATGACATCGCGGGAGCAATGGAGAGCACCCATGTTCTCGAAGCCAGGTGGAGGTCACGCCCAAACGGTCGCAGAAGAGCTGCCTTATAGATAGAGGCCAAACCTACCACTGTATTCTTCCGACGGGGAGCCTATGATGCAGAAATGCCGGCATATCGGTCGCATGACGTCGTAGCGTGAGTCCACGGTCGCGTCGACGGGCAAAAGATGACTCAGGTCGGTCGACAGTCGAAGCATTGCACAGATAAGCTATGAAGGAAATGAATGGACGAGACACTTGCAATTAGGCTCAGAAGCAATCGTCCTGAAAGTCGACTAGGATTTGTGATATGTATGTAGTACTGTACGGCTGAACTGCGAACGTGCACTGTGTTCTCGGCCTAGAATGTAGAGCATCAGTCTCCCAGTGGCTTCGAACGCGATGTGAAACATACTACAGGCGATAATGGCTACGACTGTCGTCCCTCGCCCTTCCGCTTACACACGGGGCACCCGGTGTTGATCCTCGCGCGCACCATAGCAGCGCTACACGCCATAACTATGAGTGTTCAGCCTGAGCCCAACTAGGATAATGCTCACAGTGCAATTGTGCCACCGACGCCCTGGGTGCCTCCAGCGCTATGATTGATCCACTCATGCAAAGCCTCGTCAGGAGCAACACAACTTGCGTGCACAACATGGCGACATAGGTATAACAGCGTCAGGCTATGCGGGCGTTGCTGCAGACTCTGGGAGCATATAGGACAATGTGTTTGCGCTGTTACAGACGAGTCAGCTGTTGCAGATGGTAATGGATCAGCGGACGTACGGTTCAGGAAGAAACCATTCGTCTGATTTCTGTACAATGTCTGCGCCAGCTCTGCGCAATCACCATCCAAGATGGTCTGGCATCCTTCGAGCAACGAGACTTGCAGGTTGAAGTCGTGCAAGATCTTGATCAACGCGCCCCTGAGACCCGGTATCTCGAGACCGTTCTTGATACGCCGAATGAGTCGAATGGGGTTGATCTCCGCGCCGACATTCTCGAGCAGGCCGCGAATGAACACTGCCAGACAAGACGGTCAGCAGAGCGCTCATCAAGAAGCGACAAATCCTACATGGTCGCGTCTCCGAGTACTTCAACAGATCTTCCCAGAGGTCGTCATCGTGCTGTTCACGAGCAAAGTCGATCGCCTCCAGCGGTAGCCAGTGTTAGCTTTGATTATACACAGAGTGCAATCATCGTACCCGATTAACGTCGCCCAGACGCTCGATGATCAAGGTCAATGCCTGTTTGTTGTTGCCCATTCGACCCAGCAGGAATACCATTTCAGGCACCATATCTCGCTCATTGCAGACGTTGTACGCCTAGTATATATCCGTCAGTACGTGTGTATCTCTCGAAGATAAGCGCAGTACCTCTTCGAGGCTGTAATAATTGCTCGAACGCAAGAAATTCATGAGCCGATCCGGTGCATGTTCCGCGCAGAGCCTAACCTGCAGTCGTGCGCGTTAGGATATAGAGGCATCAAAGGCGTGTTTGGGACGCACCTGCATATCTGCAAAATCAGATGTTAAATGAGGGTCTTTGTGGAAGAGGGCATCTAAGTAGAGGTATAGATAGTCGGGTCGTCCTTGCAACTGCTGGACGACTCTTCCAATCTGCGCGGTGGCGGGAGGTCTCAGTAATGGATCCGAGACAGTCGCATGGCCTCACACGCACGGGTATAGAGTGTATATGGTCCACAAGTAACGCGATCGCTCTGCTGTCCTCCGGACGTACGTCCTCGCCGTCTCTTCTCCGCTTCTCCATCAGCTCGTGATCGAACTCAACGAGGAGCAAGGCTTGATCCTGCACAGCGGTGAACAGGTTGTTCTCGCGAATGAGGTCGAAGACGTTCGGGCGTCGTAAGCGCAGGAAGTAAGGAAGGGCCTTGCCAGGTTGGTGATTCATGGTATATCTTCATATAAGATATCAGTAAGGACGACACGGAACATCGCATTGGCAGACTTACAGCTCAGCAAGACACTCCATAAGGAGCACCGTCGCAGGTGCGGTTGTTTTCATCGAGGATGAAGAGGGCGCCCGGTCCAACTCTGCTTGCACAGCGACTATGACGGCGGGCACATCGTAGATGTTCTTCGGCCAGCTCTTGATCATCCGGAGCAGCGCCTAAAGTCGGACGACGGGTTGAGAAAGTGAGCTTCGGGATGCAGGCAAGGTAACGTACGTGACGATCATGCGCAAGGAAGTACGCGAGTATCATCTCATACACCAGATGTCCGAGAGTAGGCGACTCTGTTGGGACATAAGGGATAATGGCCTTCGTGGAGAAGATTTGTCAGCCATATCGCGCTGTCTAGTAATGACACCTCAGGCTTACCTGCAACTGATGCTTCTGCGCGAAGAGGAATATCCAGTCTTCCCAGCGCTTAGGGTCCTGTCCACAGACCTTCGGACAGAGGCGAGCTGCCTTCACCCAATCACCTGTACAACATTAAGATCAATAGGCGGCGATTTGTGTTCAGAAGATTGCGTACCTTGGCTGACCAGATGTTCGATGTACCGCTGCCCGACATGCACAGCGTCCACCGCGTCCTGCCCCTGCCCAGCAGTAACTCCCATCGCCGCCTGTCTCTCGATCTCCTCCAGGGCCTCCTCGTACCTCTGTCTCTCAACCAGCCAGGCAACATGGTCCCGCCAGTCTCTCGGCCGCACGACTACAATATCTCTCGGGCTTAACACGACATAATACCGCTCCGCTACGCTCGCGTCCACCTCGATCAGCACATAGTCGTTACAACTCCAGCGCTCAAAGCCCGAGATCCCGAGCGCGTCCGCTGCGAGTTCCTCCCCGCCGCGCGAGACGATGCGGAGCTCGGGGCGCTCGGCTGCCTTGCGCGCCTGCTCCGCACGGTCCGCGATGGCTTCGTTGCCCGTGAGGAGCGACATGTCTGGCGGGGTGTACGCAAGGATGAGGAAAGCAGTTAAGCTCGGGGGTGCCCCAGTCTTGTGCACTGCCGAGGAAGCCCCCGAGGCGACACTCGCTGCGTCGCTTTGGGTGGGAAGCACGCCCGCGCCTGCGGTGGAGGGTGAGTTGCCGAGAGGGTGGGGGACGATGCCCGCGACCATGCAATCGAGCTGGAAGACGGCGGTGATGTCGGCGAGGTACGGGGGAAGGTTCGCGGAGGCGGAGACGGTGGGTGTGCGGGGACGCGCTCGGATGCGCGCAACCTTGATCTGGTCTGCCCAGGCGATGAGGAGCGTGGAGTCGTCCTGCCAGTGGAGGGTGCACTTGAATAGGTCCGCGCGGGGGCTGTCGGGCGGGCGGTCGATGTAGGTGATGCGGGTTTGGGAGACGGTGTCGTAGATCTTGACGCCCTGTTGGTTGGTGTAAGAGCGACATCTGGGCAAACCTTACCTGAGATGCTGATGTTGGTGGTAACGGCTGCAGCTGCAGAAGCGGTGGCCGCGCAGCTAAAATCGCTACCACCGGTCTCGTTGGACGCGAAGCCCACTCACCAAGTCATTTGCCCAGGCGATGAGTCTGCCTCGCCAACGCACTTGCCAGACTGGTCCCTCCCCCGTGTGCAGCACCGTCTCCTTGTAGCCCAGCCAGCCCTTCTCATGCAAGACCAATGACCCCGCCATTCCTCCGCATACCAGTGAGCGTGTGCTGCTCTTGGCAAAGTTAGGCTCAAGGGCCACCGTGCGGAGAGACCGCTTCATGTCGAACGTATGGGACTCGGGGCTCGAGACGGAGTGCAGCACGACCTGCCCTGGGAGGAACACGTGAGATGCTGTAGACAGATGTGCGAGCCTGCTCACCGTCAAGAGACGCGGTGGCGACCCACTCCCCGGTAAGATCGACTGATATGTCCGTGACAGAGGCAGAGTGCGGTTGGAAGGACTTGATGAGCTCGCCGGTGAGAGACAGAATATGCAACATTCCGCCATGCGTGCCCAGGGCCTGAGGACGGTCAGCGATGAGCATGAGCGTCCACACGAGAAGGAGCGCACTATTCGTTGGTTCGCGTATGCAATGGCAGAGGCGGAATCCTTCTGGAGCAGCTGATGAGTAATTCCCCCGAGTCGCTCATACTTCAGCGCAGGCTCCTCGTCCTCGTCCTCCTCGTCCTCATCACTATCCTCGTCCCCGTCTTCACTCCCAGTCTCGTCACCGTCGCCATCAGTGCCCGCCTGATCCTCGTCCGAATGGGTGTCGTGATGATGCAGACCCGCGATACTGTGCCCGTTTCCGTCAGGACGGGCGTCATGCTTCACGGAGTGCGCGCTGGTGGTCGAGCGGTCGTCGTCGCCTGGGTCGCTCATGTCTTCCGGGCTGTCGGCAAGCAGCTGCTTCTCATCGTCGAGGCCATTTCCGGTCGAGTCTGCGGACATGGCGGCATGGGCGACGAGGGCGAGAGAGAGGGAATGGAGTGTGCGAAACACGCGCTCAGCGCGACGCGTCCGGGTCGCGTCCGCAAATGGGCGCCTCCTCCTTGCCTCGTACCGCGACCGGTGCAGTCTGCAGCCTCAGTCGAACCATGTCGACGACAACAAATCCTCTTCTCCAGCGGCGAAAGCTTCGTCTCGTAACGAAGTGGCCTCCATAATGCGCCCGTACTCGCAATCCCCGTGAGCCCATTGGCCGCTCTCCCGCCTCACGTCTCATCCGACACCCACGCACCAGCCCGCCGGCCTGGGGACTCGCATCGCTGTATGAGTGTCGAAGCCCCAAATGTCGGAAATCATCCTGAGCTCCTATGTATGCCTTAAGTTTTTGCGTCTGTGCTAGTCCCTCAGAGTCCTCGTGTACCGCCTCTCATGTATCGGATAGGCTTCGGGGCTATCTTTAGCGGCGCTGGGTACGTTCTCTCATGCGGGGACACGTACAACGGCAGCGGCATTGCCACCGGTATGTCGAAGCCTCTTTTCCTTCTCACCGGCGCTCGAGTTCTACCTGATGATTCTTTGTCTAGCTTGGTCGTCGACATATCTCTTCCTGAACCTCCGGAAGTCTCTCGTCACGCAACGCAGCGCCGTCTCACTAGGTCTGTCAGCTGCAACATTCGCATCCGCAGCGCTATACGGGACGGAGTACTTTGTTTTGCAAGACGCACAGCCATGATAGCAAGCCATACGCATTTAAAACCACACGCGTCGACATCCGATTGGCATGCGCATACGTATTTCGGTTTATGAGGGCTCCGGTGAGCAATAAAACATCCGTTACGAGCATAATTTTGCTTGCATCTGCCAATCAGTGGGTATGGCTGCGATACCTCGTCCGTACGGAAGTAGCGGCCTGCATGTCGAACGAAGAGAGCTCCTGCATAGGCTTCCGTGTCATGGACTGTGGAAATAGACATTGGGGACCACAGTGACAAGACACAGTGCAAGCATTTTACCGACCCTAATTCTGGACAGCCTCTACGACAGGGACGAGGTTCTGAGCCTGCCGCACCGGGGCTACGAACTCCACGAATCCAGTAGGGTATTCCACCCTGTACGTCAGAGCCTCGATCACGCTAAACCTTTCCTCGCCGGGAGGGACGTGGTCTCGCGAGATGCCCGTGGCCGTCTCCCATGATTTCAGTGGGTACGTGTCCGCCTCCTCAGCCGCGAGACGGTAGATGACGTAGTCTTCGGGTGCGTTAACTGGTGCTCGTGTGTGGCGGTCGATGAAGTCGAGCAAGTACTGTCGTGCGTCCTGCAGCCCGCCGTCAAAGAGCCGGATCACGATGTCGGAACCTGGGAGGTCGACAATGCGGATCGCGTCGCCTCGTTTTGGCTTCGCCTGGAGCGTAACACATCGTCATGAATATTTTGATCGAAGAGAATGAACCGAACTGGGTTTGCTTACTCCACAGATAGGCAACGCGCCCCCTGCCCTGGCTATCATTGCGTTGCAGCGATCGTCGTACTGTTTGCGACGTTCCGCGAACTGCTCTCCCGTACCCTCATATCCAAGTGAGCGCAGTTCTGCGTCTATTTCCTCGTCCACCGTGATGAACATGTCCCGTATTCCGGGATTGCCCGGAAAGGACTCTATGAGGAACCTCTCCACGTTATTGCGAGGTGTGTAGCCGGTCAAGCCGTCTGCTATATTGATGCCGTGCTATACACAGGCGTGAGCTCATAGGGCATTCAACCAGGACAAGAGACGATGGCTAACGCACCTGGTTAGTAGCCCGGTCTACGGTTCGATCGTTCATGTTGACCCGACGGCTGCTTGGCGACCCACTTGGAGGTAGAACCCTTCCTATATGTTGGTCAGGAGCGCTTCGACGCACCCTCATGCATCATTATGTACACATTCACCGTGCAACGTGCCTCTATGCTCCGTCTCAGTTTCTCCGATCCTCGCTGCTGCACACGCCACAATCCGGGGCCAGGTCTGCGTACCGGCGAATACATAGTATTCACCGGCAGCAATGCGAAGCACGAAAAAGGTACCAACGTCAGGCAATCGCAGGCTGAGGGTGGATGGCCTCGTCTAGTCGCTAGTCGCGGTTATCATCTGGCAGCGTGGTGCATGCATACCTGGCGCGTTGGCTGACTCCCTGAGCCTCCCGCTTGGTGGCTCAAGCGTGAGTCCGATTGCTGGAACAGATGGCCAAGGGATTACTTGAACACGGGCTCCTGGCATGAATGTAGATGGGCAGCACACGAGCACCTCTTTCCGTATGCATGTATACTGACTCGGTATCATACGCTCATACGCTGGGGGTGACCACGCGTAAACCTGACAATCGCACGCGCCGCATCACGTCGCTACGCGTCCTCCACCAAGACGCGTGCTTGTTTGTTGACTGCTTCTCGGGAGATCGATTTAGATCAGGTGCGTCAGTTCTGGGGCTAGCAGGTCAGGTAGCTTATCACAAAAGGCGTTCTTGAGCGGCTCATGTAAGTGCTCGAGGTTCATCTGTGCGCCATCGTACGTCCCTTCTCGCGAGCCTATGCATAGCGTAGTTTGGCGGGTTCAGTAGCCTTCAGTAGCTTCGACCCACCCAGGTCGCGCATCTTCGGCCGGGAATCATCGCTCATGCCACCTTCGTAGAGAATGCCGTTTCATCCGTGGACCTGCAAGAGATTGCTACCTCAGGCTCTTGTGCACGCTACGGTTGGACGCAACAGATCTAACGCGTCTGTGTACACCGGTCACGTGTGCGCGTCCGTCGTCAGATGCTTGGCTCCCAATTCCTTCCATTGATCTTGACTTCAACATATGGCTCACAGCAGCACAGCAGCACTTGGCTACGTCTCTAACACTCATATATGTCTGTCACGTAACTTGTCAACTAGATTATCGCCTGAGCCGGTAGTTGGCATTGAATAGCTCTGATCGTCGCGGATGATCTTGCGCATCCCACTTCAATGCAACTGCGTATCACTACGTGTGTTGATCTTTAGCCCTTGTGTGCTCTGCTCTTCGAGCCTTACCATATAGAAGGTCTCGGGCCTCCGCGCGTTGTGTATCTGCAGGACAAGCAGCCGTTGTTCCCTGTTCCCCGTGCTGACTGACAGTTGTGCTGGCAGTCGGCGTGTATGTTCACTGGCACAGAGGGCAACTGCGTTGGTAGAGGAAGTATTCGATCGGAAGGTGTGTTCACATTGCTTAGTTGGCTAGTTTAATGTGCTAACCGCGGCTTGCTGCACAGACTCGTTGAAGTTGTACGTCGTGCTATACGCGGGCCACAGACCGTATGAGCTTCTCTCGCTCGGCCAGCGCAGACATTCAAGTTCTGTACCGCTACGCGAGGAGCAAGCACGCAGGAAAGCGATGGGATTAGACCGCTAATCGTGCACTCCGAACACTCAAACAATCCTAGGTGTATTTGTGACGAAAGCAAAGATATTCGTAAGCGCGAGAATGACGACAGCGACGCTAACGCAAAAACCCTGTCAGGAATAGGTGATATCACGATGTATGGCTATGACCTCTGTGTCTTCCATTCCACGGGGCATGACAGCCCCTGCAGGAGGTGGATTTTTGACACGAAACTCCTTCGCCATCTCGTGCCACGGTACCCAATATACGTTCTCGTGCGTATTCACCCACTCAATGAAGCGCTCGATCATGAGTAGGATGTGTGGATGGCTACGCAGCACAGAGTAGCACCGTCAATGTTGACCGACGCTCAGACAAGATGACGTGCGCACCCGCTGACATCTGGGTGGATCGTGATTGGGAAGACGAAGTCTTCTTCCTCCCGGTATAGGTAAGTAAACATGTCTTTCCATATGTTCTCGACATCCCGAGGGTCTTGCTATGCTAGACTGTTAGGCATTGAACCGTCATCTAATTCCCAAATGATTACTCACCCACCCATGCATATTAGGCATCGACTTCACGAACCTAAACATCGGGTCAGGCTCATAGGTGCCAATTTCAGCTTGGGTGGACGCACATCAATGGCTCCATATCATCAAGATACCTACGATTCAACGTTCATACCGAATCGCATGCGTTAGGACGCAGGACGCAGGACACACCAATTCGCTGGAAGTTCCACCATTCCGGTAGGCTTCCCCCGCTTTAAAGGCTTCATCCACGTCTCCGCCTTCGCGCTGTAATTGATTTTATTCCAGGTATCCTCGTCACGAAGATAATATGCCTGCGAGCTGTGCAACGCTTATGAATACTTGTGCACCTGATGTTCTATGCCTCGGAAACGTACTCGCGCGCCATGTGGGAATGATCTGACAACGCAATACGTGTGCATAAATTATCCTGCGGCGCAGGCGATCCACGCACCCCATTCGACTCCTTTCTCGAGCAACAACTCGGTGACTTCCGCGGTCATTTCACACCACGGCGCCACGTAGCCTTTCGGCGGGACACCATTGTTAAATTTGGTGAGCAGGTCATATGTGTGGTTGAGAATGTCCTTTTGTTGCTCAATAGTGAGCGCAGTAGGATTCTGCGAACTGTCATCCTGCATACTAATCATTCAATTCGGAGTCTAATCGTACCTCATGCGAGTACCCATGAAGCCCTCTGACTCGCTTGTGTCAGATTGTCCGAAGACGAGCATGGGCGGCCCAACTCACATCTCGTGTCCTGCCTCTCTAATCTGTGCTACTTGTTTTGGGAAGGTTTCCAGACTGTGCCCTATCGGGTGAGTTGGCTCGAGCTTCACTCGTCGCAATCCTATCACAAAATACCTGGTATATTGAATGTCTGCTTCATGTTATACTTCTTGAACAGCTTCAGCAGTCGCGGGACACCGACTTCGCCGGCATACAATCCCTAAGGACAGTCATTCGCTGGGGTACACCCGACCGAACCCACTGGACTCACCCGCGAGATGTCTGTCACGGAATTCTCGCCGCCGTACGATCCCAGCCTAGTCAAGCAGCAACTGAGCCTTTCCCTCGCAAGGCAGTGAAGTTACGGTCGCTCACCATCCAGCCACGGCGTCGATGTCAACCCCGAAGCCGATCAGTATTCTACGAGCCATCAGTGCAAATCCAGTGGAATTCGAGGCAGAGGGTGCTGCAAAGATTGAGCCCGCTGTAGTGCGCACTGCCTAGCTCCGTCGGAGAGCCACTCAGGTCAGATACCATGGGATGTCGTAAACCGGCAGGCTCTAAGTCAATTCAATACCGTGGCATTGGAACGCGATAAGCACTGCCTTCGCCGACTGAGGCTGGATAACCTTGACCGACATCTTCACGGATCTCTATCTAACCCTATATGAACCTCATCCTGAGTATCACATTGGCGGGATCACATCATGTGGTACAAATGCTGACTGTCGTACACATGACGACTGCCCTTGAAGATCGCCGGACAGGGTCGTAGAAAATATGGCTGCTATTGTAGAGTAGCTTTACTTGATTGATGACTCGGGAGGTATCCGCTCTTGACGGCGTACTCTTCTGGACAAGTATCTCCCCGATACGGTGGCAGGTCTGTTCGGAACATCCCAATTCATTGGTCAAGCATGGGACATGCGGCCGATCTTTAGTGCGGGCTAAATCACACTGCGAGAAGCGTGGCATACGCACCTTGGGAATTGAATCATCAAGAGCAGCCGCGGTAGTCACCTCGAGTCCGGGTGTGAACGGCGCGTGCAGGACCAAGGAACACGCTAGCGCATTCCTTGCCTTTCGGTCGTAGTAGTTGTCAACATGAAAATGCGGCCTGAGGCCCTTCAAGTATGTCTCATTCGCATCGGAGTTGACCTAAATTAGAGACAGCAGGGTTGCGAACAATGAGAAACGAGAAACCGCGCGTCGTGGTCACGTGGGCGTGTCTACTGCTGCGATGCATCGTGAGCGGCGAGCGCGGGTCAGTCGGTGTGTCCTGGTGAGACAGCGACGAAGTCTTGCCCTGATACGGCGGGACCAAGTGTTTTACGAGATATATGATTTATGAGAGTCGGCGGGAAGGCAGCACGACTCGGACTGGCTAATCATAGATCGCAATCGGCGGTAGTACTACCACCAGTGGTGTCCAAAGTTGGCATTGACGCAATTATGCCTGGATGCGAGCGCACATTGTGAGTCTCATGTCATCTATATGCTTAGAATCAGCGTACAACTCTCGCCATGACAAGCAGACTCACGTGGCAGGATCTGGAGTATACAGACTCGAAGGGTTGGCCGCAGGCATGCTTCGCTGCATAAACACAACGCCCCTTGCATGTGTCTTTCCTAAGCCATCGGTGTAGTAGATAGATGGAAAAGGTAGATCAAAGCAGTGTAACGCCTGCTTACCGTACATAGAATTCTAGTGTGCCACCGTCATGAGTCCTCCATGGGAGCGTCAGAACGTTAGAACATCGGATACGGAAGACAGTATTCCTTTGTATTGAATACAACGTACTCCGACTCGCGTCCGCATTGATGTCTGTCTTGTAATTCACAGCGCTGCGCCACCAAACTTTGCACAAATCCCAAGATTGGGAATCGCGAACGCTTACAGATTGTCGTGTGTTGTTATACTGTCGACTCACCGTCAGCGTATAAGAGTCATGCCATACGCCAGGGAACAACATAGCTTGAGCCTGATGGAAAGACGAAGAGGGACAGGCACCTTTTTGCGTCTTGATTGCTACTGCTGCAACAGTTCAACGGACCCGCGTCGTGTCATGAGATCTCGGCTCAGAACTCCAATTTGGCGATAAAATGACATGTTACAGCATCAAACTGGGGTTCGATTCGTCGTATTCGTGGACAAAACGTGTCTCCGCACCTACGCTTGACCTAGAGTCAGTCTTGCAGTCACATCAGATCAATCCAACATTAGTGGGAGACACGTACAGTCTCACAACGTTGGCAATAATAATACTGATGCATTATGTTCAGCCCCATGTACCCAGAACCGTCCGAGTTCACTTCGCCTTGAGTTGAATGCTCGGGCAACCGTACGCGCCTTCAGCAATTCAGAAGTATTGATCAGTCTTCTCTATCACCGGAGGTACGTCTCTCTAACCATAATAGTACAGAACGCACCGAACGCCGTTCCATGTCAGTTGCCTCGGCGACATAGTGGGACTGGTACCGAAGAGCGCAGACTTCCAAGCTCTGTCATAGAACACGATACTGTTGATGCGACTATGACCGGAAGGTATCTGTAGCAGCATTCTGAGGAGGTCGAGGCACGTTATCTCGTCAAGGTGACAGATAGATTCACGGTAAATGAACTTCGTAACGATCCACCGAGATGAAACGCCAGGAACCTGTTGATGTATCAAGCTGCAGTGCACGGGGGAGGTTGTCTTCAGAGTGAATCGTAACACACCTATGACGTATAAACTAGTTCTGGATGTATTTTTCGGCCGTGTCGTCTCAGCCTACCGGCCAACACTGGACCAGACCCGCGCAAGCGGAACCATCCCGCGGTGCTGATCAAAGTCCTGCTGAAGAGTCGGATCGTACTCAGTTAAGGAGACACGACAGGGCGAATCGGATAAAAGAATGGTTCGAAGTACGATACCTCCGCATGGCTTCCATGCCCTGTGCAAGCGCTGACACAGACGTGCCGGCGGCAAGTAGCAATTATTCTGTGGTCCGCCGATGGGTACGTAGGTCAAGATGGTCTCTGGAGCTTCCATCCGACTCGGAGTTGAGACATGCAAACGATCTATGCAAACTCAATCAGTGAATATGGCCGAGATCGAGGTGTCTTGCAGCATGCGACTCAATGCATACAAGCTCCTGACGCTGAACGTGTGTGATTGTCTTACCTGGTATGCAGTGCTGCGAGCAACGACGGGATATATACGATGTCTGGGAGGAGTTTGAGACACCATGGCGCACATTTGCCTCAATCGGACAACTCCGGTTCCAACACGTCTTCAACCTTGCTAGTTACCAGGGATCTAGGATGTACAATGAGTCGATGGACAATGAGTGACTCCGCACCGCAGCTGTCAATATTCTATGGTTGTTCCATATCTGGTGCAAGTGAGCTAAGTGCCGGACGTAACGGCACCGTGACTCTCCGATACCCCGATGCGAACTGCAACGCAAGACAAAAGTGAACATTACTTCTCAGGTGGTTTGCACGCCGCAACATACCGAGCAGTAGCGTGTGCGATCCCCTTTTACTACCGCGATACAATTAGATCAGTCAAAAATCCCGTTTACCAATAGCGCGGCACGAGAGCACCCCGAGCCTCCGAGGGCGCCGCCGAGTGTACTGCCACACAGTAACAGTAAGTACTAGTGAGCGGGTAGTCAAGGGATTCAATCATACGTCCACCGCGCATTCGAGCTACTGAGCCCAAACCCCTCTACTCGCAGATCGCCATCATTGGTATCAGCGGAACCACGTCCTGTTCGTCAGTCAAATTCGAATGAAGTGGACTTCTGATATCATATGGGCGGGGACAAGTTGATCCGCATGTGGCGGGATTTGGGACGCTTGGCTGAGCACGGACTGGGAGGGAGCTGCCACATGGATTTAATGAATGCTACGGATTCGCGGTTGTGGACGTCACTGACCTTGGTATGGCTAGAATGACAGCCACCGCTCATACGATGTTCTCCGCTTTGGAGACAGCTAAGTACTGTAGTGACGACATGAACACTCGTGCAGCAGCGGTAATGCAGTAAGCGTACTACCCACCCCAGCGGAAGAACACAAAGACGAGGAGTGGCGTTCGCAGACAAATCGGAGGCCTAGTTGTCCCGTTAAACAAGCTAGAAGACGTCCACCGTGCTACGATTCTCCCCACGAGGCAGTCCGTTATGCCTATGCCAATGGCGGCCGAGCGGTCATCACATGCGTGGGTGCGGACCGCCAATTGAGGGGCACGGACAGTGGACGTGGTGCGGGCATTAGGAGGGCATAAAGCATGAGTCATCCCATTACGAGATCCTCGAACGCTAGATGCTGCAATTTTTGAGTGCAGTTCAAGTGCAGTTGGGATGAAGCTGAGATGACTTACTAGCTCTCGGCGCATCGCGCCATTGAGTGGGCAGAATGCATACCTGGGATAATTTGATTTGCATTCGGACACGACAAAGCCATGTACCAATAATGCCCGACACGCTCGGAAGCGCAGAAGAGCCCGACGACATCATGTCCGTCGCGACGACAAATTACTTTGTCCCGGTTGTGCGTAAGACAAATGCGAAATCAGTATGTGGGGTTGATATCTCGGACGACAATCTGACGTCAAGACTGAATGATGGAACGAGGCATCCAGCTGCTCGTCAGAGTTCAGTCAATATACAAGGATTACTGCGGCTCACTGATATGTTACGCTCTGCTGCTGACGTTGTAGTGCCAAGGGCGCTGTCAGTACGCGCGAACCTTTTCGGCCGGACTAGCACGTCGCGCGGGTCGGGCAATGGACAGGCCAGTGTCCGGAACATACGGCCGCAGCGGGAGCCCTAGGCAAGTAGCAGAGCACGGCGTGCGATCTCATCCAGGTCGAAGGCGAATACGGTCAGCTCGATTGGCGGCTGTGAATAGCCAGCTTTAGCTGACACTCGCGTTTCTATATCGGGCCAGGTATTGAATTCGTGGATCAAAGTGGCTGAAGAAGCGGAAGCACGAGAAGCGGGTAGACGAGATCGCGGTCGCTGAGGCTGCCCGTGTCGTTCCGGGGGCAGGCGCCTGGCAGCGGGCGTGGGGATGGGATCTAGAGCGGCGATACAGAAGCATGCACCCCCTCCGCTTCCTCAACGTTTCCGCTACAACGGGGGCCTCGCCCAAGCCTCGCCTGTCCGCTTATGGTTCCATGGGCCACGGCGGCGGGACGTGCGCTCGCGGCGAGGAGACGTCGACATCGAACGACGCGAAGTGCGAAGCGCGACGTCGAGAAGCGGAAGCCAGGATATCGTGCCAGTGCGAGACAGATTGAGGCGGACAGACTCCGATGGGTCGGGAGAATCGCGCTGTTAGAGGCTCGGTCTTGCTTTCGGGTGCGTTTGCCGCAGCTGCTGCCAGCATCGCAGTGTACGTACGCCCCCCTTCAGTGCGTGCGCTATGCACGAGCGATGGGGCCCTTGTCGAAAGCGTTCCGCCCCCTTTGCCTGTCCGCAGGAGGAGAGACAAGCGAGCACACGGTGCGGATGACCTCATGCAAACGACAAGCCTTTCCCAGCTGCGCGCGCCGCGATCACAATGGATGCGTGTATATGCATGCACCCCCAATCGATCGCCGCAGGGTCCCCAGCCGGTGAACATTTGAACCCTGATCCTCGCCCGCACAGCGGAAGGTGGGTCTCGGAGGCAGACACGCTGGCTTCATTAAGCAACAGACTGGCCAGGCACTCGATCGCTTCCTTGCTCCTTCCTGTGCGATGCCACGGCGGGCTCGACCCCTCCGCACAGACCGGTCTCGAGCGCAGCCCGCCCGCCTTCGACCTCGCTGCCCGCATTGGTAAGCAGGCGCCGCGCTGCATCGTGTCGCCGCGTCGTTCGCGCGTCGCCCGCCGCGTGTCGAGTCCCGCGCCAGCGCACGTCCGACGGCGGACCGTGGAAGCCATCGCGTAATGGTGGCGGTCGCCCGCAGCCTGCACGCACCGCCGGCATACCGCGGCAGTGAATGGGCCGGAATCGGGGTACAACTGGCGTGACAACAACCCTCGAAGGCTTGGCTGCATGGGGTGATGCGGGCTCGGGGCTCGGAGGCGCCTGCGTGGATGTTCAGTCGTTCACCACCCCGTCTTCGTTGCATACAGTACAAGCTTACAGTGGTACGACGCCACCAACAGAAATCTGCGCCGGTCGTTCGTTCGACCGCGCTCTTGTTGAGCTATCCCGTGTTGCGGGATGGACATGCCTCATGCGCATAACCCTCTTTGGGCGCAGTTCGCCGGGCGCACGGCATCTTGCAGCTTGCTGGCCGCCGGGACGACCCCGGCATCCGGATATGCTTTACTTTTCGCTGAGAGCTCGATGCGGAGGACGGGGCCTGTAGTGCCATGCTGACTGTCGAGCCGCGGGATGTCGAGCTGAATGACCGGCGAGCTTAGACTAGAGTCTAGAGACGGACCAACCGGAGGCAAGCGGGAGGAGCCCGCTGGGGGGCAGCCAAGCAGATGACAACGTGTGCTTATGCATGCGCGGTCTAGGCGCAGACGCAGGTTGAACGTTTGGACGTTGAGCTCTGGGCGACCTGCCGGGAAATGAAGTGTAGATGAGATCGAGGTGCGGTGCGAAGGTTTGGTATTAGCGATCCTCGCCGTCCACAGGCCTGACGTAGCTGCGATGGGGAGCTGCGTGCTGCGTTGGCTGAAAAGGCAGCTTCATGCCTTCGTGGAGTGGTTTTCCAGCGAAGAGAAATTGCGGCTCCGCCGATATGAAGAGTGGGTCCGTGGGCGGGTGCCTCGTGCCTTGCCAACGCTCGCCCGTTGGTTCTTCGCTCGCTAATTTCATCGTATGTTCTTCGTCCGGAAGGTAATTGCATATCGTCGCCCCGCTTATCGGTTTCCAGCTCCGTGAAGGACTCTCAAGCTGCCTGACAAGAGCAGTTGCCGTGGGCGCCGACTCGGAGGCTGGAGGAGCTCTGATGTACGCTCCGAAGGCCGTCGCGCGCCTAGCTTCCGGTCAGTTCTGACGCGGTGGATGCGACGGTGCTGAGGTCGTCCCACGGGCGCTCACATTCAATTCACCATTTTGGGCGCGTAGCCACGGCCATCTCGTCAGCGGGACGACGCGGGCGGCTGTGGCGGTCGAAGACGGAGTGACATTGACAGAGTCTGCGGAGGCGTGGGCGTGGACGTGAGCCAAGGCGGCAGGTCGATCGATGCGGTGTACGTACATACGTGAGGTTGTCAGTGATTGTGGTGTTCGCGGCGCGAGCAGCTCCGCGTCGCGTCTCACGACAGCCAAAGAATAAGGACACAAGGTCGCTGGCGAAAGTTCCGGGGTTTGCACTGTGATTGGGCTACGTTAATCGGAACATGCGCAAGGCACAGGGGCTGGATGCGCGAGGTTATTTCAATGCACGCCGGAGGAGGTGGCATTAAGCTCTGGTTCGGGCATTCGCAGATGCGCAGCCACGCACTAGAAGCACGGGACAAGCTCTGGTTCGCAGGTGCGTTGCGACAGCAATAGCGCGTCACGGTTGCAGTGGGAGAGTGATGTGTGGTATGTCAGTTCTGCTCGCTTCTGGGCGTGGCGGACCCGGGTCGAAGAGGCAGCCACTGGAGGCGATGGCGATCGAGTATCTGCGTTGCTGGCAGGGCGGTGGCGCAGACTGAATTGAATATGATTGACCGGCACGTCGACCTGTCACGTCGGCCGTCACGTCGGGGGCTGCTTCGGCGGCGACGTGACGGGTTCCCAGAGAAGACGCGACGCTTCCGACGCGTCTCGGTCCTCTTCGGGCTGCCGCGCCTGATCCGGCCCGTCCGGACTCGCACTGTTTCGGCGTCGACGGTGCCTCCGGCGATGGTCCGTCAGAGTGAGACTGCAGAGGTGGCGGCGTGTGCAGCATGGGGGTCCGTCTCGCAATGAGGTGATGCACGGGGGCCTCGACCGCGCGATGGGTGTGCGGCTGCCCATTGGTGAGAGTCGATTGCCGAAGATGGCGCGGGTGGGTATCTGCGCGGGCGCGCGGCGGGGACACGCCCACAGGCAATCAGCACTCTGCGGTGGTCTCGAGGACGATGCCGGCGGGAGGGCCGTGGAGAAGAGGGCGCTGTGAGCACGAGGGTGGTGAGAAGGGATGGTGATGCAGCGGTGGCTGATGAGCCCGGTCAGAAGCACTGGCAGCGTCTGGGAGGGCGCCTAGATTTGGTTCCGAGGGAGGAAGATGGACGCGGCCAGATCGGGCAGGCAGCGGCCGGGCGTGGGGGGCGGAGGCATTTGGCAGATCAACTCCGCCCGAAAGTGGGGGCGGGGGCCAGCGCGCAGCCACCGTGCCGTTCGCGGGGGAGTCGCAGCCACCGGCGGGTCTGGCCAGACGAGGTCGGGCAGAGGGTGATTATATTATTAATACGCCCGCCGTCTTCTCCTCCTCCAGCCCGCCGCCTTAATGCTCTCTGCCCCGCACAGACCATATGCCTTACCCGACCCTGTCTGCTGCCTGATGCCCCGCGACCACCCACCGCGTCTCCAGCCCGCCCTCACCCGCGACCCCTACACCCCCATCGTCCCCCCGCCCCCGTCCCCCACCCAGCACAGGGCCTTCCGCAAGCACGTCTGCCCCTCATGCGAGCGCAGCTTCTCCACCAGCGGCCATCTCGCCCGCCATATCCGCGTGCACACCGGCGAGCGCAACCACAAGTGTCCCTTCCCCGGCTGCGAGACCCGCTGTTCGCGCCAGGACAACCTCCAGCAGCAGTGAGTGCCCGTCTCTCTCGTCTCCTGCCCCCACTCTCCGTCTGCGCCTCCCCGTGATGCCATTCGAAGCAGTCACACGCGTCGAGGCTCGCGACATGACGCGCACATGCTTCTCGGGTCATGATGCTACTGCTACCGCGTTTCTGATCGCCACCCGTATCCACGAACCCGCCGCAGCCGGCGGGGCAGTACATCGCGCCCCGCTGCCCAGCGAAGAACCCGCCTGTGCGCGTCGAGCGCCCGCTCATGTTACGACCATCTCTCAATCTCCTCGCGGCAAGTCCAAAGATCTGCGAGTTATTAATCGCGTTTGATTCCATGCGTGCTGTTGTCGACTTCAAGCCGCCTGCACTGGTTGGCGCGTTTTGATCTCGGCGAAATGGGCTTCCTATCCAGTCGTGAATCCCATCGCTGATCCTTCGCTCCCGCAGCTACCGAATTCATTTGTCGCCAGGCTCAAGACGGGGCTCCGGCTCGGCCACACGCGCCGCCATGACCAAGGCGAAGACCTCTGTCGAGCATCTCGCCCTGGACAAGCACGATTCCTCGCCGCGCACAAGTAAGCACGTCAGTCTCAGTGTAAGTGGCAAAAACGGCGCGCATTTCGCGCCTTCGCCTTCGAGCTCCCCATCGGACCTTCGCGCGCAGACGCTCCCTGGGTTGACCGCGCCAAACTACGCGTCGCCCTACCCCGAGCCGCCCGATACGCCGCCGCCACTCGCGCCTGCGATTGCGCCAGCTGGCTTCCTTCCGCACGGCGCGTCGAGCAGCTGCTCGTCGACACCGTCCATCCCCGAGCTGCAGTACCCCTCTGCGCAGGGCCAGACGCGTCTGCACGTGCAGGTTGACTTTACGAGTGCGCGCTCGGCCCATTCGCATTCGCCTGAGCAAAGCTACGCGGGATCCGTCGCGCACGGGCACGGCAGCGGGAGCGGGTTTCCGTCTCCCACGGAGATGCAGAGCCAGACGGCGGCGTGGGTGTACGGCGGGCATGCTCAGCCGTACCACCAGCAGCAGCAACAGTATCCTCAGCAGCAGCACCAGAAGACGAGGTCGATGTCGCCGACTCAGCGCACGCAGACTGCTCATCCGCACGCGATGGAGGCGCAGTATGGCTACGACTATCCGGAGAACAACTACTCCCTGCAGTACCCGGACACGCCGCCCGCGCAGACGGCGGAGTATGCGCAGCCCATCCAGGCGTCGTCGCGTCACTCTGTCGCGCACATGTCACCGTCGAGGCCGGCGATGTCGATGTTGACGAGTGAAAGCGCGTCTGCGTACCAGGGCGCGGCTCCCAGGTACGATGGTCCTACGAATGCATTGCTGACGCGTTATATGGCGGGTGGCACTGCTCAGGGCACTAGTCCGTCCACCCACCATGGGCACGCCGTCCAGGGACAGCTAGTCGAGTCCTACGCGCCCGCCGCGCCGGCCCCGAGTGCGGTGGTCGAACCTACACGTGGTATGTACGCGGGTTACGGGAGCACGCAGAGTGCCCATCGGTACGACGAGCAGGACGAGAGCGCCGCTGCCTACTACGCCGCGGGGTACGGCTCAGGCGCTGGCACAGGGCGCTCGCCGCCGCCGACACTGCCGCCGATCCAAACCGCACGGATCGTCCGGGACGATCTCGCGGTCGATTCGCGGCACGCTCAGCAACAGCAACCACAACACGCACAGCCTCATTCGGCGGTGGACGCGGCGCCGACGCAGGCGTCGTACCCGTACTCGTATCAAGCCACGCATGCACACCAACAACAGCAGCAACAGCATATGTCTACGGAGCACCCTCACCAACAGCACCATCCGCACACGCAGGCACATGCACACGCGCAGGACAGATCGCCGAACGGCCAGCATACGCTCAGCGTCCCGCTGCACCAGCCGCGCCCGCATTACAGTCCCCAGCAGTACGTTGCGCTCTATGCGCCGACTGCAGGTGCGGCCGCGGGGGCGGGTGGTGGAGCGGCGTCGCAGTCCTATTATCGCCGGGACAGCCACGACCATGTCATCGCACGGTGATAGCGCCGCTGGGTTGCTAACGGACGCGATGCCGTGCGGTCTGCGTGTCAGTGTGTTTGCGTTCCACGTCCGTTGACAGGAGCTTCGACGGCGCCCGTTATTTGCACGACGCAAGTCAGAACGTCGCCGGCGCTCTGGCCGTGCTTGTCTGTCTGCGAGACTGGCGAGGCTTGGCGTTCCTCGCGGGGCGTCCTTCACCTCCCTTCCCATCCTATCCTATCCTATCCCATCCACATCCACACCCATCTCATCTCATCCCAATCCATCTAAGTCGTCACATCTTGGTTATAGCATCGTCGCACCGCATTTGTCTGCTTGTACATCTCAGTTTCACACTACGCTCGCTGGTCGCTGCCTCGCGCGGTGGCCCAGACCCAAACCACCGTGACGGACGGTCCCATCTCTGTCGCTTCTACCATATCCTATCACCCGTCACATATCCATCTCGCTGCTGCTATCTCTCGCGCCTCCTGTTCCTGTTCCTCTTCTGGGTCTCATACTGCCGTCCGTCTTACTTGGTCTCGAAACTGTCCTCCCAGTCGTACCCTACTCTCGTTCGCTCTGCACGGAAGCTATCTTGTTCGCTGTACACTTTTCTCCTACCCCTCACATACACCACGCACACCTCTTTCTAGGGTTTCCTGTCCGACGTCGGATATCTAATTGCTGTAGTATATAGACATAGTCTGGCGGTTCCGGACTCTCCTCCGCCATCTCTCCACCCCCGTACCTTAGCCACGAACATCCTCGCTAGTCACTGACCACCGCTGACGGTCGTCTGCTGTATCGTACACTTCCTTGCTGCTACTCCTGTCGATAGATGCCCACCCCGAACATTGGATACAGTCTGTAGATTTCATTCGGAGCAATATTGATGCTGTCACTACAAGCCTGCCTCCCTGAACGAGGCTGCCCGAATACGCGTACGAGACAACCTGAGGTACGGTGGGGAAAATGAACATTCCGACTTATGTCGGACTAGGCCGTCAAAGGGTTGACAAGGGTGTTCTGACATGACTTCTCCCGCCTCGAGGAGGGGGCATTCAGGGTTGCGTTGCATCTGCGCTTGGCGGGTCTCGCCCGAGCCTGAATTTGAGCGATCAGCCTGCGCGAACCACCCGGGCCAGCCACCGCCACCCGGACCGCAGGCGCGCCGATCGCATGGCGGATGCCGACGCACCCATACGGTCCCGTGACCCGCGCCTTACTGTGCTTGCGTCCTGCGTCCATCCGCCTCGCGTCGTGCCCTCGTCCGCGCAGCCTCTCCCCGCCACAACACACGAGCAGAATAGCGGCGAGAGCACAGAATGCCCAGCGACCTCGACAGGTGAGCGGTCCCCCCGTGTCAGACCACTCGAAAGGCTGTGCGGAGCGTGGAGCGTCCTAAACCCCTCGCTCTCACACCCGCGTCTACCGTGGACGGGGCCACGGCCACGAAGCTCGCTGCCTTGTTGCTCCGTCACGCTCTTCTGCTACTGTGCCTCGCTCTCTGGGTCTGGGCTGCCTGACCTGACACTCGCGCGGTTTGACAGACAAATCGAGCAGTTGTATCGCTGCGAACCGATCTCCGAGGAAGACGTCAAACGGCTATGTATCAAGGCGCGCGAGATTCTCATCGAGGAAGCGAATGTACAGGTCGTCGACTCGCCCGTTACGGTGAGTGGGTTCTGCTCGACGCTTCGCACGGTCCTGTCCACCGGGATGTTTGCTCGCCGCACGTCTGAGGCCTGCATTGATCATGGTGCGTGTCTCGGATCATTGAGCGTCGGTCCACGGTTTCTCGTCGATATGCGGTCTAGCTTCTCCCGAGGTATGTAACGCGTCTGAAAAATGCTGGGTGAGAGTGAGCTGTGCCAGGAGCAGTAAGCGACTAGCCGGAACAATAAACGCCACCATGGAAAGCGGCGGTAGAAAGCGGCGTCAACAACAGGGCACACTCAATTCGACATACCGGACGGCATGCTGTGAATTCACCCGTTGTAGCCGCCGCACTGAGTTATGTATCGGTGCTGTTATTGTTGACGCGTGGACATCTCTGTGGATGGGACTTTCGAGATACATTGGAGTAGTGATTGCTCAACCATGGTGTAGATATGCGGAGACATACATGGCCAATTTTGGGACATGATGGAGCTCTTCAAGGTCGGCGGGTCATGTCCAGAAACCAACTACTTATTTATGGGTGCGTCTCCATTTATGGTCAATCCCGATTGTGCTCTACAGACAAACACTTGTCCGCTCCACGTTGCTCACTCGTCCTACGTACAGGCGACTTTGTCGACCGAGGCTTCTACAGCGTCGAGACCTTCCTTCTCCTGCTCGCGCTCAAAGTGCGCTACCCGGAGCGAATCACCCTCATCCGCGGTAACCACGAGTCGCGGCAAATCACACAGGTATACGGCTTCTACGACGAGTGCCAACGGAAATACGGCTCGTCCAACGTCTGGCGCTGGTGTTGCGAGGTCTTTGACTATCTCGCGCTCGGCGCCATCGTTGACGGCCGAGTGTTCTGCGTGCACGGTGGCCTGAGTCCGAACTTGCAAGGGATTGATCAGGTACGCGCGGCTGCTCGCTCAGGAGACGCGGGGTGCTGACCCAGAGACGCGGGAGCAGATTCGCGCCATTGATAGGAAGCAGGAGGTCCCCCACGACGGGCCAATGTGTGACCTTCTCTGGTCAGATCCAGACGGTACGCCGCATCTTCTCGCCGCACGTTCGCGTCTCGCGTCTCACGGACAAATGCCGTCGCAGACATCACAGGTTGGGGCCTGTCCCCGCGGGGCGCGGGCTTCCTCTTTGGCGCGGATATCACCAAAATCTTCGCGCACAACAACGCGATCGACCTCATTGCGCGCGCGCACCAGCTTGCGATGGAGGGCTACAAGCTCATGTTCGATAAGACGATCGTCACCGTCTGGAGCGCACCAAATTACTGCTACCGGTGCGTTTCGCTCTTTCTGCCTCGCCGCTGCCGCCCGTCTCCGGCCGTACTGGAACGCGCGCCCAGTCACACGCAACGCTTTCCTGTTTGCGTGTATGATTAGATTTGTGCGTGCGTCTGTGGGGTGATCTTCTGGAACGAAACGCGCAGCGTCGTGCTCTGATTGTGGCGTCGCTCGTGTTCAATTTTGTCGTGGTTCTCGTTCTCACCGACTCACTGATTCACTGACCTCTCCGCGCTGATATTCTCAGGTGCGGGAACGTGGCGTCCATCCTGGAGCTGGACGATAATCTCGGACAAGAATACAAGGTCTTCGCGCATGCTCCCTCGGTGCGTTCTTCCTTGCCTGAGCCACCCTCCTTCCCCTTGCACCCTCCCCATTTCACCCAGGCCCAGGCGCGCGGATGTATCCGCGCAACGAAGCGGGAAGAGCGAGAGTTCTCCCTGCGAATCTGACCACCTATCGTCATTCGTTGCCCAGACCGTCTGGCCGTCCACCTAGTGTTAACGGCAAGCTAACGCATCTTCTCCCATTTCTGTAGGACGTCCGCTCGATACCGGCGAAACGGCCGCCTGCAGATTATTTTTTGTAGTGGCTGCAGATCGGCCGTAGACGTACGGCTAAAGGCAGCGAGCGCTCTAGGAGCGCTGCCAGTCTGACCACCCCGCCTTCCCTTCTCTTCGTTGTCTTCCCTGCGAAATGCTAGGATACCTACTGATAGTCCCTTGCCACCTTGCGTCCGCATTGAGAGCAGGAGTGTTGATGGAGGCTCACCGCTGCATTGTTGTATTCTGACCATACTTCGACTCACGGAAATGTGTAGCGCTATCATTGACCTGAAGGTACTGCAAACGCTGGCAGTCGATGCGCGTGGATACGATAACTTTAGGTGCTGCATGTGCATTGCGACTGCTATCGCTCGTCTACTACATGTTGGTACTGACTGATACAGCGGAGAAGGTGAGTAACGAAACAAGATTCAAAAAGACAGTGTGGTATAATGCGTATGAACCACTGCGAACACATTAATACTGATCGTGATTGTTGGCACAGATTGCGGCTACAAGTATGCATGCGTATGCGTGTGCGTGTCGTCGTCAATGTTTGTCTACTACAGTCGGGCGATGAGAGCGACGGGAACAGAGCCAGACGTATGGGCACGAGCTGCTCTACGCCTTCGTCTTCTGAGTGGTCTTGCTGAACAGTTTAGCCTTCTCCAGCGCGGCATAACCTGTCAATGCCGTGTAAGCACCGTATACCCAACGAACGTTGCCCAGCGCGGGAGCGGGCGAGTCTGGATCTGGAGCGGTACGTACTGGCTTTCACGAGAAGGTTCTTGTAATCGACGATGGTGAGGCCTTCCTTGGTGAGGTTCTTGATTTTGCGATCTTTCACCTCCCAGAGTTCTTCGGCGACTTGCGAGATAAGACCTGTCGGTAGAGGAGAAGGTTAAGTGTAATAAGTGATCATATTCAATTTGCGGCCGTCACGCTGAGACTTACGGAAGTCGTGCGAGACAATCACAACACCTCCCTCGTAGTCCTTGATCGCTAGCGCCAGAGCGTCGATCGAGGCCATGTCCAAGTGGTTCGTCGGCTCATCAAGCAGCAGGATGTGCGGGTGCTCCATCGCGAGCTGCGCGAATACGACACGATTCCGGAGACCGTCCGATAACTGCTTGATCGGCGACGTCTGGTGTGGGCCCGACAGACCAAATCGACCAAGCTGAGCACGCCAAGCCTATACAGAATCATCAAACCAAGTTAAAAGCTAGTTCTAAACAGGTCTGGAGAGAGAAAGTCGCACCTGGACGTCCTTATCCGGGTACTTCTCGGCGTAAAGCGACTGGAAATGCTCGATCGGCGGCTTGTTGTACGGCAGCTGGTCCGCAGAGTGCTGTGAGTACTTTGCAAGCTTGAGGTTCACATGCCGCGACACCGTGCCCGATGACGGCTGGAGCGAGCCGGTGATGAGGTTGAGGAGCGTCGACTTCCCCGTACCGTTCTGTCCCACGATCGCAACGCGGGACTCCATGCTAGAACAATCGTTCAGCAACAACGTTCGTGCCCCGCGGGATCAGCAGACGAGACGAAGACGCACTCGATACCGAAGGAGAGATTCTGGTAGAGATAATCTTCCTTCTTGCCGGAATACGAGAAGGCGACGTCGTTGAATGCGAGGATGGGAGGGGGCAGCTTCGAGACGTCCTCGAAGTGGAAGCGGAGCGGTCTCGGTACCTCTATTTTCTCGATAAGCCCAGCCGCCTCCATCTTGTCGATGATTTTCTGCTTTGACTTGGCTTGCTTAACCAAGTTAGCGTACGTTCCCGCAGATGCAATGAACCTAGGAGCAACCGAAAGATCGGTCAACGAATAAGGAGCGAAGACGCAGACGACTCACTTCTTGATGTGTGCGATTTCCTCTTGTTGTTTGCTGTACGCCTTCATCTGGTTAACCTCGTTCTCCTGCTTCGTCCGCACGTAAGTCGAGTAGTTACCACCATAGTACGTGAGCTGCTTCTTGGTGGTAAGGTCCATGATGTTCGTGCAGACGGTGTCCATGAAGTCCTGCGAGTGGGACGTGATCACCAGAATGTGGTTGTACATCGACAGGTACGCCTCGAGCCACACGACTGCTTCGAGATCGAGGTGGTTCGTCGGCTCGTCCAGGAGCAAAAGGTGCGGCTTCAGGAACAGTGCGCGCGCAAGAGCAACACGCATCCGCCATCCACCAGACATGTCCTTTGTGGGACGCGCCATCATCAGCTGGGTGAACCCGAGACCGTGCAGAATGCTGGACGCCTTCGCCTCGAACGTGCTCGGGTCCAACTCCTCGAGCTCCTCGTACGACTGCTCGAGCGCGACGTCGTCGACGTCGTCTGCGACGGAGAGGTCCTCAATCCGCTGCTCAATTTTGGCGACCTTTTCTCTTGCGGACGCGATGATATAGTCAACGGCGTTGATATCAGAGGGCTCAGCCTCGCCGCTGACGAGATAGATATCGATGTGATCCGGGATTTCGATGTCTCGCTCGGCGATGGATTGCAGGAAAGTCGACTGTGTGGCGATTGGTCAGGAGCTCGGTCTATGCTACCGAAGATTGCCTCGCTCACCTTTCCAGAGCCGTTCTCTCCCAGCAGACCGTACCGTTGCCCGTAGTTCAGCGAGACTTCCGCGCCCTCAATCAACAACCGCCCATGGAACGAGAGCGTGTACGAGTCAATCTTGATGTCCCGGCCCTTGGGATCGGACACCAACACGCCCGCGGCACTCCTGCAAGTTAAAAAGTCGCCCGAGCACCGTACCGTAAGCGATCCTCCGCCATCCGTTCAATCCGCAGCGAACACGCACCTGTCCGTGGCGAGCTGCAGCTTTGCCATGCTCGTGAGGTCCTCATGGCTGCCCGCGGCGGACAGGCTCGTGAGCGGGGTGTTCACGGAGCTGCCTGCCTTGCTCCCGAACACGGAGCCATTGGGTGTGTCGGTCGAGCCCGTGGTCGTAGTTGCATCGGACTTGCCCTTGACGGACTGCTTTGCGGCCTTTTCTGCGAGACGCTTTTGTTTTGCTGCTGAGGGGGGCATGGTGGTCGTAGAGGAAGGGAGGGTGGAGGACGCTGCTCGCCCGCCGCACTGGATGCATATCGATCGGGTCTCAAATTTCGGCTTAGCTGAGCGTCATACTTTCCAAGAAAGGCATGTCGTAGAAAACACAAAGATAATCCGCCGCTTGCGATTTGTCGCGACAATTGCCCGTCTCTGGGTCGGGCCGACAGTCGCTCGCCCACGTCGAGACAGAAATACGGTGCGTGTCATGGGCTGCATTGTCATAAGGATACAAGCAATACATGGTCGTGTGTGTATAGTAGTAGCAGCGGACGGTGCGTAGAACAATCGTGAGTGAGGTTTACAAGCTGCATCGGCTCCCAATCGGCGCTGCCACTGCAGACCGTTGGTGTAAGCGTGCGGGCTTCATGTGGTGCATGACAGCTCGCAACCTCGGACCCGTCCCCTATCCTCGTAGCAGGGCGCTTAGAAGAGACGAATGGGCTTGCCCATCGTCGTCTTGATGTGCAGCGACTTGACGTTCTGCCAGTTCTTCTTGAGCAGCGAGACGAGGAAGTTGATGCCTGCGAGCGACGGTGAGGCGATATTCCAACAGAAGTATTGATAACACGTACTTAGCATGACGTTGCCGAGAACCTGGTCATCGGTCATCTGAATGTGACCGACAGCAACACCCAAGCAGAGGACCTTCTTGAGCTGGAACTTGATAGTGGAGCGGACCTCAGTCAATTTGACCGCAAGGTCCTCAGCGTGGGACACGGGGGTTGGGAACTTGCCAGCTGCAGGAGACGTTAGCTTTACTCGCTCAGACGGAACAAGCTGATATGACGCACCCTTGGAAAGACCGGGCCCGAGGAGACGAGGGATCTGCTTGATGAGAGTCTCAGAGGCCAAGAAGGCATCGTACTTCTTGGCGAGCTTCTTGACAAGCTTCTTGTTCTTGTTAAGCCTGCCCATGTCAGCGTCAGCGCAACTATCCGGCAATGCTTCGGTCGCATACGCACTTTTTGAGATCGTCCACGGACATGTACTCGAGGTCAATCTGCTTCGCACGGTCGATGTCGGCCGCATCGGCGAGAATGCAGATGGACATGCGAGGACGCGGGACGTTCGGGAGTCTAGCGGGGGGCTGTTCAGCAAACAAGCATCCACACTGAAGCGGCTTACTCACTTGACGGTACCCGAGAAACGCTTGTCACGCTGGGGGTCGTAGTTTTTGAGACCGATCTGCAGCTCGATCGTCTCGACGAAGTTGCGCTTTTTCTCGCCGTTGGCATCAGCCAAAAGCTCCTTGACGGAGCCCCGCACGCTTGCAACCGAGAGCTTGGAACCGCTGGGAGAACATCAGCCAACAGTTCGTGCCGGACGTATGGTCGGCGAGGACGCACCTCATGCTGATAGTCCGCTGTAATGGTCAGTATAGTCTACACACCCGCCACGGAAGTCTTGGTGGCGCTGTCGGCAATTGCCGAGGTACTGTACAGACATGCGCCGGTGGCTGCTACGGGCGTCTAATCAGCGCGAACCCTGCCTGTACCACTGATCAATACTGTAACTGTCGTCGACGGTACCATAACCGGTTTCCGGCCTGCCATTAGTAAGTAAGGATGTCTCTGAAGTGCATTCTTCACTGAAGCTTTGGCTCGCGTCGGTTTGTTGTCAGACATGAATATGGCAATCGCGCCCCAACCATACGAGCTCGAATTTGTTGGGCCCGTGACTCGACGCCCGTGCTTAGGATACATTTACTACCAATGACAGTTGATTTTATTTGAATTTTGACCAGGACGGTTGGTTTGTTCGACATGTTAGCCGTCCACAAAAGGGTGCAATATGATCCGGTCCTCCAACAGTGTTTGACACGAAGCGCCATCTAGTGTGGGAGGGTTTGGTAAGGAGGGTTTGTCCTCGTCGGTTACATGACAACTTACTCACAATCCTCATATGTTCAGCATAACGGTTTTGCTGGTCGCGCTTTGTTGCGCCAATGATCGGCATCTTGGGTCAGTACGTCGTCCTCCTTTGTTCTTGGTTGTTGCCCTTGTTGTCCGCAACGAGAAAACAAGGGAAACCCGACGTGTCCGGCTTAACGATCGGTCCTGAGTCCAAAAGCCCAACATGACATCACGTGTAGGGTACACGGTCACAAACGTCACTGAGTGTCACTGTAGGTCACGGTGTGAAAAGGAATGCATTCAGCCACAATTCCGCTACCCCCGACATATATTCAAACATCCTATGACATATCTATCCTACGGCCAATCGCACCTAGGGAGTACATGTGGCGATGATCACGGTTCGATTTGGCACATTTATATTAAACTACGGATTGTAATGACCCCAGTATCACACTGATTATACTTGCTGTGAAAAGGAGTGCCGGTCCACTGTTATTGATCAAGGTGAGTCTAGTACAAGCATAGAATGAACAAAACGGCGTGTGATTCTATCAGACAATAGACTCAGACACGTGAGTAATGTTGATCGATTTTTGTCCTGTATACGGTGGTGGCAGATCCACGTAATAGCGGGAAGCGCTCGTGGCGGGTATATAACACCCTCCCAAAGCCCTTCCCTCCAAACGCGCCCCTTACAATTCGTGGTACCACTTCACAACGACCTCAATCACAGACACAAGCCTTGACGTAGCGCGTTAGCTATAGTATGGGTGATCAAAGCAATAGTCACCAGGTGAGATTGCTTGAAGCTATATATAGCACGCCTGACCTCGTACTGATGTCAGGGTTCGCAGTTGGCGACACCACCAGTGTCCCCTGCTCGACAGAGGAACCCGGGGCATGAGCCCAGAGACGATGTCGAGAGCCTCATGGAGACGTCCGAAGAGCAAGACATCCAAGACACTGGATTGAACGACCTGTTCAAAGCCGCCGTGAAGGAAGAACTTGACTGGGAGTTCAAGTTGCGCGCAGAGAGGTTGAAAGACGCATCACAGAAAGAAAAACTTGAACTTGAATTTGAGGATCGCCGTAGGGAGTTTGAAGCCCAACTCGATGCCATGAGAGCAATGAATGGGGGAACAAACTTCCTCATACGTGGAGTACGTGCTTTCGCTTTGCTATCCGAGTTGTTTTCCACGTGCCGTGGTGCTGATTCCGTCCTCGTCAGGCAAAGCCTGAGAGTGGCGACCAGATCCACATTGTAGATCTCCCTGGATCCCCCTACGTGATTCGAATCTTCAATGGCGGAATGCAGGGTCTACATCAGTACTTGCTTGACTTCGTTAGCCGTGACTCACTCGCACCATTCAACGTGCCTGAGTCATACGCTGTTTGGCGTCTCGCCGAGGGTCCGGGGACAGCCAAGCTTAACCGTCTGATTTCTTGGGAGAAGGCTTTTTATTATCCGGATGCCTCAGTCCCGCAAGGCGAGGTACGATACAGTGTCATTGAAGGTACGGCGTATAGGGCGGAGTGTCCTGCTGGGTTTGTGGAGTTCATAGTCCCAGTGCGGACAGAGGGGGTCCAGAATCTCTTTCACGTCGAAGAAGCCGTGCAGCCGCGGTGCTAGGACAGTATGGGGCACACATATACAATGTCATTTTGTAACGAAGGCCAGAGGGTCAGATCACGCGAATGAATATCCTATCCTATATATCCTCTATCCTCTATCATAAAGAAGGACGCGGCGCAACGGGGGCCCCGGGCGCGAGGGGCGCCCCTCAACTTCCGCTTCAAAAGCTACTCACTTACTGCCTTCTCAACGCCGTGTCGTGAACCGTAAACCGCATCCCGTGCAGTGCACGGGTGTTTGCTAGTTAATATTATTATAAAAATATCACTCCGGCGACTCGGAGGCGGCGTCGACGTCGCCTGTAACCTACGACATGAGGCATGGCGACGTCCTATCGAGTTTTGAGATAAAAAGTTATGCACTCGTAAGGAGTCAGCCGGCCGCCAGGACCTACAGTTCACTACAGTCACGACGCGGAGTCAACAGCTGAAACGAGACATACAAACACCCACGAGTAGGAGACTTGCGTGCGCGCCATCTTGGTCGTCTTGAAGCTACTGTATACGGGCACATCGATGGCACAGCCAACCCGTACAGACAAGAGAACCTCGACGACACACAGGTATTCAAAGCGATCCTGATTTCAACTCACAGGGCACTGGATACCTTCCTTATGTATGGTTGCAGTGAGACGAATTCCTACGATGACACGCGTCACTCCGGCAGATTGTGAGCCGCCGTTGACGTAGCAAGTTATCCCGATCTACTTGAGCCGCGGTGAGGAGAAGATAGAATTCGGAGCTGCATGTGTGGGCAATGACGGATATCAAAGCAAGAACAGCAGAACGTGCGATAGTGAATATATGGGGGCCTGATAAATTCAGTGTAGGATTTGTACGTTTGCAAGAGGAGACTTTGAAGGCATGCCACAACATGGCGAGGGTCTGTGCGGCTTTCCTCGTCCGCTCCTGCTACCGCGACACCTGAAGGCATTCAGTCCGCAGTTGTGAAAGCAAGACGCAAGCTTACGCACCCACGGATTCACATCACTTCAATCGCCTCAGCTTCTGCAGCACCGTACCGTAATCCTCCTCGACCCACCGTCTTCCCTTCTTTTCCCTGATCCACTTGCAGCTGTACCGCTTGAGCTTCTTCGACAAGTCCGATGCTATACGGGCATGTCCACTCTTCCGCGGCGGGCTCGGCGGGTCAGCGCTGGCCGCCGGGAGCGGACCATCCACGAACACGTATGACTCGTCCGTTGGGCGGCAGCGTGGACGATTGTTGTCGACTTCACTAAGGACGGCGGAGTCCTTGTCATAGTAGTTCTCGATAGGGGATAGTACGTTGGGGCGAGCGAACGCGATGGGGCCGGACGGGAGCGACTTCGACGCGTTTAGGTTGGTGTCGATGCGCGGCAGCGTCGGCCGCTGTGATGGTTGCACGTCTACATGTTCGTATGTCACCGTCCACCTCCCCGTCTCGTCCACAGACGGCGACCCTGTAGCCGCCGCTTGGCTAATCGACGACACAGACAGGTCCGAGGTACCCGTGAGAGGCGAGACGATGATTATTCCCGGTTCAGGCGAGTCGGGGAAATCAAGCCGGAGAACCGTGTGCCTCCGTGAACCGAGGAGCTCGTACTCCAGAGGATTGGCGACCTGTTGCAGAGGTGTAGGAGGCGGCGCAACGGGTTGGCATGGTGGTCGTGGAAGTGGACGATACGTGCCCCGGCGCGTCGCGGTGGACGTACATGGCGGAGGTGCAGGTAGAGGACGTGCGACGCTAGACAGTGCGTGGCTGGCGCTACGCGGTCGCCGGTTCTCGTTCTCGTTGGAGACAGAGAGTGGACAGTGTGGTGCGCGGGGCCCGCGCAATGCAGAAGTGGTCGACGCACGCGCGGTTGAGGGGCGCGCCGGCAAGCGGGGTCGAGACCGACCAGCGACATTGGACTCTTGACAGTCCGACGCGGTCCACGGCAGACCAACAAGGGATTTACAGAGCGGAGAAATGGGTGACAGTGGTTCCAGGTAAGACGGCATGGATGGCGTAGGAAAGTCGTATGCAGAAGCTGGATAGCACCGAGGAAAACGGAGTTTTGGTGTAGTAGAGGGATTCAGTAGATTAGCGGATAATTAAAGCAGGGCAGTACGATAGGGAACGTCGTGGGCTTGTAGGGTTGTGTCTTTAACGAGGGATGACCATCTGTCCAGCAGAGAAAGTACGCGTCCGGCGGCGAGTTACCTCCACGACCGCTGGTCTGAGGCCGGCTATAAGGCCTGTGGCGGTATGATGCGGGGATGCCCAATCTGGTTAGCGTGGTAGCAACGAGGCGGCACGCCATCATCGTCCCGCAGGCGATCGAGATCCTCATCATCCGACGCTGCGACGCGTGCATTCTGTGGTTCATTTACCGAGCTCCGATTTCTTGATAGAAATTGAGACTCTGTGTATTGTCGGTCTCGCTCTACTGTCCTGGGTAATGTCCGACTCACCTACGACTCACGTCCATTTCCCTGTTCTATACGCATTGCGTTGCAGGTTTGTCCCTCATTGCTACCGACAACGCGTCATCTAGAAAGGTTGATGCGGACTGTCGGTCCACGACATGATCGAACCAGTAGTCAGTCGATTAGCTCTCTCTCAGTCTCGCCTGTATACTTACGTGCGAGTTTGGGTTGGCTGTAGCCCATTATCTGATCTGCACTGTGCTACAAAGATGTGACAAGCGCATGGTGAGCTCGGAACGCTGTGGAGCACCTTCAGGCGCACATACGCTTTCAAGGGGTTGCACGTCATGGTCAACTGCAGGCCTTTCGTTTACGAGATGCCGAAAATCTTGCAAAGACAAAACCTGTGCCGTCCCTGGTTGCACCGAGTCGCTGCCGCAGGCAGGCAGATCGTCGACTATACACAGCCCCGTCGCATCAGCCATGGGGCCCATCACGGACCCGCTACATATGCGACGGGCGATCCCGCCTCCTCTGCTGTCTTCCGTCGCATCCCGCTGTGACAGTCGATTCTTGGTTACTACGCATGGCGGCGCGATGTTGGGATGTCAGAGTTGTATCGAACACTGCATAGTCTGAGCCGCGAAGACATCTGTCCACAATTAATCAACGTGCATATACATGACGCCAGCGTGCATACTCAGAGTGTGCCACACCGGCTCGGTGCACAGACGTGTTCCCTCAAGTGCACTGCAGCCGCTTTGGCTGCTATTACGGTTCGAGTTTGGCCAGAGTACCCATCATCCGCAAGAAGGTAGTCGGCGTGGCGGAGGCCCCCTTCCCTGCGGTACCAAGGAAGGTCTTTAGTTGGCCCCTTTCCAACCCCCATCGGTACTCAGCTAGGTAATTCTTGGTCGTCTGCGGCTTGAGACCGGTCAGACGTACGATCTCCTCGATGAGATCGTCGTGACTGTCGAGGTGGTTGCGATCCGCGCACTGTCTGTACACACCCAGGAAGGTCTGGCCACGGCCGTTGGCGGTCAGAAGATGGGGATGGACAAAGTACCGATAAGGCCTCGCAACGAACTGGACCCTAGGATGCTGACGAGGATCTTCTCTCGGTATCTCCGGATTCGAGAGATCAAGACCAATTCGGGGTGATCGGAAGACGCGCAATTTCGAACGCCCGGTGCTAGACTGAATGTGTACCAGTCGTAGATGAGGTACGCTGTCCGTAGCACCTCCGATGGGCGCGGAGAACGCTGAGATATCGCCGTGAAGCCTGGCTGTGACCAGTTCAGCGATGGACTTGGCACGGCTTGCGCGCAGAATCTCGTCCACGAGGAGAGATGGTCCAGAGATGATCTTCTTGTCCGACACGCGTCGTAGCGTGCGCAGAAGGATACCTCCGCGGGTGTGCGTAGTTTGCGAATTTTCTGTGGAAGTCGTCTCCGAGGAAAAACCAATGGTGAGGTCCAGCCCTTTCCGTGTTCCTCCTCTGTAACCGCTGCCCTGAGCCTTCAAGGGTTGTTCGCTCCCCGATCGTCGAGGGGCACGATGGAAATACCTGCACTATGGTCAGTTCAACCACGCGGAGATATCGACAACGCACATACCATTGACCTGCTTGCTGCTGCTCGTGTGATCGGTGTGTGAACGGATCTTCGTGGCAGCCGGGGCGATACAGGTAGAACTCGACCTCCATGAAGTCATACTCCGTGGTGCTGTCTTCGGTACGCACCGAAAGCCGATGGTCCTTCAGCAGAGAGTGTGCAATCTCAGTGAAGATCTCCTCAGTTTCCTCCATAGAAGAAGACTGGGAGAAGTCGAGCATCTTGTGAAGAGGCTTCTGAGATATCCTCTCTGAATATGCATCCTCCGTGGCGACTGGACTGTGTAGTGCGTTATTCTCGTAAGACGTGTCAACAAATGCAGCAATGGCTCACCATGCTGAGCTATCCAAGCGCCTCCTTTTCAGCGCACCTCCTTCGCTAGGACCGTGGCTCTGAGTCAGGTCGACGCCCATCTGCGTCCTGACGAAGAGCACTGACCTACTGCAAGGTGAGGCACTACGGAGCTCTCGTTTATTGCCAGTGCTCATGATATAGACTAGAGACTGAGAGATAGGTATTTCAATGAGATGCGGAAGCTCAACAGGGAGCAGGGCCCAGGCGCGGTAACCGTCCTCTCCCTCACGCAAAGAGGTCTTCTTTAGGGTCTGCCTACGGGAGACAACAGCCTGAGGCGCGGTGCCGCTGCCAGCGTCACTTCACGGAAGGGGTTGTAACACGATCACATGCTTGTGACAGCACGCGGTTCCTACGTGAGGGTACTCGCGCGCGCGATCGTACGCGTCCATGCGACGCGATACACACAAATCGTTCAAGGTACAAGCAATATCGGCACTTGCGATTTATCCACCATCCGAGGACACGCGATGATCTACATTACAACGCGACAATCAACTACGTACAGAGTCTGCAGATAATGAGCAAATAAGATACATGGCGTGCGGGAATAAGGAGTATCATCATGAACTTGATACGACGGGTACGAACGCGAACGGATGCGACGACAATGAGCGAAGTCGTACCAGTACGTTATGTGCGGTCGCACAATCGCACATCGCTAAAGCCAGTCACCCCAAAATAGGAGATCATAGCCCATCTGCATTAGTGTCCATCGACGTGCCAGGATGTCCGGACATCCGTACATCAACAGAACGAACAGAGCCAACATCGATGGGCTCGATCTGTCTTGTCCTGGTCATCGTCGATGCTGTGCCCGTTGATACTGTCGTCGGTACTAGGTGCTGCGTTATGACGTCCATTGTTCCGACGAGTTTCGCGGCCTCGACGTCCGCTGCAAGGTCATTGCCGTCCTCACTTCCTTCAGCATCGACATCGACGTCGACCTCCACGTCTCCCTCAGCATCCGCATCGCTCACGCCGCCTTCGTCCTCATCTCGCTGAACCACCGAAGGCTCGCTGGTCTGCATCTTCGACATCGCAGACGGTCCCGGAGCCATACGCCGCATCTCCTTGTCACGGTCCGGCTCTGTGCTCTGCCTCCGACTCCCGGGGTCACTCGTCGGCATCCTCTCCTGCTCCTGCGCCGCCTGATCCGCGAGAACGTCCAACGCGCTCCTCACTCTCGCGATCGGCACAGGAGGCGGCGCCGGGACAGGATCAGGATGCGGACTACCGCCGTTCGCTGTCGCTATCCCCTTGCCCTTGGCCTGCACTGGGGATTGCGGCGCGGAAACCTCTCGTTGCTTGCCCTTGCCCTTCCGGTCAGGCGGCGGACGTGTCTGTGGCTGGTCCTGCGACTCCTGAGCTTGCGCCAGCGCAGCTCTTGTCTGCCTCCTCGTCCTCCCCGTAGTACCTCTCGTGGATGCAGCGCTGCCCGCCGAAGCCGATGCGCCCACCCTCCGTCTCTTCGGCACCGGCTTGTCCAGCGCAGAGGCAGCGGCGGCGGCAGCGCGTCTCCTCGGCGATCTCTTCAATCTGGGAAGCTCCTCTTCTTCCTTCTCGGTATCACCGCCTCCGTCGCCGTTTCCATCGTAGTCCTCGTCCGCCATCATCGTCCGCGCAGCCGTCGCCGCACTCAGCAACGAATCCAACGGCGTCGCGAGAACACCCTGCGTCCTCCCGTTCCTCCCTGGCGTCCTCCCGCGCGCTGCACTTCTTCCTTGGCCCACGCCGGGAGCCGCCTGCGCCTGCGCCCTTCCCGCCGGCGGCGTTCCCGGCATCGGCCACACTGGCACCATCATCGCCGTGCCCTGCGGGACCTGCGCCGGCATCGCGCGCCCGCCAGGTGGACTGGGCACCGCCTGCATATACACATAGCCCGGCACATACGGGTGCCCCGGTACAGAGCCAGGAGCGACGCGCACTTGTGGCGGGGTCGCCGTGAGCTGATACGGCCCCGTCGGGTGTGTGTACGGGACACCTGCGTGTGCTGCGCTCGCGCTGGGGCTCGTCGCGGCGCCTGGGTAGATCGACGGCCCCGGCTCTCCTTCACCCGGCACCCACGCCCCCTGCCAATCCGGGTGCATCCCGAACACGACGCCCGACGCGCGCTGCGCCTCTTCTTGCGCCTGCCTTGTTGCGTCTGCCTGACGTCCCTCGCGCTCGCGCTCCTTCATCAGACCTGCAGCAATCCCCGCGCGGACTCGCCCGATCTTGCGCGCTGCCGTCAAGATGCACTCCGCGCGTGCGTCAGTGAGCAGGGGCGCACGCGGTCCAGGCGCCTTGAACCGCGCCTTCTTGTCTTTGCTCTTCTTCGTGTGCTTGTCGGCGTGTTTCAAGCTCGAAGGTTTGAGCGCAGGCGGGGGCATGCTCGGCCGAGATGGGGACGCGAACACATCACCTACGGAATCGAGGCGCATTCGCGAAGGGCCAGCTCCAGGTGTATCTGTAGGTGTGATAGTCAGATCCTGTGGTCGCACACCCTCGTCGGCCGCATGCCGTCCGTTCGAAACACCTCTGGGATTTGTCTCTGAAACGATATCCATCGCATCGACTACGTCGTTCGGCTCCGCTGCTTGTGCTTGGGCGGACACAGCAGAAACGCCGACCCTTTCCTTCTTCACTCGGTCAGTTGACTTCTTCGCCTTCTTGCTAGACTTCTCGTCTAAAGGCGGGAATTGTACTAGGGATGCGTGTTGAAGAACTTCTGGATCCCGAAGGAAATTTGTCTGTATCATGAGGAGAGGGCGTAGACGAGAGAGTTCGGACTCTAGGGCAGAGAGGCGGGTGAGAGTGTCCGAAAGCTACGTCCACAGAATGGTCATACGACATCGAGCGGAGGGAGGGCACGTCGACATATAGCAATTGAATGACATCTCGTGAGCTCAGTCAAGGTGACACAGACCTAGCGGCGTACCTTCTGCCGAAGAGTGTTGTTCTCGTCTCGTAATTGCGCGAGCGCATGCCCAGCATCCTATAAATATGTGGTCAGAATTGGATGAATCGTCATGGCTTGTGGTGTCCGGTGAACAGTCTAGCTTCGTACGATCCAAGTGTACGCGCAAAGGGCATAGTGGACGGTGTGTTTATCCGACAACATATGGGTGATGGCACGTTCGCTGGATCAGTCTTCCTGGACATGCTATGCGCAATTGTCCGTCGCGTTTACGCTTTGTGCGCATATCAGATGCGCTCATAGCGTATATGCGGCGGCCCTCTGCCATAGTGGATATTCAGGAAGACGGTATAGCAGCGACTGCGAACTGTGCCCTGCCTGTAATGGATGGCGACACCGAAAGAGAAGGAAGACATGAGAATATGCACACAGACCTGCAAGCCATCGACATATGCACTATGCACTTACGTAGTCCTTGTCCGCGGGAGGCTTGGCACTGCGCCATTGGCGAAATAGTGCATCTGCACTACGATCCCAGCCTTGTCGCTCGACGTCCCAGCGTGCCCGTTCTTCCTCGAGTCCATGCAGTAGCAGATTACGCTGGAGCGTCAGAGTCGCGATGGTTTCCGCTTGGGAGGCCAGCTGTGATGGGGATGGTGGTACGACGGGATCGGAGGTGAGGCGTAGGACCTAAGTCCAAGCATAGCGTGTGAGATAGCTAGAACCCGATGATAATCATGTCTCGTACCATGCTTGCAAGTTCTCTTTCTAGTGGAGTCGCGTATGGCCTCGCATTAGGTCCTGTAAGTCCGAGCTGCTGTACGCGCTGCCTCATGCCGTTCGCTTCCGACTGATCGAGCGGCTCCGGAGTCGAGAGTGCAGCCTGGGTATCATAGGTATGCATAGAAGCCGCGTGAGGCTGTTGAGGCGGGAGCGCGTCGTCGACATGAGGAGGTTGTAGTTGGGGATCGGGCAAGTGCACATGTGGTTCCGGCGGGAGTGCGACCGTCTGGGGCGCAGGCGACGGCGACATGGGATGCATGATGTCGGAGAGCTCGAGGGCGGGTCCATCGGCGGCCTGCATGGTGGACAGCGCGCCGGGGCAATGAGGAGAGAGGCCGTGCGGACGCGCAGTGGCGAGGAAGAAAGCACCCTGGGGGACAAACAGCCACCAACAACGCCGTCGCCCTCCTTCACGCGATGTGAGCACGTGATGGGACCATTTCCGTGTCGCCGGCGTCTGTCCACGGACGACCACACCGGGTGTAACTTACCCAAAACTTACCTGGGTTGATCAGTAGGTTGTCGCGTTGAACAAGAAATGAGAAAACTACTCGAGGAACATCGCCACTCGTACAGAAATCGCACTTGCCTGAGCCATGTCTACCGTATTTGCCGAACAAGATCCCTGAAACGCCTTGTGAAAGGCGTGAATGGCAGCACTGCAACTGCCACGACGTCGCTCGAGTATGTGATGTTTCCGGCCAGCATGGGGGCTTTGAGGTCGTGGTAGGAGGAGGAGGGACGGCAGTCTAGACCGGGAGCGATCGAGGCCATCACGTGGGGCGCGTCCGGCGCGCGACGAACGCGCTGCTGGGAGACTGTGAGTGCGAGCGGCGAGCGGTGTTTCGTCTCCCAGCGGTCTTGTCTCCTCCTGCCACACACATGCCATCGCCCACCCCGCTTCATCTCCCCCACCCTGATCCCAATGCCCCCGTCCTCCGCACTCCAGTGGTTCCTCCTCGTCCTCCCCGCCGCAGTCCTTCTCGCCTACCTTCTCACCGCCTTCCCCCTCGCCACAACAACCCCTGCCGTCCAGCCATCGCTCGCTACCCTCCCCAAGGACTCGCCCAGTTGGCAGATATATCCAGAGACGTTCTATGACGGCGGCGCATATGTACACTTTCCCCAGGGCTCCGTGAGTCCAGCGATCGAGTGTCGCGCGATCTAAACTCATACGCTTCGATAGGTCCGCTACTGGCTCATAGGGCCAGAGAAGGGTCAGCGAGTGAGTGGTCTTCGTGATACTGTTACTCTTTTTGGATGTAACATGTCTGCAGGTGGTGCTCATCCACGGCCTTTCCGTGCCAGCCATTATCTGGAAAGATGTCGCGCCTCAACTAGCACATAGTGGCATCCGCGTGCTACTCTATGGTCAGCACACTGCTTCACTGCTGTCTCAGTCTCCTCCGCTCACGCCCCCGCGCTGCAGACTTGTACGGCCGTGGCTACTCCGACGCACCACAAACGACCTACGATAGTTCACTATACACAACACAGCTCGCATTGCTCATGCAATACGTTGGGTGGGACAAGGCGCACATTGCGGGCGTCTCCATGGTACGCGCGCTGCCCACGTCCGCATGTCCTCATCTCACCTTAACTTACGGTATTCAGGGCGGAGGCGTCGCGGCAGCGTTCAACGCACAATTTCCCCACCTCGTCTCCGACAAGGTCGCGCTCCTCGCGCCTACAGGGCTCCTCGACCCGACCGACCTCTCGCGGACGACCCGCTTCCTCTCCTCGCCAATCATGCAGCTCTTCACTGCAAGCTGGCCTGTTCGAGTACGTCATTCCCACTCCCCCCTCTCACCCGTTCGGCATGCTGAGCGCTTCGCTTGCGCTGCAGCTGTACATTAGATACCTTGCGAACAGCCACCCAACAGACGACCCCATCGCCGAACTCGTTCGTCTCCAATCGGCGTACCTCCCAGGGTTCAACGCCGCCGTCGCCTCCTCGCTCCGCGACGGCCCCGTACGGAGCCTCGCGCCCGCATACGCCGCGCTCGGGCGGCGCGCCGAGAAGGATAAAACGAGCGTCCTGCTCGTCTGGGTGAGTTCTCCTTGTCCACCTCCGCGGGATCGTGCTGACGAGCGAGCGATAACAGGGCACCTCCGACGCGGTCGTGCCCTACAAGACCTCGAAGCGCGTGCGCACGCTCGTCCCGAGCGCGCAGCTGCTCACAATCGAGGGCGGCAGCCACGACATCACGATCACGCACGCGAAGGAGGTCGGCGCCGCGCTCGTGCGGTTCTTCAAGGGCCAGCCCCTTCCATAGCCCCTCCGCGTGTATGGGGATGAAGGGGAAGGGGCGTCATGTGGTGATATGATAGGTTAGGTCTGCGTCTGTGGACGGTTCGCGCTGTTTAGTTCTATCTTATTGGCTTCGGTCTGTTCGCATTCGATATGCTTAGTGTTCTTCCTCTTCGTTCCATGACGTCTCCCCTCGCCCCTCAGGCTCGCCTACATGTTGACATGATTTTCGCCCCACGTGTACCGAACTGTTCATACTTAGCGACACCCTTTGTTGTTCTCACCAGCTACGCATACATGCACTCCTTCGGGTCAAAAGTACACTTGATAGGATAATGTTACTCGTGACAGATGTTGTACACTGCCCATACGTCTATGTCATATCTGCTGTTGTCATCCTTGTCAGACGACTTACGTTCACAGGTGCGAGTCGCCGTACTGCTGCAGTCTGACTTGAGGCAACGGGGGAGTACGCCCGGCGTGCAGCGAGAACGTCGCGGCGAAGGAAACTATCATTTTGTGTATATCAATGGACTGCGTACGTTACATCAAGACGAGACGTTGAGTGCTCAGAATTACTCGGCCGTTGAATGAACATCACATGGGCGCGATGCCTGCCTTTATGATCATCGTCAAGCAGAGCTGCTAGATCTTGAACGATACACTTGTACCAGCCATAGATACACTTCAAAGGCAATCGTACATCGCTTCAAATTTAGATTCACTGCAGAGCAGGACCCGCACCCAAGATAGGGTTGATGCGGATCTCTTCCTTCACCCACTGCACCAGCAGCCCATCAGCACGCAACCTCCCAGCTCGCAAGAGTCAAGACCACTCACGACGTCTTCCTTATAGAACAAGTCCGCCTCGACGATCTCCCGGACCTTCTCGATGCTCTCCGCGCGGAACATGATAAACGAGCCGTATGCCTTGTGCTCCTCCGGCGGCGCGAAGGGGTTCGAGTCCTCTGTGAGCATCGGCCCCCCGATCTCTGTCCAGCACCTCGTCAGTCATCCAGCTCTCAGGAAAGCGGCAGGTGGTACGCACGGACAGTCCCGTCGGTCCACAAGGACATGAGCCGAGCGACGTGCCCTGGGCGGTGCAGGTTGCGGCGGTCCATCGCCTCTTGCCTGTACGGCGCGGTGAAGACGTAGAGGGGTTGCGGCGCCATCGTTCTGTGGTCGTGGGCCTGTGAGTCTGAGTTCCCAAACCTAGTGTCGTTGTCAGGTCTATATATGCGCGTCGGCGCCTGCACCCAGGGTATCTATGTCAGATGGATGGCCTCAAGCGCAGGCTTCTGTTTGGCTTCTGTGCGCACGGTGCGTCCGAGGCTGACTCAGCGCTGAACTTGGAGGATGCGCGACTGTTCGTGGCAGAGATGGGATGTCAATACGTAGCTCTGATCAAAGGTTGGATGACGTGCGTAGCGCACGCGAGCGTCTCGTACAGCGATTCCTGGGGCGTTATACTTCCGCGTTAAGTACGCTAAGTTCACCATCGGATGCAGCTGCAGCCTCTCCCTATCCCACTGAGCATCACACGCGGTCAGCCTGGTGCCTTCGATCGATATTGTAGGTCCCACGACTCACCACGCCCTCGATCCAGAACGGCTCCGTCTCTATGATCCTCCGCACGCTCTCGAGGCTCTCGCCCTGGTAGACGATGACGGAGCCGAACTTCTCGTGCTCGACGTACGGCCAAGATAGGTCTGCTTCGGTGTTCCACAGCGGGCCCGCGAGTTCTGCGGGAATCGTCAGTCACGGCTGGGCGCGTTCGGAATGAAATGGGACGTACTAACGATGCCCGACGCGATGAGCGGTTCCAAGACGGCTCGGTGTCCAGGGCGAGCAGCCCGTCGCTCGAGAGTGCCTGGGTCTGTCGCATAAGGAGCCCAACTGATGAAGAGGTGCTGTGTCGGCATGACTGGGGGTTAAACGAAGCTGAGGACGAGTTCGGCTACCGACGCACTGTATAGATACGCAATGAATGCTGTTGGCTTTTCTATGTTCGCCATTCCGCGCAGCTCTGCATGAATAATGCTGGTAGATGTTATTCGTCGCCCGGGATGGGACTGAGCGAAGCCCGATGCGATCAGCTGTCCCGCAGACCCCGACGGCTCTCGTCACTGCATAGCATACCCGTACATAAGAAGGTAACGTGCCGTATGTACGAGCTTCCCTGTGCCCGGGAGAGAAGCCGTTTACATTCTCTACTTACATGCACGTAACCGAGGCCTCGGTGTGCTTCGAGACCAGTGCAGCCGTCTGCGAGTGTGGACAGCCCCAGTTACAGCCGTTCGTCGATCAATAGGAACATGAGCCTGTGCACACTTACAGAGGCGGGCAGGTGCCAGACGTCGTGGATAGTGGCCAAGGCTCAAGAGCACTCGATCGACGGCCCCGGAGAGCGAGTATATCACATGCCCTCTCGACAGAAGTGTGGGGTAGCGCCCAGCGTATTCCTCCCCACCGCAAAGTGCTGTATCCATGCACAACGCCCTCCCTCTTCCTCAACCCCCTCACAGTTCTATGTTTCTCTGTCGGCTCTGCCAGCTCTAGACCTGTAATCCTTGAGCAAGATGTCTATTTCCGCCTCCGCCGCGGGGCAGGACTCCTCGCACCCGCAAGCCCCGCGCGCGGGCGTGCCCCGGAACCCGTCCTTCATCCAGTTCACGCCCAAACGCGCCATGGCGTCTTTCGAGAACCTGGTCGCGCTTGCAAACTACGAGGAACGTCTCAGAGAGGCGAGGAAGATCGTATGGCGCGACAGAGGCGAAAAGCCGGTCGAGCTACATGACTTGTGGGAGTGTGCCGAACATGCTGGCCGAGGGGGCATGAGTGCGTCATTCGCGTTTCATAATACTGTATATGTCAAGCTTGACATGAGCCTCCTACACGGTAACCAGGAGCTGGAGGACTGGCTTTTGCCATCCGGGCGGGAGTCAATCTCATCCTGTTGTTGACGAGAATTAAACGGATCCCCGCGTACGTCCACGGCAGTCTCCATTGGTGCAATCTAGGCTGACCGGCGTGACTGCAAAATTTCTCGCGCAACATAATATCATTGCGATGTCGCAGAAAGCACCGCCTCGCCCTCATCCGCCATGCTGCCTTTGGCGAGGACTCGTTCCGTTTTGCCACTATGCTAGGTGCGCCCTCTGTTCTGCGTCTACCGCTCAATCTCCACCGCCATCCCGAACCCTAATATTGCCAGTTTGATGCTCTGTAACTTACGTCCTCGCAGGGTCCTTCGTCGCCATCTACAAGTTCGTCTTGAACGCCCTGCCGATCCTCCTCTCACCACCATCAACTTCCCCTACTCTCCCGCACCACTCTCCCGCACATCCGCGCTCGAGCTTCCATGTCTCAGGGCCGTCAGAGTCACCCTTCCACGAGGAAGAAGAGGATGATCTCGAGATGCAGCCACGCCGCCGGCCTACACGCCAGGCGCGCCTATCTACGAGTGCACAAGCGCACCAGGTATGGGTCCATAAACGGACACGACGGTGGTATTCCGTACTTGCAGGCTCAGCGGCTGGTGCAATCGCCGTATGCTTCGAGAAGAAGTCACGTAGAGTAGCGATCGCGCAGCAGATGTTTGTGCGAGGTTTACAGGGTTCCTTCAACGCCTTCTCGGAGAAGCATGGCGTGAGCATACCGCATGGCGATGTGCTTGTCTTCGGTCTATGGTATGTATCTCGTGGTGTCTGACGAGGAAGGTGCGCTCAAAAGTCTTAGCTGTGGACAGATCATGTATGCGTGGCTTGTCCGACCAGAGACACTTGACAGAGGATACGATATATGGTATGTACACCAATGGCCGTCATGACTCAATCGCTCACGAGACTTGATAGGATCTCAACTGCAAGCAAATGTCTCCCAGAAACCGTCGCGGTCGCGCGTGACTTCGTCCAACGCGGCGTTTTCAACGTGCAGGACATGCAGAAGCTCATCGCCCGACCCGTGCGTCCCCTCACCGCCGTCTGACCGTCCTCCTTACTCACCCCATTCCAGGACACCACCCCAGCGAACCGTGCCACGCTCCTCGCACGCATCGCCCAAGCCACTGCGCCCCCGCCCGCGCAGTCCTTCGGCCCGGGCTTCGTGCCCTGTGCCGCGCTGCATCCCTGGAACGACTCACACGTGCTCACGCAGGTTGAGCGCTTCGTGGACGTCTTCCGGTGGATGCTGCCGATCTATGGGGCGCTGCACGTTATCCCGATGCTGCTCTTCCGAAGGAAGAGGGTGATGAGGGACCCGGTGAACATGCTCCTGAGGGCGGGGTGGGGCACCGCGAGGAGCTCGGCGTTCCTGGGGATGTTTGTGTTCATCTATCAATGTGAGTCAAGGTTGCTCTGACTTGGTTTGTGGCGACGAGTGACGCGCTCCTCGACAGCGATGTTCTGTGTCAAACACAACCTATGGGACTTCCTCACCGACCTGCGCACGTCGCCCTCCACATCCCTCCTCGCCTACCTCGCGCGGCTCCTCCCACAGCGCGTTATCGACGCGCTGATCGTGAAGAAGAGCTTTTACGCTCTCGGGATACTGACGGGGCTGAGCCTGTTCGTAGAGGAGAAGAAGCGCCGCGAAGAGCTTGCCATGTACGTGATGCCGAAGGCACTGGAGAGCGCGTGGTTGATGGCGAGGGGGCGCGGCTGGGTCGGGCGGACAGGTCAGTGGGGGGAGGTGTTGGTGAGTCGTCGTTCTTTCTGCCTGAGTGGGTGTATGCTGATCTGGAACACGCGGTTCAGCTGACGGCGGTAGGAATGGGGATGGTCATGGTACGAAAACATCGCTGTGCCTATTCACAGTCACTGATCACCTGCCTATCCGCTACTAGAGTACCTATCAGGTACGTATATCTATGCGTACCTCCTTGGGCTGAACCTACTGACCGGTCTGTAGAACGACCCACAGCATCTGTCGGGTCTCGTCCGGAGGATTTTGTACCAGTTCGTCGGGCCCAACTAGGCCGCATATAGTGCGCATACTGTATACCACTCGGAGCGTGCAGCTTCCGCTGTTTATATTGTACTTCCCTCAACTCAGCCAGCAGTGCCTTTCCTTTTCATTGTCCAACCCTTCTATCTGCTATAATTCATCTATGCTGTTTTCTAACGCAGCGGACGTGGAGCTGTATGCCTTCGAAGGGGAGCCTCGCCATACGGAAGGTGGGATGAACACAGCAGTATGTCTGTCTTCAAGTGGTTTCTTCGCGTTTGTTGCTCGCAGGGTGTCTTAGTCGTTCTGGGCTAAAGTCTCGGTCGATCAGACTCTGCGTCGTCGTTATGAATTGGTGAGTGGTATATCGACCCGTCTGCAAGATTCTCGCGAAATTTTCTCTGACGAGTGTGCGCTCCCAGATGTAATCATCATGCATCGCTCTTGCACGTGGACTCTGGGGTGAGCCATTGGGCAAGTAACCTTCGTGTGGAAGCGTCCCCGCCTCGCGTCCAGCTCTCAGCTTGGTGCCCAGCATCGATCCCGCACGGTTACGCACGCTCTTTAACAACACATGATACCATTCCTGCGTTCTGACATACATGCAAATGCGACAAGCTACACCCGCTCTCATGCGCCTCGGGCTTTTACATGAGCGAATCCTTATATGCGAGTTGCTCCGCAACCGCCTTCCTGGAAACCAAGGCGTTGTGCCACCTACACAACAATTTTCAAGGTATGAGTCCCAGGGCTCCGACTGCTGAAGCGTTGGACTTACCTGTTCACCGCAGGGTAGTCTTTTTGCAGGTTGAAGTCGGGATGGTCCTTCAAAATGTACCCGAACGCGGCCTGGTTCCATCTACACATACGTAGTCAGCTAGCCGGCAATCGCACGGGAACAAATGGGCGCGTGCGTGATGAATGAGAGATCTGCAATAGTGCACTTCCCGCCGACGAGCCACTCCTGCTTGGCTAGGACACTTTCGAGGACACCTAAGACGCGGATGGCCTCCTTCTGGTACCGCTCGACAGCGCTGGGGACCTTCTCTGGGTGGAATTTTGAGAACCAGACGGCCTGGCCAAAGTACGGGCTGTGTGGCGGTCAGACGTATTCGCGGCATGCAGTTGCGCGGTACTCACCCTTGACCGGAGGCCTGGAAGAAGAGCCATTGTAGTTGCTGCATCTTGTCGTCGAGGTTCGACGCTGAGATCTTGTGCTCGGTGTCGTACTTCTCGACGAGGTACGTCATAATCGCGTTGGACTCCCTTGGTGTCCGTTCAGTTCAGCCATGAACACTCGGTTGAAGGACACGAACGTACCAGATGGTGAAGTCGTTGTTAGCGTGGTCGATCAGCGTTGGGATACGGCCGTTCGGGTTGTACTTCGTGTACTCCGGACCCTTCTGCTCTTGCTTGCCAAAATCCAGATACTTCGGAACGTATTCCAACCCCAGTTCTGCGAGTGTGAAGGCGACCTTCCTACCGGTACAAACGACATCAGCGCGTGGCTTCTCCCACAGATACTCATCCAGGCTAACCATCCATTAGGACCGCCAGCGTGAGTGAAGAGGGTGAATTGCTTTCCGTGAGACATCCTGGGCTGATTGCTAGCGGGTGCGACTTGAAAGGTGCGTAGAATTTATCAGAGGCCTTAGACTGTTTATGCTCATGAACCGTCGCGCTGCTTTATATAGGTTCGCACCGTCGGCTCGCCCCTGCGCAGGCTGCTGATTCATAATCTGTAGTCTGAGTCATGACAGGCCCCTTAGATCAAGGCTAAATTCCTTCTCCGCAGACGATCTGCATCCATAATACGACAGCTGGTGTCATTCGCTTTACGCAATTGACGCCTGTGCAACTGCATGTCGTCTACACCTTTGGATTGTGTAAGCTGGGCTGCATAAGTAGTAGCGCCCAACAGAAGGAACCTTGGCAGTTGCGTCTGCCAACATACATATATTAGGTCCAACATAGCGGTGTGTGATCATTTGCAAGGTGTCGTACCAGTCCTCAAGTCATGATTCGTCAGTAACAGCGACACCTGTATGTGGAGTTTGAAGACTCGCTCCGCATGGTATGCCGCTGGGCCAGATAGCCAAGCACAGGGGAGCCGACAGAGCAGCGAACTACATCAAGTTCCGCCGCTGACGATCCACGGCGGACATGTCCATACCTGGACGCGACCCGTCGGGCCCTGATCACAACTGATCTGGCCATCGGGATATGCACGCAATCTAATCTGAGACCCATCTGAGAAGGTTGAGGTATCCACATTCAATGAACTGTCACGATGGATCGGAGGATGCATATGGGGTATGGTCGACTGAGCATTCGCGCACCCCCTCAGAGATGATTCCAGTAGTAAGTATGAGATGGACGATGATTATTTCAGTGGAAGTGGTTGTTCATCTACACGACAATGCTGATAGTTGCTCTATATGCATAGACAATGACATCACGTCTGCTCTTCGAGAAGCGACTGCCTCAGCTTGATTTGCTCGGCGATTGCGTGCCGCTTGAGCATTGCATTGTGCCATCTGTAGCTGCGGTAAGTATCATGCACATAGTGATGGTTTGTACGTTGCCCACTCACTTGGTAACGGCAGGAAAGTCTCGCTCAAGGTTGACGTCAGAGTCGTCCGTCGAAAGTCGACGGAATGCAAATATGTTCCAACTGCGGGGATCGGTGCAAACCGAAATCATTCAGCAACAGTGCTATACCAAGGATCCAGGGACCGGCGTACGGGACGAAAGATATATCAGCAATGGTGCACTTTCCGCCAACGACCCAATCTTGCTTGGAGAGTACGCTCTCGAGCACCCCAATGACACGGATGACTTCCTTGCGGTAACGCTCGATGGCGCTAGGTATCTTCTCTGGGTGATAGCGTATGAACCAAGTGGCTTGTCCATAGTATGGACTATGAGAACGGTCAATCAAGGGCTTTGTCTACTCGCAGCAGATAGATCACCCTTGTCCCGATGCCTGGAAGAAGAGCCACTGCAGCTGATGCACTTTTTCATTCACAACCGAAACAGAGATCTTGTGCTCGGTGTCGTACTTCTCGACAAGATACAGCAAGATCGCGTTAGACTCCCTGCCAAAGGGACAAGTGAGTTCATCGCAAGGCCTTCGAAACGTGTACTATCGCCTGCCAACGTACCATACGACAAAGTCATTGTTCGCGTGGTCGATCAGCGTCGGGATGCGTCCGTTCGGATTGTACTGCGTATGCTCAGGACTCTTCTGCTCTTGCTTACTGAAGTCAAGGTACTTCGGCTCAGCAACTTTCCTGCAGACGAGGTAGTATATCAATAACAGAACCTAGGCAGCGAGACTGAACGAACCGTCGCAACTCACCAGCCATTTGGGCCTCTGACGTCAGTGAACAAAGTGAAGTGCTCCCCGTGCGACATATCCAAAGCTCGACGATGGAGGGATGTTTCTGACTTGCGGGTGGTTGTATAAGGCGATTGTAGTACTGGACGAGGCCGACTTTCCTATCTTTAAATACACTGGTAGGCGCGTCATTGGAAGTATCTGACTCGACCCGGTTGACTCGATCGCAGCCAATGACGCACTTATTAAGCTCTTTCCGCAGCGGATTATCAATGTGGAAGGGCGGGATCTTCCTAGCGCTGTCAAACAAGTTGTTGCGGTGAAAGAGCGCACCAACTCTCGCCTCCGAATCATCGAAAGCGCATCGTTAACAGATCCGAGACAGCGGAGGGTAGATCCTGTGTGCGTGCATAGTATTATTCGAATCCCAGCACATATTGCAGCTGTCAGCGAGCTTGGCTGAATCATGCCCGAGAAAGCCAGAACCCACCTATCCGTTACTAGTATATCACGACCACTTGCTACGATCCCATGTCCGGAGAGTGATACCGCGCCTAAACTGCGCACATTGACTACCATGACCTCCACAATGATACTGGCCTGACTTGGGCGTCCAGATGATGCGGAGAAATCCTGCGTACGGCCGCCGTGAATGGCTTCATGAACTGCCTCGCTCCGTTCCGCCCATGAGGTTATCTGGAATTCAATGCCGACAGGTGAGTCACGCAATACGCTCCTGAGTTATCCAAACCAGCTTTAGATCGTATGCACATTTATCGGAAGCACATAGTGTGACCAGCGAATAGTAGCCTTGTACGGACGTAAGGAACTCCGACAAGTCTACTACTTGCTTCGCTGTCGTCCGCCTACGCCAGTGACAACGATCACGTATCTTGTTTCACCTCCCTCGTTCAATCAAAGCAGCCTCCGCCGGGGCCGCAATCTTCGCCACTGACTCGCGGGCAAACATGGCGCGGTGCCACCTACTCTGTGTGAGCTACGTTTATCGCGCGGCACCTTTCGATGCACTCACTTGTAATACGCAGGATAATCCTTTGGGACGTCTACGTCAGGACGGTTCTTGAGGATGACCCTCAACGCATACAAGTTCCACCTGATGCGTAGCCACGAATTTGTCAGTCAACGGTAAGCAAAGGGATCTGCCCAATACGCACGGGACGAACGAAAGGTCGGCGATGGTGCACTTCCCGCCGACGAGCCATTCGCGCTTGGACAACACACCGTCAAGGACGCCGAGCACACGGATCGTCTCAGCCTGGTAGCGTGCGACGGCACTGGAGATCTTCTCGGGGTGGTAATGCATGAACCAAACCGCCTGTCCGAAGTATGGGCTGTCGTCCTTGCGGTCAAAATCGCACTAGACACTGCTGGGATAGGAAGGAAGCGGTCTGTGCTCACCCTTGGCCGGAGGCCTGGAAGAACAGCCACTGAACTTGTTCAAACTTCTCATTGAAGTCCGAGACGGATATCTTGCGCTCAGTATCATACTTCTCGACCAGGTAGAGCATGATCGCATCCGACTCCCTACGAGCACGCGTCGGTTTCCGTTCTCAGAGCGAATGCGCGGGATATCACTCACCACATGACAAAATCGTTGTTCGAGTGGTCTATCAGGGTCGGAATACGACCATTCGGGTTGTACTTGGTGTGATCCGGCGCCTTCTGCTCTAGCTTGGTGAAGTCAAGGAACTTCGACTCGTACTCCAAGCCCAGCTCGAGGAGGACAAAATCGATTTTCCTGGTGCATGTACGCGTGTTTGTGAGAGTAACGCGAGAAAACGAAGTAGACATACCAGGCATTGGGCCCCGTTAGAGAGCTGATCAGTGTGAACTGCTTTCCGTGAGACATGGTCAAGTGTGTACGAGGTTCCGATCCCTGTGTGAGATGTGCAACTCCCAGCCGTGCAAGTACTGATTCATATACTGTCGGTTCACGAGCGCCTCGACTATACGCACTTCTCTCGATTGCAGGTTGGATGGATGAGTAAGATATCTTACAAATACACTGCTTCTGCGTGTGACCGAGTCATACCCGCGTATTGCGTGCGCGAGCACTGTTGTCCACGATCAACGGCCGAGTTCGCTGTCGTCAGCATAAACTGCGAAGGAGATTTGGCTCAGAGACATGACAGGGCTTTGCGACGCCTTCAGGTTACGAATTCTCGTGAACATCTTAGTAGTTGGTGACCCGGTCCTGGGTTTTTCTCAGTACGTAGTTACTAGTGTATATAGCCACGCCGGACACACCTCTACTGGCCCTTGTGTATCACTGGGCGCGTCTTCAACATACCCCGGATGGCATGGCTCAGATGACGCCAACCCTACAGAACATGCGCAGAAGTGATGAGTGAGCAGGATCATGCTTACACATTCGATGTGCTTTGTCAGTCTCACCTCGCTTCAATATGCGTCAACGAGAACGGTACATACAACCAAGAGAATGCCACCGAGACACAGAGGCGTTCAATTTTCCTAGGCCGTCGAACGGACTCTTTCATGATCGAGTATCTTTTGAGTATTTGTTCGGTGTCTGAAACGCAATTGCTGATTAGTTGAAGACTGCGGTCCCTCCTAAATTACGAGTAATAGCGAGTGGAGGACCTATGCAGCATTGGTCAAACAAAACCTTCGGCGCTTGTTTAATGTGGCATCAGGTGGCATCGCCACCGGAAGGGATCTGAGATCTCTCGCCCGATTTCCTCCTGAGGCTTAGTGGAAATTTCAACTGACGAGATGTCGAATTCTGCCTACTGAGTTATGATGGTTCAAACGTTCATGTCTGATACTGTATGCGCACTTACCCGCAGAACCCCAGTGAGTATTGCATGAGTACACCGAATCGCCTTCCGTACCGCTCGATCGTTCTACTGGGGCCTTCTAAGGGTGGCGATGCCTAGCCCAGCCAGCCTGTTTATGAGGAGCCCGTATCGTCGGCACCGGTAAGCTCCACTGGCGCGGTGAGTGCAGCGTCGACGGATCACTTCATATTGGGGACTGGAGGTATTGACGTCGAAGGAATCCAAGTATAGCGGAAACAAACGATTGTAGTACTAAGTGACCCAGACAGGCGGTCATATCTATCGCCAGATCCCCGAAGTGATCAAGGCAGCCTCCCTTGCTGCGACAATTCCCGCCACCGATTCTCGCGCCAGCATCGCGAAGTGCCACCTACTCGGAGTCAGCGGTGCCTGTCACGAGCCATCTTTCGCCAAACTCACCGGTAGAACGCGGGATAGTCCTTTGCCACGTCTAATCCAGGATAATCCTTGAGAATGCTTCTCAACGCCCAATGACTCCATCTAATATGCAGCCACCATAAGGTCAGGATACGGTAAGCGGGATTGGGTCAAGTACGTACGGGATGAACGAAAGGTCGGCAATGGTGCACTTCCCGCCGACAAGCCACTCGCGCTTGGACAAAACGCCGTCCAGGACGCTGAGCACACGGATCGTCTCTTTCTGATAGCGCTCGATGGCACTCAGGAGCTTCTCCGAATGGGAACCCATGAACCAGACGGCCTGTCCAAAGTACGGGCTGTTGTCGTTTCGGTCAGGCTGGGCACATAGGGCAGGATGGTAACGGTCGAGGCTCACCCTTGGCCGGACGCCTGAAAGAATAGCCACTGGAGTTGCTCGAATTTCTCGTTCGAGTCGTTGGAGTCCGAGACGGATATCTTGTGCTCGGTGTCGTATTTCTCGACCAGGTATAGCATGATCGCGTTGGACTCCCTACAAGGATTGATCAGCGTTGTTTCTCCGAGTGCACGTAGTGATGCATACCACACAACGAAATCATTGTTCGAGTGGTCTATCAAGGCCGGGATTCGACCGTTCGGATTGTAATTAGTGTATTCCGGCGCTTTGTGGTCTTGCTGGTTGAAGTCGAGGAGCTTCGACTCGTACTCTAAGCCCAGCTCGGCAAGGACAAAATCGATCTTCCTGGAGCACGGACGTGTCGGTTTCAGGTCATCGCGAAGAGACGAAAATTACATACCAGCCATTGGCACCCGTGCCATGTGTTTGTAGTGTGAACTGCTTTCCGTGAGACATGGCCAGAAGTTGTCGGCGGGCGAGGTTACAATCCCTGTACGAGTTGTGAGCCTATCCGCCCTGCACTGGTTCATACTTATACTGCATGTCCATGAGCGTCTTGAGCTCGTCAACGCCTCGATTACGAGTTCTATGAATAAGACGCACCTTACAAATCTACCGTTCATTCAATGGTCGTATACTATGGCGCATGAAGCGCGTCTTCTGCATATCCCCTCGTGGTCTCGATGACCAAGAGCCAACCCCGCGGCAACGTGCTCGAGTTGATGAGTGAGCACGGTTACTTACAAATATCTGAGCATCTGCATCCATGTTTACTGTCAACTAGAGCGGAGCCGAGGGCGCACTGGAATCTTGCCCTCAAGCTGCCGCATGCACGCATCCCGATTGTTCAGAAACAGTCAGCCTCTCAATATCAAGGCCAGACTGACCGTGCTGTGTCTTGTGTGGTCCTGCAGATCTAAGTGTATGAGCTGAGAAGCACCTTCAGATAGATCATCGTGAACAACGGCGAGTGAAGAACCTTGCAGTTTAGCGGCCATGCAAGAGTCTGAAAGTGCTGCGGCCAGATCATAGTAAGGTTTTGCGTGACGCGCAGACTCCAACCCAATGTCGAGAATGACAATCATCGCAGCAAAATATACTGGGCGATTGATTGGTACCAGTCGACCACTTGTACATATATCCGGAGGCCTGAGGATGGTGGTGGCTGTCGTTGAACGTTGAACGAGGGAGCCCGGGCCGCAGCCACCGGGAGCGATCTGAGATCTCCAATGGTGGTGTAAGCGCCCAGCAGGACCTGCTGTTTCGAGGGGCACTTGGTCGTCGCTTCGAGTTCGCTACCGCCCTCACTTTTATGCGCAGTCCTTTCGTATCCCGCCTCTTCAACGCCAAGATACCGGGGACCCGAATGTTTGCGATGCGCAAGGACAGGAGTTTGCGGGGTCAGGACTGGTGTCTATCGAGGAACGTGTGTAGAGCGGTGTTCATATCCGAGTTTCCCAGAGCGTGCGCTTCCAGCAGTCTCTTCACGTCCGCTACGCTGTCCGTGTCTGCCGTGGCTGCTCCTTCGTCCTGCCCATGTCCAAGTCCAGGAGACACTCGCTTGACACTGGCAACGGCCTCCCAGCCCCCGCAACAGCGGCCCACGCAGGCTACCACCATCATATTCATAAGAACCCCCGCGCCGTCCACCATGCGGCACCGCACAGACCCATCCAAGGACGCCGCATCCCTCGCCCGAAGATGACCACGCTCCTTTGCGCTGCGCTCGCTTTCTATGCATTCTGCGGCTATGTCGCACTGGGGAGGACGTCGTCGCCTGAGGGTGGAATCGTCGACGTTGAGAACACGGAGAGCAACCTGACGTCGGATAGATCGGTATTCGGGGCGGACAGTACGAGATGGGCACAGTACGCTCCTTATTTCCCCGTAGAGCCCTATGCTGCGCCGCCAGCGAGTTGTGAAGTAGACCAGGTGAGTCTCCGCATTCCATTGAAGCACTCGGCTTCAGACGGTGATACGACGTATACTGACGCTCTCGTCGCACTCAGGTCCATATTGTGCGTCTCATGCGCCCAAAAGGTTATGGGCATCAGGCTCATTGAAGTGCGGGCAGATTCAACGCCATGGTGCCCGCTATCCGACCAGCGGAGCCGCGGCGCGCATACAAGCTGCACTCGCGAGACTACAGACAGCAACGATCCTGAGCGATTCCTCTCTCGCCTTCGTCTCAAATTATACCTATACGCTTGGGGAAAACTCTCTTGTACCTCTGGGAGCGCAAGAGTGAGCGTCACGAACACCGGTTCAGGCATACGGCAGAGACGTCATCGATTCTATACTAATCGTGCTTGAGTGTAGGTCCTATGACGCGGGCCAGGAGGTCTACACGCGGTATCCTTCGCTCGTGGACGCGGATCGGCTGCCATTTGTGCGCGCGTCTGGGAGCGAGCGTGTCGAGCAGAGCGCGACGAACTGGACAGCAGGTGCGACATTAGGCCGACATGGTATGAGAACTGCTACTGACTTCAATATGGACAGGTTTTGCCGCGGCGAACAGCGGCGTCTACGTACCGGTGCTCTCTCTCGTCATTTCGGAAGAGGTGTGTGATCCTCCCCTTCGTCTTGTCCTCCCATCTAACTCACCACTCCCCAGGGCAACGACACGCTTGACGACGCGTCCTGCCCGCAACACATCAGCTCCCCACTGCCCGACGCATACATCGACATCTACGCCGCGAACCTCACTGCTGAGCTCAACGCCGGCGCGCCGGGCGCGAACCTCTCTAACGCAGACACGCACGCGCTCGTGACGCTCTGCATGTTTGAGAGCGTCGCCAGGCAGGAGCGGAGCGCCTGGTGCGACTTGTTCGCGGGGCTGGACGCGTGGGATGGATTCGAGTATTGGGCGGACCTGGACAAGTACTACGGCACCGGGTGCGTATCTCCACCTCCCTCCTGTCTCTACACCGACACCGACTCACCCGTCTCTGGCCTAGATACGGCAACGCCCTCGGCCCCGTCCAAGGCGTCGGCTACGTCAACGAGCTCGTCGCGCGGCTCACCTCCACCCCCGTCTCCGACAGCACCTCCACCAACCGCACGCTCGACGCCTCGCCCGCGACCTTCCCCCTCAACCGCACGGTCTACGCGGACTTCTCGCACGACAACCTGATGATCCCTGTCTTCGCCGCGATGGGCCTGTTCCCAACAGACCCGCTCGACCCGGCGCGGGCGAACATCGGTGCGGGCGTGTGGAACGTGAGCAGGATGGTGCCGTTCGCGGGGAGGATGGTCGTGGAGCGCTTGGCGTGCGGGGAGGGGTACGAGCCCGCCGATGGTAGTGCGGACGCGGAGGGGAGGTATGTGAGGGTATTGGTGAACCAGGCGGTGCAGCCGCTTGCGTTTTGCGGGGCGAGCGCGGATGGCGTGTGTGGTCTGGGTGCGTTCGTGGATAGCCAGGCGTTTGCGAAGAGTGGAGGGAATGGGACGTGGGATGCGTGCTTCGAGGCAGCAGCAGCCTAAAAGGGTATGTGTGCGGTGATATTTATGGCCATGCCATAGATGGGCATAGAGCAGATCTAGTATATGATAGAGCACGTCGCTTGGACATCACTTAGTCCCGTCCTGTGCGACTGCTGTGAGTCGCACTGGGGGCTGCACTAGTAGGTGAGCATTCGTTTTGCGTAAGCAACTGACCGTGTTGACAAAAGTCAAGTACTGTAGGTGAGTCAAGGGAGTCTGGCGCGATCACTGGTGACCGGGCACTGCACTTGGCGTGAACCGTCCCTCTGTCTTGTACGTACTCCTGCGGAGAAAGAAGCAAAGGAATGATGCCCGTGGGCATCAATCCTCTCACCATGAGGTCACTCAACGCGGCGGCCTCCTCGAGCGTGTAGTCCATGAATAGACACACCATGAATAGACATGACACGGCGCCCGTGTCTCGTCCAGCACAAAGGTACGTAGGACGAAATTTCTGATTATCAGTCGCTGACGGGTGCCCCTCACACTATAGCCCTGTGCTGCTGGATCCCAAGCTCCTCGCTGTTTCACATTCGACCATGCTGCACTTGACGAACGTGCATCCAGCCACAGACATTGTAGGCGCCGGTGAAGCCATCGGCCCTTCTACGGAATGATGCTATACGTACGATCGCCAGCGACGTACGAGCTTCAGTGCGTTCCAAGGCACAGTAACGTCCACAGACGCTTCGGCATGAGAACTGACCTGCAAGGAAGCAGGCCCGTGACCGACTCTCCCAGATGTGGAAGGGATAGTTCCATTCTCCATACTCACGAATGACAGCTTTCCATGAATGATTCGCTGGACACCGCTTGCTGCTGCTGCCAACAGTCCCGCCCATCGCATGGGTGGGCCGTAATGCCGTCCAAGTCCTTGCATGCTTGCGTCCCTACCTCCGCGCATAAAGAGAGCGCGTCGCAATGTCGCATCTGACGGCTTCGTATCGCCCTCATCCACAATCCACCCGCCCTCTCATCGTCTCCAAAATGCTCGTAGGCACCAGCCTACTCGCCCTCGCCGCTCTGGCGCATGATGTGCTCGCCCTCCCCAGCGCTGCCCAGTCCCCATCCGCAATCAGGATCAGGAAATCGACAGCTACGAACACCACTGGGGTGTTCGGACCTGACAGCACGATATGGGCCGAGGACACACCGTACTTCCCCGTAGCAGACTACGTCGCACCGCCGTCCAACTGCGAGATCGACCAGGTAAGTCTCAACCGTCTCTCTGTCTTGACTGAGCTGCAGAGCGTTCGGCTTTGCGTCCGCCGAAGAGAAGGAGGGTGCTGTCCCACGGTGTCGTCTTCGACCGCGTGCTGTTCATTAGCGGCGTCCCGAGGCCAGGTCAAACGTTCGTACTTCCCCACATGGGCGAGTTCCGCCAATCTGGCCACAGATCGCCCGCCGGTTCTGCGGATAGAGCTGCGGCCCTGGATGCAGCGTCAATGCGGACATAATGCGCCGGCGTTCTTGTATTGAATGTGAATTCGGCTGACCGAGTCGGCGGTTCATTACGCAGGTCAACATCGTGCGTCCTTGATTTACATTTCTGAGCGCGGAGGAGACTCACGTCGGACCAGCTTGAGCGCCATGGAGCGCGCTATCCGAAGAAGAGCCCGACCAAGAAAATCAAGTCTGCGCTCAAGAAGCTCCAGAAGGTTACAATCACCGAGACTTCAATGCAGTTTATCAGCAATTTTACGTACGACCTTGGAGAGGATGACTTGACGCCCTATGGAGCCTTGCAGTCAGTCGCTTTGAGCGCACTCAATGGGGAAGAGGACTTGACGTGTTGCCCTTAAATATAGGTCCTATGACGCTGGTGTGGAAGCGTATCAACGATACACTTCTCTTGTGGAGGCGAATGGCCTACCATTCGTACGCGCATCGAGTAGCCAGCGTGTCGTCGATTCTGCTGGTAATTGGACAGCAGGTGAGTTACTGTGCAGAAAACATCCTGTCTATCGGTGTTGAAGACAGACAGGATTCGCGGCTGCAAGTAACTCGGTCTACACGCCCGTACTCTCAGTCATCATCTCGGAAGATGTGAGCAAGGCATACCACGTCGTGTCAATTGTCTCACGCACATATGCAGGGGAACGATACCCTGAACGACGGCTCCTGTGCTGCTCTGTCCGACTCTGATTCTCCGGGCGACCAAGAAGCCGCATGGATAGACATATACACCGTCAACATCACCGACTATCTCAACGCAGGCGCACCTGGAGCAGGCCTTGACAACACAGACACGCAATACTTGATTGAACTCTGCCCGTTCGTGACCGTGGCGAATTCCGAACGGAGCGAGTGGTGCGATCTCTTCAGTTCTCTGGACGCTTTCCCAGGCTTCGAGTACTACGGGGATCTGGACAAGTACTATGGCACTGGGTGAGCGAGTGCATGATTCGCGGGTGAGACAGCACTCACTCACGGCTGCGCAGGTGGGGCCAAGGCGACCTCGGTCCAGCTCAAGGCATCGGCTACACCAACGAGCTTCTCGCCCGACTTACCAACACCGCCGTCAACGACAGCACCTCGACCGACACCACGCTCGACTCCAATCCAGCCACCTTCCCTCTGAACCGCACGTTCTACGCGGACTTTACCCATGACGATCTCCTTATCGCCGTATACTCCGCAATGGGCCTCTTCCCCACCCCAGCGCTGAACTACTCGAGCCCCGATGACCAAGAGACGAGCGCGTGGCGCGTGAGCGAGATGACGCCCTTCGCCGCGAGGATGGTCGTGGAGCGGATGAGCTGCAGCGACGAGTCTGGCAGCGGGGACGGCGAATATGTGAGGGTGCTCGTGAACCAGGCGGTGCAGCCGATGCCGTCCTGCGGCTCGGACGATAATGATTTGTGCGCCCTGGATGCCTTCGTGGAAAGCCAGGCGTTCGCGAGGAACAGTGGGTATGGGATCTGGAACGAATGTTCTGATTGAACATGTGTATTAAACGCTTAGTTGGCATGTTACCACGATACACGGGGCAACACTGGGCAGAGTGATCTCATGAACGATTGCGGGTCTAGCACCTGTCAAGCATCCACTTCGACGGCCGATGGGGCGGTAGGTTGAATCTGATGCACAGCTGCTAGACTTTCCGAACGGCGTTCGAGGGACTTGACAATTTGTTGTTCAAATGCAGTGCGTCTCTAGACACTGCTCCTAGGTTTCTGGTTAATTTACATAATGAACTGCTAGTAACTGCAACGAACCAAAGGCATCTTGGTGATTGGTCCCGGTCGATGTCGACGGCCGAATCCCGGGGCTTCAGCGAGACTCTAGACTTACTTACTGAGACCTGACATGTGCATTCGATCGTTGGCTGTAAAAGATATTCCGACAGCATGGCCTCCTCCGTTTTTTATACATATGTTGCAATGGCGAAGCACGCGCCATTCAAGTTCTCCGCCAATTGTGAGCTTGCTGGCGGAAAACCTCCGCCTCAACCGCATGGAAGTCGGGATACTATGCATAGCGATGCAGATCAGAATCCCTTATATGAGCCTCTATGACCGCAAGTCTCGTAACACAGCCGCAAGCAGGCTAGAAGAGAATTGCAGTGCCCGAAACAAAGAGGGCTGCCGCAGCGAGGTGAGTTGATTGACGGACCTGCCTATTTCAGCACTGCAGTCTGCTACGGATGTTGCCGAGAATGAGTTCAGTCCAGATGGCTCGGCGTTCATCCGGACATCATCAACTATACTATCCTACTACGAGTGCCCCTTTGCTTGCTTTGTATATGGTTCTTCATACAACCCTAATCTATCCAACCCTTATGCCTTGAAGGCCTCGTCGACGGAATTTCTGAGCGGTCTCTCCTTGGTCGGTGCCGTAGGCGGGATTAGTGCCGCATCATGATCAGGTTCGTTGGATCAGCAGAAAGGGGATGACTATCATTCTGAGATCTGAACCTTTGGATGGCCGGAGCCATCGCGCCCGGTAAGTTATGTCTTCATGGCCTAATCCTGCATACGCTCAGGCACAAGCATTCCTTTCCGTTGACCCGCAAATTGCCCACACTGCCCGCGCATTCACATATGAGCGGTCAATGTCAGCTGGTACCCCGATGTTCCAGTCTGCAACAGGCTCAATATGTATGTAGACCGTGCACCGCGAGAAACTCAGGCCCTCGTTTGTGATACCATATCCGCCGAATTGGATTGGTTCCGAGTACATGGGCTAGAGCAGTGGCTGTGTACATTGATCTCGCCGAATCTTGCAGCGCGGCCTGTATCCTATACGTGCTCCTCAATAGCAGCAGTATACAACGCTCCTCGCGACCCGTGGATGGCGTCACAGTATGTAACGTCTTCTATTTCTGGAGACTACAGCGTATACGGACCTACATGTCCGCCGCAGTGGAATGACAACAGATGGTCAGGACGCAAAGTCTGAATGGGTAGCCCTGGAGCGCTCTATCTATCCAATGCCTACGTTTTTTCCCCGATGGAGCGGCGGCACTGTTTCACGCCGACGTCCGATGTTGTCGAATGCTCCTGTAAGTCCACACTTTGCTCTGCTAGAACTGCTGACATGGGCAGGTACCGCGACGGTCGCATCTTCGTTCCTGGCCTCTTTGACCTCTCGAACAATGGAAGCGTGTTGCATTCTATTCGCGAGAGGATCCCTCGCGAGTGTCAGCCTCAAGTCAGCCTTACGACTCTTGACAAAGATCGTAGTCATAGCAGGCGTCAGTTTGTTCATTCGTGCTCACTAAAGCCGTCCGAGGATTCTTCCGCAGCATTTCGACGCCTTTGTCAGACTGTCCTTGTTCTCCATGAACGGAGAATTCTCGCACACATGGGTACGCAGTTCGCTTTTGCTCCTGACTGCCCATTCTGACCACCGGGTGCCAGGAACCGTTCCACAGCCAGGGCAGTCCACATTCCTTCTGCCGCAACGATTCAGGACGGACCTGACCACATCGCCGCTCACCATGAATCATACCCGACGCAGAGATTCTGGAATCGGTCTCAATGTGTCTGTATCGGATGGACAATCACGCGTAGATCCTGTCAAGCTGAGGGCTCCAGAGGTCGGAAGGTCGGCAGCACGGATTCTACATCCGCGTTGACATGTCATTCTCGTGCCTGTACGACTGAAACACCACATGCGGGGCAGCGATAGGTATAAAGAGCACTGGGTTTACTCAGATGAATCAACGAACTTTCACCCACTTCGAGCCTCACTAGTAGCTCCCCATTGGGAAGTCATTACCTCGACATGCTCTTCCAGACTGTCCTCACAGTCAGTGCTTTCGCCACAGTGGCCTTGGCGAATCCCAACTATTCGACACTCACGAAGCGCGTCACGGGGCAATCCGTCGCCTTCGCCTGCTACGGCGGTGGCGGAGACTGCGAATGCCCTGTCGACGTTACGGGGGACAGCGGCGGCGTGCTCATCAACGTCTACCCCGGGTTCCAGTGTGCCTATGCTGGCGGCGCATGCACTTGGGATGACAACGTTAGTTTTTAACCTATTGATTCGCACAAGTTCACCCAGATTGTCCTCTACAGACTGGCGCCCTCCAGAACACTGGGCAGACGAACTGCCCGACCGTGGCGCCCTGCAGCACCTCCAGCGGCTGCGAATGTCCGGTTGACCTCAATGGCGACATCGGTGTCTTGATCAACCAGTTCACCGGCTACCAGTGCGCGTACGTTCACGGCGCATGCACTTGGGACTACGTGAGTCGGAATACACTTTGCGTGGCGCCGTCGGCTCATGCAACCATTGTCTAGCTCGGGAACCTTCAGAACACGGCGCAAACAAACTGTCCGACCAGCCAGCCGTGCGCACAGTTGGCTGGGGATTCTTAGTTCTGTGTTCTTGTCGGGAAAAGGATAGTTTGACTGCTGGGCACAGTGGGCCAATCGGACTTCTTATTCTAGCCTTGCTCATTATGTAGGTTCGACACAAACCCCTAATAACGCCGTGTGGAGGGTTTTGGTTTGAGACTACCTCGATCATCATGTTTGCCAGATCGAGGGATTGGCCGCGAGGGGCAGTACTAAGTAGTAGGCCGGCGAATCCCGTCGCACTAGGCTAGTCATTCTCGTCAGTGCGTGACTCCGATAGTCAGCTCTCCGTCAGTCAATATTTGTCCGGAAACATCGAGTTCTACGAACATAGTGGCGGTTGGAGTGTTGCCGTTCATTCGTTACATGACCTTGCCTCCGCGCTACGCTGCCAGTGCGAATCAGCTTCAAATCTCGGGAGGCGCTCGCCCTGAGCCTACTGACCGATTGATCGATCACCGGTCACCACCCGATATACCGCGAGCAATCGTGTTTGCTTCCGCGATACTTACCTCCTCCCGGGCCCATTCCATTGACTCCAGGCATCATTAAAGCAGAGGCTTGACCAAGACGTACGTCCCAGTCACTCCTGTTCCGCAAGGGGAAAAGGCGTGACAGCATCGCATAGAGGAGTACGCGGCCATTGGCAGTGGATGTCCATGCCAATATTCACCCACCGCTGGCCCGAGCTTGAGTATGCAAAGAATGGGCAAGAGGGCCTGAAAGTCCAGTTGCGCGACAGAAACACATGTGGCTCAAGTACTCCTGATCAGTATCAACTTGGTATCAACTGAGAGAATCACGCAACAAGGGGATCTAACTGTATGCACCGGCTCCTAGTGGTCCTCTATTACTCAGATGGAGGATTCATACAAGTCAGTACTCCTGTCGATTGTCTGTGTTACTGCTTCGTCGCGAACTCTGACATATCGATGCATCGCCAGATGATCTTGGTCAGCACCCGCCTGTGCTGAATAACGGCCGCATACTCAACGGACCGCTGGCACCAGACGGTAAAGAAGAGCACCTCCAGGCAAGATGGAACTGGATGGTGATACGACATCTCGCGATGCACCCTTCCTACTGCCGGCGTATGTGGAGTAACGCGGTTGTGTCATAATTGCGGTGGAGTTCCCACCGGCATCTGAGAAGCGGTGCATATGTAGGCCGGACTGTGGGTAACTGCTCTTTCTGCAGGAAGGTACCTGAGCCGCGAAGCAAGGTACGTTGATTCTCGGGACACACCTATTACCGTTCTCGCTGACCAAAGGGAATGTAGTAGCTTACAGAGCGACCGACATACGATGATTCAGCGAAGCAGAATATTACAACGGAGACGATACGGCGAAGGCGGCCACTTCCCTAGCACATAAATCTCGCGCGATGAAGGAGCTTGGATTGCCAGAGTCCTTCGTCGTGTGCCATGTCTCACGGAAAGCAGTTCACGCTATTTACTCATCTCGGCGGTGGCCCCAACGGTTGGTAAGTCTCCGTGAACGTGACCTAACAGTTCGCTATTTATCTTGCTTTGTGGCCAGGAAAGTGGCGATGGTTCTTGTCGAACTAGGCTTGGAGTACGAGCCGAAGTACCTCGACTTCAGCAAGGACGAACACAAGGCATCGGAACACTTGCAGTACAATCCTAATGGAAGGATACCAACGTTGATCGATCACGCGAATGACGAATTTGCTATCTGGTCAGACTAGATCCCTTTGAGCGCAGTTACATACTTACATCCGTCGCATACTACAGGGAGTCAAATGCCATCATCACCTACCTAGTCGACAACTACGATCCAAAACGCAAGATCTCCGCTGCAGATCCTAGAGAGAACTGGCAACAGCTACAGTGGCTCATCTTCCAAGCGTCCGGACAAGGGTGAGTGCCTGCCAATGGGGTCATTCCTCAAACTGCCGTCCGGCTGATAGTTCGCGCACAGACCGTACTTCGGACAGGCGTACTGGTTCATGAAGTATCATCATGAAATCATTCCGAGCGCCATTGACCGCTACCGGAGGGAGACAATCCGAGTACTCACTGTGCTTGAGAGCGTCCTTTCGAAGCAAGAATGGCTTGTGGGCGGAAAGTGCTCCGTTGCGGATATCTCATTTGTGCCGTAAGTAGGAGTCTGCTCTGTTGAAGTCTTGAGATCGTGCACTCATCTGTTTGGCTGCGTACAGATGGAACGTCGTGGCTCTCGACATCATGCGGCAATGGAACGTGGTGGATTTCAAGGTGATAATGGCCGACTACCCCGACTTCGATCTGGAGCGAGACTATCCGGCAGTCCACCGGTCAGCAGTGCCGCTATCTGCATATTCTTCAGTCGCCTGACATTCATTTGTAAAAGCTGGCACAATGCATTACTAGCGAGGCAGCCTGTGGCCGAAATCCTTGCAATGCGACGCTCTATGGTGACGCAGGCCGCTGCGCGCGTAGGTGCTTAGAGGCTTGACCTCGATTCAAACTTGGAAGGTGAGATAAGGACATCGCGTACTAGAAATATTTATTGACCTTGAATGCTACCATGTAGCAATGTAGCAGGATGAACGAAATGAGCTGGTTCTGCTGATGACTGTTACGGGATCGATTCTAGAACGCATGGAATCGACCCGAGCGTAGAGGAGACGGATGATCGAAACGATATCCTCCACCCTCCGCATCAATAATGGACGGCTTGACGGATGCTCTGAGATTTGCCGGTCGGGTCACTGACGGAAGCCGGGGCATGTTCACCGTCAGCGGCGATATGTCATTGAAGGCCTATGCGACACCAAGGTCATTGCTATGCCGTGAGTGAAGCCGATATACGTACCACACTATGAAATGGACTATCGCTGAATCGACTTCGTAAGTTGCTTTGTCTCACACTGGGTCTGGCAGTTGTGGGAGTGAAGGCTGTTGTCTGCTGCATCGATCTCTTGTAGGTCGCTGCCACTTGGCGCAGCGTTGAACGGCTGTTCAACGTAGCCAATAGAGCGTTCAGAAGCACTGCACATTCGTTAGACGTCAATACACCCGAAACGCTTGGATACACTCACGCTTTGGTAGAACGAAGAAGACGGCAAGGAATATGAGGTTGTTCGGTAGCGTTGCATACTACGCACGGTGAGATGCTGTTCGACAGGAAGGAAGGAATCACTTACAGTGACAAGGCAGCTTATTTCACAGAGGCTATGGCAAGGAATCAGATACGCAGCTGCTTAGCGAACTACCCCTTAGACATGCGCCTTACCAAGTGAGCATGCCGCTATTGACACCGTAGACCATGATAGTCCGTGCCATCCTTTTGTGACACCTTTGCCATCACCGAGAGTCAGCACGATAGCAATTCCAGGGAGACAGACGTACGGATCCGATCCTGCGGAGAGATGTCGCAAAAGAAGGCAGAGGGTTATAGCGATGGTGGCGTCTGCACCGATCCCAGCGCCCAGGCTTGCGTACAACAGCCACTGCAACTGCCGATGTAGTGTCTGTCACATACTTTGTGGCCCCCGCGCGATGTACTCACCGAGACGGAGGATATATGGAACACGTCGCCAAGCAGACTGAAGCTGTTCTCAAGTGTGTAGCGAGCTTCATGCAATGATAGCTCAGTCCTTACCATTGAATGGAGAATTCTGGTCATCGACACATGTGATCAGCAAGCAATTGGTCGAAGGGGACTTCACTTTCATACCTATGCTACCAGCTAGCAGGGATGTGAGCTCAACGAATTCTCGAAGTGACTAGCGGCACTCACCAAGTGCAATTGTCGTTCCTGCTGCCTAAAGCGGAGAGAATCAGAGCGGCGCCAACTGCAGTACTTTGAAGACATACAATGAAGATCACAAGGACCCAATTCTTCTGACTGACTGCGGATGCATGGGCACCGACGACGGACATGGTGAATCCTGACACTCACAGTTCCACAAGCGATGGCAAAACAGGCTTTCAATGGCTGATTAGTCGATACTGCAGACTTCTCAGATCAACCACGTTACCCTCGTATGATGGCGTCGCTGACTCCCTGAAAACATGTGAGATAACATGGAAAGCGGCGGATGGTGATAGACGTACTGCGACGGCTACATGTGCCTATTCGGACATCAGTGCTCACAGAACAACAGGTACACCACAAGCTCTCGCCTTCACACTCCTGTCGCGAACAATTGTCATCGTATCAGAAGTTCACAGCGAAACGTAGAAGCCTACCAATTGCCCAACGAAAGAGCTGGGTCAGGATCGCCAACGGATGTCACAGCGCTTGTGTAGACGGAAATGGTAATGAGGGCAAGTTGGACGGTATCCAAGATGCTGAAGAACAAACAGCTGGGAAACAGTAATATCAATAAAGCCGCGGGCTCGACTTACCACAAAAGAATGATCTATGCATCATCGAAAGCTTAGTACTCATCTGTACCTCAAGTTTCTGGTACCGCTTACTGTGTATTTGAGTTTAGGGTGGTCATTCTTGGAATGTTTGAAGTAGACCGTCGCCTGGACACTAGTCACACCGAAAAGACTATCATGGGTAAGTATAAAGCACTGTGCAGCTCCTCTAGGAACTCACATGGCTGCGGCGAGGTCGCCTACGAGAGGCATCAGCTGCAGCGTCCGGTTGAGCGACGGCTCACGCACCGAGTAAAGCTACTCCAAGGGAACCATCGAGGGAATGGGTGGAAGGCATAGCTAGCTAGCTGATCTGTGAAACACGGGGCAAGCGGTATGTATGTCGTCGTCGACTCACCACAAGCATTGCCTCTACATGTATCACTCACGATTGTACGGACACGATGCGCGGCACCGACGCAGTCTCCAGGAGAGCGCGGATCAGGAGTCCCCTGTCGCCAATAGAGGGCGGTTATAAAGTGGTTCCCTGTGGGGACGGGCACCTTTCGTGCAGGCAGGGTCTGTCGAACATGGGTTGACATTGCGATGCGAGGTGAGATGACGGACGGATGAGATAGCCTGGCGTTGATGAACAACTCAGACGGTGCGCGGCAGTGTGAACTAATATAAACATACAACTGTCCGTTATGATTCCGGTCAGTAACCCCCATGTAACGTCTAGCAGGGCCCGACGCACCTTGTTACCTCAGATGAAGTGTTCCATTTCGTTCGCTGCGAAAAGGGTCCAATATGAACACATAGATACAAGAACTGCGGTATCTGTACAACAGAGGGGTACGGTGGTTCTACAGTGGCTCGATGGATGTACACGATAGCAGTGCGCGAATATAACAATGGCCGGACAGGACGGATAGTGATTATAGTACAGACCACAGACCAAAAGCAGGCGAGGAACCGTTCGTTCAGCTGATTAACGGAGACGAGCTGTGCGAGCTGTGTAAAGAAGGTTTAGGGCTCGGGCGTCCGACGACCGACGCTTCCCCAGCTGGAGCCTTCACTCCCGTGGATAGACAGGACGTCAAACGCGCGTTCCTCCTGGCGGCTTGACACATTGGGGCTGAACATCCCAGAACGCAAGGACATCACATCGTCCTCGCTGTCCGACGGCAGGTCGAAGTCAGACATCGGCTCAGACATCTGGCTGAAGGGCGACGTCATACCGGACCGCGCGGTCAGCGTCGGACTGCGCGCTATAACGGCATGGATGTCAGAGAACGGAGACTGGATGCGGGACGGCGGTAAGGAGGGTACTGGGGCCGCCAGATGGTAGTCGGAGAAAGGCGATTGGACTCGAGAAGCAGGGATAGATGTTGCAGTGGCACTTGCCCGATCCGACAAGTTGCCGATCGATCCCATGAGGGCGGTGTTGTACATTGCAGGTACATCCGGGCTCGACGATCGCGAAGACATAGCGTCCATCATATGCGGAGACTGGACTCGCGATGAGGCTACTGAGCGGATGGAGACGGGCGTAGGCGGGATGTGAGCTACATTGAGGGAAGCGACTGACGACGGGCGAGATTTGGGAGACGGAACGGAGGGAGTCTGCAGGAGCGGCGTAGCTGCACCGCGGGGACTCTGTAATCTTGAGCCACTAGAGGACGGCGTGGTCGGGGTGGAGGCTGCAGATGAGTCGAAGATGACATGGGTAGGAGACATAGGCCGGTAAGGAAGGAATACGTTGCTCTGCAGAATAATGTTAGATGGAGTCATGATGAGAGCGTGAGGCGATGACGGGCTGGAAGAAATGGGCAAGAAAAGAACAAAGTTGACTTACCTCGTCCATTGTGCCCGCGGTCTTCCTGTGTCTTAGACCGTTCTGCCTACCGTCGTCGCTCCAGCCACTAGCCTCTCGCGCTACGAGCTGCTCTAGCTCGACAGAGGTGCCCACGCCATCGTCGTCGTCGCCGTTGTCGCGTCGGCCGCGCGCTCTAACCGGTGCACTAGGGCGGCTGTCGCCGTTGCCTGATTCCGTAGATCGACGGGTCCTGTTCTCATCGCCATGCTCAGAGACCGACTGCGCAGCAACGAGACCTCGACGTCGTGCTCGCTGCTGACGGCGGTTCTCAACGAACGCCTCTGCCCATGCCTCGAGCCTCGGAGCAATGTGAGGCTCGTACACAAACTAGGCGATCGGCTTAAGCATCGTGATAGGGGTCCTAGACACCACTGATGTCACGCTCACCTCCTTAAACGCGAAAACACCGGCTACAACAGCCACGGCGCCGACGACGTAGACAGCGGCTGGGGCTGGCATTGTAGGCAACGAGACGACGGCCCCGAGAGAGATGGGAGGACGGAGCAAACCGCAGCTTCCCAAGCACTCTAGGCTCAAATACGGCGGCGGAACGAGGCGCCGTCCGTATACGCCGTCCGCATTACGCCGCCACGTGATTGACAGACTGACCCCCACCTCGAGGCTCGTATGGAAAGTCGCTGAAATTGAGCAGCTACACAAGCATAGATTCCAAGGATACTAAAGTTCAGTGGCATTACATTGCTATAGTGTTCGTGATGCGAGAGATGGTCAATGTCCGTGCAGTGCAAACATGATGACTCGACAAAAAGTCCGATAGTGTAGTGTCCCAACGTCAGTCCGCGTCCAAGTAAAGACCGAAAGTGCAAGGCGGCGAATGTTCGTAGAAGGTTCGTGAGGGCTGTCTATGCTTGAGAAAGAATCTGGTCGATCGAGTCGTTCAAGAACTGTTTACGACCCGACAAATCAGCCTTGGGGAACTTCGCCTGGATAGCTTCCCTTGCAGTCCTGAACAATCATCTGTCAGGACAATCTCATAAACTTAGTCATCGGGGACTCACTTCTTCGTCACAGTCATCAGGTCTTGTGTGCTAAGATATTGGCGCAGCGCGTGAACTAAATCCTCGTCTGAAGGATTCGGGTTCATGCTCGGCCCTGCGAAGGGATTCACCGACGTTGCCATTGAGAACGTCGACATCGGTCGCTGAGCTATCGGCATCATCGGAGCTGCCAGCCCATGGCCGGAGTGCTGTGACCCGGTCGCATCCATATCTGCACTGCCGCCAAACATATTGAGGTTTGTCATGACGGTGTTGCGTGGCGCGGTCGGCATCATGCCGTACATGCTACCCGTGTTCTGGTAGCCCATCGGCATCGCCATGGGCATGTGGCCGCCATACTCAGAGCCAGCCACAGAGCCAGGTCCACCGCCCATGGGCATGAACGGCAACTGCGGGATGCTGTATTGCGACATGACCGGCTGCCCACCATACTGCGACAGGTTTGTCTGTGAAGGCCGTCCACGCAGGCTGGGATTCGAGCCCTTGTGGCCGAGTGCATTTGTGTCGCGCCAGTAGTCGCCGCCCTCGGCTTGCGATGTTTGGTGATAGCTGCGCGGTGACTGCGATCCAGACACGGAGCCGCGAACACGGGAACGTGGCTTGCTGCTGTAACCGGTCTCATCGGAGTGACGCGTGCCAGTCTCCCATGCTTCTGCCTCGTACTCTGTGCGTAGGGTCAGCTAGTGACGACGATGGACGTGGAGAACTACATACCACTGAACTTCTTGAGAGGGATCATGGACTCGTCGAACTTCTCATCCTCGTTCATGACGACCTTCTTGTTGCTGCCGTCACCGATGACGAGACGAGTGTTACCCCAACTGAAGTCGTCCATGCACCAGTACGAGTAGATGGGAAGGAAGAAACTGTAGACCGGATATCTGCAAGACAAGTTCAGTCACTGGTCGCCGACTTCGACGACGCATGCACTCACGAAAGGATGTATACAACCATCCAACCGATAAGCATGAACTCTCGCTTGAGCAAGAAGATGATCGCCTGACAATATGTGAGCCAGTGATCCGAGCATGGCTGAACAAAACTAACCTGCAAGCCGTACACGGCCGCTATCATGATGATCGAAATGAGAGGGAATGCAGACTGGTGAGTTGAGACGACAATAACCAGGTAGGTCAAGTAGACGACTGTCGACGGAAGGATCTGGGCGAACAGTCAGACATGTACAACTTCATAAACGGTCTGGACTCACCAGGGTACCCAGGAGATCCACGAAGACGAAGAAGCGCATAGAGAAACAGCAGAACCCGAACATGTCCGGAAGGAGCACCAGCTCACAGAGGTTGTGGACAGTAGAGTTGATCCACCGACGACGCTGCGAGAACAAAACGCGCCAGGACTCCGGGGCGATCGTATGTGAAAGAGCCGAGCCGAGGAACTTCGTCCGGAAAGTGGGGAAGTGCTTCAGCATCAACGTCGTCAAGAATCGATCTTCACCGAGGGAGAACAGATTCTTCTTGTGCAACGTATCGACATTGGGCTCCGCGTACTCCTCGATGATACGGTTGGAGATGATCACAGGACGACCCTTGTCCGCCGTTCGGATGCGGTAGAGCGAGAAACAACCGGGTAAACAGGACACCGAGCCGAACAAACTCTCGAATGCCTTTGACAGGTGGTGAGAGATGTAGTATTCGTAGACCTGTGTGACGACGTCAGCGATGCTCCCATTCCTGAGTGGACATCGTATGACTATACCTGAATCATTGTCCACCAGGATTTCTCCGGGTTGTCTAGCCTTGTCTCGCCACAGACACCGATAATACTCGAGTCATCGGCAGTGGCGGCCACCAAACGATTCAAAGACTCCGGCGTAACGGACTACACAATCAAGGTAGCACATAAGTATCGTCATTCAGGTGAAAAGTAGGCGACGAACCGTATCAGCATCGACGGTGAAGATATACTCGTAGAAGGCAGGGTCAATGCCAATGACGTTGCGCATCTGGTGGTAGATCTCCAGCTCGAGAGGGTTCATCGGGGCATCGAAATGGACGCGGTTGAGGTACTGCATAAGCAAGATCTGACTGTCACGCTTTCCTCGGTTACCAGGCTTGGTGCGCTCGGTCGGCTTGCCGACTTTGACGACGATGATGTACCTGCGATCACTATTCAGGACGAGTCACCTAGTGCAGATTGACGGAGTACTCACGGAACGACGTGGCCCTCGAATTCGTAGAGACCCGAATAGATCTTGCCGTAGTTCAGAGCCTTCGAGCCCTCGCCAACGGACCTGAAAAGGAGGGGCTCAGGATCCAGTTGAGGGTCCACACCGAGGAGGTCGAGGACGATTCGGGGCGTCGTACGGTCATTCCCAGTACCGATGATGTTACCGTCACAGATGATGAACATGAGCTTGCGCTTGTCGTCGTAGTTCAGAGCAGCCAACGAGTCGAGCGTACGGCGCAGTGACTCCTCGCCTTCCGTGTAACAGGGCACCTGGCAAATGACGAACTTGTCCAGCATCTCGGGCGTCGCCTTCGGTGTCAGCTGCAGAGCAGCAAGGACTACGAAAATGGTTAACGTTGTTACCTCGGACGATCGTAGGCAGGCTTACACTTGATCGCCATGGACGACATGATGATGGCTGAGAACACAATGAGCATAATATTTTGAACTTGACACCGCGCCGTCGAACGGAAGTCCAGCTCGCCCCAGTAGAAAAGGTTCTTGATGCACCTGACATTATCCTCGGCGTACGATGAGTTCATCTTAGCCAAGGTAGACGCGATGTCGCTCGAGATATCTTGTCCAGGCGTAGACTGCCAGAGACCGGCGAGATCAGAATCCAGGAACGTAAAGACGGAAGAATCGTCGTTGTTCGTAAGCGTCTGGAAATACGCGGAGAGGTCATAGACACTGTTGTCCCAGATAGCCCAGTATCTGGATAGAACAGTTAACACCGACTCAGTAGAGCATAGGCGAAAGATGCATACCGTTGGTCCGTCGTGGAACCATCATTGCTAGACGATGCGGCCGAGAGCTCGCCCTTGCTGAAGACGTACGCACCGATCTTGTACTGATTGATCTTCGGCTGGAAGATTGACGTGTACCAGTTATCCTGATGCAGCTTACTCGACTTGAAGCTCTGCAATGCTCCTGATGTGTGCATCGCTTGAGGCACCGTCTCCGTCCAGTTCGTGGGCGTGAGCAAAGACAACTGGTCGTTCGTGACCAGGTTGGGGCAAGCGAGCGTGAGGGGTGGCGGGAAATAGTACGTCAGATCCTGACCGGCAAGGTAGTCCAAGGTGTCTGCGCCGTTACTCGGTTCACTCGCGATGTCACTGTGATCGTGGTTGACGAACTTCGAGACGTCGTACACAGTGCCTTGGATGGCGACATAGAAGTCGTTCGTACCGGTGTGCTGGCCGAGTTGGTTCGTGTTCCATGCCTTGTCGTAATCCGGGCAGAGGAGACGACCGAACTCGATGATGTAGAACAAGACGACACCATTGAAGAATATGATGAGGAAGAAGATGGTGACCTTCTCTCGCCACGCCAGCCGAATGTCTGGCCGCTTCATACGCCCGATCTTGTTCAGGCAGAAGTCGGGCATCCACCATGTTACCAACCAGACGATAGCGACCCACCAGCGGCGAATCTTTGTAGTCGGGACCTCCTCGACAGCGTTCGGTGCGTCTTTGACGACCATGCCGCCGGGGGCTTCCTTCTCGAGTACGGGTGGACCTCCGTAGGCAGGGTCCTTCTTGTCCCACTCCGATCCCCAGACCTCGCCTTCCTGGTCGTTGTACGCCGGGGTGTTCTCGACGTTAGGCGTCGAGAGACCGACCTGAGCGTAGCCACCCTTCGTGTTCGCGTCCCGGTAAGTCGTCCCATTCGTGCCCGTGCGAGTCAGGAGCAAGTTGTCCTCGCTCGCGCCCGCACCGTAGTAGGACGCAGCAGGCATAGACGGTGCATCGTGCTGAGTCGCCTCCGTCATATCATCCGGCGCGACGCTCTCGTCCTCATCATCCTTGATACCCATACCCTTCTTCGCATCCTTCTCCGCCTGCCGCAAGACATCCTCCACCATCTTCCACGCCATGTACGTCAGCCAGATCGACCGGTGTCCAACGACGTAGTCCTGGCCCTCCTGCCAACCATTCGCATGCGCGCACTGCCGGATGCGCTCCGACTCCGAGCCGCCCATGGTCGGGACATACTGATCGCAAAACGACGTGTGATCGAAGTCGGCAACGAAGTCCACCTTCTTGCGCGACACCAAGTCCGGGAGGAGCAGCGCACGGATCTGCGCTTTTACTCGCCGCTTATCGAACGAGTTCGACGAGCCTGAGTCGTTCGGCCGGATACACGATACGGTCCAGAGACGTGTCCGGTCGAGGCTGGCCATCATCTCGGAGAGATTGTGGCTGAGCTGAGTGGTGACGGGGTAGGCTTTCGATGGGTCCAGATGCGAGTGCTCCTCGCCCTCTGCAGGTGGGGCACCATCCCGAGAGAGGACGGGTGTCGGTTGACGGAGAGGTCGAGAGGAAACCTGTGCTTGCGCGATGATGCTCTCGTCCTTCGCGTGACGCTCGGTCGCAAGACTAGGCCCCGACATAAGCTTCGAGATGAAGGGGTCCGTGGAGTTCCGGAGGAGGGAGACGAAAGCGGTGTCGAGGATGTCTGTGTCCTTCTCCACAAAGCCGTGTACGTCGTATGAGCATGGCCCAGCGAAGTGATTGATGCCGAACTGCATGTTCGCCGCCTGCTCTGGTGGGCTCGCAATGAACGATGCGTGAACACCGAACTTGGAGACCAGATCTTGCAACAGCTCCTCGTCGCGCTTCTCTCCGCTCTTCCCGGACTTGAACGACGAGCTCGCCTTGTTCATCACACCGAGGATACCTCCCGGCTTCTTCGACGCCCTCTCGCTCAGCTGAGAGCCCCGCAACAGCTCGATGCACGCAGAGTTGTCCATCGTCGCGATCGCGGGCAGGGAAACACCATCCCTCGTCATCTCCCCGTTGTACCCAACAAAATCCTCGAAAGCGTTGCGCAGAACGTACGACTGCACCATCTCATTCGCAAAGTTGATGCAGAACTCGTCGAAGCCGGCCTGGCCATGGGGCGTCAGGAGGGGTGCGGGACCACCAATGTACACTGATGCCGAGCCGGGTGCACCCTTCGTCTGGAAGCCAGGTTGATCGAGCAAGACAATTTGTGCAGGGGGAGGTGGTGATTGGGGGTTGGGGGCGATGCGGTGGTTCGCAGTCTCAACGACGAAGGCAAACAAGATCGCGTAGAGTTCGCGCATCAAGGAATCCCGCTGAGCTGCGGCCTGGTGTGCGTTCAAGAGCACTGTGTACAACTCCTTCCGGACATAGTTTGTCTTGTTTGTCAGTGTCTCGCTGAGGTCGTCCAGAGGTACGCCGAGAAGACGAGCAATTTCTTCAAGAACGAGAGGATTGGAGATGAGCGCGGAGACATCCCTGTTGTCAGGTTCCGTGAACTGCACGTTACTGAGCGTAAGGATTGCCACGAGCAAGCTGAATATTGACGAAAGGTGCTTCGGCTTGAACCCAAGCGTCTTCATCGCCGCACGCAACTCCTCCATCGCTGTGTTGTCGTCGCTGTGAGCGCCAGAAGGGAGTCGGTAGCAACCCGACGATGCTAGGAGCGCATAGTCTGATGGATCCTCGAGGTTGTACATGTCACGCTCATCCGGTGTTGCGCCCGCGAGGAACTGGTAGAACACATGGTAGGTGCGTTCCTCGAAGGAGAGGCGATTCAGGCGCGATTTGTCGAGCCCGTACGTGAGTACCTTGGCCCCACTGATACGACCTCGGTCACTGAAGTGGAGCTCGAGGTAGCGACCATGTCGAGACGCATTCGGATTGATGAGTGTTTTGGCGTTACCGAATGAATCGAGGAGCGGCGAGAGCGCCTTGATTTGTGTCGCGAGTTTCGCCTCCTTTTTGGAATGTGCGGAGAGCCTCAGCACCTGGTTGACAAGCAGCTGGGAATTCTGTGTCTTTCCCGACGCCGTTATTCCTCTGAACGCGCATTCGTGAGATACTCGGGATATCCCAGACAAAAAGGCGACTCACCGGAAGACCACCGATTGCGACTCATTTCTCCTCCTCATAAGCAGGTACACCCTCGCTGCAAGGTCGTAGATGTGGGGCTGTGGTGACGGTGGACCACCGGGCAGAGGGAGGCTAGTGTCCTTGTAACACCGTTCCTCGTACTCCTTGGCGCTCGCGTCGCTGACATTGTTGAGAGTCTTGTACGGGTTGACAACGACGAGGTTGGATGTGCCAATGCGGGCGTAAGGGAGGTCTGAACGGAAGCGTGCCTGCAGCACGGAGAGAATGGTGTCGTCAGAAGGATAGACAGTCGCGGACGACGAGGAAGAGATGAGGTCGGTGAGCTCTCCCGAGTTGATCGCCTGCGAGGGTTGAGCGGCCATGCCGGCGCAAAGGAGAGGGGCGGAGCGTCGACGGCGCTCTGTGCGACGAGGACGAGACGGAGGTGGTGGTGAGAAAATGGGTGATGGGGAGGCCTGGCGCGCACGGCTGCAGCACACCGTTGTCGAGGCGTCGACGCCCCAGCCTCAGACGCGTGACGGTGTGACCGCCCGTTCTCGTCGCACACACGCCTCCCGCGGCCCTTCTCCAACTTTCCACACTGACTGCTCTACTTAACTTTCTCAGACACCGCCTTTCCGCGGCACTCTCAGAGGCCCGTGGCATTGTGTGTCTCGGTGCAGAACAAATAAATAACATTTACACTATCGTCCGTCAACAAGCCCGGTCTGGTTTTGAGACAGCTCGCCCTCTCCCCCTTGTGGACAATCCGCGACTCAGAGTCACGACCCTTCACCCCCGCAACGGAATCGCTGAGCTGCAACCACCTCACTCTTCCGGCGGTCCCTCTGCCTCCGCTTCTAAACATGGTATCGCCGTGAGACTCTGACAGCCTGCCGACCAACGAACAGTGATGTTCACTCACCTGAAGTGCCGTTGACAAGCGACTCAGAAGGCGGCTGCTGCGCCTCGCCACGCTCACGGCCAAGTGCGCCCTCCCAACCCTCCTCGAATAGCTCTGGGTTGTCGCCGGGATGTGCGATCGTAGCAGCGAGCTTTGTGCGCCCCTTGGTCTTCAATTCCGCCCGCCACGCGTCCACAGCGTCTGGCACCTTGCTCGGCGCGTATGTCCGCGCAAACATGGCCGCCTCTGGCGCCCGGTGCGTCTTCACGAGCAGGTCCACGCATGGCTTCGGATCACCGAGCTGCAACAGCGACGCAAACGCGAGGTTGTTCTGGCCCTTTTGCGCTGCCAAGACAGGTCAGCACAGCTCCTTACGAGACCGTAACATGTCACGCACCGGCCGTTGCTGCCAGCTTCGCCAGGCCGTCCCTGTCTCCGATGGCCAACAGGAGCAGCATCAAGGCGCTGAGATCGCCCGCCTTCTCGTAACTCTCCCGGGCGAGGTCAAACCGCCAGACGGCGAGTGCCCTGTCGCCGATCTGCTTCCACTTGGCCTCTGCCTCCAACTCAGGAGTTGTCCGTGCGATCTCGACTGCAGCATCCAAGTCATCAAGTTGTAGTGAGAGGTCGAACTTGTGGTCTGGGTCGGTGGTCACTTGCAGCGCGAGCTCCTTGAGACCTGCAGTGGTGCGATTAGCCCCAGTTACACGATGACTGTAGATGTTCCTGACGTACCCCGGGCCTCAAGGAAGGATGCGACCTTAGTCCGCTGTTCCTTCGAAATGGTGGGCAAGATCTCTGCGGCCGCCACCATGTCCTCCTGGAGGACAGCAGTCTGGTACTCAACCAATGCTAGCGAAAGGATATAGTTGAAGACGTTCATGTCCTTGTCTGCCAGGTAGACTCGATTCTGCGCTGGAAGGTAACCAAGGATGTAGAGAGGGCTGCGAGCATGTCAAGTCATGACCAGCAGACGCCATAGAGGACAACGTACGTGTCGAAGGGTGTAATAGTATATGATTCAGTGCCGATGAAGTAATTCAATCTGTTGGCTGCTGTCGTGTAGATGAAGCAGTCGCCGATCCATTTAGCGGTTCTCACTCTGTCGAAAGTCTGTCAGCAAAGACTGTGCCTTGACTTGCGCGCACTTACACTTCGGATATCTCTGCGACGAGCTCGAATGCCTCCTCAATACCCTCATCGCTGATATCCACGCCCTCCTCGAGTTTTGCATTGTATGCGTCTCGGTCAAATCGTAGGACGAAGTACGACTCCTCCGTCGCGATGGTAACAAGGTTGCCAGTCCCTGACCAGAACACCTGCAACCTAAATCAATATCGAGTTCAAACGAGCATGCTGCACTCTTACATTTTTGGCATCCACTTCTATTCTCCGCACAACCTCACCCGACTCCCAGTCCCAGAAGACGACGAAGCCGCTTCCTCGTGCAGCGAGCAACGTGCCCCCGTGCAGCGCATCAATGCTCCACGAGCCCGCACCCTTCATCCCCGCGCCGCCTCTCTCTCTAAAGTTCTTGTACACGCGCACCTTCATCCGTCCCTCCAGCACCGCATACGTATTCGAGTCACCCGCCCACGCGAACGAGTTGCCGTTGCCGAACGCCTTGTTCCGCCACGCGAGCGAGGTGTACACGATGTACTCCCCGTCGCCGACGACGGTCACGAACCGCCCATTCGGCGAGTGCATCAGCGAGGTGGCGTAGATCTCGGTCGTGCCGAGCTCCTTGATCGACAGCGGGACGCGGTTGCCCTCTGTGAGCGCGTCCTCCTGCACGGTTTGCAGGTTGGCGGAGAGGACCTCGTTGTTGCGCGTGTAGATAAGCTTCCCTGAGGGGTCCATGCTGTATGTAGGCTCGTCCCTGCCGAGCTGGTCTACGCTCAGACAGAAAGTATATGCACATACGCGACGCGACGCACCTTCACGACGACGACACCCTCATCATAACCGACGGAGACCTCGTTAGATGACTTCCGAACAGCAATGCACCATGCCCGCTCAAGCGCATAGCTGAGGGTATTCTCCAGCCTATACGTCCCGCTGTTCCAGAGCTTTACTGTACCATCCTCACCACCGCTGATGATGAGCGGCAGGTTCGGGTGGAACACGACGAATAGGACATTGTTGGAGTGACTCTCCAGTGTCTGCACGCAACTTTTGCTGAGGTAGTCCCAGATCTTGACCGTGCGATCGTCACTTGCTGTTACGAGGTACGGCTTGTCTGCACCGGGATAGAAGTCGACGTAGTTGACGCCCTTGTCGTGTGCCTCGAGAGTGAAGTTGGGGGTGGAGGAGCCTAATGACCACATTTTGACCGTCCGGTCGAGACATGACGACGCGAAGGTGTTGGGGTCTTTCGGATTGATCGCAACATTCATGATATAATGAGTGTGACCCTCGTAGGTCTACGGCGAAGGCGGTCATGATTTGTATGGAGTATCTTGGCCAGTTCACGCACCTGTATACACCTCCACTGCTTGTCCCAGTCCCATGCCCGGATCGTCATGTCATCGCTACCAGTCAACACGATGCTCGCCGTCGGGTGCACCGTCAGGCATCTGATATAGTCCGGGTGCGCCTCGAATGCGGTGACCTTCTCATGCGTATTGTAGTTGAACACGCGTAGCTGGAAGTCGTCCGAGCCCGCGACGAACCAGTTCTTGCGAGGAATGAACCTGACGCATCGGACGGGAACCTCGGAGACCTCGAATGTCTTGACGATCGACCCTGTCTCGAGGTGGTAGATGTTCACGGTGCCATTGTAGAGACCGGTGAGTAGCCAGGGCTCCGTCGGGTGGAAGTCCACGCCCTTGACACGATCGGACCGGCTGAAGAGCTTCCTCTGGCAGCAGAGTCCGGTTGAGACGCGTCCTTGCGTATATAACTGTCTGCGCACTCACATTGACGTCCAACAACATCGCGCCTCCAGCAGGTCAATCAGAAACGTCCAAGGTCGTGAAGTGCGTGATACCGGGAGCAGTGCAGGCTCGTCGAGCAAAGACGTCCAAGTGTAGAGACTGGCAATCACGGTGCGGTAGCGAAACCCTGAATGTCCGGGATACGTGGAGGAGGCGTGGGAAAACATGCAGCCGCAATCGACAAGAAGTCGACATGTACGTGACATCCACTGTCGACCGCTGCCTCCCGCACTACTGCACCACAAACACCCCGAGCTGCGCGACGCTAGACCTCTGAATATCTTGCTTGGAAGCAGAATGATATAGAATATGCATCTGATGAATCTGGTCTCTCTGTTTGCACAAGCCTAGGCCTGAATGACCGCCAGACCAAGAAGTGTTCTCCGACCACCATTTTCTCGGCCAAGTACATTATTCGCAAGCCCTTGACATTCGCTCTGGAGACAGGAGACAGAACTTGCGCTCGCGCAACAGCGATAATCTAAGCTGACCGGAGCTTGCCCCAGTGCATTCGTGAAGCGTCCGTTGTGGTGAGCGCTACATCGTTCATTTCAGCGTGCCCACCACCTGGCAGAGTCTGGCCGTCAACGTGTCTTCGGTGATGCGCAGGAATGAAGAGCTGTGCATGATGCAGTATGGCCTAGGGAATCATGACGCTGATTCCCAGACGCAGCTATCTGCTGCCAGAATGTGATAACTTGGTGTCCCGGCCTCTGAACGTTGAACGGACCAGAAGACAGTGAAGGCAATGATCCACCGGTCGACGAATCATACGGACAGTAAGCACCCCATTGACCCTTGCGCTCCTCGGACTATGCTACGCATAGCGAGGCCCAACACGTGTGCCTCACCGCAAACGACGGCGAGGCTGATAGGCAAGGTAATCTCGAGGACATGGCCCATCTAGTCTTCGCGGCTGCGCTGGACGCGTGGCCCTCCACCCCCCGCCTCGATGTAACCTCCAGGCGAGCTCCGTAGGTTCTCGGTATATAGGTATTCTTCGTCAGAGCGTGTTCTGCACTCTCAACGCCAACATCCGGTCATTTACCACCTTTTCTTCGATCTACTGTGTCTCATCACTGATCTTCGCCGACCATGTCGAGCCCGCCGCCTACGCCCCCTCCAAGCTCTAGTCGAGCGACGTCTCCCAATAGGTCCCTGCGCTCCCGTATGGGCACTGCGGTGCGTCGTAGCTCGACTGGGCTGTTCACCCGGGCGACCTCTGCGGTACGCAAGTCGGACTCGAAGAGCGACCTGAAGAACGAACTCAAGGTCGACCCTACGCCTTCTCCGAGCCCGCCCGAGAACATGCCCAGTCCTGTCGCCGAGTCTCCTGCTCGAGAAGCAGCTGCGACGGAGCCTGAGGGTACTGGTGCACAGGGACTGCCTGGGTCCTCGCCTTTAGCTAACCCTCCGATTGGACCTCCCAGCGCGGGCGCAGAGCCCTCCATTGCTCAAGTCATTGAGCCCACGCAGGCTGCCGCTGGTCCACAGCCCATGACGACCGCCCCTGCATCACCTCCACCTCCGGACCCTGCAAGTGCACCAGAACCAGCACCGGTGCCCGCGCCCGCACCTGCCCCTGCTCCGGAACTAGCACCAGTACCCGCACCACCGTCCGTACCAGCGGCAGCCCCTGCGCCTGCGCCTGTCGTGGCTCCTGCTCCGATTGCCGCACCTGCTCCCGCAACAGAGGTGCAGACTGCAGTGGTTGCAGATAGCCTTGTCGAGAGCCCAGAGAGTCAGCAAATGCCGCTCCCGATGGTCCAAGGACCTATGGGACCTGCCATCGAGAAGCGAGGTCCCGACTACTTCGCTTGGGGCGACGACGACGCGCTCAATCCCAACTGGAAGGGGAAAGCGTACGCAACACCCCAGCCACCCGCGCAGCCTGCTTCTGCTCCCGAGGCCGTAGTCGCCGTCGACCAAGGGCATGCAGACGCTGTCCCTCCTCGGGCTACCGACGCCCAGGCGTTCACGTGGAAGGACGACATGGTGATGCCGACGCGGCGTTCGAACACGAGCATCGCTACCGGGGAGTCTGCGCCCCAGACGGTCTCATCAGAGCCCCCTCGTACTGGTGGGCTGTCGAATAAGCCGAGCAAGTCGTCCATGGCGTCGTCTTATGGTCAGGTCATCGTCTCTCCGGGCAGGCGACGGGTGTCGGTCTCGATGGACCCCAGTGACGGAGATGTCCGACGTGGACGCAGTCCTGGACCTAGCGTTCGGTGAGTGCTTGCAGCATAATCTATTGCGTACCTCTGGTTCTGATTACTTAGCTTTGACGAGACCAGTATCGCCATCGAAGACCCCTTCGCCGATCCTGCTGAGGACTCGCCGACTACAACCACCAGCAAGCTCTACGTGAAGCGGACGGCGTTGTCTCCCATTGAGAGCATCAACTCGCCTGCGTGAGTCGGCATGTTTTGTTTCCGCGAATCAGAGCTCGTCTTACGCCATGTAGTCCTGATATGCCTGTGCCGATCAGATTCCCGTTGCCGCCACAGCAGGATGTCATTGGTGTAAAGTAAGAGCCTCCGCGTGTCGCATTTGACCCAGAGCATGATGCTAATTCGCGAAACCTTTAGCAGGAAGCCTCGAGGCAAGACCTCAGGCTACAGCCTCGGCAATGAACGGGGCACGGTTGTAGAAACCGAGACACGACGTGATGTGGAGTACGTAGTCGACGTTTGTCACTGCATGCGAGGCTCAATAGTTTGCAGCGAACGCGCACCCCTCTTGCGGCCTGCCAGCGCCGGCTCAAGCGGCACCGTCAAAGGATACGCCGCAGCCAAGACGCACGTCTCCTTCCCCATCCCAGAGGTCGCGCCCACAACCGCCAACACGCTAGTCATCGGCATGTCCGGCTGGATAGAGCACATGCTCCCTGATAATTCCTCGTACTACGTCCACGTCGAGAAGCGGATCGTAGTTGACGCCGATCTGCACAACCCGACCAAGCTCCAGGCCGTCACGGAGTACGTGAACAGCAAGCTCCCTGAGGATGCGGCGATGCCCCCTGAGGGATGGGAGCTCTGGCTTAGGGACGCACGTCCGAATGGGCAGGACCTCCAACTTGTGCAGACGTGGATCAACCATAGGGTGCATGTGCTGTCTAGCGAGCCCCCTGCGGCTGCCGTACCTGATCGCCTCAGGGATGACGACCGTATGTATCAACGCACTCCCCATAACTCCGTTTTCACAATATCGTTCAGGTCTGGACATGCAGTACCGCTACTGGTCCTACGTGGAATCGCACCCGGCGCATGTACCTCTCACCTCCGAGAGCCGTGCAGAAGCGGTGGAAGTCCTCAAGTGGTCGTACACAGGTCAGCTACTCACCAGTGCCCAATATTCCATTCAAGCTGATATGATATTTAGAATACCTCTTGCCTGGCGCTCAGAGACCTACGCCGCCGCCGTTCTCCCCGCAGGAGTGTCAGGAGCTGATGGGTCTTCTCCACTCATTCAACGAGGACCCTACGGACGTGTCCTTGGTTCAGAATCGCATCGTTGCTCGTGTTCTGCTCCGTGTCGGTGCGTCAAAGCATCATGCGCTTACAAGCTACTGTAGTCTCACCAGTTGTGACTTGTCTAGCACAATGGAGGCAGCACCACTTCCGTCCTGACAAACCTCTGCCACAAGTCGCATTGACGGGAGGTAGTGCTCACCGATGGCGTCGACGCACGCCTCTGAGCCGCACCGCCGTGGACTTCCTCATCGCCTGTCTCTGCCTCGGCTTGCCCTACTTCTTCACCGACCGCTCCCGTCATCGCCGAATTGACGTCGAGAGTGGCGTCCGCAGCGCCGGTCCCATACTCATCATCGGTGCATGTGCCTGTTTGCTGGTACGTCCCTCCTCAGGCGCTCGGTACAGTCATTGATAACGCTGTCAGGCTGCCGTCGTCTTAAGCGCGTCGGTGACGTTCATCTCACTGCCTGGGTTGGACGATACCTGCCGTATAGCTGGCTTCGTGGCTATAGCGCTCTCGGCCTCCAGTATGATTTCGGCCGTAATCGCGCTCTTCCGGTACAAGACGGAGGTAGAACATCCAGTGATTCACGTAGGTGGTGAAGGGCTCCTGACCATATCGGTATGTGTCCCTACTCAAGCCTGTGCGCGGTTTTGATGACCTGACATCGGATTGTGATGCAGAGACGAAGTGTGGTGATGTCCCTTCCTCTGGTCTTCCTCGTGTGGGCTATCGCCGCGTTCGTCACTGGCGTCGTGCTGTATCTCACCCGCGAGGTGACCACAACAGCAAGCATCTCTGTCGTGTATCCGATCGAAAGCCAGACACACTGGATGACTGTAGGAATATTAGGAGGTGTGGCGGGCGCCCTGTGTGTAGCTGTGATGATGGCTCGCTAAGGCGCTGGTTTGAATGTAGGCATATCTATTCGAGCTACTGTACAATACTGCTACCTTGTATCCCTTTGTACTGGATATTGCGTAACGTAATCACGAGCATATTGATCTACGTGTACCTGGACATAACCTTGTGCATATGAAGCTTGAAGCTTGAAGAGAGAGATACCGACGAATGACATCACCTTCCTTTCTTGGATTTGTCTCGCAGCCCGATCGAGATCGGCCGCCGGGGCCCCGCATTGCATGAGATTCCGAATGAGCACCTGGGGACTCGGAGCACGCCTCATGTGTTTGTAGCATCCATGACCACAGCAGCCGCAGCCTCTGCTTTCAGACTGACACCATGAGCTCCAGACCGAGACGTAGCAACCTCCTCAGCTTTCACAGACCCACTCTACACCTCGAACGTGCCCCGATACCTGTTCTCAAGCCAGAGTCAAAACAGTACGTAAGGGGCGCTGTGACATAGGATTACGCGTCCTCATTAGCAGGCGCGACTGATAGATGCTTGCAAACCCTGCTACACTACCGGCCGCCTAAACAAAGAGTCAATTATCCGAAGTCTAGGTCTGCAGCGGTACTCGTCGCGTTGTTTGTTGGCCGGTACGGAGACCTGTATGTTTTGCTGAGTCGGTGAGTACCCCCCGAGGGCCCAGCGACGTTGCGACTCACGCTGCTTTCGGCGCGAAGTCGCGCGTCTACGCTGCGAACATATGCTGGCGACACGTCATTACCCGGCGGAAAGTGGGAACCCCGCGACCGAAACCTCGAGCAGACAGCTGTGAGTACCAATGCCATGTCAACCTCGGCGTCGAGACTGATGATGATATCAATCGCAGCGAAGGGAGGCGTTTGAGGAGGTACTTACATCTATCACGCACCAATTGATCGTGACTGAACACAACAGATAGGTCTTCCAATAGACAACCGGAAGGTCCCATTGCTTTGCATCCTAGAGCCCTTCATAGCTGGCTCTCCAGGGCAACTGATCGTCACTCCGTATGTTCCGCTCCCATGAACAGGTTTCTACCCGGTTGATGAGGCATTTGTTGCAGAGTTGTCGTTCTTGTGCTTGACAAGACGATCAAGCCAATCCTAAACACGCCCGAGGTTGCATCGCTCTTCTCCCACCCACTAGCGGCTCTCCTACATTCGGAACCTCCTTTCGCCACAGAACAGGAGATGCTGGAGCTAAAGTATCACACCCATCACGACGTTGACTGGCGAGGCAGAGGCAAAGTCCGGATGCACCGTTTCCTCACGGGCAGGGAGGCCGGAGGTACTAAGCCGATATTTGGCTTCACAGCGTACGTGTTGATCAGTTCGCAGCCTGCGAAAGATCATGAAAACTGACAATCATCGCAGCGGTGTCCTGATCCGCGTAGCGACCATTGGGTACGGCAGGGAGCCGGACTTCGACGTCTACACGCCAGACCAGCCGTCACAGGAGGAACGCATTGCTTTTGAATTGCAAGTCAACCCAATACTGAGGGAAGCATGCCGGACAGAGGGTATCGATCCGGACAAGGCGCCCGAGCCATCTTCGTTGAGAACAGCCCGCAGGAGTGATGGTCCGAGAGGGCATCGGAGGCGAGCTGTCCGGAGCAAGCTGTGATGGCCCTCGCGCAAACGTTCATATCCTCTTCATATCATGATATCTGCACTAATTTATGCATTTTTCCCGGACGGGTCCCTTCATTTACCGTTCAATCACCGGCACGCGGCAGCGCTCTCGAGCTGGACAGTGCAATCCTGTGATTTCATGATAATACATCGTCCTCGTTGTATGACTGCACCCTTACAACGATTGGGAGATAGTCAGACACTGGCAGGTCTGAAAAACGCCATGTGGACACCTGCGCAACGCTCGAACGGGATGGCGGAGGAAGGATCGCGGATACAAATGGACTTTGAGTTGTCCCGAAGTTCGCGGGCTAATGATATGAATGATATGCTGACTAAGCAATGCGGGGCGAGGTCGGCTCGGCCTCGCCTTCTCCACGCCACTACTCAGTCCTCTCCGTCACCGTTACTCTCTCCCGCTCACGGCCCTCAGCGCAGTCCTGCGCGACCCTTACACGCAGCTCTCAGGGACTACACTACTACTACCAGCTGGCTGTTTTGCTAGTTCAGTGACATGCCACAGGTTTACCGCCGGCATTCTGAACGCATCCAGCGCCCGCCTCCCGAACCCCGACGGCGCGACACCTTAGCTCCCCAGCCCACCGACGCGGACGACTCCATCGTTCTCTCCGACCTAGTACGTACAGGAGAAGCATCACGCCTACGGCGTCGAGGGGCAATGCGAATCGACCACGGACAAAGCAGTGCTCCCAGGCCATCACCACCGAGCAACGCACTTCCGCCTCCCGTGCGTCCTTCCGGAGGCAGCAGGTTCGTCGTCGAACCAGCGATGTGGGGGCCCTCTCAAGGATGGGGACCCTCAGACGCATCTGTAGAGGATGAGCTCTTCAACGGCGGAGAGTGGAGGGAATGGGCGGGGGATGATCGTGGAGAAGATGCCGGCGGAGCGCAGCTAGATGAAGGGCGAGCCGATGGCGCCCAGGATGATGATGAAGAAGGGTTCGTGCTCTTCTGCGGTGGTGAGGACATCAATGCGTCTTCCATTGCTAGCTCCTCGGGCACCCCGTATCGCCCTTCGCTGTTCCCCGTATCTTCAGCAGGCTCGCCGTCCACACGTGGGGCGGAGCGCACAACGCGAAGAACGAATGGATGCGGGGTGTTGGTCCACATGCGTGCCTTTCCGCAGGGTCCACGCGGCTTGTGGGTAGGCAAGCAGGAGGCGTCGGACGTTGTTGTTGGGTTGGAAGCAGACTACTTCGAGAGCTCCGTCGTAGCCAAGATGATGAAGAGCGCATGTGGCTGTGTCCGAGAGGGTATCGCATGTGCGATATGGTGAGCATCGTTGCCTGTCAGGGTCGCTTTGAATCTCATTCGTCGACCTCCTAGTGGAAACACACTTGGTACACGGTATCTCCCTTGCCAAGCAGCGTCCGAGGGCATCTTCTCGCATGCGACCTGCAACCATACACCAGCGGCTCCGCCAATAGGTCCAACAGGCCCGCAGTACTGGCGCACTCGCAGGCCACCATCAGCCTCTACTTCTACCTCCAGCGCACGCACATCCTCCAGCTTCTACCTCTACACCTTCTTCGCTGACCATGTCTCTCCCTCCCCCGCGTACGCATTTCCGGATGCAGTCAAGCACTCTGGCGGCCATGCCCAGGCAGAGCCGGTGCAGGCTCCGGGCAGTAGACCGGGCTCGCCACCACTTTCATACGGATACAGATACACTGCCTCGCCGAGGCCCGTCTCGCCGTACTCCTTGCCGTCAACCGCGCCCAATCGCGCCCCGAGCCCTGACGCCGTCCAGGCGACGTCGGGCATACCTCCATCGATATATCCTGTGTGGGCGCAGGGACCACCGCGGACTCCGCCACCCCAGTCTTTTGTGCGGACACCGCAGCTTGCGCTCAATGTACCGGGGAATGGAACGACAAGTACAGGTACGCTCGTCGAGGCAGGGTTGCCTGCGGACGAGACGGATGTCGACACAGGTCCGTTGGATGCGGACGGCGTGCTTGTTACTATGGAGGACGTGGACGAGCCGAACTCTCCTGACAAGACGACTGAGATGGTCTGGCCGGGACGGTGATACAAAGAGTACCCAGCCACGCTGCGCACCCCCGTTGGGATCATCATGATGGAGCACCCAACGTCACGACATTATGCTGCATTTACGCTTCCACGAAGCGCAACCGTTCACGTATTATCTATTTCACCGCATACCTTCCGTTGTATACTTCGGGGTTCTCTGTCGTGACGACGTCTCCAACGCATATCTCCTGCTCGCTTCTGCATATACACAGAGGTGTCTCCTCTTGCATGGATCCGGGATTTCATTTGTACATTACTCTTCAGATGAATAACGAACGGACGCGGATCTTCTGGAGTATCTGTCGAAGGCTGATCGCTGAAACGCTGAGGCCTGAGGCCTGAGGATTGCCTGGGTACATTCTCAATGACCTGCCAATGTTTGCAGTCGGCTGTGAGCGCCTCGGTTGAACAACCGAGTTTCCATTTCGGACACATTCCAGCAGCGGTGGCTGCAGTCGTCTTCTCCTCTTGACAATGAGTCAACAGACTTGAGTCCGCCGCGCGTCCTTCGTACGGTGCAGTCACCATCCGGACCTTTCAGCCCAATCATGAACCTCCATACAGTGCCACGGTCAGACTCCGAGCGATGCCAAGCGTAGCATATATGCGCATTCAAGTAGACTGACGAGTCACGACTACACAGGCGGTCGCCCAGTATTACTAGAAGTCCGAGTCCTGAATATTACTCCTCGCAGCAATCATCAGTCTTATATCAGCTTATATGCGGACGCCATTGCAAGACACACCTAAAACATGTGGCCCTCGAGGTAGCCTGCAAGATACCTCCGCTCCCATCGTGGGGCGCAGGCAGACTCGGTCTTACGGGTACACTAGTAGATGTTCAACTGGCCAGAAGGCCTCATAACAACATGGTACGCAATATGCTCAGGTTTGAACATGTCTGATCACATTGGTTTTCTGGCTAGATAAGACATGATACACCGGTCTAGAGCGAAAGGACGTTGTGAATTTGAACACTGCCGTCGCTCAACAGGTCGGGCTTGCCACACTCCTGGCTGACGTGGAAATGCACATAGTTGTGTGAGAGACAGGACGTTGTTATGCCCCGTGACGAGATTGACCGGGATCTCTTTTTAATGAGTCTGGCTGAATCCGGCTAATGTCACACGTACAGCTCGAAGTTCATCTCCCCGATGAACAACTTCTCGGCTCGACGCTGAAGCATGTATTCAATTACTTCGATAGATCCGCGCACCTGGGCTCAAGTTTGGACAGGGACGCAAGATCACATCGATATTGTCCGCCTGGAAGTCAAGAAGTTGGCTCAGCGCAGCTCAAGGACACCTGGCGCCGGCTCTGAGCACTGCCCGTCTGTATTCCCTTGGTGGTGCGTTCCAAGACGTTTCCTATCTTGTCGATCTTGTCATTGTGGCTGAACCTGAGTTCGAGACAGGTGTGACTGCTCTGCACAACGATGCCCAATTGCAGGGACCGATGCATCGCATACGGCGGCAGCCGCATCCCGGCTCGCACCTAGACTACAATGGCTCCAGTGAGTATCATCATATGAGACTCCCGTATACATCTCTTACCGACCACGTCGAGGACAAAGACCGGCTTTAACCTGCCAGGGACGCCTTCCGACGTGTTACCAATGGCGGACCCGCAAGCAGCCTCTTGACCAAGGTCTGCGTTAATCACAGAGAAGGCGCTGTCCATCTGGCTCTATCATCCCGTCGACCGCCCCCTTCTCTGGCGTCGTTCAATAGTGGTAGGCTCCGGCTCCGAAGACAATCGTGGCATGTCCATGTGGAACAGCGGTGATCGACACTGTCCACGGATTCCAGTGAGCGCGCAGCGGTGCTTCGTCAATCATCCTTGCATTTGTTATAGCCTCATTTCGGATTTATGGAGGAGACCCTATGGTGTGTTGCGTTGGGTGGCAATCAGCTGTGGAGCCCGATCCGTCTTCGACACTGGCCTCGACCCGTAAGTGGGTTTCCAATAGCTGCAGAAGGTGATGGAGTCAACTCGGAGGTGATATAACCCAACTGAATTGACGAATCTACAGTCACGCATATGTCGACACTCGTCTCAGACTCGGAACAAGCGGCCTTAGCATGCAATATGTTCCTACCCAATAATATCCCTGGCTCACCCGTATTGATAGGACATGAAGATCTTGACTTGGACGGTTGCCCAGAGTCTGGATTCATTACGGAACAACACACTGCGCACGAACTCCGTTGTCCTTCCCAGACCTGATTAGCAGCTGAGTGTCACCTAGAATCAGGCCTGGAGCCCACTGCTGGGCGAGGTCGAAAAGTAAGTTCCCTCTCTCTCGGTCTGTGGACATCAGACGTGAATTCATGCACTTATCGCTTCGCACAGGATTACCAGACACACCTCTCGCCTTGACTTTGGGCACACCTTGCTCATTAATATTGACCCAATACATATGGTAATCTCCGACGTCAGTCACGGACATGCAGCTCCGTCCTTCTTGCAATGGATGTGCGTTCGGTCAGTCCGGAAGGTGCCCCCGCGAGGACCTGTCCAACGCAGTCATTTATTGCCACTGTTGATTATGTCTTCCATCGACTCCCCTGTCGTGCTTCTGTACGAATGCCTGACCGCTCGTTACGGGGAGTACGGAAACAGAGGTAAAGGCCGCGGGCGACGGCGTGCCTGTGCGTGTGCCAGTGGTCGTAAGGTGCAGTTGACGGCAGGTCGTTGAGCCTTGTAAGTACTATCTGCATCTATGCTTACTCGTGTACTGACTTCCGGATATCACTTCCCTGTCCTCGCAGTCTAAACAACTTGAATGTGTCCAAGATTCCCGTTTGCAGGACTCAGGGGTCGTAATGACGAACCCCCTATTCATTCACTGGTATAAGGCCCGGCCGGACCTTCAGCTGTCATAGACACAGCTTCAAGTTGAAGCTTGAAGTTTGTGTCCCCATGAATCTCTGTTACATAAATGTTGGACGCTGGGGGGTGCACAAGAGATGCATCCACTTCCTTTGATGGATCTGCAGACCTAGGCGCCGGTCATTGACAGTCCACAAGCCGCTCCGCTGCCTCAAGCATGCCCACCCGGGCCCCTGCTGTCAGACCAGTTCCGGTCTGTTAATCCGTTGCTACGTCACAGAACCTCCTCAATATCGGTCGGTATTGCCTGCGACCCCCCACTTGAGGCCGACATGATCGACAGGGTCCTGTGCTGCTTTGTTCTCTGGACATAGTGCGGCGACTCAATTTGACCATGCAGACGAAGGTATGCTGGATGCGAACAGTCTTGGCTATGCTGAACTGAAAACTCTGTACAGGTGATTCTCGCACAGAATTCGGGCTATCATCAAGGTCCGAAAGACAGTAGTGGATAGCGCCGGTTGATCGGGTGTCTTTTTGTGGCGGTTTGACCCCACTGCGCTGCGATCACATCGCACTCACTCTGTTCAATGCTGGCCGTTAGAAGACCCACAGCGGCGTCCTAAATGTCACACGACAAGCGACTAGTCGGGGATATGCCTCGAGTCGAACGTATCCAAATCTGCATTGTCCCCAAGCTGATAAAGTGTAGAATGGCGTCTATGCTGACGGGCCGCTTGCTGTTCTTCCGAATCGAACATCTCTCCACCAGTGTGAGTGTCGTCCAGCAAGGTACGTAGCCTGTCTGGATTCAGTGTGGTGCAGTCTGACAAGCGCTGTTCAGCGGGGCCAGGAGTGGTGCGATAAGTCGGAAACGCTGTCGCTAGTCACAAGAGTAGAACATGTCTACCGATTCAGCCCGATTCAGCCGCATCTCGGTTGGTTTGCCATTGTGCCAGGGCCCGGCGAAGTCCAACGCATGCGCCTCGCGGAGTGTCGCCTCATGCCGTACTCAATATGCCGGTTATCTGCTTCTCAGCTCCTGTCGACAAGAAGCCCCACTTGCATCTGTGGCGAAGCGTCTGTGGCACGGATGCACACCGAGTACGGTGGTACGTCCCTCGAGGATTGCTATACCGCGGGGCGGGGGATGCTGAAACGCGTGGTGCATTCCAGCACGCCGCGTCACGGTAGACGTCGATCGCGCGCACGTCGCTCCGTAGCTCCGAGACGAAGATGGGCAGACAGCTTGACGGAGCCAAGAGCTGCATTCCTCTCGGGGGACCCACCGATCGATCACGGGGAGCACGGTAGCCTTTCTGGCCGTCAGTCCCGAGCAAGCCACATCTCGTGCGCCGCCCGCGACGCACTTCAGGGCCGCACCGCCTGCCTTGCTGGCCTTGCGGCGCGCCGCTGATAGGCTCACCTGCAGATCCAGGTGCCTGGCTAGCGTAGGAAGCGACGGCGTTCATACTCGGCCCGCGGGGGACGAGCAGTGGCGTAAGTGACCGGGGTTGTCGGCTGGCAACGCGTCGGACGGAGGAGCTTCCGTTGACAGCGTCGCCAGCGAGCATGGCCGAGTGTGGGAGGAGAAGCCACGGAGGACGCTGTCGTCGGTGTCGCGCCACATCACACCCAGTCGAACGACAGGACGGGAAGTCTGGGGCCCCGATCGGGAACTCCCTCTTGGCCTTCACAGACCACCCAGGCCGTGGCCCGCGCCCCTCTGCGTGACCCGCCCACAGCGCCAGTCTGGAACGGTCAAGCTTCAACCATGTCAGATCCCCGCGAGTACAAAAGGTCGGCGGGCGGGCAGGATCTCACTGCGCGTCCCTTCCCCACCTCCGCCCACCCGCACCCCGCCGCGTAAAGCAGGGTCTCTTGGTTACCCTTCTTGCATATCCTACACAGCAGTCTTCGCCCCGCATCCGCCATCGACCTCCACGCGGCCTCTTCCCACCCAACCCCGGCAGCCATCTCCCTTCTCTTCAATCAACACCACAACATCGCCATGGGCTCCACCAAGACCTTTGCCTCTCTCGAAATCATGACCCCGCTCTCAGTCTCGCGCGCCCTCCTCAACACCAGCATACCCACCCTCCTCTTCCTCGCGCTATCCACCGCCCTGCTCTACTCCATCGCTTATGCAGTCTATCAGTTAGTCTTCTCGCCCCTCTCTGCGCTTCCCGGTCCCTGGTATGCCGCCATTTCCGACTTCTGGCTCACCACCCACGTCGTTCGCCTGCAACAATGCCGAACCGTCCAGGCACTCTTCGACCTGTACGGACCCGTCGTCCGTGTCGGTCCTAACAAAGTCATATTCTGCGACGCCACCACCATGCGCAGCGTCTACTGTGTGCACAAATTCGACAAGAGTACGTACTACAAAAGCCTTTTGACGTGAGTGCAGACCATGCCCTAGCATCGGACATACCTTGAATCGACCGTTTGCATTCCTCCAGGAATAACAATGACCATGCGTATGTCCCCCCATGCCTGCAGATTCCGTTGTCCCCATTTAGACATCCTCATACCTAGCATGACGACACTTCCCCATGCCGAGCACGCTGTCCGCCGCAAGGCATACTCGTCGCACTACATTCCTTCGAACCTCGCTCTCTTTCAGGATGAGTTGCAAGACCTTTGCCTAGATCTGGTCGACGTACGTTTGAGATACATAGGGCGCCGGATCGGCTTACCAACAATCTCATAGATTCTTGGTACCCCCGGTAACACGCCCATTGACTGCTTGGACTTGTTCCGCCACCTCATGGTAGACATTATCGGGACGACTGTCTTCGGACGCTTCCCCGGCTCTCTAAACAACTGGGCAAAGAACATCCAGGACCCGCTGGCCACGGCTGTGTATGATTTTCCCAAGCGGGGCATTATGGTGGGTCGCCTTTACACGTTCTCACCGCGAAGTTACCAATGATCGACACAGCGTAGCGCCGTGCCTACCTGGGCATGGAACCTTGTTTGTCGTATTCCCAATAACCGCTTGCGCCAGATATGCGACTCGGACAGGATCATGGCACAGGTACGCACTATGCCGACTCCCAAGGTTATACGTATCCTAAGGGGTGGCAGTTCGTGGCTGGTCACTTGTACGAGATGCGGGCCAAGATGCAGGCAGGTCCTGTCGATGGGCAGGCGGATGTCGAGAAGTTCCCGCTACTCCAACGCATGTTGCTTCACCGAGTCTTCGCTACGAATGAATCGCTGCCAGACAAGGATATCATTTCCGAGTGTATGGGCCACTTGTGAGTAGTCGCTATCACCGATGTCAGTGTGACCCATGCTGATCGGTCCGATGATAGGGTCGCAGGGGTTGACACTTCCTCCACAACGCTTTCCTACCTTCTATGGGAGCTTAGCCGCCGCACCGACATCGCGAGGCGCCTCCAAGCCGAGCTCGATGAGGTCATGCCCGACAGAGCCGTTATCCCCGACGCTGTTACGCTCACGAAGTTGCCATATCTGAACGCCTTCATTAAGGAAGGTTCGTGCTACTCATCATGGCCACGTCTATGCCCAAGATTGCTGACCAACGCCTTCCAGGCCTTCGCCTTTACGGCGCCGCGCCCTCGCTTCTGGAGCGTGTTGTCCCCTCGACCTCTCCTTCTGGCCTCGACGACGCCTTCGATCTCATGGGCTATGCGGTTCCACCTGGTACTATTGTCTCGACCCAGGCTTGGAGCATGCACCGCGACGCGAGCGTGTTCCCCAGCTCGGAGACTTTCCTACCTGAAAGGTGGCTCGCCGTTGAGGGCGTCGACGGCGAGGAGGAAAGGCTCGCCGAGTGAGTGCTTTTAACGGCACATCTGCTCGCCTCCAATAACATCCTACTTCAGTATGACACAGAACATGATGCCGTTCGGCGTCGGCAGCAGGATTTGTGGCGGTCAAAATCTCGCTCAACTTGTCATGCGCATGGCCGTAGCCGCGGTAGCCAGGAATCTCGACGTTGCCGCAGATGTCACCCAGACGAACGAGAGGAGCATGGAGATGCGCGATGCCTTCGTGAGTTCTACGTTAGCAAGTGCTGGAGTCGTGCATTGATCAGCGACGTACTACAGGTGCTCTTCCCTGCTGCAAAGGAGTGCAAGCTCATGTTCAACGCGCGCAAGAACTGAATGAAGACAGATCCCGACAACTCAACGACGCGAAGACCTTCACCCCTCGAATTTCCGTACACTACACCTGTTGTAATATTCTGAGCACGATCACTTTCCACTTCCCCAGTTGACTTTCTGTCCCTTGTTGATCGACTTGTTGTCCATTCGCTGTGTCGCTTTCGGTCTAATTGCTGTCTTTCAACTGTCCTTTAATGTTTTATCTCCGACGGTGACGAGTAGTTTAGGGCGATCCGGACGATAGTAGTAGCATTTGTATTCGGGGAGGACGATCACGGATACCTGAGGGGGCGAGAACCGAGTAACTTACGAAACGGTTGAATACGTTAGCGACGCGTCGAATAGACCTTACTTATGTGTCATCGTTGTAGAGTCCTCCATCTCATGTCATTGACGCTGAAGCTGAAGTCTTCATCCAACGTTGACGATATGAATTTCTCCTGTTCACACCATCCTCATGAACTCAGGACGTTCCCGAGAGATCAGCGCTTCAGGTCGTACATAGCATAGTCAAGATGTATCGTATTGATTGCATCGATGTGTATGTACTGTACCGATTTTGGGCCCAACCGCCCCAACCGCCTCGCACAACGCTCAGTTCTGAGATGGGCTTACCGTCGATGTCGACGTCGATTTCGGGAACAGGATGACCCCGGAGCAGACCCCAGTGCTTGGCGGCGCGCGCGCGAGGTCTGTGTGCTCCCACGCCCTGCAGTCCTCGGGGATGCCGAGGGTGTCGAGGAGGGTGGCGGCCTTGGAGGGCATGAACGGCTGGAGGAAGACACCGCAGATGCGGAGGCAGTCGAGGACGACCTGGGAGACGGCTTGCGCCTCCGCGGAGGGCGTGGACTTCGCCCAGGGGCGGGAGTCGGACATGAGGAAGTTCGCCTGTGAGGGACGTGATGAATATAGGCAACTGGGAGAAGGAAGGCGATGGGGAGACGTACGGCGGTGAGGGCGGCACGAATGTGTCCGACCGCATCATAGACGCGCAGCTCTGACATGGCGGCGTCCATGTCGGCGGGCAGCCTCTGTAGGATGTCTACGAGAGGACGGTGCTTCAGGAGGGGGTCCTCTCCGTAGATGAGCCGCTTGTCAGGGTCGACGCGCGCGCGGATGGCTTTGGAGGTTGAGCGCGAGAGGAGATTTCCGAGGAGGGAGGTGATCTCTGTCCGACGGGCTTCGACGAGCGCCGGAGACCAATCTGCAGACGCGCTCCGTGGTGAGCCCTCTGTACTACGGGGCAGAGCTGGTAGGAAGTGACTCACCGACGTCGTCCTTGAACTTGCCGCCAATCTCCGCGAGGTAGTACCGGACGACGTCGATGCCGTACTCGTCGATCGCGGCCATGGGGTCCACGACGTTCCCGACGGACTTGGACATCTTCCGGCGGTCCATCGTCCAGTGTGAGTGCGCGAGGAGCTTCTGGGGCATCGGGAGGTCGAGAGCGGAGAGCATCGCGGGGAAGTAGATAGCGTGGAACCTAGAGGCTCGCGTGAGTTGCTGCAGTGTGCGCTCATGTGTGATGAAGCAAACCTGAGGATGTCCTTGCCGATGACCTGGACGTCGGATGGCCAGCCGCTGCTTTTGCCCTTGTTGCCGTCCTGCCATGGAAAGCCGATCGAGGAGAGGTACACAGTCAACGCGTCGATCCAGACGTATATTGTGTGCTCGGCGTCGTCCGGGACCGGCACTCCCCAAGTGAGCCGAGCGCTCGGTCGAGACACCGACAGGTCTTGGAGAGGGACGGTTCGGAGCTGCTGCAGGATAGCCTCATGGTGTTGGGGTGGGTAGATCGAATCCTTGTTCGCCGCATAGTGCGCCTCGAGGACGCCCTGGAACGACGACAGGCGGAACTTGTAGTTCTCCTCCTCCATCCATTCCACCGCGGACCCGGTCTCCATCGAGACATGCTGTTCCTTTCCCTCGGAGTCGACGACCTTCGTGACCTGCAGCTCCGGGTAGAAGCACTCGTCCGAGACGGAGTACCAGCCGGAGTGGAGGTCCTTGTAGAGGAGGCCTTTCGCGTCTAGTTGGCGCTGGGGAGTAAGGGTCATCTCAGCGGCCGGCTTAAGAACAAGCGGGGATGCCTACCCACAAGTACTGCACTGCGTCACAATGCTCGCGGGAGGTCGTGCGGGCGAACCGTGTTGAACCGATGTTCGCTTTTTGAACGAGGCCCTGTCGTGTGTTCAGATGGGGTCGGCTGAGGACGTGCAGGCGTATGACGAACCTTGAAGTGTTCGCTCAGCATGTCACAGAAGGCAAGTGGCTGCATGCCCTGCGCCTGGGCAGCCTTGCTTATCTTCAGGCCGTGCTCGTCAGTGCCGGTGACGAAGTGCACAGGCCTGTCTGGATGTCGGAGACAAGCATAGCGGGCGAAGATATCCGCGACGACCATAGAGTAAAGATGGCCAATATGCGGAACTGTTGCATGAGAGCCAGTCAATAAACCGTTCATAGAGGGACCCGGGCCGTGGCTGCCAGCAACTTCAGTCTGCCTTCTCCATGACGTGAAGCGCAAGTACCCTGACTTGTTCGCAACATACCTGAGTTGGGGTAGAATATAGGGGTCGTAACGTAGTATGGTTTGACATTGCTGCTAGCGGCGGACGAGGAAAGACGACATGGCTGCCTGCGGAGTGGCGGGACACGTCTGAGCGAGCGAAAGAGAAGCCCACTGTGCATACGGCACCCTACCGAGCCAGAATGCAGAAGCCTAGAGGAGATGGGTCGGTTTGCGCGCGACAGAAGCGTGGATGGTCGTCGACGTTGAGACTCAGAGACTGAACAGTCGTCGGAATGGTGATTATTGCGCTAAGACCATTCTGGGCGGGATCTGGGCTCGATCGGGACTTGGCCGCAGAACGTTATCCGAAACACGATCGGCCCGCTACGCCAGCAGCCCGAGCGAGGCTCAGGCTGCCCAGTGCCCTGGACTCAGTACAGTACTGCTCACCCCCATCTCGCGCAGAGTGTACACTTCACCAACTGTACGCGGCCACGGGGCTCGTACAGTCCACCATCTACAGAGTATCACGACCTACACGCTTTCGCCGTTCACTCGTAGCTGGTCTACTCCGAGCACTTACCCAGCACCATGTCCGACTCATTCGCTGACCTCTGGAACTCGACGGGCGTAAGCAAACCGGCGGAACAACCGCGCAAACTGGGATCCCTCACACCGGTCGTGCCTCCAGCGCGAAATGCGAAGAACGATGTGTTCTCCATGCTTGCATCCCCAGCACTAGGCTCATCCCCCGCATCGCGCTCCGGCACACCAGGGGCTACTGGGCCGATACAGTCTACGCAGTCGCTGGGCACGGGCGGCATGTCGCCATTTATGGGCGCGAAGCCAGTACAAAAGTCCACCAGTTCAGGGGGAGATGCGTTCAGTGGGCTTTTCCCTGGGTCGCTAGCCTCTGGATCCACGGCTAACCGCGCGAACATGACCATTGCCGAGCGTGCAGCACAAGCTGAGCGCGAGAGGAGGGAACAGATGCAGCAACAGCATGCCGCTGCGAAGCAGTCCGCGAATGCATGGACAGGACTCGACTCGCTCGGGGAATTCACCACTGCTAAGCCATCTACACCTGCTCAGGCGACTGCAGCTCAGGACGACGATTGGATTTTTGGCTCGGAGCCCCCAAAACCATCTGCGTCTGCGACGAAAGCATCTACGAGCAAATCACCGCCGCCGCCGAGCGACGACTGGGGGCTCGACGACTTCATCGCGCAACCTGCAGCACCGAAGCCCGCCTCTGCACAACCACGAGGACATTCGCTACTAGATCTAGACGAGTTCAGCCCCATTCCGACTACTCAATCATCTCGGGCTTCCCCCCGGCCTGCGCACGTCCGTTCGAGCACTCCCGGAGACTTTGACTTCGGCGATCGGGAGGACGGCCTGCTCGATAACCAGTCCGATGACGACGACATACTTGGTGAACTCAGTAAACCAGTATCTCAGCGCCCACCACCATTTGTACGTACATACACCTGTATAGTACGCCCACCGTCATGTTGACCCGCATGCCCTGCAGAAGCAGCCAAGCCGAGCAACTCCGTCACCCCAGTCCGCACCCTCACACTCTGGACGACAGTCCCGCGCAGTGTCTCCGCCTCCTCACATTCTAGGCAAAATCGTAGAAATGGGCTTCTCAGTTGAACAAGCGCGCGTCGCACTTGCATCCACAGACACGGGACTAGACGTCGAAGCGGCTCTCGAGACGCTACTCGCGAATGCTGGTGTCGCGGAACCGACACCTCGAGAATCTGCACGCGCACACAGATCAGAGCGCGAGCCTGGGTACGAGCGGTACTACGAGTCCGACGAGGAACAAGCCGCGCCCTCCCGCCGGAGACCCGCCCTCGCCTCGCGACCCAGTGCATCCGGGCGTGCACGCGAGGCGCCCTCGCGGAACGGGGCGTCACCCACAAGCGACGGACAGAAGAACCTACAGGAGCAGGCGGACAAGTTACTCGCGCAGGCGAGCGAGATCGGGCTGAGCGTGTTCAACCGCGCGAACGCGTTCTGGAAGGAGGGTAAAGAGAAGGCGATGAAGGCGTACGAGGAGCGCGCCGCATCCGCTGCGTCCCGCCCGACGGGCACGAGCTCGCCGAGCAGGAATGGGCGGCCAAAGTGGATGCAGGAGGCACCGGAAGAGTTTAGGGATGGAGAGTGGAGGGACGGCCCTGGAGGGTTCGTGGACGACGATGAGGTGCTCCCGCAGAAGCCTGCGCCTCAGGGCCGGCCTAAGCAGGCAGAAGGGCGCCCAAGGCCTTCTGAGCCTGAGCCAAAGACCGCTACATCGAGAGTCAAGACGGGTTCCCTCCTCTCGGATGACGCGCCAGCTGTATACACCTCGCCGTGGCGACGCAAGACTCCCTCGCGCAGCCACGCACCGACGCCGCCCAGCCAACCTGCTGCCTCGACGTCGAGAGCACAGCCCCCGCCTCGCGCACCATCTCCCATCCAGCTCACGCAACGAAAGACAGTGTCCGCGTCACCGGCTGCGATCGCCGCATCGGCGAAGCACAAAGCCACCGGCACGGAAATGTTCAAGCTCGGACGATACGCAGAAGCAGAGACGTCATACACCTCCGCCATCGCCGCTCTCCCTGACGCGCACTTGCTCCTCGTCCCGCTGTACAACAACCGCGCCCTCGCGCGCATCAAGACGGGCGACCACAACGGCGCGATCGAGGACGCCACTACCGTCATCACGCTCGTCGGGCCGTCGTACCACCCCGCGCGCGAAGCGAAGGTCGCGCGGGAGGATGAAGGCGCGGGGATCGACCTCGCGGACGCGCTCGTCAAGGCGTTCTGGCGCCGCGCGGAGGCGTACGAGGGCAAGGAGAGGTGGGAGGCCGCGCGCAAGGACTGGGAGACCATCGCCGGCGCGGACTTTGCGGGTAAGGCGCGGATGGAGGCGGTCAAGGGCGTCGGGCGCTGCCGCAAGGTGCTCTCCGCGGGCGTGGACGGAGCCGCGGCGGCGTCCGGTTCGACGCCTGCACGCAGCGTGAGGTCGACGCCGAAGCCGCAGACGCGGCCTCGCCCGGCGCCCGCGGTCGTTGTGCCCACAGAGGCGGTTGACCGCGTGCGGGAGGCGAACCAGGCGGCGGAAGCGGAGGCACAGGCCCGGCACGAGCTCAAGGACGTCGTGGATGCGAAGCTGGCGGCGTGGAAGAACGGGAAGGAGGCGAACATCCGTGCGCTGATAGCGAGCCTCGAGACGGTCCTGTGGCCCGAGCTCGGCTGGCAGAAGGTGGGCATGCACGAGCTAGTAACGCCGAGCCAGGTGAAGATCAGGTATACCAAGGCGATTGCGAAGCTGCATCCAGATAAGGTGAGTCCTTTGCGGTGCGCTGTCTGAGGGATGGTTCTGACGGTGCTGTGTAGCTGAGTGCGAAGAACCTGACGCTGGAGCAGAGGATGATTGCGAACGGTGTGTTCGGGTCGCTGAACGATGCTTGGAACGCGTTCAAGCAATAGACACTAATTTATGACGGGCACTGTTGTATTGTTTGGACTCAAATATCAGTGAGTTGTGCACATCCCTAGGCGTCCTTCGTCCCGAGGACCCGAAATGCTTGTGAATTCGATTGTGGTTGCGACATACTGATCACGTGCTCTGCACCTGGAACGTGGTTCATGCGTGGGCCACGCAGTTTCGCGGGGTTAGAGGTCCATCTCGGCGCAAGGATCAAAAGGACAATGGGAGTCCAATTCAGCGCACAATGTCTACCGTGGTCTCCGCTTGATTTTGCTGGATACATGCTGAAAATATCTTGAAGGGATACGAATGAAGGCCGAGTACTGTCTCTACACTGTCAGTTGAGTGGGCTCAACATTCACGATTGAGATTCAACGTTGCTCATGCTAACAGAGTTGACTTGTGTATTTCTGTAGATGCCTGCTTCGTCTGTCATTTGGGATCGCTGATAAGCGCGTTATTGACGCCACACAACTTCCTGCCGATCTGTGTCTTTGTACCACGAACCGCATCCTTTCCCCACCCTCACCCCTGTTTCAGGCTCAATCGGCATTCCTCCGCGTGGCCCTGCTGGGTTTTCCTTTTGTCCTTCGACCCAAACCGTCGCACAAGAGAGCCTGCAATATGGTCAATCGTTCGCCCGACGGTCACTTTGCTACTCGTTGCGACCACGCCGTCTTACCTCAGCACCGGTCTCTTTCCTACCCCCGCGTTCTACCTGGATACCAGGACGCATTAGGCAAGACCTCGAGTCGCTATGGGTGCGCGTGGACGGTTGTATTGGTCCACTATTGGTCCACGACACGTGGGCATTGTTCCCTCGTTCACTATGTCGCTCACCCACGCGAGCGAGCCCATTGACCTCGTCGGTCGGCCACACCGCTATGGTCCTTGCGCGCGAGCGACGCAGCTTTGTTGGATATATGTGGTCATGGGCGGGCAGACGAGCGGCCATATAAATGGTGTCTCCCAGAATGGTGCGTTGCCCCTTCATCTGTCCGTTCTGTTCTCCGTGTTCTGACTGCGCGACGTTGATTCGTTCGTTCGCATTGCTCTCTATTGCTATTCTACTTTGCTATCCATTTGCACTTTCACGAATCGCCTCCCTCTCACTGTCTCGATGGACCCTGTCCAACTCCACCCCACTCTCAGCCCGGACAACCTATCGAGGTTTTCCTCGCTTGTTTCGGCGCTCGAGGACCACCGCGTACACGGATCTTTCATTGAAGACACATTTCGGGTCCCTCGCTCCTCAAGGGGAGCCCTCATGAAACCGCTGCCGGCCTGGAAGGGCCAACGACGGGTGATGTTCGAAGCGGCCCCGAACTTCTTCGGTGGCAGGGGGGTTCCCCTTTCCCACCTATCAAGCGGCCTCGCTCCAGGCAGTGTCGTCAAGGACCCCTCTGAGCCCATCTTCCTCGGCAGGAATGTCCTCAATCTGCGGGTGTCCGTGCGTACTGCTACCTCCGCTCTGACGCGTTCTGTGCCTTACATCGTTTCTCAGTGGCCCGGGTATCCCCAATGTGAGGGTGTGAAGCAGCTTCCGATTCCTTCACCTGCAACGCGGGTTGATGTCGCACTGGCTGTGGTAGGAGAGTATATTCGGCTAATGGAAGTAAGTTCGCGTCGGCACCGTGACACGTGACCGCGTCTGACATTGTGGCCGGCCTAAGCGCGCGCGCTTCGAGCAGTTTCAAGCCGTGGGGAGGGAAGGATGGAGGGTAGGAAAGGGCTGCATCGCCCTCGAAAACCTCATCCTCGTCTCAATCTCGAACGACTCGGACGATATCTATGAAGCAGAGATCCACGTGGTCCTAGGCCGGAACGATCCAGCCAACATGCTGGCGGCGCTCAGGAGACGATGAGACATGGCGATCTTGCTGCTTGCGCTGGACGCATTGGACCGGACATGGACTTTACTTACTACGCCTCGCTACCGGCCGCGAGATATTTACGCTTACGACTTGCATCACGACGTTATCCTAGCTATCGGGCTATACGCATACTAGTATTTATCGGCGCTCATTGCTATGTTAGTACCTCGCAGTATCACTAGCAGTATTTCATTTATGTATGTCTGCAATCATGTATCGCGTAGTACGTTCCCTCCTTCATCGTCACACACTAAGTAGTTGTAGCAATATAGTCATCGTAGTCCGAGTCCGCGCGTACAACATTGTTCGTGAAGATGCTCTTGGGCTGGCGCCTCTGAACCCAACGGAGATGTGTGCTTCGGGCATGCTTCGGTCAGTCTGCAGCCACCTCTCGCTCAGCGCTCAGAGTTCGCCACAACGTCCACCTCCATCCTCGTCGATCGCTTCGACCACCACAATCCCTCCCACTCCCTCAACTGCCGGGACACTTCGATCCATCTGCGATCCTCCAACCCAGAGATACATAAGAGACCATGGCAGACGCAGAATCATCGCAGGCTGGGCAGTCAGTGCAGCCAGTACAACTTTTGTACTGCGGAGGTGCGATCTTCATTGACCTCTACTTCGTCGCGATCAACACTCAAATGTGCCGTAGTCTGCACGTTTCCGGTGGAATACTGCGAGTTTGGCTCGCATTTGACAAAGTGCAAAGAATGGCTGCACGAGACCCACCCGGACCTATACGACAAGTACTACTCAGACGGTACGCTTGTTCTTACCATTATCTATTCCATTCACGACGCCGAGTCTTGTACTAGAGGCATTGCAGGCGAAGCTAGGAACTCTCAGCTTGGAAGCGCAAGAGAAACTTGAGAAGGACACCGCGAAGAAGGAGGCGAAGGCGGAAGCGAAAGCGGAGGCGGCACAAAAGAAGAAGATGGTGCGAGCGAGCGCCATCATGTCCCCTCATCCTCATGTATCTGACATTGGATACCAAAGGCATCACAAGTGACGATCAAGCGAATAGAACGGAATAAGCGCAAGTTTGTCACCGCGGTGCATGGGCTCGAAGCTTTCGGTACGTGCCGCCACCGAACATCGATCCGCACTACCCTCGTCTTTGGTAACCACTAATCTTAATGATACACAACAGACGTCGACCTGAAGAAAGCAGCGAAGTTCTTCGCACAGAAATTCGCAACAGGCGCATCTGTAACGAAGAACCCACAAGGAAACGACGAGATCGTCGTTCAGGGCGACGTCTCTGGAGATATCGTCGACATGATCGAGGAAGGCGTAGGCCTTCTGAAAGGTGTTCCGAAGGACAACATCGTTGAGGTAGAGGAGAAGAAGAAGAAGGGCGGAGATGGAGCCGCGTGAAGGGGTAGGATCGGATGTAAGGTCAGAGCTTTCATACGGGCATGTTAGATCTAAGGCTGATGCTATCTTCCCGTCACACTTTAGTTCTGCAGGAGTACTCGCAAGTTGTATCGAACATCCTATTGCACGACAGCACTGTTGTACACTAGCATCAATGTCATCGCTGTAGCACACACACTGTCCTGCGGTTCACCGCGGCAGCAGGATGTCGCGGTAGGTGGGTACACTCATGTCCAATACAACATTACATGTCCGATTTTGTTTCGATAGCATCCAAGCAAAATGTGAGGTAACTCAGAACGCTTACACTGTCTTTTTGCCGCCAAGCTCGGAGTACAGAACATCGCCTTCTGCGCGCTTGCCGGCTGCACGTCCGCGTGCTTTCTTGAAGTGGTTCGAGAGCAAGAACGCGACGTCTGGAGGATTTGCATGTCAGTCCTCTGTCACCGCCGGCGAAAGGCGATACACATACCCAATGACTGCTCGAAGTTCAACCTCGGGTCGCAGAACGACTATCGAATAGCATGTCAGCTGACAACGCCTCCACAGGGATCTGAATGGATACTGACCTGGTACCGCAGCCCGAGCTCGTCCTCCGCAAGCTCCATACTGCCGCCCAGGCATTCGGTTACGCTGAACCCATCCTCGCTCAGCTCGCCCGTAAACTCGAGGCTGACGCCGTTGAGGACCGAACCGCACTCCGCGTGTATGCGGAGGCATGCGGTGAGCTCGGAGATGATCGTCCCGAAGTGCCGCGTCTTGAGCCCCGTTGAGGCCGTGAGTGTGTTGCCGTGCATCGGGTCGCAGATCCAGGCGACGGGGTGCCCGGATGCTTGTACAACGGTGATGTGCGAGGCGAGGTGCTGCTCGACCTGTGGCGGTGGTGTCAGGGCTCCGCGAAAATAGAGCACGTAGAGGATTGTTCATACTTTGCCGGCGCCGTAGCGCGTGATCAAGGTCACCTTTCCTGACTCCTTGTCTGGGTTCACGACTAAATCATAGGCAATCAGCTCTGAATAACTGCTTTGAAAGATTTCGAAGTGCTCACTGTCCAGCAGCCGGACGATCTCCTCAGCCTGCATCGTAGGCCCGACCTTGACCCCAATCGGGTTCCTCACCCCTCGGAAATATTCCACATGCGCGCCCGTCAACTGCCTCGTCCGATCGCCAATCCACAAGAAGTGCGCCGACGTATTGTAGTGCACCTTCCGCGGGCGCTCGCCCTGGCCCTCCGCCTCCGCGGACGGCGAGCGCGACGCGTTCGTGATGGCGGAGCGCGACGTGGAGGCGATGGACGAGGGCACAGGGAACGCGCGCGTCATCGCCTCCTCGAAGTCGAGCATCAGCCCCTCGTGGCTTGTGTAGAAGTCGGCCTCGCCGAGCACGCCCCGTCCGCCGCCCTGCTCGTACGAGGCGCGGTCGCCCCCGTCGGCGCCGAACCCGATCGTACGCGTGAAGTCGAGCGCATCTGACAGGCCTTCGGTGATGCGCTGGAATTCCTCCCTGAGAGACGTGAGTCAGTGTCTGCGTGGGTATGGCGGGTTTTGGGCCTCACCGGAGGGCGGGCGAGCGCACGTGCGAGAGCGACCAGTCCCGCGGGTGGTGCAGAGATGCGAAGCCAGATGTAAGCAAGCCGCGCACGTAGTTGAGAGTCGCGGTCGAGTGGAAGTACGCGCTCAGAAGACGCTCGGGGTCCGGCGTTCGGTCGTTCGGGTCCAGTCTGTGCGACGTGAGTGGGCCGGACAACGCGTACGGAGAGATTGGCGGTACCCATTGACATTGTCCCCTCTTCATATGTGGCAAGGTGAGTTGAATGTAAAAGCCTCTCACGGGCAGGCGTACCGGAAACTCGTCACCTCGCGGTCTCCGATCTTCTCCGTAGCGCTACTTCGCGGCTTCGCGTACTGGCCAGCGATGCGGCCTATGCGTACAACGGGCTTGCGGGCGCCCCAGATGAGGATGAGGGAGAACGACAGAATGAGACCAATTTTGGCGGAGATGTTTTCCTGTGGCGGATGAGGTTGCGAGGTCATTCAGGATGTGAATAGGCATACATGTGTGCATGCGTCGAAGCTCTCTGCGCAGTCTCCAGCATGTAGAAGGAAGGCTTCGTTCCGCTGAACTTGACTTAGGTGGTGGCGAAGTCTCTCGATCTGATGCGGTTGTGAGAATTACAGATGCACAAAACTGGAAGTCACGACGCACTTCGGAGGGAGTGACTAGGGGGGGCAGCGTTCGGATCTTGTTGAGTACTCTGGGTGCAATCGTTCAAGTATTGATACAATGAGTACGAGACTGTTGTACGCACTTGTCAAGCTTCTCCCTGTCAGGATAAACCACGTCCTACAGAGTCAGGCTAGTCAGCATCCTCCGCCGTACGATGGTAGCCAAGTACACGCCTGAGCCGCTGGCTTGTCCCTCCAGGAGCTAGGCGACCAGGTCTCTGGTTGTCCGTTCATTGTATTGTATGTTTTCCTTGGAGTTTGAACGAGGCAAGGAATTGCTTGACTGGGGACGAGTTGAGGGCAGGAGGAGAGTTGAGTTGACTCGCTCGATCATCGAATTTGTCGATCAAAAATCGGGCAGATCTCGGCCTCCGCCATCTTATCTTCTCCGGTCCGGCATCCGATCGCCTCGTTCGCCTTCGCGGAGGCTTTGTCTGTCCACTCATGTTTCCGCCATGACCAAGAACCCGCGCACGCGCAGAAATATTGAACAATTCACAAACCACACTAGCCATCGACAGCGACGCAGCACTCAGGTCTCTGTATACGGTGGTTCAACGTCCCTAACCTGCTCCTCCAGCCACTCCCACAGCCTCTTCCCCAGCTCTGGGTCGTCTGTCTCATTCTTCGCTTGGCCGACCCGCGCATACGGAATACAATACTACCAGGGGATATCTTAACCACCGACTTGTCGAAGATACAAAGCCGTGCTTACCTTCCCTCCCAGGTGAACACCCTCCGGCATCGTCCCTGCCCACAGCTGCGTGAGTGCACCCATCTTTGGCCCTGGGATGACAGGATTCTACATTGATATCATTGTGAGTGCTATAATGGTACTCAGATGAAGTCGACGTACAAGTATCCCAAGAAGCTTGATTGTCCAAGATGGATGCCGTTTGGTATCGAACTTCAAGTTCCCCGGGTGAAGCGAGAAGGAGACGAGACCCTGGTCAGCATATCTTCTGTGGAACTCGTCTGCAACAACGACATTCCCCTTAAGTGACGATCAACTCAAGACCTTGACACGAGTAAAGTCTCTACGCACGAACTTGCTCTGAAAGTACAACTTCGTGGTATGCCACCGTTTCCTCTTCGGGCCGTCCTTCAACGTCTCGAGGTCGATGCCATTCACAAACTCATGCCCCACTGACGCGACATGCACCACTCGCGCTTTTCCATCAGCGGAGAGCCGGGCTGTCTTCAACAGGACGGGAAGGAGAAGCTTGGTGAAGTAGTAGTGCCCTGCCATGTTCTATCTGGTAAGCTGCCGTAAGGTCGTGGTCGTAGATCTGCGAACCCAGAACATTGGTGCCAAACTGCAGGTCGTATCCTTCCTCCGTGACGTCTTCCACCGGCGGGTATATTGACCCTGCGTTGTTGAACAGGACATGCAGCTCCGTTTCCTTACTGTGCTCTCCTCAGCTCTCACCGATCAGCCACAGTGAGAACTACTGCCACACGTGCCTCAGGAACTCCTGCGCTGCAGTCTTCACGGATTGCAAGCTCGCTAGGTCAAGCCTCAGGAAGACCGCCTCTCGCCCAGTCTCCCGCTTCAGTTCGTCAATCGCCACCTGCGCCTTCACCTGGTTCCGCGAGGCCATATACACCTTCGCATTGTGCGCGAGCAGCGCCTACCACCCCATCAGCGTTCTAGCTCGTCCGCTCCTCGAACGAGAATGAGCACGTACCTTCACCGTCTCCTTCCCGATCCCGTCGTTCCCGCCCGTCACGACCATGACCTTCCCGCCGAGGTCCGGCATTTCCTCGGGGGACCACTTCGGCGGCGGCGGGAACATGGAGGACCAGCCCGAGGGCGAGACGTTGAGCAAGGAGGACACGAGCGAGGGTATCGCATACGACTGCATGATCAGGTAGGGACGGAAGGAGGTCGGGAGGTCGATGGGAGGTCCGCAGCCAGGGTATATCTGGCCATGGGTGGGTTCGGGGGTGGGGATGCTATTATTGGATGAGAATGCCAAGAGGAGCAACACTTTGGAGGATGCGGAGGGAACTTCGGGCCATGGGATGAATGCTTCAATGTGGGAACGGGCGAAGCATGGAGACCGCAGCAAAGCCCACCGTAAGCAATCCAGAACATTGTAACCTGAGCAGACCACCAAACAGGCCATCGCCTACATAGGTGCTGGTATGCATGACTCGTCAACGCGACTGCAGCATGCCATGGGTTTCACGACAAGGCATATCCAGCGATAAAACCGATTTTGCGACATCACTGTTCAACGTTCATATCTGAGATCTGAAGTTCGCAAATCTGCTCCTCGAGCCAATCCCTGCATGAACAGACATGGACACAGACTCATGTATAAGGCTTAACCACATACCTTCACCGTTTCCCTCCCAATGGACACGCTTCCACCAGTGACGATCATGTCTGCATCTGTGCGTGCACGAGTCGAAGTCGTAGCTACATCGGCGGGAAGTTATCCTCGGGCGGGAACGCTCAGGTGACTGCGTTTACGTTGCGGCGTGATTGAGTTCGTGCGAAGGCCCACATATGCAATGCTCGATACTTAGGCGGCAGTCACTGTTGGCTGAAGGCCTCAATCGATGCTCGGCCTGAGTCTGAGCTGCAACTCTGGACATGCATGGATGACAGAAATGCTGAGCTAGCAGGATCTACGAACTCCCCTGCAGCCTTGTATACACAGTGCGACACCATTCCCAATCCAGTGAGCTCGGAGTCGGTACGCTGCAACATGTCGGTGGCGCGGACAAGTGGTGCCTACGTTCAGCCACAGACGATCGTGCATCGGCCGAAGCGCGCAAAGACAGGGATCTACCGGCAAACACCGGATGCCGTATATGGCGTGCAGGATGCCTTTTGGAGACGGTATGGAACATGACGTCACCACGGGCGCGCAGTGACGCACCCGCGCACGCGCATATAACCAACCCCCTACTCACATCCATCTACCAATCGCTTTCCACCTTTCTGTCTCAAACACCCATGTTCTCCCAACGCATCCTCCGACTCTCCGCCAACCCGTCCCTCGTCGCGCGCCCATACGCAGGCGCGTCGGCGCGCTACCTCCACAGCACGAGTATCGCGCGTACAGGCGGGACAGAAGCACCCGGAAGAGATCCTCGTCTCTCGCAGGGGACAGTGAGGAAGGAGGAAAACCTCCACCCGGGCGACCCCCAAGACCAGGCCGCACGCTCGGGTCAATCGAACGCGGACAAGTCCCCGCTCGACGCCGCGTCCAAACAGAGGGGGAAGCAGGCCACTCGTGAGGGCCTCTCGGGCAATGCTGAAGGCGTCGGGTTCGCCGAGCAAGTCGGCAGCGCGAGCTCCTCGGGCAGCGGAGGCTCGCGGAACGCAGCCGAGGGCGCAGGCGGGAAGGAGGAGGCCACCCCGCCCGGTTTCCTCGACGCTGTGAAGAGCACGCTCGGCTTCAAGACGACGAGCGGGGAGGTGAAGCAGAACCGTGATGGCGGTGAAGGCGTCACGGGCACGGGCACTTTCGCAGGTCTGAAGGGCGAGCAAAAGCAGCACAAGAACGCAGGTCGCGGATTCCACACCAGCGCGCGGGCGGCGATGGCGGGGGACAAGACGACGACGGGCCAGGCGCCAGAGGCGAGCAGGCAACCCAAGGACCGTACGTACGCTGAGCAGAATGAACATCTGAAGCACCGGGAGGAGACTGACTCGTCCCGCGCGTCGAAAGGCAAAGGGAACGCGGCAGAGGACCCATATTTGCCGTCACATAAGGTACGTGGCTGTTTTGCGCGGCGCAGTCAGCCGTAAAGCTCAACTGCGAGGTAGCTCGGTGACAAGTCGAACCCGGGCCAGCAGCGCCGCTCCTTGCACACCTCCACTCGTCGTCTGGAGGAGAAGCATACAGCGGAGTCGTACTTTAAGGACGTCGACACGTCGCCTCCACAGTCATCCAAGACGCACCAGGTTGATTCGAGTGACAACAAGCTGGCGACACCCGATGAGCCAGAGGCGGGCGAGTCCTCAGACAAAGGGATGCAAACCAAGGAATACCAGACGGTGAATATCGCCCGCTTGGTCCTGTCCAAGGATTGCGAACCCAACATTGTATTGACGCATGCCGTTAGGTCGACAAGGACGAGCCCTATGACTTGCCAGGAAAGGATGACGAGCAGAAGTTGACGTACGGCGGAACGAGCAAGACGCACCCACATGCGGGCGACACTAACACTGTCAGCAAGGCGGGAGAGGGTCCTGAGAGTGGCTCAGCGGGGGGTCGCCGCCCAGAGCGCAAGTGATGAATAGCGAAGATGGATGCCAGAGGTGACGGCTGGTTCGGATACAATGTATTTCTACGCGTATTGTTTGTCAAAGCACGCATTGAGCCTAGGTCTTGGAAATATGAAATGTGGGTCTATACTGACTGCGGTTCGATTGCTGCAAGGTGCCTTCCTCCTTGCTCCCACCCTCACGGCCTGACCGATAGACTCACCGATATTGACTCCTATAGCATTCGTTCTTCTAGACAAGGCAATTGCAATCGACGTCAAAGTGGACTTCAGGCGTCTTTGCCAAGCCCGTAGCTTGCCAGTGAGTCCGGCTCGTTCGACGGTCCAACGTTCAACATTCAAACATTCTGTTAGCGTTCAACGTTCAGCACGGCCAATTCGCGCGCGATACAGGTCCTTACCTTCCGCGACCGCTACGCCAACTCTAAGTGTTGCCGCTTGTCTGCATGCGCTACGCTCTTCAGTAGCGCTATGGGATATATGATTTCCTACGTCAGCACGACTCGATGACCTTGGCAGCCACAGAAGCACGTCCGAAAACTTGGCTTCCCTGCTCGAAGTTGCCCTCGGGCGATAGCTATCGGCGTGTAACTCCTCGCCAAGTCTTTGCACCAAGCCCATAGCTTGCTAGTGAGTCCGGCTCGTTTGACGGTTCAGCACGTCCGAATTCAATTCGCGCGATACAGGTTCTTGCCTTCCAAGTCCGCTTACGCTCTGGCCTTGTCTTTGCATCCGCTACACTCCTCAGTAGCGCTATGGGATATGTGATCTCCTACGTGAGCAAGAACCAATAACCTCAGTCGCAGAAGCACGTCCGATGATTTGGCTAACCTCGCTCGATGTGGCCCTCAGCGGGCCACAGCTGTCGGTGTGTAGCTCCTCGCCAAGTCAATGTACGTTGTTCTTGTAAGTCATCACTGTAATGTTGGGTCACCAGGCTCTCGCGCCTTATGGCGGGAATGTGGTCATGGCGTCAGAACCAGCTCACCTTCGTGTCCGGTCAGGAGCGTCGCTGGTCCCGTTTGTGCGGACTTTTGCACGAGTCATGGTCGTGTGGCCTCGCATTTGCGCCCCTCCTTCTCTTGTCTCTCCACCGATGTATGGTATACTCAAACTTCACGATGCGTTGAGGTGCGGCGTTCACCTTTATGGGCGGCGTTCTGCCGTCTTTAACTCGGAATTGGTTTTGCGATACTAGAGAACGTGTCAATGCGCTACTCTGCGGCTCACTGCCAAGTTGAACTCAGATAGGGCTACCGCCATCCTCCGAGTCGGCCATGGAGGAATCGTCTGTTGCGCTTCTCTGGTAAGCAATTTGAATACCCTGTAATTGCCCCAGGAGGCTCGTCAAGTACCCTCCGAGTGCTGCAAACTGACTCGCGATCTTAGACGCGGGGATGTGGAGGCGAGAACATTCACCCGCCGGGGCGGCAAGGCCGGATCGGGCTCCCGTTTGGCTCGTTATCGCGACCTCCGAGCGCCTGCAAGCGATTCTCCTTCGTCCGAAAAGCCGTCGCGAACACATGAGGCGTCTCATTTCGCTTCAGTGAGTCACTTTGAGTATAACATTAGCAACAACTCATGGTCTTGGACGCATTAGAAGTGGCCCCGGCCCAAGCGCGCATACCATGAGTGATGCTCGAGGCGACTGAGATGTTCTCCTGCAGCTTCTTCTGTTCAATGGACACACGCTCTGGATTCCCGGAACGACTTGACGCTCTCGGACGCTTCACATATAACGCCTGGCAGCTAAGGAGGTACTGTACTGCTCCCTGCGCCCCCCAAACATCCGGTTCTGGTCGGATACGACAAGGAGAACTATTGCAATGCCGTCTGCGGGATACCTGATCTATTGCGGCATAATGCCGCTCTTGAAAACGTACGTCCAATCGGGCTGCACTCTTCATTGTTTTGACCGACACCTCCGTGCAGATTCATTGCGATCTTCGTCGGATACTTCCTGGGCAAGAAGGGGCTCTTCACCGCGGAGGCGTCCAAAGGAGCCTCGCAGGTATCCATGAACATATCGCTGCCCGCCCTGATCTTCGCGAATGTGGTGCCCGCGTTCACATCCCAAAACGTCTCCGCCCTCGGGCCGCTGTTCCTGACTGCCTTCTCCTACCTCGGGTTCGGGTTCACCTTCGGCCTCATCATACGCGAAATATGCTATGTGCCACGTAATTTCTGGCAGGGCATCGTCGTGCTCTGTGCCATGAGCAATTGGGGGAATCTTCGTCAGTTGCCGAGACTCTTCTGTACGGGATATGCATTTATTCACGTTCCTCATGTTCTGTAGCAACTGCCATTGTGGAGGCTGTAATGCAGGAGGCCCCGTTCAACCGTAATTCAGACCCCGCTCGTACGTGCCATCTCTGGTCAATTGCCACTTCACCGTGAACTAACGTGATCCCCTTGCGGTCGTGTGCAGTGGGCGTTTCTTTTGTCTCAGTATTCATCGTGTCGTATCACCTTGTCTTTTGGGTTGGTGGCGCTGCACGCTCGCTGGCCTGGGACTATTTGCCAGGTGTACCCCAAGGTGCCGAGGCTGAACGTCGTTTGGCCTGGCACGAGAAGCCCATCGGGGGTTTCATTGCACGTTACGTCCTACATTTGAAAGTTGCTAGCCCCGCGCCTGTATATTCCGAGAAGGCCGACGGTGCATCCGTATCCGAGAAAGGACCGATGGAAATGGAGAAGGGCAAAGACGTGATGGATGACTTGGAAGCGAATCTGTATGCAAGCCTCCAGGCAGAACAGCCAGAGCTCGGTATGGTCGAGGAGGACCACGCATACGAGACTGACCCCGATGTCCAGCTCGCGCGGCGCACGTCCCGTCTGTCCATCACGTCCAACAGATCCCGCCGGCCTTCCTTACTCGCAGGCATATCGCCATCCTTGCCCCAGCCGCCTGCGACTCCACCCCCATCAGTGCTGCATTCGTCAGAACAAGCGAACGTCCACGAACACCCTTCGTCGTACTTCGCACGCCTGCAGAAGACGCTACGCCCGCTCTCGGCGGCGGTAACACCAATCACGGTGTCCCTCGTCATCTCCCTACCCATCGCGCTCATTACGAACCTCAAGGCGTTGTTCGTCAATACCACCAATCAGGGAGGTCCCGCCTGGTATGGGCCCGATGGCAATCCACCCCTGAACTTCATTTACGTCAGTGGTAAGCACTTTGTTCGTCCATGGTGAGAACCAATCTCAGGTCTGCTTACCGTCAATGCAGCCCAATTCCTCGGGGAAATTGCCGTACCGCTGTCACTCATCCTTCTAGGCGCATCCTTCGCACGTATGCAGATCCCGCGCCCCCTCTCACGGCTCCCCATTATGGCCATGCTGGCTGCGGCCCTCGCCAAAATGGTGCTGCTACCCGTTATCGGTGTCTTCCTTATCCAAGGCATGGTCAAAGGCGGTCTGATCCCGCGTGAGGCGCTGGCGGAGAGGTTTGTGGCGATGTTCCTCAGTGGAACGCCCCCCGCGGTCAAGTACGTGCGCCGCTGTGTTGCGTGGACACCGAGCTGACGGGACGACGCTTCTCTGTGCAGCCAGCTGATCGTATCGTCGCTGTACTCCACCACGGGCGATGTAGACACGCTTTCTGTGAGTGATAGACTGTGTATCGCCGGCGGTACCTTTTTCTTACTCCATATACCAGGCCTTCTTGCTCATCCAGTGTAAGTCGGGGTTCGACATCATATTGAAACCTTCGTGGCTGACATCTCCCATCTTCATCAAGACATCGTCATGTTCTTTTCCTCCGCGTGCGTTGATTTTCCCAGGGCTTGCGCTTCCATCATCAACATTGACTTTTGCGTTTCTATTCAGAGCACTGACAGCGGTCTCCTTGCTGCTTCTTTGACGACCTCTGACGACCCCCGCATGCAACCAGTCATTCGCCTCTGATGGGACTTGGCATGGCGGCGCTAGACCGGCTGTCAACCTAGAGTATTAGACCATAAGTATTTCGAGGATCCCAACGGTTATTCGTTCCCCACTGTAGAGCAACGCCCAAACTGTATGTGTCCTTTTCCGATCATCCTTCTCGGAAGCATGTTGTAAGTACGCGTATTACGACCGTTTGTTGTATCGTTAATATCGTTCCCTGGATACATACGAAGGAGTTCTATCACCGCTACCGGTAATCCAGTAGTTCTCGATGAGCGGAGAAGTCTCCGGTTTTCTCGCGATCACAGAGCGCCACCAGATTATCGCAGATTTGCGTGCGAGATTCGGGTACTGCCATCCAGTGCCCCATAATTAACTCGGCTAACGAGTGCCAGTGCTGTGCCAGTGTGCAGAAGTGTGCAGAGCGCATGGAGATCGTCAATGACATTAGGGCGATCAGAACGTACATGAAGAGGGCTGTCTAGAGAATGACTACGGGCTAATGAGACATGGTGGAATCCTGATGGGTGCCAGGAAGACTGTCAAACACGGGAGGTTCTGTTGGCTACCAGGCCAGCTACGCGAGCAGAGCGCGGATTAGGAGTGTCTACGGTAATCTAGGGTAACAATTGCATTCGAGTCCAGCCAGCCATAAGTTATACCAGTTCTGTACCCATACGCATATGGCTTAGTTTGGCACCGGGTCAAAGTCAAGGTCCTTCGCGATGTCCTCCCACTTGTCCATGTCTTCGAGTAGCCGTGTGTAGTGTTCCCGGACGTGCTCGTAGGTCGCGTTGCCGAGCATGAGGTACATCGGAAGCTCGCGGCCCTTGGCCTTGCCCTCGCCACGCACAGCGTCGACGAGGACGTTCATGGCCTTGTCGGGGTCGCCCATGGCCTGCGCCCCGATCGACTTGAACATGCCGGTAGTCTTTTCGCGGAGCGCGTCGTACTCGGGGATGTGGTAATTCGAGGTGTACGGGACGTTGTGGACGTTTTCTGTGCGGAAGGCCCCGGGTGCGCAGACGGTGACCCGGATGTTGAATTGCGCGAGCTCGGTCGCATATGTCTCCGCGAGCGCTGTGGGAACGGGCTGTCAGCGTATGCGGCAGTGCCCATGAGCGAAGCAACTCACCATGCACTGCGGCCTTTGATGCGACGTAGAAGCCAGTGATCTGTAGAACATCAGGCCGTTCAGTCCTCTGCTCCAGGGCGTCCCAACCGCAACTGAGTCCGGACTCACCGGGGTGGCATGCCATGCCGATCGGCTCCCGATCATCACGACGGTGCCCGACCTCCGCTCGCGCATGTGCGGCAGGATGGCGTTGGTGACATTGATCACGCCCATGACGTTCGTCTGAAATTGCTTCGTCGCGGCCAGTGCGCTGTTGAGCACAGAAGATCAGTCAACAACGCCTTCGATCTGCCCTGGAGTTACGTACCCTCCCTCTTCGATCAGGGACTTGAGCCCGTACCCGGCGTTGTTGACGACGACATCGATGCGGCCCCAGATGGACAGGGCCTCGTTGACGGTCTTTTGGATGTTCTCTGTGCTGTCGCACACGTCAAGCACGATGATGCGCAGCCGGGCGCGGTCCCCGACCGGGAGAGTGAAGCTCTCGAGGTTGCGCACGGTGGCGATAACGTAGTCGCCGCGCGAGAGCACGGTCGAGACGAGGCGTTTGCCGAATCCTGAGGAGGTGCCTGGAGAAGGGTAAGTAAGCGGATGACGGTGGGGATGACATTGCGAACGCGTCCCCGCGTTCGCGAAGAGTGCGCTACGTACCGGTGATGAACCAGACTTTGCGGGTGGCTTCGAATGTGTTTCTCATCGTGGCGAATGAAAGGCTGGTGTCGGGTGGACTTTGGGCGTGAATGTGGCGGCGCGCGAGGAGGTTGGTCGGTATCAAGAGGCTGCTGAGGCCGAGCTGGGTGTGTGGTATTTGCGTAGGCTGCCTGCGGACGCTGGGTCCTGAGAGTGCGAGGTCGTCTAGACGGAGGTGAGTGAGGAAATGGGCGCAGCTCACCCGCCTTTATAGCGAACTGCCACCAACCCGGCGGGCGAACAGCCGCAGACGTCAGCCAGCCCAGCCATGCGCGGATCGGAAATCTGCCAACTGAGTGCGAACTCGCGAATCCGCATGCAAGGACGAGGGCGAGCCGTATCGCTGGCCTCTCGGATCTTACCCGTGGCCCGATCTGGTGTTCTGCGCTCGATGGGATCAGAATGGCAGCACTGGGTGGACAGCCTGGGCAGGCCGTAAGGCATGATACGCGATCGAACCCCTGCCAGCGGGCGCGTACCCATACACCAGTGCTGGTGCGCGGGCGCTCCGGAGTTGCGGGACCGGGGAGGGGTCGTGCGTGGAAGTGTAACTCGAGCTAAGTGACTTTGACAGAGTCCAGAGTCGCTCCGCGGTGGACGTCCTGTCCTGGTAAGGTACCTCGAGGCCTCGTAGATAGACTGGTAGAAGTCGGTTAGCAGCGCCAGGATGAACAGACCGCATAAGAACCCACCAATGGATCACAGCAGAGCGTCATCTTTGCGCTACGCCACTATCTCGTTCGTGAACGCAAATAGCTCGTCGATGTGCACCCAGCTCAATATGCCAGAATTGGTGAAGGAAATCCCTATAGTACTATACCGCTCCGAATCTGTCTCCACGGATCAATGTCGAATACACGCCCAATGGCTGCGGGAAAGCTTTCACCCTCGACATCACTGTCCTGTTGAATGACAGAGTATTGTATACGCCGCCTCCCAGACTACCCCCGCTCCGAACGGCGCCGGTACAGCGACCTACAATGACATACGTATGCACGTACCGCGAATGCTTGAGCCGCCGCCAAGCAGCCGCCTCCTGCACACTCATGTTGTGCAAAAATCGGCATAGCGGTGCGCACGGCCACACATTAATGCGCCACACAAGGGGCGATCAGCCACCCTTGAAGCTTGTAGCTTGACGCCCTGCGCGCAATTGCGTCAGGACAAACGACATGCTGACGCAACGTCCTGGGCAAGCGGATCGATGGTCGGCGCAGAAGAACCACACTGCGCACATCAGACAGACAAAATCCAGAAACACTAACGCTGTAAGAAAAGAAAGGTATGTGTATACAAGACCCAGGATGATATGTATCGTGCCGGGAGCGGGAACCTCGCGCTCGAGTCTGAGACGCCGACGCGAGACATGTCGCAGCGCCCTCGAGGATCCCTGTGCCATCACCGGCGCAACACCGCCCGTACAAGCCACGGCGTCCTCGCGGCGACGTCGCCAGCCCAACGCGCCGTCAAGCGTCGTCTAGCAAGTCCACAATGACAGGCTGAAAGGGCGCCTCCCCGAACTGGACTCGCCCGCCGCCCGGGCGGCAGGCCCGCGGGCCCATGGGCCAATTCGCCGCGTTCACAAAGACAGTCTGCTCCGCGTCCCGGCTCGAGGCCGCGCCCGCAGCCACCGCATCGCCCTCATCCGGCAGCGGTGCGCCCGACGGCGACCCGGGGGCGGGCCACTCGCGGAGGACCGCGCCGTGGTCCTCGTGGATGTGTCCGAAGACGTGCAGGCGCGGGCGCAGCGCGGGGAGGCGGGCGGCGAGCGCCTCGCACCCGACGTGCTCGTTCCCGACCGTCGTCTTGTCGAGGATGTCGTGCGGCGGCGTGTGCGTCAATCTGTGGAGGCTCGTCACCCTCGTCAACGCGTCTGAACGGAAAGGGCGCTGACAGTATGTCCGTCTTGGGGACCGCGGCCATGAGCTCTGTCCGGGTCAGCGTGAGGGCGCGGCGGGTCGGATGGGCGGTGACGTACTCTCGGCCTCTTCCCCGCGCTGGTAGTTGAATGCCCAGTTGTGGAAGTAGGGCGACCACTGCGAGGTTAGGACCGGGGTTAGTTTCGCAGCTATCGGTACAGTCGTTTGCATGGTGATTGTCGCATGTGCGCGATGCGAGATTGGCCGTCTATGGCTGGCCCGATCCACCACCGGACCCGGTAGTCCCGTAGCTTGTGTAGAGTGCGCGGGGTCAGTCTATGAGAGCTAGTCTCTTCTCAAGCAGAGCCACAGGACACCTGGCCTGTTACGATATACGGAGAGTATCCAGTGCAAAGATTCAAGACGAGGGGCACAGGTGCCTGTAGTCATTTGGTGCCCTCGGGGAACCTTTTCTGGTCACGTTCGGAGCCCGAACATCCTCAGCACATATGATGCATTTCAGCATGATGGATGAAAACACGCCTTTTCGTAGGGGGTTCAAAGTCCCCGATAAGGTTCCCCGTAGGGACCACTGTTCGTTGCATATTCGGAGTCTGAACGAAGCGGGTTTCCCCCGGTGATATGGGGCGGAGAGCCCCAGCCCCAGCCGTACTCTGGGAAACGCAAAACGACAACCATCTTGCACACGACCGATAGAAAGGACGGCAATTTCAAGCACTGACCGGCGATCCATACACGGTCCATTTCCGACCGTCTGGCTTGGCGCAAAATTCGTAATGGTCGTCTTCGAGGTAGACGATTCCGGACTTGGCGGCTCTGCGGCCTTGTATGAGATCCTGGATCAAGCCGATGCTCTGGTGAAGGCAGTCGGCACGCTGCTCATGGAGAGGCGGTGGAGCCACGCACCTGTTTCGACACGCCATGCCAGCGGTCGTAGTTCTTGACGTACCAGTCGTCGTGGTAGTCGAGGGGGAGATCGTGGTTGCCTGCGATGATGCTCCATTCGGCGCGATCGGACGGGGCGATGTTAGAGCGCGAGCTCTGGCGACAGGGTGCAGCGGGAACTCACATCTTTGTGCGGTGGGGGAGGTCGCAGAGCCAATCCATGGTCCGCTGGAAGTCGGCGTAGGTGCCCATGGCGGTCAGGTCGCCGCTGTGGAGGAGCACGTCGCCGGGCGGCACGTGGACCATGCGCGAGTGGGTGTCGCTGATGCAGACGAAGCGCGTCCATTCCGGGGACGGGGGCGGGGGCGGGCTGGTGCTGTCGTACTCGAGGTGGACGACCGCGGTCGGGGAGCGGAGGGAGCGCGGGGGGCGGGGGGCGTCGTCGGGGGGCGAGTGGGCGGGCATGGGGGCGGGGGGCGACGAGTATCGCTGCTTTGCGCGGTGGCAGAGAGACGGCGGGGGAGGCATGGGCCGCACAGGCTGGGGCGCGGAAGGCAGGCTGCCCGAACGGTCGCGCGCGTCCAGGTGGGACTCCTCGGCGAATGCCAGCCTCGGTCGCTGCAAGCCATGGCGCGGTGTGTGGGTGGACACTACAGTCACAGCCTGGCCCGGTCTGTGGCCAAGCAGAACGGCGCACACCTGTCCCCTGCCTGTACATGTCCCCAGTCCCCCGGTCCCCCTCTTCCTCGTGTCACGTCCCACCTTTCCGCGCCCACACTCGCCCTGCAGTCACGCCTGTCACGCTACCGCTTCCGTGACGCAACGCGTTACCCCGTCCTTACCCTCCTTCAAACCCTCCCGGAGTCTCGCAAGGTCTTCTCTGGGATATCCTCTCTTCCTTGGCAGCTGAAACCTCGGGGCTCATTGTATGGCTCACTGTCGGCTGCTCTTCTCTCCATTGCAAATTTGCCTTGACGTGGACGCGAGCCACGCTTTACTCTACTGGGCTCTACTGCTTGCCGGCTTAACTGCGACAGAGTGCGACCGACCGGGCCCGCTTCGTCCACCCGACATTGTATTGTACGCCGGTGGGTCATGCGCCCGCTGATGGCGCTCCACTGTACGACCCAGCATCCGACATGATGCGGCAGGCATTGAATACAGCTCTGGGTGCTATGTATAGGATGCTTGTCGGAACGCGCTTTGGTGTGTTGAAATGCTTGGTGCCTTTTTCCTGCTGGTCTCCACAATTACTACCTCCGGAAGATGCCGCAGTGCCGCATCGTCCAACTGGTACTGACTCGGGGGACTAGCCTATCGTCTCTTCATTGCAAAGACACACTATTCTGCGAAGATTACTGTTGATCATCTGAAGTCTTGCTGAAATGGAGAAACCATCTCAGCCAGCCTCGCTTCCTCTGACCAGGGCCTCGATCGTAGTCGCCCACGAGGCTATCAAACCTGTAATCCATCGCACGCCGATCTTCAGCTCATCGACGCTATCAGCGTCCCTGCCAAACAAGAACACGCTCTATTTCAAAGCAGAGAACCTTCAGAAGGGCGGTGCCTTCAAGTTCCGCGGCGCGAGCTTCAGTCTCAGCCAACTCACGCAGGAAGAGCTCGCCAAGGGCGTGTGCACGCATAGCTCAGGTAGGACACCGCTCAAATTGAAGTACGTGGCGGAAATTCAAAATCTCACTTCGACTTGGCATCGCACAGGGAACCATGCCGGCGCGCTAGCCCTCGCAGCAAGGGAACGCGGAGTCAAATGCTATGTCGTGATGGTACGCCGTGCTCCCGCCGTCCCGCGTCCCTCATTCACCCCGCTTCCAGCCAGACAACTCCGCCACGCCCAAGGTGGACGCCGTCAGAGCATACGGCGCAGAGATCACCTTCTGCGCGGCGAACGCCCCCGCCCGCGCCGCGACGCTCGCGGAGGTGCAGGCCCGCACGGGCGCGACGTTCGTGCCGCCATACGACGCCGCGCACACGATCCTCGGCCAGGGCACCGCGCTGCTCGAGCTCCTCGCGCAGGCACCCGAGCCCCTCGCCGCGGTCGTCGCGCCCGTCGGCGGCGGCGGCCTCCTCGCGGGGACCGCGCTCGCCGCGGAGGGCACGGGCGTCAGGGTGTTCGGCGCGGAGCCCGCGGGCGCGGACGATTGTGCGAGGGGCCTGGGTGAGGGACGGAGGAGGGAGGACGTCAAGGCGGAGACGATCGCGGACGGGCTGCGCACCCCCGTGGGCGTGCTGAACTTCCCGATTATCCAGGAGAAGGTCGAGCGCGTCATCGTGGTTTCTGACGAGGTGCGCAGGCGTTCGCGCGCGTCGTTCGTCCCCTGACTGATGAGGGTTCGTGTAGGAAATCGTGGACGCGATGCGCCTCATTTGGGAGCGCCTGAAGCTCGTTGTCGAACCGAGTGGCGCGACCGCGTTCGCAGCGGTCCGGAGCAAGGCGTTCCAGGAGCTCGGTGTCGCAGGGCCTGTCGGTGTCATCATTAGCGGCGGCAACATCGACCTGTCCCAGCCGCTGCCCTGGTCCCGATGAAGACGTCCCTATAGACCCGTCCCTCATTAGGGCTCTATGCAACGTCATGCGGGGCGTCAGATGCAGAATGGAAGATGTCTTGGACCCGAAGAACACACAAGTACCCCTGATTTGCTATCTCTGTCAAATATTCCGAACACAGTTTGCAGGCTACTCGTCTCCGCGAAGTTGCACGACGCCTTCTTCTCTCTTCGGATCCCCGCACCCGCATCCGCGTGCCGTATCGCCGTGGTTGACACTGATAATGACAGATCCTTTCATCTATGGCAGCTGTCATTCCCTAGTCTCTCTGCTAACAGTGACGGCGTGCCTGTCCATGTGTGGTATGTCGCCGTCCTCAGGCTGTACGGTTTCGACGGGCAAGCTCAAGGCTTGATTACCGCACGCATGTAGTCTAGTGACTACTATGTACTAGTGTTAGTTCCGACCTCGGAGTATCACTTGCGATCTGCCATATGAAAGAGTCGCTCAGGAAGTAGTCGTCGGCCTCAGGTGCGTGTCCCCCTCTTCGACGACCGTGTATACTCAACCCCTCTGTATCGACAGATGACATCGCATGTACCAGATATGCTTTGTGAGGCAGACTGCCAGCAGGATCCCGCTCACCCGCGCTCTTCGCGTCAGTGTCAATGTCATCTTCTCCAATTCCCCGTCCCGATCTTGTCTTCTTCCGTTCAGTCTCGTTATCGATTGGTGTCATCCAGGGATGGCAGGTGTTTGTTGGTCTCGCTCCCACTCTCAGAGTAGCCATGACGCGCACGATACGTGGGGGGCTTTCGTTGGCCGTAGGCATTCACCGACCCTGGATACAACCTCCTTGCCTTGGCCGAGGGGTATGATGCCGTTTATGGCCAATGTATGACCGTTATGGGTTCGACAACCGCGTCCGTGCCCTGCCTTTCTTCTGTGGTCGTTTGTCTCACCGACCTTCTTCGTGGCGCGATAATATGAGCTATGATGCGCTCGTGATGCCGACTTGTGTTCGTGCACACGTGCAATCCCCGGGCCCCGAGCGCACATGTTGCATACGGTCGAGATGAGCCCAGTGCGTACTCCTTCGTATGTAGTACTGCTGGTGACGATCAGAGACCGCTTCAACTTGAATACGATGCATGTGTATGGTTTCCCACTGAGACGCACCTAATCTTGGTAGGCATCTTGTGTCTTAGGTACACTGCTCATGGGCAGTGTCCAGCTGAGCTACTGACCATGCGATGCTGTCCGATCTGGAATACGTGAGTGCGGGCTTATACAATTGAACGAGTGCATACTCACCGAAAGCAAGGTATACCAGCCGGACCGATGACCATGCCGTTCCTACTGAAAGTGGCCCAGACTCTACTCTGAGTACCCGTTCAGAAGCATGGTCGCCGGGAGAGCCCGCCCACGTTGATGCGCTCACGAGGTTCCACGCGATCGTGGCTCCCACTCCGCGCGGTCCGATCACATTCTCGATCATAGCAGATTAGCACGCCACTGACATTGTGCTCAGAGGTGAGCTCAAGGTGAGCCCGTACTTGTCTTCGTCTCGCATATGATCACTGACGATGGAGCTGCAGCCGTGCTTGGATCGCCATCGTTGGGTCTGATACAAATATTATCCTTGAGGATGGGCTTCGTTATCGCTTCAAGCTCGGCGGAAGTGCGCGCGACTCTTATATCGTCCAAAGCTTTCTCAACAAGTCTGCAAATACGCTCACACATGGCATGGCGGTTCAATGAGCATGCTAGCAGGTGGAATGCGCACGACACGATGCGCATCGAAACCATCACATGCACACAGCCAACTACGACCGAGACAACGAATGTATCCCGGGGATTGTGGGCTCCGGCCTTCGCCCCCAGCGACCGGTACGAGCCTATCCGCCTCTGGTAGGTATGGTCGAGGTGCCCTCGTCTTCTGGCGGACCATGCGGACGGGCTCGGCATTGCTACCCACACAGCTCGCTCGTATATGTCTTCTCCCGCAGTTCCCTCGACGTTCGCGTGGTACTGGTAAGTTGCGCGCGTATAAATGGTGGGTCGCGGAGGCGAGGATTGCTCAGCCGCACTGCCCACGATGCGTATTCCGTTCCTGTCCAACAGTGATCGCAGGTCGACCAGCTCTCGGAAGGCCTCGTCGATGCAGACGAGGGCGACAACCCCCGTCGCGGCGGCGTACTATCCGGATTGGTCCAGTGACAGCTTCCCGCCTTCGAGTCTCGACTACTCGAAGTTCGACATGCTGCTATTCGGTATGCCTTACTGTGGACTTACAGTCGTTGGTCTGACTGAATACTGCAATCTAGCGTTCGCGACGCCGAACTCGTCGAACAAGATCGACTGGGATGACGGCTCGACCGACACCTTGAAGTCGCTTGTCAGTGCTGCACACGGCAGCGGCCATGGCACCAAGGTTGTGCTCTCCATAGGTGAGAATCTTGCTCTCATGCATCATGCGCTGTGTCTCAAGAACGCTCTCAGGTGGGTGGAGTGGGAGCACCCACTTTTCCCAGGTCATGAAGCCCGCCAACCGGAAGACCTTCGTGCAGGCGTGTGTTGATGCAGTCAACACGTACAACCTCGATGGTAAGTGTCCAATCCTGTTCATCCCTCCATAGTCTGACGAACGGTCACGAACAGGGATCGATATTGACTGGGTACGCCTTATGTCCCTCCATGACGCTCTAGCGCGCTGACCGCCCTGTTGACAAAATTAGGAATACCCCAACCAGTCCGGTGCAGGGAACCCATACTCCTCAGCCGATGCGGCGAACTTCCTCAGCTTCGTCACCGATCTTCGTAGTGCCATTGGCGCGGACAAGATTATCTCCGCTGCAGTCACCGACCTCCCCTGGGTCGGTTCGGATGGCAACCCCCTCACGGACGTCTCTGCTTATGCCAAGCAGATGACGTACGTGAACATCATGTGTGTTCATCATATCATTCGCGCGTCGATATCCCGTATTGATTCAACCTTGCGTTGCGCAGGAACTACGACATCTTCGGGGCATCATCGACCCCAGGGCCAAATGCTCCCCTGGGCGATCTTTGTGGTACCTCATCGCAGTCGCAGTACAATGCCAAGGCGTCCGTGAAGCAGTGGACCGCGGCTAATTTCCCTGCCAGCCAGCTCATGCTCGGTCTTCCGCTCTACGGTTACGTCAATAAAAGCTCGAAGAAGTCGCTCTCCGACGGCACTCTCCAGCACACGAACGGCAGCGCTCTGGAAGCCTACCGCGAAGACGTGCTCGGGTTGGCCGGAAAGAGCTACGTGGCTGGGCAGAACCTGACGAACCTCGATGAGGTTGACGCTGGTGATGCGCAGCTGAACGCGTTGAACGGAGCACACCCTCGTCCTGCTATCACCCAGAAACCGGCGAACTTGACTGCCTTGGCTTCTGGTGATCTCAGCTCGTACTATGGGCAACAGATCGCGTTCAGTGATCTCATTTCCTCTGGAGCTCTCAAGGACTCGTCGGGAACGTTCACGGCTGCTAATGGTTATACCTATGGTATGCACTGCAGTGACTACCAACTGTCTAAGCGAACTTGAACTGACACTTGCCTCCGTAGAATTGGATAACTGCAGCGATACGCCGGTACGCATATAGCAGTCACTACAGTAACATTCTCCTGACGCTAACGATCTGCGTAGTTCATCTACGATACCGCGCGCAAGACCGTAGTCACTTACGACGACCCGTCCTCGCTTACCGACAAGGCCACATTCGCGAAGAACTCCGGACTTGGCGGTGCTTTCACTTGGTCCCTTGATCAGGTCAGTCGGAAAGATGTTTGCAGGTTCTGGCAGGAACTCATTGCTCTGGTGTACAGGACTACAAGTACGTTCTGCAGGACGCCATTCGTTCTGGTTTGGGCTTGTGATCTCCGAGTTCGTACGCCAGCTGGCGATATCGTATACCACCATCATTTGCCGTGCTTTCATCTTTGGGTTTCATCTCGTCGCTCCTTATCGTTCCTAGCAATGCACTATAGATATAATACCATTATTACAGGTCTACACCCACGCAGTTCTGCTGAGGATGATGTTGGCTACTAGCCTGAGGCGACCATAAGCGCTTCTGCGAAGGCTGGTTCGGGGTTTCCAAAACTGGTATGACCGACAGCGCCCCATGGGCCCGTGGCACAGCGTGGCCTCCTCTTCCCTAAACCAACACGACCAGAACACGATGCCCATCTCAGACCTGTCTCGAAGTCTCCAAGCATTTGGGCCCGGCCTTCATGACACGATGCTTGTTGCTCATCGTCCTCTTGGTCAGAATTGACCTCTACATCGCGAACGATAGCAGCGTCTCAACGATTCCTGCTAATCCAAGCCCAGTTCGCAGGTAATGTTCATTTTGATTCGTGGAAGTTCAGGTTGGCTTCTGATTCCATGGAATAATACTTCATATGCCGACTTGTTTTTGCTGCTATGCTTTCGACAGGTCAGCGCGACACTGGAGGTCTGATCTACGGCCAACCCGGTAGAGCGCGCCAGTGAAACCACCATCTGACAGTGGCATCTAGTATGTCGAGAAATCTCAATGGCACAATCGCAGTACATTATGCCATGTCAGCTCGTTCACTTGTTGGACACTACAGGACATATATAACATGCATAGCGGTTCGGTTCATGACTATTCGCAGATACAGGCTAGAGCTACACAAGTCACTGTCTACAAGTAGTCCATCGTCAATCTCGTCGCACTCTTTGTTTGTCACTCAAGGCAGGTCGAGGTTCCTGCATCTGTCTCCTTGGAGCGCGTGCATTGCTGCTAGATTGTGTTTTGGCCTTGCAACGCTGGCGTGCTTGACACCTACACGGCCCGCGCACACGGCGCCCCGATTCGGCTTTCAAGTATGTAAACTACTCGGAGCCTCGCCCGAGGTGAGTGCGAAGGCCTGCGCTGGTATACAGGTGCTCACATTGCGGCTTGTCAGCGGCAACCATTTGGTCTTTGCTCAGATGCCTCGAACTGTCGGCGTCTATCTACGCTGACAGCGCTGCATCCTAGCTCTGCATCTACGTCCTCGGTGCTGGCGGCTAATACTGTGACCACCGCGGGCGTACAGTGTAGCTTATGCGCCGGAACCATGTACAACATCACGACTCCGATAGCAACATCGGCGTTCCCAGATCACGACCGGGGAGGCGCTCGCAGAGTCTGTGTCTCCGACCCTGTGTGCGCGTTTCACCCCTGCCCCTCCATGCCAGAGCAAGGCGTCGGCGAGCACTGGCATTGCTAACTGCACAGCTCCGTCGTACGTATGGTCTCCTTGTCTGAGCCGGACCATGGCTCTGGAATGCCTCTCCTCTGATAAAAGATGGATCTCAAGAGCGGTTTCGCCGTTTGCTTTGCCCTTCTGACCCTTGGACATATCTGTCTTTACCTTCTTAACTTTTTTGTATCTATCTTGTTATCTGTGACCTTCCCATATTTTCACTGCCGAGCATGAGTGTCCAGCCTGCGCCTACTTCCGACTCGGCATTCGATTCCACATCCAGCTCAACATCCAACTCCACGTCTGTCCCGACGTCCATCTCGGATTCCAAGTCAACTCTTAGCTCAACGCCTGACTCAACGCCCAGCTCAACGTCCCGGTCAAACTCGACGCCCAAGTCCGGTGCTTACTACCCCTCCTGGGCGACCGCCGATTACGCACCCTCAAAGCTCGAATTTTCTCAGTGGGATATTCTATTCTATGGTGAGCGGCGCGGCGCATGGAACCCTGCACACAAGCTGAACTCTCGAAGCATTCGCAGCGCCTAGCTCTTCGAACGGAGTTGACCTGGATAGCGGTGATGCCTCGACGCTGAAGTCCCTCGTCAGTGCGGCTCATGCCAGCAACAATAAGACGAAGGTTGTACTCTCGATAGGTACATATCCCGTCTGCTCATGCGTTTTGTTTTGACGCGCGTGCCCCAGGTGGATGGGGAAACTGTAAATATTACTCCCAGATCATGGGCTCCAGCAATAGTAGAGATCTGTTCGTCGATGCAGTCGTGCAAACATATAATGACTACAATCTTGACGGTATGTTGTATCAGCCCGTCTTCGGCAAGGATACTCGAGCTAAAAAGGAATTAGGCATAGACATCGACTGGGTCGGTTCGGTCCTCATTAACCCTCGCCGCATCACCTTACTTTGCGCTTCCTTTAGGAGTTCCCAAACGATGATGGTGCCGGCGACGGGCAAGGAAAGTCGCCAGATGATGCTGCAAATCTGCTCACGTTCTTCCAAGCACTCCGCGCAAAGCTTGGGAACGATGCGATAATTTCAGCCGCCGTCACTGACCAGCCCTTCAAGGGACCAGACGGCAACCCGCTCTCGGATGTGTCGGATTACGCCAAAGTGATGACCTACGTCAACCTCATGTGCGCTCTCCCCTCGTCGTCCCTACGCCATCACAATTGACTCATGCCAATCCGACAGGAACTACGACACAGTCGGGGCATCGTCCACACCAGGGCCGAACGCCCCTTTGGGCGACCTCTGCGGCACGTCCACGCATAAACAGAGCAGCGCCCAGGCCGGGCTCAAGCAATGGACCGATGCCAACTTCCCCGCGAACCAGCTGATGCTCGGCCTGCCCCTCTACGGCTACGTCAGCAAGAGCAGCAAGACGGAATTACAGGAGCGCGACGTGAACTCGGATGGGAGCGACAAGGGGAAGGGCTCCTCCTACCTCGCACGGGTGCTGGCGTTGGGGGGGAAGCAGTACGCCGTGAGCGACGACGTCCGAGATGGCAACTCAGTGAAGAGCGAGCGAGAGTACAGCTCCGGCGACGACGACTTGCAGGCGGTGTTCGTCAACGGTGTGCGTGCCGGGCAACTCGACCCCTCTGCCAATCAGACGGCCGAGTTGGCGAGGTCGTCGGGGTCGGGAGACCTCGGCCAGTATATGGGCCAGCAGATCGCCTTCGGCGACATCGTCGCGCTGGGTGCCTTGCAGTATTCGGGCGGCAAGTTCACGGCTGCCAATGGGTACACCCTCGGTGGGCAGCCTCTAGTCCATGTTGGGTTCTTACGCTCATCTGATCGGTTCGTCTAGCAAGGGACAACTGCAGCGGTCATACTCCTGTGAGTTCATCCCGTCTTGGATTCAATTGTATGGGTGTCGCTGACGTTATCGGGCATAGTTTCTCTACGACACGTCGCGCGAGACCGTCGTTACCTACGACGACCCGACCTCGCTCGCCCTCAAGGCCCAATTCGTGGCGAGTTCGGGTATGGCAGGCGCATTCACGTGGTCTCTGGACCAGGTACGTGCCCGATTGCACTATGTACCCGAGACCCGCCAGCCACTGACTGACGCGTACGTGCAGGACTATGGCAACTACGTTCTACAGAATGCAATAAGGGTCGCGTTGGGCCTCACTGCCAATTGAGGTGCGGCTGCACATGTTCTACGTAGTCGACGTGGGGATTTGTGCCGATTCGTGTGTCCGGTTCTGTATCATACATTGTTTGTTGATCTGATAGAGCCGCTTCGTCCGGGGTGCCCTAGCCACTGATTGATGACTAGGACGACTTGCTCAGGCTTTTGCCACACTGCGTCATGTCGGCGTACCACCTTCCAGTAAGGATAGCCGTCGTACGTCGATGGGACCATTCGAATTGAGTCATTTCCAAGTCGGCTTATCACGAGGAGCCGCTCATTGTTTGTTCCGTAGAGTTCGGATGGTGTTCTGCAATAGGTGGGCACTGCGGAGTTAGCGGTCAGTTGTTCCTGCATACTGAACTAGAACTTGAAGCGTCGTGCTACTGACTGCTCGCCGTGACCAAGCGGATGGAAGTTCGAATGTGCACGCGACCATTGCAACGATGATGCCGATCCCCGATTCGTCGTTATCAGCTCTTCTGCGGGCATCCGACACGACACGCGCATAGTCTACGGTGGCATACCACTGCGCCTGCCAGCACGTCGAGGTCTCAGTGGAAGCGATCACAGTTCGGACAGACCACGGCGCATGGACGACGGGCGGTGGCGCAGGGGCCGAGACGGCTGGAGATGTCGCACTCTGCTCCGGGAGGAGACGACGATCGGGTTCCCAGCCCACCGTTGCTTGACATCAAGTCACCGGGGGCTTCCTACTCCATCCCTGCGTCTGGCCAAGTGCGGCACCTTTCTCGTCGCGTCGTCATATATAACCACGCCTACATGAGCCCGTCCGAGTCCCTCCCCGCCCGTCAGGACTGCCACCACGTCTGCGCAGAGGATGGCTGTTACACGGGCTTCCATCACCAAGCACACTACAGCGTCGTCGCCACGGCCTCACATTCTGTACATCGTCGAGGTCGTCCACGACGATGACACGAAGACAGAAGTGCCCCGACGCTATTCCGAGGTATGCTCCCCTTTCCTCCAGCGCACTCACGTTGGCGAAGACGCTCCTGCATCCAGTTCGTCGATCTGCATACGTCGCTCGGCGGCCCGCAAACGTTGCCGCCCAAACGCATCCTCGTCACATCCTTCATACCCTCAGCATGGGCAGACGACAAACTCATCGCCGAGCGCAAGGAGGGCCTCTCCGCGTATCTCTCCAAGCTACTTGAATCCCCGGCCTACGCATCGAGCCCTGCTCTGCTGAACTTCCTCGGCAGCACGCCGTCCATCGCAACGACTACCTCGGACTTCAACCTCGAAGATGCACTGCCCTCGACACTCTCCAGGAATACCGCCTTGCACGCCATGAAGGAGCTGGAGCGGGCACAGAGCACCACGCCGATCGCCGCAGGGTACTATCCCGATTGGGCGACCGGGACCATCGCTCCGCAGAACGTCGACTTCTCCAAGTTTGACGTCCTGTTGTTTGGTACGTGAATAGAAGCAATGCCCAGGGGAAGACTCACGTCGATCCAGCGTTCGCAACGCCGAACTCCTCCAACGGTCTGAACTGGGACTCGGGTGCTACATCGACCCTACAGACACTGGTCAGCAGCGCACACAACAGCGGCTACGACACGAAAGTCGTCCTCTCCATCGGTGCGTGCGATGCGTCAGCCTGATTTCATAGAACCCTCAGTAATGGCGGACAGGCGGCTGGAGTGGAGGCTACTGGTTCTCGCAGGTGATGAACTCGTCGAATAACGCAGCGTTCGTCCAGACCTGTGTCGACGCTGTGAACACCTATAACCTCGACGGTAATGTGCCACCCGTCTGCGTCCACGAATCTTTCACGAACAGAGCGTTTCGCTAGGGATCGACATTGACTGGGTGCGTCCGGCAGCCCGCTTGCAAGGTCATCATACTGACCTGATCGTCGCAGGAGTACCCCAACGAGACTGGGGCGGGCAACTTGCACTCCTCAGACGACGCCGCCAACCTCCTCACTTTCTTCACGTCCCTGCGCTCAGCACTGGGCTCAAGCAAGATCATCTCCGCCGCCGTGACCGACCTCCCTTGGATCGGTTCCGACGGCAACCCCCTCACGGACGTCTCCGCCTACGCCCAGCAAATGACCTACGCGAACATCATGTCCGTGCTGCTTCCTCTCCTCGCCTTGAGAGGACCATCTCATTTTGCCTGGGTCTTGCAGGAACTACGACGTTTTTGGCTCGTCGACCACCTCGCCTGGGCCCAACGCGCCCCTCGGGAACCTCTGCGGAAACTCCACAACGCCGCAGTACAGCGCGGAGGCCGCGTTCTCGCAGTGGACCGGCGCGGGCTTCCCCGCGGGCCAGCTCGTGCTCGGCCTCCCGCTGTACGGCTACGTCTCGCAGAGCAGCACGACGACGCTGACGGACTTCAAGCGCCCGGAGGCCGACAAGAGCAGTGCGAACGCCAGTAAGGATGCGGGTGCGAGTGCGGGTCCGGAGTTGCGGGCGTACCGCCAGCGCGTCTTGGGTTTGGCGGGCAAGCAGGCCGACGCGTGCCCGATCCCGGCGAAGGCTGGGAGCGCAGGTGCGCCGCCGAACTTCCTGAAGGGCGCGCATCCGCGGGCAAAGCAGGGGGAGCAGGGGAAGGGCGACGTGGAGAGGGCGCAAGATGCGGGTGACTTGAGCTCGTACTGGGGCCAGCAGATCGCGTTCAACCAGATCGTGGCGCTGGGCGCGCTGCAGGAGTCGAGCGGCGGGACGTTCACGCAGGCGAATGGGTACACGGAAGGTGCGCGGCGTGTGTTTGGTAGACGCTGGACTCTTCGAGTTGACTGGGCTTCCACGCGTAGGCTGGGATAATTGCAGTGACACACCGGTACGCACCTCACTGTCCGCGTCGGGCGAGGTCACTGATCAGCCCGGCTTGAGCAGTACCTGTACGACACCGCCCGGACGACGGTCGTGGCATACGATGACACCTACTCCCTCGGTGACAAGGCGTCGTACGCCAAGAGCGCAGGGATGGCGGGATGCTTTACGTGGTCGCTCGACCAGGTGGGTCATTCAGGAGGATTGAGATGCTTGACTCACGTTTCTGCGTGCAGGATTATAACTACGTCTTGCAAGATGTCATCCGGTCTAATTTGGGGTTGTCCTGACCTGGAGCAGAGGCTGCGCGAGGATACCACGTTTCTCTGTATTCTGGATTTTGTATCATTAGGTTGGGCTGAAATGGAGGCGGGGCGATTGCGATCGTAGTGGGGGAAGGTGCCGATGGCGCACATAATTTCGTCGCAGTAGAGTTGCATGACTGCTCTGGCAGTGCAACGCCCACAGCTACCGCGTCAATACGTCCGCGCCAGACTCCGTGATCAACACCATGTGCTCCGCCTGTGCACTGCGAGCACAATTCTGGTTCAAAGCTAGTCAAGGACAGTACAACCATAAAAATAACAGCACGCCAACCTCCGTTGATGCTGTCCAGCCATCAGGGAATATCCAGGCTCTTGGATTTGAACCCTGTACGATGCACGGCTGGGTATTGGCGTATGTCTATATCAGCAACTATACAACGTCTCTCGCTATGTCGGTCAGCACTGACCTCGATCGTGAAGCAATGGCCCGGACGCATAACTCCAGGATTGTCGTTCACTGGGTTCGCCGGATCAGTACTCAATGCGTTTCGGCAGTCAATGCACTCACGATGGTGTAGTATCCAGGGCGACTTGTGGAAGTCTTCGCCAATTCCGTGGCCGGTGAACTGCGTCGAGACGGAATACTTCGTTCCGCGAAGCAGCTCATGGATCGTCTTGCCTATCAGGTTCAACGGCTGGCCAGGGGCGCACACGCCAATCGCGGCCTCGAGTGCATCTTCGGTGATCTTCACCAGTTCACGGCCCTTTTCGTCCTGAGACATACGGTGAGGTTAGGGTTGCGCCGCGGGGCAGGGAAGGGGGGCACGCACGACGTCGCCGACGAGGAAGGTGCGGGAGGTGTCGCCGTGGAAGCCGTGCTTGTAGACTGTGATGTCGATGTTGACGATGTCCCCGTCCTGCAGCGGCCGTCTTGCGGGCGCGGTCGTCGGCTGTCGTCAGTCCTCCGCGGCAAGCGTGGGCACGGCTGAACGCACTGAACTGGTCGGGGATGCCGTGCGTCACGACGTTGTTGATGCTCGTGCAGCACGACCTCGGGAAGCCGCGGTAGAGCAGGGGCGACGGGTACGCGCTGTGGGAGAGGACGTAGTCGTGAAGCTGGCCGTCGATGCTGTCCGTCGTCACCCCGACCTGTACCAGCCCGTCAGGAATCAGCTCCGAGACCGGGCCTCTGAGGACCACGGAGAGCTGTACGGCTCTGCGACCCATCCGGGCCTCCGCGCATCTCGCAGGCACACATCACACGCACCTCGACCAAGCTCCCCGCAAACCGCAACACGTCCCTCGCAAGCCTCGCCGCCTCGCGCAGTCGCCGCTCATCCGCTCCCCCGAGCTGCGTCGGCCGGTCCTCGAGCACGAGCCGGACGCCCTCTCCGCGCGCGTAGGGCGGGCGCGCGATGTGTGCGGGCACGGCGCGCGGCGTGATGTGCGACACGCCCCAGACGTAGGGCTCCTCGGGGAGGATGACGCCGAAGGCGCCGAAGTCGTAGTCCTCTTCGCCGTCTGTGTCTTCGGCGGGTGCGGAGGTGTACGGACGGAGGGCGGGTCGGCTGAGTGCGGTGTTGGGAGGGTTGCCAGTTGGGCGGAGACGGGATGATGTGCGAGAGGGCCTCGATGTTCGAGCGAGATGCTGGAGCGAAGGTAGTCTCATGGTGTGTGTCCAGGCCAGCAATGAGCGCGTTTACGATAGGTACATCGACGTACTTGAGAAAGGGCGCGGCGCCCGCGAGAGCCGCCCAGCCACCGGCACCCATACTCAAATTACAAAAAGTCATGCATAAGTATCGCAGAACACGGCATGGGACGCCGTTCATCCCAATGTCAGGGTTTACACGAGCCAGAGCAGTGGCAGAACATACAAGTACAGCGTCCTACAACTCGAGAAACTGAGCATGAGGACGCGACGCTCAGGTCCATCCCCTCGCCGAGCCCCTGCCTCCGCCGTGCCCCTTCTCCTTTTCAATCACAAACAGCGCATCCCGCATCGTGATCGGTCTCCTCGAGTCGTCCTCCCTCTGCTGCGTCGGGTTCGACTTTGCATACGCCTTCGCCCACGAGCCCGACTTCGCCGACGCCGCAGGGGCCGTCGTCGTCGCGGGCGTCGTCGCACCGCTGCCCGCCGCCCCGCCGCCGGGCTTCGGCTTCTGCGGGGCGGCGCCCGCGGTCGCCTGCGTCATCCACGCGTACTTGCCCGTGCCGAGGCCCGCCGCCTGGCTCGCGACCGCGTTCGACATCTTCTTCCGCGCGTCCTCCGACATGTTGCGCGCCGTCACGCCCGGGCCCTCCTTTTTCTTCTTCTTCTTTGGACCCTCCTCCTCCGCGCCCGCCCCGTCCGCCCCGCCGCCCGCCCCGCCCTGCGCGCCGAGCGCCGAGGCTTGTGCCGCCGCGGCGTCCACGCGCTCCTTGCGCTCGCGCCGCACGCGCATCTCCTCCTCGCGCTCGACCTTCTCGAGCGCGGCGAGCTGCTTCGCGACGTCGCGCCGGACGGTCACGCTCCACATCGGCGAGCTGTCCTCCTCGTAGAGCGCCGCGGGCTGGTCGAACTGCGCGTCCGTCCGGTGCGCGGCCGCGGCGACCATCTCGGTGAGGAGGTCCTGCAGCCGCGCGCGGAGCGCGAGCGCGAGGTAGTTGACGGTGTCCTCGGGGATCTTGGGCACCTGGTGCTGCGCGCCGAGGGTGCGCATCGTCGCGCCGAGGTAGCGCGTGTCGAAGTTGGGTTTGGCGGGTTGCTTGCGCGAGCGGTCTTCGTACGGTCGGTATGACGCGTATGAGTCGTAGGTCCCTGTCCTTTGTAGTGATTCTTCTTCGGCCTGGAGGACGTCAGTCGTCTGCCGGGTCGTGAGGATCAAGGACGCACCCTGAGGTCCACCCCTGCGCTCCCGATCGCGTCATTGAGCGTGGCAATATCGGTGTTCGTGGTCTCTGTCGCCGGCTGTTGCGCCGTCACGCGCGAAGTCGACGCGACCGGCTGTGTCTGCGCGGTGGACGCCGGGACCGAAGGCTGGGCTGCTTGCGGAGGCGGATAGGAGTACTGGTATGGCGTCTGGCTGTAGTACTGGTAGTATCCGCTGCTGCGCCGCGACGTCAGCGGCATGAGGAGGATGTAGACGCGTGTGGTTTACGTTGGCTGCGGCGCCGGCTGCGAGGTTTGCTGAAGGGCGGGGTCAATCGGGACCTCTGAGTCTGTGCTGAGTTGTGTGCTTGAGCGTGGACAGAGGATACGACGTACGGTTGCCCCATTGTGCCGCAGAGAAGGTGGGCGCGGTCGAGGGCGTTGGTGTGGGTGCGGGAGCAGGAGTTGACCTATCGGATTCGGTCTTCATCTAGGCTTTCTGCGTCAGCTTCAGATGCGGAAGACGTGAGACGGTGTGCGGCTGGCTGAGGCGGTCGTGTGGACAGAGTCAGACAGACGGAGCAGTTGTGGCGGCCGCGGTCAGCGAGTCGCAGGGCACAGACGCCCAGTGCGCGGAGATGTCCGAGGGTCGGCCATTGGTCGGCGACGGCCCGAAGAGCTCGAGGCGCGCGTCGGTGGCTGTCGATCGCGCGTTCGTCACACCGAGTGGGTGACCTTGGGGTGACCCAAGGTGACCCAGTCCACTCGCCTCAGACGCCTTCCCCTCACTCGCCCTACTGCTCTAGGCGGACTCAGCGGATCACTACGCCGGAGATCCCACCAGCACGGCCCTAGTATGGTGAGCCCCGCATCTCAGTACCGTCGTGGACGCAGCCAACGACAATGCTTCGCCTACTAGGTCGTCTGCCAATACTTCCTACGCGGACAATGCAAGTTCGGAGACTCGTGCAAGAATGACCACCCGCGCGACGGCCAGCGCAGTAGCTTCGGAAGTACGTCTCTATCGTCCTAAATATCTTCTCTCCACCCCGCTTACGGAATACACACAGACCAAACATGGAGCTCAAGCTCAGGGGGCAACGCACCTGCCCCCCAACTATTCACGTTCGCCCCTTTTGTACCCGTTCGCGCGCCCCTAAGCTCATAACACACCCAGCGTAGACTCAATAACGCGTGACCTCGACCCGCGGTACGATCGCCCGACATGGAAGCTGTCCACATACGCCCCCGCCAAGCACCAGCGTGCCCTCCTACAAATACCCGAGAGCTCTCCCGAGGAGCTCCGCGTCCGAGCACTGCAAGCGGCACAGACCGGTAATTTCAACTTATACGTAAGTGTGTTGTCTTGTGTTGTACCGTGCGAGCACTGACTTCGTGGCGTCGCCCGCATAACGCAGGTGCAAGAAGAGGCGACCAGCTTCGCAATGGCAGACCAGGAAGTCCAGAAGGCCGCGAACAACACTCAAGCCATGTACCAGCGCGCCAGGCAGAACTACGAGGAAAGCGGCGCGCGCCCCTTCGCTTCCCTCGCCGGAGGGTCGCAGCCCGCACCCGGCCCCGGTAGCGGCGGCGGGGCATTCGGACAGCCCGCACTCGGGCAGAGCGCGTTCGGGCAGGCTGCCCAGGGCAAGTCAGCTTTTGGTCAGCCTACACAGGGTACCTCTGCCTTTGGCCAGCCTGCCCAGGGGACGTCCACCTTCGGACAGCCTGCTCAAGGAACCTCTGCATTCGGTCAGCCTGCCCAAGGGACCTCTGCATTCGGTCAGCCAGCATCTGGTACGTCCGCGTTCGGTCAGCCAGCAGCGGGTACGTCTGCGTTTGGCCAGCCTGCCCAAGGGACGTCCGCGTTCGGCCAGCCTGCCCAGGGCACATCAGCATTTGGCCAGCCCGCCCAGGGTACCTCTGCCTTTGGTCAACCGTCGACTTCAATCTCAGCGTTCGGCCAAGCGGCGCAAGGCACCCCAGCATTCGGCCAGTCCTCACTCATCAAGCCCGCCACCGGTGCATTCGGCTCGACACCCTCCGGCGGGGCCTTCTCCGCCTTCGCGAACCCTGCCAGCTCATCAGGCGGCACTCCCAACGCAGGTGGCGGCGGCGGGGCCTTCTCAGCTTTCGCAGGCCAACAGACCTCCGCGTTCGGCCTCGCCACCTCTAATCCTGCCCCCAACGGCTCCGTCTTCGGCCAACCGTCCTTAGGCAACGGAGCGGCGCCAACAGGCTCGCCTTCGGCGTTTGGGGGAGGCAACACGAGCGCGGCACCAGCGTTTGGCGCGCCCTCCGCCTTCGGTGCGCTCGCGCCACGACCCGCGGCGACATCCGCATTCGGGACACCCGCCCCTGGACAGGGCACAAGTGCGTTTGGTGCGCCTGCCGCTGGGCCTGGGCCGAGTGCGTTCGGTGCACCCGCCGCTGGGCCTGGGACCAGCGCGTTTGGCACCCCTGCGGGCGGGGCGAGTGCCTTCGGCGCCCCAGCGGGCGGAGCGAGTGCCTTCGGGACACCAACGGGCGGGGCGAGCGCCTTCGGGACACCGGCGTCGGGCGCAAGCGCGTTTGGCATGCCGGCGGCGGGGACGAGCGCGTTTGGCTCGACGACGCCCGTGCCGCAGTCCGCGTTTGGCGGGGCGCAGACACAGACACAGGCGCAAGGACAGCCGGCGTCCGCGTTCGCCTCGACGACGCCCCAGCAACCGCCCCCACAGCCCGTCTCCGCCTTCGCGTCCACCCCGCCCACTCAACAACCCGCACCCGCCGCCCCGTCCGCGCCCTCGCCCGCGCACGCCAAGTCGAGTAAGCCTGACTTCGCGATGGCGCTCGTGACGGTGCGGTGGCAACCCGGGCTGGACAAGTACGACGACATGCTCCCGCCCAACTACGTAGAGATCCTGCCGAAGAACATGTTGGACGCGTTCGGGGCAGAGAGGTTTGAGTGGGGCAAGGTGCCGGAGTTTGTGCCGCCGAAGGAGGTGAGGTAACAGGAGGGAGGGGTGGGATTTGGTTTGGAGTGTATGTTACGTCTTGTATTTTGCAGTTGTTCTGTTATTGTATGAGGCCACGCCTCTGATCTCATATATACACCACGCTCGCGCTGGACTAGGTCGAGCGGCCCAGAGAATCAGTCATTATTCACGCTCTCAGAGGCGGAGTAACCAACAGAGCAAGCTCGAGGAGAGACATACTTGCTACATGTACAATAACAGCGTGAGGTCATCACAAACACAACAGAACATCACAAGTCCTAACAATACACATGTAGCTACCAATCGACGTGTTCATAAAGAAATCCGCTCCTGCACAAACCGCGCCAGTACCGGCGTCAAGTCCACGTTCCCCTCCCCGAGCACCTCCCCACTCTTGGCCACAAGTGGCTTCGCCTTGTTCAGCAGCCCCAACAGGTCGCTCGCCATCTCGCCCGTCATCCCCCTGCGCAGGCGCTCCGCAAGTGGCATGGACGAGCGCCGCCGCGCTTTCAGCGCATGCGAGTCTGCGGGCCCCGGCGGCGTCTCCGCGCGCATGTCCTCGTCCATGTCGCCCGAGCTCACGTCGAACTCGGGCTTGGCGACCCACATCGCGAGCTGTGTGACGGCGTAGAGGAGGACGGCCTCGAGGTTGCGCCGCGCGGGCCGCACACTCTCGCGCACGTCGAGCGCGGGGACGGACGTAGACCCGGGCGCGACCACCTGGGTGGCGGGGCGGTTGACGAGCTGTCGGAGTACGTCGACGGAGCAGTTCCCTAGCTCGAGGAGGGTGCCCATCGACGTTGGCTCTCCCAGTACCACCTTTGAGTGCTGTCGAGGTCGTGTCAGAACGCTGGACTGCACTTCACTTAGCGAGATGACTTACGGGTACGATGAGAGCCTCCTGGGTTGGCCAATCCTCTTGCTCCCCAAGGAGCACGACCTCTGTGCCACTGATGCTGCATAGTGTCGACAGCAATGAACCCGATAAGCGGAACAGCCGGTGCATCAGGCGTGTAAGGAACGGTCTTCGCATGGGGTCTACCGCGTCCGCCGACGAGCTCACCGACGACTTGCTCTCCGCCTCGAACTTGTTGCGCTCGTCCGCGGTGATCGGCTCGAACAGGCTGGCGAGATGGTTCGGATGTGTCAACGCGTAATTGAGCTGCTGCACCAAGAGAAGTGCGTCGTTCGTGAAGAACCGGAGCACCTTCTGTACGGCATCGCTCGCCTTGTCTGCAGACGAGTTCTGCGCGATCGCGGCGAAGAGGTTGACGACCTGTTCCATCTCCTCCAGCAATGGCAGAGTCAGTGCGTCCCCGATTGTCCATGACAGTGCGCGGTGGATCTGATCGCCCCACAGCTGGACGAGCCCGCTCGCTTCCGCGTCGAAGAAGTGACCGTGTCGACCCAGGGACATGATGACTCCTGCGATGATCGCCAACATCGTGCAGTATGTTCGATGCGCTGGGCTTCGCTCATTAGGAAGTTCTGGTATAGCGACGTCGATCATCCCGATCCGAATCGCCTGGCTGAGTGGGTTTTCGGTGTATGCAGCTAGGATGCCCTCGCTGGCCAATTTCTCGGCCGCTAGCGGGATACTTGCCAAGGCCATATGGAAGGTCAGGATATGAGGCGCATATAGAGGCTGCTTGCGCGCCCTGAGGAGCGACAAGTCCGAGATGCCGACCAGGTCGATGCGGCTGAAGAGACGCAAGCTCGCGCGCACGACGTCAGTCTCCTGGCAACGCGTCAGCCAGAACGTATGCGAGACGTTGACATCTGTCCGGGTGCACTGTTCGAAGACCGCCACGAATAGTTCCAGGTCCTGGTCGAGGTCAAGATCCAAGGCAGCGCACGCTGCATCAAACTTGATGCGTAAGCTGTCGATGACAAGAACGAGTGCTGCGTCGAGCATAGCAGAGATGGAGAGCCGTTGTTCTGCGTTTAGAGTCTTTGATCGTCTTGCGAGGCTCCTGCTATGGCGCGCACAGAAGTAAACAATCTGCAGAAGAGGCCTATGGAATGGAACCGGGCTTTGGCCCATTAGGGACTTCATGGGAGGTTGCGAATGATTCAAGATGATGGCCCGTGTATTCCGAACCAAAGTCACGAAGTGTTTGATCTCTTCTGCCTTGTCAGACGTCGAGAACCACACCACTTCAAGCAGAGACAACAGTACAGATAGTCTGGCCGAGTGGATGGTTGACATCATGTCTCCCGAACGTTTCTCCGCCGCAATGCTCTCCGAGACTGACGCCGCAAGGTTCAGGAAGTTCCGGCGGAGAGCTTCATTGCCTCGGAGGTAGGGAACAACCCGCAACAGCAGATACTGCCATGATTCGGTCAGAGTGGTCTGGACATGAGCAAGTGACAGGTTGAGGTTGATTGCCGTGAGCTTTCTGTGCGCCTCGACAACTTCCACAGCATCGCCACGCACGAAGACTTGTAACCGCAACTGCAACAGCCCGGTGTTGAACGCAAACGCATCTCCGTAATCCCGCTCGACGACAGGTTCTTGGATCCGTAAGGACTCCAAATCCAGACTAGGGAAGTCGGATTTGACTTGCTCTGCGAGTGCATCGTGAAGCTCCGGATCATAGGCACTTGCAGCTGCTTCCGCGACGAGCTCTGTAAATTGCTCCTCGGACTTGAAGAGGGCTTCGATGGCAGTATAACTCGACGGCTTCTCGGAGGTCGACTGGTTAGGCTGTGCTTCCGCCACGAGCCGTATGTCTTCCGCCAAGACGTGCGCCGCATGAGCTTTGACGGCGGTCCGATACGCATGGATAGACACAGCTTCATGCAGGTCTGAACGCCGTGCACCGTCAATGTCTACGTAATCTTGGGTCTTGTAGTCAGGCGGGGGCCCAAGTTCCTCGCTGACGATCGCAGCCAATTGCTCGAAGAGGGCCGTGTCCCGACGTATGGATTCCAAGTACGACTTGTGCTCATGCCCGTGTTGCCATACCACATCCAGGAACCGGAGGAGAGATGCGAGCAACTGGGGGTTCAGGTCTAGGAGATCTCTCCACTCTTGCAGCATGTCACACGCTACGGTTACTGCGCTCGTCGACTTCGTGAGGGCTCCATCATCCTGGGCCTTTTCTTTGCCTTTGGCTGAGACCTTTGGAGTAGGCACACGGAAGTGGCCAGTAACGAAGAGGCGTGCAAGCGCAGGTTCCTTGTCCACTGCTAGGATGATGAAGTTCCATACCGCGTTCCGCAGGTGAACGTCGTCATACGGATGTTGAATGATACGAACAAGAGACGCAACCATGCTCTCCGGATCCGACAGATGGCCAATAATGGTCGGGGGAGGACCTTGTGAAGATGACAGTGACGAACACAGAGCGAAGAGGACCCTGACGGATAGAACACGGACAAGGTCGCCCATGCCCCGGTCTTTCACGTATCCGGCAAGGGCATCAACAGGATCCACTCTTGATGGACCCCCGTCGAAGGTGGTGACACTTCCCCCAACCTTGGCGCAGAGGGCCTGCTCGAGTAAAGACGGCTCTGTTGAGGGCATGATGCGCTCCTTAGAGATCAAGAGCAGGCGAGTAACTTCGAGATGGGACTCCATGAGTGTGACCAGCCGTCTTGCATCGCCGATCCGTCGCGTGGCATAGAGCGTTTTCAAGAATGACCCTGCATTCGTCAAGGAAGACACGAGGGGCGTGATGGTGGAGGTGGTCGCCTTCACCATGAACGCATCCGCCACGGCTCGGCTCAGCGCTGCAAACGGCCCGTCGTTGGGCAGCGGCGACGACTGTTTGAGGATGTCCGAGTACAAGCTTGACACGCGTCTACCGATCTCGAAGCGGTCACCCAGCTGAGCGTACTTCCAGCCCATGTGCTCGACCCAGATCTCCGCATGAACAAACCGAGCGGCACGAAGCAAAACCTCTTCCTTCACCTGTTGCAAACGGGGACTATGCTGGAGGACCCACAGTGCGTTTGCCGATGCCTCGTGGAAGAGTCGTTGGACCAAATGCAAGAGCGCGAGAGTCATGGTATAGTGACCGGACAACCTCTCAGCCGCAAGCACCGTAGAGGCTACGCCGATGGCCTTCTCGGACCCAAAGAGAGATGCTGTCGAACGGACGTAGAGCCAGACGCGGTTGGAATACCGAGGGAGGGCAAGAAGAGCGGCGAGCACGCTTATGGCTGAGGTGATGAGAGGTGCGCGTACAGTACTCCTTGGTTGAGTTGAGGATCGAGAGAGTGCCTCCTCAAGTATCATTGTAGTAAGCTGCACCAAGTCTGGTGGCTGTGCCTCGACCATAGTGTGTGCGACCACCGGGTTCCCGCTCTCCAACGACTCCAGCAACTGCTCCGCGAGAAGCGGGTTGTCCTGGATGACACTGCGAATGAGGTCCAAGACGTCCATGACGATGTTCTCGTCACCATCGCGGTCCATCTCTACGCCTATGTCCTCGAGCCGCAATGCGAGCGATTTGTGTCCTGCCTTCTGCGCGAACGATATGTCCTGGTAGGCACCGCCGGTCCCCGAGTGCAATCGCCGCCGGTTCACGTAGTCCGTCAGCAGCTCCAGCAGGAGCTTCCACCCCGAGTGTTCGTGCTGCCAACAGACCACAACCAGGTCCCCACCATCTCCGCTGAGCAAGCGACCCGTCGACTTGGGCGGAAGGATAGAACCGCCAGGAAGTTTGAGAGGCCGCAGGTTCATGTAGGTGACGCCCGTCGTAACCGAAGACGAGCCGTACCGCTCTGGTAGTCTCTCGTACAGTGCATGGGCGCCTGTACACGAATGCACCGGTATGACTTGGGTGTATGTCGTGAGCTTGTCGAGGTAGTAGAACACATGGCGCGTGCAGATCTCGCGGTCATCCTCGAGCGGGTGCCCCTCCGCGGCATAGTCCGTCGTCGAAAGCGCATCGGTATCCAAGAAGCCCGCACCCGTCATCGCGCGAAGCAGCCGGACGAGCGGCCGGAACTGTATGGGGAAGCGCGATCGTGCGACGTCGAGGATGGCGCGCCGCGCAATGCCTAGCTGCCAGTCCGACTGCCAGAACTGACGACAGATACCCATGACAGAGAGGCTCTCGCTTCGCCCGAAGAGCGCGATCCAGACTTCGACAAACGATTCGAAATCGGGAATAAGCTCGACAGGGACGAGCTCTGTGATCGCGATTACGAGACCTGACAAGCCACATCAGTACGACGGCGCAGCGTGTGATACGCATCGGATGTACACACCTTTGAAGACGGACCGATATGCCACCGTGTTGGGGTCAACAATGGCAGAGTTGTCACGAAACGCCGTCGCAGTCACAAAAATTGGCGACGCTGTGAGCAGTACGAGCATGAGCTTGAACAGCCCAGCGTCAGGGTCGAGGCATGTCTTGGCCATCAAGTTGTGTGTAGGCTCTCTGTCCTTCGAGTATGACTTCCCTTGTTGTGGCAGAAGGGAGTCGAAGAAAGGCTGGTACGAAGGCGGAAGCTCTTTGGTCTCTGACGCGGCCTTGGATAAGCGCGAGAGTACGAAGGCCCATGCCATGAATGTGCACGCGTAGTGACTCTCCGTCTGTGACAAGACGAGCTCGTGTATTCGCTTGAGTGACTCTGGGGACGACCAGTATATCTCTGGGTCCGCGGCTTCGGCGGCAAGCTGGATGCCACCAGGTTCTGCGGCTCTCTCCAGTTCGAGCACCTCCAGAGTGATCAGGATCCAGAGTGCGGCGCAATCCTTTTGCAGCTGAACGCCCTCCTCGTCGAGAAGTAGTGTGGAGTTCTGTTGTTCCGTGCCTAGGTTCGTGCCATACGCTGACTCGTATATCCGCGCCACAAGGGGACCGTTTCGCGAGGCGTAACTCCACATCGTCCAGTAGAGGACCTCCAGCAGCACCAGCTGTTCCTTCGAATTCTGACGTGTCCAGGCGGCGGCTTGCCGCGGGTCATTAGCGACGTTGTCGGGGAGGTTGGCTTTGACCTTCTTCATGTACTCGTCAAGGAGCATCTCCGCGAAAGCGTTCCCGTCGGGGATGATACTCGGCAGAAACTCGGTCGCAATGGCGTGAATCGCATCGCTTTCGTTTTCATTCGCGCGGAAGAGTGGGATGAGCGTGCGCAGGATGTAGAGCCGTTCGATGTAGTAGAACGGTGTGATGGCCTCCACGAGCTCGTCCACGAGACTGGCGCCTTCCCTCGAGATGGAGTCTGGCGCACCTTCGTTGAACAGAAAGGAGCGAAGAAGGACGAGCGCGTCGACCTCGTCAATCCCCAGCCGCGAGCTGATGGCCAACACGCATTCCTTGTCCTCCGGCTCGACGCGTATGACGATCCCGTCGCGCAGGGTCACCGGGCCCGAGTCGACCTTTTTCCTCGACGCGTCCGAGGGCTTTCCAAATGGCGCTGCGACATTCCTGAGCTGAATAATGCGCGGTTTGAGCAGTTCCGAGATCTGGTCGAGCGTGTGGCCCTCGAAGCTGCCCGAAAGGACGGTATGGAGTTCTTGGTATGTTCTACGCGAGTCAGACACGTCGGGAATGTTTGGAGAAAGCAAGACACGCACACATCTATGAGGTCCGAGCGTTTTGAGGACTCTCCAGACATCCTGGACGGATGGACGCGAAACAGGGCAGGCCGTAGACGCGGTCAAGCAGTTCGAATTTGCAGCCACTTTGCCGCCACTTGCGGTGGCAGCCTGCGCGCTTAGACGTACCAGCTCTCTCTTGGTCCACAACTTGCAGGTCCCTCAAAATGTCCCAGGTGGTCGGGAACGTATGTGTTCTAAGCTCAAGGTTCAATCCGAATCGGCTCAATGGTTTCTATCGTAGACTGCGCTAGCGTATGCCCGTGTGTGGCATCACGTCGACGCTTCGGAGCGGGTACTGGGAAAGTTGGCAGAGCGCATTGCTATCGTGCTCATGGGCAAGCACAAGCCCATCTTCGACCCGAGTGGTGAGTACTTCTTGTACTACCTTGACAAACTTCTTTGCTGAGTGGTCTCAGCGGACTGTGGTGACTACGTCGTCATCACGAACGCACGGAAGGTGAAGGTGTCTGGAAACAAGGTCGACCAAATTGTGTACCGGCACCACACAATGTTCCCCGGAGGTCTGAAGGAAATTCAGTACAAGGATATGATGCGGAGGAAACCCGACGAAGTGCGTAGCAGCAGTGTCTGTCCGCTGTCCCTTCTCTGACCCTAGCTGGTGACGCAGATCATCCGAAAAGCCGTCTCAGGCATGTTGCCGAAGAACAAGCTGCGCGACAGAAGACTAGCGCGCCTGCGGATATTCGAGGACTCGGACATGGGTGTGTTCCAACACAACATCTTGAAACGCTGGGAGGACGGCACGCTGGCGCAGTCTACGCCGCAAACCAAGGTTCCCTCTGCCTGAACGCTTCATTACATGTCACTACTATTATATAGGGGTTCGTAATATCTCTTCGGCGACGGTACATCGAGCAGGTGATGTAGGCTGGGCTCAGCGCAAGTCCATCGCGTCGCGACGATTTACAAGAGTCGACGGCCAGGTATGTATGTATTCAATATGACAGCCCTTATCTGTAGCTCGAAGTGCTGCAGAGGTCTCCGCTGCCAGGTGGGCTGCGAAATATCTACGACAATTGGCTATACAACGAACCTATGGGACATAGTCCTCGTCCTCCGAACTGTCATCCAAAAATGGAACCGAGACCTTGGGCAGAACAACGCCTCTGGTCCGCCTACCGGGTGTCTCTATGTCTTTGTCTTTGTCAGGCTCCTCAGCCACCTCCTCGTCCCCGACGTCCTTCGCTTTTCGACTTCGGACCTTCCAGCTCGGCCGCCCATGCTGGCTCTCGAGGAGACTGTTGAGTGCTGCTTGCTTGCCACGCTGAGCTTGTCTGTCTGCCTCCATCTCTGCGTCCCACTCATCCGGTACGTCTGCGGACAACAGCTGCGCGATATGTTCCTGCACGAACATTGCTAAAGGATTCGGTATGAACATTGGACTGCTGGCGAACATGAGCGACAGACGATACACTCACAGATTGCCATGAGAGCGGATCCGTCGAAGGCTTTGTACATGTCAGGACTTGCTCTCCTCTGTCTTCGACTACGCATCTGCGGCTTGTAGTTGCCACCATTTGCGTCTTCATCCTCATCGTCCTCGCTTTCCGAAGCCGAACTAGACTCTTCCTCTGTAGAACTCTCATGGGGAGCAGGCTCGTCAGGGGGTTCGCTGCTTCTTGCGCCGTCTTCCTCCTCCTGGAGTCTCTTTCTCCGCCTGGCTTTCTTAGATCGGCGGGCCCCTTTGGTGCTATCGCGTAGCTGTCCCATGGCTGTGTAATAATTGCAAGCGAAGTAGTGCATGCATTTCAACGTTTCCTGCAGGAGGCCCGTTGGACTGACGTTACATTTTGATGGGCATTGACGCACTCACAGCTGATGGCGTAGGGAGCACCCAGTCCGCAGGAGGTTCCGACTCGGATAGTCTACTTGAAGACGCCTTCGGGCTGCCCTGAGCTGAAGGACCGCCTGACGGTGTAGCCGCAATGAAAGACTCATCCTCGTAGAACCGTCGCCGCTTCCGTGCCCTATTGTCCTTTAGCTGTTCCTCCTCATTATCCTCTGTTGCCCGCTGTTTCCCCTTATTCTTCGCCGGTAGTTCGTCCTCATCCGTACTCGAACTCTCTTCGTCCGCGTCCTCATCGCGTGGTTTTGCCCATCGCTGCTTGACGTTGCCTGTCCCGCCTGCGTCGCGCGCAAACCAATTGCCCTTGGTGTCCTGCGCTGCGTATTTGGATGCGCGGATGCGCAGGTTCTTCTCGCTGTTCTGGACGCGAGTTCCGTCGGGATGCAGACGAAGAGACGCGAGATCGTGGACGGTGCTCAGACGACGCGTTGACATGGTGAGTGTCTGTCCAGGCAACACGCAGCTAGCCCAGGCGCAATACGCAGACACGGAGTCTCACAGTCGTGGAGAAGCTCGGGCTGCCCGCCAATGGCGGATTTGCGGTGGCCATATATGGGCATGCTTGCCCTGTTTGGGCGGATAATGCCCGCGTAATGTGCCTGGCGGGAACGTTGTCTGAACGCCCACGACCCAACGGTCCACTTTGCAATGCTTGTCACCCGCGCATAACCCTCCTTGCTCGATCATCTCCGCCGCTCACTTGCTCTGTTTCTTGCTTACTTCCCTTTTCTTGCTGACCCCCGCCTCGTCTCGCAGCGAGTGCACTGACCATGCCGGAGTACGTCTACGCCCTCCACGAATTCGCGCCCGAGAATCCAGATGAGGTGCCGTTGAAGCTCGGGGATAAGATTGAGGTCATCGAGAAGGATGACTTGTACGGGGACGGGTGGTGGAAGGTGAGTGTACTCGCTCTGCTGCCGAGCTATGACGGAGGCCTTGTGGTGGGCAAGTAGGATGGGCAAGCGTACTGAGGTGCAGCGCGTCGCAGCGACTATCTCTCGTCTGTCCCAGTCCGCGACTGTCCCTCTCAGCACTCAGCAGTAGATGTCAGTTCATAGCCCCGCTTACGCTCGCTCTGTAGGGCCGAAATCCAGCAGGGGCCGTCGGACTATTCCCTCAGACTTACACATCCCCGAACCCTTCCTCTGTTTCATCTCGACTCGCTGTCACAGGGACCGCCAACGCGTCCCCCGCGTCCTCGACTGTCGAAGTGCCTGCTGCGTCAACATCAAAAGCCGGTGGTACATCACAGCCTCCTCATGGCACTGCCGATCCTATTCTGAGCCATAGCACGGAAGAATTAGCTACAGGCAGCAACGGCGCACAGCGGTCTGGTAGCGCCGAAGTGATGCAGGCTACTATGACGGACGTGCAGAAGGCTATCGAGCAACTCGGTCGAGGGAACGATGAATCACGGAGCTTCAGCTTCATGAGCTCGCGTTCTCAGTCCACGGACCATTCCGACGCCGAAGACGAGAGGGAGAAGGACGAGGACGAGGACGAAACTGGATATGGCTGGTCGAAAGGCGCTCGAACGATGCTCGCCATGCGCGCGCAAATGGAGAACGAGCGGCGGGAGGCCCAGTCGAGGACCGATTCTACGGCCGGCTCTGGTACCCCGGTCCGACTCTCAGGACCTCCGCATGACTTCGAGGTGAGCGATGAGAGCGAAGACGAGGGTGAAGAGCACATCCATCTCCGGCACCTCTCCGACCGTGTGCATTCTAGCGATGCCAACGGACGTATCTCTGAGGAAGACGAAGAGGACGATGAACCCACTTCCAAACCAACATTCACCATTACCCACTCCCGTACATCCACTATGGACTTCCGTACTCCACCCCCGCCGATCACAATTTCGGACAGCAGCCTCCGTAACAAAAAGTCAAGAGACAGCTCTGCGCTAATTGTGCCTTCGGAAGACTTCATCGTTCCCTCGCCTAGTGCAGCTACGACTGAAATCACAACTGCTCGTCCCGAACAGTCGACCTTCCCACAGGAGCAGCTCTCGCCTGATCCTGCCAAAGAGGAACCTGCACCCTCTCCTTCAATGAACATCATAGAGGCTTCTCCCATTGAAGAAACACCTTCACCCTCGCGTCAAACCAGTGCACCTCCAGAGGAAGAGAAGCCTGCAGCAACCTCTACTACTCCCGAACCGGTTCCCGCTCCGACCGCTTTACATCCCACGTCTACTCCTAACACTCCCTCAGTGGTTGCGACATCCCCTTCCGTGCAAACTGTCAGCCCTTCACCGAGTACCGTCCGCATCGCCGAGACCCCGCAACTATCCTTCCCTTCCTCCAACCTCCCCTCCCCGACCGCATCGTCGTTTGGTGGGGCAACGAGCTCGAGCTCAGCTGGGGTCCGGCAGACACTCACGCCTGCGACCACAGTGTCTATGATGAGCGCAGGTGGCCCAGAGGTCAAGGTGGTTGGGAGCGGGTCGTCTGGGTCATCTACGAGGAAGGAGCGGCCGGACGGGCATCCTTCCGAGTGGGCCGTCGAACAAGTGGTCGAATGGCTCCGGGCGAAAGGCTTCGACGAGGGTGTATGCGAGAAGTTCATCGGTACGTATTCTCAATAGACACGTCCTCATCCAGACAACTCACCTGGGGGTTCAGAGCAAGAGATCACTGGCGATGTACTCCTCGAGCTCGACGCAAACGTGCTCAAGACCGAGATTGGCATCGTCGCGTTCGGGAAGCGAGCCCGCATCGTGAACGCAATCACCGAGCTGCGCCGTCCCCCCTCCATCTTCGAGTCTCCCTCGCACACGCCAGCCCGAGTCACCACGCCTCGTTCGCAGACAGGCCAGTCTCTGCCGTACACACACTCGCATTCCGCGAGCCTGCAAAGCTCCGCGCATACGCAGGCGTCTTCGGGGTGGGCGTACTCGCCGTTGTACGCGCAGGCCTATCAGCACAGCCCGATTACTGCTTCGCCGGTTGCGGAGCACCCGCTGCACACCGGCGACGGGTCGACCCGCGATGAATGGCCTGCCGCTCAGGTAGATGGCAATGGCGTCGCGAAGGTGGAGGGGGGCGAGCCTGGGACGCAAGCCGTGGGTCTTGGGCTGGGTCTGGCGCAGGCCATCAAGGACGGGGTAAGTGTAGTCCTCGGTATCTCGTCGATGGACCTGTCCCGAGTCCGCTAACTTGCCACAGAAACGTCCCGCCCAGTTGATCCTCTCACCCAGCGACGGTGCTATAGCGGCTACCGCAGTCGGAGGAGACGTTCGTCCGTCTGGAGAGGAAGATCGTGGTGCCATGAGTGAGGTAAGGTTTTTCACTGGCACTGATTCGTCGTCTGAGTTGCTGACTTTCGCGCAGAGCGAGACAGTTGCGTCGGACACCAAGACCAAGAGCCGGCGCCTATTCTGGCGCACCGACAATGGCTCGATCAGGGAGAAGTCATCGCTGAACGACACCGCGAGTCGTCACTCCAAAGACACTTCCATTCCACAAACGCCGCCTCTGTCAGCTGCCACCGTGGCGTCAGTCGCAGCGTCCTCTACGAACTCGCCGGACGATACTGAGTCTGTAGCCGAAGGCGCGCCTCCTGTGCCCACAGCTAGGCCAAAGAAGAAGCGCGAAAGCGTCGACGGTCGCAAGGCGTCGGATCGGCTCAGCCTTTTCGGTACTTCCTTCTCTGGGACACTCGGGAAAGGTGGCAGGAGCAGAAAGCCGCCTCCGTCGCTCTCTGGGTAAGTGCAATCGCCGAGAGAATGAATTAATTCATTATTCAGGCCCTTCGATGATAGCGCAATCGAGAAGAGTGAAGACGAAAAGGAAAAGCACCATGGCACCTTCGCCAGGATACGAGAGAAGCGGAGTTCAAGCCGTCCCTCTACGGCCGATGGCGCTAAGGACAAGAGATCTGGCCAATTTCCCTCGCTCAACAAAGTCAAGGAGTCTCCTAACAAAGATTCCGAGAAGCCCAAGGAGCCCAAGGAGACATCCAAGGAACCTAAGCACAAGGCAAAGGAGTCAAAGGATCAAGCCAAGGAGCCGGAAAGGTCGGCAGTCCTGCGCAAACGCACGGCGTCTACCGTCGGCGTTCCGGTAGTAGAAAAGACCCCAAAGGCTGACGACACCCCCAGGTCTCCTACAAGCCCAGACTCTAGCCCGCTCAACCTCACTCTCAAACCTGGTCAGAGTATCCTTGAGCAAATCGGGACACCTGATCACGAAGGCTGGTTGCGCAAGAAGGGCGAGCGCTACAACGCGTGGAAGGTGCGGTACTTCGTCCTGAAGGGTCCGCATCTGTACTGGTTGCGGAACAAGAGCAAAACGGTATGGTTCCTCTCGGACACACTGTGAATGCCGCCTTACGCGAGATGTGGTTCAGGAAAGTAAGATCAAGGGGTACATCAACATCGCCGGTTACAAGGTTGTTGCAGATGAGAACATCGACCCCGGACGATATGGCTTCCGTATCATGCACGACTCGGAGAAAACCCACTACTTCAGCTCGGAGGAGCATGTTACGGTCCGAGAATGGATGAAGGCTCTCATGAAGGCCACGATCACGAGAGACTATGCTGGTGCGTCTAGCATGCTTGACCTGCGACAAGGCTGAAACTAGAGCCACCCAGACCTTGTGGTATCGTCATGCAACATTCCGACAATCCCTCTCGCGGTCGCGCAAGCGATGAATCCCGCCCCACGGCCCCCGTCGCCCGGTGCACGAGCAGCCACCCAGAAGGCAATGCGTCCCGAGAATCCGAACCAGCTCACCCAGCGCGACGCGCAGGTCTTGCTGATGGGCGTCACGGCGAAGGAGAAGGGTAGCTCAGAGCGAACAAGGCTCGACTCGTTTTTCACGAACGACACGCGCTCCACCACCAGCGCCGAACCTTCGTCCCCCAGAATCGCTGCTTCGAAGGTTCCACCGCGGCCATCGCGGGAAATGCGCAGGCTCAATTCCTTGACGGAGTCGACCGTATGTTCTTCGTTTCAGATGCTAGGGTCGCTGACTGATTCATCCTACCCAGACGTCGTCCGTGGATGCAGGCCTGATAGACTGGGCGAACTCTCACCTGCCGAAGAACCTGCAAGTGGCCGATCCGTCAAGCCAGATCTACGGTGGTCTCGCCCTGCTCCGGCTTGCGGAGGATATTAAGGGCAAGCAGGCGACCCCGCGTGTGCCGGACTCTGCGTTCCCGTCTGGCCCGAACGACGACAAGCTCGATGGGCTGTTCAAGCTCTTCGACTTCCTCCTCGACAACGATGTCAAGATGGGCACCGTGAGCATCAACGACATCCGGCAGGGCAAACGGGACAAGATGATCCAGCTTTTGAAGGCGCTGAGGGCTTGGGAGGACAGGCGGAAGGCGATCGCGCAATCGCTAGGGCCGCCTTCACCTCCGCCGGGGTCGTACATGGCAATGGCGGGCCCGATGGGGATGGGGCCTGGGTGAAATATTGCGATTGTATAAAGGAGGGAATCTAGCCTACGAGCCTACTAGTGGACTTGCGTTACTGTCTTGCATACGTAGTACGTTCTGTCAATTGGTCTGTTGTACAGTTTAGCAATATCTTGCCTCGGACATATACCCGTCGATATCTATCACTAGCTTGCTTGTGAGTGCCAATAGACATCTTGATTTGCATGCTCGGTGCATTATGTGTGGACAGAGTAGCATATAGAACCATGCCGTGCGTTCACTGGAGGGCTCGGTCGCGAAACGTTGACCCGTGAGTACTTGGGACTAGGTGGGGTGCCGCATGCTAGTCATCGTAGTAGTGTAGACTTGTTCAGTTCGCTTACACCAACAATCGGCGGGCCTCAGCTATGATATATTGGCAAGTAGCCCTATGACACCAGAGCAACGCTTTCGAGCAGCGGAGATGCAATGCGGTAGCACGTCTTCTTTGCCGACGACCCCCAATCCGAGCTGAGTTACGGATACCAGGCCACCGTTCTCGTCTACTGCAATGGACAAGGTCGTGTCGAGCAAGGGTTCTTCGAAGGACGTGGGGTCGGCGAGTACGTGGGTGCTACGCGTGTCCGGTGAGTCTGGGGGGAAATGTACGACTAGACGCAGATGCCTACATACCTGTCGAATATCCCGAACGACATGGAGACCGGTAATCGGTTCACTTGGAGAGGTATTTTCGTTTTTCTGGAACAGACTGTGCGGCCTGTCTCTGATTCAAAAGTAGCTTTTGGAAGCCGAGCTGTGATGTTATGCAGTAAGGCTCGTCGACGAGGGTTGATGAGGTGAAATGCGTACTGTTTTTGAGAGCCGCCATCATGGCGAGCAATGTAGCGTCAAACGCGTTTCCGTCATAATTGATGCATGTCGCATCGACATACAAGACCCAGACCGCCCTGCCAGGTTCAATGCATAAAGACTTTGTTGAGATAGCACCAGAGCTACACGCTCAATGTCAATGTGGATCACAATGCATTTTGGGGAGTGCTACGGACGTGATGAGTACTTCGTTCAATCTGTCCGAGAGCACCTGGGCTTCCTCCGTTGGCGGTCCTGGTTTGAATCTCGGATGACATATCGCGGGGAGGTCAAGATTTGGGACTTGGACGCATAAGCGGGGCTTAGGACAGACGTTCTGGATGATCCATGCTCACCAAGGAATCCCTCTTCGGGGCTGTCCAGCTCGGGCTCAGCGATCTCAGCCTTCACTCCGCATACAACGGTAGTGTCTCCCATCCGTACCAGAGCAGAGCCATCCGCAGAGGAAATTGACCCTGCATGCGCCCGACATACAAGTGAGTATATGCGTCCGCCTGAGACTCCCCGCGCAGAGGGAAAGGCACCAACCTACATTCACCGAGACCTCCCGCCAATCGTCAAGCTCTCGGCCATCCGGACGGAGATTCTCCGCCAGGAACCGCTCAAGATAGACCTTTGGATGGAGCCGTTGGAAGGTCGCCGCGCGCAGGGCGTCCTGCTCTGCTTTGGACGTTGAGACCGCGGACGTGGAGGGTCCGGATTCAGCCATCATGCAAATTGCAGCGGTCGTAGAGTTCAGGAACTAGGATCTGGCACAGTTTTCACGGTTCAGAAGGCGGTGACGAGCTTAAATGAAAAGCGGCGGAGAGAGATAAAGAGCGTTTGTGGCCAGGCTCCTAAAACCAGCCGTCCACAGTGTTCTCGCTCGTACATGTCGATAGGGTATTCTATGCTTCATCCGAAATAGGCAATTAGACGCTTATATGTTTGAACTTACTCAATGCGGAATCCCAACTAGCCGACTAAGACGAGGAGAACACTGTAGGACGGCTGGCCCAACTGGTCACCGAGGCTTGCCCGAGCGGGCGCCTTTTGACTAGCCAGAGCGACGTACCCCTACTTTAGGTTTTATTTTCCGGGATTTTCTGAGATGCTCGCGTAGCGTGCCGCACTGTTGCGACTTTTGAGATCGAGATTTCCTTGTCTCGACGCTTCAACATCGACTCCGAAGTCTATCAGTACTCTAAAGTCTATCACCGCATCTCTTCGTGATGTCACCAACCAACTGGACAATTACCCGTGTTCGGGATCTCGTGAGGAGAACATTCCAGAAACGCGCATGCCTTTTCCAAGTCAAAATCGGTCTCGCAATTCGACAGAGGAAGAACGACGTTGTTGGCATTGCTGCCACAGGGTCAGGCAAAACCCTGTCATTCTGGCTCCCACTCCTGATGGCTCTGGAGGACGGCGAGGACAAATGCATGATCGTCGTCACTCCATTGAACCTCCTCGGAAAGCAGAACATCGACCTGTTGGAAAAGGCTGGGATTAGCGGAGTTGCCGTGGACAGAAGCAATGCTACGAATGAAACCTTTCAGGTAAGTGTCAGGCTGTGTCAAGATTCATGAACACCAACCGAGAGTGCCCCAGGACATCGCAGCAGGGAAGCACCGGGTCATTGTCATGAACCCGGAAATCCTCATGCAAGACGGCGGTCACTGTGACCGGCTATGGAAGCTACCGTCGTTCACGTCACGTTTGCTCTACGTTGTGTTCGACGAGGGCCACTGTATCCAGGAATGGAATTCGTTCAGAGAGCAGTACAAATATGTCGGAGCTCTACGTCACCTCATTCCTGATATGATACCGTTCTACGTCGCATCTGCTACCCTGCCAACTCCACTCCTTGCAGAAGTATCTGAGATCCTACAACTTCGAAAGGATCGCACCGAACACATTCTTCGCTCGAATGACCGCCCAGACATCGCGCTTGGTGTTCGGAAGATGGTCCATGCAGCGAGTTCATTCAAGGACCTCGAATTCCTAATCCCGGATGGCTTTGCGGAAGGTGATCCACCTCCGCCGAGGTTCCTGGTCTTCTGTAACAGCATCAAGGAGACAGAGGCAGCATGCAAATACCTTCGCAGTCGGCTTCCTGCCCATCTACGTCTGTCCAAGATCAAATATTTCCATGCTTCCATGACGTCGCACTATCGCATGGACGAGTACGAGGCACTCAAAAATGGCGATACCTTCGGATTGTGCGTCACAGACGCTTTCGGAATGGTGTGTTCCAACCTCTAGATCGGTCTGTGCACTGTCAGTAACAAGTGTATGCTATAGGGACTTGATCTTACCGGCATACAGCTTGTGGTGCAGTGGAAAGCACCGGTCAGCATGAACATGCTCTGGCAGCGGTTCGGTCGTGCTGCCCGAGGTCTCGGAGAGTTTGCGTTTGCAATCCTCGTAGTCGAGAAGCAATACTTTGATGACGAGGTTGAGAAACGCGAGCTGGCAAAAGAGAAGAGGAGAAACAGAGCCAAGCGGAAGAGGAACACCACACAGAAGACGGCAGGCGCACCTAAGAAACGTATCGCAGGCCCGGGCAATGATCGCATAGGCGCCGCCGCCAAGCAGACAACATCGGTCGACGCTACCAATGCAGCAAATCACTCCGGCGATCAGGAAGGGTTGGCGACAAGTTCAGATGAAGATGGCGGCATTGCTGGAGAGTCGGAACCAGCACCGTCGGCGGGACCAAGCACGATGATGCAGAATGGGCCGGACAAACGGACGATCGATCTTGAAGAGCTACGCACAACATACAGCCAGCGACAACAGACTAGTTCAGCAGTCAAACCGGCAGGGAAAGAAGAACGTACACCGCATGCGGCCATCCTTGACCTGCTCAACGCAGACAGTCGTAAAATTGGGTGTCGTCGGTGGCCCATTACCTTAGTGTACTCGAACGATAAGCGCAGTATGTTATCAGACCCAAATGTGTCGATTGATTTCTCACGGCAAACTCGCAGGCTGGGACCACTTGGAGTGTGATCCCTCCTCACCGTCTGGCTGCCAGAGGTGCGCTCCGTCCGTGTCGTTGGTGTGCTGTGATCTCTGCCACCCGCTCGCTTTTGAGGAACTTGCGACGACTTTCACAAGGCCTATGAAGGGGACGCGGAAATCAACAATCAAGCCGTACGACAGCGGCCAGGCAGATCTCGACCTCCGCAATGCGTTGGTCAAGTGGCGGGCCGAAGAGACATCCACACGATACGGTCCCGCCGCTCTAAGAAACCATGGCGGCAGCCTCATCTTACCTGACAAAGCTCTCGACCGTGTCATTGACTGCGCACATGCCGGCAAGCTTCTGTCTCTGGAGGACGTCAAGCGCGAATTGCCTGCATCGCAGGATTGGGTGGATCGGTACACAGGCCCTCTCCTTCAGTTGGTACGCGAGGCATTCCCCGGGCCACCAGAAGAGGCAGATACAGCAGCAGGTACAGATCACACCACGGCGCCAGGACTCGGAACAGGCGCCAACGACACTCCTATTGACAACCAGCAAGTACGCAAGCGCAAGGCCCCAACCTGTAGTCGGTGCAAGCAAATCGGACACAACAGTGAGTAGTATGTCGAGTTCTGCGAGAGATGACTCACATTGTCTGTAACAGGCCGTAATAAGAGCTGCCCCGGCGCGCTGGTGGCCAGCACAAGCGGCACGAGTGAGCCAGATGCCGTCGCTAGCACTGCCATGCCAGCGGAGGAAGGGCCTGCATCCACGTCCACTGCACAAGTTAAGCCACCGTCAACATTCGTCCACCATCCTCTATCAAATGCCGGTAGTGCGACAAGCTCTGCGGGCTGTTCACTCCCACCAGCACGGCTATGATGAGAGAACATGACAGGAACTACACTGACCGATGGTATGTACAAAATTGCATTACCTCAGACGTCAAGGTCGCCGTCCTCACCATTTGCTTCTTCCTCAGTAGGCAGGGGCCCACGCACGGCGACTCCAACAGCTTCACTGCTGCCCTCGCCCACCTCATTTGCCTCCCCCGTGTCGTCGCCTACATCCATTCCGGATGAGAACACGCGGAACATCCCTGCCTCCCACGGGTCATCAACTGTATATCTGCTTGTGCGGCCAGGCTTCTTGACGTGCATCTCGACGTTCTGCATGTACCGCCCTAGCTTCCTGAAGGTCTGCTCCATCTTCGCAGGTGAGTGACGATACGTTTGATGCTCCAGAGCGAACATGTCTTCAAGACTGATGCGGACATTCTTGAAGGTCTCGATGAGTGGTGACTCTTCAATGATCCGACGCTTTGTTCGGTTCGATAGTTTGCCACCGTAAACCCTCTGTAGGTAGCCGTGAATCAGCGTGTTGTGTTGTACTAGAAGCGGCCCTGTATATGTACCTTTATATAGTAGTTGTTGTGTTCAACCCACCAGTCAATTGCGCGGAAGTGGTGCTTTTTACCGGTAGGATTACATAGAATATTCATCCGGATCGCCCGCCTAAGACATGGTGAGTATACATTCATTCTTTGGAGTCACGACACTAACCTTAAAGGCGCAGGATATACACAATGAACATCGTTGAGGAAGCGAACCATCTGGGTCGCATATTTATGCTTGCCACACCCTTTGAAGATGTATGCCCAAGGCAGGAAGCATTCTTCAACGCGCCCAATATCTCCCGCGTTCATCGCCCAGGTGAGTTCCTCATACAATAAGAACAGGCGTTCACGTAGGCGGACATTTTCCCATTGCTCATCGCGCGTATGAGACGGCGCATGCCGCTCCTCGGATAGGCGACTGTCGGCAACGTACTTGCGAACGAGTACGTGTGCGATCTGCTCGATCTCTTCCATGCAGGGCGCTGACTCTGCCCATTGTTCAAGGGAGCCAAATGACGGGGTTCGTGTTGCAAGCTCTTGACGCCAGCAGTCAAGCCGAGAGACAGCGCCAACATGCTGAACGACCTCGTGCATCCGACGGAAGCCTGGCTTGCTGGCGATCTTTTGAGTCTCCCTCGGCCGTATCTCCGCAACCTGCTTCATGAGACTCGTGTCGTCATCCCGGCCCTTCAACGGTAGAATGAAGACCTTCCAGATGGCGTCCACACAGGCCATCTTCAAGTGAAAGAGGCCTATGACGAATATCACAAGCTGGAATCTCCGGAATGCCTTCGACTCCTCTCCACGAGACTGCCGAAGACTTTGGACACGTTCGCAAGTCGACAAATCGCCATGGACCAGCACAACGTGATTACCGACATCGCGGACGCCGCTTTGCTCAGTGTCGCTCGGATCACCGACACCGGCCTGCTGGAAAAGTGCAGTGAGTGCGTCGATATTGCCCTGAACGCTGGACTGATTGATGTCCATCGCCATTGCCGGCACCTGTGTCGATTTGACGAGGGGAATAGGATCGATTGGTTCAGGATCATCGAGCTGCGTGAGGAATTGACGGAAGTACTCCGGTCCATGGAGGAAAAGATCGCGCATGAACTGCCCAGCATTCCAGCGTTCACGCCGGGAGAGTCCAGACGGATGATCGGGCTCGGGGTGCAGGTTAAGTAATTTTTCCCAGTCTATCTTCTCTGTCTTTCCTGCGTTGAGCGGGTTGAACAGCGACTGTTCCCACAGCTCGTTTGAGCAGTCCAAGTCCGAGAGAGAGACGCCGTGGTTAAAAGGGATGAACGTGCCGGAGGTCATGTGGATCAGCGTGTCGTGTGGCTTTTGCACGGTTGGTACGAGATGCCTCATCTCGCAGTCAAAGTTGTCATACGCGTACATCGTAAGCAGCGTGCGCCCAAGTTTCTTGATCCCCGTCATTGACTCTCTCGCAAGATTCTTCACAGCGGCATTGATCGCGGATTGCGAGATGGAAACCCCGACACGCGCCAGCAGGTCAACAACCGACTCGGGTGCTTTGCAGGAATGTAGGTAGATCCCTATAACGCTCTGTAACGCATTGCTTCGTTGATTTGAACTCTGTGCCATGATGCTAATACAGAGGACACATTTCTATTGACTGGCCGGTGAGTAATTGCTTGCCTTTGAACAGAGCATGTAACTGACCATTCGGCATATCACAAGACGTCGCTCTGCCTCCTCCGCACTGTCCAAGTCATCAGGGCCCTCCGGTAGCGGCTCCAGCTCGTTCCAATACTCGTCATCACTGCCATTCACCGCATTCGGCCCGTCACCGCCACAACCTCCCGCCGGGATCATGTCCACATCGATGTCGCCCTGCAGCTGCCCCGCGCCGCCGCTGGCTGTAGCCGATCGCGCGCTGTCGATGTCCGCGCCGTCTCGCGAAACACCAAGCTCCCCCCACATGTCTTCGTCGCTGCCAGACGCGGAGCCGTTGTCCACTGGATCGATGTCGCCCCCGGGCAGCTGCCCCGCGCCGCCGCTGGCTGTAGCCGATCGCGCGCCAGTGTCGATGTCCGCGCCGTCTCGCGAAACACCAAGCTCCCCCCACATGTCTTCGTCAGAATCAGAACCAGTCGTCTGCACAAGCGGACGTTGGGCGGTGTCGGTGCGCGCAGACATGCCAGTGCTAGTGCCGGCGTTCCCGCCTCGCTTGCCACTGTCGTCAGCGGACGCAGCGGCCGGGGGTTCTTGGTTTGCGGGAGCGGCGTGTCGGCGGTGGCGACGTCGCGCGTTGCGAGGTCGCTGTTCGCGGCGTTTGGCAAGGTCTGCGTCCGCGTCGAGCAAGCACTTGACGAGATCACAGGCATGAGGGGCAAGTTGTTCGAACTTTTCGGACAGGTCCGTGAGGTTGAACTGATCCAGATCAGCCTGTTTCGCATGGCGAGCGTTGAAGTGAGTGCCCGCCTCATGCTTCGAGAGCAGAGTGACCTCTTTTGTGTAGATAGTTTTGGCAAGTCGGTGGATGGATTCGATAGCCGTGTTCCGTAGGGTTTCGTTCTGCAAAAAACCATCGAAAATAATGTCGCAACTTCCAGCAATGTCGCGCGCTGCTGCGTGATGAAGTGCGTCGCTGGTGTTCAGTAGGGAGCATATGAATGTTGAGACCGAGACTCCCAACTGCTGGAAGCTATCTAGGATTCCGACAACCTGAGAAGGCTGCAGGTCTGGCATGGAGCATGAGAGGGATGTAGATAGCTTGATACTCTGTATTTGCCAGTGCCCTATGTCTACGGTACTGCAGCCATGCGTTTACACCGTGTACATCGACAGCCACTCGAGCCGCTTACATACGCAACGGCACGCTACGCGAGCATCTCAGAAAATCCCGGAAAATAAAACCTAAAGTAGGGGTACGTCGCTCTGGCTAGTCAAAAGGCGCCCGCTCGGGCAAGCCTCGGTGACCAGTTGGGCCAGCCGTCCTACAGTGTTCTCCTCGTCTTAGTCGGCTAGTTGGGATTCCGCATTGAGTAAGTTCAAACATATAAGCGTCTAATTGCCTATTTCGGATGAAGCATAGAATACCCTATCGACATGTACGAGCGAGAACACTGTGGACGGCTGGTTTTAGGAGCCTGGTTTGTGGCTAAAGATGGTGTGAGAGACAGACCAAGACGCGATCACCTGAACGCGTGTATGCGCGTCGCGCGCGCTGTTTCTCACCATCGCATGAATGAGTAGGGTCGCATAGACATCCTTATGAATACGCGGCATTATAAGGATACAGTGGTGAGCTGCAAGTGAAATCACAACAGCAGCTGATATGTCACCGCTTAAACGGTATGTGCGTAGGGGTCGACTGTTACATGGGTTGTGTGCGTAGATGTCCCTATGAGCCCGACATTAATGGTACATGTACTTGGCTTTTCTCTCTCTATTCGTCTCTAACCAATCAAACAGCCCCTAGATGACGCCCTTGCACACCGCAAGCTCTGCATTCACGATGCTGCTCGTCGCCGCGCCGATAGCGACGTTGTTCGCAAGCACGACGAACTTGATGTCGAGCACGGGACACTGGCGCACACGCCCCACGTTCACGCCGGCGCCGGACTGGTAGTCGCGGTCCAACCGGGGCTGTGGCCGGTCTGGCTCTTCATGCACGAAGATCGTGTGCCGCGGCGCGGACGGGCACGACATCGTCCATGCATCCGACGTGTACGCCTGGAGGGCCTCGCGCACCTGCTGCGGGCTCGGCGGCGGTCTCCGCGCGAAGCGCACAGAGACGCACTCCGTATGGCCTTCTATGACAGGGACGCGATTGCACTGCGCCGATACTCGCAGAGGCTGCCGGGCGTGCATGTCGAAGATCTTGCGGCCGTCCTCTCCCTCGCTGACTCCGCCTAGGATTTTGAGGGTCTCCCACTCCATCTTTTCCTCCTCACCGCCGATGTAAGGCACGATGTTGTCGATGATGTCGAGGCTCGGCACGCCGGGGTAGCCTGCGCCCGAGATGGCCTGCATGGTCGTAATCATGCATGACTCGATCGGACCAAATGCTTTTTCGAGGGCAGCGAGGGGAATCACGACCCCCGTCGTTGAACAGTTGGCGTTGGTGACAATGAAACCTTTTTGCAGGGGTGGGTTGTGCAGGGAGCGCTGTTGGGGGATCATGGAGAAATGTGAGGCATTCACGAGCGGCACGATGAGGGGCACGTTCGGGTCCCGTCTGTGGTTCTTCGCGTTTGAGAACACGGCGAATTCTGCACGGCGGAAGGCTTCCTCTGCAAAGTGGCCAGGCCATTCACTTTAGCTGTCATATATCGCGGAAACCACGCACGAGGAGCTGACTTACCGATCGGACCAGCGACATCAGCATCTAAGCCTGAAAACACAATTTCGCACCCGCGAAAGCACTCGGGCTTGCACTCCTTGACGACCACCTCCCTCACGACGGCCGGAATATATTTCGTCTGCTTCCAGGTGACCGCCCTTGCGTACGGCTTGCCCGCCGATCGCTGGGATGCGCCCAGCGCATGGAGGACGAAGAACGGGTGCTCGGAGAGGAGCGCAATGAAGCGCTGGCCGACGGTGCCAGTTGCGCCGAGCACACCGACGTTGATCTTGCGGCCTTCGTGCATGGCGACGGGGGTGGGATGGGGCCTGCGGTTGGCCCGGCGGAGGGCGAGTGAAGGTCTCGACGAAGACTGATCAAACCCGCCCAACGCCCTCCGTCACACGACCGCCCGGAGCCGTGACGCCGGCGTGACGGTCAGAATGGAGTGTGACAGGCACCGCACGCGCCCTGTCACGGGGGGCGTGCCTGCGGCCCGAGACACTGCGACTCGCATCCGCCACCGACCACGACGACGTCCGCGACAATGTCCACGCCCGACCAGCAGGCCCAGCTGCTCTTCCCCCCGAATGTCCAGTACAACGCCTCGCGTATCTACTCCATCAAGTTCCTCTCGTCGTGCTTTGCCGGCGCCGTTGCAGGCGTCCTCGGGCTCGAGAACAGCCTCGGCTTCGCGCTCTTCATCCTCGCAACGCTGCTGACCTCCGCGTGTCTGTACGTCAAGTGCAAGGGAAGACCGGCGAAGTACATCCCCGGTGGTTGGTGGGAGCTCGTGAATCCTGGCCAGGAGAACATCTCCTCGTTCATCCTCGTGTGGACGCTATTCTATGGTATGTCGGTCCCGACAGCTCGTTTGTTACGTTCTTGCTCACATTCTGTGGTTTGACGTAGGTATAGTGCACGGTATGTCTAGCCGATAATCGATGATGTGGCGTTCGCTTGACGCTTCGTCCAGTCTACGATTGACCCTCTGCACCCTGATTCCAGCGCAGTCGAGTCCGCAACCTGTACGTACTATTTCTCATGTGTCTTACGCGGCCTGGCGACGTTGGGACACCACCGTAGCTTTTTCGCAATCATTACTCATGTGGCTGGTCATAGGTATATGTCAGGCCCTTCCACGAGCTCCGGCGATACACAGCGTGGTGTCCGTATCTTGTGGCGCTACTAAACAGAAGGTCACTGTGCAGGATTCCAGCTTCCTGTGGCCTGAGGCCTGATCTGTCGGTTTGTCCGATCGGTCTACGGCCCACGACGTCCTTCGCATGCCATGTGTACTCTGCCGAAATTATCGAGCGCGAGACGAAGCTCGCGTCTTCGACTTCGCGACCCTTGCTGTACAGGTATCTTGCCTACATTGAACAGGTATGCGATCGTATGTACACGATCTGTCAAGAACAGGAGTCTCCGAGTTTCGGGGTGATGGCGCTCAATCGACCACCTCTGTTCCTATTCTGTGAGTCGAACCGACTACCTGGGAGGTACGCCCGCGGTGCGTCTACTATGTGGTCTGTTGCAGCGTGTAAGCGTTAACTTCTCGCCCCCTGACTCGCAATTTGGTATGTTCCTTCTCTTCATCCGCCGTTAGGATGGCCAACCCAGGTGTTCCGCACCGGGATTGTGGTCACTGGTGGTCATATCGCACGGCGATGCCTCGGTAGCTCCCTTCTATTGAGCGACCCACCGTCTAGCTTGGTCATGCATGTTTCTGGCCACGGCCTAACCATGAAGTCACCAACTCTGCAATCTACGGCGCGCCGCGGCGAACTTGGGCGCGTCGCCCGCACGCGACCGACGATGCGTCTTGGAGTGTAAGCTACTCCTCTCTTCTCTGATCAGGCAGCCGGTCCCTGGCCGTTCGATAGCCCTGCGCTGCGTGCGCAGGCGGCGGTGGGGAGGATCGCTGAGTGAGAGCGTGGGGACGGAAGCGTGGTCTGATTGTTTCAAGATCAGGCAGTGTTCCGGAAGGATGATGCCAGCATATGCCCCCGCCGAGTCAGCGGACATCAACCAATGGATAGCCGCGATGCATGGCTCGTGGCCCGCACGTGGGCTTCGATGCGAACCAGGCCAGCTGAGGCAGTGGTCCCAAAACGGCATGCATTGTTTTGCAGACTCGATGATGATACGAAGCGCGAAGGGCAATAATAATACCTCCAGGCAACCTGCTCTGCCTGAGCTTATCCTCCTCTCCCGCCGGCATGTCGTCGACGGTCTATACCCTCCTCCAGTTCAGCGCGGACCCGTGGAATGCCCGCTTCGAAGACCTTGAGAGCAGACTCGCCTTCACAGTGTGTGTGTCTTGATTGCCACAGTCGGGTATGAGTCCTTATTGATCAGTGACCATGTAGGGCAATGGTAAGTTAGCCGTCCCGCCCGTCTCGGGCTGTCTGACGTTCCACGCAGATTGAGGAGGACCCAAATCTCATTATGAGACTTACTCGCGAGAAGCCCTGGACCCAGCAGCACCCAGACATTATGGGGCCCAGCAATTCGTATCTGTACTTTGGCCCAAACCGCGCACCGGGCTACCTCGTCTACGGGAACGGCCCGCCACAGTCAATGGCAAACGCACGGCGGCAGAAGAAGGAAGCCAGCTCGTATGCGCAACGCTCCGTTCTCGTCGGGTCTCAGATGCTTACGGAGCATCCATTCCTCTAAATAGCTCACGCTATTTCACAGTGCAGAACGGCAAAGAGTTCAAGTGGAAAGTTGCCCCTCAGCGACTAGAGGTATGTTGCATAAGCTCCGGAGATTTCATCGCACCTGAGTTTACGTGCCACGCAGTGCGTAGATAGTAAGGGAAGCACGGTGGCTCTATGGGAAACGAGCCAGCTTGAAGACCCCTTTCATGCGCGGTTAACGATTAAACATCCGGCGCTCTCCATAGTCACCGAACTCGTGACGACCTTGACCCTCAACCGCATTGCAATGATAATGAATTGGTGACTACGCCCCCTGCAATCGCGGACCACGAACCTTGCCACACGCGCCGCCTTATGTCCCCCGCTATACGTATTCCGTGATCTGTGCACGGTGGAGATCCACATAATGATGGTCTGAAACGACCGACGCGCGTACCAGGAGCGAACGCAATTGGCAACTCGCTACCATACATTGCACCGATCGTTCATCATGGTGGCCTCAAGGCATGGTGGCGACAAGTTGCCTTCTGCGACAAGCTCTACATCCTACGTACACGCGCAAAGACGAACCCTGCTGCCGACCTCATCTTACAACCCTTCTGCTTCTCTGTATCGCCGGCAGACCAGACCCTACTCCTCCTTTCGTGTATCTTCCAGTAGATCGGCGAGCCGAGACCATTCTGGCTCATCCTCGAAGTCCTTCGTCCGCCCCATGAACGTCCGCAAGATACTCCTGGCCTGCAGCTTCCACTTGAAGTCCTCCGCCCGGGGACCGAAGTTTCGTAGGACGTCCACCATCTCCTCAACCTCCCCGACCGCCTCTCGCCACCTCTGCACATCCGTCTCACCCTTCTCCATCGTCCCCGCATTGCTGCATCGATACGCCTCGAGGTACGCATTCAGTGTCTCTTCCCACCGGCCCTGCCAAGTCAGCAGACGTGCGCGCGCACGGAAAATCCGCGGCGAGGAGACACGCGGGAGGATCGTCCTTTCGAAAAGTTCGTTGACACGCCTCAGAAGCCCGTGTCCCTCGTTGAAATTCTGCACCGCCTGGCCACCGGAGCCGCCGCCCTCCACGGCGTCGTCCGGGTTTGCTGGTGCCCTCGTAACGGCATTGACGAGCCGATCGAGCACGTCCTCATCGACGGAGTGCGCGCCGTCCTTGGTGCTGCGCTCCTCCACAATGCGACTGAGGGCGCGGCATGCTTCCGACAGCTCGCCGACGTCCATCGCCACGATCATGTAGTTGGACCACATCCGCCAATTGTCGTACGCGAATCTCAAACCCTGCTTCAGCGCGCGGAAGGCCAGCATTTTGTTGCTGAACGGTATGTTCTTGCTCGTCTCGTCGCTATACACTAGCTCCCCCGCTTTTATGTCCTGTTACCCAAACGAGATCAATGTAACGTAACTAGGTGAGAGAGTCGGACTTACCTCGCTATCCTCTGTGTCCTCATTTCCGATCGTTTTGCCTGCCTCGCCCATCCGGAGATAAACGCTTGCAAGGTTATTCCAACTCTCGCCATCCTCATCGTCGAGTGTAACACAACGAGTGAAGGATTCCCGTGCGCCCTCCCAATCCTCGATGCGCACGTACGCGCAGCCAAGAATGAACCAAGATCGGCCAAGGAGCGGATTTATTGCTACCGCCTTACGCAAACAGGCAATTGAATTTGGGTAGTCAGCGCGAGCGAAATAGTACCCGCCCAGTGAGCGCATGGCCCTGCCCGAGGTTTCCTTCGAGATACTCAATGCCTTGGTGTAGTGATCAAGCGCGTTTTCGGGCTCTAGGTCGCCTAGCAGACACCAGAGCTTGGCCTCGCGCATGGCGTCCAGTGTCTGCCTGCGTCCCTGGGTAGACACCTTCTCGCGTGCAATGACCGCATCCGCTTCGGCCTTTCTACCTTCCAGAAGATCGCGGACAATGGCAATGCCACGGTCGCGCCGCTCCATGCTCTGCCAGCATTTTACGACTTCCTCCCACATTTCGAGGCGCTCGAAGATTTCCAGCGCAGATTTCACGACGCCCAGGGATAGGTAGCGCAGCGCGAGCTCCTTCTCCGTCTCCCACTTGCTCGGGAGAGGAATGGAATGGAAGTAGAGCAACCGCTCGGAGATGGTCGAGTCCGCGGTAGGCATTTGGTCAACTAGCGCCTGTAGCTGGAGCGTAGATCGTTCGACGGTGCGCGTGCGGTTGGCTTCCAGGCGGGAGCGTAGAAGAAGTGCCATCGTATGTACCGACCAATTCCTCGGATGAGAAATCACGCGGTCGACGTACGGTTTCATCTGCTCCGCGGTGAGACCATGTGAAGGCGAGGTGTTCCTGACATTGAGGCATAGGGCGAGAAGAATACATTGGTCGAGGGGATAGAGTGCTGGTTGAGACGAAGGATCCAAGTGCGCGAGGCGTGAGCTGGATTCTGAAGCGGACGATGATGTGAATTCGGTCCGCTCCAATAACGTGTCATCATTAAGGGCCAATGTTTCAGGTATGGCGGTAGTCAGGGAAGCGACGGCATCGGGATGCTCGATGGTACCGGTGCTTTGTGCGGCCGTTGTCTGATCGTTCTCTGAGCCGAGAGAGTCGCCTTCTCGTTTGCGCGACTCGGCCAACAAAACGAGCTGCGTGACGTCGGTTTGTTGGAATTTAGTTCGCTTCCCGAGGGCGCCGGTAAGTTCGTACTCTAGCTGTGTCGCCCGGGCTGCGCGGACAAAATAGTCCGCAGCCGATTTGTCATGCCCAAGATGGTGCTCCAACAAACCTTGTTCGAGGATAAGGCGCCCGGCGAGGTCGGGTTGCGAGGCGAAGGATTGCAGGAGGGGTTCCACAGACGATACGACGTCGGCAGGAATTGTAGTGGGCTCGTCAAGAACCTGTTGGTGTACGAGCCAGGCCCGCAATCGCCACCACGCGGCGGATGGGCAGTGATCATACGGGAGTTCCAGGAGCAGCTGCGCGACTTTGAGGAACAAAGGTTGTCTGGCCAGATGGTACGCGGGTTCCCCGCCGTAGGAGAGCTCTGCGACTGCCTTCCTCTGCAATGGAGAGTCTGACCCGGAGGATGTCATATTTTTGGGCAACGGGAATACGTCCGAGACTTGGAAGTCTAAATCTGGGCCCGTCCAGTTCGCCTGCACGAACGAATGCAAGCATGCAACTGCTATAGCCAGTTGAACGACTTCCTGTTCTGCGGAAACGCTGCCCTTGATAAACGAGGAATTGAACCACTCATCTATGGGTTTGTTTTCGAGATCGTCACCCTCACTGCTGAGGGAGAACAGATCCCGGGCACGAGATGACGTGAGGGGTGCGCGGTAGTTGCCCTCGACGACTTGCTTCGCCAGTTCGGCGGCGTCGAACAAGGATGAAGTCTGTGGGATCTGTTCCCATTTTCCGGTGAGCAAAGCCTTCTCGATGGCTTGTACGCTCATTTTGCTCGATCGAGGAAACTGCAAGAGAGTGTTCGGCAACTTCCGATTCGCTGACCGATCGCGTTGTCGATCTGTGATCACAGCAAGGGGTACCACTTACAGATGTGATTACTGAGCGTCGTACTGTACACCTGCATCTCCGATGCAACTGGCTTGGCGTGTATCAATCAGCCTTCAACAGATATACATTCAGCACGATAACCATGACAACGTAATGAAACATAGAGCCAAAAGATGAACACATTACAGTAGCATTACGAGGGAAGTACTGTCATTAGTACCAAGATGTAGAATCGCCATTATGTACCAAGAATATTTAAACATCTACGGATTAAGCAGTCATAAGATTAGGCAATGGACAACAGATGTACGCGAGGCAAAGTTCACATAGAGGCATTAGAGCGCGTCTGGTGCTGCACGTACGCATTGATCATGTTCATCATGTTGCCTATCCCGGGTTCCTCCGGGAGCCACTCCCCGTTGTTCACGCACAGGACCTTCATGCGTTCCGCGTAATCGAGGTCCGGGAGCAGCTTCGGTGTAATGAGGAAGTACTGGCCGCTGTCGACCTTGCAGGTCACCTCGACGAGAGAGTTATGGACTGCCCTCTCGGCACGTTGATCCATACCCTGGTTGATCTCATCTACCAAAGAGAAGGGAGCGCGAGCCTCTTCGGTCAAGCTCATCAGGTACAGAATGGTGGTAAGCGATCGCTCCTACAAAGCCACACTCAGTCGTCATGTCTGAATTTCGGATTGGTAACACCTACCCCTCCTGACTGACGCTCTCCTGTCAGCAGCTGCAGCTTCTCATCGTCACGGAACTTGACGAGAATGTCGATCGCCCATTTGTCAAAGTCATCGTGCTCACGAATGCGGACTTCGCCAGCACAACCAAGACCTGCGTAACAGGTGGGTGTCAGGCGCAGTGTCAGAGAGTGAGGACAATCATCACTTACGATCGAACGCTGCGGAGAACTTCTTGCCAATGCTAGCTACGAGTTCCTCTAAAGCGGGCTGCCAATTATCCCTAGCCGTCTTGATCGAACGCGCAACGCGATCGGCCTTCTTCTCTCGATCTTTGATCTTCTCTGTCAAGGCCTCAATCTGATGGGGACGCTCAGTGAAGGTGCGCCCACGATCCCGCGAAAAGATCACGCACCTCCTGTTGACGCCTCTTGTATTGGTCGACGACACCGGCGTTCGTGTGCATGTTCATCTCCAGCTGGGCGCGCTTGGCTTCCAGCTCCGTCTCAATATCGTCGGCAGATTTATCGGCCACTTCTCCGCTCTGTGAATTGTTCAGACGAATGTTCGCAACCTCAAGCCGAGCGCTTACCTCTTCCATAACGCGGAATTGCTCGCGCGTGTCGTCGTCAACCGATGCTAGCTTGGCTTTGCTGATCTGCAGCTTGGCTTTGGAGTCCTCCTTGGCAACCTCGTACCTATGGTGCACTACGAGAACATTCATGATCGTGCTCTTGACCGTGTCTTGACCAAACACAAAGTACGACGTACCCTCTTGGAAATCGGCCTTAGCCTTGGCAACCTCTTCTTCCTTCTCCTTGACAAGAGCTTCCAATGCCGTCTTATTGGACGCGATCTGGGCGGCCTCTAGTCCGAAACGTGTTGCTGCCGCCTGCTCCTGCATCGTTGCTCGAAGCAGAGTCTAGGGTTTCATTGTAGCGAGACATAGTGGCAGAGCAAGCAGACACGTACAAAGCACTCCTTTGCGACGCTCACTCGCTTCTTGGCATTGCTGAGGATCTCGCCTTTCAACCGCGCGCGTTCGACGTCGACGGGTGGTGCTGACTGAAGATCCTTCAGCTGTTTCGTGTCACGACCTTTCAGTGCCATTCAGTACATTCCACTCCAGATTGTGAGATGAAACATACGGAGTCGGAGCTCAGTGTTAGTGAGCTTCTTCTCAATCTCGTCGACGACCTTCTTGCGAGCATCCAACTGGCTCTGTTCCGATGTCAGACACGGCTAATCGCACAATTGCATCAAACATACCAGCTCGTCCTTAAAGCCCTTCGACTCTGCTCGAATCGTAGCGTCCTCTTTAGCGAGTTGCTCAGCCTCCTCCTTGCACATGTCGAGCTTGTTGCGTGCTTCCTTGATGAGCTTTTCGAGACGATGCTTCTCATCCTCGTCCACTGTGTGATCCTAAAAATCAACCACGGCATAGTCAAGGTCACAGAAGGCTTACCAGCTTGTGAGACGAGGTTCCGAGCCTGTCCGAAGTTGTAGGTCTGATTCTGTGGAAGGCGTTTGCCGTAGCGCGAACGGGTCACGGAGTTCATGACATTGCCGATGATGTACTTTCCACCACCTTCCCTCGTGACCAGTTCCATGGCACGATTGCCATTGGCTCGGTTCGGGTTCAAAGCAATGGCCTGTGCAGGCAGATGAGGTGAAATGGCGCCCATGCAGTAGACCAGGACTCACAGTCTTGTGTAGATTCATGTTCTCCAGGAACCAGCGCATCCCATCAGGACACTTGATGAAGTCGAGCGCATATCCGTCGAAGCCGATCTGTTGCATCTGTAATTACGACGTCAGCTGTCGCCCCCAACCTCTTGAAGGGCGACATACCTCCTCCCGAGTCATGGGTTGAGCTGACGGTGGCCCGGATTGATGCCTGTACCATGTATGAATACGTGTTGATCTCCCGAGGGCATCCGGAGTATCAATGAGAAGTCGGTTGAGCAACGCATAATCATCTTCGCATTGCGCCACGAATGTCTGGAGACACTGAGCGTAGAACGGACTTCAATCAGGGGAATCTCGAACCTTGAGCTGGCTTGCGTTGAAGCAAGCCTCAACAGCGTGTACAAGCTTGTTGTCCGGCACCGTGCAAGACAACATAGGAGGCTCGAACACCTCCATCTTGAATCTATGCTGATTCTGTCGTAACCAGCGCACAGCTTCACCGCAGTCACGGTCCCATCTCGAAAGACTCTCCAACTTCCGATGTGAGGCGTCGTCCAATTGCTTCAAGCTTTACAGAGACGAAGTCAATGCGTGCAACGATTTCGTCGTACATCATTCACTCACTAGCCCATATTTTGGTTGATAATATGGTTGGCTCTAGACTCTTCCTCGACATTCGCACGTTGCTTGGCTTGCAAGTCTTGAACGCGATCTTTCTGTTTTAGCTGCTCAATCTCAACGCGCCGCTATGAGGGATGTAACTCCAAGTCAATAACAGTTGGACCACACGTGCGCTTTGCGACGTACACGTTCTTCCCTGAGCTTGGTAGTGTCTTCACGTTCCGGAGGATTGGCCAATGTCTCCTTGGCGGCAGCAATAGACCTCTTTAGCCTTTCCATCTCTTGCTTGCGGGTCTTTTCAATTGACCTGATGCCCTCAAGTTGATTCTTCAGATCTTCGGCGAGGCTTTCCTGCACGGCGCGTGGAACGTAAGCATGCTGGCGCTATGGGTGTACAACGGTCACAAACCAGGCTCTCGTTGTCCCGCCACCGTTTCACAATCGTCTCGAACTTCTTCTTCGCCGAAGCCTTCTTTGCCTCGCGGGCCTTCTCCTTGTCACTGAGCCCACGCTCAATTTCCCTACAGACAATGTTTCAGGCTCATGACGAAGAGATCGATATACTGCCTTACTTCTTCCGATCGAGGATGGGAGCATTGCGAGCCTGCAGCTTCTGGAAACGCTCGAGCGCCTTCTTGCTGCTTTCCTTAGCTTCTTGATAGAGCGCCTTTGCTTCAGTATACTCTTTGAACGGCAGGATCAGCTCCAACAGTTCAATCTATGGCGAAAGTCAGCCTAGTGCTCAGTTCCATGGACATCGATCCCTCACATCTCGCTCAATCTGACGACGCTCTTCATAGCGACGAACTTCTCGCTCCAGATTCGCGTTTCGTTCCTCGAGGTTCTTGAGCTGGTCTCGGTCGCCATTCAACGCCTGTAGCGAGCATGAATGAGCCTGGTAGGTCCATCAACTATTACGCTAGCTTACCTCCATAAGGCCTTTGAGATCTTTGCCTGCACTGATCAAGGTGTCATGCCAGGCAGTCAGGCTCGCATTCCCTGCCGCGCGCTGCGTCTCCCGGAGCAACTGCTGGGGGCTCATGTGCGCGAACTCAGAGACTTTGTCCTGAGGCAGGAATGTGCTAGGCGCCACATCAATTCGATGCTCGTCTAACAGCATATAAGTGAGCTCACCAAAGGTTGGAGACTTGCACGTTCAGCTCCGCCATCCGGCTGTTGATCTCTCGGCCTGTGGCGGCCTGGCCATTGAGGAAGAAGGACGAACTCTTCGACTTCGCGCTGAGGGTCCGCTTGATGATGAGATTTGGTTTGCCCTTCGGAGCCTTCAGCTCAATCTCGATGAAGCCCGAGTCCGTGCCAATCTTGACGAAGGAGTTCAATTCTGTGGCACGACCAAGGACCTTTTGTGGTCGTCAGCGCTGAGCAGGTGGTCAGGGTTTATGTGACATACCGCGGGTGGGAAGTTCAGGCCGAGACAAATAGCACACGCGATGGTACTCTTTCCAGTCCCGTTAGGCCCAAAGATCATGTTGAGATACGGACCAGGGCGAAACTCGACAGCGTCATATGTGACGAAGTTCTCGAGCTTTATGCGCACAATGGACCCCGGGATGAATCTGTTGAATGCACATTTTCATGAAGCTCGATGCGCCATATTGTAGAACACACATCAGAGCTCACCCATCTGTATCTCGAGGCAGGGTCTTCGTGCGCTCTGGCTTTACATCTTCCGCAGGCGCCGAGTCGCCCTCCGCGTTCAAACGGACGCGCTTTGTGCCATGGGGAGACGCGCCCTGCTCCTCTTCGTCCTCATCTGCCTCACCCTCCGCGTCCTCTTCTTCATCACCCTCTTTGCGATCGTCCTCTTCAGGATCCTCTTCTACGCGTCGCGCAGCCCTGGACATCTTCTCCTTTCTAGCCGCCTCGGCACGCGCCTTTGCCTTACCCTTTGGCGTATTCTCTTTCAAAGAGTCGTCGCTCACTGGTGACGCAGGCTTCCTGGCCATTGATACAGCGTCGTATGCGACGAGCGAGTGGTGTGGAGACAATGGACAGTAGGGTGGCACGCGTCGAGGCGACCGCTTCAGCGAGTTCAGGGCAGGCCATTTCGTCTTGTAAGGGTGGATCAGCTGAGTTTGAACTCCCTATCATTGTTCACAAACCCCATTAGAGACGCGTCGTGCACATTGACGCTGAGGTATCAATTTAGCCATGATCGCGTCCGAGTGTCAGACTCAGAAGCCGAGAAGCCTCGAGTCACCCTGACCAAAAGTCTATCGCTAGTTGTTCATAAGAAGGTGACGTATCGAGGCGGTCTAACACCGAAGAGAACTCTACAGCACGACGCACTCGACAATGGCCTCCAAACGCCTCAGTAAGTGGACACTAAACGGATGCAGAGGTGGCCCGTCTGAGAACGTTGTCAGTCTTCGTGACAGGCAATGCGAACAAGCTCAAGGAAGTTCGCGCCATCCTCGCACAGTCAGGCGTAGAGATCGACTCACAGGAACTCGATAGCGAGTGCACAGGTTTACTCCGATAGACCGACGTCTGAGCTGATGTTCACCGAATTCCCAACAGTTCCTGAAGTACAGGGAAGCACCCAGGAAGTGGCCATCGCTAAATGCAAGCGTGCAGCTGAACTACTCGGCGGACCCTGCATTACCGAAGACACTGCCCTATGCTTTGAGGCACTCAACGGACTGCCTGGACCGTATATCAAGTACTTCATGAAGGAGATCGGACATGATGGTTTGTCTTGCACTGAACGTACACAAAATGATGAGCTCATGTGGAAGCGTAGGACTCAATAAGTTACTCATTGGCTTCCCGACGACCAACGCATGGGCTCTCTGCACCTTTGCCTACAGCGCTGGACCAGGAACAGAGCCCATCCTATTTGAGGGTCAGACAGATGGCCGCATCGTGCCCGCGAGGGGCGAAACGAAGTTTGGCTGGGATCCTGTTTTCGAGCCAAAGGGGTTCGATCAGACGTATGTACCATACCTACCACTGACGTGGGGTAGCAATGAGCATTTCACTAATCGCGCACGCAGGTACGCCGAGATGAGCGCTGAGGTGAAGAACAAGATCTCCCACCGATATCGAGCCCTAGAGAAACTACAAGAGTACCTTCGTACTTTAGGGGCTTAGAGTGAACTTCATGTCTACATCAGCGGTGGTCATTCTCATGGACAGACGTCGGGAGAGTGAGGCTGAAGACCAGTGTACGTTGATTGATAGCGGCGCGATGAATAGATATCAATGTCAAAGGGTAACGGAGATGAATTCATAGCCTCGCTTTTGAACTCTCCTTGTGTGTCAACTTCTGCTTCCGGGAGGTCTGGAAAGGTGCGATGGTATGCACGGCGGAGACGAGTAGCTTTGACGTTCTCTTGTCATACACCTGCAATGGCCAATTCATAACGCGCTTGACGTCGACCCGTGGCCCTCGAGACTTACCTCTGCGCGAGCGGCTGTAATTCGGCCGCTGGTTGAGATGCTAGTGCTCACCATACGGAGCTCTGTTCCTCTACAGGTTGGAATTGCGTGTCACCTCGGATGACTGTGCCGAAAGGCGAGGGCTCACAATGTAGCGGGTGCGTGGTACGTCATATTTAACGACGCTGACACGCCGGTGTAGTCCACACCAGTTACCAGGGATAGAGTCAGGAGGGATGAGAACGTTCCGCTGCATGAGATGAGCTGTGCGACCTCTCATACGTTATTTCCCAGACATACTCACATGTCAACAAGATGCGCTGAACAACTGCCGGCCAGGGTTCGATGCACATTCAGCATCTCTGTCATTTGAACATGATCAATCACCGTACGACATGTTCGTCCCACAGATCGCGGTGAAGTCACTCACGTTCAGTCACTGTTATCTCGCAGACAGTCCGACCTTGCAACGACAGCTGACGCGCATCTTCCGGCGAGATGGTGTCTTCAAGCAGCTCCAAGTTCTCGCCCATGCTCGTGTTCCGAACGTCCGCCTCGGCCAGCCTCAGATCCTCGACTTCGGTGTGTCCAAAGACACGGCTGCCTGGGAAGTTCCCGATATGCCACGCGAAGATGTTGGCAGACAATTGCCTCTTCTCCAACGGAAGGTTGCCTTTGATGGATGCGGGATCGTCATTCGGATGAGGAGCAGCAGGAAGCCGGCGCACTTTGGAGAGAAAGTCCATGCTACGAGATCTGAGAGCGCAGGTTACCTTTCATGAAGCGAGCTGGGCTCCTTATGTATCGCCTAGACATCCTGGTGCGTGGGCCTGTCGTAGTGCGCCATCCCACGAGGGCGCGCGAGTGGTGTGAACGTAGGGTTCCCATCTGGGCACTCATTCACGCGGAAGCTCGTTGAGTAAGCGTGACGACTGACAGTGATGGGGCTGCATTGACACGCTCGCAAGCAATTCTCCAAGTTGGCTCGGGTGACACCCTGTGACACCGAAACCAGCTAACCAGCGCGTTTATCAAGGTTTATCATGTTTATGATTCATGCCCGGAGGATGCGGACATGTACTGCCCTCCAATAATTGCCATTTCGATTAGTCGCAACGTCGCGATCTAGGTCGAATCAACAGACCACTTCCGACGGTATGACAAGTGGCACCTGAAGTGCAATCCGCCCATCCGAGGTTCTGGATCTACAGTACCCAAATGAATCAATAATAATGAGGCCGTAGGCAGCTCGTAGGCCTCCGCCGGTAATGACCATCATGTCGGGAACAACTTGGCGGATACGCCACCGCGTCCGCGACGGTCGGAAGATCTGGTGGCCTCTGGTGGCTGGAAACATTGGTTCCGGGGTCCCCCGCGCGGTCCAGCCTAAAAAGGCAGCTGTCGTATTTGCTTCCGCTGTGCTAGAGCCGCGACTGCGACCGTCACGGTCTCGACCTGGGCAAGCCTGGGCAGGCACGCTCGAACGGGCTGCTGTGTATCAGTCCAATTGAACTACACAGAAAGCACTCGCAACTGATCTCAAGGGACGGACATGTAACAATGCAAGAAACATGCAGTGTACGGTAGGGCCAGCGCCGGACTCGCCATGAAATTTCGGAAGCGGCGTCTCTGCCCATGACCGTATACCGACGGAGAGAACAAACGGTCGGATGGAAGTGCCATCCGACCGTTTGTCCCGTCCACCACCACAGGTCAACTGCAACGCGGGGTCAAGGCACGGCCCCGCTTTGAACACCGTGGGCCGAAGGACTCGCACAGGTAAGCCTGGCCAGGTTCCCTATATTTCCTGATTGGGGTGCGGAAGAGCGGATACGGGTCCTGTTAAGGACGGGCTATACCAAATCCCATATCCGACATCCTCTCCAGCCAGCAACTTGCCCGACGCCGTCGCTATCCGATACCGAGCAGACACTAGCAATATAAAACCTCAGCCAACTTGCAGAGATGACAGCGAACGACCGAAGTACTCGCTTGCCCGCGACGCCTTTGCCTCTGCTCACGATTCCTCACGATCCGCCAATACCCCTCGTCGACCATGGTGCACTTCAGCGCCATCCTCCCTAGCTTCTCCGGCAAAGTCTTGGCCGCTGGGCATCTACGCCTCCAACTCCTCGAGTCCCTAGGACACGGCGCCTACGGCGTCGTATACCGCGCTTTGGACCTTAACTCGCCACCCTCCAACCCTGCGTACTTTGCCGTGAAGTGCCTCCTCAAACACCCCGAGGAGTCCGAATATTTCTGCCTCCAGCAGCGCGAGATCGCCTACCACAAGGCGGTCTGCAGCCACTCCAACGTGTTGAAGCTCCACCAAGTGATCGAGGAGAGGGACTTCGTTTTTCTACTGCTTGACTATTGCCCTGGCGGCGATCTGTTCAGCGCCATCATCGACTACGGCATCTTCAAGCGGAGAGACGACCGTGTCAAGCGCATCTTCCTTCAGATTCTCGACGCCGTTTACCATTGCCACCGTATGGGCATCTTCCACCGTGACTTGAAGCCCGAAAACGTCCTTTGCTCGGCCGACCTCAATGAGGTCTTCGTCTCCGACTTCGGGCTTGCAACGACCACACGAGTCAGCACCGCCTTTGGATGCGGAAGCTCATTCTACATCAGTCCAGGTGAGTTTATTGCAGCGGAGGCGTTGTACGTGAGACTTACGGGCAACCTGAATCACAGAATGTGTCGGACGTGCATCTCAAGGACTCCCCTTCCTCAGCGCCGTCTCCGATGTCTGGTCACTCGGGGTCATCCTCACCAACATGATCACCGGGCGGAATCCGTGGACCATTGCGTGCTCGATCGAGGACTCAGCGTTCGTCTCCTACTCGCGAGACCCTGACGCCTACTTCCGGCGCATGCTCCCCATGTCCGCCGCCGCACGTCGCATTCTCCTCCGCATCTTCACTCTCGACCCTACCGACCGCATCAGCCTTCCCGATCTGCGCGAATCCATTCTTAACGCCGACACCTTCTTCCTGAGCGAGGAGGAGGAGCTCGTATACGAGCTCGAGCACCAGCTCACCAAGGTCGGCTCCGTCGACATCACGGACGTCGACCGCCAAGACCGTTTCGACTCGAGCGAGAGCGACCTCGAGCTCGTCGAGATCAAGCCCCTCCCCACCGCACCGTATCCCGAGGCCGACGAGGATGCATCGGTCCGAGCAGTCTTCGCACCCTCTTCACCCTCTGCGCATGCCCCATCGACTTTCGACGATGCGAGGTACTCCTCGCTATTCTCCATGCCCTCTGCATACTCCCATTCCGAGTCGGAATCGGAGGAGAGCGAGGGCCCGATTACCCCCGAGCAGCATGCGGTCGTGGACACGATGCCCATCCCGGAGCTGCATCTCGCGCCACCCAAGGCACCTGCGCACGAGCCAATCTGCGTGGACAGCGAGTGCGACATCACGGAGGGAGGTCTCGAGGTGCACATCCTGGGCAAGCGCAAGGCAGCGCGGTCTTGGGATCGAGTGGTCGGTGCAGTGCACAAGATTCGTGTTTTGGCGCAATAGCAACCGTGATGCTGAGCATCGCTGGAGTGGTTCGTGGACGAGGGACTGAGTAGACTGGGATGTAGCATTAGATCTCTGTGCATTGTGTAGCGTTAGCATCAATCAATCTCTTTGACGACCTCTTCCATGACGCAGTCCCATCTGTGAGCACCTGTGAGCACACTGTGAAGCGTTTGTTGGCGTGCGATTGGAAGGAGAACAGAACGCCATGATACATTGACCGGGAAAGAGATGTGATCAACCGGAGGATAAGCTGAGATTTATGCAGGTCAATAACGAGAGTGTCGCACACTGCTCACTCAATCGGCGTGATATACCCGCTAACTCTGGTGCCCAGCGATATGAGTAGCATAGGTGCTCGGGCCACCGTCACAGCTTAACGAGGCGTCAGTGTTCGTAAGATTCAATGCGTTTATGGATGAAAGGTATGCAGACCAAGAGAACTGCCGGTCAAAAGCTTAATCAATCAGGATGGACGTCGAAGCACGGCACGAGATCGCGGAGATATATAGCAAAAATAAAGGCATCCAACGGCCACTCGCCGATCAAAGCTTGAAGTCAGACTTGCTCGGCACCATCTTGACATGATTCCCAGTGACGGCTAGGCGTTTGGTTGTCAAATCCCAAATCTAAGGGCGCTTCAGTATCGAGGCATTCTGGTTGTCGCGTGCACATACCTCTGCACGAGCGGTCACCGCGCGTTTGCCAGCGGCGGTGGAGATGTTAACGATCTGTATCTTGTCGCCACTGTTGCAGTGCATTCAGTGTCGGGCATAGAGCGAATCTGCACGGAGGTCTTACAGTTTTGCCCCGGCGTGGTATGTCGTGCTCAGAGACTGTGATACCAAGTCTACAGGGCCACCCGTTGCAAGTCCCATCACGACAAGAGCGATAGAGGTACAGCTATGAGAGGTGATCCCAACGACATTGAGCCTCACACAAGAGCAGCATTCGATATTCGTCGCTAGACTCACCAGTCCACCAGATACGCAGCGCATCCACCATGCATCATACCGTGCGCGTTACACATATCTGGGAACAGTACATGTCAGAGCGTTGTGTGGACCCCAGAATCGTGGAGTCTGTCTGGCCGGACGACGGAGTTGCCGCTCAGGAGCTCACCTTTGGTGACCGTCGCCTCATACACAACCCGCGCATGGGTCTTCTCGTCTCCAGGGCGCACGAACGTATTGCATTCGACGATTTCCAGATTGTTCTGCACCGAGTCCGCAAAGTCGCCCTCGCGGGTATGCCATGCGGCGATGTAAGCGAGCTTCTCCAGCTGCTCGGACGACAAGTTCGTCTTGGCCTTATCGAGGGTGCCCTTCCAGCGCGCCATCTTGGCAGCAGACATAGTGTGTGCAAGGTGGTCGTGTATGTCAGTGCATACGTCTAGTCTGTGCACTGCAAGGCCGTCGGCGGTGAGAGTTTTGAGAGGGGGGGCTCGGATGATCAACCATCCGTGATATTGTCCGGGTACGGCGTTGACTCTGGCAGCGCGTCCCGCGTCGGGCACGGTCACGAGAGGCGTGTCCCACCCGAAGTGTTTCAGCAGCACCTGCCATTTCCGGAACGCATTCTGTCGCTGAAGCAGCCGTGCTTGAGCCACACGAACGTAACCTTCTCTCTTCCTGCCATCTTCCTCCCTTCCTCACTCTCCCGCACGCGTCATTGAAGCACCATGTTGATCAAAGTAAAGGTGCGCCGTCGACCTCGTCCGCGAGGTGATCGTCCTGCTCATACTGCTTCACGCGTCCAGACGCTCACCGGGAAGGAGGTGTGTAGATCGCCTGCTAGAGACTGGCGGGGGCATGTCGCCCCTCGCGCAACAAACGTTCCTGACTTGCGTGATTCACAGATCGAGCTCGATATCGACCCTGATGACAAGATCACGCGCATAAAGGAGAAGGTCGAGGAGCAGTCTGGTGTACCCCCGCCTCAGCAACGACTCATTTACGGTGGCAGGCAAATGTGCGTGCGGACAAGCAGAACGCTGGGTTCGCGCTGACTCATAGTTGTGCAGGCCTGATGACAAGACGGCCAAGGACTTCAACATCACGGCGGGCACTGTTCTGCACTTGGTGCTCGCCCTTCGTGGAGGCCGTTAGAGCGCACTCAGACCGCACCCGATGTTCCGATGTCCGTCATAAGGAGGAGAGAAGATTCACAATAACCCAATGTAGCTATCACCCATCGTGCGTTGTTAGATATGTGCTATAATCGTGTTCTCGCTGCTATCAAGAGTTTTGTCGCCTCCGGGGCGCACATTTATTGCATTCGCCGCGGTCAAGCAAACGGGCTCGATTGCTCAACGTGAGAGGTGATAGCACAACAGAGCAGCCTAAAACAGAAGTAATTGAGAGAAGCACAGCAAGATATAGCACACCTCAGTCATATCTTCCCCGACGTCTTGGTGGACTCCTTGACCTTGAACCACCTCGCCTATCTCGACGATCACCCCATGTGTCCCTCCTCGGAGGAGGCGGCGAATCTCTGCGTGGGGGTGGCACGCGCCTATCATCGTCCCTGTCTCTGTCCCTTCCACCAAACCCACCACGTCCACCACGCCCACGCGAACCAGCTGGCGGCGCGTCTGACCCACCGCGCCAATGTCCACCACCCCTCCCCAACCCACCTGGTGGACCGGCAGTAGAGGACGCACCACCTCCCCATCCACCATCCGTCCTGTTACCGCTCTTCCACCCGTTTGATGTAGGGCCGTTCGTGCCAGGTGCGGCACTGCCCTTGATGGCGAGTTCACCCCCGGGCGCAGCAACTGTGGCATTTTTGGGCAGTAGCACAGCAACGCAAAGGTAGTCTCCTGGGACGAAGCGAAGTTCGTCAAGCGTGCGCTCGTCATTGCCTGGTGGGACGTCGTCGTCGGTGAGGAGGCGCGGAGCGGTAGAGGTGAGTGAGCCAGGCTCGCCGAGGATGTCTCGCGAGTAGACGATGCCGAGCTCCTTCTGGTTCAATCGTCCGCGCGTTGCGCTGTCGGCGTAGAGCGTACGGAAGGAGTACCGCGCGAGAGGATGCCGTATCTCAGGGCTGGCTGGCGCAGTTGCGCGGACTGTGGTCAGCACTTCGCGCAGTGTTGCGTCCTTCCTATACAGGCATAGCATCGTAAGTCCGAGTCTGGTCGTGCAGACATACAAGATATATGTACCATGTGAATATTTGCTGTTCATCCGCCGTCGGTATAGGACCATCTTCGAACTGCGCAACACGGTGGAAACCGCCGACTTTGATGAAGGTGCGAATGAGAAACGGGGCCGTCTGGCAAGCTACACTGTCAACGTGATATCGCATTCACCGCCGCTGTGCGTACCTTTTCTCTATCAATGATAGGGCGACCTGAAGGCGTTGTTTCGTCCATTGCGCAGGCGAAGACAAGGAGGACGATGGAAGAGACGTTGGGAGGGTTGAGCGTCTGAGCGCCCAGTCCAAGCGCCCACCTCGAGCAGCTGACGTAATTCACCTTTCCGGGACCCGGTATCCTGTTCGGTGTAAGTACGCCCGCTGTAAGTGGTACCACCAAGTCTACTCCCGTGGTCTGCCGTCGCTCTGCAGCCTGAATCTACGCAGCCACGGGCTGTTGACCAACTTCGCGCTTACGGCACTCTTTGTTCTCGTCAACTTCGACGACTTCGGCGCCGGGATCCAACACGTTTGTTGTATGATCGCGGATGTGTTTCATGTCTCTGGCAGCACCGGCAAGCGCAAACACTCCAGCGATGAGGATGAAGATGAAAGACGGGCGGTCAAGTGCAGGAGAGACACAACACCTACACCTGTCATGACGCACCGGACACCGCTGAGCATCGTCACAGACACTGCCCTTCTACAAACGTTCGCCGACGCGGCCGCGGACGATTATGACACGCCCTCCGTATACTCGCAGGAGTCTACCACGGACTCAGATGTCGACTCTCTGTTTGGGCCCTCGTCTGAGGCACCGTCTCTGGACGACCCCGCCTTTGTTCCCCCGAGTATAACTCGCATGTCATCACTCACCACCCTCAACTCTGCAGACTGGCCATGTGTCGCGACTGTACTCGCCAGTCGCAGCGCACCATCAATCCCGGGGCTCTTCTTCGACCCTGCATCACGGCTACCGGAGGAATTCGCGGAGGACGTCATGTCGACGTGCATACAAATGTACTTCCGCTCGCCCGACGTCGACCAAGTCATGCTGTTCGAACGATCCGGGGAGCCCACACAGCCAGGCAGCGGTAGCGGCCTACCTCCCATACTCAGCTCCCTTCTTTCCTCCTTGTCCACTCTACTTCGCCCCCTCCTACCTCCAGAGAAGCACGAGCTTCTCTTCCCCGCCCCACCGACGCCCTACGCGCGCCAAGCCATTTTGAACCTGTACTGGCCGGGCGACGGCATTACGCCGCACGTCGACCTCCTCGACCGCTACGGCGACGGTATCATCGGTGTGAGCTTCGGCTCGGGATGCGTCATGCGCTTTGCGAAGGTGCTGAAGGGCCGCGGCGACGAGCCTGCATCACAGCGCACCGAGGAGATCGCCTCGGGAGAAGGCGATGGGTGCGGTGTGTACCTCCCGCCCGGAAGCGCGATTGTCATGACGGAGGAGGCGCGGTATGGATGGACGCACGGGATCGAGAAGTGTATGGAAGATCTGGTCGAGTCCGAGGATGGAAAGGGCCCATCTGTTGTGCTTTCTCGAGATGTCAGGCTGAGTGTTACGTTTCGGTGGCTACTACCTGGAGCGGATGTTGTTGGTGAGCCGGACGTTCACGACCCTGGACCAGATGCGGGAATCCGGTCGTAGGATACACATCTATTGCTTGCGTTTTATCACCTTTGGAACTGGTTGGACGGAGTGATGTCTATGAATTTATATGGATTGGGGCTCTAGTAAGACAGGTCCACTCGTATTCCGCTACATGTTGGTACAACAACAGCAAGAAGCATACATGACGACAGTAGCACAGCAGTACGCAATGTGGCCACTGTCCAAGAAGTTAATCATAAGTCAAGAACACGATCAGTCCTCCAAGGTTAAATGTAATGTTACGTCTCAAGCACAGCAGCGAGAGCGCAACTCAATCATCTCTTTGTGCCACGCCGACTTTCATATTAGCTTGATCAACTGCAGAACGCTTTTGGTCAGCCAACACTGGCTCACATCCGTCACTGAAGTTACGCACAGACGACATAGAGCGACTTGAGGAAGACATCGCCGAAGATGTCATACTTTAGGTCTCCACGACTCTGGATACCACCGAAGGTGAGGCCATCGCCAGCATCGCTGTAATGGAAATCAATCTCGTTCAGCTGTCAAACAAAGTATCAGCCGCTTGAACAGCAAAAACGGCCTCGAGCAGCACAGCACGAACCCGATACATGGTATGCCCAATCGCGAATTCAATCTCGGGAAGTCGCTCGTGGTTGGGGTATATCCAGCCTCCACGACTGTTGCTGTACCGCGCGCCGTTGATTCTGTGGTAAATTCGGTCGACAGCGTCGTCGTGCACCAAACAGAGCGTCGTCCCCGTGTCGATAATGGCGGTGTTATCGCGGCTCTTGTACGGCTTCCCGCCTACCATGTACGCCGTGGAGGCGACTTCCCAGAAGCCTCGCGAACTGTGAGCTTGTCGTGAGCACGGCGCTGCCGGAAAGGGTCAAGGGAGCCACATACGAGTCGACATGGTGGTACACGATAGGATGTCTGGTAACCGATTTGTCGATGAACCCTACCCGCGAGAAGTGAGTAGGGGATTCATTGATGTGGAGAAAGACCCACCGAATGAATAGAAACTCTGTTCAGAACCATGGCCAAGTTTGCAGGTGAAGACGGGCTGTATACGGGCCGTTCTGAATAGACTGCATCCGCGAGATAATACTAACACGCACGGGGTCAATCAGTCTCTTTTCCAGCATGTTCTCTACGGGAGTTGCGACACGGTGCGGCTGCACTGTATTCAGTTTAGGGAACGCAAGCCCGAGCAAACCGTCGTTTCCTCCATCTGTGAGGAAGGCCCGACTGAGATGTTGTGCCACCTCTATCGCTTGGCCGTGGATATGCACCCCTGCGACCGAGATATGGTCCATCCAGACGTCGCCCGAGGCAGATGACCCGTCACCATAGGAGATCTTCCATGTCCCGTCTACTCGTTTCGCGGTAGTGGACAGATGTGGATGATACAGGCGGTGTTTCGCTCGGTATTTCCCGGCCCCCGCTACCTCCGAGCTGAGCGGTTTTGAGTACGTGATCGGACAACCGCAAACTATTCCAGACGACTGACCTCCAGACCCAAAGGTCGGATGAACCCGTGTCGAAGTCTAGCATGAGCTGCTTCCCTGGTGTGCCGATGCTGACGGGTACGACATATTCGAGGCTGTCGTGGATGCGAAGTGAGAAATAGCCAATTGATCGTGACCAGGCTTCCTTACTCTGGTATGACCGATGTGTTAGGTAAGTTCATTAGGATCTGAAGAGCCCATACCGTTCTGGATCGCTTCTGCAGGGACCTCGTGGTCGGTAGCATTGTCGAACATGCCCCTTACTTTCACGACGGCATTTTTCCGATATGCAAAGCTTCCATATTTGCTCGCTTCAAACTGGTAACGCCTGGCAGCACGTGCGTATGCAGCGTAAAACGAGGGGCGATATCCGGATCGAAAGCGGTCGGGGCGGGAGAGATGGTGGAGTCGCAATTCGCTCGCCAGACTCGGGGATGGTGTGCGTTCACGCTCCGAGTCGTGCTCGTGTCCGTGTCCGTTTCCGTGCTCGTGCTCGTAGTCCTGCTCGTGCCCGTGTCCGTGCCCATGCTCGTGGTCCGGCTCGTACTCGGGTTCCGGCTTTTGCAACTTGTGCATATCGCGACGATACCAATGTCGGGAGTGGGTGCAGCCCATGTCTAGACAGAGGTCGTATATATAGGACGAGTACTCGGGCGTCCTGCGGTTTTGAGTTCGAATTGTGCGTCTTATCTTCTTAGCATCGTTCCCAGCCTGCACGCGTCATCAATTTCTGGTGGCTGAAAAGCCTGATTCAGGACGAACGAAGATATTAGGGCAATGCCGTTACGAGACAGCATTGAGCAAGATGGCTGGGCATGCAGGGTGAGGGAGCTATCCGCGCAGACAGTCGACAGCCTGAGGCGAGTGGGCACAATAAGTGAGAACGTAGACCAGTCTTAAAGACCACACCGTGACCGTATCTCGCCGTCTACTCGGCACGTGACACGCGTCGCATTGAGTGTCGAGATGAGTAGACTCCGAGGTATGGTATGTATCCCACAGGTACTCCCATATGAGTGATACCTCGAAGAGAGTCGATAATACTGATCAATGATCCATGGAGTCGCTTCGCCTTGTAGGCAGTAGAATGAGTATTGGTCATGCCAAGGCATTGTGCCACATACGTTTCACAAGGGCGAATTGTTCGCATAGGGCCACTGAGGGAGACAAGACATCGCTGCATTGCGTGTCGCGCTCACGAAGTCAAGGCATGGGTTGAAATGGAGGCACAGAGCGCGGACGGCGGACGCGTCAAGGCGCGTCGAGGGTGCGTGACAATTCGCGTCCGTCACGAGATCCGGTCTGTGTCAAAACTCGACTCCGCGACGGGCCAAGTTGCTCTGCACCATCTCCTGCGGTGAATTCTGTCTCATTCTTCGCAAGGCATACTTAAAATAGCGACTGGGCTGACTCAATTCAGACGGCACTCACTCAGCACCGATGTGCAAAGTATGCGCATTGGGGTAACTGTCTCGCCCGGAGCGACCACACAGCCCATATAGGGGTCTTCACGGCTATCGCGAGCCTTCCTCCAGGGTCCATCTGCACGGTAGTAAATGCCGTTGCATCTCAACTCTATCATAGGCATTGTCACCGATGTCTTCCATGGCTCCGAGCGTCGGGCTGCCCCCTGCTTCCGGGTTCGATGGCCCCGTCTCGGTAGGCAAACGACTCCGGCAAGACCTACGCTTGGGTCGAAACGTTGGCGCCACTCTGCGCAACGTGAGAATGATGACAGAACCAGTCAGTCGCGGTGAGTCCGTCAGCATCCAGCCTCCAGCGGACCTGCCGTGGGCGGGGCAGCCGTGGATGCTCTGGGATGCTGGGGATTGGGACGATCAGGGCCTCGACATGTGGGTGGACACGCCGTGTACGTGAAGCACTCCGGACCCCTCGGATATAGCTGACAATGACAGGACAGGATGCGTCCCTCGCACAGCTTTGCTCAGTCGGAGGTCTTACATGGCGTGGCTGCACAAATGGTGTCTTAGGCCCCGTACTTACAGCCCGTCTGCCTTGGGGTCGTTCCGGGATCCTAGCCAAGCTCTAGCGGACGTAGTGCCCGGGGCAGATGCCGAGAGACACTAATAATCACGAATCGTCACAGGCGAACACAGTGGCGACCCTGGGGCCTGCTTACCCATCTGTTGCTGAACACGCATGAAATTCTGCCTGGGTACGTCCCCGGAACCGAGATGCGCTTGGTCTCGAAGTTTCCTTTCGCCCATAATGCGGCTTACTGCGTGGCCGGGATGCAAGGTTGATCATCTCGCAGGTCCGAGGCACAAAATCCGCTATACCCCCCTGATACATCTGACGTATGTATTCCATCTAATCTGAATCTGACTCCTGTGTGCATCTACGGCCCCTTGCGGTCGTAAAACACCGGAGGCGCAGAGCTCATTGCGCGCCGAGAGTTCTCATTGGGCATGTATCCCCGGCGTGCGTCATTCCTCAGAAGCTGAAACATACTGAAGGCGTCGGCCGCATACCACACAATTAACGAGGCGTCTCGCCCATATACCGATTCGCAGGCTCTCATTGTCGTCGAGGCGGCCTTAGAGGTCTATCTCGACCAGCGGTGCCACCCATCTCGTTCTGACTGTGCTCATAAATGATTCCTTCGTCAGAACATCGCGTCGTCCCTTACAAGGCGTCTTCTTATCCTTCTCTTCTCTGTTCCTTTCTCATTCTCCATCGCATGCACATGCGCCAGTTTGATTGGTTATGTCAACCATCTAACCCCTTGCCCTTACTGCACGGCAATCTCGAACCCGACAGAACCGTACCTGTGTACATGCCGACCTGCGCACTTGACAGGTCTGTCCCGCCCAAACGGCTTGTTGCTGACAGCTCAGTCACTGCGACCGGCGTACCATTGACCGCAGGAGTTCATGCCCGTGGCCGACGAGGCCACACACCATGCTGGGTGCATGTCTGGGCCATCGTTCTGCCCCACTTAGCTGAATGCAGCACCTAGACCGGCGCCGAGTCCGAAACTTTCCAGGTCGACGGATCGGCGGTTCTAGGATGTGCAGACGGTCGCAGGCGGGTCGGTGTTCGTAAACATTTGCACTGTATACCGCCCGCCGCGGTGCGCGGGTATAAAACGCAAGCGGGACCGAGGTATGGACCCAAGAGCCAACTCTTCATTCCACCTCACTCAGCAAGTGCATTCTCGTCATGCAGCTCACCGCTAGTGCTATCCTTGCCCTCCTCCCCGCCCTCTCTGCCTTCGTCGGGCAAGTCAACGGTGTCCCCACCAGGCTCGTCAAGCGGCAGGACGTTGTGTCCGTCCATGGGACTATCAATGAGCCCGCCGAGTCTGCCGCCATCGCACCCGGTGCGACGTTCGACTTCGACTTCGAGTCCGTCAACTACTGCGAGTCCGGCTACGAGCCCATCACGGTCTACCTCTTCGAGAACGAGCCTGACGTCTCCGACATGAACGCGGACGGCTCGTTCCCCGAGAGCGCCTACCTCTACGAGTTCGGCGAGTGGCTAATTCCCAACTTCGGTAAGTGCGCGCGAGCGTGAGGCATCTCAGAATGTTGAGCTGATTTTGGCTGTGCTGTAGGTCTGCCTGCCCAGCAGGACCCGCCGCCGCCGCCATCCAACCTCAGTATGCCTGACTTCTCGCAGGCCTCGACAAATGCCGCAACATACAGTGACGCCACATTCTACCTCACTGTTGTCGAGACCTACCTTGATTGCCCAGTGCGTAGTGCTCTCTGGAGTATGCATATGCAATGATGCTGACGCGCGTTGATTCAGGGCGACGTCGCGAAAGAGTTCGGTGTCACGACGAACTCTATCGTCTACAACGCCACCACCGCGTAATCAGAATCTTGCTATGCATTCCTCTTTGTGATCATGTTTCAATTAGGCAGATATGTAGACGTTGTATCGAATAGACAGTAGCTGGACATTTTACGCGCGCGCTCTGTAGTGTCACTGATGTCGATACCATCCTGCTAGTACAGTTACGGTCGCTTTCGTCCTTATGTCGAATGGCAGACCTCTTATTCTCTCGCGGAGGTGCATCACGTCACACAATGCTAGACGAGCTTTAAGACCTGATTGTCCGATTCTATGACAGTGTCAAGGTTCCTATGGCCAGAGTCGGCGCATCCAGGAACTGCTTTGCCGCTTTCGACAGGTCCCCTTTCGTTAACCCCACTTCCTCATGGGGGTAAGGAGACCTCGGAAGACCTCCGACTGGTGCAACAGGGCCCACGCACTGAGCGCTCCGAAGGTTACGAACGCTAAACGCTTGCATCATACATCATAGTCTATCATTGCCCGAGAGCAGTAAAATCCCGTTGCGGAGCATGCTATGCCCTGGGAGGCAGCATCCACATGGTGTCAGTCACGAACGGTCAAGCGGACTACGTGTTCCGAAGCTGGGAAGGATTGTTTGCATCGGAGACGTACATGTATGTGCGTGGACTCCGAGTCGTCTTTCCAGCGAATAAAGGCAGGGCGTCGCCGGTACTTGCCATTCCCATGGATTGCCAGCTAGGAGCTAGCCGTACTAGTGGCCATACGCATACCCAAAATATAGACGCAACCGTACGCCTTGTCGCATCCAAGACACGTTCTTCATGTCCTTGGCGATATTGGGGTCATGCGCGGGCTGATAATGCAAGCCTCAGTATTGTGTGCTGTCATCGACAACTGTGAACGCTCGGTACATACCAGGATACATCCGAGCTATGTGGAAGTGAGCGTCAAGGGCACATGGGGGAACTTCCAGAAACGGCGCTGGGCAGACATAGCTACGAACCGAGTTAGCACATTGCCTGAAGGGGTTTCAGTATTCCACAATGACCACAACGGAGATTTTATCGTATCCTCTGGAAAGAAAGTGCGGGCATCATGGTTCGCACGGTGGCATTTATGAGCGAGCAATGATTCATAGCCTTTTGTTGGCAAGAAATGGCATAGGTCCGGGTCGGTAGCGGCGGTGAGGGGTTTGAGGCCCGTCCTTGATCGACCTCGAGTCGCATGCTGCGCGGTAATGCATTGCAGGTGGGGACCAAGGAGAGTGGATTCGGAAAGGCGCTCTGAAGCTGCACTTCCAGTCTAGGTATGTCAATGGCATCTAGCAGTATTAGATGGTGACGGTGACACCATACTTAGTATTGGCACACTCGCATTTGCGACCCTTATGCGGGATGGATTTGATGCATGTACTGCCGGAGTGGTAACTTACGTGTGCGAGTTCATCGTGGATGGCCGGGCATTGCCAGCTCCGTGGTCGGCATTCTGAGTGACCACGGGTACGGCTTGCTACGTATCTTGTTCTGGTACACACGAGTCAGCACGGCATGCTCATAGAATAGGTATCACCATTCCACGCACGTTGCTTCGTAGACTCCATTTAGAACCAGGCTTTCCTCTTCAGTCCGTCGTCGATGGTGCTGCGTGCACGCCGAATGCGGTATCGAGGATGCTCCATTGGTCGGACAATAGCGATGTTGATCATTGCGACTTGAGTTAACTTGAGTACGTTCTGTACGTATGCCGGAAGGGGCTGGCGACGACATTTGTGATCTTCAAGGTCGTGAATGGGCGGGCATCAACAGCTTCATGATCCCTATCGCAGGTGCGTTGTACGTTTCGGTGCGCATCCTGTTTCTGTCCACATGGGTTAGTTTGCACGTAGCGCAACATTCATCAGTACTAAAACGTACGTCGCCGCGTAGACCCCATAAGGAGCCAGGCTTGCCTCTTCAAGAGTCGTTAAGAATGCCGAATACGGTATCGACGATGCTCCAATAGCTGGACAATTGGCCGCAAGTAGAAAGAGGTATCATTGCCGCATGACGCGATAAGGTGGATCATGACGCGGTCACGGGGTCGCGGTACAACGCGCAGGTGGCTGACTGGCGACCATCGCTGCCATCACACGGCCGGGGTCCAGAGCGACAATGGCCTCCATGTCGCGAGCTCAAGTTTGTGCACCATTTGATGGACATGCCAAGATGCGGCATTTTGGAATTGAGAGCTACCTATCGCAGTAGATGTTCGTACAACAGAGAACTATGACCAGAGAACCAGAGACGACGAAGGAGAACAGTCCGAAATACCAATCGCATCAGTACCCAAGATCCTGCTGATCCATGACGATCAGGGCATTATCGTTAACCTCGGTGAGGTTGGCCGCCATGTCTATCGTGCCCACACACCCACACGTCTTCAAGTGCCTCCCGAGCGAGTCGCGACGACTGAAGCCCCTGCGGCACCCGCCGACCATCCGCCAGCCACGCCACCAGTAGGTCTGGCCGACCTTCTTGATACCGTACTGCTCCGCGGAATCGACAGGCACACCGCAGCACACCCAACGCTGCTGGTTCTCGTTCGAGCGGTGTGTCTCCAGGTGCCGCCGAATGTCCGACTTCCGCCGCGCGGAAGGCGGCATGTACTTGCACCCGGGGACGGGGCACCGGAAGGCGCCGTCGGTGTAGGTAAACGAGGTATTAGCGGGGTCCAGAGAAGATTGGACGTTGCGCGGCGTGCCGGGGAGAACGAAGTCCTGGAAGGTCTCGCCGGATAGGGAGGACGCGCGGTTTCGAGACGGGGAGTCGTGGCGCACGCGGGGTGAGGGGGAGGGATAAGGAGAGTGTCGGTTCTTGTTGCGCTTGGGAAAGCGCGAAGGGGCAACCGTAGCACCTACTGAGCGGAACACCCTGCCTAGCACGGACTGCTCAACGACTGGGGACGGCACTGGGCTGTCGGCGGCGGGAACAGAGTGGTGGCTGTCGAGGCCGTCCGGCTGAACGGGTTCCTCCGCGTCCGACTCTGGGTAGCATAGAGAAGGTACCGGGCTGCACGTGAAGGGTGAGTTGCACGTCGATGCCGCTGGGCTGGCAGCTTGAACGGGTTCCTCGGAGCGCAGGGACTCTGGGTAGCATAGGGAGGGCACCGGACTGACGTATTGTACGTTCAAGGAGCCCATGGATGGTGCGGGGCTGGTGGGGTGCATGGACCCCTCTGAGGGAAGTGACTCTGGGTAGCAGAGGGAGGGAAGTGGGCTACGGAACGCGTCCACCGCGTTCATGGATGTTGTTGGGCTGCTAGATTGGTGCCGAGATGAGTTGGCTGAGGAGGAGGGGTAGCAGAGGGACGGGATTGGGCTGAACGCGTGAACGCTACGCGGAACCGATGGGGGGCTGGTGGTCGCCGACGGCGCGCTCGCGTTCGGCGCCGGGCCTACCGTGGAGACCTCGGTGGGTGCGGGCTCGTCGATGGCCGACTCGACGATGTGGAGGAAGAAATCGGGACTTGCGAGGTATGCACCGATTTCTTGCAAGGCCTTCTCAGCCTCTTCTAGACCAGCCAAAGATGTGCTCGAGAACAGGGTCGCGCTGGGATCGTCGGCGAGGAACTCGGTGTCACTGCAGACGAGGAATTCACAATGAGGGAGAGAGTCAAGTGCAATAGACGACGTACAAGTTGAATAGTGAAGGCGAATCAAAGCTCAGGCCGAGCATGTCGAGGCTGGAGGGGAACATCTGAGGAAGTGTGAGCCATCACACGATGCTATGCATGTGAGGCTACGTACCTGAGTTGGGTCGAAGAGGCTCTCGGTGGAGGATGCATCGAAGTCCGAAGAGTCGACGAGCGGTGTGAGTGTAAGAGACGCAGCCGCCACGAAGTCAGACGCGTCCGGGAGCTGAGTGGACTGGGTGCGGAGGGGCTGCATGATGTAGGGGAGGAGGGGGACAAAGAGGGCGAGGAGGACGCGCGGGACGCAGTTGGTACGAAGACCTAGACTGCATTGTACGCGTCTGAGGGGAGCCTTTTATACGTCCGGCGCAGAGAGACATGGCAAGTGCGCACACAGACCGAATGCGTACCATATATGGCTCTACCCCGTCGTACATTCACCATGCAGCTCTGAGTGACGATCGAAAAGGCGACTAGCGGGATCTCAGCTGCACTCGGAGACGGCCTTCCCCTTCCGGGCAGTCTTCTTGCCTCGTTGCAGCTTCATATCGGCCCTCCCGCTCGTCACGCCCCTCGCTTGGCGCCGCCCACGTTCTGCGCGTGTGTCCATCGATGAGTGGCGATATCTGCTCTGCGGCCGGACCGCGGGGGCCAACGAGGTCGGTGTCGTCTGCGGTGGTGGTCGCTGTGTGGAGGTGTCGGCGGGAGTGGCGACCAGGAGGGGTCGAGGGAGAAGGAGGACAGCAGCGCACGAGGCACCCATCAGCCGGGGTGCAAGGAACGGAGACGGCCGCGATCGCTGTGCCGAGGTCACGCATTGATCGGTGGCAGCGATCTGTGAAGAAAGCAGCTGCATGGTGATTACAGGCGGGGTCGCCAATTTGGAAGGCGGCGGAGGCAGATCACAGTCGACGGCAGCCTGAATAGGTTATGACATCACCTCTTTTGACTCTGTACTCGCTGATGGGGCTGCAAGGAGATAAGAAGTCACGAATTCAAATGCTACAAGTCTAATAGCGTCCACGTCGCCACAATTTTCATTCAGAAGAACAAGTAACAACAGCACAGGCAGGCAATAAATAGCGCGCAACTCCAACCCAACGATCGCGAGCTCCCGCGCGTGTACTCCCAGAAAGCTACAGTAGAATATGCACTGGCACGCCTGTGTGAGAGTATTTGCGCACGGGCGACGAAAGACAACAAGCTGAAGGAAGCAGTCATAAAGAGGCAGGCATACGTAAGAAGCGAGGAATAGGAAAAACCGTAAATTATCGCGGGCGATTGGATAAACAGAGGAGACTTGACGAAAGCGTAACACGTACTCGGTACGGACAGAGAGATCGGTGGGGGACAAGCGGGACGACACTGCGACGGCGGGAATCTAGCCGGATCAACCAAGCAAGGACGGATGGACCAGGTCCAAGGGTATACAAGCAGTCGGTGAAGCGAGGGGAGGGGTGAGGGGGTGTGTGGGGCATTTGCAACGATAGACACTGAAGAGCGTCGGGCGCGTGCAGGTTTCGGAGCGCAGAGTTCGTACACTTATCGCGGTCACATTCTACAGATACACCTCGCGCGGTCGGGACGCGTCGGGGAGACGGCATTAGCATGGCGACTTAAGGCCGCGGCACCGGCGGCGGCTCACTTCTATCGAAGTTGAGCGGGTACGACGACAGGTCGCTCGTCAGCGCGAGCGTGTCCAGGCTGGCTCGTGTCCGGCCCATGAATGACGACGGGGCGGAGCCTGCAGACGCAGCATCGGATGTGCCCGAGTCGATCTGGAAGGGGAACGACCCAAGCCCGTTGGTCATCGTCGATGACTGCGACGCAACAGACATTGCACGCGTCTTCACTCTCGGAGGCGGAGACAGCGAAGTCGGTGGTACGCTGAGACTCTCGCGCGGAGGCGCGTCACGGGGAGGGGGAGACTTCGGCGGCTCGGGCACTGGAGAGGGCGTCGCATTCCGTGAGTTGTCTGCGAACGACTGCTGCGCAAGAGGGGAACGGGGCGGCGTGCGGATGGGCCGGTTGGAGATCGGCGAGGGTGGCACGAAGGGGAAGCTCTCTAGAATCGAGTCTGCCCGCGTCGACGTAGACGACAATACGGAGGACATCGATATCCGCGTGTTCAAGCTCGGGACTTCCATCTGCTGCATCGCGTCCTGCTGCTGGCGCTCCAGGGCGCCAGTTGGCCCAGCGCTCGCAGACGGCGACGTGTTGACGAGTTTAGCGCTAGTCATCCTGTACGCACTGCGCGGCGAGTGTAGCACACCACTCGAGGCTGTATGCGGCATTGGTTCGCCAGCTGAAGGAAGCGGGTTGGGACGGAGATGGCCCAGGCCAAGGTGCACGCGAGTCGCGCCACCGATTTCAGCGCCAATTACGGATCCAATGACGGAGGCTGCCTGAGTGTACGTGCTCAACGGACGGTGCTCCTGGGTGTCGTCCTGCGAGTGCGAGGAAGGCGAGCCGAACGTCGTCTGCGAGGGAGCGGGCGACCCCTGACCATTATCGGAGTTGTAAGGCGAGTGCTCGTCTCCGAAGGGGTTGTTGCCATAGGCGGTGACTTCATGGCCGTCCTCTGGCGCCTCGTGCAATACGTCTGAGGGACCGAAGGACACTGCCAGCGGAGAACGCATGGGCGGGCGGTTGCTCGCCTGGGGAGGGCGCAAGCTGTCCTTGGAAGGCGAGTTTCCGGGTGACGTACGAATGACCTCAGCCTTCACCACACCGACGACACGCGTCGGCCGCACGATGACAGGTGCCTCGGTGAGCAGGTCGCTCGCGTAGCTGCCCGTAGACAAGTACGACGCACGGTTGGAAAGACCCGTGCGCTGCGATTGCTCGTCCGACGGCTTCAGGGCTGCGTCGTGAGAGACTTCGATGCCTTTGACGCCGATGTCGAGGCTGGGATCGCGGTCCGGTCGCAGAGGAGCCAGTCGCGATGTAACTGTCGAGCCTGCCGTCGCTGCTGTCGACTGTGCGTTGGTATGTGGCGAAGGCGGCACAAACGTTGCGGGCGGGACCAGAGCAATCGGGATGACGTTCGACCGCGTGCCAGTGGAAGTCGTCTGGATTGAGTGGCTGTCGTTGAATGGATTGACCTGAGCAGAGTCGCGGTCGTGACCATCGAGGGCACGCGTTGTGGAACCGCCTTGGGAAGCGGGGTCGAGGTTGATGGTACCCACAGACGTGCCAGTGTAGATCCTCACCAAGGACGGCAACTCGGGCTCCGGCCCCTTCTCGTTCGGGTCCGGGCGATTGAGCACATCCTCGGCGCGTGCGGGCGCGTCAGACTTGCCTTCCGCGCCGCCCTCCGCCGTCTGTCGCTGGCGTAGGCGCCGACGGTAGAACCAGAAGGCGCCCAGGACCAATACGAGGAAGATGAGAGAGGCAATAACAGCACCGGCAACGGCACCTCCGCTCACTCCTCCCGAGCTAGACGAATTCGACTGCGGCGCTACGCACTGGTACGACGGGCATGCATCGCAGCTCCTGTGAAAGCGATGAGTGTCTTAGTCCAAGCCACAACAGCCAGCAGAAGACCGCCATGAGTTTCCAGTCAAGAGACAATCATGTCCTAAAATCCATCACCGCTCTGCTGAGCAGCACTCAGGTGCAGATCCCTCAACCTGACCTTACCGAGCCGTCGACTACCAATCCATCATTGTCCCAGGCACGCCACCCTCCTGGCATCCTTGGTCACGCAAGTCCCCTTCTCTCCGTTCTCCGCTACTGCCGGGCCGTCCAACGAGACAAAAGACCGAGAACGACCGGACTCATGGCGATGTTCACAGGCAAGAGCACCCGGAAGGAACACTCACAACGCGATGAAGACACACTGATCCTGAGAGGTGCATTGGCAACTAGGAGGAGCGCTTGGGCATTGGACGCAGCGCGCCGCGAGCTCGCGGTGCATGAGAATGTGGTGGGCCATGGTGACGGGTGTAGAGGAACGCGAAAGAGAGTAAAGGAGCGTATGGGTGAGACGGGGACGGGAACCGAAGAGGAGGGAGAGCCAGTGCGCCCTGCGATGGCCAGCACGTTGGGAGCGGTGAAGACAGTCAGAACGACGGCGCCGGCGTCCTCAACGATGGCAGAGAGACAAGCACTGCGGACGGGATGGTCACATATAAAAGGCAAGTTGCTGCGTCTGCATCACGCGCCTGTTGCCTCTTGTCCCACGCGGCAGAGCCTCGGCCCCTCCAGCGCCCGTCCAAGACGCTGGGCGTTCCCAACCCACCACCTGCTGCAGATGCACACGCGGAAACAGTTTCAGATACACTACACAACAGGTGCTATACAGCTGGTTGAACATCTACGCTACACGGGAGCGTCCGTTGAGGGTGGTCCGTTGAAGGCTCCGGCTATGCATCCGTGACGAAAAATCTACGCGCGAGCAGTCGGACGAGGCTGTGAGGTTGAGCTCGGACGTGCGATACGGTCCACAAGGTCCGCCACTCAGTGGCTATAATCATATCTGAGTGATACAGGTCAGCCAGTTGCGACTCGGGCGCATCTGCATATGGACGTACTTCCTGTAGAATGTTTCCGAATCGGTGGGCACCTGCCGGATGCGACGTAAATATTAAATGACCATAGGTAGTGCACTGCGGCCAGGTCCTTTACACGCACCTCGTCCACTTTGGCCCCCCGCTTCTTGCGCCCCTGCTTCTCAAGCTCGCGCCTGAGTTCCCGGTCTTCCCTGAGCCACTGCAGAGCCAGTGCATACAGCGTTGGCTTCGGGCCCAGGTCGACCGACACGACTTTTGACACAATATCGGGCGCAATGGGCCAGGGCGTAGGTTGTGATAAGAAAGTCCCTAGGTGCATATGTGCGACATGCGTGGGGAATTCGTTCAAGCCATCGAAAATGTGGGTGGCATCTACATGAATGCTTCGTCGTGAAAGTCGTACGTGCGAGATAGTAGATGCCTACTCACAAAGGATCGTCGCTCCCCTGTTTAAGCTATCAGTCTTGAGGAAGCTGAGCAAGTCATCTCGAACCAGAACATCGAGATCCACCGTGACCTGTGCAGACACCGGTTAGTGGCGCAGCTACACGGCAAAATCAACAGTGATGCGGGGTACCTCATCTAACAGGAGAACATCCCAATCTGACATGAGGCCCATGACCAACTGAACTCTGCGCCGCTCGCCGTCCGAAATGGCATGCATATGCCAGTCCAGGTCGACATCGAGGATGTCGAGCAATCGATCACGGCGCTCCTTGTGGCGATATCCGCCGACAGAATTCAGAAAGTCTGACACCACGATGTCTCCACGAACAACAGGATTCATCGCCCTGTACAACAGGGATGTGTCAGCGGGACAAAAGACGTTCTGAATCTGTGTTGTTCGTCTCGGTACGACGACTTACCATTCGGTCCCAAGGAAAGTGACGCCAGGTGGAGAGTTGCGAAAGACGTCCCTATCCTTGATGTGAACGTGGGTGCCCTCGTTGAGGATGAGTCGCTTGCCGGCCAGAATCTGCAATAGAGTTGATTTCCCGGCTTCGGACCGTTCATCGGCAGCGGTCATCGCATGGAGGAGGAATCTCACTTACCACCGTTAGCTCCTACTAGAATCGTACGCGATCCTTTCGGTAGCTCGATAGATATATCAACAAGAGAAGGCGGTGTAGACGGCGAGTGGCTGTACGTCAGCCGTTCGACAGATATTTCGTACTGGGGCTCAGCCATGGTGAGGTTTCAGTCGCGAAACTCCACTCTTGCAAGGCTGGAAATAGGTGTTCATCTGTGTTGTATCACTATGCTGATATCCCCACTTACAGTACTATATCTGGTGCTGTAGGGTTAGCAAACAGCTTGAAGGCCCGAATCCTGAATCGACGATGACGTCCAGATCCAACAGCGGTTGTTTGCGCCTGTTAGGATCGGAAGCAACCGCCTTCCCTTTCGGGATGCACCACTTCGCCGCTGCCCGGGCTGGATAGGTATGAAACGGTTCGAACGTTGTCCAAGGCGCATTTGAGGATGACCCAATCGTATCACGATTGCAGGTGCGGAAATAGCTAGCAACGCATCGGCACCTGAGGAGCTATTGATACAACAGGCAATCGGCACCGGTGTGAACTAGTCTCCCATAGGCAGACCGCAAATACGACCTTTTTGGAGGGGAGGAGGACGGTCGTATTAGGGTCTGCTTCGAAACGCGCCCTCCATACTGGCCAAGCCCCTTGAGGACCCATTCTGTGATGGCCGGACGATGCCAGTGGCTGCGGCACGGCACGGCAAGAATGCCGGTGGCTGATCCCAGATCCATCTCAGATATTATCGGTCGCACTGTCACGGTAGTGTATGAGGCAGACTGCACATTAAATATGATATGATTTCTCGCTCTACGTCTACACTCAGTTCACGGCGAAACACAAGATGCACCGAAATCCTTCCCATGATCATAATTTCCCAACCTACAGCCCACCTCCCCCTCCGGCACAAGGCTGGTACAGCCCTATTATGACTTCACCACCACCCGCGTACGCGCACGGTGTTCATGGTGTCCCCCACGAACTGACACCGGTAGCCACAATATCAGCCTACTCTCCAGGACCATACATACCCATGATGCGTCCTGTCAATTGGCAGACTCCTCCGCCGGTATATCCGGCGTTTGCGCCACCGAGGGTATCGCAGACACCTGTAGTATGCGTACAACCCAAACCGACTCATGCGGAAGAGCCAGCGCATGTCGTAGCGTGCATTAGAACGGCGAATGAGGTGACACTCACCCTCGTGCAGGCCCGAGAAGCGGCAGACCGAGTCCATCTGAGGACCGGTGCAGATCGTCGCAGTTAACGCGATGATGACCGGAGTGTGCACGAACGTGGCCGATGTTTTTGAATGACGTGCGAAACTGGTTGCCCCAGCTGCAGAGTAGGTGCGCCTCGTCGACGTTGAGCGCCATGAGACGACCGGTGAACGTCTTGTCATTGACCAGACCTCGGAATCCCGACGTAGATAGCTGCTCCGGGGAGAGCAGGATAACAGCCGTGTTCGATCGCGCCCTTTGCCAAGGGTCAGTGTTCACGCCTTTCGCTCGAGTGGTGTCGGCATTGATGACCACAGTTGTAAGGCCGGTGGCCTCGAACTTGGACTGCTGTTCTGATCTGAGCCATGATTTCCGCAGAGGAGTGTAGTGCCACTCACCATATCTTACTCAAGAGCCTTCGTCGGGCAGACCACAACCATACACGGGTCCGCTCTGAAGCGACTACGCAGCTCCTTCGGACACAGCTCCCGGTCCTTCGCTAAGGCTTGAGCTACAAGCATGTAAATCAAGAGAAATCCGGTTTTCCCTGATCCAGTTGGTGTGATTGCGAGCACGTCGACGCCGTCGAGTGCTTTACAAGCACCTTCGAGCTGGTAGTCGTGGGGGTCCCATGGTAGAGTTTTCGAGGTGATGTCGCGGCAAAAAGCGATCCCTCCAGGGGAGCTGAACGAGGTGAATGAGTGTGTATAAGCCCCGTCAGACACGGGGCTCTGCATTGATTGGAGTCGGCTACGGTACATGCAATGAAGAGCTCAAGAGAGGGAAGCAGCAAGCAAATGAGGAGCGCGACGCGTCCGACGCGTCGCGCGCGAGAGATCTGAACGCGTGTTTCGGAGATGGACCTGCTTACGTAACTCCGCCAAAGGCGTTGGCCAGTGTTTGCCAGGGATATTGAGACAGACTACTAGTGACTACGGGCAACGCGCCCAAGGAAAACGTCCACGGCACGTGATTCAAATCGCAAGAATACGCGGTCACGCAGTCGTGTTATGTGCCCAATTTACCCTCCGCACCAGCTACAGAGAAGCAGAAGCCACCAAAATATTTGTAGAGCTACGTGAGCATGTATATACTGTATGTACACAATGATACTGTTGTATGATGATTGGATCAAGCACAGAATACGATGTAAGTGAGGATTATATGCAATGGTGAGGGTATAGACTATCTACAGAGAAGATTAGCACGCCGCCGTATATTCATATGAGGTCTGTGAGGTATGTTCATGATGGTACAGTATGTTCAGGTATTCCTGAGGCTGTCGCACTGAGTTCCCGTGCGGTTTCCGGAGGCAGACCGCTAAGGATGTCGATCAGTCCCTTGAGTGCATCAGCCTTCTTCGCAGAAGAAAGACCAGCCGGAACGTGGACTTTCCTTGCGCGAAGCCAAGCAAGCTGAAGCCGTATCCTATCAAGAGTAATACTCTTGGCATTATCAGCACTTTCCCAGTATCCCGGCATAAGTTGAACGTCGATGGAATCGACCTTGGTATGGTACTCATCATGCTTGGCTTTCTTCCGTTCACGATCGGCCTCCTCCTCCCTGGCTTTGCGCTTCAGCTCTTCAGCCCGGGTAACCCTACCCAGTTTCTATGGTGAGTCGTGTCCGAGATTACGGTGGAGCTCGGTCCTCTATCGACTAGCGCTGCCTTCAATTGGACGACTTTTGCCTATACAAAACACATCCATGAGACTGCGATTGTTCTCGAGAGCGAAGGAACGCACCTGGAGCTTATCCCTTCCTTTTCTAGCCCTCTCAATCTGTCTCCCGAGGTTCCAAATCTTCCTGCGCAATTCTTCGAATGCTGCTTCGAGACCAAGTTTTGTCGGCACCACGGCGCCAGACGAAGACGGCACTGGTGACTCCCGGTCCGCGAAATATGGTGGCTGCGCCGCTACAAGACATGCCCCATTGCAGCCTTTACTATGTGAATGAGTGCGCAGTGATGTACGATGGTGCTCACGAGAATGGTAGCCAGCAGCTGCTAGCTGAGTGCCGAGGGGCTGGATCTGCTGAAAGATGGCCTTCTGAGCCTTACTGCGAGGTTTCGAGCCAAACCCATGATTACGAGGCATTCAGTAGCATATGGAGGTATCAGAGTAAGAGCAGTCGAGAGGCACAGCACACGAGAACGCGTCTGCTGAAGGGTAATGAAAGACGAAGCGCAGACACAGACGCGTCGCGACGCGCTCTCGACGCGCGCGCCTTGCTTACATAATGCAGTCCGTGCCCGCGCGAGGCTCGTCGCTGAGGAACACTTTCCCTTCGATGCCGTGGCTCAAATATTCGTCAATGTACATGTAAAATCATCTTAAATCGGGTTCAAGAGAATGTTCCGGACAGAATATTTTTAATCATTTGTTCTCATGGGCTTCTTGTAACACAGCACTAAGGAAGCTTCACGCCCAATGTATCCGGAACATTCTTGAGTACTCGATTTTAGATGAATATCCATCAATGAATCAGAATATTTGAACGAGTGTTGTATCGTCCAGATGTTCCGCAAGTCTTGCCCACCTCTTTCGGCGGCTAAGGCTCTTCAGCGCGGACACGGAAGTTGCCGAACATGCGGGGCATTGCCCCTACTCATAGTCAGACTAGGTGTGAACAGCCCGTGACGCCAGCCTGCTCGACTCGACTCGCCGGTCGCTTCGAGCTTGCAATTCATTGGGATAAGGAATAATAAAGAAAAAACTGCTCGCTCAAATTGTGATATCAATAAAAACCTGCAGTGTAGGTGCATTTCAAGTCAGCGGGTGCCTACGTCGCTCATCGCATGAACTAGGTCAGAGGCAAGGCCAGCAGTCAAACTACAAGACTTACCATTTTCGGAAGCGAATGAGAAATTCCACGCGACCGAGGGTTCGCGCGCCTCCGCTCGTAGCCCAAGCCTGCGCTCCCGCGCGATTATCCTTGCTGAGTCTCTTCACCATGCCGCCTGACGACCCAGAAGTCATCGATCTCACGAAGTCTAGCCCCGCACAAAACATCATCGAGTTGGATTCTGATGGCGAGATTATGAATGGTGACGCGAAGCCTTCATCTACTGCCAACGGTAAGGCAGGGAACCGGAAACGCAAGAAGCCTCGTAGGCGGAAGACGAAGGTAGTTGAGGAAGGAGAGGTCACGCAGAGCTCTGTAGAGGCGTCGAGAGAGCAGTCGCCGGAGAGAGTGAACGGAGGGGGAGCGGGTGGGGGTGGTTCGTCTGGTGCGTCCAGAGAAGCAGGCGCGAAGGCTGCCGGGGCCAAGTCTCTCTTCCATCGGCTCACGAGCCCTGGGGCCGGAAGCTCTGAGGCTCGTGACCGATATGAGCGAGATGAGGACGGTCCCAGAGAGAAGGACAAGCAGAAGAAGCGGAGGGATCGCAGGTCTCCCCCTCCCGAGCGCGACAGCAGGCGGCGTTCGCGTTCTCCAGACCGACTACGAAACCCCAGACATGTACTGCCCCAAGACGATCCGACCCGTCAGAATGGCGATTCTGTCGGCAGACGTCGTCCACGCACTCTTGACCGTTCTGGCCATGATAACAAAGCTTCGACTGGAGACAGCGTCGGCGACCTGTTCTTCGAAGATGTGGTACGCGCAGATATCCCTGCTGCGGCGAAGATACAACAGAAAGACGAGCAACCTACCGAGGATCTGCTCCTTCCCGCACACGTCTCTGTCTTCGATCAGGAAGGCGTCGATTCCGCACCGATTGTCTCGCCTCCCTCTTCTGACAGTGAGGACGAGAGTTACATCGAGTACTTGGACTACGACGATGACCGCAAGGTACGTCTGCTATCCGCGCATCATACCATTTGCTAAGTCATTCAGGCTCCGGGCATGGTACGATACTTCGAGACTGTTGAGGAAGGTGACAAGCCCGCGAAACCCAAGACTCTTGTCTGTAAGAATTGTGGCGCCGAAGGCGAACATCGAACGTATGAGTGCCCCGTAATTATTGTCAGTACATCTTTATGCCCTTGGGCTGCCTGCAGTTCCGTCGTTGACACGCTGCGTGACCGCAGTGCTTGACATGTGGTGCCCGAGATGAACACCCAACACGGAGTTGTCCCATCAGCAAGATATGTTTCAATTGTGGTATGAAGGGGCATATTAGCAAGGTCCGAGTGTCGTCCGTCTTGGTGGTCTATTTTAACTGACGGCGGAGCGCTCAATAGGCTTGTCCCAACCGCCACGCAGGGCCCAGCCGCTATGATTGCGATAGGTGTGGTTCTCGTAAACATAACACAAACGTCAGAACTACCTGCCTACCTATATGGCAATCGATCTGATGCATCTTTTGACAGGAATGCCCAACCCTTTGGCGTCTATACGACTATGTCGACGATGCGGAGCGGCAAGTCATTATACAGACCCGTAAAGAGAAGCGCAAACTTGCACTCGGTCAGGGTGGCGAGGGCTACATCGCCACCGACGAGTGGTGTTACAATTGTGGCGATTCTGGGCATTGGGGCGATGTACGTTCGTCACACTAATCCTCGTCTTTGCTGCTGTTTACCCCTCCATGCAGGAGTGTCGCGAGGTTCCGCACGTCGTTGACCGTCCCGACGAGCCCTCTGCGTTTACCATCTACAACATCCTCACCGGGCCATTCGCCGACCCCGACGCACGTCCACCCACAAAATCGAGTACTAAGCGTCCGCCGCGAAACTGGGAAGTCGCTAGCACCTTCGCCGATGGATATGGGGCCGAAATGCCCATGGACGTCGGCAAGCAAGGCCGGCGAAAGGAACGCACGAGGATGGAACGGCGTGCGCGAGAGTATGAAGACAAGCAAGACGACCCCGACGACTGGTTCGGCCGCCGGGCGAAAGGAAAAGATAAGGACAGAGAGCCACGGAACGGCGGTGGAGGGGGCAAGAAGGTCCACATCACCTTCTCGAACGCATTTGCGGACGCAATGCGTAATCGCAACGACCGGAGAGGCAACGAGCGCGAGCGACGGGCCTACGACGACGACCTTCCTGGCCCCTCTCGCGAAACGGACTCGATCAATATTCGCGGTGCTGCACGACGTGACGAGCGTGGTGATGGGCGATACGCAAGTATTCGAGCGGGGGACCGGGGTAGAAGGGATTCGGGTAGACGAGATGACCGAGGGCCACGGTATAAGGGTGGTTATGTACGCTGAAGCATTGTTCTCTACGAAGTGCAAACTGTCTTGTTCTCGAGCTTTGTACTGTATCAAACATCTGCAAGTATCTGTATAATATTTCGCGCTATCACTTCGTTCAAGAGCATGTTATGTGAATAAAGCACTCGATATTCACCACAGTGCATCTGACATCTAGACAGTCACACAAGCCGCGAAAAAATTGGGAAGTACAAGTACAATTTATCTCCCCAACACACAATCCATCCAATGCAGATGATCCATTATCCATTTGCCATGTCCTTTTACTGCCCAACTGAGCAGTGCGAGAGACGCAACAAAAAGACAAGGAAGATCCCCCGACGACACAAGCCAGTACTGCAGCGGCAAGGTCATCGCGTCCCCAGGTTGCAAGCAGAGCCTGAAGACAAGGGCGGCAAAAATTAGATAACCAATAATGGAGGCGGTGCCTCCATAATAGTGGTTAAACTATTAAGAACAGATACTACACTTGATCTAAGCCAAAAGGCCAGAGTGGTGAGGAAGCACAATGTCGCCAACGAGCTTATATACGGGCGCGCGGACGGCGCACGGACCATGCGGAGTGTTTGGCTCTTGACCGGGTGCCAAACAGCCCATCACGAACGATCGGCTACGGGGATCGGGCGATCCCACCAATGGTGATTTTCAATAGATAAACGGCGACGTTGGCTGACATCCTGACCGAGACGCACGTACGATCATACACTGTATAATCAAAAACATACTGACATTCCTATCCGACAATATTTACGAGGCAATAAATACAGTACACTGGACGAGCGAGAGCAGCAGGCAGACTAGCTACATTCTATGACGATAGTTCGGGACGGAACGTGAGGAGCAACCGTGGGGTGCGGTGCTTTTACAACAAGTACAACGATCAAAGGGCAAAATATCCGTGTGGAGCATACGCACACGCACCACAACAGCCTACCACAAGCCGAATGAGTGTGAGGTCGACGCAATGGGATTGAATCCGCAGCTGTCGGTAGGGTAATCGGGGCTCGAGAGCGTGGGGAATACTTGCGGGTTGTCCAAGCCAGTGCTTCGATACTGATATCCAGGATATGGAGGTGTGGTAATGAAACTGAGCCCAGTGTCGAGCCCGAGTAGGCGTCCCAAATTGTCGAAGCTCTCCGCGGGCTCCTTGTTAAACGAAGAGGAAGACGAGGGATGCTCCGTCATTTTCTTCACCCCGTGGCCCGCATGCTCGTCCTCGGAGAAGACCTCTTGAGCAGAGCGCTTATGTCTGATAGTCGTCGTGGACACTGGGGAGGACACTGGTGTTGGCTTCGGAAGCGAGATGACTTTGTCCAACAAGTCATGCACAGAACGCGCTACCGGCCATATTTTCTGCGGAAACAATGAGATATGCGCCGCGGCGTGCGGTCGTGGACTCACCTCGACATGCTGCAAAGTAGCTAGGGATCCATGAAGCCTTATATTCGCTTGGTGGTCGTCATGAATGATACTCACTGAACAACATGTGAGCACTCCGCAACCATACGTCCGCCACCACTTACATATCAATATATCGGTGATGCTGGACGTTCAAGGAGCTGGTAAGCCTCAAAAGACAGCAAGAAAGATATGAAAATTACCCGGAAGACAGGATATAACCCGGTAAGAACGGAGACCCGGGCTCCGGCACCTGGTTGCACAGCATAGACGCTAACAAGGCAGGCTGTCAGACGGGACTTGCATGAAGCGTTGGTACACACCTAGGGCAGACAACTGGGTCGAAGCATCCCGGCAAAGAGCAAGCGCCTTCGATCGAATACTATCAAGGCTGGAGTAGAAGTCTTTGACCAGAGGCGCTTGTACGCTGTGCATCGAAGTCAGTGCGACTACATGAGTACGTTCAAAAAGGCTATGCATACAATGAGCGATATAACAATATCACCGTCCACCAATAACGAATGTGCAACTCAAGCACGCATGCCGGTGGGAGAGTATTCAGCGCCTGAACTTGCACTTGGGCCGGTAACGTTTGCTGCCAATGGGAGAGTTGGTGTTCCAACCGCTTCGCGCGGAGCTCCAGAACAGCATCTGTCGGGCGCGAGATGGCATACAGCTGATCTATGACAGCGCCGATAATGACCGCTGACACCAGACACGATGTCAGTCTCAAATCCGGGCGGACGCCACAACAGAACTACGACATACCCAGCGCGCGCGAAGCATTGAAACACGTCAGAATAATCGAGTTTCCCACCCGACTTGACCCAAGGCCGAGATCGGTTTGAAGGTGCAAAGCATTATCCTACGTGTCATGGCGTCATACATTAGCGTAGATCCCAACGCCACACGGGACCGAACATCCTCACCTGACTAATGGCTATGGGTGGAACGTCGCAGTCTGCTGGGTCGATCATAGTTGGTCGCCCTAGTGGTAGTGGTGAAACAGGGTTAATGTGACGTCTGATGCAGACGAGACATTCCATACCCAGAAGAACGGAGAGATGTCTGTAGCAATGGAGATCAGACTATGCTTAAATAGACTAGCGTGTGGCGGACCAACCTGTCGGCGATTATGCACCCGGCCCAAACTTGCTGCCGCGCCACACGTTCCTCTTCAGAAGTGAGGCCAGAGGAGATGAGCCCCTGAGTGTCCCTATGCAGACCGAGGCCTTGGGCCTATCAGAGGTTAGTAATTACGTATCTTTTGAAACGACACTGACTGCTCACCATACGAATGGCTAGACCTTTCCTGCGAGTGAGTACGCAGTTTCAAGCCGTTAGTCAGAAGGAACTCGCCTGTGTGCATCCAACCGGCCTCCAAGCAACCTGAGCGCAGGGGTAATTTCGCGTGAATGCAACGATCATCAGAACTAAAGGAGTACATACCGATTCCAACGTTACGATAGGCGAGCAGTAGCCAGGCTTGACACAGAAATGTATGTGCTCGCCCGCGCAAGGAGGCTGTAGCCACGTGAGACAGAGGGACAATGCACGGTGTACGAACGTACATAGCAGTCTCTCGGCCTCCGCAACGTAGTCAAGACCATCCGTGAAGGTGTTGATGAATCGGTATGAGAGCGCGAACATCGATAGCAAGAGAACATCAAACGACGCCTGGTCAAGATTCGAGTGAAGGGGTACTTGAACACCACTGCAGACGAACGTCAGTATCACCAATCATACTACTGGAGGTCGCTACGAACTTGCTCAATCTGGTCGCAGCGTGTCAGTCAAGCTCGACGAGCGGAAGATCCGGCACTCACTTCTGATGATACAGCCGCAGGAACTGTCCTTTATTTACAACGGGGAACGCGGGGTACACGTGTTCAAAGAAGGCGCGTACAAGCTCATGTTGATGTTGTTCCGGAGGAAGTCGCATCGCCTTCGACGTGGGGAGCGGGCCCGCCGCTCTCTCCGCATCCGTCGATGGCCATGGACAGTCGCTGCGGTCATGATAAGTCCCCGAGCCAAGGACATAGGAATAAGTGCCGAATAGAGATCCCACATACAATGATTTTTCTTCTCCACCGCCTGTCAGGACTTTGCGACACTGGTTGAGGATTTGCAAACCACTGACCCGGTTGGCTATGCGGAGCTACATAATCAACAGTTAGCAGGGAGTAGAATGATCGATATTTCCACCTACCTGCGCGTCGCCATCGATGTAGACATCCTCCACACGAGCTGGCACCTTGAGCTCGGACTCGTCGGAGGATGTAGACTCAGCTGACCGCAAATGCGTTAGATGCTGTACTTTCAGCAACGGACGGCACGACGCACTGTCAATCTTCTCCAAGCCTTCAATATTATCCCACAGGACACGCTCCGCAGGCGAGACCGTAGGGAACGTCGTCAATGACGATAGCGAGTTCATGGGAGAGACTGCTGGAACTCTCCATGGAGAAGAAACACGGTTCGACATCAGGGGAAACGATGCACGTCTGGTTCGATGGTCCGGCGACCCATTACCCGGAGGCGGCACATCCACGGCAGCCTGAGGGAAGACCGTCCCGGGAGCTCCAGGCAGGAGGCGCTGCAGACTGTCCTGCCAGGTGCTACTGGGACTTACCAGAGCAAGGTTATCTAATGTTAGACACCGGTTAACACAGCATTCTTACCATCGCAAGTTAGAACGTAAGGAGCTGCGTACCGAAGCGTGGAGAGGCTCCATCAGCTTTGGGCGCTTCTTGGACCTCCTCGCCTGCTCCAGTCATAATGGATGCTAGGAAGTCTTCCTTCGTAGATCCAAATCTGTTATCGACACGTTCAGTGATATCACGCATGAGGTCGCCGAGCGCTACTGACGGGTGAGCGACGCGGCCCTTCGGGCCAAACGGACCAACGTCTACTCGTTGAATTATCTGTCTCGCCAGCTCATCTTGAGACAGGTCCTGGATGAGGCCTCTGGCGCGCTGATCCTCTGAACCTATAATTGTACCCAGAAGCGCTTCGACCTGGTGAAGACGGCGCTCAATTGCCAGGATGTACCTAAGAAACGTTGCATCAGCGAAAGGCCGCGCAGCGGCAAAGGGTATGGGAATGCACCCTTTGGGTGGGCCACGTTTATGACTAGGACCTGCATCGTACATCGCACATACGTCAGAGGACGGAGAGCCGAGGGGCGCTGACAATGATACTGACCGGCATAGGTGCATGCTGACGAGATGATTAGTGTTAGCAGATGCCCGGGAAGCTTCACAATGAGATTAACGCACGTAAACCTAAAGCGATGCACCCGCGGCAGGGCTTTCTGGCGGGACCGCCCTTGTCGCGCTCACATTTGCTCTTGGTGCGACGGCACTGGTCACACGCTATGTTCAAAACTGTGTAAACACGCTTTCGTAGAAGATGCTATGCGCATGAATAGATGACTTGCCCCGCGTGCTGCGTCTCCGCGAGCCCTGTTCAACACTCGGTTGCCTCTCAGAAGGAGACGGTAGTCGCTCGTCGTCGGATGGTTCGGAATACGCGGACTGGAGAGGCATGAGAAGTGTATGCCGCCGGAGGAGGGATACAGTCAATGCAGATCAACTCTTGAGGCTTTTAAGACGGTTGACTAGAGCTCGCCAGCTTCTCGGCTCTTCGCACCCATCTGCAAACTCCACAATCTCTCGATTCCCCGGGGGGCTGGTACGAGGGCTTCCATCCGAAAGTCTGGAGACCGTAACGAACGCGTGATGCACCCGCGCGGAGACCGAAAAGCCAGCGAACGAGAATTCGGAAAGTGAACATCTCCTGTGGAGTCGGACCTCGTTCGACGAACTACGGCGCGGCACGGCGGCAGTGCGACTCACCATACGAGAGCTTATCGTAGATCAGAAGTTACGCCTGACGTCACATATGAGTGCCTAGGTCAGTAGTGTACCGAGCCCGGAATGCAGCCGTACGGGGAACCAAACACGAAGCAAGCCGACCTGGTTCTGGCCCGACGCCTGGATCGCCAATTTGCTGGCGAAAGGCCAACTATGTAGCCAACCCGAGGGCGGGATTCTGGCGTGACGTAAGCGTTAGCAGCAACTTACACAGTACTGAGTACATACCAAACCCGCAAGCTACAAGTTCAATTTGCGCCATCAAATGGCCAAGGAAGCAGAAGTCTCTTGACAAGCCGCGCGCTGGGGGGCCCTCGGGAGCGACCGCTCTTGGTGGCTTAGCTTCTGCTCCTAAGTCAGATTCAAGTTTGGTCAAAGTGCAATTTCCGACAGGAACATCCGGGAAACATAGGGGATACGTGACCAGAGAAAGCATGCGTGCGTCAGCACCCACTTGCGCCACATTTAAGCTCAGAGTCGAACGTACCTTGTGTGCCCCAGATATTGCGATATCTCGCGACCTGTGCGAGGGGTGCCCCGGCTTGCGCGAATACTTGCGCGAACCCCGGCCCGGGAGGATATGTCACTCATTTAGCTCGCTTACGGACGAATCGGGATGCACCAAACCCGACGGGTCGCTTTCCCTTCCTGACCATAAAATAGCAGGTGTCTGGGCCCTGGGAGAGCGGTGTACATGCGTTCCCATTCGCCGCACCACTTGAGTGCCGCCAAAGTGACGGTCCTCGAAACTGCCAGCCATCAGCCCGGATGCAACAGCGACGGTTGCTCCGGCAGTGGGCACCGGTAAGGCAGCTGCCTCAGGTCCGGTGTCCGACGCGTGGCCACGGTGGTTGATCGTTCGTCCCAGACACGCTAGCAGCAGCAGCTCTAGTTCGAGTAGGGATTCTGAGGGACTCTGCGTTCGTCCAGACGAGCGCGAGTCTAACCCCGCGCAATCTGGAGCGCTGAGCGGCAGCGTCCTTGTGATCGGCAGACGTTGATTGCCGTATATGGATACCATGTGCCACGGCGCTACCGCCCTCTTGCCACAACCACTCCGTTCGACCGTTGCATGTAATCCGTCGAGTCCCATTCTGGCCCATCTGCACGCCGTGATACTCTCTCAATATGGATAAACAAATCCAGCAGCTTGTCGAAATGGTGAGCGGCAGCTTTGAGCAGCGTTGTCGCCAGCACGATAATTGAAATGCTGGTGAAAGGGCGCGACTGTGGCTCAGGCCCGGGCAGCTCTGCAGAAGCACAAGGATGTCATGCAGGCAGCGGAACGCATCTTCGACGGAAGCTTTGATCATCTACTCGATGCCGACGGGGATGTTACGATGGAGTCCAGTGAGACGCCGCGGCCAACGCCCAAACCAAGGATGATGGTGAGCCTTCCAACGCGTCTGCGTTTTGTACTAATTGCCCACAGCGCGTCCAATAGACACCAGACGAAGACGAAGACGCGGGAGATATGATGGGAGAGGATGACGAGGAGGATGATGGTGCGTAGCTCTTCACGGCCGTTGCATGCAGCGCTAATGTGTGCACAGGCGGCGACTTCGATTATTATGACTCGGACGACGACGTCAAGCCGGATCGAGACGGCAGCCATGCGAATGCGGATCCATATGCCGGTACGGTTGCATCTGTGTCTCCCCGTCTGTACCTGACCGCTGGATAGGGATTTTCTTCTCCAAGGACCGCCGCGAAGAAGTGATAGAAGTCGAAGAGGAGCCGGATGCAGCTCTCGTACTGGATGTAAATGAAGAAGCAACATTGATGACACAGGGTCAATGGATGAAAGGCTGTCCGGAGGGTAGCGAACAAAGCTTCTTGTTCAGCTTGTACCACGAGCTAGGCGAGGGCGAATGTCGGTGCCCCCACGGCTGCGGCGAATCAATCATTCGTCAGAAACGGGACTTCTTTCCGCTATTCGTAAGTAGTGGTCATAGCCCCCGGCTCAACGGTCACTGACATTACGTGCAGAGAACCTTTTCCACGTATGTCAAGCACCTCCAGAACATTGTTCCTCGAACCTGTGCCAAATGCAGGAAGCAATTCTGCTTCGCGTGTGGAGAGCCCGTTGACCCCAAGCAGGCGCCTTCAGCGGACCCATCTGACTGCTTGTTCCACTGCCCCAAACTCCAGGGCGTTATGCTCGGTGTGGGCCTCACGATGCTCGAGAAGATGTTTATCGACCAGACGCAGGAGTTGTCTCACTCCACGTTGAATACAAAGGGCGGGAAGAGGCGAAATGCTGATCCGATACCTGTGGTTGCGGACCCAGACGACGACGACGACGACGAGATTTACTATGCGCCGGTCACTCACGGGAAGAAAGCCAAACTTGGTACGGGATACGCTGGCGACGTGAGAGAGGATGTAGGTTCAGCCGCCTCGCCCGTTCGCCCATAGCGCTGAATAAAGGCATATAGACGTCCGGGCAGATCGAGGCGTTGGCGGCCCAGCGCGCCAAGGACGAGAAACTCGCGAAGTTGCTTGCAAACATAAGAGTCTACCTCCCTTCTGTGCGCCGGTCAGGCGGACCCAAAACTAGCGATTACCTCGTCCACCCCACTGCCCTCGCCCATCTCCGCCGGCGATTCAACTTCGTCAGCAGTCAGCTTCTCCGCAATGATTCACTTGCTGATATGTCCGACCGCTCCGTGCTCTACATTGAGTTGTTCGACTGGCTCGAGGTACGATCATTACCACATATGTCCTTAGCTCATTCTGACCGTTGTTCAGACGATATCGTGTCACGAGGCGCTAGCCAGCATGATGGCTATGCCGATCATGGTGGTCACGTCAGTCAAGACTGTCCCTTCAAAGAGGTCACCGAGGGGTAGCCCCAGAGTACGCGAGCGCACCACAATTTACGAAGGGAGCTCTGGACCTCGTGAGCTTCTCGAAGCCATTGTCATCCAGGCTCAGGCCGCGGTCAAAGGTCTCGAGGGCCCAAAGCTCAACGAGCCCGTAGCCGAGATGACAGAGGAGGAAAAGCGGATGACCAGCGACGAAAAGGGGAAGGCCAAGGATACCGGGCGCACGCAGTCGGAAGAGAACGCAAAGATGCTCAAGTTTTGCCAGCGCATAATTGATACCGCTGACGCTATCGATCGGTCTCTTGCTGAGACCAAGGGTGATGCTTTCCTGCAGCGGCTCCGCGCTAGTCTCCCCAAAATCCCTGGTAGCGCCGAACAGAGTGCAAGCGGGGTCCGGGCGGGAAATACAGAGGCGGATACGGTGAAGGCCTATGTGGAATGGGCGAACCGTGTCCGTTTCGAATATTGCGACCTGACGATCCCCATGTCGGAAGCACCAGGACAGGGTAACGACGACGAAAGTCCGCATTACAAGTTCTTCTACAATAACGAAGCGCGAATGCTCGCGAACGCTGACATACCGAAGCGATCGTTGGCCATCGCGAAGGAGGTGCGTGGGATCGTTGTCGCTGCTCCGCCAAACCTCACTGACAGCGGCATGAAGCTCGCCGTACTTACGACGAACCTGCCAGTGGACTGGAATTCTTCCATCTTCTTGCGGGTGGATGAGAGCCGCGTGGACGTTATCAAGGTCTTGATCACTGGCCCCGAAGGAACACCGTAGGTCCCGCTATTATTACCCCGTTGGTTCGCTAATTGTATCACGCATCCGGTAGGTATTACAATGGATGGTACGCAGGCCTCGATCCCTCTCAGCGGTCGCCGATCGCTGACGAGATCGTAATAGTTATCTCTTTGATGTCTTCCTCGGTCCTAGCTATAATCAGTCGCCGCCCAGCGTCAAATATATGACGGTAAGAGGAATGTATCCGCATCATCACCCCAAACCCTGACGCTACTTCGCGTAGACGAACGGGGGAAAGTTCCGTTTCAACCCAAATCTATACGCGGTTAGCTCCTTTCAGCTTCGGCCATAACTCACTCTAAATGCGTCATTCAGGACGGCAAGGTGTGCTTGTCCCTACTCGGGACATGGCAAGGCCCGGGCTGGGTTTCAGGGAAATCGACGCTCTTGCAGGTGAGTGGGGCTGCCAGAGAGAATCCCGGTGCACTCAAAATGCGCTCGCTAGGTCCTCATATCGATCCAATCCATGATTCTTTGCGAAGAACCGTACTTGAATGAACCCGGCTGGGCTCAGAGCGGTGGAACGCCTCAGTCACGCGCATGTGAGTGATATTCATAGCTTCTTAGTCATCCGTACTCTTATCGATGTCCATTGCAGATTCGGCCAATGTCCGTCGAATGGTTGTCAAGACCGCGGTATGCTTATTTGACTCTCCGACCCAAGTGATTACTTTCTGACCTTTGTTCGTGCTCAGATGTTGGGTAATTTGAAGAACCCGCCGGAACCGTTTGAGGACGTCATACGCACTCACTTCCGGCTGAAGGCCAAGTCGATCATGGCGCAACTAGATCAGTGGCTCGCCATAGATGATGGAAAGCCGATCACTGACGGTGGCTACGGTGGACTCCTCAAGAACCCTACAGGCGCAGGGAGTTCGAATGGCTTCCAGGCAGACGTGGACGAGCTGAAGCGATTGTTGACGCAGCTTCAGACAGAGGATCATGCAGCACGATAGCACAATCACGGACTTCATCTTGTAGAAATACATATATGCTCATCATTAGTTGTGTGACTCGATGCATCGGAACGATTTTCACGAGCTGACCTGCGCTGGTCAACGTGCAACGAAAGCGTGAGGCCGGAGGGCCGCCGGGAACATGTGATTGTGTACAATGGCACGACGCCACCCTCGACCGTGGCTGAACGCGTTGCTACTCTGACCACAACCACCACGACTAGGGCGACAGACGGACCGTTACAGCCTCGTTAAATACAATCCTTTACTTCCGCGCACCATGCCAAGCGATTCAACTATTCATGCCGTCGCGGGGGCCGCGGGCGGAGTTCTTGCAATGACAGCAACATAGTCTGTGTGAACGGCTACCTGTCTCGCTTCAACCCGTCTAACGTTCAACAACAGTCCCCTGATCTTCCTCTCGACGCGGGCTGCGGTCGAAGTCAAGAAGGAACACAAGGTCGGCCGCCTCGCCGTTCTGTGCATAGACATAGTTAACATGATCGACAGTCCGTGTACGAGGCGGCCTTGTCAATAATCAAGCGCGAAGGCATCCGCGGACTCTACAGCGGTCTCAACTCTAGCCTGCTTGGCATTGCAATCACAAACGGGTGAGCGTCGAGTACCGTGGACCGTTGAATTCTGACCGTAGCGCTATGCGGCAGCGTTTATTATTATTTCTATGAGCGGTCGCGCGGCATTATTCTCACCTCGAGACGAGGCGGCAAAGGACTCAGTACCCTGGAATCCGTGATGGCGGGTCTCATTGCTGGGTCGGCCACAACCATAATTAGCAATCCCATTTGGGTGGTGCAGGCGTCGCAGGCAGTCCGCTCAATGGACCAAACGTCAGACCAGACCGCACCGAAGCCAAGGAAGATGGGAATCATCGAGACCATTCAGTATATCTTGCGCAAGGATGGGATCGCCGCGCTTTGGCGAGGAATCGGGCCCGCGTTGGTCCTTGTGGTCAACCCCGTTATCCAGTATACGGTGTTCGAGCAGCTGAAGAACTTCTTGGTCCGGCGGAGGACCGCGCGGCTTAGAGCTTCCGGGGCGATGGCATCTGCTGTAGCGGCCTTGTCCGATATCGACTACTTCATCCTCGGCGCGTTGTCGAAACTCGGTGAGGCTGACAGTCGGGCATACTGCACTATGGAAATTGACTTGTCCGCAGTCGCTACTTCATCTACGTACCCCTACATGTGCGTGAATTCTACGCTATGTTTTCCTTTGACTCGCATGCGACGATAACCACTTTGATAGCGTTATCAAGAGCAGGCTCCAGGCCGGGCAGACGCATGCTCTGCGATACAAGTCCTCTCTCGATGGACTTCTCACTATTGTACGGGAAGAGGGGGTTGAAGGCCTGTACAAGGGCGTTGGAAGCAAGCTGCTGCAGAGCGTGTTGACTGCCGCTATCTTGTTCGTGTGCCAGAGGAGGATGTATGAGCTTACGAAGAAGGTGAGCCATACTTCTACTATGGCGACCATGATGGGCAATTCTGTGTTGATGGTTTACCGCCCAGGCAATCGCATTGGCGTAGTAGCTGAGGATTTGGGGTGTATACACTTAATCTCGTTGTGTATAGCATTCCAAGAGTGGATTGTGGCCAGAATTGCTGGTGTTGGCGCACATAGGACTCCATCCAAGACCACATCGTGTACCCGAATCTCCCGATATGTTGCCCTTAATTCCATTTACCAGCAATGCTGGGCGTCTAATTGAGGATCTTCGTGCGGTCATTATCACTTTTTGATTACAACTGATATCCTTCGATAGCTCAGTTGGAAGAGCGCGAGACTGTAATCGGGTGCTTTCATAATTATCTTGAGGTCGCTGGTTCGATCCCGGCTCGAAGGAACTTTTTGTTGTTGTTGACCTGGTATCCACGAGGGTGATGATCGCCTCGTGTTCGACTGTCGGCCGCGTGGTTGATGGTAAACGGTTCGTTTGAGCTGGATGTGTGTGCTGGAATATTCGGTAGCACCCAACACCAGTCCATGTATTCGAGCTACAAGGGTGAACGGCGAGTCACTCAGGCTCTTACCGTCTCATTCAACGAGCATCGCAAACCCGTAGCTTCGCCACGGGTTTACGGGGCGATTTTTTTCATTCTATGCTTCATGTTACTTTCAAGACTTCATACTTATGCAATGCCAGACCTGGGCTTCGCCTCAGGTCTGGCGGCAGTTCTTTCATTCTGTGCTTTGTGTTACTATGAAGGTTATATTCTTGGGCATTGCCGACCCGTGGCTTCGCCCTATTGCAATAAATGCTTTAGCATGCCAGCCTGTGGCTTCGCCACAGGCTGGCGGCGTACCTGGAATAGATGCTTCGGCGTGCCAGCCTGCGGCTTCGCCACAGGCTGGCAGCATACCCGTTAGTCAATGCTTTGTGTACCTACTGGAATAGATGCTCTGGCATGCCAGCCTGTGGCTCCGCCACAGGCTGGCGGCGTACCCGGTACTCAATGCTACATGTTACTCCTCTGAACTGCAGTGCGGAGGGTGCCTGAGGATGTTTCCCGTCAATATTTGTTCCCGTCCCATTATGTACCACGCCCGTTGTTGCTCGCACCCACCACGATGCTTCGGGAACCTAAAGAAATTTCCCCATGGGTTTCTCAAGCTTTTTCCCGGGGACACCTCGGGCGAGGATACATATTGGTGAGCAGAGGGCGCCCGAGAGCGGCTTTCTCGTCAATGAATCCTCCCGTTACCATGCCCGTTGTCATTCAACCACGCCCCGACGCCTCTGGACACTCAAGGAAATTTCCCGATTTTCCCGAGGGTTTTTCCCGTTCAAGGTCCGGCTCATATCGCGCGCGTCGGGGATGCCTCGGGCGGGGATCGCGTAAGCGCCGGGGAGGCGGAAGGCGCCCGAGCCGTTATGGTAGGGCTGGGGCGCACATGGAGGCCACGCGGCCAACAGCTACGTTCAAAGTTGCTGGAGCTCTGGAGCTCCAGAGGCTGGAGGCTGGAGCTCGCCCCCGGCAAACGCCGTCAACCGCGCAACAGCTCTGGCATCGCCTGAAATTCCCGCCACAGTGCGCTTAGGTAATCCCATAAGTTGTGGCGCTACCAACTGGTCTGCACAACGTCCTGGGAAGGGGTTTGTATTATATATGTCTTCAAAAAGGGGTGAGGATGGTCTGTCCGTACTTTCTCCAGAAGCCGAGACCCTCAATAATAGCAGCGGGTTCTACACACTCCCGATGACATTGGTATACCCGATTAGGCCAACGGCGCTTACCCCAGACGTACCTGCGCATTGAAAATAATCCATGCTTGATGTGCGATGCAGAGTAAATGGGACACCGTACACGTGTAAAAATAAATGCTAGATGTGTATGGAGGCCTGTTTCAAGCTGCAGGTGAAGCATGTCGTACTGTGCAGGCGAGGGTCTTGCTGCTTAGTCAGCTGCATCCCGTAATCAGACCTGCGAAGGGAAAGTGAGACGCTTGCTGTCAAAAGACCTTCGCAGATACACGAATAACTCCTAGGTGCGGTGGTATGCATAAAACCTTATGCATCTTCGTGCAGTTGTACGCAGGGAAAGGATAACTTGTCGCGGTCGAGTCACAGACGTCACGCGCGCGTGACGACGGCAGTGTGGCGGCATCAGAAGATCGGTAAATTGGAAACTACGCCCCTACGGAAATAGCCGCCGACCGTAGTCCGCGCCTGCCTAATATGGCAAGTGCACTTTTGCCCGCTGTTTCGTGGCAAAGCTCGACACTTGTGCACTGTATTCTGATGTATAGAGACCATGAACTTCCTAAAGAGTGGCTGAAAATCATCCAATCAGCGTAGGAGACTGTATGGGTCCAGTACAACACTGTGTGCATGCCGTCACAGGCTGTTGCGCGCAGAGCGCCCGCGTCACACACGTGACAGCTGCCATGACATGTCCCAAAGCGGACAGTCACAGTTCAATTTTGACTTGTCTGTCCGTTGTGCCCTCAAGCGGCCTCGTCCATCGCAGTAGTAATTGCAATAACAGGGAAATACAACCAGGGGTGAACACTGAGAATCGAGTACGGTGGTATACTTAGGGTAGCGCGAGTGTATACGGTACAGTTACGTAAGCATGTGGCGGGCCTGCCCTTTATGCATACTTACTTACCATCTCACTGAGTCACCGTTCCACCTACCGCCGCCCAAATACTAGTGGTGGTATCTGCTCGCAAATCCTCTTCATTTGCGATGCGTGCAGCAGTGAGAAATGCTGCAAGAAGGGCGGGATATACGCGTGTTGTGTGTGTGACAGGATGGTCACGTGCGCGTACGGTCCGTAGTGCGGTCCGGACCCGTAGGGGCGTACTTTCCATTTTCGATATGTCCTCGGCGGCATGCTCTGGAAACGCCTGGCGGCAAACCCCGAGAACCGTCACCAGCCGTCACCTCCAGCTCCGGGCTCCAGCTGGAGCTCCAGAGCTCCAGCAACTTTGAACGTAGCTAACGTGGGTGCCATGTGCTTTTTTCACGCCATATCGACCCCGCCGTCCCATTCTTTTATGCCAGTATGAGTTCGTCGAGCCCGATTCGCTGGTGGTCTTCGGCGTCTAAGTATCCGATCTTCAAGCTTCAAGAGTCGCCATTAACAGGGCTTGCCGTCGGTCTAATTCAATAAATCGCGGAACATTATGCACAGCATAGCGAATTCGAGATGAACTGTACAGTATGTAATAGGACAGATCGCACCGCGAGGCTCATTGGGGACCATACATGTAGGTAAGCCATTACATGGCCGTCTTCGGATCAACTGCCGCACACAGTACTGCTACTAGTATTGCACGTCCTGACGATACAGTAACAGTATATGCGACCATGCTGGCCACGGATGAGTGAAAGGACTCTAGGCTGAATTCGTGCATCATCTCAGACGTCGCGTGAGTGACACAGATAATGCCATTCAAGAACCGCGTTCCCAGAACTTGAAAGACAGGCTACGGGGACCCGCGGCGGGTCTGAGATGTTATGCGTATCACCGGGTTCAAGAAGTTCCTCCCGGACTGTGACTCAGAAATGCCGAAGCATGGGAGATGGGAAGTGGGAAGCTAGTACGGGAGCCTGAGGAATTACCGTTCTGCAATGAATCCTTTGCAATTCTGTCGATTGCTTTATCGATCAATGAGTATCCTTTTCAGGTCTTCGGTGTTTTCATTTACGCACCGAGTCGCCAGATCGGCGGCGAGCATGAGACTGATACGGGCGAGGATGATAGTGATGTTGCGGTCTCCTCGGTCTCGAGAGCAGTCCACGTCTTCATCCGCCCTTCGCCTTGGTCATGAGGTTCTCGCAACATTCGAGGACTCGAACCGCCGACGCAGACAATACGGTGGAGGGCACGGGAAGAACTTCCTACACATCTCGAACCATCAGAACAGCAGTCCGAAGTCAGTAAAGATTCCATCATCGAGTCACGAGTGTCTGTACTTCACATCTATGTCGTAAAAGTTTTCTTTGACCATATAGAGAACAAGGTATGCGTATTTGGGGATACCTATTTATTGGTTCCCGACACCAGAAGGTTCATACGACCCTGAGGAGCGACCAGGCCCATATGGGGCGACACCACTCTTGAGCGACCGTCGGCACTGAACAGCCCGAGCGAGAGCGACACCAAAGTCCAGGGCCTTCTTTGACCCTATTACCCAGAGAGGCGATTGGAGACTGGCCGCTCTACCTGCGAGGTCTATTGCTCAGTGGAGGGAATATTCATCAGAGTTAGGTACAGCACTCAATCCCCTTGGCCATATAGCAGCAGGTTATCGGTGATATGAAATTAGGATGTCGAGCAACGCGTGCATCGGTGTACCATTCTGTATGGTTTGGCATACATTCCAAGTTAATCCGAGTGACGGAGGTCTTGCAGAAATGGAAAATGGAAGGTATCATGATCGGGATGTAAAGACATGAGACACCGGATGCGGCCGCGAGCGCAACATTCACGGAAGAAATTCGATCCGCGAGTACTATGGCCGGAAGCATTCAATGTCCCACACGCAGTGTGTGAGGCCGAGGATTCAGGGAGTCCGCTCCGAGTCGTTGACCTGTATTATCGAACGAACCCAACTTGAAGATTGGTGCGCCCGTAATAACTGCTGCATACGTAGAACCTGAGATGGAACAGTGGTTGAGAAGGTTGTAGTTCACGGACGGTGCGGACAAACTAAACGTGGAAAGCTTGTGTTGGTAACTCACCATGTCACGACGTTCGAGGGTATCACTTGCTGGGAGGCGTGGAGTCGCGGCCGAGCTGGTGAGTAGTGACACGGTCACGTCACAAGCGACGACGGATTGTGGTGGTTTTATCGCGACATCTATGTCAAATCCCTGATCCTGGATGTCAGCGGGAGAGCATTGTCGAATTGTGGGGCTCCGAGTGCCTGGGGCACCGTGGCCGAGGTCCATAGTGCGCCATAACCAGCAATAACGCGCTGACAGCGCGCCTAGTAGCAGAGGATGGCCAACATAACGTTTGCTACCTGTAACGCAGCAGGTTTCCTTGGCTTCTATTCGAGTATCATCTTCCTTGCGTTCGGTCCGTAGAGCGCTGAGCGTGAGTACAGGGTCGTCAGGTCTGGCGGAAGAGTCGAACCGTGGGTGAACCTGGGGTCCGCCGGAGAGGCGGGGGCTGTCGAAAATGGAAATGTGGAAACACAGCAGCGGATAGACATTAAATTTGAACGTCGCGGCTGAATCTGCGGGCACAGTTGAGCCTGTAAACACCGCGGAGACATCAGCGGCTTCTGCTCATCGAGATTCAACAATAAGCGAAATCTGAGAAGAAAAGAACCCGAAGAAGCAATCCCAGGCCGAGAAGGGCACACACAAGAGCAAATCTTGCTCCACAATGATGGGCAAAGTTGGATCGATCGACCGCTCGGTATCCTCGTGCCTTCAACCGCCATATCCAGAATTGGCAGGTGAGTAGCGTCAGTATTCTCCTCGATGCAACCGCTGTTGACTCTTCAGGCGAGGCGCATATCCTGCATGGGGAACGAGCAAGCACTGTAAAGGGTGCTGAGTCAATATTCCGAATTTGGGACCGCTACAGCCGCGAAGAGAGGGCCCTAACCAAATCTAGCCGATGAGCAGTAATTTCGCGGACTAATAGAACAGCATTGCAACTAACATAAGAGTTCTTCGACCATGGCAGGATGAGGCAGATGCGACCCGACGGTCCGAGGACTTTCTGGGGTCGGAATCGTTGTGTATCTCCGTTCAGTAAGTTAGCAGGGCAACATCTCGCGGAGCGCTAGACGACCCAGACGTTTCGTAGCCTCGAGAATTTGGTACGTTCCATGTGCTCCAGAAGCCAGTGATACGTCGACTGATTGCGCAGTTAAGGCATGAAAGGCCCGGGGCGAAGCATCTGAACGTTTGGTCGACACCACTGCCCCGAGGTCCGGTCGATACAATCACTGTGAATGAGCCAGAAAACATCGGCAGCGCCGGCAGGTGAAGTTTTAGTGAGTTTCCCTCGCACTCAAATCCACAGCAGACCCGTGGAAATATGGTCTTTTCTCGGTTCCAGAGATTAATGTTCAAGAGCCGCTCCAACAGAGCTGGATCGACTCACTCGAAATACGCCCACCCAAGGGAACCCAGCCCTCGAACCCGCCCCAAACCCGCTCACTGCAGGCCCTTCCTCGCACCATAACAGCATAGGTCCGCTCTGTGAACGCAGGAAGAACGGCTAGTCCCTGTATCTTCGTGCTGAGGCCTCATGCATCATGCCTGTGAGCAGCGCTTGGCAGCCTCGCGGACATGGTGCAACGGCGGCTGCCGCTACTTATAAGCCGCTTGGAAACTGGCAGGAACGTTCTCGTACGATAGCAAGGTTCCTCAGGTCGGCCTGGGTGTGCACACTAGTAAACGAGATTCTCTGCAGGGCAAGTGTGTTTTAATCAGGTGGTCAGCAAGGCATTGCCAGTGCGTGGGCCGGATTGCTCAACGACTCGAGATGGTAAGAGTAACTCGCCGTTCACCGTCATCCTTGCAGCTCAAATACATGGACTGGTGTTGGGTGCTACATACCGAATATGCCAGCACACACATCCAGCTCAAACGAACGTGCAAGTTTTGACTGGGCTTGAGCTTAAGCGCTTGAGAGTCCGTGTCCGCTTCCGTCCTCGGGCGCTTGGACGCGCGCTAAGGCCATTTGGCGGGGCCGTTGCCTATCCCCACTCATTCCGATGCACAACCGTGACGCTGTTTAGGCGATGCATTCGTTTCCGACAACAGACTAGGTTTCTACGCTATGTTTCCTTTTATTCCTCGAAAGGTCGCTCAGGCTGGCAAATCGACCGCCGCAACCGCAAGTTCATCGCAGTCGAGGCGAAATACTTTGCCCACAACCTCGACTACGAGAGACTCAGCCGCTGAAGGAGGCCAGCCCGTCGATGTCAAAGGCAAGCGCAAAGCTGTTGACACCGACCCTGCTGTAGAGGACTACTACTCTCTCCTTTGCCTGGCCCTCTCTGACCACGCAATATGGGCGGACTCGCACTTGAGAAGCAGGCTCATCAACGGGTCCGACGGCTGTACGAGACATTCAGAACGAGAGGGAAGGGCAGGGCTCACGCTGTGTCTGGTTTGCAGACATCCCGCTCCGTTACCTCCTCTCGCATTCGCCTGTCCTGACCGGTCTCGATCCATCACCCTCGGAGACAGTGGTAGCTAAAGTTGTTCGCGCGCAAGAGTGTGCTTTCCTGGACATACGAGTGCTGGTGTCTGCTCCCTCCCGTGCGGCGTGGTATGGCAAGGATAGCGCGGAGGATGTGCTGGGTGGATACGAAGTGCGGAGGAGAGACTGGCCGGAGGCCTTGCGGCGCATACACCAGCTCACAGAGGATGACTGGGCAGCCAGAAGCGTATACGTGGTCCGTCACATCCCAACATATCACTAAATGCGCTGTTAAGACATATTGCATCGCAGGAAAACATCCCGTTCCAATACCGGACAACTGCAGCTATAGCTCGCTTTATCCACTCGCTCACTGTCAGTCCATCCTCTTCGGAGCCGTCCATGCCAACACAGCACATCTGGCTACCTCCTCACGTCCAAGACAAACCAGGCGACCAGCCCAAGTGCAAAGGGTTCGCTCTCATCTCAGTCTCAACCCTCGCACAGGCAGAGAACCTGGCGCATGACTGGCCCTGGGACGTTCGGCGGACGGATCTGTACAACGTGGCCGACACCGCAGAAGCACAGGAAGCCGTGAAGTTTGGCTTCCGCGTCATGCCTCGTGCACGCTGGGATGCATTGCGGGAGGAGTATCTCGCCTATCGTCAGACGCTCTTGGATGCTCTTGCGTATTCGGAACACGAGACTGGGGAAGCTCAGGAGACGAACACTGTCGAAGAGCACGCGCCGTCGCATGCTACAGCGCCGAGCCTACTTACCACAGATTTATCGTCACCGTATCCTCAAGGCTGTCTCGTCTTCGTCCGCAACGTACACCCGGAGACGAACAAAACAACCCTGCGCGCACTGTTCTCACAGCCATTCACAGAGAGCGGTGCGGCTGACGCCGGCGTGGACTACGTAGATTTCTCCAAGGGCATGGACACGGTATGTCCGTCAAGTCTATCAATGCCTGCCAACTACTGACTCCTACATCTCGAGCCAGTGCTACTTGCGCTTGGCCTCTGCACGACATACACAGCTCCTCACCGCGTTCTTTGCTGCAAATTCAAAAGCGCAGAATGGCGGCCTGGATACCACTGGCGTTGCACCCTCGCCAGGGACGACCCTCAAGGCCGTTACTCTCGAGGTCGTCGAAGGCATACGAGAAGAGCTGTACTGGAACAAGGTGCCGGAGAAGGTGCGACGGCAAGCGGTGGAAAAGGCGACCGCAACATCTACCGCGAGCGACCAACCGGAGAATGTGGGGGAGGAGGCGTTCGAGCCCGCGGAGAAAAAACGGAAGCGCAAACGGAGGAAGCGCGACGAGTGAGCTTTGAGCTCTGACGGGTCTCCTGGCTACTCGTTCACGCGCACGGACGAAGACCGGGCTGTAGCGTGCGTCTTGTAGACATAGATCATGTAAGACCCTCTTCCCTGAACCGATCTCGCACTCGCATGAGGGACCGGCCGAGCTCGTTGAGACCCCGACCTACAGGACCCTCTCCCCAGAACTCGTCCGTATCAGAGAAGACGATGTCTGCAAGGCCCGTCTCGAGCAATAGCGCACGGAGGTGTTCATGCTGGAGCAATTTCTGGTAAATCACCTCGTCCATCTGTTCAAAAACGGGTCAATACACTGCAGCCACTATGACAAACATGGTACCGACCATGTCGTAAAGGACGTGCTCCCAGTCATTCCGCACGTAATCGTCGTTTGTGATCGAGATCTCCCGTGCTTCGTTGACAGTGCGACACGTTCGTATACGCTCCGCTATCTCGGGCATGTGCTCCATGAATTTGAGAGCTTCGTGCAAGTGGAAGGCGGTGGGGTACGACTTGTGGTGGTAGTGCACGCGGACGGGCGAGGAAGGGATCAAGCTTGCGAACTCGTTCTGCCGATTGACCGTGACACGCGGCACGGGCGTAGGCTCACGCATCGGGATGGGCGTGGGCTCTCGTGAGGGTGCGTACATCATAGCGGGAGGCGCGCCGACGCCAGGGTCGACCTGCGTCATCTGCGGGGCGGCATAGGGCTGTTGCGCAGGCATGGTGGGGTAGAACATAGGCTGGGCTTGCATGGGCGAGACAATATCCTCGTCGTCCTCGTTGCGGTTCCGTCGCCCGAAGACGTTGAAGAGGCCCTTACGATGCTTTCGTTCGTGCCTACGAGACCCCGAGCCGGAGGGGAAGGCAGGGCCCATCATGGGCATGTTGACGGCCTGCGTCTGCATCGTCTTGACGGTAAGATTCCGCTTGAGCGTGTCGTTGTCGATCGGGCGGCGGAGTTCGTCTAGCAGCCGTATGTACGGCGTGGAATCGAAGATGTCTCGGGGAGGTCGCGGCAGTGGGTTCTGAGAAAGCGACCGCGAGCGGTAGTGTGGCGATGGAGTACGGCGCCGACGGTCATCATAAGGACCGTACTGGCCTGGGCCCAGCCGGGATCGTGAACGGGGCGGATCGGGGTCGACCATGGGTTCTGGCATGTGCATCGCAGCCTGCTGTTGAAGCATCTGAGGGATCACAGGCGCACCATTATTTTGGGCGATATTAGGCACCACAGGCTGAGGCATTGATGCAGACGCGCCCTGCTGAGCATATGCCTGGCCGCCGGCCATAGAGGTCTGGGCATTGGGAACGAAATTTGGTGGCGGAACGTTAGGGATGACGGGTTGCGCGGCGGGAGGAGGTTGTGGGAAAGATACGGGCGGTGGAGGGGCCTGCATGTACTGGTACTGCTGGGGTTCTACGGTCCTTGCATGGCGGGATATGAAAGGAGGGTTGTGAGTATAGCTAGGCGGATGCACGCACGAAATATCTGTGGCTGAGGCTGGGGAGCTTGGGCCATTTGTTGTTGTGGTTGGTAGACCGTGGGCATGACATACGCCGTTGGCTGGGCGTACGCCTGGGTCTGGTAGGGCATAGTGGTAGTACGATAGCCCATCTCCCCGGGGTATCCGCCATACCAGTCTTGAGAGCGACTGCGGGAGTATGATCGAGATCTTGTATATGGATCGCGTCGGTGGGAGTCAGGATGATATCCATGTGCGCGTGAGTTGTTGTTCCCCATGTATGTCCCAGCAAAGAAATGGATAGACGGTGGTCGTACGGGTTTCCAGGAGGTCCGTTAGATAAAAGAAGCAAATGATAGCAGATGCGATAGCAAGAAGACTTAGAAGAGCAGAGCCACTTTAACGGTCGTAACACTCGTGAAGGAGAAGGGTGTCGCGGGACAGCACAGAGGCACACGCGAGGCAGACTCGCTTCCGCCTGCCAGTCGTCCACAAAGCCTCGCGCTCGCAGGCGCCCGCTATCGCTCAACACGGTACACGTGATCGATTTTCATTGCGCGCCTCCAGACGCGTCTCGCCTACAGACATCTACGACCAGTAGGAGCACACTACCGCACCTGCGCGTCGTTCCGTTAAGAAATCTGGAGGTTTTATCCATGGGAAACAACGCAGGAGGCTTGTGCTAGTAAGTACGTGGCACATGCATAGACAATGCATGACCCACGCCGTTCATCAGTGCCAGCCTCTACAGTACTAGTGTCAGTGGGGTTGTCCACCGGATTCACGAGACGTCGTTCCGCGACGACAATGCAGGCTTTTGGCGTGCCATCTTATTCCAATGCTCGTACAATCACCCTTCAGTCGCTCTCTCTGGCTCTCTTCACGATCGGTGCTGCCGATCAATGCATGTCCTCGGCAATCCATCAGATTCACGGCGTTCCCCGCTCCCGGATGATTGCTGCCTCGTGCGCCGCCTTACGTGGCGTCTCCTCTTGTTTCTGCACCTCCTCCTGGTCGCCACTCGCTCAGAACCCCACCAAGCAATGTCGATATACGACCTCAAACTCGCGACTCGGGACGGCGTTGGACTCGCCAGCGTTCTCAAACCCGTGTAAAGCCGGATTTGCCACTCATCGATGAGCACACACGGAGGACGTCGGTGGCGCTTGGCGAGGGGCATGACGAGGCGAGATGTCAGTATGTACCTGCAACGAGGCAGGAAGACTGCCAGAATTGGGATGACTGGCCCAACCCTCAGGTGAGATCCCGCTAGCCACTCTTTCGATTGTCACTACAAAACAGCATGTTGACTGTACGAAGGGGTTGACCCACCCACTGTGCTCATCCGGCCTCTACGCGTCTTTGCCATGTCTCTTTGTGCGAAACGTATATATTGGCTCCCCCGCATGGATACAATGCATACCACGCCCTCAAACAGCTTGCGCTCCCCGCGAATCTCCCTCCCTCTTTGTCCTCCCCCGCCTACTCTCGTATCATGAACTCCGCCTTCGATCATGTAGCTCTGCCTTTGGACGAGTTCGCCGAGGTCGCTGCGTCTATGGCTGCGATGTCAATGAATACCCTCGACTCTACGTTCAGGAGTGACAGTGACCAATACTATATGTCAGACTCTCTCAATGAGTCGGTATGTTACCATGCTCATACCCCCCAGTGCCGTAACTGATGCATCCTCGCCTCAGATGCTTCACATGCGCGAAGCACTATTCTTCCGCGATGTGGTTGAATCCGTGGTCACGGTGCCCTCATTGGAGGAGGCCGTAGGCACCGACGACCCTAGCAGCTCAGCTGGAGCCCTACCCGACCTCGGCGACATCTTCGATGTCGATGCTTTCTATGGGACCTCGGAGTCGTGCTCCAGCAGCTCGGCGGCCGACTCTGATGGCTTGGACGCGGAGCTCTTCATCATGGACGATACCGAGTGCGATTCCGGGGCCCTTGGCGATGACCCCCCATACGCCATGTCGCTGGCCGAGGACTCTGTGCTGGGGAGGGCGTACCTCGCTGTGGGAGCTGGCGTCGTTCCCTCATGCCTAACGGGCAGCACCAGCCATCGTTCTGCGTCCTGCGACGCTTCGCACTCGCGCAAACACCACCCGTACGCACAGACCATCCGAAAACGCGTCTCCTCGACGTCGTCGTCCAGCACGCGCGTCCTGGAGACATGGCAGCAGCAGGGGAAGCCGCGCAACATCCAGTCCACAGTCGACGAGTCCCATTTCGACCTCGATGACTCGGACGACGGCATCCTCTTGTGTCCGGTGCCGCACTGCAACTACGTGCAGCGGACGGGGCGCAAGCCGGACCTGAAGCGGCACATTGAGACTCACCGCTCGGGAGAGAACCAACAGCGCTGGGTCTGCTGTGGGGTTCCCGTGGAGCAGGCGGAAGCATTCGGGATCGACGATTTGAGCAGCGCATATTGGTGGAGGGGCTGGAGGATGGTTGGCGGATGCCTGCGGGGATTCAGTCGGCGGGACTCGCTGGGGAGGCATCTGAACAGGGCTTCTTGTCCGTGCAAGGGGCACCCGGACATGGCGTTCGACCTTACCCGTGACACTCAGGAGGCACTTGGCCCGTCGCCGGCGCCGGAGGATGAGGTGTTTTAAGTACTACTGGATTTAGACAGTTCATTTTATCTCCACCTATTTGTATTTCTTCTGTCTTCTAGCCTCACCATTCATACAGTGGATCGTCTTTCGGCTTTCGATCGTGTGTATTCATCGGCAGGTTGCATATCATGACCCGCCACTGACGCGCCATACATTGATCTCGTGACCGCGTGTTGGTATTGGCCCACCTCATTATATGGAGGAGTGAGTGCTGTCCTTCCGTCTCTTTGTAAATGGTCTCTGCGCAAGCGGAGATATGAGTTCATCAAACGGTAACACGTGTATGTGTGCCGCTGAGAGCTCTTCGAGGCAGATGAGGCTATAGCTAGTTAGCCACCTGTCCCATTCAAGTTGCCTATGACCACCTTCGTAGCAGACTTGAATTATTCGCATCTGCTCTGGGAACACTGGGTCACTCAAAAGTTTGCTAGACACCTATTGTCGAAGGATAATGAGGAATTGTTTGTGCAGGCCGCGCTGGCGTCAAACCCCGAACAATTGAAGCGCCCATTCCACGGACGCGCATAACGTCGAGATGGGCGTCTGCGAGGCTGCTTCCTTCACTTCACTCGACTCAGTCCTGTGTACGATACCCTTCAACACTTGTATTCATACGGTCAGTGGGTCCTCGACTCTTCAGAGGTCTAACGAACTCACACGGTTCTACTAGTCACACGACTTTGAAGAATCTTGAGCCACTGAATGAACTGTGACGACTGACGACGATCGACGGTACGTCAGAGGCTGCAGATCCTATACTGCATACTTATCTCGACGCGTGGGCCGCAGCCAACACACTATCCGCGAACTTCATATATGGATGATTCAGAGTCTTCTCCTTCGCCTCTCGATGACACGCCCGTGCGGTCTCGCAGAGAATCGTCGGAACAGCCTCGGAGAGGCCACCGGTCCTCGAAGGACCGCGACAAGATGTATATGGGAGGGTCGTCAAGGGAGCTGGCTCGTCTCTTGGTGTACCAGGAACGCGAGGCGAAGGATCTCCGGAAGATGCTCGCCTCCGTGACAGAACAGCTCAAGGCCGAGACGCAGCGCGCCGACGAGGCGGAGTTGAGAACTAGGGAAGCAGCGCTTCGTTTCAAGAATATGCATGACCAGAAGCTACAGGCGCAACAAGACGCGGAGCGCAACAAGCAGACGTTGGAGCTATACAAGATGCAGCTGGAGAACGCGCAGAGGGAGATTAACAAGGCCCAGCAAATCATAGACATGGTAGAAGCACAGAGGATCGAAGCGGAGGAGGTCGCTGCGCGCGCGCGGACGACGGCCCGCAAGCTCAAAGAAGAGAAACTGGCGACACTCGCCAGAGAGGAAGGTAGACGAGAGGGATACGAGGAGGGCCTGGCACAAGGTCGAAGCCTTGGGTTCGAAGAAGGCCGCTCCGAAGGGTATGCACGCGGCAGGGCTGCTGCTGCACGGTCAGTGCGCCGTTACGCCGACGAACTGGTAGAGAGTCCAGTGGATGAACGAAGCGTCGTCGACGAACCGGGCACGCAGCAAGCCGGCAGTGGCAGCTCACCAGACGAGTACGAGTCGCGACCGCCTTCAGCATACGTGCAGTCGTTGCGTCAGGGTTCTCCTGGCCCTGAGCGAGCTAGGTCTCCTGGTCCCAATCACGTTAGAACACCTGGACCGATGCCCTCCGAACCGCCCAAAGTCCACGACCCCGACATCCGACCTATACCTGTTCACTACGCGCAGTCGCCTGGCCATCCACCTATGGAGTTCCCGCCTGACAACTTCATACCGAAGATGGACGAAGACGGTCGTATCCGCCTGCCCCCACAGCATGAGATGGGCCCTCCGCCGCCGACACCATCGCCTCCTCCGCAGATGACTCTGCAGAATACTATGGAGCGTATGGACGAACGGCCTCCACTGATGGTGCCGCCTCCTGGGGGTGAGAGTGTGGAGAGCGCGATGATGTCTGACTCTGATGCGTCCACGACGACCGCACCTGTTCGTCCGCGTCATCGCAGGCGGAGATCTACAGAGTCGCAGTCAACCACCATGTCTCAGTTCGAGATCTTGGGGCCTCCTGGTGCCCCATCTGCGCGTAACAGGGAGCGTCCGCATGTCCTCAGCGCCATTGCCGAGGAGAGAGAACGGTCCTCGTCTATGTCGTCACCCAGCGTGGGCGGCCACGGGGTAAGTGAGCTAAGTCGCGTTTCATTGAATCATTCTAACACCTAGGCAGTCTCCATTCGTACCGTCATCGGGTTCTACGTTCTATCAACCGCTCCGAGCACAAGCGTCTATTGCCTCAAGCTTGGGACACTACGATGACAACAGGAGTCAGAACTATTACACAAACCCCCGTGCCCATACAGGTTCGCCCGACTCTACGCGTAGAATGAACATGCACGCACCTGCATCGCCTGCCTCTTTACACCCACCTTCGTTAACGAGGAACAGTAGGACTTCGAGCCTCTCACCTGACTTCAACATCGAGGTCGAGCCACCGGTGCGTTGAGTCGTCCTTCACGGCCGTTATGATATTCTGACGGTGAGGTCGAACGACAGTCTGGGCCTGAGTCTCTCAACTCAGAGTCTGCACCCATGACTCCGAACCTACTCCGCGCGGACAACCTGCCGCCCATGCCGCCTCCTACTGACCCTACCGAGCCTGTACAACAGGTCCCCGCTCAGGTTATGAGCATGCCCGGCGTCATACCTCCGCCGGGCCAGGGCTCGGCGCCTATTGTACTCACAGATGGCCAGCTACCTCCAGGCTTCCAGCCTATTGGCCCACCGATGCCGCAGAGCGCGTTCTCGTCTATAGGCGGATCGCAGCCCTCTGGAGTGATCCCGGGCTCGTTCCCAGGGTCGATGGGTCCGGCAGGCGTCCCTTTGCCCCCTTCGACTTACGGAGGAACGCCATCTTTAGCGGGCAATAGCATGCCTCCCAGCAACTACCCCGCCACGGAGCCAGTCATTCCGCACTTGATGCCCACAGCACCTGGAGGACAGTCTGCACACAGGTACAGCCGAACCGCCTTGCGAGACTCATCAACGTCAGACTCGGATGACGCGGTCTCCTCTGCGATGGGATCCGTCGACTCGCTCACTACTCCGCCATCTCGCAACAAGCGTCTGACTCCGAAGCCCGCGACGCCGTTGTATCAGGAAGCGCCGATACCGCCCAACGTAGTGTATCCCGTGCCTCCCACGCCGCGATCGACGGGCTCGCGTGGGACGACCGCTGCGAAGGTCCCGTTACCCCCGTCTGCATCGGCGTCCGTCGCGAGCCCAACGTCTACTGCCGGCTACCCGTACTCCCAGACCTCGTACAGTCGGAGTAATGTAGCCCTTGACGCGGGCAGGACGCCCCTTGCTATGAATAGGCCTATGTCACCCCTCATGGGCAGTGCAAGAGGCGGGCTTGCGCCGTTGCCGGTGCAGTCCCCTCGAATGTCGTGAGTTCTCTTCCATATGCATGTTCTGTCGCCTTGACTGAGCTGGCATCGCACTAGTCCATATGACATCCGACCCGGTAGTCCTGAGGATGACTTGACGCGCGCAAACACGGCTGCGAATGCACTTCCGCGGCATACATCTCCGCGCGCAAGCACGGCTCATCTGGGTTCGTCACTAGGTTCGCCTGTCATCCCCGAGCCTCCTCTCGAACCGACTACGAGTACCGCAAAAGGCAAGAAGGGCAAGAAGAAGAAGGGAAAGTGATCCACCTCGCTTCCTTACGTTACTCCTTCAACTAGACATGGGCCTCCCGAACTTCATCGCTGTATTAGTAAGTGATTGGTCGAGTTTCATGACGGTCCTGTATAATGCCTCATGATACGATTCTCCTGTATATTGTTCATTATACGCTCATGGTTTGCAGGATCGCATCCATCAAGTCACTCGTTCATCTTGCTTCTCTGCCTGATATGACCTGGAATATGTACACTAGGGTGCATACCGACAACGGTAGTTGTTATATAGGGCTGTCTTAGGCCGCTACTACCAGCTCGAGCTGGGCACTGCGCTGCGACATAGCTAACCACGAGTCGTCCCAGCTATCGACCCACCCAGGGCGTTCGTGTCACGACGCCCGTACTAAATACTAAGTGCATGGGCCGCAAAATCTTCGTGTGGTACGGCAAGTCAAGAAGCACGATACAGAAGCTGACCCAGTAAAACGCGCGACATGTGTCACGATTCATGCACATGGCGCGTCTACCATAGGCAGACGATGAGTACACTAAATACATAGTATGTCAAACTACTACTGATGTGGTAGCACCCACACTGAAGCCTAATCAACGCGCCGAGTCCACGTCAGTCGCTCTTTAGAGTACCCACAAACCGGGGCTCAGCCACTGGAACTTGACGGGCCTACAGTAATATAAATATTGTCACGGGAAGCCTCTACTACAGCGCTACGGCCCGTCACAGCGGGACAGCTGCGAAAACATCAACGAAGTGGGTATGCAACCCACAAGGGTCCCGCTTGAGTTGCACTCGTGTTCGAATTCGGGTAGACGCAGGGGCTCGCCGATTGCGAGTGGCCGTCAGTGTCCAACTTCAAGGTTCCAATGCAACCGCGACCTAGAATGCATTCATTGGACGGAGCGGCTCGGACGACCCTTTAGAAGACCGCCCCCCCCCCCCTGTCCGTCCAAGAGGTCTTCTTTAAGGTCTGCCTAGGGGAGACTACGGACGACCATAATTTGCTATACGTGCGTCTACTAGTCCTTGTGCGAAGTCATGGTTATCTGAGTCGTCTGTCATTCGTTCGTGACCGGGAGGCCCGTCATAGCAGGTATCAAACAATCACCGTACGTAATGCCATGATGATCTTGCTTAGCCCATCCCATCGTACCGCGCAGGCGTACGAGTCCCTTCGCGGCCAAAGCGTTGTCAAGACAAGGAGGCCTTGGACATCCCGTTGGCAGCCTTCATTGCGTACACTTCGAGCGTGTATGGTGTTCCTTTACATGCGATCATGATCATGATTTCCGTTGTCAGCATCTTGTACAAGTTGGTCGCCGCATTGCATCGGCATACAAGAGTTACAACGCGCCGGCCACTCAACAAAACGTGTGTGGGGGGGTGACTTGCTAGCGACAGCGGTCTCAGAAGGTGTAGTAGCTCGTACATACGGCTATCGAGTTATTGCCTCCCTCATACCCCGGATCCCTTAACTGCGAGCGGTTCCCGGTGCTGTCCCATGATTTCTGTCGCGGTACGATTGCGCGGCGGAAAGATGACAATTCGTCCAGGCCACAGCGCGAATTTACGTATGCACCGCGTGGGCGCACTTCTTCCCAGACCCTGAGGCGGAGGAACCCCGCTCCCGCTCCCGCTCCCGCTCCCGGACCCTACCACCTTACTCATCTGAGTCAAGCATCTCACGTAGTATCTGTAAGTGAACTTAATCTGTCGTGGGCACTATATAATCTCAAGAATTCATAGACTGTAGTTCTGCTAGTAGCTCCGGGTCAGGCAAGGGCCTGTCCGTCGAAATGAACACCGCGATATTGCTCTTCCAGTGTCTCCTAATCTACGGTCTCAGCTACGTTGTCTGGCACTTGCTGAAGTGGCGCCTCGTCAAATCTTCCTTGGACAATGTACCCGGCCCACCGCCAGAATCGTTCGTGAAAGGTACGTTTTGAGCTTTCCTGTCGTGTAACCACTCTTGCGAGTAGACATTGACAACTTGCCCGTCACGAAGGTAACATGAGGCAATTCCGATCTCTCGAATCCGTGAAGTTCCAACGGGATATGGTGGACAACTACGGTGGCCTTGTGGTCAGAATGCATGGCCTCTTCAACGTACGTCTAGTCACCGACTCTAGTGCCGTATGCTTGGCGAGGGGACTCATCCTCTAGCAGAGACCTGCGCTATACATCTACGACCCAAAGGCGCTCCACACGATTCTGATCAAAAACGAGACGATATGGGAGGAAAACCCGGGTTTCATTGCGTGAGTTGCACCAAGGTTTGCATTGCGAATGAGCCACCATAGATGTACACAGGATCAACCAAGCGCTGTTCGGCCCCGGCTTACTATCGACACTCGGTGATGACTATATTCTCTCATTTTGGCATCGAGTCGTACTCACATACTCCAGGCGAACAACACCGGAAGCAGCGAAAAATGCTGAATCCTGCATTTTCCGTCACCCACATGCGCTTCATGTTACCGGTCTTCTACGATACATGCCGGAGAGTACGTGCATCTCGTTTCCACAATTCTCGTTTTCTGCCTGACATCACTCTACCGATAGCTTCGTGACGCGATTTCAAGGCGTGTCAAGGATGCGCCACAGGAAATAGACATGGCAAACTGGATGGGGCGGACGGCGCTGGAGCTCATCGGCCAGGGCGGTCTTGGATACTCCTTCGACAAGCTCGTTGACGACAAGAAGGACGTGTTCGCTGAATCCCTCAAGCGTCTGTTGTGAGTCGCCCTTTCTTCATGGTACGTTGCATTGATAGCAATTGACTCCGCTATCTTTCTACGACTACCCGTAGTCCGATCGTCTCCGAGCTCGGAATATTGCCGCTATTTCTGCCTCAGTTACGGGCCATCGTACCGGCTAGATTGCGAGGCGTTCTCGGCAGTATTGTTCCAATAGCAACCGCGCGTGACATGAAACGCAATGCAGACCTTGTGGCACAAAAGTCACAGAAGATATACAACTCGAAGAAGCGCGCCTTCCAAGAAGGCGACGAAGCGATCGGAGAACAGATTGGACAAGGAAAGGACATCATGAACATCCTAAGTGACTGAGCATTTGTTTCTGAATGGTTGACCGGTGCTTACTATTTCGACGCAGTGAGAGCAAACATGTCCCTTTCCGACAAGAATGGTCTGCCGGAATACGAGTTGGTCTCACAAATGTCGTAAGCGAGCCGTCATCGAGGTTCTACATATTTCCTTTCTCACCAACATTCTGTAGCACTTTGGTGTTGGCAGCGATGGACACTACTTCCAATACTTTATCGCAGATCCTCCTACTTCTAGCTGAACATGCGGACGTCCAGCAGCGTTTGCGTGCGGAGATCATCGAGGCTTCCGGAGGCGAGGATTTGCCTTACGACACCCTCATGCAGTTGCCTCACCTGGATGCTGTGTGCCGGGAAAGTTTACGCTTGTGAGTGACAACTATGGTAGCAACAGCATCCATTGAACTCCAGTATGTTTCCAGATATCCCCCTCTGCAGTGGTCGTCAAGAGTGTAAGTGCACCAACTCTAGAAGCACATACGTTCAATGAACTCCATCTCCCACTGGCAGAGCGACGCAAGATACTGTTGTACCCCTATCGAAGCCGATTCTTGGCGTAGACGGCACACTAATTACTGAGATAGCTGTACAGAAGGGTACGGAGGCCTTCACTGGTGTCCTGGGCTGCAACACGAGCAAGGCATTCTGGGGCGAAGATGCGCTGCAGTGGAAGCCTGAGCGTTGGTTGTCACCGCTTCCAGACTCGGTGACCGAGGCTGGTCTCCCTGGCGTGTCAGGGAATCTGTGAGCCAGCCATCTATATGCGCATTGTGCCTTTGACTCATCAGCCGCGTAGAATGACCTTCCTCGGCGGCAAGCGTGCATGCATGTAAGTCTTGGTGCCTTTTTGTGGTATCTGTATAGACGTGCTCCGATGACAGCGGCTTCAAGTTCGCCGAGATGGAGATGAGTGAGTGTTAAATCCGTGGGCTTCCTGGATGAGTCTTTCTGAGATATTCTATAGAGGTCGTGCTGGCCGTGCTACTGCAGAGCTTCGTCTTCGCTCCGTCTGGTAAGGAGATCCGTTGGATCCCTGCTCCTGTGTTCTATCCAACCGTTGGCGAGGATAGTAGATATCCGCAAATGCCGCTGCGAGTAGCTACGTATTCCAACTAGCCATGTGTTCGACTGCAACTTGTCCAGGCTCGTGACCTATAGTACACTTTCTCGGCTGTAGGTTCTGCTTGAGCCCAACGACTCCCAGTTCTGTCATTTAGTCGCGGCCGACTTCAAGCTTAAGTCCGACACAGTAGCGTCTAGTACGTAGCGCGCTGGTGGCAGTGTCCAGAAACCACACCTTCAAGATCACCACTTTGGGCGTGGTCACTGGCAGGTTGTATGTTCTTCGTTCTTCGAGAAGACTTGTACACACTCAGTCCGATCCGCTCGCAGATCCACGCAGGATGCAGGATTAATAGTAGTTGCAAAACCGATCCGTGGCCTATCCAGCCGTGAGACGAGCTACTTGAATGGGAGGCCCTGTAGTCAACAAATGCCACTCCAAGTTACCAAGTATCAAGGTGTGACAGGGGAAGTTTACGACTGAGACCCAAGGTAAATTATTCATCGCGTACGGAATGGTAGAACGTCAACGTACATATACACAGGAAATGAATGAACCGATTACTCACTGCCCGACCAAGACTGACTGAATTCTCCCCAATTCGAAGGTTCGGCGCTGGTCAAATCGTGAATGGAGAACACGACTGACGCACGCAAACAATTCCCGAAGTACAGCGAACAACCCATAGGTATGTATTGCAAGAAGGACGGAACGATACATGCGATGCAGACAACATGCGAGACGGAACGTGTACATACTGCTGATATGCAATCAGGCGACCAGCCGCACAATCAAAAGTGGTCCACCGTGAAAGTCCATTTCCCCTCCTCGATATCAAAGCCCTCGAAGTGAGTGTGCTTCATGTTCTTCAACCGTTTGACGTGCCGAAGCGCATGTGGGTTCGTCTCGTCCTTGATGGGCTCTCGCGTAGCCTTGTCCAGTGCCCAGCAGCGGTACAGCTCAATGCGAGCCTTCACATTCAGGCCAGAGCCCGGTGGTGGCTTCTCCGCCTCATCGCTGTCTGGGTAGACACTGCATTCCTTGTCGTCGAACCGCACAAGCTCGCCGAGCAGCCCGGCGAGTTTGGGCACGTTGGTGAGATCGACGGGTTCAAGGAAGGTGATGACGCCGTAGCCTTTCCGCCCAACGGCCAGACCCTTGACCGAGACCAGCTCCTCATGGCTCATCCTCTTGAGCGTACTGAGATCAGGCGTCACCCAGTAGTCGCCTTCGCGAAGTTCTCCGACGTCTTCCTCTTGCGGAGACGCGCCATGAGAGCCCGCGCGGTGGGCGTCCGCCGTGAAGCGATTGGATGCGCGATCCCGTTGAGGAGCAGGCGACGGCGAGTCATGTCCGCGTGGCCCAGGAGAGGCGCGATTCACAGCGGCTGCCGCCTCCCTTTCGCGCGCGGCCACGCTCAGCGCGGGGCTGAACGTTATCCTCGAACCGTTCGCCACACTGGACTTGGCTAGTAGGTCGGCCGCTTCCACCTTTCTATCGAGAATGAGCTTCTTGAAGCTCTTGCGACCGCCAGTTCCGAGCGTTGGACTGGGGCTCCCACCAGTCAGGAACGTTTCTGGTCCCAGCGTGCTCTTGCCATTAGCCGTTTTACTCAGTGACAATGCATTCGGCTTGCTCGAGCCGAACAACACATTGCTACTGGCGCCGTTCGCCCCAGGAGCTGGTGAGGTGGAAGTGTACCCGCGTAGCTTCGAAACTGCAGGAGTGTAGCCTAGGCCCAGTCTCGGTAAGGGCGTGCGTGTAGGGATGTCCGAAAAGTAGCCCGTCTTCTTCTTCGGCTGAGTATCCAGTGGTATTGAGCGCGGCCCTGGAGGCAGCATGCTGAAGATTGGCAGATTCGTCAAGACTGGCTGTGCGATCGAGGCGGTGAGCTGCGGCTGCGTGTTCTGGCCGAGCATCGACGTATTCATGTTGTTCGTCGATTGTCCAAACGCATTGCCGAACAACGAACCTCCGAGGCCAGCGCCCTGTTGACCCGCTGAAGGGGCAGTACCCAGAGGAGCAGCGGGTTTGCCAAACAAACCACCAGAACCGAACGTGTTCGTGTTCTGTTGGTTATTCGGTGGTGCGCCCAGCGTTGAGCCGAACAAGGGGTTTGGGTTGGTCTGCGTTGTATTCTGAGCCGGCTGGCCGTATGTGCTGCCAAAGAGACCGCCCCCGGTGTTCGTGGTCGCGGGTGCGGCGGGCTTGGGAGCGCCGAAAAGGCCAAAGCCAGTGTTCTGTGCAGGCTGCTGCTGTTGTTGCTGTTGGTTCTGGTTGTTGTTCCCGAAAAGACCGCCCCCTCCTCCGAACAAGCCACCCCCTGTCGTCGGTTGCTGCGCCGGCTGACCAAACACTGAGATAAAGCGATCAGATCGCAGACAGAATGCAAGGCAGAAAGTACGCACGACCAGTACCAGGCTGTTGTTGCTGGGGTTGTTGCTGGTTGTTTGTGTTGCCGAACAGTCCACCACCTGTGTTGGTGTTCGTTCCGAACAACCCGCCACCGGCTTGTGGCTGTTGTTGTGGCTGCTGCTGATTCTGCTGGCCGAACGCACCGAGTCCAGCATTCGACTGCGCAGGTTGACCAAAAAGGCCTGGCTTCTGAGCGTTGTTGTTGGAACCTGGAAGGCATTTCAATCGACTGCATGCCATACACGACTAGGAGCCTACCGAAAGCACCAAACCCGCCCGTGTTTTGTTGCTGCTGCGCTGGTTGACCGAAGAGACCGATACCAGGCGTGTTCTGTTGCTGTTGCTGGTTTTGGGGCTGACCAAAGGCACCAGTCGTTCCCGCATTGCCTATATTCACAGGGTTAAAAGACTAAAGCAGGATTATGTACGTATGCACTCACCAAAAGTACCGAACCCTGCTGGTTTCTGTTGATTGTTCGCACCGAAGGCGTTGCTTGAACCGAACAGGCCACCGCCCGTTGGATTCTGTTGTTGCTGCGGTTGTCCGAAGGCACCAAAGCCAGTTGTCGTCGGCTGCTGCTGCTGCTGCTGCTGTGGCTGCTGTTGCGGATTCTGCTGCCCAAATGCGCCTCCGCCTCCGAACAAACCAGTGCCGCTCGTGTTTGTATTGTTCTGCGGCTGACCAAATGCACCGAGACCGGTCGTTCCAGTGTTCGTGGTGCCGTTGTTCGCGTTACCGAACGAACCAAACATCGAGTTGGTGGCAGGCGCTGCAGCATTCTGGGCTGGTTGGCCAAAGAGACCATTAGATTGCTGTTGAGCAGGGGCGCCAAAAGCAGTCTGTCCATATCCACCGGCAGCGGTCGCAGCAGCAGTCTTCCTGCCTTGCTGGTAGTCTTGCACACGGATCTCCTATCAGACAAAGGGGAGCCGTTAGGCAAGTTTACCGATATCGTGTGCACGACCTGACCTCAAATGACGATCCACGGTATTGCGGCATACATGAGATGCTTTGGTAATGAAGCGTAAGAGTAGAGTTCCCTTCCTTCTCGGCGTAAGGAGCGTAGGATGGATTGGAAGATCCTGTTGTCACCGGGGCAGGCACACCGGCAGCTAGCAGGGCCAATTTGAGCACAGTAATCACAAACATTCGACGAACACTGCTCACCAGGCGTAGTGGTGGTACCAAAGCCTGTGGTTGGCTTGGAACCAAAGAGACCGTTGCCCCCTCCGAACGCGTTTGTGCTTGTCGACGGCTGTGATGGCTGGCCAAATACGCCGCCACCGGTTGAGGGACCAGCCTGAGTCGTCGAACCGAAGGCCCCTGTCGCTGGGGCGCCAAAGGTATTCGTCGTACCGGTGCTGCCAAACGCGCCGAACCCCGTCGTTGGCTTGGGCTGGCCGAAGAGACCCCCGGAATTCGCAGTGTTGTTTGGCGCGCCTCCAAACGCACCTAAGCATGATCTTGAGAACAGTGAGATGCAAGGTGCAGCAGCAAATACATACCAAAGCCTGTCGAGGAGGGCGTCGCTGTCGACGCTCCGCCGAGACTGCCAAACATGGGGTTCGCCTGTGGTTGTTGTTGCTGCTGCTGTTGTTGTTGTGGCTGTGGCTGTCCGAAAGCGTTGGCGTTAGGAGCAGATCCAAATGCTGTTGAAGAGTGTGTGAAGTAAGCAATAACTCTGAGAGATGAGTCGCCGTGACGCACCATTCCCGGCACCGAAACCTGCGGGCTGCCCAAAAGCGCCTGGCTGCTGTTGGTTACCCTGAGGGTTACCCCATGATGACCCTGTGTTGCTTCCAAACATGGCAAGGGGCGGTTCGCGTCGTGTAGGTCGTGGCCGTCGTCGTCGTGAATGAGGTCGAGCGCGACTCCTACTGGAGGCGCGTTCAACAATTTCAGGCGGAGATCATGGGCCTCGCTGGGGACAGCCGGTCGGGGTTTCAAGGCGCGTCTGATCGCGTAAGCGCCCATTGCACACAATGGGCGTCTAAAAGTTACCGCGTCCTCGATCAGGTGCACCGGATTTTCGCTGCTGAGCGACGTTCCTACGCGTTGGGGCCCCCTCGAGCTCATCGCCGGACACTTTCGATTCCACCTGAGCACGATGCCCGACGGCTCAGGCCCGCCAGAGCCGGTGCTGAAAGCGGGCGGGACGTTCGACACACTTGCTCGCGAACGTTACTTCAAGAACCCTCCGAAGGACGGCGCGGCCGTACCTATCCTCAATGAGTTCGTTGCTCCACACCTCGAATCCTTCAATTCTCTCTTTGACGATTCCGGACTTCCTCCCGGTGATGGCGACGGTCGCGGGTTACTTTCCCTGGGCATCAAGGACATTGGCGAGCGAGTAGTCTTCGATGGAAAGGGACAAATTGGTTCGGAGAGTGGTCAGTCTGGTTGGGGTAACCGTCTCAGCAGTGAGTAACTATATGTTTTGCGCAATGTTCCCTGTGCTTGACAGCATTTGTATATTGTAGTGTGGTACGAGGCCGTGACGGTAGGCAGACCTCAGGTGCCAGAAAAGGACCAGCAAGTCAGGGACAACAAAGTGTACCCGTCCGAGGTGAGATATCGGTCCAGGAACGTAGGGGCGGAACGCCCGAACGATTGAGCTGACGATTTTGCTCGTGGATGCCAGGCGCGAGAACGCCTCACATCATACCGAGGTCGCATGATGGTGAAGTTATGTTGGAAGGTCAATGATGGCCCAGTAGAGGTCGAGACCAAGGATTGCGGGTTATTGCCCGTCATGGTTCGCGTAAGTATGCATACAGTCTCTCCTCAAGCTGCTTGCTGACAATGTACCCAGTCCGTGCGCTGCAACCTCCGCGGTATGTCCTCCGCGGACCTCGTGAAGAAGCATGAGGAACCTGAAGAGTTCGGTGGTTACTTCATCATCAACGGCAACGAACGTCTCATCCGTTACCTCATTCTTCCTCGTCGTCACCACGTCATTTCTCTCTCGCGCCCCTCCTTCGTCAACCGTGGTCCATCGTACACACCATACGCTGTCCAGATCCGCTGCGTACGTCTGGACCAGACGAGCGTAACGAACAACCTCCACTACCTCTCTAACGGCAGCGCCATGCTCCGGTTTTCATGGCGGAAGCAGGAATACGTCGTTCCGATCATGCTTATCCTCAAGGCACTCGTCTCTGCGAGTGACAAGGAAATCTTCGAAGGCGTGATGATGCAGGACTACGAGGATACCTTCCTTACGGACCGAGTAGAGCTCCTATTGCGCAGCTTCAAGCTGTACAGCTTGAGGACTGGTGATCAGTGTCTGGAGTATCTTGGCAGCAAGTTCCGTGTCGTTCTGAATATGCCGGAAGATTGGACGAACAAAGCGATTGGTGTCTGGCTCATTAGTAAAGTCGTCCTCGTGCACTTGGAGTCTCCTCGTGAGAAGTTCCGTATGCTGCTGTACGTGTGATTTACTTGCAGTAGCAAGCGTTGACTGACTCGACGGCAGGTTCATGCTGCGGAAGTTATACGCGGTGGTGTCGAAGTCATGTTGTATCGACAACCCGGACTCCCCTCAACACCAGGAAGTCCTCCTTCCAGGGACGCTATACGGGATGATCATCAAGGAGCGCCTCGAAGAGGCATTGAACAACTTCGCGATATCAATACGACAAGACGTCAACCGGTCAGAAGCATCCGTGGACTTCTTCGACAGTGAGGTGGTATGTCTGCATGATCTGAGCACTGGCTAACATTACTATCCAGAACGCTACGTCAAGAAGGTCCTTGCCCGCACTAACTTTGACATTGGATCCAGGATGTCGAACTTCCTTGCAACCGGTAACCTTGTGTCACCCACAGGCCTTGACTTGCAACAGGCCTCTGGTTTCACCATCGTCGCTGAGAAACTAAACTGGCAACGATACATTAGCCATTTCAGGTCAATCCATCGCGGTGCTTTCTTCGCCGAACTCAAGACTACGACAGTCCGAAAGCTGTTGCCAGAAGCTTGGGGTTTGTGATTCCTCATGATGGGCAGGATTAAACTCATGTCGCCGTTCCAGGTTTCCTCTGTCCCGTCCATACTCCTGACGGTTCCCCCTGCGGTCTCCTCAATCACCTCTCCCGTACTTGCCGTATTGTCACTGCCCCTCTCTCCGTAAACCACATCCCCGCACTGCTCGCTGCTCATGGTATGACTCAAGCCTTCACACCTTCCGTCGATGGCCGGCGCAACCTCTGTGTCCAACTCGACGGCAGAGTCATCGGCTGGGCGTCTCAGAAAGTTATCCAGGACCTCGCCAGGGACCTTCGCATATGGAAAACGGAGAGGAAGCACAACATTCCGTTGGACCTCGAGATTGGGTTGGTGCCTGTCTCGAAGGGCGGGCAGTACCCAGGATTGTATTTGTTCTCGTCCAGGTCGCGAATGATGCGGCCTGTGAAGTACCTACTCAACGGGCGCGACGACCAGGTTGGCTCCTTCGAGCAGGTGTACATGGATATCGCGTGTACACCGGAGGAGATTGAGAAGGGCGTGTCAACGCACGTTGAGCATGCCCCAACGAACTTCCTGTCCATCCTAGCAAACCTCACTCCTTTCTCCGACTTCAACCAGGTCAGTAATTACATCGCCCCCGCGTTGCAACACGACTGACTGAGATTATCTAGAGTCCGCGAAACATTTACCAATGTCAGATGGGTAAACAGACCATGGGTACACCAGCCACCGCCCTGCGTCACCGGACAGACAACAAGCTCTACCGATTACAAAGTGGTCAAAGCCCTGTTGTCCGGCCACGACTCCACAACACCTACGGCATGGACTCATTCCCAAACGGCACCAATGCTATCGTGGCCGTCATCTCCTACACTGGCTACGACATGGAGGACGCCATGATCCTGAACAAGTCAGCGCACGAGCGAGGATTCGCGTACGGTACGGTCTACAAGTCGCACACCGTAGACCTGAAAGACGTCATGGGAGCTTCGCGCAACTCATCCGCAATCACGTTGCATTTCGGCTTGGGCTACGAGATTCAGACGCAGGGAGAGAAGGCACATCCATATTCCCAATTCCTGGACGACGATGGTCTTCCATTTGTCGGCGTCAGGCTGTCACCTGGCGACCCCATCGCTGCGTACATTGATGATACCACCGGAAGGACGAAGTTCGTGAAGTACAAGGGCGATGAGATCGCGTATGTCGACTCAGTCCGCCTTCTAGGTCTGTAGTATGTATGCAGTCGAGTGAAGACGTACTGACAGGTATGATTGGACAGGTTCTGACGCAGGTGACTCGGAACTTCAGAAAGTCAACATGACCTTGCGCATTGCACGTGCTCCTGTCATCGGTGACAAGTTCTCGTCTCGTCACGGCCAGAAGGGTGTCTGCTCACAGAAATGGCCCGCTGTCGACATGCCATTTTCTGAGAGCGGGATGCAGCCGGACGTTATCATCAACCCGCATGCTTTCCCCAGTCGTATGACGATTGGTATGTTAGTCGAGAGTATGGCGGGCAAGGCGGGTGCGATGCATGGTCTTGCACAAGATGCGACGCCTTTCCAGTAAGTGCCGATCCTTGCTGAGCTTGATTGTAGGCTGACGCGCGATCAGATTCACCGAAGAAGACACTGCCGTGGATTACTTCGGAGAGCAACTCCTCTCGGCCGGGTACAACTACTACGGCAACGAGCCGATGTACTCAGGTATCACCGGGCAAGAGTTCGCTGCCGACATCTACATCGGGGTCGTGTACTACCAGCGCTTGCGGCACATGGTGTTGGACAAATTCCAAGTGCGAACCACAGGTCCTGTCGATCCCCTCACGCGGCAACCGGTCAAGGTATGTAACACGATCGCGTCTGAGAAGCACGATCGAACTGAATGTCACATCCTAGGGTCGTAAGCGTGCGGGTGGTATTCGTTTTGGCGAAATGGAGCGTGATGCTCTGATCGCCCACGGTACATCGTTCCTGCTGCAGGACAGGCTCATGAACTGCTCCGACTACTCAACGGCGTGGGTATGCAGGACATGCGGCAGCCTAATCTCGCTCGGGTACGAAGACGTCAGCTTGGGCGAGATGGTCGTAGGAACATCGGACAAACTGAAGCCCACAGGACCCGGAGGAGAGTACTGCAGAGTTTGTCGCGCCGCTGCGGAGGAAGAGGCCGAGCTTGCAAGGCAAGCACTAGCAAACGGCCACAACGGACGGACATCTGCCCATGTAGACGTCAGGGTTGCGATACCCTCACAACACGTCCTGGGGCCTGCCGCGAAAGGCGGAGACCTTGACATCGTCGCTGTGCCATACGTTTTCAGGTATCTATGCGCAGAGCTAGCATCCATGGGTATCGCGATTTCCCTCGAGGTTCACTGATTTATTCTGTCTTACTCTGTCGTCATCATGTTTCGTTGTCTTGCACTCCACGCATCTTGCATAGCCCATTCATAGTAGTCTGTAACGCACCACGCACGCTCGCATTCCACCTAGGAAAGCCACTAAAAGTAAACATATATACATGAGTATAGATGGGACTAGATGCGCACTGTAGAGCACGCGCAACAACAGGAAAGGTATACAGATAGGTATGCATGATGGAGTGGTAATCGTCAGAATGAGCGACACGAAACCGAAAGAAATAAAGAGAGAACAACAGTGAGGTCAACGAATGGACAGTTTGTGGTATATACCTCTACTCTTGGACAGTCTCAAGGAAAGGAGCAGGAGAAGCATTGGGCTCAGAAGAAGGCGAAAGGAAGTCCCTACTTGAGGCCGAAGACCCGTCGCTGGATGTCTCGTCTGCGAGGCTGGGGAAGCCTATGCTATCTCCGCTGAGAAACAACTCAACGTATGAGGATTCCAGCTCACTCAGAGACATGAAAAGGGGGAGCTCGGGGAGTGAAGGCACTTCGTCGTCGCTGAGGGCCTTCGCCGGGAAACCGTGGCTCGCAAAGAACATGTCAACAAGCAGACGACACTCGTCCGCTGTCTGAGCCTTCGACAAATATTGACGGAGGTCGGCGACCTCGGACGCAGCGATGCCAGGAGCAGGCGCAGGGGACGTCGAGGGCTTACGGGAGCGCTGAGATGGGTCCTTCGCAGGCGCATGTCCGTTTTCTTGTGGGTTAGGCGAAGGCGGAGGCTTGCGCGGGATGGGAGAGCGGCGTGGCGTGCTAGGCGAGACGACTCTGTCGTCGTTGCTCCTAGGAACAGGGCTGATGATCGGTACGTGCCCGTTCGTCTTTACGGTAAGTGGACCGTGCTCGTCCTCGCGCATGTCGCCGTTCACCACCTGGAGGCGATGACTCACTCTCGACCCCTGGCTCTGGCTGTTCACCGAGCCGTTACGGGACATCGACACCTCGGAACCGTGATCGTCCCATGTTTTCCGCACGCTACCATTACGAAGAGGGGAAAGCGCATGCGACTCGTCCGACGTCGAGGATGCGACAGATACCGTCCGGGGATTCAAGGGAGCGGTGGAGTTCGTGGGGGATGGTGATACCATGCGTGTGCTCGACGAGATTGACTGCGGTGGTGTCGGCGTCTGAGTACCGTCACCGTGATGAGGGGCGACGCGCGGTGGACTGACCACAACATTGGGGAACGACCGCTTGGACGACAAGGAGGACTTGAACGCGGTCGGTGGCCCAAAGTTGGTGCTGGGCTTGCGCCCGAGTGAGCGAGGCGTCTTCGGAGGGTCATCGCCGTATCGCCCGTTGAGCCTCTCCTGGGATCCCCCGTTGCCAATGGTGAGCTTCGACATCATGCGTGAGAGCTTGCCCGTCCGAGCTGTCTTCGACGATTCAAACGAGATGACACTCGCGTTCGCCACGGAGTTCCTCTGAGACTCCGGCTCCTCAGGGGGTCCCTCGTCCAAGAACGCGATCAGTTCGCGCGCCGACGCCGATACGTGGGGAGACTGAGGCTTCGCAGGGGATATCGGCGTAGGGGCGGCAGAAGCAGTGCGTGAGGGCGTCCTTGGTGGTGGTGGTGGTAGCGACGGGATCGGAACCTCCTCCTCCTCTCCCTCCTCGCCCGACCCATTCATCACGTCATCTAGATCCAACGACTCGCGGTGCCGCGCGACCTTCTTCGTACGCGTCGGCATGCCCGTTGGGTTGCTTTTGGAGGGCTGGCGGGAGGGCTTTTGAGTGTTGATCGCCGTGAGGTTGGCGGGCATGCCATTGGGAAGCCGATCCTGCGACCTGCGCGACTCGTGTCGAGGGTGAGGGGAGTCTGAGATAGAGATAGACCGGTAGCGCGCAGCAGCAGAGGATGGGGCAGAGCTGCTCGTGAAGCTCTTGCTAGCCTGTCGCATGCGGGGCGGCTCAGTTGTGACCACGGTAGCGGATGTGATGGTTGTGGAGCTGGCCTGGGTGAATTCCTCTTCGTCTTCAACGATGCTGTCGACACGGCGTGGCAGAGGACGAGCAGCACTGGCAGGTGCGCGCGGACGCTCTGAAGGGAGCGCGTGGGCGTCGCCTTCCGTACCAGCTGGCTTGTCCGAAATTTGGGACTCCGGCTCACGCGTCTGTTTCGCACGCTGGGTTCGCTCCCTGTTGAAGACCTGGAGAAACGGATAAGCGATCAGCGGCGGCTCGTCCAAGAAAGTCCAAGATCATCAGAGCAGAGCAATCGGACCAGAATCGGACTGTTGTGATCACTCACTTCCATCGTTCTAAGCCTGTCGGGGGTGAGCGAAACCTTCACGGTGCTCCCAGACCGCATGAGCTCGTCGAACTCGTGCGCGAGTTCTTCGTCCTCCTGCCGGAGAACAGCTATGAGCGCCCGTTCCTGGGCGCGCCAAGGGGCCCGAGCTAAACGATCAAGCGTACCTCGAATTCCCCGGAGGCTCGGCTCCGCGCGCTTTCGCTCATTGAATTGCGGCTGTCTGCTTCTTTCTCGCTTGACGACCGACTATGCGTCATGAACTTCTTCCGGATGCTCTTCCCTCGCTCCATCGACGTCCGGCTTTCTACAGGCGCTGCCGCCATTGCCGTTGAGTTGGACCTCAACGACTCCATCGACATGCGCGTCCGTGCAGGCGTCGACGCACCGTCTCGGAGTGCCGCCAACTCCGCCTGGGTGGCTGATTGCGTACGGGAGGTCGGGGTCCCAGCCCGGTCGCTACCGCGTGAGAAGGACTTGCTGCGACGTGGCCTTGGAGCCTTCGAAAGCTGTTCGATTTGCTCGTAGACTAACGGCAGCCGCACGTCATCACCGTGCTCAGTGGGAAAACTGCCAGTCTGGACATACCTTTCAGCGTCTTGAACGTGCCATAGAATGCATCGTCTTCACATAATGCAGTGAATATATCTTGTGAAGTCGCTACAGTACGACTGCTGTCGCGCGCGGCAACACTGCTGATGTTGCCGAGAACATGCCTGCATATACGTCAATACACAGCGACTTACAAGAAGGATGTCTCGGACTCACTCGCATATAGACCTTCAGCACCATGGCTACATATGAGACTTGCACGGAACACGAAAAGCGAATGGGCGTACTCGAGGATCGCAGTGAGGTATAGCGCAGCCGGGGCTACCTCCGACGGATGTGGCGGCGACATATTACTGCCCTTCATCCTCTCACTTAGCCGCCTCTCCGCCTCTCCATCCTCATCCGAGTCATTCATAGTCGAGTAGGCCTCGCATTTGAGGCGTAGCAACTGGTACAGAGGAATGTCACAAAGCGAATCGGACGGAGCATGGCATGGACGCACCTCAAAAGCCCACTGCAGACTAAACGGCCCCCCAGCACGGCTTCCAGATGTGGATGAAGACGTGTTACGCTCCAGATATGCTTTAAGCTCGACCTCGGCTTCCAACAAAGCTTCCTTGCCCAGATTGGTTGGGATGACCTTCAGAAGCGACGCCTTGAGCTTGTCAGTTGCCAGCGATTGGGCCTCGTTCAGAATCGTGTAGAGCAGCTCGTCCAACAGGACGTTCACGGCTTGTAGGGCCTCATAGGCGAGTTTAATCGGACGGACGTCTGAGAGTATCACGTCGGCGGAGCGGCTAGAGATGTAGCTTGGACCGGGGCTAAGCATGTCGGAGACTAGGAATGAGCCCGGAGGCCGCGCCAGAGATGGAGGACGAGCGGAGAGTCAGTGACGGGGGGAGACGAGGCCGGGTCGCATGGGGATGAGAGCGCAACGGAAGGGTACGCGGTTGTGGCGGGATGTGCGCCGGGCGAATCAAGCAAGTCCGTCTCGCGCGGCCCGTGGTGTGTGATACCAATCACACCCGCTGCCACCGTACGCATGCTGTCCACCGCTCGTCCCCTTCCATCCTCATACACATGGGGTAAGCTTCGTGCGCAATACACAGTCGCTCCCCGCCTGCGCGCACAATCAAATAATCCGGGCGTAAAAATAGCGTAACCATGTATTCGGAATATGCGAGGTACTAGCTACAGAAGCGCGTTTACTGCGTCTTCATCTGTCGGCTTCGACCTCGACGCAGAATGCAAGACTTCCCACCCAGGCAGCGGTGAGCTCTCCTCGGCCACATGTGCCGATGCGTTGAGATGCGGTTCTCCATCAACGCCAACACTTCCCACATCGCCATCTGCAAACTTGCCGCCGGTACCATCCACCAAGGCGCTGCTCCCAGCCGCGCCGCTGTGGCTTGCTTCACCTTGCTGTCCAAGACGTACAGCCTGGTGTCGCTCCAACGTGGCTTTGTCTTGAGGTACAGTATCATCGCGTCTCCTCGTCGAGTCGTTGTCGTTACGCAAGAAATCCAACTCGTCCGGCTCGCTCTTGACTTCCACGCTGTTCTCGCGCAGCATCATACCCGGGGGCGGGAAGAGCACCAGCCCCAATTCACACGTCCGCGTGAACTCGTACGAGGGAAGGTCTTCGCAGCGCATAGCGGCCTTGAGCTCGCGCCCGTGCGCGACGTCGTTGTACTCGTCCTGCGCTATGCGCCGGAGCAGCTCGATCTTCGCTGCGGGCGTCTTGCCCTCCTTCTCCACAGCGGCAACCTTGTCCGCCAGACGACGTGAGCCGCGCGATGGCGCGTTATGGTGCACTCGTCTCCCTGAGAAGCGGAACGATGTCATGCTCTCCAATACCTAGGGGACTAGGTCATGCACAGTAACAGAACGATGTATCATGTACCCACCTTGGCAGAGAGCCATTGATGCACCACCCTTGATATTGGATGTCGCGCGACGCGCCGCGGTATACGCATGTAAGACGGTATAGAACCAGGAAGGGGGATAAGGTCGAGCGTCTCAGGCGCGAATGGCGTCGCGGGAGGCTTCAACCGCACTTCGCGATGTCTCCCGGATCTATGGTGCTTCAGCAGTTCTTTGGGAGCCGTGAAAGACTTGTCGCAGCCTGCAACGTCGTGAGATCCATGAAGATCACGGACCACTAAGACGAAAGCACTACCTTCATAGATGCAAAACATTGGCGTCGACGCATGCCGCACGAGATGATGCAGTAGCGCTTGTCTGGATCCCAGTTCCCGATTACAGCCTGTCCACTCGCAGGGGAAGGTCGTCTATCGTGCTGTGTCAAATGGAATGCACGCAACAAAGGCACAAGCAGACATACAGCATGTTCCTTTTCCTCAGCATGCCAGTGCACATGCCGCGTCAGTCTCTCCGTAGAGTTCAGGATCGCACCACACCCCCGCCATAGACATGGCGACTCATGCAAGCGGGTGACCGACAACTGCACCGCCTCCTGTTGCGCCCGGTCTACAGGCACGTCCCACAAACAAATATGAGATTGTATTCACACTCGTAGCACACTACAAGCACAAACCTTCTTGCAGTCTTGTCTCGTCTAGCTCTACAGACCGTACCGTATGCAAGAAAACAATCAGCCTCCCTCTACGCACCTCGTCGTCACCACGCACCATCATCCGCAGCTAGCTCGTCCGCGTCCACCGACTCAGGCACCGTCTCCGGCGTCGATTGCTTGCGTCCCCGTCGTTTCCCGGCCTTCCGCTTCTCCTCCTTCGCGCGCAATTCCTTCGCCCACTTCGGCATCGGCGGGACAAGTACGTACGCATTGTTCACCACAGTCTTCTTGGATGGACCCTTCTTCGCGGACCGCGTAGGTCCATCTACGACTTCGACGTCCGAATCGCTCTGCTGTACGCTCTTGGGGACCCGCTTCTTACGCTGCCCAGAGACCCCTTCGTCCGACTGAGAGTCATCAGCCCGGTGTTTCTCCTCCTCGTCCTCAGATCCGCTATACACGACTCTGCCCTTGCCCTTGAGGCGAGCTGGAATGCGCGGAGGCGAGCCATCGAGGTTCTCGTTCTGCATGAACGCATCGGCAAACACCCTTGCCTCTGCGGCTTCCTGGTTGTCGTGCTCGCTTGTCGGCGAGGGGAAGAACAGCGGCGTCTTCGCCGTCGACGGACCTGCCTCAGCTCGAGGCGTCGCTAACCCAGCAGCATAAGGCGGAGGCTCGAAGCTTTGGGCCACACCCTCTGGGGACGTCTGCTCCGGGAGCGCACCGGCAGGCGGCGTCGCCGTGCGCGAGGTGGGTGGCGCAGACGCCGCGGATCCCGGTGTCTGCGGCGCAGACTCGGTCTGTTGCGGTTGCGGAATCGCGGCATGAGGAACATGCTGGTCGCCGGTCAGCTGTGATAAGTGGATGCCGATGAATTCGCCTATCGATGGGAACTCTGGCTGGAACATGTCGTTCGGGACGTTGAGTGCATCGTGGGCGGGGAGAGCCGTGGGCGCGTTTATATCAGCGACTCCAGAAGCAACCACTTCTGTCGGATCCTGCGATTGTATCGCCGCGTTGACAACATCGGTTCCATGCGGTTTGTACGGCGAGCCTGCCTGAGAGCCAGGGGTAGACGTGATATCGTTCTGCTGCGCGGTCTGCTGCCACACCGCAAGCTCCAGCGCGCCGTCCGTGGCGATCTCCTCGACCTCCATTCCCATCCTCTGCCTCTTCTGCAGACTCGGAGAGTCGGTGACCGACGGCGTGCGCTTCCGTTTGTTCGCGAGCTCCTCGGTGACCAAGTCCTGTGACGAAGACGGCAGCGGAGGCGGAGGCGGGGGAGGAGGCAAACCAGCAGACGAAGCGGGCGCACTAGAAGACGGAGGGACTTGTGAGCTGGTAGACGGCGGAACCTGTGAGCTGGAGGAACGGGGCGACGGGCGTCCCAATGACTGCATGATATCCCGCGCGAGCCGCGCCTTATCTGCCTTCACGGGAGTCCAAGGGCTCTTCTGTCGTTCACCGGTGGTGTCGGGAGTGGACGGGGGTTGCGCGGTATTCGGGGTAGCAACGGCAGGTGGAGGAGTTACTGGGGCCTGTGCACGGCGAAGAGGGAACACTGTGCGCCTAGTCGGGCTAGTTGGGATAGCGTAGTGCTTGAATTGAACAGTGATTGATGGGTCTTGAGATGGCTGTTCCTGGACACCTATGCCATGAGAACATTGGTTTGTCAGAAACTTGCAATTACAACTGACATGTCTCATACCTTCATGGGTTTGCATGACAGAATCATTTCTGACAGCCTCAGGATGGACAACTTCAGCTGCAGGAGCTGGTTGTGGAGGTGGTACTACTAGCTGTGGCGCCGGGACTGGTTGGTTGGGCTGAGCCACAGGGACGTTCGTAGGGACATCATTGACAGGTGGGATAGCAAGGACAGTGGGATGAGACTGTGTAGGGGTACCTCCAGTCTGCACTGAGGGAGCTGGTGATTGCACCTGAACAGGCTGGGCCCCAGTCTGAGGAGGCTGTGCAGCAGCTTGTTGAGCAGCCACCAATATGTTATGTTTTATTTTCATTACTATGGCCTTGATTATGGCAGGTTCCAGAGCCTATATACCACAGTGAGTCACACTCCAAGACACCGAATGCGAGGAAGATGAAGCTACCTGCAACTGCTGTATCACAAAGTTGCTGATCTGTGTGAGCTGCTCTACCGAAGCGGGCGGGAGTTGGCTCTGGACTTTCAGAAAAGCCGATTGGCCTTGGACAGATCCATTCGGCAGCTTCGTCTTCAGATTATCCAGTGTGGCGAAGATGATGTAGTCAACCATCTCCGGCCTCAGCTCCTATAAGTACTAGCGAGTCAAGCCAATAGGACAAACGGAAGTGTTGTCACTAACCTTCAAGATATCGTACACCTTCTGGTACACCATAGCAGCGGCCGACGCCTGCGTTTGTGGCTGTGGCTGCGGCTGCGGCTGCGGCTGCTGTTGAGCTTGGGAGCCATAAGTGACCTTGGCGCGCCTGATCTCGTCGGGCGTAGCTCTCTGGCTCGTCGAAGCCGGCTGTTGTGCAGGACTTGCAGAAGGTCCCGGGTGATAGAGGGGCTGCCGCGAAGAGCCTGGACTCAATGATGATGAGACCGACCGAGAGGGACAACTGCAGATCACATACTAGCTCCCATAGCCTGCGTGTGTTCGGCTCCATTTGTTGAATTCTGCCGCAGAGTAGCGGACACAGACTGCTGTTGCCGTTGCTGCTGCCGTTGCTGCTGCTGATGCTGCTGCTGCTGCTGTTGCCATTGCTGCTGCTGTTGCTGTTGCTGCTGTTGCTGCTGCTGCTGCTGTTGCTGCTGCTGCTGCTGCTGATTGACCGTAGGGCCAGTAGTATTGTTCTAGTAGAAGCAAATGTGATGAGATCGTCGCAGAGAGTAGTGAAGTTTCGCACCTGCCAATTCGTAGCGGATACGTACTGCGACCAGTTCTGTGAATACTGGCCTGAGTGTTGGTAGTGCCGGAATGATGCATTTTGTCCATATGGTACAATCGACGTGGGGAGAGGGGGCTGCTGGTAGGATACCATGGGCTGCTGCATGTGGGGAGAGTGGTATGCCGGCGCGTTCGACTGTACTCGAGCGTTAGTATATCCCCGGAAATGGAGATGAGGTGCCTACCGGAGGAAACGTCTGCAGGTTTGATGACGACGCGACATTTTGTGGGTTAGGAGTCGGCGGATGCGCTTGCGTTCTGAACAAAGGTGTGTCAGAGCGAGCTTGGGGCAGGCATGGTATGACGAACCCTGCGTGATTACTTCTGCATACCGCATGCGAAAGGGCGACGAGAAGCGAAACACACATCATTATATTGAATCAATAGCCACAGACACCATGAACGTACGGTGCAGGTTCAGACGCGTTTGCTGGGCCCTGGAGCTGCGCGAGCATTCGCCTAGGGCGCGCAAAGACCGGTCAACTCAATACTCCCCTCGCTGTGGCGAGGACTCACTCTGCTTGCCGACCGGCCTCGACGCGCTGCCTTAGCTCCTGCTCCTGCATCACATACCGATTGTAACCGGCCTGCAACTCGCGTTCGTATTGGGTGAGGCCCTCCTTCACTCGCTGGAGCTGCTGCAAGTGCCGCCAGTAATTTTCGGGCGTGATGACTGTATTCGGGGCGACTGCGAGCTGGTTGATTGGCGGCGGCGGGTTCCCGTCCCCATGGTCCATGAGTGCAGTGCGAGGCGAAGGTATCCAAGAGCAAGAAGAGGACGAGAGTCGCAGCCGGGGCCGCTGGATGGCACTGTCTCAACCACAGCAAGGAAGCGCTCAATCTACGGTCGCAAAAGCTTATGTCAGCAAGGCATGCGCGCGGACGCGACGCGTCGGTGGCTCGACGCCGGCCAAGGCCCTGACATCACCCTCTCCGCGACCACCGGCCTTTCACATACTCGACTCCCGCAGCTCGCCGTGAACAGCGCTGGATCACTCTCGGTCTGAACTGCCATGTCAAGCTCGGCCACTCTCCGGCAAGTCCTCCGCGCACGCCCCTTTGCATTGCTGTCCTCCTCGCCTATAAACATAGGCTCGGTCGGTCCCTACCAAGTCTTTGACCGGCACGCAAAGCGACTGCAGAAAGACCGGTCTGCTCTCCGGGAAGGCGGCGCGCGAAGCAGGACTGTCGACTATGTGCGGGATGAGGTCGCGGACCGGATGATCGAGCGCATGGTGGATATCAAGCGCAAGTTCAAGTCCGTCCTAGATGTTGGCTCAGGGTCTGGCCACTTCTCGAAGCTGCTGGAGCCGGAGACGACCCAAAAGGTTGTGATGCTTGACTCTAGCAGTACGTTGCCTGTGACGAGGTTGGAATTGCTTGCTTATCGAACGCGCGTGCAGAGGAGTTGCTTCACCGCGACCCAGATGATGCGTTTGAAGGTACGAGTCCAATAAGGCTGCCTACACCCCAAGTCTGACGCGTCGAACAGTCGAAGTTGAGCGAATACATGCGGATGAAGAGAGTCTTCTCAGTGTCGTCGAGCCCAACTCACAAGAGGCAGTCGTCTCCTGTCTTAGCCTTCACTGGGTGAACGACCTGCCAGGTAACGCTCTCGTTGATAGCTCTATACATACGACTGTGAACAGCGTAAAGGGGTGCTCGTACAGATCAAGGAAACTCTGCAGCCTGACGGAGTCTTCTTGGGCGCCCTCTTCGGAGGCGACACTCTATTCGAGCTACGAACTGCTCTGCAATTGGCAGAAATGGAGCGGGAGGGCGGCATCTCCCCGCATATATCACCCATGACTGGTGCGTGCGAGGAGCCGGCCAAGGAGTACGATCACTTATTATCGTGTAGACTCGCGGGACATGTCGAATCTTCTTGGCCGCGCCGGATTTACGCTTTTAACCGTCGACGTCGACGAGGTAAAGGTTGCATACCCTTCGATGTGGGAGCTCATGGACGACCTCCGTGACATGGGTGAAAGCAACGCGGTGATTGGCCGGTGCGTCCCAGTCTAGAGCGTCCTACAATGCCGAACTCAATACAAATGTCAGGCGAAACTACATCCACCGAAATACCCTTGCAGCAGCGTCTGCGATCTACAAAGGCAAAGCCCGTTGTTCCTTGGCTCGGTGCAAACTCTAATTACTGTTATCGCAGAGCTTCACGGGCACGAGGACGGTTCTGTTCCGGCGACCTTCCAGATCATTTACGTGGTGAATACCCCGCACTGTGCGCGCTGCTTCCGCGATTCTCACTGAGCATGCAGATCGGATGGAAGCCGTCCCCGAAACAACCAAAACCGCTCGAGAGAGGGACAGGCGAGACCAATCTGAAGGAAGTCTTATGACCTGTGATTCGAGCACGATGTATCGCTCCTTGGACAGACAGAATCATTGCGGTGCTTGCCTGAAGTCATTCATGCGAATCACCGCGGGGAATGCGGCGTTTGTTTGCGGGCCTAGCCGGCACGGGGTGCTTCAGGGCTGGTCTCGACTATGCACGACGGATCGAATGTGAGGTCTCTTTCGACGAGAAGCGCGTCGATGTACTCGTTTCAGTCTCAGCTATCGACTGGTACGCCTGCTATGAGAACCGGACGGGAAGTCGCTTGTGGGACTTGACTGACCGGGTTCCCTGAGCGGGCCGAGATCGAGACCCGATATGGCAATAGCGATAGTGATAATACAGCCGAGCTCCGCGCATACACCACAAGTTGCACGCCTTCCCCTCGCGCGGCCAATACACCGCGATCGACCTGATCGACCTTTCCTGCGCTCTGCGCACAGACCTGCAGACACCCACACCAACGCTTGTGATCCACGCCTTGTGCACCATGGCAAGAGTGACCTTCACCCCGCAACCACTGGAGATGCTCACGGTACCTGCACGCGAGAAGCACACGGCGACGCTCATCTTCGTGCATGTCCGTCGGTCGCCTGTTGTGATCCAGAGGCTCGGTGCGAACGCACCGCTGACTGACGCTGCTCTGCTTGTGTAGGGACTGGGCGACTCCGGCCACAGCTGGCAGCGCATCGCAGACTCGTTCAACCGAGATCCTACTATGCAGCACATCAAGTACATCTTCCCCCACGCGTGAGTCCCCCAGCCATCTCTGCGTTCCACGACGATTCAATCGCGCCGCGCCCGCGGTGTGGCAGGCCGGTCATGGCGATCACAGCGAACTTCGGCATGCGCATGCCCGCGTGGTACGACGTGCTCTCGTTCAAGTCAACGGCGCCGGAGGACAACGACGATTTTGGGATGCTGCGCTCGATCGCGTCCCTCGGCGCGCTCGTGGACGCTGAGATCAACGCAGGAATCGCACCCGAGCGCATCATCTTCGGCGGGTTCAGCCAGGGCGCGGCGATGACGCTCCTCACGGGGCTGTCTTGTGAGCGCAAACTGGGCGGGTTAATCGTGTTGAGCGGGAGGCTGAGGCTCGGGAAGAAAGTCAAGCTGGTATGTCGCACATTTTCCATCTTGGTGTAGATCACGCACTGACGAACGTCGTGCAGTTGCTACAAGCGCGAAATATCACGACGCCGATTTTCTGGGGACATGGCAGGAATGACCCACTGGTGACGTACGAGATGGGGATGTGGTCCATCCAATTCATGAAGACGGAGTACGGGCTCATGGACGCGGACCCACTCGCGCCGGAGAAGGGCGGTGTCGCATTGCACATATACGACGCTGTGCACTCCGTCCCCGACCAGGAGCTAGATGACGTGAAGGCGTGGGTGAAGCGGGTGTTGCCTGGACCTGCCCGCGATGCTTGTGTGTCGGCGTGAGGAAACGTCATCGGGTCGCTGGTATGCTAAGTATTACAATAAATGTACACTCGTGTATGGTACCTTCGCAGCACTTTGTACGCAATTTCGTATGTCCGTCCGTTCGCAGTCCTTATTACGCATCCTCAGGCTTTACTACCCTCTTCAGCCACTCTTGTAGATCGCGCAGCTCCTCTGTGCTTGTCGAGTGGGGCACGTCCTCATATGAGTAGAACGTTAGCCCGCCCTTCTCCGGAGCCCGCGGGTCCGCAGGCTTGATGCCCAACTCGGTCTTGAGGAATTGAATCGAGGTGAGACCCATCGACTGGAACTCAATGAGCGGGTCGTCCTCGCCATGGCCCCAGAACATAGGTGTCTGGAGGTTGTTTGGTGTCGCCATGGCCTTGATCTTCTTGCTCAGCGGGAGCCACCCGCTGAGCACCGCGACACCGGCGAACTTGCGCTCCGCTGTGAGGGCGGCGAGAAGGCTCATCGCACCGCCCTGGGAGAAGCCGCCGATAAGGATGCGATGGGAGGGGATGCCGTCGTCGACCTCCGCCTGGATAAGCTTGTTGACCGATGCGACGGACTTGAGCATGCCCGGCTCGTCCTCGGGTGCACGGGTATCGAAGTCGTAGATGTCAAACCTGCACATGGAGTCGTTGGGAAGACAGCGGGCTGAGGACGCGGCGGGCTCACCAAGAGGGCATCTGCATCCCCATGTTCGCCGTGACAGGGATGGGAGGTCTATGGGACCATCGAGTCTGCATTCATGGTCTTGTGCAGACATGGATAGACGACGTACGCGTGTGGGAGCACCCACTTGATGTGGCCTAGACCCGCGTCACGACTGAACATGTCCGCCACTGGCTTCCAGCCATGTCCTGAGTCACCCAGACCCTGTGTGTTCCCATGTCAGCCACGGTTCTGCTGCTCGTGTACAACCCACGAACGTGGATGAAGATGACGGTCGCGGTGTGCTTCGTGCGCGGGCTGACGGTGAGGAACCTGAGGGGCGGCAGGGCAGCCATGTCGTCGGGTACCCAGGATATCCGCGGATCAGCTGTAGTGGTCGGGGGAGACGACGTCCAGCGACGAGCGAGGCCAAGCGCAAGGACGAGGAGGAGAGCGACGAAGAGGCAGGCACGCGAGTGCAGCATCAACGCTGAGGCCCATCCTCGCCTGCAATCAATTCCCAGATCCCTCCCACAAGCCGATCCTCTCCGATCGCGGGGTCTCTTTCGATCTTTCGATCGCGCTACCGTCACCGAATAAATTGGCAATATCCGTCCCTCCCGCCGCCTCCACCACACTCAGCCCATGCAGCCCGACACGACCCCGCCCGCACAGGCCTCGCAGCCGACCGAGGACGCGCCCGCCGCCGCTCCGGCGCAACCGCTCTCCAAAAACGCGCAAAAGCGTCTCGCAAAGGCCGCTCTCATCGCGGAGCACAAGAAGGAACGCCGCGCAGCGGAGAAGGAGAGGCGCAAGGAAAAGAAGCGCATCCTCGCGGAAAAGCGGGCAGCGGGCGAACTGGACGAGGACGAGGACGAGGACGCCCGGGCGAGCAAGAAACGCAGGACGGGGGCCGGGCCCAAGCGGCCCTTCAAGGCGCGGGTGGTCGTGGACCTCGGCTTCGACGACAAGATGCAGGACAACGTGAGTGCTTGCCTGTCTGAGACCGTGCGCAGCTTGTGTAAGGGAGGTTCCCCATGTAGGAGGTCAGGTCGCTCGTATCGCAACTCGCCTACACGTACAGTGCAAACCGGAAGGCGGAGCAGCCCTTCGAACACTTGCTGTTCACGTCGCTCAACGGGCGGACGTTCACGCGCATGGAGGGTATGAGCAATGCCGCATATAAGCGGTGGGTCAATGCAGAGTGGTGGACGGAGGGTTACGAACGCTTATGGGAACAATCCGAGGCGGCGAACGGCGAGAGTTTGTCTAACGAGCAAGCTTCAACAATCTCGGAGGGTGAGGGCACGCAAAAGGGCGCAGGACAGGTGAACGACCAGAAGGAAACTGTTGAAGGCGAAGATGCTCCTGCAGCCATTGGCGCAGCGGAGAGTAAAGCAGAGCAGGCCAGGCGGACTCGCGGTGACAGGGACAGACAAAAGGCATCGTCAACAGCACCCAAGGAATCCGTGGTGTACCTCACCGCCGACTCACAAGACGAGCTCACGGAGCTGAAAGAGGGCGAAACTTACATCATTGGCGGCATATGTGATCATAATCGATACAAGGTGCATAGCTCCCTCTCCACATCACGAATAATGTAACACTCAACCCTCTCCTACGTTCGTCACCAGAACCTTTGTTTCGACAAGGCGGAATCCTCCGGCATACGCTCGGCTCGCTTACCGATTGGGACATACCTCGCGTCGCTGAAGACGCGCAAGGTCCTCACCGTCAACCAGACGTTCGAGATCCTGCTCAACTGGGTGGAGACGCGGGACTGGGAACAGGCCCTCGAGGCAGTCATTCCGAAGAGGAAGTTCAACAACGAGGGGCGGAAGAGAGGCGGGCAAGCGGGCAGAGAAGGCGATGCGGCTGAGGACGGGGGAGGTGATGAGGACGAGATCGTTGTGGATGCAGCGGAGATGGAGGAAGCTGAGCAAGCAGATATGCTAGGTGCGGCTGGAAATGAGCAGGCAGAACGGACCACAGAGATAGCATAAACGGAGGCTTGAAGCCTAGCTCCATAATGTACGAACCCGTTGTCAGAACAGCAAGGAGCAGGGTCGATCTTGAGAGACGCACAGTACTGTGGTGTAGACTGGTGTACACAAGCGGCATAAGAGGGCAACCAGAGAAGACTAGAGAAGACAGCAACGAGATAGCGGAGTCCAGAGGAGATGATGCGAAACGCATGGATATAGCTGTCAATGAGTGCAACCTCGTAGCACACGGTAGCAGTGATCATTTTCTCGCCCGCGTCGATCGCCGCGGATTGGAACTTCCAGCCGTTTCTTCATGATCGTCCTCCGCCTTCCTCTTCTGACCCCGCCTCTTGGCATCATTTTTCGTCGCAGTTTGATCCTCTTCGTCCTCTTCACTTGGAGCGTCTTCTGCGTCCTCGTCTTCGTCCTCATCTTCATCGCGGGCTTTCTTGCTCTTCCTAGCACTAACCCTGGGTTTACGAGCTTTCTTGGCCGCTGCTGCAGGCTTCGCCTTCGCCTTCGCCTTGCTCGACGCGACCGTCTTTGCATCCCACCCGCCCTTCTCTGCTAGCTGTAGGATAACGTCCCATGTCTTCTCTTCCACTCTCTGAACACTGAGCCGGCCGCGGGTCACCAGCGCCATCTCTGTAGCAAAGATGAAGAAAGTTGGTCGGAATGAGACAAGGCTAGCATGAAGGATACGTACGCTTGATGGCCTTTACCCCGTCTTCGCCGATGTAGGCTACTTCTTCCGGGACGTCGTCTTCGGACGCGAGAGAGATGTTGCGTAGGAGTGCGAGGGGGACGAAGTGAGTCGCTCGAGAGATGAATGTTACATCGACCATGTACCACTTAGGGTTCTCCTTGTCAGTCTTCTGGTCGTGATAAGGATGCGAACTGAGTGTCAGGGATGATGAACATTCGTGAGACACGGCACAGGAGTGACTCCGAAGACGTACGGATCCCATGCGGTGTCTATGGAAGTCGGCGTATCTTAGCTCTGAAGCCTTCTACGGGTCAAGGACGCACTCACAATCGGGATAAGCTTCCATAGATACCTACAACATGATTCAGACAACACCTTCCAATCGCTATGTGTATGCCCACCGTACCTCCGCGAAGGCTGCGATGCCTGGGACCTTACAATTCGAATGGTAGAACAGCACCTACCCTACCATCGTCGCACAACACCCATAATGACATACATATGAACTCACCTTGTCCCCCAACTTCATCTCCTTCATCAAGTTCCTTGCCTCTGCATTCCTGACGCCCTCCCAAGGCGTCGTCTTCACGCTCTCGAAGTCGTCCACACTGAACTGCGCGCTTCGTATCAACTTCGCTCTGACGACCGAAACTTTGTCCACCACGGACCTTGACGTCCTTACCCTTCACGATGCGCGAGTCAGGCTCGGCTTTCATGAGCCAGTGTTTCGGCGACATGGCCTTAGATATAGAGCCCACGTTGCAGATTTAGGACGACAATGGAATGACCAAACAAGATCGGGAGACAAGCGATCACACGGACACGCGACCTCTAGTTACCGGGCCCGTGACGTCGACAGCGCGGAGGAAGTCGAACACGGCGAGCAATAGGTGTTACGCGACGCTGCGCACGCGAGCAGGCTACTTTGCGGCGGGTGGGGAGCAAGAGGCAAGAGAGGCTGGAAAGGCCACCGGGACACGCGAGGGCGGGACAAACGCGTGTGACAAACGCGGAGTGTTGCAAACATCGGAAAACACGCCTTGGTCGCCAACCTCGACCACCCCGCCTACATCATTTTCACCTGTTATCGCACACACCCCTTCCACGCGCTGTGGCCGTCCTCACTGTCATGAGCAGCGTCCATGCTGCCGGATCTGCCACAGAGACCCAGACTCAGCCACTTGACGCAACACCCGACCAAGTCGAACAGCCCGCTTCAACAACCACTACCAACACGGGCGAGGCCCTCGGCGATGGCGTCGCTGGGCCATCTACGGCATCCCTGGACACCGAAGGGCGTGTCAATGGCGCGGAGAAAGCAGCAACGGCCAAGGAACCGACCATCGGGCCGGGGGCACTGCAGCCTGGCGAGGGGGTCGTGACGATGAGCGAGGTAGAGCATGTCGAGGGGGCGGATGCGGAGCAGGAGCAGGGCGCGGTCATAGGAAGCGACGAGTCCGGTCAGTGGACAGAGGAGGATAGCCACGAGCTGAAGCGCGTCAAGGTGTACGAGCTCATCGGCTCGCGCTGGGTCGACCAGGGCACCGCGTTCTGCTTCGGCGACTTCCAAGACAACGAGGCGCTGTTGATCGCTCGCGCGGAGGCCGACTTCAACCATGTCATTCTTTCAACCACTATTCGGACGAACGACGTATACCAGAGGCAGCAGGGTGAGTGATAAGTGTACGTTGGTGATTCAAGTACATGCTGACTGCGCGGCGCAGACACCCTTATTGTTTGGACTGAGCCAGATGGGGTGGATTACGCGCTCAGTTTTCAGGATCCCGAGGGTTGTGCGGAGGTATGGCATTTCATTCAGGAGGTGCAACGACATATGAGTAACCGAGGTGCGTATGTATCCGCTCATGTCCCCGCATACATTTAGCGTAACCGCCGCAGAAGATGCGGGAGTCTCCTCTTCACCAATATTGGGCCCTGAGCCATTGGTATCGACCGCGAACATCATTCGCTCTGGCCACCTACCGCAGCCTCAACTAGGCATCATTGGTGAGATTGAACGTGCGATCAAGTCTCTGGCGCGCACGAACGCCATCAAGGAGCGCATATGTGAGTACATTCAAACTGAGGTGAGTGCAGTGTCGACTTGGCTCTAGCCCTGTGTCTCACGACAAGCGCGTGTAGGACTATATAAAGTCAATGATCAATGTCATGAACCAGGCAGAAGATCTGGAGAGTCTGGAAAATCTACATGCTCTATGCTCGTGTATGCAAACCATCCGTGAGTACCCAAGCATCGCTGCGTCAACTACCACACCTCACGATCTGCAGTTATGCTCAACGACCACAGCCTCTACGAACATATCCTGGAGGACGACATCTTCTTGGGTGTCGTCGGAATGCTCGAATGTCCGTCATGCCGCTCCGCACCATACACGCCCACTGACTAGTACATGATCTAGACGACCCTGAGTTCCCAACTCATAAAGCCAACTATCGCGAGTTCCTGCACCAGACCTCGCGCTTCCACCAGCCTGTCCCTCTTCGTGACGAAACGATCCAGAAGAAGGTCCATCACACCTACAGACTGCAGTTCCTCAAGGACGTGGTCCTTGCTCGTGCCATTGACGATTCGACGTTCAACGTCCTTAACTCCTGCATCATCTTCAACCAGATCGACATCATAAATCACGTCCAGAACGACCCTGCGTTCCTACTCGAGGTCGTATGCACATTCTTGGACGACAATATGATCGAGTTGTTGGGCCTGGAACCTCTGCGCAAGGTGCATCCACAGGATTTGGAGAACGACAAGGACAAGATGGACGTCGATCAGGCGCAGGAGCGGTCTCCCAGTGGCGTTCCGTATCCCAATGGGACTACCGCTGACGGTGTGTGTCGCCCACGGCCGTGTACGGAGGAGGAAGTCGTTCAGGCCCGAGAGATCATCTTCCTCATCCAACAGCTCTGCGTCATGGGGAAGAATGTCCAGCTTCCCGCCCGAATGGCTTTGTTCCGTGCTTTGGTCGATCGCGGGATCTTGTTCGGCGTGCAGTGGGCTATGTCTCAACCGGAGTCGGAGGAGCAGGGACGCCAGATGATCTCCGCTGCTGGCGAGATTCTAACGGCTTTGCTCGATCATGACTTGAATGGCGTACGAGGACATGTACTGAAACAGGTCGTGGCAGCAGAGAGGGAGAAGTCGATGGGCAAGAAGGTGCCGGAGAGGGAGACGATGCTGTTCTTGATGTGCAGGGTACTCGTCAAGAGCCGGGATCTGGCGGTACAGAGCCAGCTCGGTGAATCCCTCAGGACGCTGTTGGAAACGCAGCAGGACCCGCCGGATGTACACGTGAGTGATGGTCATCCTCCGGTGCGCTTGGTTTCTCATGCGGTATAGCCGATGGCTGGTATTAAATTCTTTCAGCGTAACAAGGATGAACCTGGCGTTGAGCGCTTCCTTGACAATTTCTACAAGTTCTGCATCGAGACCTTGTTCCGGCCATTCGGTGATATTCCCGAGTTCAGGACGCTTACAGGCAGGTTGTACATTCGCTCGAGGTCATCCTATGTTGACAGTTGTGTAGAACCGCGACTCACGATGTCGAGGGAACGGACTAACCTATTCTTGTATCTGTGTGACCTGCTGTCTATGTTTACGCTACAACATTCCTTCCGCATCCATTTCTTCATCCTCTCCTCGAACATCGCGACGCGCGTAGCCTCTCTGTTGACCGCCAGAGATAAACATCTCAGATTAGGTATGGCCCCGCCACGGATAGATCCCGGACCCCGCGTTGATAATTATCTAGCCGCCTTCCGATTTTTCCGGGCATGTGTCAAGCTCAACAACCAGAACCTATTCAACTATCTTCTCAAGCACGATATCTTCCAGCCTATCCTTGATCTTACTGCTGAAGAGTCGCGGAGGGACACACTCCTTAGCGCGTCATGTCAGGAGCTCTTCGAACACATGCGCAAGGTTTGTGACAATTGCTTGACAGCCATGTGCTAGAAATAACACATGGTGTGCTCGCACAGGAGAACATGAAGGAGGCAATTAACCAGTGCATGATCATGTACGAGGCCAAAGTACGGACACTAGCCGAGAATCCCTTGCTTGGCCCCCGGTTCCAGAATTTTATTCGCCGCTGGGAGATGAACAACGCGCCCCCACCCGAGGAAGAGAAGAAGACTGAGGCGTACGTGATGCGCTTCTCACTGCGCTTGATAGACATCGCTGATCACCTTACAGTCCAATACCAAACGGCGCTCGGCGCTGGGGTCAGGGTCGCTTTCCCGAGGCGGAGGAAGAAGACTACTTCAATACCGACGACGACGAGGACATCGTGCCCGTCATGTCTTCACCACCACCCAATCCCCGCAGCAATACGCTGAAGCGGAAACGCACCACCATGATGCGGAGACAGCAACCTCCACATACATCCGCCGCTCCGTCGCAGCCACTCAGCGCGCTTGTTGCATACGATGACAACGACGACGTCGACGGCACCGAGAGCTTTGATGTCCGCCTCCCGCAGGCTGATGAGCCTCCTGCGTTGTCTTCGCCATCAATACCACGCAAACTTCCCGAAACGACCAGCAGTTACTTCCCTACCACCGACGAACCGCCCGCTAGCCCGCGGATGTCCCACAAACAGATCCCGCCTAAGCCCTTGGTCTCACAACCAGGGGATGAACAGGACGATCTCTTGGAGCACATATTCAACAACTCGCGACCGTCATCACCCTCGCCCAGCAGTAAACCCCCAGAACTTGGCGCGAAGAGGCGACGAGATGACGACGACGACGAGCTGCTTGAGCGGTTGGCTACGAGGTCGAAGCGCCCAAGTATATCGCAGAGTCCGGAGAAGGAGAAGTCAGATCCTCCACCCATCGCAGGCAGGGTTGGCCCTACGAAAGCGGCTGAGGAGGGCCCCAAGAAGATCAAGCTGAAGTTCGGCGTGGTTGGTGCGGCTGTGGCAGCATCACCGTCTACGGAGCCTGCACCTTCAGATCCTGGCACGAAGGAAGGGGACAATGGCTAGCTAGGGATATGTTACTGCATGCTTATGTCTCCGTTGTACTGCTGTTGTCAAGCTCATGTTGGTATGACCGTGTAGAGTCTCATGAATGCATTCTGTTGTTCTGTTGTCCACGGATGCTAGTGCCGGTGACTGCATACCACTACGAATTTGATCAAGGTTCGCTCTATAAGTTCAACCAGAATGATGAGCTAGGCGCGTTGTGAATGTGGGGGAACGTCCTCACAGCCAGATTGTCCGGACGTGGTCTTATTGTGTCCAACAGACGTTGACTATACCACGGTCAGACCATGGTTGAAGCAGGGTATGGAACACATCGGCAATCCTTCGACTGATATCGTCTACCTCGTCTTCGCTCCGTTCACGCGCATCGAACAGTAGCATCTTCACTTCGACATCCTCCAGAACGTCGAAGTACGATCGGCTCATGACCTCGTGCAGGCGGTGTAAATCGAGCTCCTCAGGTACCACGTTGAGCTGGCCGTACGCGCTGTCGTAAAGCATTATACCACAGCGGAGCCCGATGCGTCTGAGCTGGTGGCTCTTGACTGTCGAGAGGACGCTGCGTAGCTTGGTGACGAGCTTGAACCAATTGTCGCGCGTCGGCCCCTGCGGGTTGATATCGGTCAATGTGCAGTCCAGGGACCGCAAGACTGTGTTTTGTATTAGGTTGCCGTGCCAGTCTAGATCACGCATCAGCGTTCGCGGATTCAAGGTGATGAGGTAGACATTCCTCACTCGAGAGATCGGCAGTTTCGCTGTATCGAGTTAAGGTCGGCCCAGCTGACCTAAGGAGCCTGTCGACTGCCTCGATGTCCCGCGATGGTTTGCCAATCCACCCGATTGTCAGTTCATCGAGCGAATGGCAAATCTTCGAGCCCACGATCCAGTAGATGATGGGTCTGAATTTCCTCGCATCACCCCTCGCATCGAGCGTAAGCCTTCGAAGACGTATGTCGGACTCTGGGTGGAATTGTACGCGAGCTCCTTCGTGGCTCGCAAGACTTTGTGGAGTGAGGATGTCGCCATATAGAGCGAGGTCAGTCAGCCGGGGAAAGGCGGAGATGATCCGCCGTAGTTGCGATATGTTGTTCAGCGTACAATTGGACAAACGCAACGACTTGAGGGACTCGAATTGCGTCAAGCCAAGGAAGAAAGTGATCGGCATGGGATGATGCAGCCCTTTCAACGTCAGTATTTGGACCCCTGACATTACACGGCCGAGGGCAGGCGGCAGTGCGTGAAGGAAGCGAGCATGCTTTCTCAGAGCTCCCTCCTCTAGAGATAGGCTAGCCTTGACTTGTGGGTTTGAGGCGACGAGCTCGCACGTTGTGGCAAGCCACCCCTTTATCCGAGAAGACGTGCGAGTCAGCTTGAATAGCACGTCGTAGCTCCTGCGAGTATGAAGCTCCACTTTGTAGTAGAGGTTGTACATGGCCCGGGGATACCATGCTGTGCAAACCAACGCCGCTATTGGCAATGCGGATCGCTCCATGTAGTCAATGATGGATTCTAGTACCTCAATCGGTATGCGGGTAGACGGGGCTGGTGAAGGTGGGCCAATGCTGCCTCCGGCCCATACGTCTCCCACGTCGTCTCGGACAAGCGGCGCGCACTCGACAGAGGAAGGAACCTACACGAACGCGTCAGCAAGAACTTGACATTAGATAGGCCGATGCATACGGTACAGGACTCCATTGCTAGTACGCTGCAGTGCAGTTAGGTTGCTCTCAGCGAGTCGCTCCAATGGGTCGACCGCTGGCCTGGATAGTACGTACGACGTGGATTGATCACGCCTATCTCAGTGGGTGTCAGCGAGCTACCAATCAACCAGACGACACTACTTACTATCAACGCTCAAACAGAGTATGCAAGGCTTGATTTCATCACAAAAAGCTCGTGCGCTGGTGGCTGAAGCTTTGAAGAGTTGCGGACAAGTTGCGGGGTGCGCCGACACGTTCATAGTCACTAACACCAGCCACACCGATACGGTGCCGCCTTACAGACACCTGCACTCGCATTTGTACTTAGGATTGAGCATATCATCATTCATCCATGGGCATAACACAGTCGAGAGAATACTTAGTAGTATACATATGATGTACGAAAAGGGAATCAACACGATGAACCCTGGTGAGACTAGCCAAACAGCATGTATGCAAATAATGCAAGAGCGGGGCAGGCAGTGCTAATGTACCGGAACAGTCAGACAGTGCGCGAGAACAAACAAAGAGACATTAAGAGGCAATCGTAATTCGTTCGAAGGGCGAATAGGAGAGACGTAACTAGAACGTGCTGCGAGGATATTGCGAATGGAAGAAGTCCGAACCGAATGTCAGCGGCGCTGTAACGAGGCTAAATATGCACAGGAGATGTGAGGATGTGGGTTCATATGAGTACTGTATACATGCACACTGAGCGAGTGATCAGCCTGCGCGACTGGGCTCTAGGTTGGGGGTAGTGGGGGTGATGTTGTGCGAGAGGGGATCAGAGTTGCCGTCAGCAATATTGGATTGATCGGGTATCGTTGAATGCGTTGGTGAAATGCCGAAAGGTGAAAACATGCTCGTGGTCCCCTGCGTCATGCCGAATGCCTGCGGGTTGACTCTGGGGAACGTCCCGTTGGGACTCGTCAATGTAGAGAATGGTCCCGTAGGCGGCGGCGAAACGAAGCGCGGGGGAGGCGGAGAAGTCGTATAATGATAAGAGGACGTCGGCGAAGTCACGGTGGACGTGTCACGGCGGGGACGGGCACCTTCAACCTCGGCCTGTCTCTGTGCGGCGAAGGCCTCCAAGGACGCAGCAAAGGATTGTTGGTGCTGCATGCTAGAGCCGTTCGGGCCGCCAGCACTCGTCGGCGTGCGTACACCCAATGGGTTCTTGCTGTAGGAAAGACGGATCCCGCCGCCCTTCACCAAACCGCCGAGAGTATTGCCATACAGTTCCTGTAGGGCCTTGGTGGCGTAATGGACATCCTCAAACTACGACAATAATCAGTGCATGCGGTTTGCGGGAGGACTGAAGGGACATACCTCGACGAAGCACATCGGCCCGTTGCTCTTCTGCCTGAAGCAAAGCTTGCGGTAGCCAAGCCTCTTCGAGAACAAGTCCCTGAGACGATCCTCCAGGTGATTGAGGGGAAGACCGCCGGCGGTAGAAGTGGGCAGGTTCCCGACGTAGAGCGTATTGATCTGGAACAAACAGTGAGATGCAGAATCATCTTCGCTGCACACGAGTGACTTACCGGAGGGTTCTGATCGCCAGGGTTTCGTCCAGAGCTTGCACCAGACGCCGGAGACGGGAGCTGCGGCGAAGTCATGCCTGAATCGGTGTTGACAGCCAAAGCCGCGACCGAGCGCGAAAGCTCTTCGTCGTGACCGTTCTGCGACCCACTAGCGCTAGATGCACTGGAGAGAGGCTGCGAGGAGAGAACAGCCTCCGCGGAGTCAACGGCCTGTTGCAACATCTGCTCGGTACCAGGAGACGAGGGCCTCGGACGAGATGGAAGGGAGGGATGGCCCGGAAGCGACGAGGAATTTGATTGTGGCGAGAAGGGCGCACTGTAGTTGCCTGGAGCCGCGTTACCATTCTGCACAGTAGGGACGTCAAAAGACGCTGGCGGCGAATACTGCGGCGGAGACGCAGGACGAGCAGGCAGTGTCGGCGAGAAGACGGGGGCAGACATCTTCCTCAAGGCAGCGCTAGCTCCCACATCCCTGAGACTGGTCCACGGCCCATTGCTCAGGCCGTTGATACCTTCACCTTGAGACGGGACGCTCGACATCGCGGGCGGGGATGGCAACGACGAGCCCACACCGTTCGGCAACATGCCATTCTCAGCGGAGAGGAGCGAGTTTACGCTCTGACGAGCCATTTGCTGGGGTACGGAGTGGAACGCCTCGAACGCATCCGAGTTGTCGCGCAGCCGCAGGTGTTCCTTACGCTTCCGCTCGCGTTCTCGCTCGTCTTCCTCGGCACGTTCACGAGCACCGCGAGTGCCCATGGCGCCAGCCCCGAGCGATCCTACGGGACCCATGTCTGATCGGCGCCGCTCACGCTCGTCCTCGACGCGTCGATCGATCATCCGCTCACGGCGCTGCCCAAGGCCGGTGATGCCCATAGCACCGATGGCACCAAGCTCACGATCGCGCTGAGCCAATGCTTCGGTGTTACCAGCGGCTGCGTTTGCACCGAGGCCAGCAAGGCCGTTCAGACCGGAATATCCAGCGAGGTTCTCGGGCATCTGCGGAGCAGCGTTGTTCATGAAGTTGTTGTTCATCGGCACACCCGGCGGCACGCCTGGTCCTCGCTTCGTGTGCAGGTTCTTCTTCGCCATCTCTGCTTTGAGGACAGCGCCGCGCTCAATGTCGACACGACGCCCTTGGAGGACGTCACGTGCTTCCAATGCCTCCTGGCGGGTGCGGAACTTCGCGAAACCGATGATCTGCTTGCGTGGCGGCTGTACTGGGAGGTTAGACGGGACGAAGTGGCTGTCGTCCGTGGCAGCGGGCCACGAAGTCGTCGGACCGTCTCGGCCACCATCAATGACAACACCGCCCTGATTCACAGTAACCAGGTTGTACGGATCATTCGAACCGGGGTATTGCGTGCGGGCACTGGGACCCGAAGGACCGTTCGTTCCTGTACCGTACGCGGTGAACTCTTTGTTGGGTATTTTGAGCGTCGCCGCCTCGAAGCCAGACGAGAAGGTGAACATGTTCTGGAATTCACGTTCCTGCGAAGATACAGATGAATCAGTGCGATCCAATGGTGACATCAGGAGGATTGATCCCGGAAACTAGTACCCACCTGCATGTCTTCTGGGAAGCCAACGACGAAGATGGTAGAGATTTCTTCCTGCTGATGGTTCTGCGAAGCCCCGTTCACATGGTTCATCCCCGGACCTCCGGTGAGCGATGCCCCTTGCCCAGTGACAGCTCCAGACCCGGCTATAGTAGTGGGGAGAGTGGGTCCGAACTGTGTGTGCGCAGGGAGAGCGCCGGGGGGAGCATGAGAGAGATGCGAGAGGCCGTTTCCGAATGCTCCCTGGAACGGCTGCTGCGAACCCTGCTGATGGAGGGGTAGCGTCGTAGGCAGTGACGTCTGCTGGCTCATCTGCTGCGACTGCAGCAGACTCTCCAAACCCGGGCGGAACCCCCCGTCCATCGAGAATTTGTTGTGGGCAGTGCTGTTAGCGCCCAGGCTCGACGCATTCTGGACACCCACGGTGGCGAAATCTTGTGCTCGCCCGGGGGCGGACATCGAGTCAAATCCGAACGCGGAGGACTGAGCTTGCTGGTTTTGCGCGCCGAACATGTCCCCCGACTGCTGGTAGGCAACTGTGTTGAATGCCGCTGAGGTGTCGCGGAAGGGAACGTTGTTGTGGCGTGGACGGGGAGGGAAGGGGTTGAACGACAAGGAGGACCTGCTGTTGAACGGGCCTGAGCCGAACCCGTTCAATTTGGCCTGAAGATTAAGAGCGTCGGGCTCCGCGGAATTGAGAGGATTGTAGTCGGGGGGAATGTGGAGGTTGTTCATGCTGTTATACATCGAGTGGCTGATATTGTTACTTTGCGCAGCAGCGGAGTACGGGTCGACAGGATGAGATGCAGGCTTCAAGTTGTTCGCAATGGTCATGGTACTGCTGGGCGAGTTGGAGCGAGCGGGTTGCTGGGATTGCATGGAGATATGGTATGGCACGGATGGGGAGCCTATAGACATGGAGGACGAGCTGGGCAGCGACCCGAACGCGTTCCCGGTTGTACCCGTAGCTTCGGAGTCGGATGAGGATATGGGCTCTGCGTCCGCCTGCGCGTCGACGCTGTCTAGGAGGGAGCGATTGATGAATTCCTCGCCGGAGGGATGAGAAGCCACGGCGGAAGGGAAGAGGGGCGGGCGGGCAGTAAGCGATGAAGCCAGGCTGGGCAAACGCGACGACAGTATGGTACTCTTTAGGTGCTTTGACGATATAGGAGGCGGCAACAGGGCGGTGCGAGAGAAAGGCGGGTTCAGAACATCAACAGCCAGGGCGGCGACGGGGACAGCTAAGCAGGGGAAACGCGTGGGGCTGTCGGTATAAATACAGACGGGTGGTGACTAGAGCAGCTGGGTGCAATAGGGTAGGTGGTGAGCGACGTGCGAGAGACGGCGAGCGCGACGCGTGAGAGGAAAGCAGGAGCGCAGCGAGCGCGATGCGTGTTGTTGTGAGCGAGGAGTGGGGAGCAGCGCGAGCAACGCACGTAGAATGCGTGGCAGAGTCGATGAGATCGTCGGCGACAGCGAGGACGGGGATCTGCTCGCTGTGGCTGGCGGCGAGGAGGAGGTGATCGAGGGGGTGGGTCAGAAGGCGGACGGCCGGGATGCGCCCGGAGTGTAAATGCTCCCTGCCAATGCGACACGCATTCCCACGCACGGACCCCTTTACCTTATATGGAAAACTAAAGTACCAAGCCTAACCTTATTTAGCCACAGGAACCACAGACCACGTGGCCGGCCCCTCTGCGGGCGTCTGTCAGCACAATGGCCGGCCTTGGGGCCCATCGTCGTCGCCATTGTCCGCGGCGAGCAAACACCAGAGGACTCACCAAAGATAGTGTGTGCGGCCCCCCATTGTCTATCATTGTCCCCTCCTATGCCTCATAGCGTCTTGTTTGGCAAAGACGGGTGTGGATGTATGCGCGTAGGCGGCCTCGTCGACTATAGTCTGCGCGCATTGAGGGGAACAATACATGGCACCAAGCAGCAGTTGCCAACATACGCCGCACAAGGGTTCGAGAATGGAAAAGAAAGTCGAGGGGGTCGCTGCCGCCGTCGTCGTCGAAGGGAGAGAAAGAGAGAGAGAGCGGAGAAGCATGGGCCGGGCCAAGGAGTTGAGCCCACGCGAACGAGACACACCTTCACCGTGAAATTGCCAAAAGCGCACCTGCCGACCGCCCGCCGGTGCGCCCGGTTCGTACGGTGGATCGATTGAGTGCACCGTCTCCGGGCTTTGATGGTCTCCTCTTACTTATTTCCTTATGACTCTGAGATACAACGATTAGACTACACGTTCCGCCCATAGATATCCTGATTACGAGTGTCTATAGTAACATCCATCCTGCAATAATCCGTCATACGGGCGATATCCGACGTCAAGCATGCTATGCTTGCGATGTCTACGAACGCGAAGAAGTGATAGAATGACAGCATTCAGTGCGTAAAGAGTCGTCCAGACGGTCGTCAATCAAACATCAATCACCGGGATACACGCCCTGCGGACAGCGCGCTGCACGGTGAGACGACCTCAGTTAGCGTCGGCGCAGACTCCAAGCGTACACTGCAACCTACCTCCGAGGTCACCACTCTGCCCGGTCAGACCCATGTATCCAGCCTCCGTGGTGAATACCGCGCATCCGCAACGACACTTCGTATCCGGTGAGGAAGCTCATCAATGCCAACAGTACAATGGCCCAAAAGAGCGCAGTGATGAATCGCCATCGCGCGCGGCTGTTCGCCTCTGCAATGGCATAAGGCGAGCGGGGGTCGTAGTACGGCAGAAGCTGTGTCTGCTGTTGGATGGGCGTCGGGCCATAGGCGGCGTGTGTGGGGAAGGGTGAAGCTATGGGAGTGTTCGGGCCGCTGACTGGAATGCTCATCGCTGAGGGCTGCCCGTGAAGTGCAGGGTCTGCAACCTCCGTATATGGAGGAGGAGGGGACGATGGCTTCGAGGGGGAGGACGACTCAGCAGCCATTGTGAGTCGCCGATGGAGCTCGTTGCGGACTGAACAACGCAAGGCGCTGGGTGGCCGTGGTCATGGCGCACGCTGCCTAACCCTAACCACGCACCCCGCTGCGAACTGACTTCTTTGATTCTCTAAGTACATGTACACTGCACTGGTGCGTGTAACCAATTCCTCGTTGATTATTCCTTCCTTGCTTTTACACGCGGTGAGTACAGTATACTACATCCCGCCCCCTTCATATACTAATAGGCCGTGCTTATGGGTGCTCGAGGAGATAGCCACCATCGACTGTTACGATCTGCGCGCGACGATATTCAGCCGCCGCATCGAGAGTGAGATCGCGCGAAACAACTTACCTGGCCGTAAAGGTATTGGTTGCATGCCAAGAAGAGTGCGGCTTGCGCCATATCCTCTTCCCCACCAGGCCGTCCAGCAGGTATGCCTTTCTTCTTGCCGTACGAGTCGTCCGTCGGAATGGTCGACTTGTTCTTCTCATTGGAGTCGGAGGCTAGTGATATCGATCAGCCATATGCCTTCTTCGAATGTCAAGCGAGCGCACTCACCAGTCATCTCACTCGGGAAGATACCAGGCGCGATGGAGTTCACGCGGACCTTGACACCTGGGCGACGCATCTCCTGCGCGAGCAGCGTGTTCAGCTGGATGGCAGCCGCTTTGGAAGTGTTGTATGCTATATGGTGTTGCGACATCCGCGTGATGCCTGACATCGACGAGATGTTGATGACGCTTCCTATATGTCCCGCACCACGCTTCGTCGCGGCAGACAGGAGGGGCAAGAAAGCGACAGTCGTGAAGAAATGACTGTGCAGACGAGGTCAGCTTGCGAGTAGTAAGTCAGGTGGTGAATCGAACGTACCCCATAACGTTCGTGCGGTAAACCTCTTCCCACATCTTCATCTCCTCACTCCAGAGCTGCTCTTGTAGGGCCTCGGCGCTCTCGTCTCCCTTCTCGACGGTACTCGTATCCCCATCGATACCCGCATTGTTCACGAGCACGTCGACATGGTCCTCATGCTTCGCGACCTCTCGCGCGAGGTTTTGGATGGAGCTTTTGTCTGTGATGTCCGTAGTTACGGGTATGATCCTGCCCTCTGGGTGAAGCAGCTTTGAGCCCCATTCTTTTGCAGTAGTCTCGAGCACTTCCGCGCGACGTCCAGTGATGTATACTCGTGCGCCGTTATTCGCGAATGCCTGCGTGATCATGAGGCCGATGCCTGTACCGCCGCCAGTCACGACGACGGTCCAGCCCTGGACATCGAAGAGGTTCTTGATAGCGAACTTTTGATTCCCTTCTGCCATCATTGTGACTGGTCTAAATGTGCTGAACTCGGCGTAGCGAGATGGAACTCGTTTGGATGCGTGCGGAACGGAAACAGCTGGACGGGCGAGTCGACCTGGGAGACGAAAGGTGGACAGCATGGAAACAGTGAGGATGGCCCTTTTGTACGCTTTTGAGTCCGCTGAACAGCATCGTGCATATATCCTGACGGTGAGTAGTCTCCCCTAGGCAGACCCTAAAGAAGACCTCTTGGACGGACAGGGGGGGCGGTCTTCTAAGGGTCTGCTTCAAAACGCGTCCCTGATACTGGAGCAGCCCTTACGCTACCCATTTTTTGATGGCCGAACCATTCCGGTGGCTACGGCAGGCTGCCGGTGGCTCGGGCAGTTCGGCCGGTGGCTGCGCTTAGATCTGTCTGCGATATAATCATAACTCGTTCAATTTCTTCAGGGCCAGGCGCGGGCGAACAAGGCTGGCATCCAGTACATAGTCACAGTCTCGCAGTACATAACAAACCGACAGCCCCGAATGGGCCCAGTGTCGCTAATTGGTTAGTTGCACGAGTCATTCTCGCGAAGTGCAAGGTCGATGGACTCGGACGCAATGCTATCTACGTCGAACCTGTGTCGCAAATTCTTCCGCTTCTCGTCCAAGTCCCTTCGTCTTTTCTGCGAGCGTTGATTGCGGAGCCTCCTCTGCATGTTCATATGTGTTCCGAGGTAGGTACATGATTGAGCATGCACTGCGACCGCGACCGTCCCAGGGCGCTGTAACATGACATTGAGGTCGTCCAAGATGTATCCATGAGAAACAACGTCATCAATTGTCGTTACGTCAATACCGAACGCCATGGAGGCCGTGTCTGTACCGATTTTTAGCCGTTCCCGAGGGTCCAGTTGTCGCGAAAGAGTTCGAGGGTTTGTTTGACATATGTTGCACTGCAAATCGAGATGAACGTTCGGACGTCATCCTCGTGGTCGGTGAGTTCCTTCACTTTGTTCCGGAGGTATGTCGAAAGTCTGTGGAGAGTGCAATTGTCTGGCAGAAGATGATGACTCACCAATCTTCCTCGAGCACCCATTGCAGTTCAGAGAACTCCGCAGACTTCTGTGGAGATGAAACTACAGTTCGAAAAACCCAGCGAATGTCGTACCGTGCGTTCAACCGGCGGAGAGGAACTGCCGCATACTCAGGAAGTTCACGATCGTGCTTGTCTGTAGACACGAGCGGATTGTCGCGGTCCAGGCGACGAGAATGATGTCCCCTGGCATTCGTGCATGAACATTGCCAATGTCCTGAGATAGCGGTCGGAATTGTGAGCTCAGCTGTACAACAGATGAGCCTCGTCACCATTGAGAGCCATGATTCGCGCGGCGAAGGTCTTGTCGTCCATGAGCTTGCGGAAGCCTGGCGTAGCGAGCTGTTCCTGAGAGAGCAGGATAACATCTCGCTCCGCACCTGCGACTCGGAGTTGCCATCCGTCGCCGTCGCGACCCAAGCCATCCAAGGCTTTGCAAGCACCTTTGCGTTGGTGGTCGTGCGGGTCCCATGGCAGACTCTGCAACGCGATGGCGCGACAGAATGCAAGGTAACGTATGCGGCATGAGGGGTGTCTACAGACGCGTCTCGATGCCGCGCATCAAAAGAGGTCGAGTGGGCGGAACAGCAGAGATGGGCGAGGCGGAGGGGACGGGCGAGAACGAGCGACGGGATGGGAGAGGGCGAGACAATAGCGGCGCAGCAGCAAAAGGACGGGGTGAAAGCGAGCGACGGACGGGGCAAAGCAAGGGCAATGTGGGCGTGAGGCAGCACAGGCGACGCGACGCGTCGAACGCGTCGAGATTTACACGCGCGTTTCGGAGATGAACATGCTTATGTAACTCCGCCTAAGGGCTGCTACGGTATGGGGCCCACATTTTGAAGCAGACTAGACGGTGAGACTGGCAGAGCCGCGTTCGATGCGTCACTGGACGTCATCATCCACAACACGGTCACGGTGGCGCGTCGAGGCGCGAATACTTTCCGACAAGCTCGGGCGTCGCGTCGCGTGCACGTGCAGAACCCCCGCCGCAACTCGCCGCAACCGCCACAATATTCTTTCGGACCTTCGGTCTGGCTCTGCGACTCGGAAGGCCTGGATACATAGTAGCCGATACTCGGCTGCGTGGCATACATAGTGCCTCAATGAAGCTTCGCGATATCGAGGTCAACATTTCCAGCGCGGACAGCCACGGACAGCTGGCCGAATTTGCCCACGATGCGCAGGACGAACGTACCATCAGCTGTTACATTGTTAGCGAGGCTGGCAAGGTATGCAACAGTGTTCAAGTTATTAACTTCCGAATTCATGCTAACTTACATCCTGACGTCCGACCACTAATAGACATTTGCCATCAACATACACAATGGGCTAGAGGGAAAGACAGTGATTGCTGATTGCTACATGGACGGAGAGTATGCAGAGGTGGATTATGCTAAGCCAGGAGACTGGTCGGAGCTCAGGGGAGTGTATATCAGCGTGTCTGAAAGCGTGGCCATGGAGAGAGTATTTACTTTTGCAAACATTCAGGTCACTGGTACGTGTACCGATCACCCCATGGTGGTAGTCTGTTTTCCTCAGACTACTTGCAGACGATGAAAGCGCTCAACACGACGTCCAAGATCTCGGTTCCGTTGAGGTCCGGGTTTATCGAATAGTAATGGGAGAATGCTGGGCACCAGATGCCAGTGCAGAGACCTGGGTCGGCTCCGATAAACCTGTCAATGAACTCAGTAAGAAGGCTGGTTTACACCGGATTGCGTGGGTCACTTCAGTGCCATGTTACAAGACAATACTTATTGTGCACGAAAGGTTAGCGGACGCTGCACCGGTTGAAGTTATGGACCACATTGACTACACCCCCATAGATGGGGTGGACGACCCTTATGTCACTTTCAGGTTCATGTATAGGCCACGAGGTACGGCACCTTGTTTTTGTGGTGATTGCCAATCTATTCACGCAACAGCGTAGATATACTGAAGGCCCAAGGCATCATTCCTCTATCCCCGAGCCCGGAGACAAACAACACCGAGTGCGCCAATTCCAATACTCGGCAGGTTCAGAAAAACGACAACAATGGGGTCCAAGGAATGGGAGTGGTATCCAATGCTCAATCACACTCACAGGTATCAAGTTCGCCTGAAGCGGGTTTATCCTCAGCGCCACAGCGGGCAGACAAACGACGGGCATCTGAATCTACTACACGAGCCGGAGAGCAGGGCCAAGCCAGTAAGAGACCGCGTCAGGCCAGTACCGAGGAGGATGTGAAGCCGAACCTCGACGACATTAAGCCGCATATCGAACACAGTCCTGAACCAGACAATGCCAGCATCGCCTCCGAGTCTGCAGAGGTAGGTCTCTTGACACATCATGCAACCAGCAAGCCATATACGGCTCGTGCTGATCACTGTGACCCTCAATTACAGCAAATTGTACGCTACCTATGCATCCAGCTAGACAACGCGAAACATGATCTCGCGGAGAAAGAGGTACGCCTCCCTAGCTACGTAAGGAGACTCACGCTTACCGCTACACGTTTCTTGTTAGCAAATCGTCCGCTATCTGGGTACCCAGCTAGAGAACGCAGAACGCGATCTTGCAGGGAAAAGGGGCCAACGAGGCGGCAGAGTTTCCGCGAAACGCGAACAAGCGGACAGGAGTGTATCTGCGACCTCGTCCGCTGTCATTGACCTCACAGTTGACTGATGGCGAGTAGCGTGTTCAGTTGAATAGCAGCCGCCTTGTAAGTACTCGGAGGTGTTGTGTGCTATGTATATGGTGTTGCGACGTCCGTGTGATGCATGACATCGACGAGATGCTGACGCTGCTCGTGTGTCCCGCATTGGCACGCTTCGTCGCAGCCGACAAGAGGGGCAAGAACGCGACGATCGTGAAGAAGTCACGTCTGGGCCGACGAGGTAATCTTCATCTCGCTCCAGAGCTGCCGTTGCAGGGCCTATGCGGTGTCGTCGCCTTCCCAACGGTGCTCCGAGGCGTATCCCTGTCAATTTGCTGTCAATACCCGCGTTGTTCAGAGCACATCGACATGGTCTTCTTCATGCCTCGCAACCTCTCGCGTGAGGTTTTGGATGGAGCTTCTCCTTGATATCCTCAGGTACGGATGTAATCCTTCCCTCGGGGCGAAGCAGCTAAGAGCCCCATTCTTTCACGGTAGCCTCGAGCAAATCCGCGCGACCTCCGGTAACGTATACTCGTGCGCCGTTATATGCGAATGCTTGCGTTATCATGAGACCAATACCTGTGCCGTCTCCAGTCACGACGGCGGTCCAGCCTTGTACCAACCTTGTACATCGAAGAAGTTCTTGATGGCGGATTTTTGGCTGCCCTCTGGCACTCTGACTTGTCTGAAGGTGCTGAACTAAGTCACAGTGTAGCGAGGTCGAACGTTTGGATGCGCCGGGCGGAGTGGAGACAGCTGGCCGAGGAAGTCAACTCGGGAGACGAAAGGTGGACATCATGGAACGGATGGCTCATTTGTACGTTTCTGAGTCCGCTGGACAGCATCGTGCATATATTCTGACGGGGAGACCGGCAGAGCCGCGCTCGACGCGTCGCTGGACGTCGTCGATTCATCGTCCGCAACACGGTCACGGTCACGGTGGCGCGACGCGTCGAGAGAACGCGTGCACGTGCAAAACGCGCGCCGCCATACCCGCGCCGCGGCCTGCTACTCGTTTTTCCTCTTTTTGAGTCTCCGATATATATAGACCGCACAACTCTGAACATGGTCTAATAGGTCAACGTTCAACGACGGCTTCATGCATCATACCTGCTAAGTCGATAGCCTCTGCCTGGCATAGCGCTAGTAGTGCCCCAATCATGAAGCTTCGTGATATCGAGGTCAACATCTCCGTTGCAGACAGCAGCGAGCACCTGGCCCAGTATGGAATTGATGAGCAGGACGGACGTACCATCGGCTGCTACATTGCTAGCGAAGCTGGCAAGGTACGTAACCTAGTTTGTCCAACTTCCGAGTTGATGCTACAATGTACCCTGACGTCCGACTCCGACCACTATCAGACATTTGTCATCAACGTATACAATGGGTTACAAGGAAAGACAGTGATCGCTGACTGCTATATGGACGGAGACTATGCAAACGGGAAATTCGCTGAGCCAGGAGACTGGTCGGAGCTCAGGGGAGTGTATATCAGCGTGTCTGAAAGCGTGGCCATGGAGAGAGTTTTTACTTTTGCAGATATTCAGGTCACTGGTACGTGCATTGGTTGCCCCATAGTCTACTTTCTCAGACTACTTGCAGACGATGAAAACGCTGAAAACGACGCCCAAGATCTCGGTTTCGTTGAGGTCCGGGTTTATCGAATAGTAATGGGAGAATGCTGGGCACCAGATGCCAGTGCAGAGACCTGGGTCGGCTCCGATAAACCTGTCAATGAACTCAGCAAGAAGGCTGGTTTACACCGGATTGTGTGGGTCACTTCAACGCCATGTTACAGGACAATGCTTACTATGCGCGCTAGGTTAGCGGACGCTGCACCGGTGGCCACACGGGACTACCACGACTACACGTTCATGGATGGGGAGAAGGACCCTTATGTTACTTTCAGGTTCATGTACAGGCCACGAGGTACGGCACCTTGCTTTTGTGGTGATTGTCAATCTATTCACGCAGCAGTATAGAGATACTGAAGGCCCAAGGCATCATTCCTCTATCTCCGAGCCCGGAGACAGACAACACTGATTGCGTCAATTCCAATACTCGACAGGCTCAGAAAAACGACAACAATGGGGTCCAAGGAGTGGGAGTGGTATCCAACACTCAATCCCACTCACAAGCTCCAAGTCCGCCTGAAGCGGGTTTATCCTCAGCGCCACAGCGGGCAGGGAAACGACGAGCCTCTGATTCCACGATGCGAACCAGAGAGCAGAGCAAAGCGACTAAGAGGCCACGTCAGGCCAGTCCCGAGGAAGACGTAAAGCGGAACCTCGACCACGTCGGGCTGCACATTGCTCACAATTTCGAACTGGACAACGCTAGCATCACTTCCGCACAGGTACTTAGGTCTCTTGACACATCATGCAACCAGCAAGCCGTACACGGCTCGCGCTGACCGTTATGACTCTCAATTACAGCAAATTTTACGCTACGTACGCACTCAGCTAGGCAGCGCCAAACGTGATCTTGCGGAGAAAGAGGTACGTCTCGCTACCTCTCAGAGGAGGCCTACGCTTACCGCCGCCTTGTGTCAGCAGATTGTCCGCTATTTGAGTGCTCAGCTCGAGAACGCGGAACGCGATCTCGCGGCCACAAAGGAACAACGAGGTGGTAGAGACTCTTTGAAGCGAAAGCAAGCGGACAAAGGTGTACTTGCGTTCTCGTCTGCTGTGATTGACCTCACACTTGACTGAGTATGTTCGGGGATAGGGCTGTCAATTTGCACGCGCGGGCCCATTGGTCAGTGCTAGGGTTGCATGCATGCCGGTCGCAGACATTTCTTCACTTACGAAATCACTACGCTACATAAGTAATGAGACGCTACTGATACACACGTCTGAATGTCATCTCAATCAGCATATATCATGGTTTCATGAAAGAAACCGGGCGTAACTGACTACATAGCACATACACGTAGATTCGACGAAGACGAGCGGAAGTCACTACTCACAACAAGTGCGTAAGCCGCATGCTTACTCAACGACCTCCTCTTCAATCTGTTCGATCACCTCGTCAACCCAGAGCTCGATTTCCTCCTTCTCCTCAGCCTCCTTCTCAGCCTCGGGCTCCACCTTCTCACCGAGAAGCTTGCGTTCCTCAGCCACCTCGGCCTTGACCCGCTTGCGCCAGGCGTTCCACTCGTCAACGAGCCGCTTCCGGTGTGCGATGAGCTCCGCGCTGATATTGCTCTCCTCGGCGGCATCCTCCTCGTCGAACTGGCGACTGTACTCCTTGAGGTTGCGCCGAATTTGCCGCTGTTGCTCCTTCGTGAGCAGCGTGCGTGGGCGTGGGCGCCAAAGGAACTGCTTGAAGCGGTCGAGAATGTGCTTCTCAAGTTCTTGACCACGGAAGTCCCAGATAGCATAGCCGTTCTCAAGCTGAAGCAGCCATAAGTATGACATCTCAATTAGACACCTCTCAGCGACTGCTTACCGTATGCCTCCATGCACTCGCGCTCGTCGCAAGGTAGCGCCCACTGGGATCCCACTCGACGTCCGTGACACCGTAGTGATCCGCAGTACCCAGATGCTGAATACCACTACCCCACTCCTCCTTCGAGGGTCCTTCCCGACGACCAGTGTCGTCCGCATTGAAGTCGAGATCCCAGAACTCGAGCTCCGACTTGCTGGAAGAACCGATCGTCGCGAGAACGACATGACGACCACGGGGTGACCACCGCACAGTGTTGCTGGTCCGTGTCGGCAATGTTCCTGCGATGGCTATTAGTACCTTCGTATGCCGAATGCATGTCAAGTACTCACGGAGGAGCTTGAAGTCGCCCTTGCCCCGCACGAGCTGGTAGAAGCTTACGTCGGTCTTGATGGTAATGCCAGGCGCTGGATTGGCGAGGTTTGGATCATTACTCGAGATGAGCGCGAACTTCTCGCCACGCGGCTCCCAGGAGAAGTCGGTGACAGCGTCTAATACAGCTGCGTTTAGAAGGGTGTATCAGCGACAACCTCAGTATGACGAACCTTTCAGTTCGACGACCTCGACGGGGAAGTCCTTCTCGCGCACACGGAAGATTTCCAGGTTGCAGAAGATGGACTTCTTCGTCTTTGTGTGACGATCAACCTTGACGCAGAGGAAGTCTCCTTGGTTTTGCCAATGGAGCTTACACTGAACAAGATCGTGAGAGACGCCCTTAATAGCGCCTGCGAGAGCAACACTACCTCTGTGACATTGAACAGGTTCTTCTGCCGGAGAATGGCTCGGCTCGGGAAGTTTATGAGTGTAACACGGGCAGGCTGGTTGGCCACCTCAGGCGTCCAATACGCAAGCATGTTCTCCCTCGGCTTCTTCGTGCTCTTACCGTTCGCCTCGGCCTCGGCTTCCTCGCGGTCCTTGTCACTGTGTGGACACCACTCGAAGTCAACAACACCCTCGATTTTGATGGATTTCTTGCCCTGCAGACCCATGCTAGGTAGCTCGTAGACGCTGATCTGCTGGCCTGGGGTGACACGCCCGACGAATTTGTCGTCGGGACTCCATTTAAGCGCAGGCCATTGCAGTTGCTTCTTCACGTCCTCGCCCTCGGGGTAGGTCGTAGGGAACGTCCGGAGGAGGTTACCTGTCTTGATATCCCAGACGGCAACGTTGTGCCCTTCGTCTTCTGGAGAGAAGAACTGCGGTCCCTGCTGTGCACCCTCAGGGACCACGATAGGGTCGTTGGACCAAGTGACGACGAAGTTCTCGCCGGGCGAGAAGTCAACAAGCTTGACCATGGGGTGAGCGAAGCGCTGCTGCTTCCCCCACGACGCACCGCCCCATAATTGCACACCTTGACGATGGAGGGTGGCCATGAACGTACCGAGAGGTGACCAGGAGGTGTAGAGATCTGTCCAGTTCTATGGGAGCAGTCAGTTTTCGTGAAGATGATTGTTACAGAGGGAATGACGTACGGGTCTGCTGAACGCAATTTCGCATTGCGAGGGTTTACCATGCCAGTGAATCTCGACTTCATCTCCCTGGTATGTTGCATATTGATCCCTGCCCTGAGCGTCGCCGAGCCAAGAACGCAAGTGTTCCTGCAGAAACAGCCATGAGCGAACCATGTCATTCGATTGTGCGCTACACACATACCTTCGGCTTGTACTCCTCAGGCTCCGGCTCGACGTACGTCTCGTCAATGTTTGCGTACCGCTCAATATCAGTGAAGCGGTTGACTCTGAACGTGTGCTTCAAGTCGAACGGATGGCCGTCCATCGCATTCAGCGCGAAAGCAGCATCGTTCGCGGTTTTGCATTCAACGAAGATAAAGCTGAAGCAGCGATGGTGTCAGTCGAAGGTCGGCGAATGTGCGTCCGTAGCGCCTTACCCCTTGCTCTTCCCAGTAGAGTCATTCCATGGGACGGAGACATCAGCAGGCTTGATGGGTGCACCCTTCCGCGCAAACTCCTTTGCGATCTTCTCCAGGAGCTTGCCTCGCTTGGACTGGTCGATGATCGGGACACCATCCACCACCAGGATGTTGTCGAAGCCCTCCTCGTACTTCACTTTGTATCTAGAGTCTAGCTCAAGCGTCGGCACACTTTTCCGTGACAATGTACGCACTTGCTCTCGATGTCTGTGTAGTCAATATCCTCGTCGTCCTCATAGTGAACGCCGTTCACGCCGTTTGATGCCATGATGTACTCTGCTCCCTCTTTTCGCGTGATTCGATCGGTGTATATGGGGCCCTTCGAGTGAGACTGGAGGTAGAGAAAGAGGGTCTGTGGGAGGCACCGAGAGATTCGCCTTTGAGGACCGCGCACCCGACGAATGATCGAGGAGAGATTTTGGCTGCGTGTGACAGTGTCATCATGTGACGGCGTCACACAAGTCAACGCGCAGGCGGGCATGCAGCTGCTTTTTAGTATTACGATACAAATGGAATGCGCAATTGAGTATAGCAAAGAGTAAACGTATTCATTCTTCGAGCGTAGAGGTATGTACTTGTGGCTACGACGTTGGTCCATTCGTTAACAGAAGAGATACACAAAACCCGTCAGATTTTACAGGGAACGACGAAGGTACGATAGGCTGTCATTGGTGCTGATCAACTAGCGCACGGAGTGGAGGGGCTTCGCGAAACGGATGCAGGGGATAAACAAGATGTACACGATGCGATGCGATGGAGACGTCTATGTACCGCACATGCAGACGCGAAGTTATGGGGTGTGGGTTAAGGCAATGGGCCATGCATGCGGAACGAGACAGCGCGCGACGAACTCGAAAGTCAACGGCGGAAACGGTGAGAACGAGTGTATTCAAAGCCTAGAAATGGGTTCATTGACGAGATTGGACGAGACGCGGACAAACACGAAGACATGGTATGTTGGGACAAAGCCATAACGAAACAGAGCGAACGACGGACAGTGACAGACAAATAATTCAAGGACGACATACGAGGTGCGTGAGATCGGCTTCAAGGCGACGAGGACGTGAGCGCATTTTTGTGGTCCCCTCCCATCCACATGCCCGGGCTGTTGTTGAGGTCCAGACTAGCGAGTGTTCCGTTCAGATCCTGGATCGCGTCATGCTCGTGCTCCTGGCTTCCGTACTGCTCCCGCGTATTTGAGCCCCTCCGAGAAAGTTCGGGCCTACCGATGGGAGCCTCCTGCCGCGACGAGGAACGCGCGTTCTGGAACGGCGACGACGCAGACGATGGGTCTCCGAGCAGAGCATTGAACCTCTGCGACGCACTAGGTGGGCGAATGGTCTGCATCGCTGACGTTGGAGAAATCTTCCCGTTGCCGTTCATGACTTTCTCGTCATTAGAAGGGTTATACCAGGTAGGGTATCCCTTCGAGACGTTAGAGGCATTGGAGAAGGATTGCTGGTGGGCATGGGACGTCGTATCTTGTTTCTTCGCCCCGTCAACAAAGTAATTGGGATCGGGCGAAAACGGGGAGAAGCCAGTCGTAGTCGTGGACGCTGCGCTTGCCTCTGGACGGGAGCCGAAGATCGAGGGGTTGAACGCGTTCAGAAGTGCTTGACGGTTCCCGTTGAGATCTGGGTAGAGAGCTGGTTGAGTGTCGTTTCCGCTGCCGTGGGAGGTACCACCACCATTGGCGCCGACGTTGTTAATCCCAAAAGTCTCCAGCAGCTGGATTGCCTGTTCGGGCGTCATCTGAACACCGCTCTGTTGAGTAATTTGGGTTTGGTACTGCGCCTGAAAGGCAGCAGCCTGTGCGGCTTGCGCAGCGGCCTGGGCAGCTTTGTCTATATGCGACGTCAGAAACTGTCAGGCCGATGATGCGTGATACTTACATTGACTGCGACCCCAGCTCAGACGGATCCGGCTGCCACCAATAGGGAAGCCTTGCATCTTCTCTATCGCGCGCTCCGCATCGGGCTTCCGGACGAACTGCACGAACCCGCAGTGCTTGCCGACAGGCACTTTGACCTACAAAGGGCACCGTATGTTAACTAAAATGGCCGCGTCAACAAGCGGAGACGTACGTAGTGGATATCGCCGAACGGCACGAAGAAGGTCCTCAGCGTGTCCTCCGAGATCAGGGGCGACAGCCCTCCAACGAAGACAGTCGTATTGTAAGGATCGGAGGACGTGAGCTGCTCGCCATTGGGACCAATGAGATTGGACAGGATAGCGCGAGCCTGTGCGTGGTGCTTCCACGATTCCTCGGATATGTTGAATTTCTGCGCCATGCTCTGGTCAGACTGAGCAAACGCGGCCGTGACGGACGGCGCTGGATCATTCCCACTAACAGATGCGGCCCCGCCACCAGTCACAAACTTCATAGCCTCTTCGGAGGGAGCGGAGACCAGGGTCGATGACGAACTGGCACTGGCGCCTGAGCCCAAGGACGACACATTGGATAACGAGTTGGAGACATTCACGCCGTTCGTGCCGTTTGTCGTACCCGCCAACGGCGCTGATACGCTCTTCGCCTGAGCAGCATTCGGAAGAGGCAGTGCGACTGTGACTTGTCCTTGCTGCTCTGGCGGGGGAGGTACCGCCGGCTGCACAAGGGGATACGGCATCTGCGAGAAGTCGAGGCCCGTCATCCCGGGAGCAGGCTTGAACTTTGCCGTCGCCGGGGAAATCCGCACTACCCATCCTATGTCAGACAAGTCAGACAAAAGGATAATCAGAGCCTTACTTGGACGAGATAGGCAATACAGGCCGTGCATCTCAACTAGCGCGCGTTGCTGATCTGCTTCGTCAGTGAACCTATTAGGGGGAACAAAAGAGTCATTTCACTCGAAGTCGCACGGAACCGCAAGCCACATACCTCACGAACCCATACCCGCGGGAGACGCCCGTGACCGGATCGAGCATGATCTTCGCGCTCTTGCAGCTCAGGAAGGGCCTGATGAAGCGGGGCTCCCGGTCGTTCCGCAGACCGAGGACTGGGTTGCGGAACACAGCGACGAGGTCGGAGTTGGACACCTCGGGAGCAAGGTCACCCACGAAGATGCTGTACTCTTTCGGATACTGAGGGTTCTGGCCGCTGGGCAGAGCGACCGGCTGGCCTGGTACTGGGGGTGGCACGGACGCGGAAGGCACGGACGACGCCCAGTTGAGCGAGAACGACTTGTTCGAGTTGGGCATGACGATGGGGTTCCCGCTCTGGTTGCTGATCTGTGACAACACGGATGCGGCGTGGGCCTGAGAGGGGAACGTCAGGAAACAATAGCCCGGGTTGTTCGCCTGCTGGCCGGTGATTGGGTCGGGCGCGGGGCGGGGCACCTTGATGCTGACGGGCTCCCAGCCCATGAGGCTGCAGACCTGCTTGGCGTACTCTTCGTCCATCCAAGGTTCGAGTTCGCCCCACCAGAGTGTAGAGCGTGTAGTGGCTGCGTTGGTTGTGGGAGAGGGGAGAGACTGCGGGCTCGGATGCTGGAGCTGGGTGGCAGGGGAGCTGGGCTGTGTCTGCTGCTGGGGATGCCGCTGAGAGAGATAGAGATCGCGGTGGTCGCGGTCGTTGAAGGCAGCCGCAGTGGCAGAGAGGGGGGAGCTGTAGAGCTCGGGGACGGGGGGACCGCGCGGAGGGGGAGGGGTGTGGTTGTGGTTGTGGTTGTGGAAGGAGAGAGATGGTTGAACTTGGGATGTCACGCCCGCGTCGGCGTGCTTGGTGACATTCGTAGCAGTGGCTGCTTTTGGGTTCCAAGTGTCACCCCCCGCCGCGCCGAGGCCCTGTGACGGCGTGAACAGGCGGGGTGACACGAACGACGGGAAGCCGGACCCGTGGTACGCCCCCGCCGCCAACGACCGGCGATCCGCGCTGACAGGCGGCGAGGAGACGTAGAAGTTGGGCGACATCAGCTCCGGCCCTCCGAAGTCACGCCCGATGCTCTCCCTGTTGAACCCGCCGTCGCGGGCGGCGGCGCCGTAGTCGTGCGCCCCGGGGCCGCCGTGGTCGCCGTGGCTGCGTCCATTGTGTCCGACGTACTTGGCGTGGTCGAAGCCATGCGCGTGCGCATCGGGACGGGACATGTCGAGGGCGTGAAGATCGAGGGAATCGGCGGCGGAGGTCTGGCGGACAGGTTCTTTTCTAGGGATTTCTTGGTTGCCAGAGGCGGTGCGGTGTCAAAGTGGACGAGCGATGTGAAGACCCGACAGCGAGAGAAAGGACAATGCACGAAGCGATCAAAGAGCACAAGAGCTATGCGCAGACGACAAGGGCTTACAAACTGGGAGGAAAGCGACGCAGAATAGGAAGGCACGAGTTCGACAGCGATGCGACACGACAAAATACGATCCAGCGGTCGAGAAGACGGGGGACTCTGCGGCCGTTAGCAGACGTCGAGTGGAAAGAGGAGCGAGGGCTGCGGAGTGCAGAATGTGCGGCGGAGTTTCCTGCGCTGGTTACGAACTGGGCCGTTCGACGAGTCAGCCGCGCGTTTTGACCTCTTGCTGGCTCGGAGCCACACGAGGCTAGCAAGGGTACCTAGGGCGGAGCACAGGGGTCGCCAGCTCGCCACTCTTGCCGGTGTTCCGCTGAGGATCTAACTATTTCCGGCAACAGCTCTCTTTCGTACCTCGTTATCCTCCATGGCCCTGTAGAACTGTTTAGTGTGGGGGTTGCGTGCACGCTACAGGCTGCATAAATGTCCAGAGAAGTAACGTAAATCGAAGTTGGCGACCAATTCGCATCGAGCGATGTAATCTACTGTGTACGTATGTGGGTCCACCTTCCGTTTCCGCTTTGATATCTGCGCCCACAGCGCTTTGCGTGCTTTGAAACACTTTGGAACTAGACAATGGCAAGGAACCTCAGTGTTCTGCATTGCGACGGACGTTACACAATGTTTAACATAGATACCGTTCCGGCTCGAACGTAGCTCAGCCGCTGATAGTGCCATAGCTTTGCTTGGACTCGAGAACGTGGCGTCGCTTTGGCCTCTCGTGTCCGTCACGGTGCTCCACCACGACGTCGAGGTTCAGATCATCCGTTGCCGCATTGGTAAGGGACGGGCATGACTGCGTCTGGAGTGCTTATGGGCCATCTGACCCTTTGTCGGTGACAGTGGACACAGACCACTTATGTATGCACTGATGACAGCCTCGGACTGCTGCTAGCCTGCTTAGAGCGCAACTATCAGCCATTCAATGCGTACCTCCTTGCAAGTTTACTCATGCAGATTCAAGACGATCATTAAAGCAATGTTCCGTCACGGTGAACGTTTGAATTTGAACACTCGTCCGTCGCGCGCTACTATATTAGTTCTACCGCGATCGGGTCTATTGCGCCCGGCGCTGTAGCCGCTTTTGACACGCCAGGCACTTCACAATATGACATTCAGCCGACGTTGTCGCGCATCGCCCTCTATGGAGGAAAGGATATCGAGTGCAGCATGCAGCACACTCCAATGTGAACAACATTCACGGTGCACATTTTCGTGAGCGAGTTTCAGTGTGTTCGGTTTACGTACAACATGATTATATGCAAATGCGTACGTACCGATGTGTCGGGTCCGTCGCTAAGTCTGGCGCCGAGAGCGACTCAGAGGACCCAGAACGGGCAAGGTCCTGCCCGTATGATAGGCGCTTACGTAAGACACAGATCAGCCAGCCAACGCACTCGGAGGTGCTGTGCCCTAAGTCGGCAGACGCACTAAGCGTCGACACTGCGTCGACTCGTCCTCCTGCCTCTGCCCCCCGCTCTTGCCCCGTAACCCCCCACGACTTCGCCCAATCTGTTGCAAAACATACAGTCGCTAGGCAAATTGCCCGCCATGCCCGCGCGGCGCGCGTCGGCGGCCGCTCAGAACATCGCGGGTGCGGTGTCGCGCGTTCACAAAAGCAACGGCTCCAACCATAGCGTGTCTGGGCCATCCTCGCTCGCGCCGTCCTCGCAGAATGCACCGTATTCGAGCTCGTCGATACCCACCACGCCCCAGCAGAAAGTGGTTTACGTGCTTGTGAATAGGTTGAAGAGCAAGGTGAGTCTTGACACTGGCGGACGCGAGCTGAGTATGCTCATGTGTATCTGCGTAGCTACCTTGCAACTCGGGTATCACACTCACGGACGTGGAAGGAGATGAGGCACTAGGACAAGTTGTTGAGTCTCTGGTCGAGCTTTCGCGGGATTCGCTAGACATCATCGGATGGGCACTCACAGAGTTGCTGGAGAAGCTGAACAAGGTGCGTGCGCTCTTAGGGCAGACAACACAATGGAACTTCATCTTCTCGGTAGCAGGCCGATGCCAATGGATACAGGAGCGTCGAGGTCCTCCAGTCGCAACTATTCATCCTCAAGGTCCTCGCCATTTGCATGGCATCGCGCTGGGGACATCGCCAAGAGGGGACCAGACCGGGGTCGCGCAACAGCAAGGAACCCGCGAACACGACCTCCAAGCCGAGTACGCCGGAGACCCGCACCCTATCCGCTCAAAGTCGACGGCGTCAGTGGTCGACTGAACATCTTTCCCTCTTGATCGAGCCGCCCCCGCTTGACGACAACTGCGCTAAGTACATCCTCAGTGTGATGGTGCTACTTCTGCGGCAGACTGCCCCAATGAGGAACCGTTTGATGTCAGCAGCGAATATGGACTTCGCTGCATCGCATCACGACTTCGAGTCCGTGGAATCGCCGGACTACATCACTAGCGTAGACGTCGGCGGATCCGGCCTACCCTCTCAAATCGTTTCACTTCCGCACATGTTCAGGTCAAGACACGCGTCGTCGACTTCACTGAACTCCGGCACGCCCAGCGTGACATCGACTAGCCATGCCTCCAAGCATTCGCTCGTATACGAGAAGACATCTGTCGTTACGTCCAAGTCGATCTCCTCTCTGAACACACTCATCTCGAAGTTCGCCGGGCGCGTGGTATACCATCTCTCAGCTTCGAATTGGCACATCGTCTTGGCTCGCATTCGCAACAAGATTCACTACCTCGCCAGCACGACGGAGACGGATCCTGACATCATCGACCTCCAGCTCATGATGCATAGTGCGCTCGATCGACCAAGACTCATTCAAGCCTTGCAGGGTAAGTCTCTTCAGCTCGTGCGTCAGGGTGCTATTTTCAACTCAGTCGCTGCAGAGTTGTCTTCACTGCTTCTCAACATGAAGCAGGAGGCTCAAGCAGCAATCGCCATTCCGCTGCGCGTTGCTATCTGGAACTGGATTGAACTGTGTCCCGAGGAGTTCAATGACACCATTCGCCATCATCGTCGCATGGAGGGCGCACCTGAACGCGTTTTCGACATTCTGTTCGATTCGCAGGAGGCTCAACACAATCCTAATGTGTGGCCAACGCTCACGGCCTTGGCATGTATCAGCTCCGAGCGGACGAGGACTGATTTCCAGTCGAACTCCCTGGGCATACCGATCCTCAAGGGCCACCAGAACCGTCGGGTAGGATCTGTCTTGCATATGTCGCGCTTGCCAGCTCAAGTACAGTCATAGGACCGGAACTTCTTCGAAATCATGATGCGTAACCTGGTCTCACCGACCGCGAAACTGTCCGAGGAAGCCTTGATCTGTTGCTTAGACATGTGCCGGGCAGCTTTTCGTATACGACCCGAAGACGGCTCTGAGCACATGTTACAGTTGACTTCTCATGACCTTGCTCACGAGATGAAGGTGAGCTGTTCTTGTGAAGCGGGATCATAATCAATATGCTCACCGTTGACGTGTGGCTCTCAGCGTGCTTTGGTGAACTGGAATGGGACGAAACCCTTCTGGGAGTGGTCTGAAGAGATCGATGTCGCCATCATCGCCGACATGCTTGTGACACTCTTCCGGTACTTGCCTGGCGATGAGGTCATTGACCTTTTCCACTTGTGTCTCGAGCCCGAACGATCGGATGCAGTCAAGATTTCCGCAATCAAGGCCTGCATTACTCTGGTAGATGATGTCTGTGTCATACATATTTTACGAACACATGACTTTCTGACTGATTCTCTAGGCGTCGAAATGTCCCTGGCAACAATCCCTCGAAACCTTGAGGGAAGCACTTCAAGAGAGATTTGCTCGCATTCTCCATGTCAGCCCCTTCACTATCCGAGTGTCCTGCTGAGCTGACCGGATTGCCAGGCATCGTTGACCCGTCGCAGCGAGCTTGATTCCCATGGGAACATGAAGAAGCCTGCGCTTCGTCCCAAAGCGAAGCGGTACACGTCAGAGACACTGCCTGACAGAGAGTTGCTCGCATATTCTCTTCTAGCTCTCTATCGTGCTGAACCGATGCTGTTCTTGAATCATTTGGACATGAGCCAACAGTCTCAATGGATCAAGTCATGCGTCGAGGCATGGCATGCCCCCGCCGATCCTGCTATCAAGATGAGCATGGCCAAGACGTTCCGCGGCTGGGTGAATGCGATGGTACGACTGCCTCCTGAGCATCCGCGTTATGAAGCCTGCTGCGCCTGGCTGGCCGTTGTCTCGTAAGTGCTCCCATCGAAGTTAGTGCCCTCCGCTAAGCATTGCGAGCAGTCCGGCGATTCTGGCTACCGTCTGCACCAACTTACTGCTCGCGCGTACCGACATGCAGGCACAACGTATGTGGATCAATATGGCGTACGAGATCATCTATCGGTTCACGAAGTCCACGGAGACGGTGTGTCCATTGCCATGCGCACTATAACGTCTGCTGATCTTTAGCAATCCAGGAGCAGATTCGACGGGTCAAAATCAACACAGATCGTGTCTCGGCGTTCGCTGTGGCGGAAATTGCCTTTCTCGTTGCCTTGACATCTGCGGACGCCAACGTCACTCTGACCGCCGCGCATTGCCTTCGGCTGCTTGCACAGGCAGAGACTGCACCTGATGCTCCGTCGTCGAATACGCACAGCGAGGATGAGCGAGTGAAGCGGTATCCCATCTACGAACAACTCGGCGATCCGAAGGTCCTTGTAGTCGGTGCGTAGGGATTTATCGGTTAGCCATGTATCTGCCTGACGTCCATTCAGGCCGTATTGGCCACCAGAAACGTGTTCGCAGACTCATGCGGTTGATGCCTTCGACGTCTCCCGTACATGTTGCGGTCTGGGAGGAATGTTACTGGCGTTGGTGTGCGCTGAACGAGATGGTTATCAGGAGGTCAACTGACAGCACTGCCGACGGATTCGAGGCTGGAATTGCCCCCGTTGGCGAGAAAGTCTTGACGAGCGAGGTAATCAATCTCATCGTTCTTCACTGTATGCTGCATGTCTAATTCTCATTCCAGGAGATACATGCTCAATGGCAGAATTTGACGCTCTTCTTGGCCTCATTTGGGTCAGCATGTCTGCGGGACGATGACTCGTCCGATGTGACACTGGATGTCGCGCCGCACTTCCTCCCGGATGCCATGCGGATCCTTCGAAACCCCGCGGAATTGTTACGTGATTTCTTGGGCGTCCTCATCGACTTCATGGTCTCGGACTCCATTCAGACACGAGATACTGCCAGAGACGCGCTTGGCAGTGAAGCAAGTCCTCGTCTCTTCACCAAGATCTTCAGGGAACTTGACAGGTACAGTGTTCGCATGCTGGATACATCTTATTGCTCACATGAGCAACAGCGTCGTTCGCGAGCTCGCCGCCAGCGACACTGTTCATTGGAACACTTTGGCGCTCTTCCTCGAACAGGTTCGTATGTGAAATCATGAAAGCGCACGGTCATTAACCTTTGCACAGTTCCTCGTCATTTTGAAGGTGTTGGTGGAGAATGCTCAGTATCTCGAAGAGATCCGTGGCATGGATCTTGGTTCGACTCTGGCCGTGATAGCATCATTCATCGGTCGCTTCCATGATGTGAGCTCTTACCGCTTGCGGCTGAAGTTCTGCAGCCTGTGCGAGGGCGTGTTCAGCCAAGGGGAGTCAATTGCCATGCGAAAGGACAGTAGCAACAGACAGAAGATCGCTGACATAGTCACCGAGTGGATTCAAGACTCTGCTATGGTGTGTTTCATGTGTACATCCTCACGCAGTGTGCTGATTCGGCCTAGTCTGATCATGGTTTCGCTGTGCAACAACGGGAGCTCAATCTGCCCGCATTCCGTGCCGCGGTGAAGTTATTCGATCGACTGGAACTTCAGGCTCCCGATGGTACGACAGGCGAAGAGGCGACGCATGTCGTCTCGCGGATGTTTGTTCGCTACACAGGCGTCCTGTTCAAGGCTTGGGAATGTTCTCGTTATGACATAGCCGTGCGTGATAGAAGGAAACAGTTCGATGCGTTCTCTTAACACCTTTCTAGGCAACAGATGATCGTTCAACCGACAACTCGGCTTCACCGGGAGTAAGTGCATCGTTTCATCTAAGAAGTCGCTGCATACTCATGTACGATAGCTGCGCTCGTTGCAACGGGATGGTGAGCTCCGCGAGCTCGTCATTACGGGCTATGCATCGTTGGTCAGCGCAAATCCTGAGGTCGGGGTGAAGCATTCGCTGCCGCTTGCCTATGAGATGGATAGCGCCAGGCGGGTCATCTTTTCCTATGTTTTCACGCGGGTACTCCCACAAGGAATCTCCTTGGATAGTCAAGAGCAGCCTGCAGTCGTCCCACGTCAAAGCAGGCTCTGCGAGGTATGGCGGACGCTCTCTTCACAGTATCTTTACTCACGATATGGCTAGTTGGTCAAGGGTCCAGATGTGAGCTAGTGTGGACATGTACGATTGCATTCGCTGATCAGTGTACAGCTTTCTCTCGCTCTGGCGATCTGCGAGGTCTGCCCGGCATCGGAAGTGGACAGTCTCATATCTGTCATGCTCAACCTCTTCGACACACGTTCCGCCCTCATGACCTTGTTGAAAAACATGATCGACCTCGAAGTTGGTCGAACAGGTGAGCGTCGGTCAGGTGCTTCGTGTCCAATTCCTTGACAATCTGCCTTACAGACAGTGACACTGCGTTGTTCCGGGGCAATACTACTTGTACTCGCTTCTTGTCGGCATTCGCAAACATCTACGGCTACAACTATCTTCGCAGCCTCATCGTACCCCTCATCAAGACGATGGCTTCGATGCCGCCGGGGCATGGCTACGAGTTGGATCCAGCCAAGGTTGGTGAAGAGGTGGCTACTGCTAATCGCGAGACCATTCAGTTCATCACCTCCTCCTTCCTTCAAATCATCTTGTCCTCCATTCCTGCTGTCCCACCGTGAGTGCCAACGACCGTCATCACAATTCTTCTCATCTATCTCCCGATTGTAGCATGCTTCGAGAGGTTTGTGCGCATATTGCGAAGGTTGTGTGGGTACAAATCGAGCTACTCCGGCAGATATTCGCTCATTCGCATGCTACGTTAGGAACGAGGTGTGGCCCGAGGCGAAGTTTGCGGCCGTCGGGGCATTCATGTTCCTGAGGTAGCGCGCCTTTTCGTGTCTGTTCCGCGAGCTGCATCTCACATATCCCAAGATTCATTTCCCCTGCCATAGTCGCGCCGGAGATCATCGACGTTGACATCCCTAAAGACGACTGGGTATTGCGCCGTGGCCTCATGTTGGTCGCTAAAATCATCCAGAATTTGGCGAACAACATTTTCTTCGGGAAGGAACCTCATATGATTGCTCTCAACGACTTTCTGAAGGAAAACATCGTGAACGTGACGAGATTTCTTAGCGACCTCAATGTAAGTCTCGTTGGTTGGAAGGCTGTGTGCTACCGATGCTAATGACCATTCAGAAGACGGGACCGGCATTCCAGGAGGAGGAACCAGAAGAATGGTTGGACACAACGTATGACGACACGGACACGATTGTGCTGCATCGTTTCCTGGAGAAACACGCCGACAGAGTTGGCAAGGAGTTACTGAGCACCTCCAAACCTCCGCCAACAACGGAAAGATTGTCAGCGTCAGCGACAGCAGAAATGGCGGCTGCCCACGCAAAGCGGATATGGGATTCTCTCTGCGCTGCCTTAGTCGAGCTGGGTCAACCATTGGAAGGCCCTAAGTTGACAGCTGCGGATAGCCAACAGCATACCGAGTATCTGGACTTGATGACAAGATACGAGCATAGAGATACAAGCTCAGTGCAAGGCCTCTTCGTGGAGGCAGCGACGCCTGAATCGTCTAAGGTTTGTTCCGAGCAATAGTTGCAGAGCTGAGCTTACGGCTGTATTCTAGGCAATCTTTGTCCTGGCGGTGTCTCGGATCGACGTTGAAGTCCTGGACATTGAACTCTTGTTGTTCTATATCTTCAAGGTAAGATATGCAAATTCATGGTGTGCCCTTGCTCACAACATGGCTGTCAGACCGTTATCTCGCCATCACATGAGAGCCGGGACTTCGATATCATCTTCGACTTCACCTGTTTCACCCTGGCCTCACAACTTCCTTTGCAGTGGCTGAAGTTCGCCTACGAAGTCATCCCTTCCGATATACGTCGCCGGTTCGACACAGCACATATCCTAACTCCCAATCAGCTTGCTACGAAATATCTGAAGCGTGTCTACAATCTCTCCTCTGGTAAGTGTTCTCGAGTCTCTGTGTATGTTGTCTCACTTGCCTGTAGGCATCGAGTTCTCTAGCAATTGTGCCACGTATTCCTCCGTAGAAGAGCTCATCGACCATCTTTTCGAAGGAACGACACTAGCCGCGCTTGACTATGCTCGTAGGTCTTCCACTACCCTGTCTGCTCTTGTGTTGAAAACCGGTCTGCAGTTGCTTTGGAAGCAGAACCGCGTACTCGTTTCGACGAAGTCACTATGCGACACACCCATCCCATGCGTGTGCCAGTGAGCCTTGAGGTCGCACAAAGTCATCTACGCATCACGACGGTGTGTCAAGCATTCATTCATCAATTCACGCACCTTACACGCAAAACCCATGTTAGCTCAAGGCGTTACCTATCGGAGGTTCTATGTCCTGCAGAGCCACCGACATCATTGTGCTCTCGGATGTGAACGACGTGTATAACGTTTCCACCGGCCATGAAACACACGAATTCATCATCCGGAAGATTCGTCACGGTGCCACTTTGTACTTCTCCTCGCACGCGCGGGACAACATCGTGAAGGTACGTAACTTACGTATGCATCCATCGTTGCCTACATGACGTCTTCGCAGGCGATCCGGACCGCTAAGAGTACGCTGCGGAGTGTAGAGCTACCAGGTACAGAACGGCAATCTCGGTTCTCAAACGTTGTCGCCACACTGCTGCACGTCGGAATGCTCGGTGTCAACTCGCGGGAAGAGGATGTAAGGATTGCAGCCAACGAACTCCTGCAAGCAGTCTGCATATATCTCGATTTCGAGGGGAAGCCGCTTGTTGCTTCCAAAAGTTCGTCTTTCTCTAGCCATGGCACAGCTTATCCACTGACTTTTCGCGCAGCGAGCTTGGTTAACGGACTTCCTGAACCCTTCCTAATTCAATTGAGCGAAGGCTTAGCCAACTTTGCGCCTCACCTCACGCTCGATTTCCTGACCGAGATCTCGACCAGCATGGGTAGAGAGTCTATACCCGACAGGATCCTATGTATTCAGTACATGGCGCCTTGGCTGAAGAACCTCGCATACTTCATGGATCCTACAAACAAGCACTACGACCCTTCTACCACCAAATTCCGCGACTGCGTCCGCGTGCTCGTCGACCTAACCATGGCGGACAACGAAGTAAGGGAGTCTACGTATATGTTGCCAACGATGCTCATCACTTTTCTCAGCTTCACAACATGGTGCTGAAGTACATCTGGGCAGAGATCGGTAGACTGGACAGTTGTGTCGTCAATGCTGTTCTGGACGAGTTGATGCGTGCGGCCGTGGACGGCGGAGTAGCATCTGTGCGATGCGAAAGGGTTGCTGACACCATGAGCGCGATCACGTCTATCAATGTTCGAGGTCGCATATTGTCACGATTGCGCAAGGTAAGGTGTCCGGGCCACAAGCGTCACACTTCTGCTAATGACAATGACATGCAGGTTGTCGGCAAAACCTCGACGAAACCGACGAAGAGTCTCGCAGACAATGTGCACTGGAATGAGATCTCGTGTTTGCTCAGGCTAGCCCTCGTGGCGGGCCATCATTGCAAGAATGTTGTCCAGAGCCAGCTTTTCGTACCTGAAACGGTACATCTGGTCACCCTCACGGCAGCAACAGGGCAAACCTACGTCCGAACCGCGGTATACGGGATCGTCGTCAACCTACTCAACGCTTTATACACGGCTCGACTGGCGGACACGTCGGCCAGTCCGGAGATCCAACAGCTCATCAACGAGTGCGAACAGCCAGAGACGCTTCGGCTGTTTGGGCTGCTACGGCCGACTCCCACGAGCGACTATGTCAACCTTGACCCTCCCAGCGACAAGCTGTACGTCGACACGATGGAAAGCCTCGTCCGATTCCTGTCACGGGTACTCGAGACAATCGCGGGTACTAAAGGTTTGTTATACTACTCTTGGAGTCGCTCCCATCTGACACAGATTTACAGGCCTCTTGAATGTCTGGCGTGCTCGATGGATGAGCCTGATCACGTCTTCAGCATTCCAGCTCTCACCCGCTGTGCAGACTCGTGCTTTCGTTGCGCTGGGTGTCCTCGCGACGTCAGATGTCGACGACGACCTGCTTTATCAGATGCTGGTTGCTTTCAAGACGGCGTTGTCGCAGTCAAGCGAGAACGAGACCACCTCCGTTGTCAGCATGCTGCGCTGCATCCGTAACGTCGTCCCTGCTTTGCCTCGGTATTCTCGCTACCTCTGCCAACTCTTCTGGCTCGCTGTCGCTCTCCTCCAGTCCAGCCACATGGTGCTATACGTGGAGGCCATCCATATGCTGCGTGTGACGCTCGAGGTCATGGACAGTCAGGGAGCGTTCGAAGAGAAAGGGGTTTCAGCCACACTGCTGGACGGCAGGGCGGTGCTCGAGGATGTAGCATGCCAGCTTGATCAACTCCTTGGTCTATCATTCGAGTCGAACTTCTCCTTTTCGCTGGCGGCTATCGTCTTCAAAGGCACCCGGAACCCGAACCTCAGAGATCCTGCCGAGGCTGCGCTACGAACGCTCATGAAGATCACTGTTCGCTCATGTGGAGAGGTCGAGCATGCTGATGACGGGCCTGGTTCGTCTATTTGCCAGCAGATCTTGGGTTACTTTCTCGCTCTGCTACCGACCTCAACGACAACGGCGACATTCAAGCGGCTGCTGGAGGAATCAGCTGCCGACCCGTCGTGGTTGTCGCACAACCTGTTGACTGCGAGCAGTGACGATGACCCCGTCGCCAAGGTCCCGTTCGCCCTCTTGGGGCTGTCCGACGCCAACACTGTCCTCTTCGTGACGTCGTTCGTCGGCGCAATCTTGCAGACAGCGCAAGGTGACGACGCGGAATCACAAATCCTCTGCAACCTGCTGTCGGATATCGCTGACGCTTTCCCGGATGTCGTCTCGATGGCGTATGTACCCTGTCTCTTCATTGCCGTGTTCTGCGTTTCTGATCATATCTCAGATATGAGAGCTTGCAAGACAGGATCAGGGATGTTTTCGCGAACTCTGCCAGCCCGGCTATCCTGAGCGCCGTGTCGAACCTGTTCAGGGTAGCCGTACACGATGCCGAAAGGAATGGAACCGCGCCGGGCTCTACGTCCTCATTGAGCATCGAAGACGGTATACCCCATGGCCCCGGCCGCAGCCATCTGTTTGCACTGGAGGAGCAGGGGATGCAGGGCCTCGCGAACAGCTTCCAATTCCTGCCCCCGAACCAAGGCCATGCCACGAAGATGATGAATTGGATCTCGGAGTTGGTTATGAAGATCATCGAGTGATACGGGTCTCGGGAGAATGCATCCGGCGACGTAACATGTATAGCATAGTCTTTTACGCATCTAACTTAACACATACTATTCACGGTAGAGTTCATACTGCACTTTGTCTACCTCCCCCTCCACCGTCGATATCCTCACCGTCATAAGTCTGACTAGCATTTGGGTGTACTTAATGGTGTTCTCGCACTAGCTTTCTGTAGGATATGTCGCTTCCACTCTGCTGCATCTCACACTTTGCTTTCCGACACTTTGTCTGCTGTCGTGCATAATCTTTCGAATGAACTTTCTTCTCATAGTCACACCGATGTGAGATCGTCCGACGCATTCACCTTCATATGCCCATCGCTGGTGGGTCACTCACACGTACTACACGTCAAAGGTTTTGAAAGGGCCGAGATGCCATGTTCTAGTCAGTAGAATGGACCATCCCACATCTGCCACACTCGGACTTGCGCTGCCCCTTAGGTCGTACTGCCGCCTCCACCACGTGAAGTGCCTTTCTGGGATAAGCACTACCAAAGTGGCGGAGGAGAGCGACCCGCGTCTCCCTATAAACGGTCAACTCCATCACAGATCTACTACTTTGAACAGACTGGGCGCAGCTATATTATATGGGACTTGTCTGAGGCATCGCTGGGCCGATACCAAACGCGGCTTGCTCGCAGTCACGCATTGCACCACGTCGTTCTCAGGCGGACTTGGGCTCTCTCATCTACCTCCGAGTCGTCGTGTCATCTCCGCGTCCCCCCTTCATACAGCCGTCTGCAACGAGGGTCAGTGCTATATAGCCACATCCAAACACGTTGGAATAGCGAGCTCGAATGGCCCTCCTACATCGTCCACCCACACCTGATTCGCCAATGTCCTCTAGCTTGCGGCGCGTAACGCACAACATCGACGACCTGACACTTGCGTTGGCCAACTTCTCTCGCGTATCGTCCCCGGAGCCTCCGGATATTGCAACTTGCTGCTGCGGAAAGGAGGACTGCGAGACGAGCAAGTCATGGTTAGCATGGAAGTCGAAGATGGAGAATAGGCTGGTCCTCAGCGCAGGTCGGCTGTCTCTCAAGTCTGACGCGTCTTGATAACACTGACACGGAATGTAGAAGTGGGGCAAGCACTGCTCGAGAGGCACGAAGCCTTGCTCCGCCGTCATGAGGTGAGTGTGTTACTCCCTCCTACTGCGCTGCTTAATGACCAGTCATGAAAGAGTTCGGCTCCCCTGGCTCCGTCCCTTCAGTCGGCAGACACACTATCCGGCGAAGAACATGTCGACGCCCGAGTTGCTGAGCTAGTAACACAGGTATGTTCTCAATGCGGGCCGCACCTTCTGCGCGAGCTCTAAGAGTCTTTGTTCACAGAATGCTGTACTGGAGAAGGTAAGCATAGAATAGCCTTTAGAGTGCAGGCCATTGAAAGAAGGCGAGCAGCGTCTCACGAAAGCTCTCGTGAATAGTGAAGTCTTGGAAGCGTCCAATAAGACTGCCGTGCAGGAACTGCAGGAGGTCCGGGGCAACGTGTCCCGTCTGACTGCGCAGAACGCACGATCGGTGGGCTGGGAGAATCGCCTTGCTGTCGCCCTGCAGGAGAAGGACGATATGCAACAGGAGCGAGACAGTGCAGTCCAGAGAGCGCGTTTGGCAGAATCCCGTATCAGTACTCTGAAGGAGAAATGTGGTGAGTAACTTGAAATTAAGTTCACTCGTAAGCGTGCTAAACATGTTCGCAGCCAAGCTTCAAGCACAAGTTGCACGTCTTCGGGAGGATCTCGAGATGCAGCGAACACACAGACAACAGATGTCGGAAGAAGTCTTAGCAGATGCGCGTCTGCGGCTAGAGCAGCTGCAGCAATCAGTGAGTGGCCCATACGATGACATCAAGTGACTGTTGCGATATAAGCTGCCTTTAGCAACTAGGGCACGCTGTGAAGACAGATGACACCGAGGTCATGAAAGTGCTCGAGTCTCTGGTGGCCGACAACGAAGCGCTCAAGCATGACAGTGCCGAATTGCAGAATCTCCTCACCGAGGCCCGTGAAGACCTTCGCTCTCTTCAAACAGAGATGGAGGAGCGACGTGCTGGTGATACATCCTACTTGCGGCATCGATACACGATCAGTGGACAGTCAGATCTCCCGGACCCAATCTCACCCCTCTCGGCAACCTTCCATGTCGGCACTGCACCGAGTGGGTCGGTGTTACATTCCTGGCACAGGCAGGGCAATCTGGGTCGGCGACCAGTCAGCGTTGAGCGTTCATCGCGGCGTGCTTTCGTAAGTGGCGGCCCAGCAGCTTAGTGATAACCATTGACAATTCCGCAGGAGCCTTTGACACCGGAGACAGAACGCCGACCACTGTCTCCTACCGACTCTCTAATCCCGTCAGAGACGAAGTGGACCTCGTTTGCACGACCACAGTACACCCCTTCACACCACAGCTACGAGGACGATGAAAGCCACGATGGCCCGCCTATGTCTCCGGAAAGGACCCGTGCTCAGAAGTCGCTATTCCTTCTGACTCGTTCGCGCGGTGTACAGACAGATGGAACCTCGGGCGGTCTGGCACCTTCTCCTATCCCTCACTCGTTCGGCGATTGTACAAGCACGAAGTCGTCACACGATGGGCTATCTGAGTCATCATCCCTCACAGACGGCCAATTGGGTGCACTAGGCACCCTCATTGAACGCGTCACCATGCTTCTGAACAGACTCACCCAAGCCGACGCCCTCACGCTCACTAACCGGCTGAAGCGCCAGCGGCTCCTGGGCGCGGACATCAGCCACTTATCGCGCACGACTGTAAGCAGTATCTTGCACGAGGCCACATCACTTCGATCGCACTTCCGCTCGTTCTTGGAGGACGAGAAAGCGATGATGACATGCACACGTCGAGACCTACGCGCTCTCTTCAAGCTGTTCAAGGACATGTTCTCGGAGATGGGTCAGATGCGCGTGACTCTGAACGACGTCATCCTCGATCCGTCCGTGGCGGGTAAGGTCAGCGAGATGGCGATGAACCTTTCCAAGGCAACTGTTGCGCAGAGTCCTGGAGGTGGGGACGCATCCAACAACCAGGGGGCTTCCAGCTGGATGGCACCGATCTCGAAGCTGCTCGGTCTCCCTGGTGGCAATGCAAGCCCAAGCGACACCGCCGCGTCCCGCGCTCTCTCTCCACCTGCTCGGGGTCGTGCACCTAGTCGGGCACCTTCGCGTATCGTCCCTAAACGAGAAGCAGTCTTGTCCGCCTCGGCCATGAACGTCAATGTCGAGTTCAGTGGCACCGTCGTCGGTCGTTCGGTGACCAGCACGTACTCAGCGCACCCGGATCGCGAGAACAGCATCAGCATCCTGTCGATGCAGCACCTGCTCAACAAACCCGTGGAGGATGCACCCAATCCATCTCGCAGCCTCATGGGCATTTTTGCAGGCGCGCCGCGCGCGGAGGACAACCCTGATCCATGGGTGGTCATTCCCAAGCCGCAACGGGGAGCAGCACCCCCGGGCATGTCCAACGCAGCGGGACCCGCAACAATAGGGCGGTCTGCCACCCTCCGACGGGCTAGTAGCCGGCTCTCACGCACAGTGGATGCCATGATCGATGCTGACCGGGCTCGGCGGGAAGAGGAAGATACCCTAGGCGCGCTGCTCGAACGCACGTCGATCCACCGCGGGATGTCCGACTCGTCCATCCACAGCACCTTCCTGAGCCACGGCGGGGAGCGGGATCAGCAGGGCAGCCCGCGTCATGAGGAGCTTAGGGACCCGTCCGCACCGCAGGACAGGAACTCCGTGCTGCAGACGCTCAGCAGGCGGATGCAGACCTTCCGCTTTGGTGGGGTCCCCTCGGACTCGCAGGCAACCGTCACGGATGCGGGAGGGGCGTCGCGGCCAGAGACACCTGTGGGTGCGCGTGACCGCGAAGGGGGTGGTCGGGCGACGCCGACGGGAGTGCGCACAGCGTCGCCGCACGCGCAGATCCATGCAGGAGTCGTCCGTGCGGCGTCGCCGGCGTCGAGAGGCCTGTTCCAGAGTGTGAACCTGTCCTCATGGGCGACGGCTGCGCTGGATGCGTCGGCGGATGAGTCGCCGGCGTTTCTGGCGGGGAGCCCGAGAGAGGAGTTCATGCATCGGCCGTGGGGACGAGAGCGGGAGACCGAGCGAATGATCTAGGTGGGTATACGCAACCAACGAGATTCTTAGAGTATGGTGGTACTTATGAGAAGGTACTAGTACTGTATGCTCTTACTGACTTAGATCGGGGCCAGGTTTGTTTGTATAGAGGCTCGGAGGCACGCGTACGTACAGAAGTAGTCACTCTATTTACTGGGTACGTTATGTTCGGACTATTGCTCTCAGGCTCGTCGCGCACACGCACACACGTCGTTTCCTTATGTTGAATTATTGCACTGGAATCTACTTGGATACCACATTGTACATACCCGTCGGCCCAGGAACTGGGATACAATACACAGTCAAATTATCTTGGATTGTGACTGGCTGCGAGCTGTCACCCCTCTGGAGGTACGATATCGGACCGACTGACTCTAGTTTCTCGGTGCGCCCTGGGACGATGGCGCAGTACAACGCCACACTGTGGTCTTACTACTGTCCACTGCCGGGGCTATAGATGATTGTTTCACAGTGACAGGAAGAGCTTGAAGGCAGCGCAACGCCTCCTGTCGTTGAACAGCGCGATAAACAGCGCAGCTCAGCTTACGGACCATAAGTGATACCAGTCTCGGGATGCGCAGGATGCCCACATTTAACAAGCCGGATACCTCGCCGCGGACCTATGCCGCTGGTTTGAAATCAACAATGTAGCTTGGGCCGCCGTTCTATTGCCTTCTACTGCGCACAATTTGACTGATACACTGTACTGGCAGAGAGCGTTGCAATAAGTATGGATATGCAAAAATTGAGCATCATACGGGTGATACATACTTGCTTCAAGACTCGGACGTAGTGCCCAGGACCGACGGCAGGGTCTCCTCACAGGGCCCAAGGAACAGAAAGTCTGCGTTCTCGTCTCCCTCTGATCGTTGCAGATTGAACACGGCGACTTTGCCGCCCCTGGTCTTGACCGTCTTTGCGAAGCTCGCTGCAGGGTGGACCTATTGCTCATCGTTGACTTCTGCCTGCCCAAGATGTACCGGGGATGTACGACGCACCAGCGAAGACGTGCCCACCACGATCAGCAGGTCCGTCCAGTTCAGCTCCATCGCGATCTCGCCCATCCCCTCCGGGACCTCCCCAAACCACACCACCGCGGGCCTCAACAAGCCTCCACACCGTCCATAGCGATTCGACCCGTCCCACTCAGTGCCGCCACACCGCGGGAGCTCCTCAACGGGTATCGTCCTCCCGCCCGCCTCCACCTCCGCCTCGGTGAGCCCCGCGAACGCAGGGCAGAGCGGGGTCTCGCGGGTGTGTTTCGTGTGCTTGCACTGGAGGCAGACCGTCTTGAGGATGGAGCCGTGCGTCTCGACGAGCCGCGAGGAGGCGAGTTTCTGCGAGGCAGGGGTGAGGTGCGGGGAGAGCGCGAGCGGGGAGAGGCCGTCGAAGTTTTGGGTGATGAGGAGGGGAGGCTTGGTGGGGTCGGTGAGGGAGGGGAGAAGGCGCGCGCGGATGGAGGGGAGGGTGAGTGAGGCGAGCGCATGGTGCGCGGCATTGGGCTTGGCGTGGAGGCATCTGTGGGTTGGTGTGTGGTTCGAGGATGGTGAGTAGGGGAGGAGAATTGGGCGGGCCTACCGGTCGCGAATGCAGTGGTAGAATTGCCAGATTCTACTGGGGTCTTGGTTGAATTCCTCGGGGGTAGCGAATAGCTTTGAATCCTGATATATCGTCAATGGGTGGTCGAGCGGGACTTCCGTGCATCAACCCAATCGACCAGATACACGCACTTTCGTCTTCCACAATCCATTAGTACCCCGGAATGTCGGTATGCCTAGGGCGCGTATCTGCACAGGCTTCGTACCTTACGAACACCCATCGACTTCACGTACCTGAAGCAGCGGAGAGACCCGCCCCTGCCAATATGACAACGCGCTTCGAACTTGCGAGTGCTTCGCGGAATGCCTGGGGGTCAGATGAGGGTGCCATGCTATATCCACTCGCCACTATGCAATCTCGAATACGAGGTTCGAACGTTCGATTTGAGTCGACGAACGGCCGTGGTTGCTCGCGACTTGGGCGAGGCTATGTTATTCATGTCACATTGGGAACGCCTTTTACAGAGTCATGCCAGACGCATACGTACATATTCTAGGTCAGAACTCAGACTCAAAGTCAAGAGGAACAAGTCAGGGTGTCACATGATGCGACGTGCGCACAAGTACTGCTGCGCGGTCACACCAGGGTCCAGGTGGGAGATAGCCGGCGTTGTACACTGTACAGCAGGGCGAGAACTGCGCGGAAACTGCGCGCGCGTTGCAGTCTTGTTGCAGTCCGTGACAGCGTGGGCGGCGCCAGGCTCCTCCTCCTCCGCTCCCGCTTCCTCGACGCCTCCAGCCACACAAGCGCCCCAGTGGTACTAGTTTGCGGCTCACCGCTCTCAAATGACCTCACTTGGCCCTCGACAGATCCGTAGGCTGTGCGGATAGCCACTGCGAGCCCACCCGACGCCCTGCGGTCAGAACGGAGAGGCCCTTGGCGTGCAGCCCCGCCGAGTCGCGCCGACGGCACTGGAGAAAGGGGCGCACATGACGGGTGGACAGGAATACACGGCTGGGACATGGGAAGGCTGTGTGTCGGTGTCGTTGCCAGAAGCCATATATACTGTATCATCTCAGCCCCCAGCTCTACTCGTTTCTCCACTTGGACGCCTCGACCGGAGCCTATCGAGCCTCTTATAAACGCGACCGCTCGCTGCGCATGCGCCCGGCCAGTGATCTCATTGTCCCCCACCCTCCGTCGCGAGTTCGCTGCATTGATCTCGACTGAGGCTGCCCCCTGCACACCCCTGTTTTCACGAAGGCGGCAAAATGTCCCAGGATACCAAGCACCGCGTGGAGCCCAGTGAGCACTCTGGGAATTCGAATGTCGTCGATCATCACGCTCCCAACGGTGGGTACATACCCTATCCATGCGTAAGGAGGGCCACTGACTCTATCCGTCCGTTGTCAGTGACCGACGACCAAGCTCCGGCTGGCCCCCGTAGGCCGGGCGACCCTCATGTCATCAAAGTCCAGCCATTGAAGCGTGCTGAGATGCAGGTGCGTTGTCCCCGTTCTCTTCCTTCGCGCATAGCAACTGACATTCGCCGGACAGCCCTCGTACGCACAGGACCTCGGGACAGGCGAGATCGACCATGGCTTTTACGGCTCGATGATGCAGGCTCTCGGAGCGTGCGTCGGGTTCTGCGGCGCTATCCCCTGCTGCCCCTTCCCGAACCCCTTCCGCAACATCCCACAAGGTGTGCATACACACCTGTCTCTGTATTTTGGATAAGTGTGCTCATGGTTAACACAGGGTCGGTCGGGCTCGTAACGCGGTTCGGCAAGTTCTACAAGTCGGTCGACCCCGGCTTGGTGCAGATCAACCCATGCACGGAGAGCGCGCGCATCGTCGACGTCAAGATCCAAATCATCTCCATCGGCAGACAGAATGTCATCACGCGCGACAACGTCGACGTCGAGATGTAAGTCCCCGCATCCACGCCCCCCACCTGCATGCTCACGGCGCACCCCACCAGCGACTCCGTCATGTACTTCCAGATCATCAACCCGTACCGCGCGACCTTCGGGATCACCGACCTGCGGCAGGCGCTCACCGAGCGCGCGCAGACCACCCTCCGGCACGTCGTCGGCGCGCGCGCCGTCCAGTCCGTCGTGACCGAGCGCGAAGCCATCGCGTTCGAGATCGCAGAGATCGTCGGGGACGTCGCGGACAAGTGGGGCGTCGCGGTGGAGGGCATCCTCATCAAGGACATCGTGTTCTCCGCGGACGTGTCCGCGTCGCTCTCGAGCGCGGCCCAGCAGAAGCGCATCGGCGAGAGCAAGGTCATCGCCGCGCGCGCGGAGGTCGACGCCGCGCGCCTCATGCGCCAGGCCGCGGACATCCTCGCGAGCCCCGCGGCGATGCAGATCCGCCAGCTCGAGGCGCTCCAGGCGATGGCGAAGACCGCGCAGAGCAAGGTCGTCTTCGTGCCGATGCAGCTCCAGAGCGACGTCGTGGGCCAGATGGCCGCGCACCCCCAGGCGAGCGGGAGCGGGCTGCAGAGCATGAGCGACGGGATTGGCCCCGCGGGTGAAGTGGGCCTGCTTAACAGCGTATCGTCGATGTAAGGCGACGACCGTTCGTCGTGAACCACGTCTCCCCCGGATATTCCCCATCCCAGCGGTACCTCCAGTTCTCCCTCCAGTGACGGCGTTGTACGATATGGTGCTTGCTCACGATTCCCGCCTGCGACGACTTGCTTACGCTTCGTTATATGATACCTCTCGGGGTTTGTTTGTTTGTTTTGTCCCTTTAGGGTCACTGAGGGCGGAGCCCTACGATTCTACCTGTGTTGTGAGAATGTGCCGATGTTGTCCAAGACATTGCTTCATCGACTCAAGGCTTTCTCAAGTCCATGCAGGGCCCCTGTCAGATCGAGTTCCCAGACTGCAATTCTAGGAATCACCAACGAATATGGTACTTTTGTCCAACATGTCACGACGAAGGCACGAAAAGCCTAGTATACAACGCACCCATGTCAGATGTCCGTGCACCGTTGCACCGACAACCCGGCGGCGGTGAAAGATATATGCTACATAATCAGGTCGCTGCTATAGCGCAGAGCAGCCTGGATCCGGGTGGTGCAGTGTGTCAACAAGCTGCTCGAACTCGGATGCCATCCAAACTCTCCTCACACATGAACCCGCCCGCTGGCAAGCTACCTCCGCCTACCCGGGACACTCAACACCACCGCAGCGAAAATCTAACGTGCCCAATCCGCGGTCAGCACAGTCCACCCGACACACCCAGGGGGCACGCACCGCGGTCGCAACAAGCCCGAAACACAGCACGTCGCGGAACGCCCTCCGATGCAGCGCGCGGATGCGCGGGTCGAGCACGACCTTCTCGGGCCCGAAGAGCGGGGCGCGCTTCGCGGCGTAGGCGTCGATGCGCGACTTCTCCGGGTCGCTCCGTCGGGGAGAGCAAGGATGCAGCGGTGGGGATGGTGAGGCGGCTGTTGATGGCGGACGGAGGCGGGAGAGGAGGAAGGATACCGGGGAGCAACGGCGCGATCGCCGTCTATGATGTCGCGGCGCGACGGACGCCCGTTCGCTGCCAGGCTCAGGGAGGGGCGCGTTGAAGGGCGCGATCGTGAACGACGCAGCCTGCGCTTCCCACCGCTCCCCCGCCTTCGCCTTCGCCCCGTCTGCGGGCGGCGGGGCGAGGAGCGCGTCCCAGTGTGCGCCCGTCGCCGCGTCCATCTCCTCGAGCTCCCACTCGTGCAGCTGCGTCTTGCCGCGGCTCCACATCCAGCTGCAGAACCTACCCCGCGACTCGCACATCAGCACCCCCTTTCTCTCGGTGGATAGCCGTGCCCAGACTCACCCCCTGTAGACAGCGTAGAGCTGCATCATCCCCACCATGGCAGGGAGCACCGCGAGCAGGCGCCACGCGCGGTTCGCCTCGGGCGGGACGCGCACGACGCAGACGAGGAGGACGGCGAGGAAGACGCCGACGGCGGTTTCGAAGATGCCGGAGGCGCCGTAGAAGAGCCGCCTGGAGCGGTTGATGTTCGCGGAGGCGGCGGCGAGGAAGCGCGGGAGGGAGAGGGTCTCGAGGGTGTAGCAGAGCTCTGCGTAGACGGGGAGGAACTGCAGGTGGTTAGTAGCGCGTGGGGACGGGAGGGGGGGACGTACGACGTCGGGGTGGGTGTTCCAGGTGAGGTCCCGGATGGTGGTGTCGCGTAGGGCAGCGTCGAGGGGCAGCTCCTTCGCGGTGCCCGGTCTGAGGAAGGTCGCGACGATGCGCATGCACTCTTCCTTGAACGGCTGGTCGCGTGGGACGGGATCCGACGCAGGGCGTAGTGGCTGCGACAGCAGTGGGGAGTTGGGCGTCGCGAGCGAAGGGGCGGAGTCGGGGTACGCTACGGCGGAGTCGACCGGGGGGAGGCGAACACAGGCTGCGAGCTTGTATGAGGACGGCAGGGATGCGCGGGCGTTGCTGGCGCGGACGCGGTCTGCAGTGCGGGCGGGGGTGGGGATGGCGAAGGCGAAGTGGGAGTGGCCGGGGGACGCGGCCCGGACGTGTGGGGGGAGGGCGAGGAAGCGGCGGCGGTAGTCCTGGAACCACACCACAAACTGCAGCACCTCCACAGAGTGTTCCTGCAGCCACGTCTGTCAGACTGGGTGCACAGCGGCAGACACGTCACGTGCCTGGTAGGCGAGGTACGCCTCGAAGTTCTTCACGCTGCAATGGAAGCTGTCAGCACGACGTCCGGCGAGCTGAGTGTCAGCAGGACAGAGTGCACGCCATGGCAAGAACCTCGCAGCCGCAAACTCAACACAGTAGACCAACCTGACAGGATAGCAGGTATCCCCTGCCAACACCATCGCTAACGATGGCATGCCGCCGTCTCTGCTGAAAAATCGGGCGATGCCATTCCACGCAGCGCGTCCAACGAGCCGTGAGGCCTCTTTGCGCTTGATGGGCCGTTTCGTAGGCTTCTCTTGCATAGCGGGTCCGAGGATCGGGGAAGCGGAACGAGTGGAAGGAGGATGTATCTCAACGCAGCCCAACGAGCGAGGTATGTAAGCCGTCTCCGCACGCGTCCGCCCGGTCATACACTAGCCCGCGCACACAGGGGGAGCGGGACGTCTGGATCGGGATGCGGAAGGAGTCCAATGTGTGGAGCGGCGCGAGCAGAACGACGAACTGACGCAACTGCAGCGCCCTCGTCATCCCCGAGATGGCCGCGCGTCGTGCTTGACAGGAGAGGGGGCAGGGAGGCCGGACAGCGTCGGGGAGAGGAGCGTGACCGCAACCGCGACGTGCTACCTTACATATACGCACGAACGCACAGCGGCCACCTGCAGGCGCGCGCGAACTTGTGTGCGAGCCACCGGTCGTGATGTCGGTGACCACGCCGCGGGCGAGGCGGCCCACAGCAGACGCGGGAGAACGTGCGCACGGACCGTCCGGCGAGGTGTTTTGTGCGAGGCGTGATAGGGGGCGGGGCAACCGAGAGGGCTGGTGGCAGTGGCGGGCGCTGCACCTCCTCGATCTCCTCCCCCGTCTGATCACCGATCAGCACGCCGTGGCCACGCGAGCGATCGTCCTTCGCTCGGGGGTCTGAACGCCGGTTGCTGCGGAGGAGACCCTGTTTGTGCGGCCGCTGGAATCGTCATTCCGAGGTGGCCTGAACACCGGTCAATCATCGTATGCTCACCTCTCCGAAGGAATGCAGCCACAAGTGATGACTTCTGTTGGACTACTGCGTCGTCTTGGGAAACGGTAGACACATGCACGGCGCCCCACTGTCTCCCAGGGCCTTGCACTTGTGAACTTCCTGCAAACCTACATCCGAGCGCAGTCGGAGATGGCTGTATGAGTCGCAATGGTGAATTAATAGGCAACGGCCTTGGCACCAGAGGCCGCCAGATCTTCACAGTGCAAGCGAGAATGCAGATCTACAATTCTTCGCAGCATGGCAACGTACCATCTTGTGATTGAACCAATGTGTTGCGAAAACGTACATCTGCGGGGCCCTTGCTTTTCCTAGAGTAAGACGATGAATGCAATTGGTGCAGCGTCATCATACTCTGGAACGCTCAAATGTCTTCTGAGTGCACAGAAGGCAAAATATGCATGTCTTCAGTGACGTACCGCTATTGCTGTGGGCCGCAAATGCGTCGGCAAGCAGACACAGCACGCACTGGCAGCCATGAAAATAAGCAGAGACACCAGTGTACAAGACGGCAGACTTCAATACGGCTTGAACCGCCGCGAATGCTTCAGCTTCTCCACCTTCGCCTTGTCCTCCTGCCACTTCGCCTTCAGATCCATGAGCTCTGCAAAGCAGAAAAGCCATCAGCCTCCCCAACCTCCTAACAGCACCCGCGGGCCACGCACCTTTCCTCTTCTTCTCGTGCACCTGGAACGCATAGAAACCCTCCTTCTCCGTCTTCTCCGTCTTCTTCTTCCTATACCTCTTCCCCGCCCCCGCCTTCCCGCCGGCAGCCTCCTCCTGGAAGCGCTTGCTCGCGACGCCCACCCCGCCGCCGAGCGTCTTCCCGTACGCGCCCCCGCGCGTGACGAGCGTGAAGCCGTCTGCGTCGACGACCGCCTCGCCCATGCGGTACTTGCTCGCCCGCCGCGCGCGCGCCTGCGCCCACTCAAAGCGCGCCATGGCGGTGTCCGCGTGTGCGCGCACGGCGTCGAGCGGCGGGCGCAGGGCGGTGTGCGCGGCGAGGTAGTGTGCGAGGCCGAGGGGGGCGGCGGCGTCTGTGGGCCACGGGCGCGGTTTTGGGCTGGACTTCGAGTTGGGGGCTGGGCTTGATGTGGAGGAGGGCGGGGAGAGGGCGCGAGAGAGGGAGGAGGCGTCGAGGAAGACGAGGTGGGCGGACCGGCCTGTGCGGCGGAGCGTGCGCAGGGTGGGTGTGGGCAGCGGTGTGACCTCGGGAGGGGAGTCCTGCTTCCCTGTCTTTCGCTTTTTTCGAGGTCGCTCGGCGGGCTCGTCTGCGGCCTCCGCTTCCGCCTCGTCTTCCTCATCCTCCTCTTCACTATCACTCGAATCACCAAGGTCGTCTTCCCCGCCAGCAACCTCCCCATCCGCATCAAACGCGATCCTCTCGACCGTCCCCGCGGCCTTGAAGAACAGCGTCAGCTCGCGCTCCGTCGCATCCGGGGGCAAGTTCACGAGGAAGAGCGTGCGGCCCTCGGGGTACACCGCCTCCTTGCCCTTCCCCTTCGAGTCCTGTTGCGCGGGGCTTTTGGCGGGCTTGGGGTTGGAGTGTGCGCGGGCGTAGAAGACGTGCGTCGCTGTGGAGGAGTAGGCGACCGAGATGGGCGTGAAGCCGCCGACGGACTTGGGGGTCGTGGACATGGATGTCGCTCGCTCGCGGGAGCAGAGGATCTGGTAAGTAAAGCGAGACAGTGGTTCAGTTGTTCGCTCCTGTATGGCTGCAAGCGGTGTACTTACAGTGGGATGGATCGATAGAGCGTATAGCGGCACTGAGCACAGGGAAGTACCGCCGGCAGCAAAGTGCTGGAAAGAAAGATGTGCGATCACGTGTGTCGCGTTCCGAGCGTCGCGGCGATCGAATATAGGGGCGGATCAAAGTCGCGCGTACACTTTCCCCTCTTCGGGCTCTGTATGTCGTTGGCCCGACACTACCAGTACCGTAGGTATTATAATATACTATGCATACAGGGTTCCTGTGCTGCTAGCAAGACTGCATTGGAGTGCTATGATTGGCGTTCAGATGGCTTCACGCTTTGTACTACCGATTACTATACTGCTCGAGCTTGAAAGGCGGAGGAATAAGTACCGTACTCCCCAGAGGTACCCAGAATTGGAGTCACGGCACTTATCGCCAGCTCACTGCACTCTTTTACATAACCCCTAGGTTGGAGGGCGACACTCTGCTAGCATCGCAAAGGGATACCAAAATATACGGGCCCGTGGTGCCTGCGTACCCGCTCCCTTCGGAGCGCTTTGCCTTCAACGCCATCCCCCTCCCAAGCATCAGTGGCGTATGTACTGCCTTGGTGGGTTTCAAGTCTCAACGGGTTTCAAGGTTCAAATTTGACCCGCCTGCGATTGTGTCCGTGCAGCAGTCTTCTACCACTGCACCCATGTCAGATCAGACGAATGAATCTTGGAAGGTATCCGCGCTGCCGTACGACTGGCCTCACGACGGGTCGCTCTCACCAGAGACAACAGCCTTGGTGATCATAGACATGCAGAACGACTGTCAGTCCATCCGGGCCCTCGCACACTTACGCCTACTCACCTATTGAGCCCGCCTCCCACAGTCTGCGCAGAAGAAGGGTACCTCGCCCACCTAGGTTACTCCGTCGCAGGCACCAGGGCGGCGATCCCGAACATCGCACGCCTCCTCGAGGCCTTCCGGACGCACGGCTACACCGTGTACCACACGCGCGAGGGGCACCGCCCCGATCTCTCCACGCTCGCCCCGCGCGAGCTGTTCCGCTCGCGCAACACACCGTCCGGGCTGGGCATCGGCGACGCGGGCCCCATGGGCAGGCTCCTCATACGGGGCGAGCGGGGGCACGATATCATCCCGGAGCTCTGCCCACTGCCGTCGGAACCGATTGTTGACAAGCCCGGAAGATCGGCGTTCGCGTATACGGACTTCGAGCTGCTGTTGAGGGTCAAGGGAATTAGGAAGTTGGTGGTGTGCGGCGTGACAACGGACGTGTGCGTGCACTCGACCGTGCGAGAGGGGAATGACCGTGGAGTTGAGTGCTTATTGGTGGAGGACGCGACCGGGACGGCACTAGAGGAACTGCATTCGGCTGCAGTGAAGATGGTGCAACATTCGGGTGGGATATTCGGTGCGACGGCGACTACGAAGGACGTCCTGGAGGGTATACAGAAGGCGGCGAGATGTTCCTGAGCCATCCCCAGAGGGGTTGTCACTACAGATCGTCAGCTATTCAGTCGTGCATTCAAGCGGATTGGGGGATATGTTTGGATTATACAGCACGTAATTGTCCTCGTACAGATAATGTTACATCCATCCGGGCCGTTCGTAGGAATGTATAGCAGTCATGAGCGAGAAGAGACTTCCATCTAATCATCGTACCCAGGCGGGGCGTCATCCGGTATCCTCGAAGCATATGCTGACGACGAGGAACCTGCGTCTGCCGCGGGCGTGTAGGTAGCTGAGGAAGGTACAGGAGATTAGCCGTAAAAAGGTCCACTGTTAGCTTAAAACGCACGGAGTTCGTCTTCCTCGGCGGTCTGCCTCTTCATGTAGATCGCCCGCTCTCGCGTCTTCTCGAGCGCGCTCACAAACTCAAACAGCCCCTTGTCCTTGAACCGAATCTCTGCCTTCGTCCCGTCCGTCAGCCTGCCTTCTGGCGAAGGTTTAATCTCGATGGAGAGGTAGTTCGAGCCGAAGTATGGCTGCTCGAATTTGGTCGATGAAAGGGACAGAAGCGGCACGGACAGCGACTCGATGCCAGACTTGCTTCCATTGTCGGACACGAAGATGAGCTGTGTAGATCGGGATCGAAGGAGTTCGGTAGAGAAGCACAGTGGTGATGAGGCGGGGAGAGAAGAGCGGAATCAGTATCGCTGTGGCGACGGTAAGCGAGGGTAGAATGCACGCACCCGTTGGTCGGTAAGCCACAGCTTGCCAACATCCTTCATCTTCTTCGCACCGCCCAACCCTCCTGCTAGTGAACTCGACGCGCCGGAGGGCGGGGCATCTGGGATGCTGAGCGAGAGCTCGACGCCACCGTTGAGGTCCCTGATTGTCAGCTCGTTTGGGAGCGGGATGGGGGCCCGTGCGGGGCTGAGCATTGCGTAGTTGAGCGCCATCTCGGTGTCGATTTCGTGAGTTCTCTTCTACAGCTATGTCGAGAAGTTGGCGAGTCTGCCTGGCTCAAGATGGGAGTTGGTGCGGTATAGCACTGGGTGGGCTGGTATTTGATGGATCGTACGCGCGACTGACCATCATGATCGCGTTTACATATAGGAGACACCGCGTGCCGTGAGAATGCAGCCGTCATGTTGCGGACGTTAACAGACATGTTGTTCCTCGCCGTCTTGTCGTCTGAGGTGTTGTACGAGATCCTCTAGTGAGTTCCGGTTGCTTTCATTGTTGGGGTTTGAGTTCGTCCAATCGCTGCAGGGGACCTGGGAAAGCCATGCAGATCGCGCGCGGCTTCCGTGCCCTGTACACGTGCAGAAGAGGGAGCAAAGACGAGAGCTGCTCGCTCGAACGAGGAAAACCCACGGTCTGCAGCATTTCTACCCCTACTCCCCGGGAGCCTTATCGGTGAGCACGCTGTTGCCGGGTCATGCATTCCCTGTTCCGCGAGACTTGCCACGCTCATCTGAATAGCTGCGATTCAATGGCGGCGCAGACTCACTCGGTATATCTTCGTAGGGATGCTGAGGAAGTACTTGGCAGAAGAGACATGAAGACGTGACAGTATGACATCAGACCCGGATGAACTACAGAGGCTCGAGCAACTCGAAATACCCCCAGCCCATGGTATGAGGCCCCCGGGTCTGCACTTTCTACCCTACACTGACATGAACGTCACGATCGTAGGCGCGCAGAGTGGGTAAAGACAGAAATTGGAGAACTCTACATGACATGCTGTTTTACGACACGCAGAGCAGCTCATGCGCTCTGCGGGTCGGAGTACGCGAGCACGACTGGCGGCAGGCGGATATACTCGAACGTCGACGCCCGTGTGTAGAATTGAGACAAGGCACCGTAGTAAGCTCCAGCGGTCGCGGCAAGGCCGAACGCACCGCCTGCAATGTTTGTGTGCGGGTTCGCTGTCGCCAACGTTCAGCGATTGTATGGGTAAGCACCATGATCTATGGACTCACGGTTGAAGCAGTTCGATGACAGGCAAGCGAGCGAGACGACCGTCATTCCAAGCGTCCAGACAATCGGCGCGGTTGTGCGAAGAGCGCCAATGCTATGTAAGTGTCGTGCTCATGAGTAACCTGTGCCTCACTTGTGTGCGGGCATACTTACAAGAATACGCCGGTAATCAGGCTGACGCACGACGTATATTAGTTTCCTCTCTATCTCCGTTCCAGTGACGTTGTACTCACCACCAGATCGCCAGATAGATACCAACAGCGTGCGTGAACTCCTCCGTGGGCACACCGCCAACCGAATATGCCGATCTATGAATACAGTTCAATACTCATAGTCACATTCACGCGGCGCGATACTTACGCGATACCAATTTCTGGCAGGTAGAGCGCACCGTAGCTGAAGTTGAAGCCTCCGTAGGTCGCAAAGACAGTTCTACGGACGAGATATCAGTACTGAACGCGGTATGTTGCAATTCATATAGTTGGCTTACGCTGCGAAGGTATGCCTGGAAATCCTCGTTAGTAAACTACCGACGTCCACATGCTGATGAGCCTTACCCGAGGTAGAACTCCCACATGCCCACCAACGTCTGCGAAATACCGCCGTAGCTGTGGATTTCTGTCACAACGAGCTCTAGAGCTAGTCTAAACCTATAGACCACTCACAACATGGCGAAGAGCAAGACGAGGTTCGGCGTTGTCACTCCACCGGCGCCGAGGGTGAGCAATGACGAGCACAGGAAGACTGTCCCATAGGCCAGCATCCCAAGGGGAGTCTACAAACGGTGAGGGATCATAATCATAACGGGAGTTGTCGATCGACTTACGGGATTGCCATACTGGTGAACCACGGGCTGGGGAGACTGTCCCTCGGCGAGCGGGCGCGGCGGGACGGGGTCCAAGGACTCCCCGAAGTAGTTGATGTTGCCCCGACTCTCGCTCCTGGTGAGCACTGTGACGTTCTCGGACTTTCCTGACTTCTCCGTATCAGACATGCTGGCTAGATCTCTGCGCTGGGAACAAGTGACAGGGGACCGCAGGCGGTGAGGGAATGGGAGCGTGCGGTGTGCAGGAGAAAGACCAGAGATGGTGCTGGGGAAGAAGCACCCGGTTCTTATACCCTCATACCCCCGCCAAGACACGGTCTGCTTTCGTGTAACTGGGGGTGGCGCGGGCTATCTAGTGATTATTCACGCTCGCACGGAGGCTGGGAAGACGGCCTGGCTCCCCATACTGCCAGGGGGGCTGAGGTATGGTACGGGTGCATTACTTTATCCGGTGAGAGTGAGTATGAGAATCCTACGTGTCGTGCTGGTGGCGACTCACACTGCGTTCCCACATAGCGGTCGAGAAGAGAAGGTCGTTGGCAGCTCCGACAATCAGACGACTGCGGCGGGCTTGCGCCATCAGGTCGTTCGGTCGAGAGACTCTAGAGCCACAACCTGAGGTCTGCGATCGCGCATGCCGTGTTGCTCGCGACGGAGATTGATGCGCTTGTCGGGTGGGTGGGCCCAATCTCCTTCAAGACTTTAGACAATGGAGAAAGGCCCAGGGGCCATGCAAGGTGATAGGTATCTGATAACGAATAGTGCTAATCCACAGCTGGAGCAGCATCCTACCACTGCCAGCCGCGGTAAGGGCAAGACCGAAGAAGGCTCTTTGAAATGGAGTCTTCCTGGGGCTTCCTGCCGGCATGTCAGGTACGACTCATCAATGTGGTATGGCCCATCTTCCTGGAGCAGCTTTCTCACCTATAGCTTCATGGATAGGACGAAAGCATTACGATAATCCGCAGTCTGCCATTCGGACGCGGCTTCTTCGACGTTCTCATAGACGGTAATAGCATTGAGCTACCGAGGGTGCGGATTGTCACCTGCCATGCTTGGATCTCCATCGATCTATTCGGAGGCTTTCCAGTACTCAGTATTGGTGTCTCGAGAAAGGGTTTGTAGCTGCATTGCCTGAAGAGAACCTTGCACGTACGTTGAAAGCCGTACATTGTTCACTCAAGCCCCACCATAGGGAGCCAGTCTCAAGGAAGCCAGTCTTCTACGAACCCTGATGAAATCAACGGCGCAAGGAACCCTCTGCGCTTCGCAGCTACCACAGTAACCGCCATATGCGCGCCGTCACACCATTTGCCGCATCAATGAACCACATCAGGGCGCTGGTTGTCCTTTGCCCTTCTATGTCGTTGTTTGCTCTCACACTGGAGTCCCTTATCCCCACTCAGTTTCTCTCACCGGGGACGAAAACACTGCAATCGCACATGCCGCGATGACTTGTAGCCAATGCGTGGTCCAACGGCTTCCGAAGGCTCAGAGCTTGTCGCCACCGGTTGGGCGGGGTAATTTGGAGGAATGACATGACCCGACAGTCTGCCATTGCCAAAGACGCAGTATAAGTAGGTCGGAAATGCCATGACATTCTGGGTTGCCTTGCTGACCTAGAAAGTATGGCTACCTGGCGCAATGGTAGCGCGTTTGGCTTCGATCGCCAACGGCACCAAAAGGTTGCAGGTTCGAGTCCTGCGGTGGTCAGAAATTCCTTTTTTGTTTTTGGCAGAACTACTCAGCCTTGCACAAGCCTTGCTCGTTGTTTTTAGCAAGCCGTCCCTCGCTAGAACTCATTGTGTTATAGAATGTACTGCGCTAGATACATGGCAATTGCATTGAGGTGAACCTGACGTGCTACAGAAACCATCCGATCGCGTGTCCTGTGTATTCGTACGATTATGAAAACACATATCCATCCTCCTCTCTGTGAAACTCGCACGGCTGGTTACCTATCGCGGTGCCTTCACCCGCAGATATTCTTCTCACAACGACCTGATTCTCCCCTGGAACCTTAACCCGGACACAGAGCTCGTCCGTCTCTTCGTCAATGAAGTGCAGATCGCCGCACACCCCTTCTCCAAACGGATGCGGGAAGAAGTCATCATCGTCTGATTCATCTGGGTCGTGCAGAAATGGATGTGCGAGGGCCTGTCTTGGGTTCATGCGTTGCGTTGACTCGGGGTGCATGACCCGTTCAACGAAGTCGAGCGCCTGTTCGACGTCCGCGGCATATGCTTCCGCATCTACTGCGGGTGGCTCGGGAGCCGGAGATGATCCCGAAGGCGAGTACCGGGGTGGGGATGATGAAGAGGGTGGTGGACCTGCGTGGCTCCGTGAGGAACTGGCGTGAGGATAGAAACGAGGATCCGGCTCTGGTGGTGTCCGGAGGTCAGGATTTTGCCGCTCGACGAACTCGCGCCAGGTCATCCCTTCAGGTGTTACGGAGGGGACATTTGTCTGAAACACGCGACCTGGGAGGATAGTTGGTCAGACAAAGCCTCGGGGTTCGGGCTTGCACCTTACTATGCAGGGTGGCTGTCTTCTCCATCCTCTTCTTTCCGATAATAGTGGCGATTTCCATGAGAGCCTCCATGTCATCGCTGGAGTGGAACAGTGGAAATTTCCTCGTGAGGAAGAAGAGCAAAATCATCCCCGCTGACCAAATGTCAATGGCTGTGCGAGTAACCGGTTATTGAGCCGCAGGCAGAAAGGAAGCATGAGCAAAGATGTGTGCCTGAAGTGGTGCATCGAAGACCGACCTCCCGTCTGCTCGCCGCACTTGAAGAGGACTTCCGGGGCTCGAAAGCCTCTCGTACCGGCCCTGTTGGCTTTGGAGATAGGTCTTCACGGACGTCAATGAGTGAGAGCACAGTAGGTATCATCACCATCGCCTACCTTGTATCTTTCTCCGGATACCCGACGCGTTCTGAAGGCAGGGAGCTTTTAAGCCGACCTTCCTTCTGCATACGCTTAACATGATCTACATCGAAGTCCCCGCGGGGCCGTACTCGACCATGGGGAAAGTCAGGTGTTGGTCCTGTATGGAGACAGGCACCTAGCGTGGGTCCACGTTCCACTCGCTGCAAAATTGGGAGAGGTCATTGTCAGCATGGGCAGTCCGGAGCGTTCTGGTTGACCCGGAAGCCATGATTCATGAACCACGGGTGGAATCACTCACACAGGCCAGTCCGAAATCGCAAAGGGTGCCGACGCCGGTACGGGGATCGAAAAGGAAGTTGGCCGGTTTCACGTCACGATGGATGATCGCTCGCGCGTGAACGTCGCGCAATGCTCGGAACATACATCGAAAATACGCCTTGATACCGTCCATGGGCAGAACGCGAAAGTATCCCTAGTAGGAAAATAGATCATGATCAGACGTACTGCCGTCTGGTACAATGGTTCGAAGCGAACGGCTGGGCACTCACTCTGAAGTCGATGTTACGGTGGTAAGGCATAATGGCGACAACCTGGTCACGCTGCCTGAATGCAGTTATCAGCTGCGATGCGTGGCGACAGCCTCTACAATCCTCCATAATGGAGATCTCGTTGCGTATTCTCTCGGGTCCGCTAGTGACATATATGCGCTTCACCGCGACGAAGACTTTGCTACCCCAAGGCCGAGTAGCGGACTGGGAGTATGCAGACGAGAAGGGTGGATGGTAGCCCTGCCATGGTGCATTGTCCCACCTATCATGATATCCGAGGTCAACGGCTTTGTAGACGGAGGAGAACGTGCCGGTTCCTAGTCGGTCTACGATCTTGTAGTCTGGGGTGAGTTGCGGGACGGTGGCTTCGAGGTCGGCTATTTCCTCCTCAATTTCCTCCCGCTCCTCCCGTGGTTTGAGATAGATAGACAGCTCTTCATCAGTTTCTGCATGACCGGCATGGTCATCAAGCAGGTCCTCGTCGATCTCGCCGTCCGCGTCCTCGTCCCCGAGTTCATCGCCGAAGTCCTCATCCTGCCCGTTCTCGTCCTGCTCATGCTCTGCCTCCTCGTCCCCCTCCGGCTGCTCATCTGTCGGATCCGCCGGCAGAACGATCAGCTCGTCGTCGCTGAACATGTCGTCGCTGAAGGCGGGTTGCATGGGAGGAACTCGAGACGTTGCTGAGGCAGCGGGCCGTCTGGCATCCGGGTACAACTGAGCGATATGCGAATGGTATTGGTCCAAATCTGGCACATTGTAGCCATTCGACGGATCGTCAGACGAGGGAAAATAGCCTCCCCCGTCCTTTGGCACGTTCCGCGTACGCATTAGTTGACGCCTGTAGGCCTTGTTGCGAGCATCAGATGATGGAACCTCGAGCGGGTTGGAGGAGTGTTGCGAGAAGAAGGTAGCAGTAGCCATGAAACGCGATTCAAATGAGCGAGCTCTGCAGCAGCAAGAATGGCATCGAGAGTCGACGAGCGAGCGAACGGGTATCCCAGGGAGGGTGCGCGCGGTGAGTGTATGCGCGAAGGCGATCGGTGGCGACCAACTCAACTCGCGACGCGACGCGTCTGTGTGGAACGGTCACGTGTCAAACAAACTGAACTGGAGCAAAAATGACCACCGCAGGACTCGAACCTGCAACCTTTTGGTGCCGCTGGCAATCGAAGCCAAACGCGCTACCATTGCGCCAGGTAGCCATGATGATAGGCTTCCCCAGAACATCTACAATCATACCGCTCATTGGTGAGGGAACCCGCTGAGGGCCGGGTTGGCTGAGTGCGCTCGTTCACAACTCGTTCATCGACCCGCTCATGTCGCCGCGCAAGGCATAAGGATCTTGCGCACATGCAGCCTCTGGAAGACCTCCGCTACCTTCTTCTCCAACTTGTGTCCAGCCCACTGTTCCAGCAGCTGTTCCCCTTCGTCGTCATCCTCATTGTCCCGCTCCTGGTGGTCGCCGCCAACTCTCGCAAAGGCTCGCTCACATCTACCATTTTCATGGTCTTCGACGCATTGGCAGGTGCACTACCATGGCATTGGTTTGATAGTCACTCTGCCTCGAGCTCCGCCCACGAGAAGCGCAAGTCCAAGAAGAAACATATCCGTACGAGGGCGGAGCTAGTCAAGCAAGAGCAGCATCAGCTTGGTACGCTCTTCTCTTACAATGTGCATCGAGACTGTCTTCCAATCCTGCTTGTTCACAGATTCACTGCCCAAGGCATCTCATGATGGGGGATACTATCCGGGGCTGGTCAACATTTCCGGCACGTACTGCTTCATGGACTCGACGTTGCAGGTGCGTGCTACCCGCGAAGCTGCCGTCCGTCCGCTAACATTCGACGGCGCAGGCGATGGCGTCTCTTTGCTATTTGCAGCCTCAGATAGAGCAAATTCATGCTAAAGCCGAAGCGCTGGACGTTCCGACGCCAGTCATAGATGCACTGCGGGACCTTCTACACAGTGAGTACATCAGTTATCCTTTCACCGTACACAGTTTGATTCATGTCATAGCACTCAACACGCCGACGTCTTCGCCGCAAGCACTGCGGCCTCTTGAGATCATTAATGTGCTATCTGACCACTCCGCATCGAAACACAACTCCCTCTTCTCCTCACGTGAACACCAGGATGCGCAAGAACTCTTTCAGCTTCTCTCGGAGTGTATCAAGAGCGAGGCTGCTGCTGTAGAAAAGGAGGGCCATCGAGATCGCGGTCTCTCTGTGCTTGCCCAGGCTCAAGGCCCCGCAAGCCGCGAGCTTGGAAAGAGCGTATTTGATGGACTGACCGCTAACCGACGCAGCTGCGTCGAGTGCGGATACACCGAGGCTGTCATGCACTTCGCGTTTGACAACTGGCAGCTGAACATGCCTCGACATGCTGTATGTCCTCCTCCACTGCGGCAGTACACTCTGCCTAACTATGACCTCATAGGCCCAGTGTCGTCTGGAAGATTGCTTGGACGATTACACTCGACTGGAGATTCTCACAGACTGCATCTGCCGGAAGTGCTCGATGCTCGCGACCTACCGCCGCCTCGAGGCCGAGGCCGAGAAGCTCGCCGAGATCGCGAGCACAGACCATGATCCCTCAACGAGCAAGAAGAAACGCGCACGTGAGGCACGGAAGCTTGTCGCTCGCGTGAAGGCAGCGCTGGATGATGGCCGAATCGAGGAAGACATCAAGGGCGTGAAGATGGAGAAGGTGTTCAGCAGGGCTTCGACGAAGCAGGCAATGATCGCTCGAGTGCGTCCTGCTTCTTCCATGATATTTACTGTGCTTTTGACAGCGGTTTGATAGCCACCTCGCGTGCTTGCTCTCCACCTCAACCGCTCAGTGCACTATGGCCATTACGCCTCAAAAAACACATGTCGAGTGATCTTTCCGGAGGTACTCGATCTCACACCCTATACAACCTCCGGCCAACTCTCCACGAGCCCCTCTGTGCCCATATCCACTCCGCCTCCTCCCATCCCCCGCAGCACAACACCTACACCGGCAGCATATGCTACTCCGCGCACCCTCTATCGTCTCTCCGCCGTGGTCTGTCATTACGGCCAGCACTCCTTCGGCCACTACGTCTGCTTCCGACGGAGACCACGACCATCATCCGCCGGTGCCCGCCGCTTCGACCCACCGAAGCTCGCATGTTCGCTTAGCTGTGAATGTGAGCGATGTGAGCAATATGGTCCTGTGCGCGACGACGACGATGAGCAGCCGAGGCCTGGACGCGGATGGTTGCGCATCAGCGACGACAGTGTGGCCGAGGTCGGCATTGAGAGCGTGCTGCAGGAAGGTGTCGGCGCATTCATGCTCTTCTATGAGCGGGTGACGATACCGCGGCAAAGTATCTACCGGTCGAATTCACCACGAAGCTCGGAGGAAACGGTGCGCCCCGGCCCCGAAGCCGTGTATGCGAACGGTTCGTACGCTTCCCCGGTCAATGGCGATGCTGTAGAGGAAATGAAGATCGTCAAGCCAGTCCCCAAGATTGTTGGACCGAGGGTCATCCATAGGGTGTCGGCTCAGCCATCGTCAAGGAGCTCGTCGCTATCGCCACCTGACCGTGACCCCATTCCACATCCGCAGACACAACCGCTAGCTTCGAGCTCCACGACACCAGGGAAGTCGCTCCCGAATGGACACGCTGCGCCGTCAGGCAAGAACCATGCGCCATCAAGCACGCTATCAGAGGGTGTTCGACCAGCTCCGGTACGCCCTGTATCTCCACAGCAGGAGAGTGCTTCTCCGACACCGCATGAGCGTCCTTCCATGACAACAAACCACCCACCAGCACTATCGCCGCCGTCCATCTCGTCTCCGACGGAGCCCCCTCCTTCGCCGTCGATAGCGGTCGACCTACGCGCATAACCTAGCTCTATTGGCACACGCCATAATATTGTATCATTAGCCCGCTTTGCACCTATACATCTGGAGACCCGCTATGTTATGCATGATCTTCCTGTTGCGCTGTCTTGTACTGCCTAATCCTGCTCAGTTTGACATTGCGATAGGGAATAGTTATAACCATTGCTATTGGCAGGAAGGTACACCGGAGCTGTGTACCGTGGCGGTCCGATATATGATAGCGTGCAGCAAGCAAAAAAATCCATCCGTCCGATGCAATATGTGACACGTACAGATACATACAGGACATCCAACATCGTCCGCCAGCGGTGTTCGTGTCTCGTCGTGACGGGGAGCAACGCGACCCGCACAGCGGTCAGGGCAACCCGGCTGCGGACAGGCAGCTGGCGCGCAGAGATGTGAGATGTCGTGGCCTGAGATAACCTCCACAGTGATTTGCGATGAGAGGCTATTGATCACCAGTAGACGTATCGTTCGACGCTACGCCTCTGAGGGAGTGTTGGGCGTATGTATGAGACTGTGCGCTTTACGCGGGTGACCATAGGAGCACTGGTAGAAGATAGATTCAGAGATAGGCAGCATGATTGGCCCATGTAACACCCACTAGGTACGATAGAGAGGCTCCGTGGGCTCCAGCTGTACTTCGAGCGTCCTGCGTCCCTGTACAATGAAACACATCAGACTGGAACCATGCGCTACAAAGAATACACTGACCAGATGGTCGTCACTGGTGGCCACAACGAGGCCCTCCCTCCTGGAGCCGGCATGGTGGACAGCGACAATGTCGCCTGGCTGCAGACGTCAGACACGTTCAGCTCATCTCCAAAAGCACGAGGACGACGGAGGACGCACAAGGATCTCTTCATCAGACATCTTGAGGGAGGAAGAGGACTTACGAAGGGCAGAGCGCAGGGCGGGGCTGTCGAAGGCGTCGGCGAGAGAGGCGGCGATGGGGGAGAAATGCGAGAAAACGGGCTTTTATAGATTAGATGGGGACTCATCAGGCGGTGAGAGCTTTCCATAGACGACGCGAGGCAGCCATGAGGCCGTCTCCGCCAATGGTCGCCCTGAATCCTGGAATGTGCATCAGGCCGAGCATTTCATTTCATTTTTCCCGCCGCTTGTTTGCACAATAAGGCCAGACTTATTCTCTCTTATTCATCGGTCCCATGCACGGAGGTTGCCATTGTTGCGGTCCCCTTTCACCCGCCTAAACTTGGCCTAAACAGACATTGTTTTGCTTCCGTTGGGCTCAAGTTGGGCTCCCAGAAGTAGTACTCCCGTCGCCGCCTTCTCGTAATCGCTGCTAACCCAGGTGACGAACCCCGCGTCAGAGAGGGCACCATATCCGCAAGGCATCAAGGCACCGCCACCAGCGTTGAGAAACAGGCGGCCAGAGGGAGGAAGGGTTTGAAGATCATGGGAGATGGAAGCAAAGGAGTAGAGCCCGTAGTGCAAGCACGCGGCCGGCGCATGGCATTGGCACACAGAAGACCGCCCGCCGGCGTGCAAGGAAAGTGCGTGTATCACAACATCTATACGTCTACAGTATTCTGGCTCTCCTACATTTACCGCTACAAAGGGCCCAGGACGTGAATGCTGTACATCGGTGCTTCCTATGCCTCGAGGACGCTGCACACAACACTCACCTCCCGCGCAGTGTTGTCCACAGCTCCCTGAACATCTGGCGGAAGCTCATGGGCGCGAAAGGAGCCACCGAAGCGGACCCCGTTGAGCTGCCATTGTCGTCAAAGCCCACATCGATGAAGTCCTTCCGATTGGACGAGTTCGCGACCCTGTCTGCGAGACCTTGCAGGATGTCTTCCGCGGAGTCACGGTAGGCCTTCTCTAACTCCGTGTCGCGCATGTAGTATGCCCGGCGCACCACATAGGGCGCCAGACCATTGTACTTCCGGACTAGTGCGTTGACTTCCTCCAGCGCGTGGTCGTGGAACGCCCGCTCTCTTGCTTCCCACTCTGCGTCTCGTAACGCACTGACCTCGGCAAGGGTGAGCTGAGGTAACTGAGCTGCTGATTGTGAGATTGTCAGCAGTCGTATCGCTCGTCTAGTCCACGACTGCTTGATGAGTTCTCGGAAGGAGGCAATGGCGGAGTCCACCTCTGATTTTGTGGTGTAAGCTGGTGTCGAGCACCCTAGACACGTACGCACCTCCTTGTACCTCCACCCACGGCGGGGCAGCGCCTTGTCGCTGGACTATACGGTTCATCAAAAACTCTTCTCGCCCGATGAACGGGTTTTTGTCCTGTGTGGGCGAAACCAAGGGTTGGCCTCGGCCCTTGACACTGTTGAACAGACCTTCCTCGCGCGCTCGCTAGCGGTACCAGAATTGAGTACAGAATAAGACCGAGGTTCGCAATGACGCTCACCTGGATTCTATCCTCGACAAGGTTGGTCCATCCCTTCAGCGTCGTAGGGTTTGGCCTATGCGCCCCAGGGCCGCTTCGTATCCCAAGGCGGTAATCGAGCGTGGACTCTCTCGCCCTCGACAATCGACCGGCATGCTCCGTCCGCCGTCGCATCTCCCTTTGCTTCCTCTTCTCTTTCTCGTCCAAAGGAGGTGGGGCGGCCTTACGGGAGGGCTGTCGGGGTATCTGTCCATAGTGAACGTGCGAAGTAGCATGCGAGGGAACTTTGAATGTAGTCTGCCATGGCTGATGACCCGGAATCCCAGGTAGGATAGGCTCGCCAGGGTCATACTTGCGAGGCGTAGACTGCGTAGAGACCCCTTCGGTACTCGTCGTATCTGTCGCAGAGGAGCTCACAAGAGTCGACGGGCTTTCTCCTAAGGGATGATAACCCGACTCCGGAGTAGATACCTCCGGAGTAGATACCTTGGGCGGTGCTGCCCTCAGCTTCTCTTCTGCCGTCCGGATAGGCCCGCTGCGCAGAGGCTTGTATTTGTCCACCAGCATCCGGAGGACAGCATCCTGTACCGACTCGTCGCCAGTCCAGTTCTGGTTCTGGTCCTCTAGAATCTGAGCCCTGCTCGGCCGCATGGGCCTCCTCGCCTCCTCTGCCTCCTCGCGAGCTGCATCCTCGAGCAACTTGCTACTCGCACGATGGTCGGCTTCATCATACTGAACTGGAGAGACAGAGATGCCACGGGTTCTCCCAGCCCGATGTAGAGTTTTAGGATGTACGGATAGGATTCGATTTGGGAGCGAGAGCGGTCGAGCAGATATCATGCAGGATGGAAGGCAAGGGCTGGTCTGATCAGCCACAGCGTATTGTGGCTCATTTGTCAGTGGTGGCGGATTCTCTCCCGGGGTCGTCAAGCGATCGTGCCCGTCGCTTGCAAATTACTGTAAATCGCTCACTCGTTCCGAGTCGACTAGGACAAGAAAAAGAGTATTCAGCAGTGGACAGACATGAGCAATGGTGGTGACACAATTGATGCTAATGGATACAGCGGTTTGGTTTTAGTACAGCATATGCTCTTACTTCCCGTTTCTTCCCATGTATATCCAACCGACCGAACTTCAAGTTCATCACCGCCCAGCGAGAGCACTCCTTTTCGCCACCTAGACCAAGTTCGACGGGTAGAGGTAGTCCTCGAGGCCGACGAAGTTCTCCTTGATGCTCCTTGCAGAGACGAAGCGGTAGAATATTGACATGCTCCCGGCCTTGTCATTCGTGCCGCTCGCGCGCGCACCGCCGAACGGCTGCTGGCCGACAACGGCACCCGTGCACTTCTCGTTGTAGTAGACGTTGCCCGCGGCGTTGCGCAATCTGTTGGTAGCCTTCAGCAGAGCCTTGCGGTCCTGAGCGAAGCTGTGGTGACGGTCAGTACTCGGATCCTCTGATGATGCGGCAAAGGCTCACATTGCTCCGGTCAAGGCGTAGGGCGATGTCGTGTCGATCAGGTCAAGGGTCTTCTCATAATCATCATCCTCATACACGTACACCTGCATAGTGCATCAGACGAACTCCTCGTCGAGATTGCACATCTGAGATGTGATCCACATACCGTCAAGACGGGACCGAAGACTTCTTCCTCCAGGGTGACGAAGTGAGGATCAGTGGTCAGGATGACGGTTGGCTGTACGAAGAAGCCTTCCGAATCATCGTCTGTCAAATTCAGTTCAATATCAGGTCCATCTTCCCTGTCAGTGGGTGTCCCATCACTCACAGGAGCCGCCGACCAGTATTTCACCGCCTGCCTCTTTGGCCTTCTGAATATAACCTGTCACCTTCTGGAACGCCGGACGCCCGCTGCGGGACCCACAAACAGTCAATCATTCTACACAGGCGTGTGGTCATCGCTGATACGTACATGACCGGTCCGATGAATGTCGTGAAATCGGTGGGAGGGCCAACTTTGAGTTTTGCCACCTCGTTGACGAGTTGCTCCTTGAAACCGGCCTTCCAGATGGAGGAGGCAACATAGAGACGGGAGAGCGCTGAGCACTTCTGACCTGAACGAGGATACAGATGACCATCAATTCATGATTCCGAGAATGACCTCCGCATTAAACTTACCTTGGTACTCGAAGGCGCCTCGGATGCTCTGCATCACGGCGTTTTTCAACTCGGCAGAGGGATGAACGATATGGAAGTTCTTGCCACCTGTTTCAAGAATGAATGAGATGTCCGAGCGAGCTATGTTGAGCGCATCTGCCATACTCACCCGTCTCACCGACGATTCGGGGGTAGCCCTTGTACTTGTCCAAGTTGGAAGCAATGTCCTTCCACAGCTTCTTGAAGATGAACGTGCTGCCCGTAAAGTGCAGCGCTGCGAAGTTCGGGTTCGCGATGGCTTGACCGACTACCTCCTCGGCGGGCCCAGGGACGAACTGAATGACACCCGGCGGTATACCAGCCTCCAAGAATATCTTGTGGGTCAGATAGTTCGCATATACTGCCATGGGTGATGGTTTCCACACAACGGTGTTGCCCACCAGTGCCGGTGCTACACGGAGAATACGCGTTCAGCTCCGGTCGGGCCGTCAGGATCAGCGTCGTTCATACCTCCTGAGAGATTGCCGCCAATGGCGGTAAAATTGAATGGTGACACCGCGAGGACGAAACCTTCGAGGGCTCGGTACTCAACCCGGCTGGAGAAAGGGGCGTGTATGAGGGCCCCGCTAGGAATGACATGCGTCGAGAACTCACTTCCAGCTCCCGGCACTGTTCTTTGGTGGCTGCTGAGCGTAGAGCTCCTCGACATACTTCACGCCGAAACGCAGGAAATCGGAGAGCTAATATTCACTGAGTACGCCGTCAACCATGACATGCGAAACGACCTGAACGTACCTCCGCAGCAGCGTCAATCTCAGCCTGCCAGGCATTCTTACCCTGCCCCAGTATGCTCGCTGCCATCAGCTTGTAGCGATACTTGCCACTGACAAGATCAGCAGCCTTGAGGAAGATGGCCGCGCGGTCGTTCCATGGCATGGCCTCCCATTCAGCCTTCGCGGCCAGTGCACCATCAATGGCTGCGGCAACAGTCGCCTGGTCTGCTTCATGATAGGAGCACAGATGTGTTGCATGGGCGTGCGGGATGGGCTGCTGAGCGATCTTGCCGGTCTTGACCTTTACATCGATCACGTCAATTAACCACCACCATCTCTGCAGCAAGCGAGCAACACTCACCTCCTTCCCGTTCACCACACACGGCACCTCGAACGGCAGTTCCTGTTGCATCTGTTTCAAGGCCTCCTCCAGATCCTTACGTTCTTTCGAGCCAGGAGCATAGCTCCTCTAGATGGACGTCGTGATCAGTCGGCGGCTTGCCGTGGATACGAGCAGCGGTTGATATCACTTGCCATAGCCTCATTGTCAATGGCAGGAACCCTGAATGCAGCGAGTTGAGGTGTGGCCATGATGGATCTGGACAAGCTTGAGGTTGCACACGGACGCCTTCTCGCGGTGCAGCAGACTGCATTCTTCTTTTGGTGTGAACTATATGGTCATACACCGTGACTCGATCTCCGGGCTCTTATCAGCATGGCATCACACGTACGGCGAGGAACTGGTCAGGAACTGGTTCAACGTTCAGCTCAAGTCTCGACGGATCAAGATACGGTACAGTTCATACACAGGCACGCTGTTATACTAATTACACCCCCCAGATCGAGATTCTACTGCGGACCCGCGAATATGGGAAATAGTGGTATCCAATCATCAAAGTGCGGGGAGAACTAAAGTCCAAGGTGCTACTGGTCCGAGGTCCAGAACATAATCGTGATGGGGACGTCGTAAAAAGGGTCGTGATCATATCGTGGATGGCAAGTTGTCGATGTTCTTTCTCAACTGGTCCAGGAACGAATGCGCGTCGAGGATGCTCCCAGCGCATCGCTCACAGCCCGCCTGTGCCGACTGCGCTAGAAAAGGCATGGAGAAGACGACGTCTGCCGTTGGCCGGACAGCTAGTTCCTGTTTCGCCCTCTCGTGGAAGTCCGTCCACCACTTTGGCGGCAGAAACGCATGATACCGCGCTCCGTTGCACTGCATGCACTTGACGTCCTCCGACAGCTGAAGCAGCTCCTGGGCCGCCTTCGCTCGCTTCCGATGAAGGTCAAGGAGACGGTGATACGCGTAGGCTGTGATGTGCTTGAGGTCGTCGTGAAGGGGGCAGTCGAGAACGTTGACATTGAGCGTGTAGCGGGATGCCTCCTTCGCCTCCTCCTCGAGGTCGAACCGACATGCAATCGCATACACACGCGTGGGTGTGGCTCTTGCAAAATCGGGGGAGACGAGACGCTTCCGGAGGATGTCGATGACGCTGATTATGTCGTATTTCATGGCAGCTTCAAGGACAGGAGTGAGCTCGTCCAGGGTGTCGATGGATGGTCTCGACATCGGGTAGACGTAGCGCAGTAGTGTCTCCAGAGTAGATTTGGGCTCGGACACATCGATGACGGGTACTTCGGGACCCGCGACGGAGTGTGGCGCTTGTGGCAAAGCGAACATGTGCTTGAAGAACGGAGACGCGGCGGAGAGGAGGGATTTGTGAACGCGAAACTCGGTCGCGTATGGCGCGGCAGAGCGCAGTATGACGTCGGCGTCGTCGAAGTTGAAGTAGCTGGAAGTCATAGTGGACGAAATGGACACGGGGCTGTACGAAGTGAACTGGTGGCAAGTCATCGCAGATGACATGGAAAGGAACGAGTGGGGGTCGCGGGGAAGATAAGTTGAGCGTGGTGCAATCAGGTAGCACTGCTTATATGGGGGCCTGCGCAACGAAGAAGCCTCGGAGCCAGGTTTGTGGGTATTTGGTTGCGGTGATGACGGCACGAGAGTTGAACGCTACTGATCAAATTCAGCTATGGCATGTGCACAAACACCGTGGCAATCACAACACAGGTAACAGTGCTCGCAAGGTGGCGGGCGATCGAAGGTGCGAAGATGACAGCAGCGACGCGGCACCAATGAGGCTGTAACAAGGAAGACATGCTTCGACCCCTCATCGTCGCCGGCCGCGCTCGTTTTGCCCCCTCGACCGCCGGTCCCTGCTGCGGCTTCTGCGGTGTTCTCTATCGCGCTCCCCATCGCGGTCTCTTGGCCGGGGCGATCGTGACCGCCTTCTGCGCTCTCTGGAATGATCCTGGCGAGGCACCCGCTCCGTGCTCTGGCTTCGGCGCCTACCATGCCGGTCACCGGGGACATCGAAGACCAATCCGTAGCGGTCACCGTCATCCGCAGAGCTCTCCCTGTACCGCCGAGTCGCCTCCAAATGGGTCAGTCCACCGAAGCCTCCGCCACCATGTCCTTTCCCACCACGTGCAGGCCGGGGACCCATTTTAGGGTCGTTAGACCATCCTCCATTCAGGCGAGACACCGATTGGGAGCTGTAGAATGGAATCAGCTGAAACGCATCATGCGGTGACGGTCTGTACAACACTCACAAGTCCACCCAGATACGCCGCTCGTCTATCAACACGTTTTGCATCTTGAAGTACGCCTAGGCGCTGTCAGCAACGCACACACAGGGGCAGACGCACACATACCTGCTCGGCATCCTCTCGCTTGTCAAACTCAATGAATGCGTACTGCAGAGAGTCCCCTGTCTTCTTGTCTCGGATCACTTGACAGCTCATGATCGAACCAAAGCGAGAGAAGATGAGCTCCAGGTCCTCATCTCGGGTAGCTGGGTTCAGCTTGCAGACGAAGAGGACATTCTCCGGAGGCCGCACGTTCGCGAAGGGCAGGTCTCCGACCATCTCGAGCGTCAGAGCGGAAGCCCGAGCAGCCTGCTTCCGTCGTTCTGCTTCCGCCTCCTCTTCAGGTAGAGTAGCCAAAGGGTCCTCATCTTCAGCGATACGATTGGAATTGTCCGGAGGGCGCATAGGCATTGACTCGGGCACTACCAGGCCTGGAGGATCCTCAAATGGGTCATCTGTGTGAATCACTGTGAGTCCGCAAGGACGCCCATAAAACCATAACAATGCGCACCGAGAATCTCTACATGCCGTATCCGCACGTCCTTTAGAGGACGCCCCTCCTGGTCCACAAAGACATCATTCAGCTTGTCCAGCGTGTCAAGCCCCTCGACAACGTGCCCAAAGACTGCATGCTTCCCGTCCAGGTAGTCGATTTCATCCGCGAGCGTCAGGAAGAACTGGCTACCACAGCCACCTTTCACTTGACCATCGACGGAAGGCGCGACTGCCATAGACACTGTGCCTTTCGCCTTGTGCTTCAAGCGTGGCACGAATTCCGGACTGAAGTAGCGAGGCTCTTGTTTTCCTTCTTGTGAGGCAATGAAGGACCAGATAGACTCGCCTCCTGTCCCTGTGGCCGACGGGTCCCCAGACTGGGCCAAGAAATCCTTTGAGACTGCACTCATGTGAGGCTCGGTGAGCATCCGCAGATTGAAACGACGTACCATTGAAAAACGCGTTGAGATTGTAGTAGTAGACTTTACATAGCTTCAGAAAGTTTTGGCACGTCTTTGGACAAGCATCAACCTCCAAGTCAATGACAAGATCGCCTAGGGACGTCTCGAGGAGGACAGACATAGTGCCGCAGAGGTTTGAAGGGTGCGAGCAGTCCTGGGCAAAGCTGTGGCGAAGGGTCGCCCACGCAGCGGCGCTATCACACGTAGCGTATGTATATGTAATTTCTGGATGAGTGGTGTGCACACTGATGGTGAAGTGGTTATCATCCTTGCCTTCCAGTTGCGTAATGCTTACGTAAGCACGGAGCAAGGGGCGGGGGTTCGATTCCCTCTCAGTGTATGTCTCCACCCTTTTTGCTCTTTCCAGCCTCGGAAGCATCTTGCTCGAAATGCCGCCAAAGAGGACTCTCTGAAGGTCAAACGGGTCGGAAGGCCACAGTTCGATTTCCGTTTGAGGTGGCTGTTGCCGGGGCCCGATCTGCTTACGTAAGCTAGTCTGGCCGAAAGTCTTGCTCCGACTCGTGCCTCCCCTCACTCGATTCATGTTCTACTGAGTGCTACAGAAAATTCTTGATCTGTATCGACATGGATGCCGGCTTTTGGATACATTGTGGGGAGTCCATATCTCAAATTTGAGCCGGAAGAGCCGGAATTCGGTAAGCGGCGTCGGGTAACGGTCACACTTGGTGGTGGACGTGGACGACGTCTTCATTGCGCACGGGGGGCGATTTGGCGCAATGCTTTGAAATTTATCTGGCTTGACTCGCAGCAAAATGCATTGACAACTAACATCGCCAAAAGTGCACACCGCAGATCTGACATTATCAGTCATTGTATGAGTAGTCTGCCTTGTATATCTCATCTTTCCGGTTTGTGAACTTTCTCTCACCTCTTTCGTGTTGGGGAGTCATATCTTACCAATGCTTTTTTGTCTTCAGTTCGCTTAACCAGCCAAGGGGCTTTTGTGCAGCGGTTGTATTGGGCGCTAAGACATGCATCAGCGAAGGAAAGACTTCATCAGCGAACACAAGACGTACGTACCGTCTTGGCCAGACAACGTCCACCGAAGCCATATCTCATTTGTTATCTTCACCATCCAACATGTTCCGCTGAACCATATCTTGATTGCTATTTACAGAAACGTGCCCGCATACGTGCCGTAGCACATATAGTATACAATATTGTGACAATCATAGCACATACACCCTTGAATATTGTACACAGCGACCAAGACGAGACGGTAGAGGATCGACGCATGTTGAGAACTGAGGAACGTCGGGTGCAATGAGTGAGCATTGAAAAGGCGGACAGAACATGGCAGAATACAGAGCCTGAGAAGCCGGTGGGCGGAGCTGAGACAGGGCACGGAGCGGAACAAGAACTGACGGCAGGTCGACTCGGACTGAGTCGTTCCCGGTCCAGTCATGGATTCAGTTGAGGAGGAAGCGCGCCTGGTATAGTATCAGTGATGAGACACGCAATTCATCAGTTGGTACTCAACAGGAGGACTGGCAGGGCCGCCCACGCTGGATCATGGCAGGGAGGGCTGCAAGAATTCGCTCAAAAGACCTCTCGTAGGTGGGTGTGCATACAGCGAGCTCCCGGGTTTGACGAGGTGCCCGGAATTTTCCAGGGGCCCTACCAGACGCGGTACAACCCGTGCCGTCGTGCAAAATTGTTGTAGGGCGCAGCGGCGCAGTAGGTCACGCTGCTCTTGAGGTCTGGGAAGGCTTACCGGTGGCACTGAGGGAGGCGGTGACGGTGTTGGTTGTAGAGACAGATGAGGAGATTGGGACGGGGAGTTAACATATCGACGGGGCATGGTAGAAGTGGGGAGATGGCAGTTATAGGAGAACAAGTCGCGAGTCAAGAGTCCGGAGACCTGGCTGTATGCGCCCACGTGACCGCGCGCAGAGGTCGCGACTCCGCGCGCTCAGGGTGGCTGAGGCACCGGCCTGGGCCATGAAATTTTTAAAGGTTGAGGCCGAGGCCTTGAGCTTGAAGCTTGAGGACTTGGACTTGCGGTTTTTATTACACCTTCAGGCTAGTGGTGCGTAGTCGATCTTATTGATTTCATTAAAAAAGACTGAATTGCACGTATATGATAAATTCCGCAATAAAAGGGCAGCGATTGAATCGGTTAGCTTTCGCGAGTCGCTAGCGACTCAGGCTCGCCTTGCACCGCGGGCAAACCAGGTTGTTCGAACTCCGAAAACGCTACGAACATCGGTCCCTCATGGGAACCTTTTGCGAGTTTTGATGGACCCAGAACATGCTCCGAAAATGCTCCGAACATGCGTGTTTTCGTCGAACATGCTACGAACATGCTACGAACATGCTCCGAACATGCTGAAATTTGGCTAAAATACATCATGTTCTGAGGATGTTTGGAGCCCAAATGCCCCCAGAAAAGGTTCCCATGAGGGACCAATTTTCGTAGCGTTTTCGGAGTTCGAACAACCTGGTTTGCCCGCGGTGTTGGGTAGGAGTCACCGTGACAAGGTAAAGTTCATTTTCTGACGATCTTCAAAACATCCAACTACCCACAGAACGCGATTGCAACATCATTTCCAATGTAATCGAACAATCCGCGGAGCTTAGGGGGCCCTCCCCCATACTTATTGCCAGCAGGGCCGGCGTTTGCCAAGTAACTGACCGAGCAAGCGCCGGCCGCAGCGGTTGGAGGAGGAGGAGGAGGAGGAGGAGGGGGGTCCATTTAGCCACCGACCGATAACGCACGTGCGTCTCGATGTTGAGACGCGTCGACGCGTACCGTGCTTTACATCTCTTAGCTCAAGCGCTCATCTTAGAAGTGTCGTGCAGATGGCCAATCATCTGTGCATAACATGACGATTTTGGTACGTGGTCGAGTTGCAAGAGCATGTCCGTGAGATATGCACATCCAAGGTCTTTTCGGACAGTCGTCCAATTATCTTCAATTATCTGTAGAGCGCATAGCAATGCTTACGTAGGTAAGTAATACAACGAACCGCTTGTGAGATCTGCGGCGTGCACTTTTGCTGATGAAACGGGTCCGAATCTGAGCGTGTGCGCACACTAGTGGTAGACGACGATCTGAATCGTCATTGTCGCTAACTTTGTCTTAAGCTTCGTCGGACGTGCTGCTCTTGAATACGGACCCGCGCCAGTCAGGTCTGTTTATAGAGACCTCACGTCAAGGTCAGGAGCGGTAATGCTGCTCCACCGTCATCAAGTGGTTTGTATTACACTACTACCCTTTCTGTGTCGACGGCACCGAGGAGGAGACCTTGGTAGGACTTGCGAGGTGCGTCTCTAACCCGACTCGAATCCATAAGCCCCCGATACTGGCTTCTCGGTATGTGTATCCATCTGTTCAGCGAGTCGAGCATCGGCGGTAATGTGATACTTACAGGGTCTCGACGACGGCAGGAAAGATCGAGTCAGCGCACACCAGTCGGCAATGAGTTTCATCAATCGCCTCCCGCTCACTCAGAAGTCCTGTTACGACGTGGTGCACCTTGCCCTTACCCAGAACGATGACGATAACATCATCGACGACGACCTGGCACACATCTTACCCTGGTGCCCGAACCTCGAGTCAGTGTGCCTCACTGGCGTCCCCGACGTCAGCGATCGCACCGTCGTACTCCTCGCTCGGGGTACCCCGAATCTACGCGAGCTCGACCTGTCCGGTTGTACGCTAGTCACAGATGTAGCGATCTTGGAGCTAGCAAACATCGCGACGGAGCTCGAGGAGGTAAGGCTCAATGGGCTTTCCACCCTCACCGATCCCTCCGTGTCGGCGCTGGCACGATCCCTCACCAATCTCCGGGAGCTCGAGTTATGCGACCTGCACCTCCTCACTCCGCCATCGATCCGAGACATCTGGACGTTCTCGACGAGATTGCAGCGTCTAAAGCTCGCCAACTGCGTGCATCTCACCGACAGGGCGTTCCCTTACGTGCCTGGCGTCCTGCCTGATCACCCCTCCAGTCTTACAACTTCCCCGCTGGAGGAGCCCCAGTGGACGAATGGCTCTAGACCACCGACCTGGCTCGAAACCCTCCCCCCTCTCATCTTTTCCCTGGGACATAAACTCACGCATCTGCGATTTCTCGACATCAGCAATTGTCCGCGGCTCACAGACACGGCGGTCGTTGGAATTGTCATGCATGCGCCCAGGATCCAACATCTGAATCTGTCGGCTTGCTCACGACTCACTGACAACTCAGCTGAAGCCGTTTCCACTCTTCAGCACTTGCATGTACTCGCATTGTCGTACGTAGAAGGGCTCACGGACAGCGGAGTCGTGAGCATCGTACGTCAGTGCACGAAGCTCAGGTCTGTGGATGTAAGCTGTGAGAGCACGTTTCATTGTTGCTATCCATGCACGCTGATGCCATGTCCAGACTCGTCCAGTCTCACGGATCTGGCCATTCTCGAACTGGGGACCCTGCCTCGCCTGCAGCGACTATCTGCCTCGGGGCTCCCTCGGCTGACCGACAATGCTCTGCTCTTCCTTGCGGAGCACGCCGAGTCCCTTCAACGCCTCCATTTTTGTCAGTGTAGGCACATCACGCTTGACGCGGTTCACGTCCTTTTGCGCAAGCTCAGCGGCCTAAAACACTTCAGCGTGTCTGGTGTCCCTGCGCTCAGGCGAACGGGCATAGAGCGGTTCTCCGACAAGCCCTCAAGAGTAAGTGGTTATCTAATCAGCGGCGCTCGTTATACCCCTTCGACTGCACGCGTGCTGACGTGTTGCGCCCCAGGACTACGACCCACAAAGGCAGGGTATCCACCGTGTCTTCAATGGGGCGAACATTGTGGCCCTGCGCGAGTTTCTGGACAAGGAGCAGGCGCGACGTCAGCGAGCCGAGCAAGAGAATATCATCTTCGTACCTAAAGCAGATGATAGCGAAGCGTTGTACTGAGTGTTTTCTGTTCTACCCTACTATTGACTAAAGCAATTCCCCGGTCCGAATGAACGGGAGGCGTGCAGTGAGGCCCTCCTACGTGACGGCTGTATAGTTCGCGGAGAGATGTGACCTTGGCAAGCTGTATGTGTTCGCATTCATTCACCCTGACGGCTCTCGCACTCAGAATTGACACATGTTTGTAATCGTGCCAGCGTGGAGGCCCGTAGAAGACCAGAGGGCGTAGCGAGATGTCAATCAGCTACGATGCCTCAGCTACTGAACATCTTTGAGTTGTTTTCATTGGCAGAATGATGTCATCCGTTCATCATCTATCCAATACATCTACTCAAGCTCTACTCAGCACCCAATACAAGCTAGTCACAGCCTCCGTTGGCAATGAAAACCGCGTGGCTTCATGCCACGCAAGGTAAAGCGTAGAGGCATTCGAGCTAATGGGTACATGGCCTAGCCGTATACATGCAATGTCATTTCAGTTCACCAAGATTCACTGCGGTCCATGTCAAGTTCTGGATGCCAATGCAACTGCGGACCCTGTGCGCCCCGTCCTTTCAGGTCACGACCCAGATGGGCCTACGATAGTGACACTGCCAATGTCATTGAGACCATGTCACTTACCTCCCGAACGCTCCACAGCTCTTACGCGCCTTCGTTGTTCTTCATTGTCCAGGCCATCACCCTTTCCGAAGTTCTGCCCCCGCCGTCGAACAAATTGGCATAACCATTGCCTGTTGTGGTACGTCTGAATTCATATCAAGATCACCGCCTTCCCTGCGCATGATAGAAGGTTCATGTCTGGCATTTCGATCAATGGTCCTTCGAGTGAACCTACTTGCGTCTCCTATTTGTCGGCTCAGGGTCGCCTCTCCCAAATCGTCTGACTGACATTGGCAGAGCTTCTGAGCTGCACTGTCCTGTGCAAGCGCTACAGCGGTGATGGTATGCCATTAAAATAAGTAAGACCACCCGCGCCTATGCTTCTCTCGTTCCCGACGTTTGCAGCAATGTCGCGTCTATTCTGGACAATCTGTACGTACGCAGCGAATAGCTATACAGTGCCTCTCGTAACCTGTGCACCGGATTAGTTTCGAAAAGACGTAAAAGAGGGCTCTCATCTTGATGCTGAGTCTGATCTGACTCGCCTCTGCTCTCCACTCTCCAGATACATTCGTATGGGGTTCTCTTCCGCGTCCTCCAAGTAGCGGTTCTTTCTTTCTGACCAGCAAAGCTTGTGAGACGATATTGAACGCAGCCAGATGTCCATTTCCATGCACGGAGCTGGCACGGAGGATCGCCGGCCTACTACATCATCTTTACGTGGTTCCTCTTGAAGCGCTGAGCCTACCCCGGATGCGTCATCGTCGACTCGACCGGGGCGAGTTTCCACGCCTCGAGCTTCGAACCGGTATCATCCCCACAGTGCTTCCAGGGACCTGGGAAAGAGAGGTGGGCGTCGGCCGCGTGGCGGCCGCCACCGAGTCTGTGCTCCCCCACGGAACGGATGGTTCCTGGGTCTGTCGTCAACAGGCCATAGATAGATGGTGATGGGTGGACCGAGTGGATGCGTCGAGCCGTCGACGTTATTTCCTGCTAAGTATGTATAGCAAGGCACGTGTCGAGCCACCCGGATGAGGTTTTCAGATTTCTCGACCAAGCGACGGAAGTCTGCGGCGCACTGTGCGCCGTGAGTGCGCAGGATGCGGTCACTTGGGGAATAGCGATGTCTACGATTACGTGTCGAGTGAACGCATACTCTAGAGTGCCGGGACACCCTTCGGAAAAGGGTGACCGAAAGGTAGGCTCTCGGTTTTCGTGAGTTTGCTCTACGTAACACAGACAGCGACGGCACTCACCGAGTCAACACTTCAAGCGATTCACATCGGGCTCAGAGCCCGCACGGCGCCAGAGAAGATGGCATGACTCCTATGCAAGTCCCACATACGAGTTCGAAGGAAGACTGTCAAACATACCAGAACCGTCTGGATAACTGCAGTGCATTCACGCGGCGCTAACGTGCGACGGCAATCCTCGTCTACATTCCCAAGAAATCAGTATCGGCCGCCAGATGTCATACCTTCAGAAGCCGCTGCATCGAAGTGGGAATGTTAATGGGAACGGAGCCACGGTGCCCCCGGCCAACAAACGACCACGAAGCCTGTTTACCTGCCTTGACGGGCCTCCTGCCGATTCGGTTCTTCGGTCCAGCGCCACGACGGTGTGAAGCTCGCAGTGCCGACACCACCGCAGTCAGTACGACCGCAGACGAGCTATTTGTGCGGGCTGCGCACGGTGGCTTCGCGGCCGCCACGGCTTGACGACATACTATGTCCGCCGGTCTGACTGACATACGCAGCGCACCGAGTCCGAGGCTGAACGTTCAAGAGGGGCAAGGTGAGCATCCGACCTGAGGCTGACGGATTTGCTTACCCTTCACTGAGGGCGCCGGGCCACTCGACAGGCCATGCTGCACAGGCAAGAAGACTTCGCCGCAGTGACCGCAGGACAGAGAGAACGGCGAAAACGAGCACCGGGACCACTGGCTCGTGCGCAGACAAGGAAGGCCCTTCATATGAGAGCGTCACCGTGACGGTGCCTCGTTCCCTGGCGACAGGAATAGACAGTGATCCTGGGCGGACCGAGGACGGCTCCTGTGAGCGTGGAAGGGCGTTCGGAAGGCGGTCCCGAGGATGTGAGTTTGGTGGATGCCACGAGCTAGTCAGACAATAGCTACAAGGCTGCTTGACCGCGGGCGTCGTGTCGGACGAAGCTATCCAGAGCGACTAGATACCTCCGGGAGGCGTTTCATCCGGTGGACCAACTTGGTATCGCCACTTGTGGGCGTGAGGAATGACAACCCGGGCGCGGTGGATAGGCGCAGGATAAGGAACGTTGTAGACTGACGGAGCGTCCAGCAGCGTGAATGTGAAGCCATGGGCTGCGTGTGGGCGATGCAACATGCCCGAAGTGGGAGATCGAATGTGTGAATCAACGCGGAGCTGTACCAAGGCAGTTGCGTGTACAAGTGCATCCAGAGACAGTAGATGGCATGGGGATCCGAATCAGACAGAAAGCTAGCCCTGCATACAGAGAAACAGGCCAACAACACGAGGCCGATGCATACAGGTCGGAGTTCGCACTATGCACAGACGGCGAAGCAGCAGAGCGGAGCAAACCTGATTGAGCATAACTTACAACACATGTGCATTGTGGGGCCCCGATGAGAAGCGTCGCGAAGAGCGTTCAGTATGGAGACCAGGTGAGCGCGATTCGCGGGCACGTTTGCGCGACGATAGGTCGAACGTTCCTACGCAAGCCAATCTCTCGTAATTTCGCCATGGTCAATGCGACCCGGAGGTTGGTGGATGCACCAGATAAGGACTTCGTGATGTCCTGTGGGGCTACAGTTTCGGACATAGATGAGATCAACTTCGGGTTGTGAGAGGAGTCCGCGTTGTTCAATTGGTCGGGATGCGTGGTACTGTGCGGGGCTTATAGGTGAAGCATCATATGGCGAGTGTGATAGAACGATTCTGAAGGGCGTACTATCGAGGAGTATCAAAGTTTCTATCGGTGCTGACCATTCTTATCCTGGCAGCCCGCTGATGGAAGCGCTGCTTAGTGGCTAGTGGTGGGCCTCGAGGCGGTGGGTCCGCGAGCGATGCGAGATAATACAATGAGCTAGGGTGCATGGAAGACGTTCGGTGCGTCGCTTGCGCGAGGGTGAATTCATAGTGGTCGAGACATTGGGAGCGCGTTGGCAGAGGGCCGGGAAGAAGGCAGTCATGCTGGAAGCGTGCTTTCATACGTAGACGTAAGCACCGCAAGGGGTGGCTTCGAGGCGATCGCGTTATCTGCGAGGGTTGGCGGTGAGAACGGCGCATCAGGCCGCGTGCGATGGGACGAGAGACGGCAGTCACAGCGACGTTCCTGCGCCACCAGAGGCATGTGGTGGCGGGAGGAGGTATGGCCCAATATGGCTAGGTGGCTGTGGCGGGGAAAAGGTGAGAAGGCCGACAGCTTCTTCGGCATCCGGATATGGACGCAGCTTGGCAGCATATGGGCGGCTTCCGGACCGGCGATCGCTTTTCGAACGCGCCCAACGCGTCAGTTGTGGCGTCCCAATGGCGTCAGCCTGCCAGACAGGGTTCCTGGCCCTGGCCGCTTAGCAACGCTGCGCCGCGGACGCGAGCGGCGGCGGTGCGGGGGCGAGCGCGACGACGAGCAGCGGGCTCCGAGCAGTGTGCAGGGGCGAAGATACGGCGGGCACCGCTGCGGTCAAGATCGCTCGCGAGCAAGCTGGGTGATGGCGGCATATGGAGAAGGGAGGGACGCGTGTGATTGGCTACCGACAGGGCGGCCCGGACGTGCTGGCAACCGCGCCTGCAGACGAACGTGTCGCGGAAAACAGTTTGCAGCCACCGCGTCGTCCGAGCGGACTGCTATATGCACCTCTAGCTGCCCCCTACGCTGCTGCTCGCCCTGCGCTCTGCCTGGGCGGTCCTCGACCTCCGGTGTCTCGTGTATCGTTTTAGACTGCCTCGTATATTTACACCCAACAGGGGCACCCCGTCGCTCCACGCCGTGCAAGCCGCCCCGACGAGCTGCGAGTCTATAGACCATACAGTACACACCCCGCCCTCGCGCCTCGCGTTCGCATTTGACCTCACCAGCACGTCGGGCCCCGTCTGATTGCGCACGACGAGAAGCACGGCGAGATCTGCTGGGACGCTCTATCTCTGCTGCCTGCAGTTATCTGCCACGGCCCCAATCACACAGCCAGCCTCCGCCCGAACGCACGGGCTGACAGATCCCCTCGCTGTCTTTCCCGCCTTTGCTAATTTCTCTCCTCGGGTCTGTGCCGGTACGCCCGCTTCCATTGCTGCCGCTGCGTTCTCTCAGGAAACTAACCTCCATCAACCTCGCCAAACAGCCCCGCATTCCATCCATCCCCGCGCACGCTTCCTGTTGCCCCTTCATCTCCACTCCCACCTCCAGGTACTTTCTTTCCCTCCGCATTTTTAGTTCCTTTTTCCCAGATTCCCCTCCGCCAGGACCGCGTCGTTCTTTCCTCCCGTCCGCCACGATTCTTCTTCATATCCCCGCACAACGTGTTCCGCCCACACACTCCCCTGACCGCCCCCGCCCATGGAGGTGGTCTCCCCCATCTCCTGCTCACCCCCATCCTCACCCAAGTCCTCGGGCTCGCCCTCCAGCAGCCCCTACAAACGCGCTCGCGGGCACAGCACCTCCTCGCACCGCCCCTCCCTTCTTGCGCGCCGCTCCAGCAAGCCAGACTTCCTCAACTCTCTCCTCAATCTCTCTTCACCTGGCACATCAAGCACGCCACCCCTCAGCCGTGCGTCTTCCGCGCTGAACCTGCTCTATGCATCACAGAGCCAGCCACACCCACTGGGCGAGGCCCCGCCCTCGCCCGGCCCGCATGCTAGTCCGGTCGTGAGCACGTCCACCGCCACTGCGACGGGGACACTGCGCGCGCCAAGGAGGACACCCAGCGCGGCGCTGCCGTTCGTCCCGCTCACACCGATCATGGCATCGCCCAGGTTGACACCGGTCGTCTCGGCGATCACGGGGGAGAGGCCCAGGAGCAGTCTGGCATATGAAGGTGTGTCTGCATCTGAGGATGGTAGCGCGGAGAGCCAGACAACGTCCGGGGAGTCCGCATCGCAAGTGAACGACTATCTGACCTGCGGGGGCGGGGCAGTGCCTGCACTCGCCGTGCCCGTTCCTGTTCCTCACACTGTGTCGTCAAGCACGTTGACCACCGGGACCGGTGCGCACCTTGCACCACCTCCTACCTGGACATCGACCCCACCGACCCCGCCGCCAAAGCAGTCCCTCGAGATGTTCCCCTCGAGGAGCGCAAGCCGAAGCTCGCAGACGGGCAGGAGCAAGAGCCGCAGTCACAGTCGCGCGCGTGCAGCCACCCACGCCGGCCTGTCGGGCACGCGTGGCTCGAGGTCGCCATCCCGCGCAAGGCCAGTTCCGTCCTCCTCGTCCCTCGCCTCGGCGGCCACGGTCACTGCGTCCACCTCCACACTGCGAGGACGCCATCCGGTCCCGACGGCTCTTATGGTCGATGGGGAAAGGGAGAAGAGACGCATGTCCTTACCTCCGAATCTATCGCGATTGGATCCCGGTGGATCAGCTAGGGGCACGACGGCCAGCTCACCTGCGCGTGGGGGACGGGTCACCGCCAGCCCGCTCAGAGCGGTACGCTCTGGGATGGGTGTCAAGCGGCAAGGTAGCAAGAAGCTATTCCACCTGGGCGACACGGAGGGGAGCGATGGCGAGGGGGAGGAGACAGAGGAGGGGAGGAGCGCGCCGGTCAGGATCATCAGGAGGCTCTCGCGAAGAAGCAGCAGGAGTAGCAGGAGCAGCCGTGAGGTGCTGGTGGGCGACGGGCCGGAGCGGGAGCCCAGGATGGCGTTGGATATCGAGAGGGAGTCGATCTCGAGCGCACCGTCCCTACCGAAGGCGCCGCCGCCGAGCCCGCAGACAAGCCTGATGACGACCGAGAGCGAGGGGTGGAAGGAGAGGGAACGGGAGAAGGAGGAGGCGAAGGTTATGAGTGAAGCGGAGGTCGAGAGGCTGAGGGCAGCGACGAGGAAGTATCATGCGCTGATGGAACTACTCGCGACAGAGGCGGGTTACCTCATGGATCTGCGTGCGCTGGTCACAGTGCGTGTTGTTTCTTTGCTTCCACTTATGTGCTCTTCTGTGCGCGAAGCCGGCCCCGCTTGCGAGGCGCGGCGGTTCCCCGCGTCTCCGGCCTAACTGGTCAGTTGACCGCGCTTGCGGCATATGCGACCTGCGGCCCTGTGGGCTTCATCTCCGCACCTCCCTCTCGCGGGAGTTCGTGATGGGTCGATGTTGAATTGCTGATTGGGCTGTCGTGTGCAGGTCTACTTGGAGCAGCTGCCAACTCTGTCCACCGCGGCGCCTTCGTCGTCGACTTCGCCAACGCTCTCCATCCCTTCACTCGGGCTCTCCCGCAGTATACCCTCGTCCCGCTCCTCGTTTCTCCACCCACACCCTTCTCCATCGACATCAGCTAGTTCGCATCTGAGCGTACCCGATGACACAGGTCACGGGGCGGCTGAGAAGGAGAAGAAGCGTGACAAGAGCAGAGAGAGGCTGAAGGACAAGGACAAACATAAGGACAAGCACAAGGCTCGGAGCAGCGAGAAGGAGAACACGAAGGGGAGGGATGCTGGTAAGCACCGGCATAAGGGGAAAGAGAAGGTCGACGCCGCAGCTCACGATGCAGAGGAGGAGGAGAAGGAGGACTCCGTCGCTGGGCACGAAGCGTTAGGACCCGCGCCCCCGCGCTCACAAACTCATCATCGCAAGCATGCTCAGACTCGGCGCCCGATCCTTGCGGAGAGGGGTGTATCAGCGATCTGTCGGAATGCACAAGAGCTTTTGGCGTTTCACGGCCGATTTGTGAGCGAGCTTCGAGAGGCTTTGGTTGGCTTTGGGCTGTCGCGAGCATTCGAGATGGGCGAGCGGAAAGAAGAGGTCGCTATGAAGCTGGACGGCTCAGAGGCGGCCGTGCTACCCACCATTGACCAGGCTGTCGCGATCGTGGCCGAGAAGTTCGTGACCGAGGTGAGTCTCCACAAGCCGTTGCTGACTTTGCGTCGCATTGAGATCGATTTGTGTTGTAGTCGCAGTCCTTCAGCATATACGAGGGGTTCTGTCCTGGGCATAACGAGGCTGTTAACTTGATCCGGAACGTCCAGGAGAATTACCCGAATGAATGGGACGCATACGAGCAGCGGTGCTCTTTGCTCGTGGCACACCAGTTCGATCTTGTCAACCCATCACCAGAATCACATTCGGATGGCCACGGCGCAGACGGAGTCTTTGGGATGCCAACCTCTGCTACGATCTCTCCGCTGAATCCACCGGTGGTCGAGGGTACACGGACAAAACGGCGACATTCAACTTCTTCCTTGACTTTGCCTTTCTCAACGTCACACGCTGACTTGCCGAAGGTGACCGCTAACCGCTCGGAACCCATCGGCGGCGAGCACTCGCGTTCGAGGTCTGGGCATGAGCATACCAATGTGCTCTTACGACAGCATTCGCAGCAGGCGACACGACTCCGGCTTCTCGACTACCTCATCAAGCCTGTGCAGCGAGTATGCAAATATCCGTTGCTTGTTGACCAGCTCAGGACGAAGCGTGCGCGGACCCAGAGCGCAGTCGACCCGAGTACACGTCCATCTCGTGCGCCGTCAGTCAGGGACTTCCGGGCTTTGATCCATGAGGGTGGAGACGTCGTAGAACGCGCGGGGGAGGCGATGCGGCTGGTGGTAAGCCTCGTGAATCGTGCGAGCGAAACGCAGGCCCGGCTGGTACGATCGTCGCTCATTACGTCTCGGATGGTCTTCACGCAACCTACGGTGGGTTCCTCGAAAGACGGGCACGCCTCCTCGCCTGCTGGGGCCTCCAGCCCCGTCTCGCCTACTCGGACGCAGGACCTTTCTCCGGACTTCGTGGCGTCTCTTGGTGCTGTTCGGCTGGCGGGTGCGCTGGATGTGGTTCACCATCCCTCTGCACTGCATATGGTGAGCGCGGGGTCGATGCGGGCGAAGTACTTTGGAGCGTTTCTCTACTCCGGTGGGTACCTCATCCTGGTCAAGATCCCGAGGAATGGAAAGGTGTACGAGCCGAGGTACTGGTTCTCGCTTGTTGGCTTTGACCTGTTTGACTTCGAGGGGGATGAATGTGAGTTTTGCGAGTCCTCGTATTTGCGCTGTCACTGACCTTGACATCGATAGCGTCGCTTCCGTTCTCATTCCACATCTGCGGCCATGGTCACCATCTGCAGCTAGCGGCGGCTTGTCAGCCGGAGAAGGTCATTTGGATCAATGCCATCCAGGAAGCCCTCAGTCACGGCGCACCATGGACAAGTGAGCCTCCATCGAGTCTGCTCTTGGAGGACAAGGTGCAGAGCGCTCCTGCTGTCGACGAAGGGCCGTCCGAATGGTCTGCCGCGCCTCTTCCGACTATTCAGTCTGACCCAGAGCTCGAAGGGCAAGCGAGGGATCAACCACCTGACCAGGCAGCGCATGGCAGAGGTCGACCCGAGCTCAAGTCTAGGCCTCCTTCGCGCATAGACACCCTCTCATTCAGACACGAACAGCAGGCTCAGATGGCGTCCTTTGCCGCTTTGAGTCGGCGCTCATCAACCGCGTCTGTGAAGGCCTTTTTCTCGCCCATGACGCTCGATCCCTCTACGCGCATTCCTCGGCCCTCTGCGCAGGTCAGACAACAGGTCGACCATGGCTTGCACGACGTGTACTCTGACCAATGTCTCGCTGCTCGCTCTCACGCGACGATGAAGCACGAGGATCTGTTCAAGAGACCACTCCCGGCCATGACGCGCTCGAACTCAGGGCTGAGTATCTCTGGCGCCATGGGTCTGGCTGCCAAGCGGAGGTACGATATGGTGTCAGGGAAGAGAGCTTCGCTCGATGGCGGCAGGGAGCATGACCCAGATATCGGGAGCAAGCGACTCAGCACCCTTCCTGGTCGTGCCAAGCCACCGGCGTCGCCTCAGAAGAGACTCAAAAAGCCCCTGCCTTCCCTTGTGCCCACGGTGCCCTCCAACCTGGCCAAGGTCGAATCTGAAGCGGAAAGTGACAGTCAGACAACACAGAGCCCTGCTGGTCTTATGGACTCGCCCTTCCCTCCGTCGCAGTGCTCGTCTACGACGTCCTCCAATCTGCCTAGCCCTATTGATATTATCGATCCCATTCTTGGCGACATAGCGCAAGATGCGACTCTCCGTCCTTCCGACGTACTCACCGCCCCGGTTGAGGACTGGCGGCCAAAGAGAACGCGCTCCATGGTCGATAACGTGAAGTACTTCTTCCAGTCAAGACCTGCCTCACCGTCTTCGGCGTCTAGCCACCAATCCGCGACACCACCACCGCTACCGCCGAAGCAGCTTGAGGTGGATCCCCAGACCCCGCCACCACCGTCTAGTCTCACGCAGTGGTGGAGGAAAGGATCGCTTCGTCGTCGAGTGCAGAGTTCTCCAGATGTACCAGGCGACGAGGCTCAAGATCCTCCTCCCCTTCTCAGCCGCGCTTCTGCGGATGGTCGTGGCACCTTCCTTGTGCAAACTTCTGAAGAACCGATGTTACAACCCTCAGTCTCGTCCCCTGCCTCCCCGGCTGCAGGCACTCCAGGCAGCTCCCGAAGAGTGTCGATTAACGACTCTACTCCGACTCGACGGCGGTCTTTATTTGCGCCTACTAGTCGGCAACACGAGATTCCCTCACCACAGCCCTCGCCAGGCGGGTCGAGCGTAATACCCCGCAGATCCCTGCGCAACGTATGGTTCTTCCAACGGTCCAACTCCTTCACGCCTATGGACGTGAAGGAGCCTGTTTCATGACCCACGATTCCCTGCATGCATCATATACGTCTTCCTCTCTTTAATGTCATTTGCTCTGCCCGTAATTATGAGTTCTTATTCGCATGACATAACATCCTCTCACTTCGCATCCAGTCAGCACGGACAAGGCTACACACTCCGTACGCACTGCTCATGACCATTGTGTATCGTATCAAGAGTGACTTCAGATTCCATGTATCATTTGCAATCATGCTTCCTTAGACTGCCATGCATATCAATCATACCCGTTAGCTTCATGTCGTAGCATAGGCCGTATCGTAGACCCTTTCTTCCTGTGAGACTCAGAGACCCCGAGCACGATCTCGACAGCCGCGGCGCTTCTCTTGCTTTTGCCGCGACGACCACCATCACACAGTCGAGTACTGCAGGTCGGACTCTGACCTGACTACCTCGAGCCATGAGCAATCTTTCGTCTTCTTCCTCTGTGACTGCAACACCCTCCAACGTGAACATCAGCGACTACGCAGACCAGCAGCCGCCGCCACCACCCGGCAAGCGGTCTAGTCGGATCCCAGTCACGCCCGCGGTCCTCCGTTCCATTTTCGCATCTTCGCGTACCACTCTGGAGGAGCGGTCGTTGTCTCGGGTTGCATTCTTCAGGTACGCGTCCTTGAGCTGCGCGGCGAACACGCTGATACGAACGGGACTCTGTCGCGGTTCAATCGTCACAGATTCACAGGCTTCCTGCTGAGCTGCGTCGCGATTAGCTTGTGTGCTGCTAGGGGTAGGGCGATAAAGAGCGGCGCGGCCTTATTGGGTGTGGGGGTGGTTTAGAGGTTACAGTCCAGCGGCCTTCCAGGTTCACCTGCTGTACGTACTCGCGCAGCCCTTTCGCATTCAAGATATTGCAGATGACTCGGACGGATCCGTTCGCGATGTAACTCCACATTGAGGTGAAGAATCTGCACCTATGCCGGCGTGGAAGCACGCGGGCAGGAGCGCCGATATATGAAGAGCCTCGCGCGGTCGGTACGTTCGTCCTTGCGTTAAGTTGCCGCCGGCGTGTCCGCTTGCATTCAAGGGCCTCGGTCGACCTGCCCTCCGCTACCACGAACGTCCACCATGGACAGCAAGATGGGGTACCAGGAGCTGCCAGGTGCCTCTAGCGTACACGACGCCCGCCGTCGTCCTTCGCTGCCGAAGACAATCCTTTTGGCACTGTGCACGGCTGTGGCGACTGCGACGGTCCTCACGTGTAACACATTCCTTCAGAGTGCTGCGTCGCAGCGCATACACTACGTCCCGCTCAACGCTGAGACTATCCTCACTCGGTGTGCTGCGTTGGGCGAGAAACCTCGACCCCCGACGGACTTCCTCGCACGGGACGCGTCTGACAGGTATGAGCCAGGGACGAAATCCACTCTTGTCAAGAATGCCAGGATCTGGACCGGCGCGCGGAATGGCACAGAAATCGTATACGGTGATGTCTATCTCGACAAGGGTGTAGTCAAAGGGATTGGCTACATTCCCGAAGCTCTGTATGCTAGTGAACGCGAGGTGATAGTTGTCGACGCGAAGGGAGGTTGGGTTACCCCCGGTCTTGGTAGGCAATGCTACTTGTATTGTTCAGTCCGCTACTCACGCAGGAAGTTCACTGCCGTATGTAGTGGATCTCCACTCTCATGTCGGCGTGTCGAGTGTACCCGAGCTACACGGCACTCTAGATGTCAACTCTGAGCATGGCCCAATTTTGCCATGGCTGAGGAGTATTGACGCATTCAACACTCATGATGATGCATTCCAACTCGCCATCGCTGGCGGTGTGACGTCCGTCCAGGTTCTCCCTGGTAGTGGAAACGCTATTGGTAGGTGGGACCGGTGCCGCGGCGTTGACGGATACTCACACAATCGTCGTGCGTCAGCCGGCCAGGCCTTCATGTTCAAGCTTCGCAAGACGTCTGACCGGACGCCTTCATCCATGGTGCTAGAACCTCCGCACAGCCTCAATGGAAGCTCTGCAAACTCTGAACATCCAATGCGTTGGCGGCATATGAAGTACCGCTACCCATCCTATTCACTCGCCGACTGCTAAGCTAACAGGATATTCTATATAGACAAGCTTGCGGCGAAAGTCTTATTGCATACGGTAACCGCATGGACTCAATGTGGTCTTACCGCTGGGCATACAATGAAGCTCGAAGGATCAAGGACTCCCAGGACGTCTATTGCGCTAAAGCAGAGGCAGGGCTATGGGACGAGTTGAGCGGACAGAACTATCCTGATAATCTGCAGTGGGAGGCCCTTGTCGACGTCTTGAGAGGCCGAGTCAAGGTAGGCAAAGCCATGGCCGCAAGAGACCTACAACTAATGCTGCGCAGGTCTCCACACATTGCTATGAGGAAGTCGACCTAGATAGTATGGTCAGGGTACGTCTTCGTCAACAGGTCCAAAGACAGGTTGCAGTGATACTGATGGCGGTATGTAGCTGACGAACGAGTTCGAGTTCCCAATAGCCTCTTTCCACCATGCATCTGAAGCCTGGCTCGTGCCCAACCTGCTCAAGCGAACGCGAGTAGTTTGCTTCCTGCACGAGCTCGCTTTGACTGAGTTGTTATGATAGATGGGGAGGCACGCCTACCGTTGGCGTGTTCGCAGCGGTTCATCGCTACAAGCGTGAGTCGTTCCGTGGATCAGGATTCGCGCCTCGCGTACTCGCAGACAACGGGATTCCAGTCGTCATGAAGGTCAGATCATCGCTCTGCTAGTTTCATTAGCATCTAAATCTCACACGTCGCCGTTAGTCCGACCATCCCATCCTGAACAGCCGCTACCTGATGTATGAAGCACAACAGGCACATTACTGGGGTAGGTTGACATGTCTAGTTGCATGATACGTCGATCTCAGTATCGATGCGTACAGGGCTTCCGCCTCATCTTGCACTATTGTCCGTTACTGCGGTCCCTGCAACAGCAGCGGGCATGTCGCATCGTATTGGTGTCTTGCAGGAAGGCACCGATGCCGACGTCGTCCTCTGGGACTCTCACCCTCTCCAACTTGGCGCAACGCCTCGGAAGGTATGGATCGACGGTATCCTGCAAATCGGTGCGGATGAGGAAGGCATCGTCATTGGGAAAGGCAAGGAGGCCCGCCAGTTCCAGGAGGTGCCGAACGTACCCAACTGGGACAAGGAACGGAAGGAAGCCATCAAGTGGGATGGGCTTCCTCCGCTCGCACCTACTCAGTACCGAAGCCGGGTGTTGTTGAGAAATGTCCGGGAGGTGACTGTGCGGGACCCCGACGCCGAAGACCGATTGAAGACTCTCTTGGAACCTGGGGAGTTGTCAGACGTCGTGCTCGACCGCGGAAGGATTACCTGCATCGGCAAGCATTGCCTTGGTGGGATCAACGCGGAAGTCGAAATCGATCTGCAAGGAGGAGCGATCGCACCAAGCCTTATGACCTTCGGCTCGCCCCTGGGCGTCGAGGAGATCATGCTGGAAGCATCGACAGGAGATGGCGTGTTGTTTGACCCACTCCACGGTGATCCGCCTTCAATCCTTGGCGACAAGGGAGGGCTGGTGCGTACGGCAGATGCGTTGAAGTTCGGGACGAGGAACGCACTGTAGGTCCAATAGTATCGCATCCTTTCAAGCTAAGACATGACGTTGGAGAAATACAGGCTGGCGCATCGTGCAGGTGTTACGTATGCAACCTCCTCCCTTGAGAAGACCACCTACTTCACCTCGCCGGCTTTCATCGCGGGTCTGTCAGTCACCTTCCGTACGGGATCAGCGCACGCTCTCGAGCCAGGCGCCGTGATCAAGCAAATCACCGCTCTGCACATCGTACTGAGTCGCACCTCTCCGTCGTCTTTGGTGGGACAGGCGAGCGTTAGCACCCAGATCGCAGCTCTGCGACGCTTACTCCTCAACGGCGAACCGGACGATACGGAAACGGGGCACTGGTTCAAGCGAGCAGCTCAGGTGAGCTGCATATCAGTTGAAGGTCATTAAAAAGCTGAGTCAGAGCCCTAGGGCGCGATTCCGTTGGTCATTGATGTCGCTAGCGCCGATATTATGGCCGTGCTACTGAGGCTCAAGGTTGAGGTCGAGCAAGCGCGAGGCTCGCTCATGAAGATGGTGTTCTTCCGGGCCACGGAAGCTCACCTCATCGCTGACGAAATTGGTATGCCTCAGTGGTACTGCACAGTGATTGAGACGCCTCACTTTATCCAGCTAGAGAAAAGGTCGGTATCATACTGGAGCCTGCCAGGCCCTTCCCCCAAGTATGGGACGAACGCAGAATGTGAGTTCATTGCATCGTGTTGGTTCTGTAAATAGCCTCATTGCCGATACACAGTTTGGCTGGCCCGCCCCTTACGAACGACACCTCTTTGGTGAGACTCATGGATGCTGGTGTAACCGTGGCCATCGGGTGCCGCGATGCGTGGCAACCTGTCAATACTCGATTCGATGTTGCCTGGGTAGGTCTCACGGACACGATCGAGCTTAACGCAGACTGACTTGCAGGCGCAGGCTGCTCTGGAGACCAATGGCCGGATCACTAGACAAAAGGCTCAAGCACTAGTGACCACGAACCTCGAGAAGCTCCTAGACATCGAGGGATGGATAGATGAAGATGGGGGCGATCTGGTAGCGTACCAAGGAGGAAGTATCTTCGACCTTTCCAGAAAACCAGTTGCGGTTGCCTCCCCAAGACGCGGTCTCGTTGACGTATTGTAGATGAACTACAGGAACTAGTTTTTCGACCCTGGCGCTACAGTCCTCTTGCCTAACCTGTTTTCTATGTATTTGACCGGCATTCTTTCTTGGAGAACCACATTCAATAAAGCTTCCTGGCTCAGTCTGGTGCGTACGCAGAAAAGGATGCACGAATCATGCAACAATCACCTTGTTTGAAGGATGTACAGGCATGAGGATACGCTGAAGACCGGACGCCCAAGGAAAACAAAAGGAAAACGTGCCAAAAACATGTTCCCAGGGGGAGTCGAGCCCCCGTCTCCACGGTTTCGAACAGCTGCTGTTGACGCCACAACGTGATGATCTGACCACTAATCGATGGGAACGATACAAGGAAGAGCATCATTAAAACTCTTGTACAGAAATGGCACTCCTTGACTCAAAGAGGAAATCTCCATGTCCGCAACTCACCTTCGGTCAGATTGACCTGACCTGACCTTGACTTGACCACAGCTTGCAGTGACTCCTTTGACTGTCTCCATGCGCACTAGATCCCACGCTCCCGACGCAAACCCTGAGAACGGTGAGGACGCCACCGAGCGCGTCGACGAACCGACGCAGGGTGAATCTGAAGAATGCACTGGCGTGGAGGTGTGTGGGCATGCTGGTATACAGCTAGTTCTGAGTCGACGGGAAGTTGGCGGGACACAGAAATGTAGTGATTAAGATGCTTTGTGCTTCTTCCCTAGGTGCATCTGCTGAAAGCAGTGAACGGCGTTCGGAACATGCGGAGAGAGCTGGAGGAATTGCGCAGGCGAAATGGCGAGCTCGAGCAGAGACTGGAGGCGTTTGAGCAAGCTGAGGATGTGTCGATCCAGCCGAAGCGGGGTAAGAGGGGAGGGCCGACTGTGGCAAAGCTGCAGAGCGAAGCGAGACGACTCAACGGTCAGATTCGAGACTTGGAGAAGGTATGTAGGTGAAGGCGTCAGCGTGTGCTACTTGGCAGGTAGACGGCTGATGGCTGTGCTCGTCGTCCCGCTCAATGCCGACCGGCCGTATGGTTCGTTTAGGCAAGGCGTAAGGATCGCAAGAAAATCGCAAAGGTATGTTGGCCCTGTTTTGGTGGATATATGTTGGGTGCACCCATCGTCAGTTCATACTAGCTCCGGGCTCGTGAAGTCAAGGAGGATGTCGCCGAGCTTGAGGATGATGCCGAAATTTTCATCGGCGACTCTCCCCATCGCATGAGGAAGGTGAGCATCGCTCGGACGTCGAATGCATAGTGCGCGTGTAACACGGATTCAGCTGCTCCGCAGCTTCCACGACATAGTCCTGTCTAGCTCAATTGAAGAGAACGAGGAGTGCCCCATCTGCATGGATCCTCTGGAGGTTGACAAAAGCGTGAGGTACGCCCTCAGGATGGCGGTTCTGTAAGACGTAGATGTCTCACAACAGCGTCGACTGCGTGCAGCCTGCCTTGCGAACACACGTTCTGCAAGTCTTGCATATCGAAGGTATCGCCGGGCGAAGAAGACGTCATATGTCCACAGTGCCGTACCGTCTGCCCACGAGATGAGATTGACATCGTCCAATACACAGCATCCCAACAGTGGGATGATCTCCTCGAGGTGGCTAAGGCATGGGCGAAGATGGACTTGCGCAGGCAAGCGGATACCAGCGAGGAGGAAGCGGAGGAGGAATTCATTGACGATGAGCTGCCGAACGGTGACGCTAGGTCAAATCCATTTTGCTTCGGTTTTACAGAGCGAACTCGAACCTAAAGGCATTCAGCTCTGTCCGCTCTGGATCTGAGAACCCAATTGCCACATCACCTGAACCGGAGGAACCGGTTGATGCTGGGCCTCTGCCTAGCACCCCGCCGCCCGATGACGGACCACCAGCGACCCCAGTTAGTAGGAAGCGACGGATAACGTTTACCCCAGAATCGTCTCCTCTATCACAAGTGTAAGCTGAGCATTAGTTACATATCTCGCTCCAGGGGCACTAACAACCATTCAGAGATAGTGTAGAACCAGAAGATCCGGGGCCGTCAAGTTCTCTCCTCATTACCGAACTACCTGAGCCATCGTATGTAGCATACCTTCTCAACCGGCGTTCATTTGCTCACCGGGAGAATGGCAGTGTGCTCCCTGCGCCGACTCAGGATGAACCTGTCGCTGGACCTTCGTCTGCGGCCGAACAGTCGGTGATAACACCGCAAACCTCTCAGAGCGCCAGGCCCGCATACGTAGCTTCTCCAACAAGAGACAAGCGCAAACGCATGGAGGACCTGGCCGCAGCGCGGAAGCAGAAGCGACGGTTGTAAGGTTGTTCAAGCTCGTGCAAGGCGTGTTTTATCCCAAGTGTGTATCGGGTGTGTACTATTAATGTTGTATTTATGAGTTACGCGGAGCGAAACGACGTCGACGGAGCGAGGATCTGGTTCGTCAGACTGGTGAGGCTCTCCTAGGTACCATCAGGGGGGACGAACGTAACTCACTCAACTCTGCAATCCCAATCTGTATGACCTGGCTTATCTTCCTGGACCATCAAACGTCGTGGTATGTGTTACATCCTCTATCAATCCTGCTATGCGCTTTTAAACCAATGGATAGTCATGACATGCGTAATGCACAACCTCGTGAGCCCTTTATCAGAAGATGTCTCCCGAAAGGTCGCACCTGTTCTTCATTCCGGGGTCTTTAGCTTGTCTTCCTCCTGACGGTGATCCGCGTTCGAAGGCGTAGCATTCAACGACTGACCGTGTCCGCGCCAATGAACCGATTCGCGTTGGGAGCAATGGCACTGCGGCCCGAGGGGCATCACCGGGAGATCCTGTTCTATCTAAATACCATCTGTATACGAGCATTGGAAGTTTGCGTGCAACATGCGACAACTCGTCAAGCCAATGACATTCAACGGATAGCATAAGACAGGGCTCGTCCACAACCACCCTGTCTTACTTTCGTAGATGACCACAGCGCTACATACTCCTCAGACGTCTATAAAAGCAGACTGCGAACCGCCTCCACTCCCCAGTCCTCGACTACAACCACACGCATATCCACAATGTCTGTGAGTACCAGCCCGCGTCTCATAATTGTGACGAGCTACGACGCTAACGAACCTCGTTCGATGTAGGAGAAAGCTACTTGCGCAAACGTCCAGGCCAACGGCGGCAGCTGTACCTACCCGGCATGCGGCTGCGCTGAGCCACCAAAGAGCAAGTAAACGTTGCTTGCGACCGTCCAGATGCGCTATGTAGGTATGTCCGTGTATTAAAGGGTGCAATGAAGATACTGATGTTCTGTCCTTGGATAGCGATGCGCTGTCGGTAGCAAATGGGCCGTTAAGGTCTTGAATGTTGATGGTCCCAGGTTCAAGTCAGTCGGACGTGTCGGTGCTTGGAATCGTAGATGTATATCGCGAATAGGATGTCTCTTGATTCTGAATTGCTTCTTCGTGTGATGAGTCCCTCAATGCGTTCGTCAGCCTAGCAGCCAAAACCCAAAGTCGAAAGTCAATGATGGAGAGACGATCCTACGGAGATGGGTTCGACTCGGACATCGTTAGCGTTGCCTTACACGAACATGAGGAGATGAAACTACTGAGCTTCCGGGCTTGATGTGCCGGCTCTGGTACCACTGAGTGATAACGGAGGAAACATGATCAATGGATAGTTTAAGTTGGATCTATGAATATTCAGAAAAATTGAATTGACTTCGAGCCGCGGATGATCATCTGCGAGTACTTAGAGTGAACCGACCTTCCAATCACCGCCTCGCAGCGCTCGGACTGGGTTCAGAGCAATGCTGTGTACACACGCTCGCCGAGCATCCAAAGCACGGATCCGCCTCGTGTTCATCCGAGTCACTGTGTAGCGGTGACCAAATCAATCGGAGCCCATGGAGATGAACCGTCGCAAGACGGACCTCGGCTTCCACCAGGACGCCCAAATTGGGACCGAGCCAACCCTAACGTGCGGACATGTCACCGCCCGAGGACCATTGTTCTCCTGACGTAGGTCCACCCCGGCCGGGGCTTGACGAACACCCGCATTGCCATTGGGCATCCTAGGCTCCAATTGCTGTCCTCGGATAACATACAATCGCAGACATACGAGAGACGCCCAATACCTGCTCATCAGCTATAAAAGACGTACAAGGTTCGCAGTGAGTCTGCAGTCCTCGACTACACACACAGCCCACTCACCATCACCCGCCCCTTCCAACCACACACATCACTATGTCTGTGAGTGCATTGCTCGGGAAGACGGTTAATGGAAGTGGTAACTGACAGCGCGACCATAGGACAAGGCTACCTGCGCTAACGTCCAGGCCAACGGCGGCTCCTGCACCTACCCCGCATGCGGCTGCGCCGAGCCCCCGAAGAGCAAGTAACTGCTCTCGCCTTCGATGGCGGTCCTTCCCGATGAGCAGGTATGTGGGCGTGCGTACTCGTCAAGCGTGCGGTGGGCTGATTGACAGTACAACAAGGTGGACGCCGACCAGCTCTTGGAGGCGGTGAGGTTGGCGGAATGGGAGGCCGTTCGCATACTGTAGCGTCGAGAAGGGAATGATCATCACGTTTCGTATCGCGCATTTCATCACTTGGAGCCAACATGAGCACGGATTACTCCGCAGGGTAAGTGCACAGGATGAGACTCACAATGACGACCGAGTCTGTACAAACTAGAGGCTAGACCGTGTTCTGCTCGCTCACAACAGTCACTCCATCCTTCTAGCTGGTGTTTGGTGTTCGAGGACTTGCCATTCAGTAAGTTACATAATCACGGTCAATAGAAATGCCACGTACCAATTTCGTCCCAAGTCGGCGCAGTGAGTACTGTACGTCGCTTCCTCGCGGCTGACTGGAAGTGCTTTCGGAGCGCAATAACAGAAGACATCGTATACATACATGGCCTCGGCATAATGTCCATATGAAGCTCAGGACCACGGTGGTCGAACATTTGACCTGAGGAAATGCACCGTGGTCCGTGACGATTATTGTCGATGACCGGTCGCCGCGTTCGTAGCGGTTCCTTGCGATGCCAATATTGAATGCCCCATAGCGAATGAAAGGATCCAAGTGTTCATAAATATAACCAAATGGGCGGCTCGAAGCAGAGACGCAGTCAGAAAGCACTGGCAGAGACTGGCAGGCGGCCCGGACTAGAGGATGGGCGTCTATAATGGTTCCGCGACGATCAAGATCGACCTTATTTAATCACAGCCACCGCCGGCCCCTCTCCCGTGCCACCATCCACCATGCCCCTCACCCGCTCCCAATCCCAGTCCCAGCGTGGACCGCCGCGCAAGAAGGCTCGTCGAAGCGCACGACTAAATTACGCAGAAGCAGCGTTCCTACCGTCTGATTCGGAGAGCGCATACAGCGCTGAGACCACAGATGCTGGGGGCGATACGGAGACAGAAGGATTAAGTGAGCCTCTTTCCAGAGCAGTCCGAGGTGCCACACGCCGCACACATAACGAGGTCTCGGACGACGAGGACACAGAGGTGAGCGCGCTTTGCTGGGAAGCGTTCACCGGTGCTGACGAGAGAATATCCAGGACAACTTCTCAGAGGCTCTCCGGAGGGTTCAGACGCTCTGGGAGAGTTCCAAGTCGGAGAATGCAGAACTTCGTGATCAGCTTAGGAGCACCCGCTTGGGTAGAGGACACCTCACAAACTACTCCACAAAGCGACAGCAGGCAAAAGATGCGCAGACTATCAAAGAGCTAAAGGAGAGGGTGTACACGCTGATGGGTGACAATGCTGAGCTGAGGCTTGAGAACCGCACGCTGCTTGAGCAGGTCAGTCATGCATTGACTCTCGATATTTTGTCAGCTAAATTCGCACAAGGTTGGAGGCAAGCGCAAACGATCGCCGTCAGTCTCCGACTCGGAACCTGGGATTGCCGAAAAGGGCGAGCTGGCCAGGGTCGCATTGGCAGTGAGGGCGATTCTGATCATGATTTTTTCGCAACTCACAGCAAACCCAGCGAGAGATCAGCCCCGAAATCGAGCTTCTGCAGCCTGTTTCCAAGCCATCTCACAGTGCATCAGACAAAGAGCACGCCATGAAGACTGTGATTACCGAGCTCAAATACAGGCACAGCAGCATTAATCATTCATCTACGCAGTTATTCCGCCGCTTCTACCACATCATGAACGATGCCGCGAAGAATGAGGCTACGAAGTCTAGGCGTCAAGGCGGCCCCAGTAGGGAGAAAAGTTGGAACGCGCTTCGCGCGATCGCGAATGAGTGGGCAGATATTGAGCCGCCCGACGAGAACGAGTCAGAGGGAGAGGTCGACGCCAACCTGCCCCCGGGTGACTCCGAGGAGCAGGAGGTGGAGGTAGATGTGATGTGCGTGTAATGTGCGCTGCCCCTCACCACTGTCCTACCGATACTGACCCAGCCTTCCTCTCATTCACCCGCTCAGACCCACTCGATCTTCATCACGCACTCCCTCAAGCACGCCCCTCGCTACCCCTCCCGAAACACCCATGGCAGGTGTAGGGTTCGTCAGGGGGCGCCGCATCTTCAAGAAGTCCCAGGTCAGCATGCACAGCCCTGGGCCGTCACTGTTAGGAGCCGACGCAGGACCTTCGCAAGGCACGGCGCCGTCCGGAACTACAGGAGCTGACGGGGCACTCGAACCCGGTACCCACCCAACTGTGCACCTCGCCTCTCCTGACTCGGCCTCCCCGACGACGCCTGCGCGCGCTCAAAACTCCGTTCCCGACGACACAAACACAACACAGTCCGCACGCTTGCCTCCCACCCCCACTCTTGTCGCCTGATGAGCGAAACGAGAGGTCTTGTATGATGTACGATTGGGAATGTATTGATGGGTATGCTTGAATATTGTTGTGTGTATGGTATGTATTATACGGCCATGGGCATGTTGTACCGTCAGTGCGGAGCAATATTGGATGTGTTCACCGGGTACTCCGAGGCTACGCAGCTCAGACGGACGTGTGCCTTTCCGCGTCTTGCTTCCTCTCGGTCATTCAATGTCGCCGAGTACGTGTACACGTGTGATTTGCGAACCTATTCCTTGGGCTTCCTGCCGTCTATAGGGGATCCTGCCGGGGTGGCAGCCGTTGAGCTCGCGGGACTGTCAATCTCGTCTAGCTGCACTTGTCCCCACGATTTTGCAGCGACGGCCATACCCTGGACTGAGAACAGGATTGACATTCAACTGAGGTTAATCCGCGAGCGAAGCAAATCCTTCAGCACCCGAAGATGTCTGCTCTTAGATACTGCCTTAGGGAGACTAGCCACCTGCCATGTCATCCTAGTACTCCTATGTGTACAGTTCAAAGACCTGCCGAGCGTCATGAGCCGAGTGCTGCAGACGTTCGCATTGTCATCCCTATATGTACCTTGCTCAGCCAGAAGCACTACGCCCAGCGATGAAAATGACAACGACTACCAGGGGCCGATGCCATGCCCATAATCAAGATCTGGAGCGAACATGAAGCCTGCATCGTAGCGGATAGCCGCATTCGGACCAACTGCACGGAGTACTTACTCTGATGTGTTGGGGCCCCGACAGGCCCTGTAAAATCGCAACAATGAGCACGCCAGAAGACAGCGGACGTTATATACACCAGATATAGTCGGAGGTACACACGCATCCACGCATATCGCTCAGCTCGGTCCACCAGTCCTCGCCATCTTCTTGTCATGCCCTCTCTTCCGGTCATGGTTTCCCCGACTCGCCTTGTTCTTGTCCTTCCATACCCTGTCCCTCGCGGTGTCGCCCGGTCCACCTCCACGACCACCACCGCGACCGCCCCCGCGGCCACCACGTCCCCTGCCGCCCCGTCCGCGACCTCGGCCTCGGGGGGTGCCTCGGTGCGCGTCTTGGGAAGAAGAGGATGAGGGAAGGATCTGGTTGCCGGTGAACTCGTGTTTGGCGAGGATCTTGTCTTTGTTTGGCTATGTACGAAGTGTTAGCATGCCAGTAAGAGCAACGACCGAGGAGCACAAGCGAACGTACATTCCGTTCCAGCATAATTTTCCACCCCTCGATCTGTTCGTCTGTCCATCCTGGAAGCGCATGCTTGTTAGCACCTGCACGACGAGAGCGCAAGCAAACACCGCACCTGTCTGTTCCTTCAGCTCCGTCCGCGCCTTGCTCTTCCTCGTCTGTCCATCCCTCTCAAAGAGTTTCTGGTCCCTTAGGTACGCTAACTCCAAGACCGTCTCCGGCTTCCTCTTTTCCTCCTCATCCTCCTCACTGTCCGTCGCACTCTCCCCGTCCGGACCGTCCAGCTCGCTCTCGTCACCATCGCGCACCTTCACCCCGCTGCCCTCGACGTCGTCTAGCTCGTCCTCGAACGCAACGACCTTGCCTTTGGGTTTGCCCGCGGCGGAGTACCCGTAGAGGTCCGCGTCGTCCTCATCGTCCTCGTCATAATTGGCCTCTTCTGCGCGCCGGAGTATGTCGGCTTTCATCTCGGCTACGACGGAGCGGTCCTGCAGAAGGGTCTCCGCGTCGTCCCTGTGCGCATGAGAGCAAACATATGTCAGCCCAGCTTCGAGTGGAAGTGAAGGTATGAGCTCCAGAAGATAGTACGCACCGCTTCTTCCCAACCCTCGCGCTCCCTAGATCAATCTTCTCCTCGTCGAAGACGTTCCGCCGCTCGCGCGTATACACAAACTCGTCCGGCGCTTTCTCCGCCGCACCAACCACGCCCACATCGGCCTTCGCAGCGCGCATCGCACTATCCACCTCTTCCTGGCTCGGCGCCGTGCCTTCCAACAACGCGCCCAGGAGCCGCTCCGCGTCCCCGCGATACGGGTAGCTTTCACTCGATAGGAGGTAACGCAAGTAAGGCGCGGGCATGTCGGGTAAGATGTCGAGTACCTGAGCGACGGCCGCGTCCAGTGCAGGGTCCGCGCGTGGCTCTACCGCCACTGCCTTCCCCTTGCCTTTGCTGCTGCTAGGAGCAGAGGATCCACGCCCACGCGCGTCGATGCCCGGCGGCACGCCAGACGAGCGCAATAGGAGCTTCAGTGCACCAGGTCCAGAGGAACCCTCTCCCTCGGGCGCATCGAGCGCGCGCAAGGCGGACTCGAGGAGCTCGCCGCGGGGGTCGTCTAAGCTCTTCAGCGCGTCCTTGAGCGTGCGCGAAAGGTCATACGCGTGCTGGTAGTCCGCGACGAGCGGACGGTCGAGGAACGGCGTTGTCCCATTCGGGCGGAAGCGCGGGACGTCGAGCAGGCCAAAGATGACCTCGAACGCAGGGTCCGCGGCGCGTACGGGCTGCGCTGCGACGTCGGCGATGAGTGCGCGGATGAGCAGGTGGAAGCTGTCGATGAGTGCGACTTTGGTTTCGAGGATAAGCCGCTCCCAGTCGTCTAGCGGGCCGTCGTTCGAGGAGCGGACGTTGAGCCCGCCATAGGATTGGGCGATCGACCCGAGCCCGTAATCGTAGGCCCGTGCGAGGGCGGTCATGAAATGCTTGTCCTGCGCGAAGAGACGAGTGAGGTCCGATGGCGCTGGGCGCAGGAGAGAGAAGAGGATGTGCGCCGTCTTGCGCAGGCCGTATAGACCTTGAGTGTTGGCGTCCGCAAGTAGAGTGGTGAATGCAGGGATCGCTTCGTCCTTCACCTGCGAGACGAGCGGTGAGCTGCTATGAGAGAACGCCGTGGAGAAGAGACTCCGGAACCGTGTCAGATTCGTCAAGCCGTACGCTACGCTGAGATCCAGGAGTGTCTGCAAGTTGAGAGATCCTGAGGACGCCAGCCTCTCCGCGAAGAGAAATACACGCTGTCGGATAGTCTTCTCCACCGGAGACAAGTTCGCGAAGACATTCTGACCCGCACTCTGTGACTGCTCCCAAATTAGCGAGTTAAGTACGAGTTGTGCAGCATCCTTCGCATAGGAGGAGATAAATGCTTGGGTAGCAGACGTGTTGGTTTGCGATGCTGGTAGAGCAAGTGTCTGTGCAAGACGAGAAGAGATGGTCTGGTGGAGTGTTGCGGCCTGCGAGGGTGATAGTGCTGCCCTCGCTTTGCTGGATGGGTAGGGCGGGAGACCCTCCACCGAAATTGCCATGCTTATACCGTATATGTTCTGTGCGGAGGAAATGTTACCCCAACCACTTTAGGAGGAGGAGCGAGCGAGACACGGCCACGAAATGCAGGATGCGGATGAGTGTGAACGGCAGGCGCTCACAGGAGGGTGTCGGGACCAGCGTCTACCAAAGTATGTCGACCTTGATCGCCACTTGCCAGATTTTCTGAAGAACTCGCTCGCTGAAGGAAGTTCTCCATGTGTGATTTACAGTACTACTAAGTATGTGATGATGCCTACGCTACAGATCCGAATTCAAGTCTACAATACTAAGCGCGTACACAAGTCGACTGAGAGGACGAGACAACAAGTCCTATGATACCGATACAGATCCTCACGTTCGCTAGACAATCCTTCCTAGGGCAGTGTGTTGAACGACAACTCGAACTTACACATCCTCTTCTTGAATCCCCGGCGACTGTGAACGCCTGGGCCGCCATGCCTCCCGTCCCCTCCGCAAGCCTTCGGATGTGCCTCCCTCTTGTGGCTGTTCCTCATCCTCGTCAACAACCCTCGTCCTCCACTGCCCAGAGCCCCTTCTCCACAGGTTCGAGCCTCCAGCCGCGTTTGGGCTACCGTCTCGGTCTGCGCCCCCATCAGCTTCGCGGATCCCGCCTTCCCCCCGGGCGAAGTGCATGCTCCTCCTCCTCAACCCCGCAAACCTCTCGTTAGCCTGCGCCGGGTTCGCCGGCCCTGCATTCTGGAAGTACGGCTTGAACGCATCCGGCTGCTCTCGGCCCAGCCGCCGTCGCGGAAGCGGAGGAGCGGCGGGCTGCTGCTGCTGCACTTGTGGCTGAGACGGCGCCTCAGATTCGGACTGACCATCACCGGCCTTCTTCGCCCGCAGCTTTCCTTGCTCGTCGATTGTCCAGTGAACGGGCTGCTCGGGCGTCCCGGCATGGATACTCGGCACGACAGACGTAGCCCGGGGTGGCGTGTCCTTCAAGTTATCTCCCAACTGCAATTGCGCAACGAGCTTGGAGAGCGAGGTCTGGCCGCCTGGTGTGGGAGGTCGTACGGGCGTGCTGGTTGGTTCCTGTCCGTTCACCACAACGAATTGCATAGCAGCGGCTATCCCGATAGGAGAATCGACGTTGCCAGAGCTTGACCCAGCAACTTGCTCCGGTAAGGCGACCTTGTCAGAGGTACCTGACGTGGGCTGCGTGTCCTGTATGGGATCCTTCAAGGTCAGGACAGCCGAAGTCGATTCCTGAATAGTGTAGGCGATCTCCGACTCCAAGGGTGTGAACCTCACAGAAGGGCTCGCAGGGGGCGGAACATCGACATTCGGAAGCAGGGGTGTCACCGGGTCCACAACTTGTCCTGGAGTAGGAGCCACAGCACCCGTAGATGCCACCAAAGACGTCGCGGAGAGGCCAGCGGTAGCAACGGCGCACTCACTCTCGGCATCTTCGTCGTCCAGCACTTGACTCGCCACACTCTGCACAGAAGGTGGCGCTGTCGCAAGATCGTCGACCGGGGAGGCCCTTTCGAGCTCAGGCATAGCGTCGACTTTCGTAACCGCAGGACATGAGATATCGTACCCCGGCAGAGCCCCGCCCGTCGTATGATTCCTAGAGCTGACAGTCGCTGCAGCACCTCTCCGGTGCGTGTCCGGCACAGGACGTGTCGCAGGTGTCCAAGCGAACGCAGGTGAAGACCCCCTAGTCACAGGCCCTGGACGCGAGGGTGTCTCGTAGATGACGTGCCGAGGCATGGCTTGCGCATACGACGGCGTTGAAGGAGTAGAACTCGCAGGTGGCTCGCAGGGCGACTGGCCACTCGTCGCAGAGCTCGCGCTCATAGTTGACGATGCGATGGGCTGGCCTATCAGCGCTGCAGGCGGAACAAATGGTGCAGTCGCAGCCGCAGCCGCGGCCGCGAGGTTCGCCACAGACGGACGCTTCGACATCCCGCCGAATAAGGGCGTGGGCGCATAGATCTGCTGCAGCGGTGGCGTGAATGGCGCCGGCCTCGCCTCAGGCATCTGTACCGTTTGCCCGATGATGGGCGATTGCCTAGACAGAGGCGAAGGAACAGCTGAGTACGGGGGGATGCCGTGTAGACTGGCCATAGAGGCGCGCTTCGACAGTCCGGGATGGAACGATGCGGGCGACTGAGATGTCAGTGGAACGAACGCTGGTCGTACCGCAGAGAGACTGGCCGTAGAACCGCGTCTGCTGTGGGCACGTAGTGGGACCAGAGGTGGAGATACGTTAGGTGTAGGCTGAGCGAACATTGATAAAGAGGGCCTGAATGCGTTCCCAAGAGGAGGCGCGAAAGATGACTGAGGCACAAATGAACCACTGGATCCAGGCTGCATCATGGAGGGTGGAGCAGCCGCCGTGACATTCGCAATCGGTGGGGAGAACAAGGCTGGTATTCCAACCGCTGCGTTCGCTGCGGGAATATTCGCAGGGGCAGTCGCGTTAATCACGCCAGCAAGGTTCGCCTCCGATGTACGCTTCGCTAACGCAGCAGCAGATGAATGGGCATGGCTCGCGATGTTGACAATGGCGGCTGCAGCAGGGGTAGCAGCAACCGGCATGAATGGCGAAGCACCCGTGGTGAAGCCCGAATGAGGTGTTGGGCTCGAGAGCACGCAGGGGCCACCAGTGCGCTGTCCATTCGAATGGGTCCGTACTCGACTAGGGACGAATTCAGGTGCAAAAGGCGAGAACGGAGTCTTCCCGGGTGACGGGAGCTTCACGGCTGGGTTCTCGAACGGCTGTCGTGCGGCCGAGGGAACGAACGGCTGAGAGGACGGAGAGAAGGAAAACGCAGTCGCGTCCAGCCCAGAACTTGACGGCGGTACATCGCGTTCGTTCCTCGGGGCGTCAGTTCTCTGCGGGGTGTCTGGTGCACCCTGAGCCGAAGCTTGTACAGTTTGCTCGCGTTCCTTGCGTCTAGTGAACGTCTTCTGTCGACCCTGCTTAGTACAGTTCCAACGGCCCAGCAGGAATACATACCTCCGTAACCTTATGAGCGCTCGGTCCGTCGCTCCGCGTCTGTTCCACCAGCTCGAGAATAACGCCCTTGGACGCTGCTTGTCGCACAGGTATGCGATCGTCCTCGTCAGTGACATCTTCGACTGTCGCAGCAAGAAGGTTGCTCGTTCTAGAACGCTGCTGACACCCCTCCAACTGAGGGGCTTCAGACGGCGCCTTGACATCGCCCACCCTCGAGGCCTCACCAGCCTTCGGTGTCGCAAGAGAGCTTCCAGAGGGACTGGCCGCCCTCGTCCCCATCGCTTCCACCAATTTCAACAAGGCGTCCCCCCGCTCAACAGAGCCGTTCTCGCAGGGCCGTCCGCCGTAACTCTCATCTACCCAACTCGCCTCGGAGTCTGAAGCAAATGGCACGCTCGCGTCACGTCCAAAGCGAGTCGGCGTTCCTGCGTCTGCAACCCCAGAACCAGCCCTCTGCTGCTGCTGACCTATCCCCTTCATACCCCTCAATAATGCCTCCACCATCACCTGAGCCGGTGACGCCTCCCTCTCGCTCGCACTGGCTTCCATATGAAGTCGCTCCAAGCTCGCCGCAGCACCGAACTTGCGTCCACGCGCCCGGCGGTTTCGTTGTTTCCCACCGCGCACACCAGGGGTGCCGCTCTCTTTTGGAGGAGTTTGACGCTCCCGTCCGCGTCCGCGTTGCCTCTTCCGCGCCCTACCCTCGTCAGGCGCAAGAGCCCAATTGGGGTGGTCTGGGGAGTGCTCGCGGCGACGGGGAGGACTTCGAATCTGCGAACGCTCGTCATCAGCGTCATCGGCGTCAGACGTCGGTGCAGAGCTAGATGTCACAGCCGGACGACTGTCAACCGACGGAGCACGAGATGGCGCGCGCGAAGGACCGAGAGGACGTTTGAGGATCTCCTCAGCAATCTCGGGATAAGTGTTTGCGAGCTGAAAGATGCGTCATGAGAAGCGTTTGCTTCTGAAGAGGAGACAAACTCACACTTCTGGCTTCAGCGTACGTGGTAGGAAGCGGTATACCTATTGGCTCTATGGCATGCTCGCCGATCCACACCGTTGGCTTCGTCTGATCATCCGCTGGAGGCGACTCGAGAGGTGTAGCTGGCAGGGATGTGTTGCCCGTGTCCGAAGAGTGGCCGGTACTGGAGCGACTCCAACCTGAAGGCTGGGAGTCGGAGGTGCTCTCAGAGGCTGTTCTTATCGGGGCGGAGGCCCTAGGTGACAGTAGAGGCTGGCAAAAGGCATCCGACATAGATAGCACAAGTCCACGCTCCGAGGAGGGAGAGACCAGGACTACCGCAGGGGGTGACTGTCGGTCCTGGAACTCTGTGCCCATGGTCGGAGTCGCAGGAGGTGTTGCGAAGACCGCAGAGGGTTCGTCCTCTGAGGAAATTGACATGTCCGCGGAGCCGTCTGCGCCCATCTTCTCGACGGATGGAGGGTAAGGAGAACCGAAGGATTGGTATGACACCCCAGTCCTCATGCTGCCTGCACGAGCGGCGGTTAGGAATGTAACAGTACGCGTAGAAGGGGGATCATTGGCTATATGCGCCTGGGGTTTCTCGACAGTGGTGGGCGAAGGGAACACGTTGAGCGAATTCTGGCGGCTGGGTGCCGGGAAGCCGGCGTCGTTGGCCTTCTGCGGCGGAGAAACATTGGGCGTGACGGCAGGCGTAGGCTGTTCAATGATGGGCTCGATCCTCATGCGGACACTGTTCAGTTCGCTCTTGAGGCTATTCGCGCTTGTCGCGCTTGTCAACGAGTCAAACGAGGCGAACTACGAGGGGGGCTTAGTCAAACACATCCCCAGGAGACCAATCTGACCGGACATACACTAGCGGGATGTGTCGTGGACGGCTCTTTGACGCTCTGAACATAACAGACGTGAGTGGCTTGCATGAAGAACACGTCGAAATACAGACCTCTGCGCTCACAGGCTTTGCCTGATTCTCCAACATCGCGACGCGCGGGCTGGTCTGTAGAACTGCGGGCTCCGAAGGGCCGGCCTGCGGCTCCGGGAGAGGCGTGTCCGCATTATCGCTTGCTGCTCCCTTACGTGGGGTCTTCGCTCTACGGAAGAACGGCGACTTCAGGACATTGGTGACGATCTCTGGGACGAAGCCCGCAACAGGAGCCATCGCCGGGCCAGCGGGGTGAGCGACGCGCGGATGGAGAAGGTGGAGGGAGGGAGAGAAGAGGCGGGGGCAGACAGCGAGGCGCGCGAGGTTGAAGTTCAAACTGAGGGCGCGGTCAGCTGTGGAGACGCACGCATTTGGACTTGGCCACGACACACAGTGTACGATGCGGGCGGCGGCACGGTCGATCGATCGACGGCTTGCGGCACCGAGGGTTTGGCCTTGACGACATGTCGCCCAGGCTGACAGCTATCGCGCGGCTCTTGCTACAGTCAGCCCGCAGTGAATAGGCTCAGTCCTTCAGTGGAAACGAACTGGCCTCATGGTAATAGCATAGAGCTGAACCATAAGTATGAGGCCTCGAGGCCAGTGTGTTGAAGTGAACTCTGCTCAGGGTAGAGCCTGGAACGACACCTGCATACTAGTCAGTGTACACCTCTTTGACTGAACTTACTCCGTTATCACACAAGACCCCTGTGATACACCGCACGCCCCAGACCCTATGCCACCTGCTTGCCGACCTATGTCATGACCTTCTCGCCACAGGGGGTGATTCACAAGGCATCCTCGCATGAGAAGCGATAGCCAGGTACGCAGTCAGATTGAGTGGTCACAAGGCGGCCATGTGAAGGGGCAACGCAGCGCGGCAGATTCTGTGATTATAGAGCAAAACTGCGCGAGCAAACTCGTCAGCGACTTTGAGGAACTTTTGACAGATGCCAACCCACCTGTCAGAGGCTATTCACTACTAACCAACGACTCCGTGGCTCGTGTAGAGACGGACGCCACAACGGAGCAGAAGTGTAGTGACGAACGCACCGACAACCCATTGGAGGTGAACGGCGCCCGGTCACTCAACGCACTACGGCGTCATGCCCATTTTCGTCATTGCGACCAACACACCAATAGATCACCGTAGATATACACGAGGGAATTTGCACTGCGACACTTCGCCTAGATCTCAAGCCTTCTCTGACGTGCCCGGTACGGGGCCTTCATCCGACCGGCGACCAGACACCTTGACGAAATCATCCATGGCGTAGTCGCATCCGGAGAGCTGTAAAAACCACGGCCTCAGCCTCCCACCAAAACGAAATAAATAAGGGACTCACCCATTGCCCAAAGTCGCGCACATAGCTCGGGCACAGGCCCAAGAACGGCACAAAGTTGGCATAGAACGGCATGTAGAGCGTCCGCGAGTGCTGCTCGTCGATCGCGGCGATCACCGCCTTAGCGATTGTGACCGGCGGGAGGCTCGGCACGAAGAATTTGTACCACCACGTCTGCGGGAGGCGCGCGCGCGAGAAGAGCGGCGTCTGGACGTGACCCGGGAGCACGAGCGTCGTCCGGACACCGGGCGCGTTGTATTTGTGGTCGAGCTCGTAGCGCAGGGACTCGTGCAGCGAGATGAGCGCCGCTTTAGAGGCGTTGTAGTCGGCTGGGGTCGCGTGGGTCAGGCAAGGAAGACGGGTAGTGGTGAAGGTTACTCACTCATGCGAGCCATCCCGACCATGCCTGCGACAGAAGACATAGTGATCTAGCAGAAGACGTCAACAAGGGTCCTGAGAGGTGGAGCTCGAACCACCCACAATATGGCCCTTCTTTCGCTCGATCAGGCCAGGCAGGAACGCCTTCAGCGTCCAGAAGTGAGCCAGTGTGTTTACAGAGAAAGTCCTGATAACCCAAGATTAGCCCATTTCACGACAACCGCTCCAAGGAAGCAACGACGTACTGCTGAACATCCTCAGGTGTCAGGTCGACAAGGAGCTTGCCCTGCACGACGCCTGCATTGTTGATCAGGATAGTCGGGTGTCCAATCTACTGAGTTGTCAACCATAGCCAGACGCCTATCAAGACTCAGAAACGCACCTCTTCGATGATCTGCTTAGACACGGCTTCGACCTCCTCCCACTTGGATACATCGCACTTGTAGTAGTTAATGTTGTCTGTCGACGTCGTCAGTGTTGTCGCGTGCTGACTAGCGGGGGTTACGTACAGTTCTCGGTGACGATGGGGTTGACGTCCAACACGATGACAGTGACGTTGCGCACAGCACACGTATTGGCGATGAGTTCACCAATGCCCGACGAGCCTACAGCAGAAATTCCAGACTCCCAGATCAACACGCTCGTCCACGCAGAACACGCGCGAATGAGGTCTACGCACCACCGGTGATGAGGATGATCTGCTCGCCCCAGTCCAGGGAACCAGGCCCGTAGATGAGGCTGCCTTGGTTACGGTACAGGCGGGAATGCCACTTCGTGAACCCTGCAAGTCCACGACCATTGTGTTAGCGGAAACACAGTGAATGGTAGCAGGGAGTGAACGTACAGAATACGGCTACCCCAATGACATACGCGCTCGTGCCGAAGAAGACAGGGTCGGTGTACGGCACGTCGTTGAACCAGAAGAACACGGGCAACCAGAACATGAAGAACGGACCTGCGAACGGGTGATAGCAGGTCAGATCTCAATCTGGTGGACTTCGAGGAGACAACTGACTGAGCATTGTATGCGAAAGCACCTTGACGAGGATGTCGATGTCGAAGTTGTCGAACATGAGCGACACGTCGAGCGACTGGTTGGGGGGCTGGATCTGGACCTCCATCGTGCTTCAAAGAATGTCTTTGTGAGGCCTTGAGAACGGTGGTCGCGCTAGGCGGTGTGCGGAGACAACAGAGGGGTATGTGCAACGAGCGAAAAGCGCAGGCTCAACCTGCAGCGAGACGGGGAGAAAGAGGTGCTGGTCCAAGCCCTCGACGAACGAAAGGATATGCGCTGGCCGCTATGCACCGCCTGCTGGTGACTTTGACTTGCAGCAGATGCCAGATGGTGGAAGGAAAGATGGGCCTCTGGGATCACGCAGGCTTGACAGACGGGTTGCTGCGGCGGTACTCGCCCGTAGCGTACACATCTTCTCTCGGCCGGGCTGGCTCAGACACAGGTACCGGTATCAACTCCGTCAACACAGTCGCCTCTTATGGATTCCAGTCATACATCCGATCCTGTGGTCTCGCGCCTTTCTACACAAGCGTCCAGAGACACGCGGAGGGCGACAGGTCGGCATAGCTCTCCGTTTGACGGTTCCGGTGGAGAGCGAGCGTCTCTGGCACTAACACTAGTCCGAAGCGCAACGTCCGAGATGCAGCCGGTACGCTCTGCCCTATACAGCCCACTCATCTTGGTTACGCCTGATCCTCCATTCACTCTCAACTGTCTTCGTCTGGACGCTAGCAGGGTCTCATTGCGAGATCGGACTCAGGAGGCGGTTCTCAAGGCGAGCCGCTCCCCACCTCCGATTTGGACGCACTGACTGCGTCATAACAGGTCGTTATACTGAGCAGCGCTGAGATCATTGCGATTGGTCCTGTTGCACTTGCGATCCTGTCTTCCCGCTGCGGAACATAGCGAGGCCTTTACGGACATTCCGATCCTACCATCGACACCGGGCTCCATGTCCAAGCCGCATATCATACATGAGGATGCGTTCTTCGCTTCACTCCCCCTGTCAGACTATCCAGCTCTGCCCTCGAACGTGGGCAACAGAGGGCGTACACCTATCTTCCCTCGCATGGCCCTCACCTCCAGCGACTCATCCATGATACTCGGCGAAACCGACTTCCCGTCCACACTCCCCCTCGAGCCCCCACTCCCGCTCGAGATCCTCATGCAGATCCTCGAGTACACCGCCTCCCTCTCCCGCCCCTCCGCCGCATCCGTCTCGTTAGTCTCCGCCTGGGCGCGCAAGCTCGCGCTCCCGCACCTCTTCCGCGCGCTCGTGCATCGCAAGGTGCCGCTTGCGAACGTGACCGTCCTCTCCGCGACGCGCAGCGCCTCGCTCCCCGCCTCGCGCACGCCGCTGCCCACGCACCTCGGACAGTACGTCCGCGCGCTCTGGACGGAGAGCATCGGCATGGCGTCGCCCACAAGCGAGATGGACATCTTCCGCGCGTGCCCCGCCGTCGAGCACCTCGCGCTTCCCGCCCCCGCGCTCCGCACGCTCTACATGGTCTGCCAGACGTTCGACAAGCACGATCGGGTGCATGGCCGTCGTGGGCCGGGCAGCGGGAACACGCTGCCGTTCCTCTCCGCGCTGCGGGAGGTGACGCTCCTGAGTCACACGCTGCGGTACGAGTGGCACTTCCTCGTCGGGCTGCGCATCCCGGACGGCCGTACGCTCCTGGGGAACATCACGCACCTCCGGATGCTCGACATGCAGATCAGCGCGTACGTCCCGCATGCGCACCTCTCGAATCTGACGCACCTCGCGCTGCCGTACCTGGACCTAGGCGCGAACATCAGCCACGACCTCCTCCGCCTCCCGGAGGGCGTGCTCGAGCACCCCAAGTTGAAGATGGTCGTGCTGACGGTGGACGAGCGCAAGTACCTGCATAATCCGTGGTACCATATCGTGCGCTACTCTGCGGCGGGCACGGGAAACGTGCGGTACTCGTCGCCGAGGGAGAGCTTCCGTGAGCTAGTCAAGCAGGCGCATTTGAAGGACAAGCGGGTGCACGTCATATTGTCACCGCGCATTGGCCAATCTGCTGTCGACGAGTGGGATGCTGCCGCGCGCGGAGGTGAGAGCATATGGGAGATCGCCGAGAGAGTGCGGGGCGACGAGCAGTATGGCATGGAACTGCCTTCTACTTACGCACCGGGCATCCGTCGGTGAGGCGTTCCCAACCACCCCGGCATCGCCCTTAAACCTGAATTGTACGATGCTATTCAATCAACTATAATAATCTTGCACCTTCTCCGACTTGCTCGCTGTGATTTCTTGCATGCCGCTACGTCTGACCTCACCATTGGCAGGTCCGAACTGGCCACTTGCGCTGCACGTGGTCTTCTGTTCGGCAGGCACCAGTATCATGGGCTTTTATGGCTAGCGTGTCTATACGAAGGTGAGTTGATTTGTACTAGAGCTGTCTGCGACCAGTGAGCACCCGCACTCGGTTTTACCACGGCCAGAGCTTCACTCGTCGTTTTCACCGCCAATGCCCTGGACGCTGACTGGTGGCTCCCCGAGAGCCTGCAGTTGTCGCCGAGATTATTGTGCCTCCCGATGGACTCGTTGCTCATGAGCCCATTGTCCAAGTGCCGCGGATGTGAGCACCCACTGTAGCGTAAACACTGGGCGCAAATGCGCCAATCCGCGCAGGTAGGTAGTACGGGTAGCTGCCCGTGTTCGATGTTCAACGTTTCAACCCTAGACAGTCCATTATCATATATTGCTACTACTTGTAGACAAACCTCCGAGTCGCCCGTATCGACTCGGATTTGTGAATATCTGATTATGATTGCGCAAATCACTGGGACCTGGGTAACCTGCTGCTTCAAATCACGCTGGTCTGAGCTTCGTACCGTACACATACCATTCATCTCATGTACATATAGCTGGGTGGAATGGAGATGACATGCCCGATAGCCGTAGCGGAGCACAGGCTTCTGCTAGTACCTACACATTTGACCAGATTTTGTTTACGCTAATACCATGCCCCCTGTGTATCACTATGGAGATAACCTCCTGGAACATGATGCTGTAATATAGTCTACAAGGTTAAGCTCAGCTTTGCCTGGGACATCTAGTAGCGACTGTGAAGCGGAAGCCTGATCGATTGGACAGAAGTAGTGACCCGTACTCCGGAGTGTCTTGTATGAAGATTACAACACCAGCATAGCCTGGCTAAGAACGCGGCTTTCGGCGATCCCGAGACCAGTGGCACCTCCTCGCATAAACGCCGCGAGTACATCAATTCAGACATTGCGACCAGTGGTCCAAGCAGCGGCGGTAGTCGAAGACAATGCTGAATGCGGCCAAAACCTCCTGGCAAGAGTGGCGCAAGGCACGGTAAGGGCCTCACCCGACTGGTTTGCAGCCTTATCATAGGCCTTCTGATTGCAGTAACTTCGTACACAGCTCATCGCGTACATGCGCTTCTTGTGATATAGAAGACGTCGACCTCGCGTCTTCTTCCGTGTCCAGAGGTATTATAGAAGACCACAGGGCAGTGTTCTTGTGGGCCCTGTACAACAACAGGACGCCACTAGTGGCGGGAACCGCCCCTATAGCAACCACAATACCATTGTTAATGCCACCCGGATATATACAACAGAGGATTGTCCGTAGCCACTTACACACACTCCCTGCCCTATTTCTATAACCGCGGGCTGGCTCCGTACACTCCATTCATTCATTTACTCATGATTGCAGTCTTCGCCATACTTTTCCTGCCGAGGATACGACACCTGGCCTGCGGCAGAGCAAAAGCGGGCCCAGACAAGCCTCCACGCAGACACAGGTGGTGGACGATCCTACGCGGTGGTCAGAAGACACGGCAGACGCGGAAGGCGGGCCAGGGTAGCGGGGAGGGAGAACGAGCTGGACGGTTCGACGCGCTGAAGCGGCTGGTCCATGGGGGCAGGTGTACAGGGTCACGTGGGAGAGACGCGTCGGTGGCTGAGGGGCTCGGCGGGGAGACGCCCGGGAGGCGAGTCGAGTGCGGCCAGGCTGCGGCGTCCCCTTCCACGCCCTTCGCCTCCCCGGATGCACCCCCGCTCATAAGCCCCAGCCAGCACCCGCTGCCACCGCCGTCACGAGCACCAGTATGTCCTGCACTCCCAGCCTCCGCGCCCTCCTCGTCCTCGACCTCATACGCCCCCCGCCACAGCTCGGCTTCGCAGGCCTCGACGCCCTCTCAGCCGCGGTGCTCGCGCCGCATGTGCAGACGGGAACAACTGCGAAGGGCAAAGATAGATACTGCTCGCCCTCGATGCAGCTCGCAGTACAGCCGCAGATCCCACCCAGGCATGGTAACCTCGACGACGACCGCAAGCGCGCTGTTCATGCGCCACGGCACGCCTCACGGAAGCCTGCTGACGGGCATTCGTTCCCCCCACGCACAAAGGACGCGGTGCGCAGCTTGGGTTTGGGTACGCTATGCGAGGTATATGAGGCGGACGAGGACCAGGGCGCTGCAGTACGTCTCTATACTTCATACCACACACACTACTCTGAACACGAACCATGGCCAGGATGGCCTCTCCGACATGGACCACACTCTGGTATGCATGCACCTCCGAAAGTCGTACGTCTACTCACAAGTGGGGTCAGATTACGAAAGAGTATTTTGCAAAGGTTGAAGACGACTGGTCAAGATGGCGGACTATCAGGGAGAAGAATGTGCGACCCGCTCCGCGCTTTCCCTAATTTGTAGCTTAACGATGATATACGTACAGAACCATCTCCGCGAGCTGCAGCTCGATCGCCGCAACATTGTCCTCGACTCCGCCCATCCAAACGTCGCGCCACACATTGTCATCACACCTCCCGACTCCGTAGATGCATGGAACAACTACTGGGCGACCTGCGTGAACAGGACAGGACCACAAGAACCCGCACAGCTGCAGCTGCCCCACAGAAGCGATGGTCTCGACCCGCTTGCGTGCTTTGCGGCGCCCGCTGATGCAGAGGCGCGTGTTCACCGTGCGGCGGCGAGCGACAATGCGCAGAATGGGTCGGATGCGGGGCTCTTCACGGAACCTCGGAGAGTCTTCAGCAGTTCTCGACTGCATTCAAGGGTATGTCCGTCGGAAACCCTGCTAGCAGCGGAATTGGGTTTACAACTTCAGGTGACGCTTGCTGCACAGGAACGTGAACTGCTATTTCTTGATAACATATCTGCTGCTGTGCAGCGTAGGCAGTTCAGACTGGCAGTCAGTATTCTCTGTTATGTATGCGTCGCGGTTTGGCTGACTCCATTCGTCTAGGCGCAGGACGCTGCTTCCATAGCACCTTCCTTCCGAGCGCGATGGCAGGCGCCCGAGTTCGCGCACAGGTTCGAAAGGCCATTCAAATGGACAGACGAGGCGGAGGTCCGTCCATTTATTCTCGCTCTCTCATGCAAGTGCTAATTCGCGTCTAGCCTCTCCTGTCGTACTTCGCCCACTGCGTCGACACGACCGTCATCGACTCCCCGACACCCTGTATCGCGCCACACATCGTCATCCAGGAGCCTCCGACTGACGAGCCGGCACCGTTTATGGCGTCCCACCACAATCTCACACCGGCGCAACAAGACTGCTATTTCCTCACCGTGCCCGCATCCTTCGTGCATTTCGTCAACGAGAATGATTCTCAGGTATGGGGTACGGAGACCGACTTAGGCATTGAAGAGGAGGAGGACTGTGCACCACTCCTGGTGGGCGAGGTCGAAGCAGACATGGATATGGAGGCGGAGGCGGAATCCATAACAACGTCGTGCTCGGGGTCATGGAGTGAGGGCCTAGCGACGCCACACGGGTCGCACTACGAGCTGGGCGAGGCGATCATCGAGGAGTTCGAGGAATACGTCGGGGAGGACGAGGAGGGCCTCCGACCAGCGACGCCACCGTACCACGCGGTGGCGGAAGAGCCCCTGGAGAACTTGAAGGCGACCGTAGACGTCTTTGAGTGCGAGGAAGAGGACGAGTTGCCGCCCTTTGATGACTGGTATCAGAACATTGCGAGTAGGGCGGCCACGTAGGCTGGTTGGGGTGGCGATACCCACGTATTGCGGTATGCTAAGGTCGTATAATGTGTACTATAGCGGTGTAGCATAGTTGTGCGTTATGCTGGATATCCTCCCCTGTGTGGTTGCGCAGTTGCCAACCGCAGGGCGTTGTTAATTCTCATTCAATATCCGATGCCGTGGGTTGTTCACGGAGCAATTTAATACGAACGCCTCCTGTCACACAACATACTGTGGACTGATGTGTTGATAAGCGTACTAGAAGTCGTCGAAGACCTACTCACGGCGGCCCACAGTGATTGCAGCAGTTCATGAAGTCCGCCTTGCATTGTGCCCTCTGCAACTCGCTCATTCCACCCTCAGGACCCTCAACCGAAGGCGGCCATGCCAAGATCCGCCGCTTACAACAAAACTGGGCCTCCCTCCCTCCACGCCTGAATCCAATCTCTTCACAAATGCACTCCAGCTTCTCTCCACTAAACCGTGTAAGGTGCAAGTCTGCTGTAGGGCTGTACCCGAACACGTACGGCAAGTCTTCCTTATGGCAGACCTGCTCGCGCCCCAAGGACTCTGGCGTGCAGGCGGCGGGGAGGCCAGGCAGCGGCAGTCCGCGCCAGAACTCGACGACTCGGAGAAAGGTCGTGCTCGAGACTTGCGCGCGATTTGAAGTTGTCGAGGGTGACGAGGTAGGAGACGGTGTTCCGGACGGTGATGGGGTCGGAGGAGTTGTGCGGGAACTGTGTACGACGATGCGCGCTTCGTAAACGTGAAGACGACAGTGAATTTGTGTCCAGTTGGACCACTGACCAAGGTAAAATTGACAATCACTTCAGCGAGTTCATCCCGGAACGCTTCAGCCAAAAGAGGCTCATAGTAGTCCTCAGGCTTGTAATGGAACCGTACACGAAGAGCGTACCCTCATCTCCCATCGTTCCCATCATAGTCGGCACCGTGCAGTCGACTTACGCCTTCTCGCCAGTGGTCGAGCATTCCAGAATAGAAGGACCGTGTATACCAGGGAACCCCAATGGGAAATGACTCCGTTAGTGACGGCGGCGCGGAACAGGCCCTTCGCTACTAGAGCTGCGCCCGCGCCCTGGCCTATGATGCTCACCCGTGTAGGGTCCCCGCCAAATACCGAGGTGTACTTCTACACCCACTTGAGAGCGAGAATATGGTCGGGGAGCATCTGGATGCCGACGAGAATGGTAGGGAGGCGAGGCTGCCAAGTGGGCCAAGGCGGTAGTTGATCACGACGACTACCGTCGGCCATACAGTATGCGAGTACCGTCGGTCCCGTATACGTTCTGTGCACGCATTCTGCAGGGCCTTCTGTGATTGGCTTTGCCGAGCTACCACCTCCCGCTTCTTCTATACTAGACCCCGGGTCTAGGCGCAGAGCATCTCAGTACGAGGAATCAGGGAGACGTTACAACTCACTCCGTAGACCCCCTGCAGGGTGTCGTGGTAGGCATGTCGGCGGAGACACAGGGGGCTCCCAGTAATGCGGCGCGACTGCGGCACGATGTTAGCTCAATGTAGTGTGAGTAGAGCGCTAGGACGGCAGAGATGTGTTCGGGCATGCGGCATGTATACAATCCAACTGTATGCCTGAACATTTCCCCGCCTGCCTTGCGATTGGTGTCTTGGGAAAGAAGGAGAGGCTGGGCTCACCTAGTCCCATCGGCGCAGGTTCTGCGCATACATCAAGCAACATGCTTCCCAAGAATCGCACATTCATTTCCCCACATACTACCTATGTTGACCCACACCTTCGGAAGTCACAGCAATACATGTCGAAAGAAAGCCTGCGGGACACGTTGAAATGCACCTCAAGGCTCAGGCTGGTTACTGGTGGTAGACGGCATTCCTAGTCTCGCCTTTTTTCACGGCCGGATAGGCACCGCGGAGGCCGTGGTACATCCCACGAAGCTAGGGCCAAAAGTAAGCATCGCTCTGCCTATCGGGTTCTTCATCAATCTTCGATCCAGGTAAACGACAGGCTGCCATGGTATATCGAGGAACCGACGTCGTTCAATGGGTCCCAGAAGCGAACACCCGCTGCCATTGTTACGAGTCCACTCTGTCGCAAGTACTACGCGCGAGACCAATCGGCCGTTCCAGATCTTCCGCGATTGTTGACAGCTGACGGAAGGCTGTACCGCGAACGTTCTGCGCGGATCCAGATATCGATTGTATGAGCCGTCGAAGGAGGAAGAGGGCGAGCTGGCTATGGCTTCCGGATATAGCGGTAAGAGCCAGAGGTAGCAGCGGATGCGATGGAGAAGCAATACCTGGCAGAGAAGTAGCTCACTCGAGACGTTTCGGGCCCCGTTCGAGGTCATTTGGTCTTCGGAGCAGCCTGTCTCCTCAGTTCAGTGAGCCATAAATGTCCTAGGATAATGTAGATCTCAACCTTACCACTGCAACGACTTCACCTGAACAGGCTGAGTAGGGGACAAATAGAATCCGACTTATCGACATGTTACTCGAGCTGATGCCGAATGAAATTCATTAGCCTTTCGATGACATCACGAAGACCGGCGTGGTCTATCCAAAGAGCGATTTCACTCTACGGACAAGCTACGCCGGTCTCATACAAGGCCGCACCTCGCTACGAGGGCATGCTGACACTTCGTCGAGCAGCCCAGCTTCTAGGTCACGAGTACACACTAATACTCACATGTCCACGTACCACGGCAAAAAGCAAATCGCTACAACGGTAAACCCACGCACACGTAGCGTGCCGCACTAGGACCAAGCCCGCGTAAGCAGCACTTGCCGCCGGGTCCACAGCTACTCGACGCTAGCGGTGGCATGGCTCAGTTCCATCTAACCTTTCTCCTGTACTCCGAGTCGGAAGTACGCGGAACGTCCTAGCGTACCGCTAACGCGGGTGCGCAGGCGCATGCTAGCCGGTTTGGGGTGGCGACGATCGATTTGCAACGTTGACAATAGTTGGCATTTGACGTTTATCCGCACGCATGAGTAGCGTGCGCGATCATGGCGCGGTGTCGGGAATGAAGGGGGTCTGGGCTGCGCCTGTGCGTAGGCGCGTTCGCTAAATCAAGCTGACGCGATAAGGCAGGTGTACCAGTAGGGATAGTGCGGGCCATGGCAAATACACATGTGCGAGGCCCGAGGTCTTGACATGGATAGCCTGTGGAAGCGGAACTCCTTGTGGACAGGTAGGCACTTGCCGGTGAGACATCTCGGGAGAATCGCCGTCGGCGGGTTGCACGACGAAGAGAGGAAGAGGGTTTCTGAGTGAGTGAAGATGCATGTACGGCGACTTTGTGTGCGCCGGTCCATCCTGCTGACCTTGTGTCTGAGTCCGAGACGATGTGTTTCGTGGAAGCAACCGGAGAAGCTGAAGATAATAGCGTCCGACGATTCGAACCGCCCACGCCTGCAGGCACGGTGCGACGGTTCTGCGCGCACATGCGGGAAAACGTGACGGCCACGCCTACAGGGCCACATTCCGCAGATTGGCTGCGGATGGTTCCGGGTACGGGGGAGGGGAGACGGAGTCAATTGCGAGGAACTGAGGGAGACGAGTGACGCCGGCACGGCATGACGAGAGTACGTGAGGGCATGCCGTCACCCGAGTACGTCCAGAATGTCGGTATCCTTCGTGGCGAGCGGACCCGTCCAAGACCCGTCCACCCGCGCGAGCCTCGAGACGGAACGCCACCATCAGCTTAGGGCGGGGCTTAATGTAGAATGCGGGGAAGAGCTGCGCTGTCGTTCGTCGATATCACGCTAGCTCGAGTGACAGTCTGTGACAGTGTGGTGAGGGCATCAGCGCAGCTATGCGGGTGCAGATGCGCCTCTGGAATGGAGGGGCGTACGTACCTGTACGTTACCCTGAAAAGTACTAGACCTGTGGAGGCACGGCCTCGTCGCATGAGAGGTAGGTGGCTATGGCCTGGATCTGTGCGCAAAAGGGAAGAAGGGGCACCGGTGGGGGCCGGCGGTCATCAGAGTGACGGCAGACCGTTCGACTGGCAGCGTGGTTACGCAACGCAAAATGAAGGTGCTGACTGACCCGATGGGGAGGCCCGTGCGATGTGGAGGTATCCGACTCGGACGAGGGAACAAAGGTCTGGGGGCGTCTAGGGCCACATCGGAAACGACGAGAAGACGGCCGGACGCGCTAAGGTGAGTGTTGCTGAGAGGGTACCCAGTGCTAGAGACGCTGGAGGCTTCGTAAACGTGCGATGGCGAGTGCGTCGCGGTAAGTAGCAGCACTGTGAGACGGGGCCCGCATGCAGCGGCAGGGCCGGTGGAAGATTCAGGATTCGGGAGGAAGATGGGCTTCAAGGAACAGCAGTAGTAGTAACAGTCCGCGTCGATAGGCCTACTGCAGGCCCGGCTGCGGGGAAAGTCAGGAGGGCAGATACGGCGAGAGCCCTTCCGGCTTGGGCTGATGAATGAGGCGGGCGCGCTGCAATGAATCAGAAGAACCCACCAGGCACTTGCTCTACGCCTCCGCAGGCGTACAGGATAGGCAGGCAGGAGACCGATATGGGCAGTGGACCGTGTGCGAGACCGTGCACAGCGGCGGGAGGTCGCAGGTGGCGACACTGATTGCCATACTTAGCGGGAAGGCCGGCGGGAAGGCCGGCGGACCGATAGCCGGGAAAGTGGCGGACAATGTCGAATATGGGCGGCTATCAACGTGATTTCGGCCTGCCAGGTATAGGTGCAGATCGAAATCATCGCTGTCTTCCCCAGTCGCAGGCAAGTCGCCCTCCTCCTCTTCGCGCGAGACCTCCTCTGCCCATCACCGGCACCCCTCGGCCTCCTTTAACCCCCGCCGTTCTCCTGCCTCTCCTTCCTTCCTCCACCACCCGTCCCCCTCCTCCCTGCCCCCTCATGAGCGACAGCGTCACCATCTCTCTCCTCCCTGTCTCGCTCGCCCTCGTCCACGTCCCTCGCTCACGACTAGATACCCTCACCCAGCACATTCTCCGCCAAATCCTCAGACCCAACCCCAGCTTCCTCAATGTCACCTGCAACGAGATCGAGCTCAGCCTCTTCGCCGAGGGACATGCGCTCAGGGAGGTTGAGAAGATCGCACGCAAGGATGCGCGCAAGCTTCGCAGGAGACGAGAGGACCAGGACGCTGTCCAGTCTGGGCAGAGGTCACAGAGCAGGCGGAGTCGACCCGACTGGGAGCCCATAGAGGTCTCGTCTGACAGATGGTGTGTCCTCCAGATTGACTCGCATTCTGACTCACTCGGTGTGTCCATATTCGCTACATGCTGCAGGCAGGCGCTGACTGTCCGTATCCGAAGCAGACAACTCTGGCGCACGAGTGCGCGAACTGTCGGCGCCTCTCGCCGCAGCGGGCATCTCCATCCTCTACCAGTCCTCGTACATGAGCGACTTCATCTTCGTGAGTGCACTTCAGTTTCGCCCACGTTTGCTGTCCCCTCGAAGTATCACACGTAACTCGCCTGTGCCTGTGCAGTACCCCTCATTCTTATCGCCGTCGGTCTCTTCATTTCCCGTTCGATCCGGTTTGATGTATGCCGGCATTCATTTACCAGTTCCCGCAAATTCTCTGCGCCTATCACTTATGACGATTCGCTTGCTTAACGCCTTCTATTAGGTAAAATCCTCTCGCCTATCCCAGGTCATGTCTCTGCTCGCGACGGCAGGGTTCGGTCTCTACTCGGACAACCCTACCAACCTCACCGCACAGCTCTCGACATTTACGTCTCCGCTGCTCTCGCCGACGCAGGACGATACCTCCGTGTCCCTCCTCGACCTCAGCGCCCTCGGCCCGACATCGAGCACGCGGGTCGACCCAGGCGGCGGCGCGGTGTTCACGCGCTCGCGCAGCAGCACCGACGCGACCAACAGTTCTTCGGGCAGCCGCGCACCTTCCATCTTGCAGATGTCCAACCCACACGACTTCTCGCCCGGCCCGACCTCGCCCATTTCGCCGCTCGCCTTCGACGCACCACCTGACGAGGACGCAGAGGCGGACGCGGACGCGGACACGGAGGATGATATGCTGATGAAGACCCCCGCGCCGGGCCCCGCGCCAAGGCCAGCCATGAGCCGCTCGCATTCGCACTCCCCGTCGGGGTGCGATGTGAGTGTGCTCGTGCCGGACTTGACGTACGTCGGCCTGTCGGACGAACACGCGGAGATGTGGGGACTGAAGATCGTGAAGCTCGTTGCGTACCCGGACCTTATCGTCGGCACCGGTGCAGGACACTCGGCGTCGTCGAGCGAGTCAGCAGGACCCAGCTCGCCCGTGTCCCCGCTGGAAGCCACGGCTGCTGCTGCGGATGTCTCGGTGAGAATCGCGGACGCGGTGAGTAGGATTGAGGGAGGCGGGAGTGGGAGTGATACGACCACCCGGGTAGGCGCAGGCTCGGACAAGGAGGACATTGCTCTTTATGAGCATACCGAGCAGTGCATGCCCTGGGAGGAGGACCTCGGTGATGCCGAATCGAGCGACGAGGACGGATACTTCTCGTCGAGCCCGCGATTAGGCCAGTCCGACCTCCTATCGGGCGCAAGGCCGCCGCTCATGCACCACGAGACGGTTGACACCGTGCACCCTGCGCGACCCAACCTGGCAGGACGCTCGCGCTCCGACTCGAGCTCTTCGACGTCGTCATCTTCAGCGGGCCCCTCAACGAGCCCACTTGTGCCGTTCTTCTCGTTCACGCGGACGAGCGAGGGGTCGTCGCTCACGGCGCCGGTCTCACTACTGGCAGCACTGTTCCCGCCGAATGAGCGGGATATGGTGATCTGCAGCGATGAGCTCTTTAACCTCGACTCGAGGCAAGCGTCCCCTGAGAGGGATGCCGATGAGGAGAGCGAGGACGAAGATGGGACGCCGCAGGGCCCTCTCAGGTGCTTGCAGATCGACCTGCGGAAATTCGGGCTAGGTATGTCCGTTCCTTCAGGTTATGATCGTTCCCATGCTAAGTATTGCTCGTGATCTCCAGACAAGCACGGTCTGGTGAACCGCTTCTCGCGCACGCTCGAGGAGAACGGGATCAATCACATGTACAACTCGACCTACAAGACCGCGAACCTCCTTGTCGACAAGGCGCACGCGAGCCGTGCGCAGGCGCTGCTGCGATCGTGCTGAGGTTCCATGTTCGCATCGCTTCTTGCCTTCTCACCCGTAGCTCGTGCCCAGTCTCGAGCCCTGAACTCTCTACATCCCCGCTCTACCTCCGCGTCACCACCTCACGTTACGACAACGACAAAACGCCCTGCACGAGCATCACGCACTGTGTAAATAAAACGCGCCAGGCTTCCATATACCTTCTATGTCACCGTTCCCGTTGCATTGCATCTCACCCTCGCACGCACGTCTCGCTCATCCCACATGCCCCAGTTCACTTCCCACATTTTTATTACCTTGCTTCGAACGTCCCACCCCTCGCGGCCTGGCCCTTCCTCGCGCTTGTGTTCTTTCCACGTCGTCTCCGTTCGGGTTTCTTCGGTCTGCCGTGTCACAGTCTCTCGGGCCTCCTACACGCTCCCCCTCTGTCTCTGCCTCTACCAGTCTGAATCACGATTCACACTCACCATGCTCATCCCGATCCGTCTCGGATCTCATTCCCACTGCGCACGTTCGTCCTATTCCTATTCCTGTTCCTCTGCTCTTTCACTGGCACCGTCTCCCGCTCTCTCCATCATCCCACACGGTCCCTATACCTATGTCGCAACCCCTGACGTGGCTGACAGTCGCGATCCTGAGGATCGCCGCCGATTGCCCATCCATTCCCACCACCCATCCACTCGCGTCATCATCGTCACCGTCGGTGGTATGTACTGTAACGGTAGATGTGCACTGTACGATCTGATCGTTGAATGCTGTTGTATTCATAGCATGAGATCTATATGGTTGGTTACATCGTGTGTGTGATGGGATTATTGTCGATGAATCTGTACATGTGGTAAGGGTACTGTATCTCTGCTCTTGGTCCCATACGCTGTCTGCATGCTGAGATTCTGGTCGGAGAATTCGCGCTCAGGCTGGCCTTCAAACGTCCGTGCAATCTCCGCCATCCATGCACCAGGCCGAGACATTCCCTGTAAATACTGTGTGTGGTAGATCGCGACAATGAGATGATGCAAGCACGGATGCTTGCAATTGCAACCATCTCTGGTAAGTACCGGTGGTATGATAGTCGGTTAGTACACGCGCCTGTCATATACTTCCGGGCCCCGGCGTCTATCATGGTAGCAGCCCGTGGCCTGCCAGTGCGCCGCGCCACAGTGATGTCATACATGCCCTTCCGTACATGTCTAGGTTCATCCTCCCTACCCTGAGTCGAACGTGTGCTTGTTGACCACGAACCACTATCATCTCTGTGCTGCTCCTCTTTGTTCCAAGACACTTGCAATGCCTCCGAGTCCGACGTCGACGCAGGTGTGGGACTTTCAGCAGAAAGTACTAAGTAATGGTACCGCCCACTGGCACGCAGGACCTTACCTCCGTAATATTCAGGCTCCAATTGCGCGCGTGACACCATCTGTGCGCGAGGGGAGAGGATATCGCAAGCTCCGGGACCATATCAAGCGAATGAACGACAATCCAGAGGCTCGCGAAGCCGAGCTGAAGCAACGCCTCGAAGGTCTCTCGAGTTCGCCGCCCCGACGCCGATCGCTACATCGCAACCATGCCTGCTGCCATCATCACTAGTGACTTAGAGAGAAAGTTTCCCGCCGGCGGCCCCCAGAGTGGAAGTGCGGATGAGCAAGACGGAGGGCAAATGACTAAGAAGGAGAAACTTGGTAGAAACCCTGATTCGTGAGTAGTCCTCTAGCTTCAACCAGGCTTGGCCACAACGTCGCTGGGTGATTTGCCGACTATATGCGCAGCAACCCGGTCATTGACAAGCCCGCGATCGTAGCGATGTTCAAGTCCCTCAAGGCCCTCTTCCACCTGATGAAAGACGTTGAGGAACGCCGCCTAAAAGACATCCAGAAGGAAATCGAATTGCTCAAGTTGAAGAGCAAGATGTGTAAGAGCAAGACGTGTAGCTGCGCCTGTCATATTGTCGAAACTGCTGGGCCGCGTGGCTGTAAGACTCCCTTTGCTGTGTCTGTGGGTTAATCGGAACGTCGCTTCCTCTGCAGCGGAAGACCTAGATGTCATGGAAGAATGAGGCGCTCTAGGGACTCTGTCCGCTGTTTGCTGCTCCTGTACGACTTGATCCACTGTTCTCTGGAGACTGTGTCCTGAATGTTGTGAAAACATGTGTATTGTACGTCCCCATTGAGGACCTGTGTAAAAGTGACCCCGCTGCGCTGCAGCCTGAATTGCAGAATGTTTTGACGCATACATCCAGGACTACACGACGCGCCGGAGCACGCGTGAAGCCGGGCTGTCGGCGCGCCCGTCTGCTCGCCGTTGGAGAGCGCGGCTAGTCATTGTCGCATAGCAGGCAGCGGGATCCCCTCCACGCCCGCTGTGGCCACAGACGGCGCGTGCAGCAGGTCGCGTACCCATACGGATCCGTATGGCAAGCTGCGGTACTCGAGAGCAATATTGCGCGTGGCGATCTGCTTTAAGTTGCAGTATAGTAGTACACGTTACGTGGTACTGCGCCAGCTGGCCACGAGTGCAAGTAGGACGGGTAGCACGCGCTGGCAGGCGCGCGCGAGAGGGTCGCGCCGAGCAGTGCAGCGCGACGGCCGCGCGGGATATGTATTACGCGGAACGAGATGCTGCTCACCGCGCGCGGGAGGCGGAGGCGTTGTGTGCACCAATGAGCAGCGGGGCGGGCGCGCCCGCCGCTGATAGCGTGCTGCCGATACGGATGTGTGGGCGAGTCGGACGCATAAGTAGTCGATGTTTTTGTCTCTGGCACATCGTGTTGTATCAATGCACAGGAGTAGCAGTCAATCCTTGGTTCTTCCACAAAACAAGTCGAGAGGATGGACAATTTGCTTGCAGACTGGAGTTGCTACTGGTAAGTACCATGCTGCAGAAACATTCCAAGACATAACCACATTTGAATACAGAGATGACTGCTGGTCCACTCGTCTGTCCCTGAGATCAAGCTTGCTTCGCCCTCGCGGCCGTCGTATGCATAGCATCTGCGACTGTCTTGTCAAGCATATGCTCAGGGAGGAGCCCCGTCACCCAATTGAGCATCGCATGCGGCATCCACGGCGCGTACTGTCTCCGCCCGCACCCTATCTTCGCGACAACCGCCTGCGCGAAGCGGTCCGCGGTGGGGCACACAAGCGACGCGGCGGCCTTGTGGCTGTTCGACTGCACCTCGCCGACGGTGATGCACGCGAAGCGCACGCCGGATGCGGCGTCCCAGAGCTGCTCGTCATTGTCGAGGCCGCGCGCGAGCGCGCGGAGGAACGCCTTCGAGGCGGCGTAGGCGACGAGCCGCGGGGGCGTGATGTCCGCGGTGACGGAGCCGACGAATTGAACGATGACGGGCCCGCGCTTGGCGGAGGTGCGCAGGGAGGGGAGGAGCGCGCGCGTGAGGAGGAGAGGGAACATGGCATTTTGGTGGACGATGCCGGCTAGGCTGGCGTCGGTGAAGCTGTCGATGCTGTTGTGCGCAAAGGTGTTAGCAACGAGGTACGCGGCGAGAACGATATGCGACACACCCGTCCTCGGCGATCCCTGAACCACCGACATTGTGTATGACGACCGTGATGTTGAGGTCGGCGAACGGCCCTACGAGCTTCGCAAAGTCGTGGCTCGGGTCAGACGCGTCCGCGATGAAGTAGCGGACGTCGCGGTTGCCCCGCGCGCGAATCTCGTCCGCGACCTTGCGGAGCTTCTCCTCATTACGACCGTGCAGTACGAGGTTGAAGCCATGTTCGTACAACTCGCGCGCCACGCCTTTCCCAATGCCGTCAGATGCCCCAGTCACAAGTGCGTACGGTGCAGGACCGTGGATGTAGCGGTGTACGCTGGATGGGCGGAGACAGTAGAACCACACGAAGTCGAGCAGCCGCCGGGTCTGGTACGCCGCGTACACTCCGCAGAACACTGTGAGTAGTCGTGGTGGGACAGGCAGCGAGTCGAAGACACCCTGGAATACGGCGGCCATGGTCGTGTGGGATGGAGACGAGGGTGGTCGTCGGATTCAGTTGGCAACTTGGCATGCATCGCGCTCGTGACGCACCATCACAGGGGCTCATCTGGGGACAGGTCGTGTGCTGCGATTACTGTACGTCGCAAGAGGCAAACGGAAGGAAGAGCGCATGGTCAAGTATGAAGGCAAATACCACTCGACAGCCCAGTGCAGTTGCAATGGATACACGAGGACTCCTAGCCCTGCCACGATAAATAAGCATCACGATATTGCGTCATCACCGTGACTTCGGTGGCAGGCCCTTGCGCTTGTACATCGAGATCGCATACTACCAGCGGCAGTCCTTCACAAGTCTATACTAGCATTACAGCATCGGACAATTGAGCGTATGTATGTACAACCACAGGCTCCCGACATGCGCTACATATCATATCCTCTTCTGATGGTCTTCATACACATTCCGGATTGCGCTCGCACCGAAACGATCCACCACACTCTCTGGTAATACCCCAACCACCCATTCCATGATCGCATGCACCATCCACGGCGCGTAGTGTCTCCGCCCGCACCCAAGCCTGTCCACGAGTGCTTTCCCAAAGCTTGCTGCGCTCGGCGCCGCCAGCGTTACGGTCAGGGGGTTACCGGCCGAGGACACAGACCCGACCGCGAGGTGCTCGAATTCCACATTCGACGAGGCGCCCCAAAGGTGCTCCTCGTTGTCGAGCCCCCGGACGAGGGTCGAGAGGAACGCCTTGGTGGCGGCGTAGACGGCGAGCGTGGGCGGTCCGAGAATCGCGGATTGCGATCCAACGAATTGCACGAGGACGGGCCCGCGCTGCGACGTCGAGCGCAGCTTGGGGAGGAGCGCGCGGGTGAGGAGTAGGGGGAAGAGATCGTTCCAGGTGACGAGCTCGACCAAGTCTGCCTCGCTGGACGCATCCATCCTGCACGAACATTGTCACCAAAGTGAACAATGGAAAGAGGCGTTCACTCACTTCTTTCCGTTCATATGCACACCGCCGACATTGTTAACGACCAGTGTGATGTTCAGGTCCATGAACGGCTGGAGCAGCTGGCTGAAGTCGTGCCCGCCTTTGGCTGCATCCGCAATGAAGTACTGGATGTCGCCACTCCCTTGTGCCTTGAGTTCCTCGATAACCCTCTTCACCTTCTCCTCATTACGACCGTGGATGATCAAATTGAAATCCCTAACGAAGAGCTCTCGCGCGGCGGCCTTGCCGATACCGTCTGTCGCTCCGGTTACGAGGACGTAGGGTGCAATACCATGCAGATACTTCTTCACGGACGAAGGTTTGAGGAGGTAGAACCAGAGGAAGCCCGAGAAGCGGAAAGCCTGTGCAGTGATGATAGTCGCACCGACGAGAAAGACTAGAGAGTACAACATTCGGGTGACTTCGACGAGACCGATAGACTAAGAGGTAGTCCCAAGAAGCTTCCCCGAGATCAAGTATGATTGTTGAGGGCATCAAGAAGCCTGCCGTTCAAGTTGTTCCGAAGTCCCAGCGAGATTGGTAAGGTGTAAAAGTCCGACCTCGGCGTTGACTGAGTGTGACAGAGCGGTCCAGATGCCAGTCTGTGCCAGTTGTCCAAAATACAGTTTCATACTATGATCGGACTACCTGAGATTGCGATCTGCGTAGGTCATGGAGCGCCGCAGCGGCGAGCGCGTTGCGGCGTTGGCGGTGACTTTGCCGAATGTGCGCCTCGAAGCCGACCAGTCAACGACTCGCCAGCGTCCTACGCACCTCATTATTCAGCCATGCCTCAGTGACCCGCACTAGACAATCTGCCTCACCGATTTCCGGCTTGGTGTTGCAGCTGACCAAGGAACTGCCTATGTACCGCACAGGCGGCGTCGACGGCTCTGAACAGTGAAGACGTCAGCACGCCCTCACCATCTGTGGTACTGTGCCCTGCCGAGGGGCGCGCTTGTGGCCGACTCCGAGTCGGAGTACCATGTCAAGACGCTGTCGTCGAGGCGGGAGGTACAGTGGGCCATGCAGGACATCCGAGTCCGGAAGTTCGATCCACCCTACTAGTACTATCTACAGTAGACACTTGTGGGGTTGCATGGCGAAGAGCCTGGTGTTCTTGGAGGAGCAGGATATGATGGTGGGCGTGCGCAACAGCATGCATCATTGACGGGGACCGGGGGACGTATCCTGACGCGGACTCGGACGGGCCGAGAGTCATCATGATATACGACCGCCCTCCTCCCCTCAAGAAGGTCGTGTTTAGAGTCTGCCTAGGGGAGACTAGGTCGAGAGGTGAAGGCAGTACTAGTCTTCCGACTCTTCGTAATCAGCGGCGCTGAGTAGTCCGAGCGCCTTGGATCACCCAGACTGACCGCCGTAAACTAACTCACCTAGCTTAGCCTAGTAGACACAACATAAGTCTCAAGTCTTATCGCAATATCGTGAACCACGGGCACAAGAAATGGGTGGCATGGATATGCACTTACTGGCCTGAAGGTACATGTTTTGAGTCAGCAGTGGCGATTGGGGCATCGGATGCTAGCTATAGGTACTTGGTAAGCTGTCCTATGATTTATGGTATAATAGCATAAAACCGGGCCATGCTAGTAACGTCATCTTCTGCCCCCAAATTTCTGCAATCACCGCATAGTCGCAAAGAATCACAGTAGTGTGCAAGTGTAAGCTGTCCAACTGAAACCATCGCAGTGTCTCCCGGGGACCTACATCGAGCAATATGTATTCTCAGTGCTCCTGTGTGACCCTACAGCCTCCCATCACATCATGCCTTCTTCGCTGACTTTTGTCGCCCCTCGTAGACCTTCTTCACCATCCACGCAGCAGACTGATCGACCAGCCCCTCGGGCAACACCCCAGCAGCCCAACCCATAATCGCATGCATCATCCACGGCGCATAACGTCTCCTGCCGCACCCGATCTTCCCCACCAACGCCCTTCCAAACTCCTCGGGGGCCGGCGCAGTCCTGCTGACGTTCTGCGGGTTGCTGTTCGTCGCGACAGACCCGACCGCGAGGTACTCGAACGCCACGCCGGACGGTGTACCCCAGAGCCGCTCGTCATTGTCCAGCCCACGCGTGAGCGCGGCGAGGAACGCCTTCGTGGCTGCGTAGACCGACATCGTGGGCGGGGAGGCCTCCGCCGCCTGCGAGCCGATAAATTGGACGAGGACGGGCCCGTCTTTGGCGGTGGTCCGTAGATTGGGGAGGAGAGCACGCGTGAGGAGCAGAGGGAAGAGATCATTCCAGGCGATGAACCCGGCCAGCTCTTCGTCACTGAATTCGTCAATTCTGCGAAATTAGCGGTTAGCATCGCAAGGTTGAGCGTGTCTATGTATGTACTCACCTCCCACCGGTCAGGGACGTTCCTCCAACATTATGGACCACGAGTGTGACGCTTAGGTCGGCGAACGGCTTCAGCAGCTGGGTGAAGTCATGTCCGCTCTTCGCGGCATCGGCAATGAAGTAGCGCACGTCGCCGCTACCCCGGGCTTTGAGCTCATCGACAACCCTTCGGACCTTCTCTTCGTTTCGTCCGTGGATGATCAGGTTGAATCCCTTTGCGAATAGCTCCTGGGCGACGGCCTTGCCAATGCCGTCGGATGCACCTGTTACGATGGCATAGGGCGCAGGCCTGCGCAGGTACTTCTGCACGGATGAAGACCTGAATAGGTAGAACCAGAGAAACTCCAAGAAGCGGAACGTCTGGTTGGCAACGACTATGGCGCCGACGAGGAATACCAGAGGAAACAGCATCTGGCGGACCTCTGCGTAAGTGATGAGAAGAACCAACTTAGGGAGCCCTCGAGGGGATACTGAACTTAGGGTGAGATGCGATGTGCCGAGGACTCGCACGCACGTCACGGTCGCGTCGCGACGGTTCTGAAGACTCAGCACGCCCTCAAGGCCACTTGGTCTCTAATTCATCATCATCATCACCACTTAGTCTCAAGCGGACTTCAAAAAACACGTACTGCAGCTACCGCTATATACCATACCGTCTGTTGGGTAGAGACGGAGGAGGTGTCCATTTACATAGCCACCGGCCGCAGGCGCACGCGCGATCCTTGGAGCTTGGAGGATAGGTTCGACACAAACCCCACACGTGAACGCTAGCGCCGCGTGGAGGTCTTGAATCGAGACTAAGTAGTTTGGAGGATGATGATGATCATCATTCACATATGTACACCCGCCCACACACAAACCCGACTGACCGCATCCATTGCGCCTCGTATCCCGTCATCTACTACATACAAACGACCATAGACTACGATTACACTTACCCGACAGGACTACCGGCTTGCAAGTGGCGCATTATAATGCCCACTATTGTACGCACCGGCAGTCGCCGCGTCTTAGCACGTTTTGTTTGCTTGTGGCGGTTAATAAATGCAGATTTCATCATCATCATCATCATCCCTTGCTCGGAGAGCAAGGCTCTCGCAGGTCGAAATGAACGCTACCCCTTTCGACCGTTGTTGTTCGTTGTTTGTATTTCTCGCCAAACCAGTCTTAGGGTGCCTTGTGTCGTCATCATCGTCCAACCTGACACCTCACGCGACCTGCGTCTCATCCTGCTCGTACTTAGCTGCGCCATGACTTGCTTGACTGAATGATTTCGGCCCGCCTCAGCAGTGGAGAGTCGGTCGAGCATCATGCAAAAATGCACAAGTGAACGTTTGATGTCCGTGCGTTCGACCCGCGAGAAAGTGGCCGCCGCGATGCCTCCTCTTACGTCGATCTGCCGCGGGGCAGCAGTTGAGTACTAGTGCGGGGGTGCGGATGCGCACGGGCAAGAGTTTCGGCTCCATATGATGCACGACCAATGTGAACGCATTCACAACAACGCAAGAAACGAAGAACGAAATTAAGACTCGTACGCTCCTGTCCGCTCACGCGAAACATCCGAGCAAGGCTGGCACGCCATCGCTGGCGGCATTTCGAGTTCACATATGTAGTGCGATTCTCGGAGGCGAGTCGGCGACTTGACGGTGACAGGTCTGGGGCGACCCCGTGACCAGACGCGTCGCGCGACGCGCGTGAAGCGCATACAGCGCGCCGCTGCGCGCGATTCCACTTCGGACGCACTCGCAATCGCTCGCGCCGCGGCCCAGGTGCGGGGAAGACAATGCCATTCGATATGCACATTATATCACCACTTAATGAGCTTAAGCAAGACCAGGTACGTCGTAATGTCATCCCGCGCAGCTACACCGCTTACATACCGTGGTGCCGGCACATTCCGATGGAGCGCAGCTTTTCAGTAGATACTAGAAATTGGATAGAAGGGCGACGACGCACACGTCCGGCATCGGCAGCATGTGTATACGATAAGTAGAAGACAGGTAGAAGACGCCAGAGGCAGACTTTTGCGATCAGGCACACAATCAAGATCGCCGGATCAGGCCCTGGCCCACGCCTGGCGAATCCAGACAGTTGCAGACAGTTGCGCACTCCGTCTTTACTGCAAACAGCCGCAAACGTATCCCCATCCACACCCTCGACTGCCCGTACATGGGGCACCGCCGCGACAGTCTCGGCACGCTCAAGTAAGCAGTAAGCAGGGGATAATACATCGTGAGGTCCGTGAAGAACATTGAACAAGCTAAGGCGGATTCACGGGCGACGGAGTAAACGGAGAAGCAGGCGTATATGATGGTGGCCTCGGGAGAGTCGGCATGAACGCACGTCTAAATAGCACATCCTCATCAGAGGCTAACAGAGACAGATCCATGGACACGTACCTGTTCAGCACAAGCCCTTTGAGTGCACGTATCTCTCGCTTCACTTCCTCTTCCATGCCCGGGCCTTGAGCTGGTTCGAAGGGTACACGGAAGATGTCATGCGTGCGCGTAACGATATAACCGGTGAGGTCCGTCAACGTGTTCAACGTATATTGAAAGCGATGAGATTCGTAGACGACGCGAGGGGGCAGGGAGGCTTTGAGTGCATGAAGCGACTGCATGAGCGGCGGTGTGGGTGGAGGGAGCGGGTGCGTATATGTCCATAGGGAGGCGTCTTCGGTCGCGTCTTCGTGGAATAGTGGGCTGCTTGTCAGAGTGTCCCATAGTTGCACCTAACGAACACGCTCAGTGTGTCGTCTCGGCAAGACAGAAGGCACTCGTGACGCACATGTCGCACCGACCCCTCCTCATCTCTCAGCCACGGAACCTTACCATCCAGGACAAGGAAGATAGCCTCAGCTGTCGCTGGCTTGGTCTCGGCTACGAGGTCTGCGAGCGCACAGCGTAGGAGGGTAACGTCAGGAACGTCTTGACTGCCCTCACTCGTCTGGATGACTTCGTCCAGGGTCTGGCATTCCTTGTAGTGGGCCTCGTCTACCAGGGCGGGTCGCGGAAGCACAGCGGCAGTTTCAGCTTGAGCGGCTTTGAGCGACTCCAACGAGCCAGCGAGTCTGCGAAGCAAATCCTTCTGGTGCGTATGCAGAGCGTGTCGCGCCTGGAACGTCTGCGCTATCCTGGGGTATAGGAAACGCTGACGAGAGGTCAGTGGTGTGTAGGGGCGAACGATGAACAGACGCACGAAGTATATGATCAGAAAAGCAGCAGAGCCGCCTGCTATCCAGCTAAAGATCCTAGCAATGCCGAGCAATAGTGCCGGTAGGTTGGATGGTGGTGGCTGTGGGTACGTCCGTGGAGGGACGAGCGGGGCTTGAGGAGGCTAAGACCGCACTGATCAGGTATGAATCCCGGCGAGTGACAAGGCATCATAGCGCACCATCTCTGTTAATAGCCTCTCTATCTGTTCGTCGTTGAGTCCCTTGTCTGCCAGGAATCTTCGTTTCGCAGAAAAGTCCTCATGTCGGACCTGGGGCGAATTGAGGAACGCGCGAGCCTTGTGAAGCAGCTCGACTCTGTCATTACTAGGAGTTGGAGGATTCAAATCCTGAATTTTGGGATGAGCGTCGTTGGTCGACACCGGTTCTGTTTGGTCAGCTTGAGCACTGCCAGATGTTGCTGGCGTGTCCGGAGGCTGGTCGACCATGGCTGCAGGCTGCAGAGGATGTTCGGGCATGCGTCGGCGATCTACACTAGGTCAAAGCACGTGAAATGCATGTTCGCAGTTATGGGCGCCTCCGGTGGTGTCCTGTCACACCTTCACTGCTACGGTCATCTCAGTCGATCCTCTCCCCTCTGTGCCCTGCCTCTGCTTCTTAGATCTGCAGGGGGGCGAGCTACTTCTGTGCTATACCCACCTTATATACGGCTTCAGCTTTGACGGAAGCTCATAATCTTCCCACATGTTCCCGAACTTGCTTCCCAATGCTCTGCAGTATCTCCTGGCATCCTTCCTGTGGTCGAAGGACAGCCCGTCGCATGCAACACCTCCGCCACTACGCTTTGAGCTGCGCCACATACACGCGCTAGCGAACTCGTCGCGAATCGTCTTCTCCGACGTACGCCTTGGGTCATCTAACTTCGCCGCGGAAGACTACGGAGTCAGCACCAAGCCCGTGGCCGTACACAGACCGGCCTCGCACGCTTCATTCTCGAGCGCACGATTCAGGGGCTTGACGAACATATCATGGGACGAGGTCGAAGTAGTGGGGCCGGACATACAGGATCGGGATACCTTGTTGACGTTGGCGAAGATGACGAACAATGCATACTCCGAGCCGACGGATAGCGAGTGGTACGACCTGGGACCGGACTGGATTAACGATGTACGTATGATGTACTTTTCGTGTCAGACCCTTCATTTACATATGGACAGACCTACCCATTTGGCTGGGAGCCAGATGCGGACGGATTCCGCGGGCACGTCTTTGCCACTCCGGACAACTCGACTGTCGTTATCTCTGTGAAGGGCACCTCTGCAGGCTGGCTCGTGGGCGGCGGCGGGCCTACCACCAAGAAGGATAAGGTGAACGATAACCTGCTGTTCTCGTGCTGCTGTGCGCGTGTAGGGCCCACGTGGTCGCCCGTCTGCGGATGCTACGAGGGCAGCTACAAGTGCGACCAGGGATGCCTGGAGAAGTCACTCGCTGAGGATAGCTTGTTTTACTCCGTCGGAACGGTGCGTGTGCCCAGTTTAATACTTGCGTCATTCGCTGATCAGGACGAAAGAATCTGTATTATAATGTAACCTACATGTATCCGAACTCCAATATTTGGCTAGTCGGTAAGTCACACCTCCAAGCCCCTGTAGGTGCACAGTCTTTGACACAAACATATACCAGGACACTCTCTTGGTGGCTCGCTCGCATCGCTCATCGGTGTCACCTTCGGTGCACCCGTCGTAGCTTTCGAAGCTCCCGGTGACAAGTTGGCTGCCCAGCGCCTTCATCTGCCATCACCTGTAAGTCTCCAGAATATTTTACTGTGACCACTCTTCTCATTATATCTGTAGCCTTCCGTTCAACACATCACGCATGTATATCACACGGCAGATCCCATAGCCATGGGTACTTGTAACGGTGTTGCCTCCTCGTGTGCCATCGCTGGCTACGCCATGGAGTCCAAGTACGGCTTCACCTATTTTACATGCGTTCCTGACAGCTGATTCACATCGTCTTACCAGGTGTCACCTCGGCAAGATCATCCGTTACGATACGGTGTCCCAGCTAGGTTGGAGCGTTGATATCCGTACCCACGGCATCAGGATGATTATAGAGAAGTTGCTCGTGTCTGACTGGGATGGAGGGGACGGCGACAACGGCACGCACAAAGCTGTTCCAGACTTGTTTCAGGAGGAGGATTGCGTTGTAAGTGTATCACTCGTCGATGTCTGTCGATGCACGCTCACTCACAGTCGACTTCAGGATTGTTTCAATTGGGAGTTTGGTGACTATCGTAATGTCTCGACGTCGTCGTGCGCATATAATGGACTATGACTTCACTGTATCATACTGGTGTTCTGGTGCGTTTAGTCTGACATCTTAGATGATATGATCCCCACCTATGGGCATGCACTGCGCTCAGCATGATTGTGATGTCACGATGTGAACCTCCGACTCACCTTGTGGTCCATCGGAGCAATTTTATGCTGAAATTCTACGTGAGCTTATGAAGAGCTCATCAGGGAAGATCCCCGCCCCCGTGACCGTGTCCTGATGATTATTGATGTCGATGGTGTTCGCTTCCGGAGTCGGGACACACGACCACGATGTCGACTTTTCCCCACGTCGCTTTACCCAGGCAACCATGCTCTCTGCCCTCGAAATCCTTGCAGTCATTGGCGTCGTCCTCCTCGTCCCCTTGCTCTACCGCCTCTGGAACTTCATTTGGCTCTACTTCCTCCGCCCGAGCACTGCTCACAAATACCTCCACGCTGCACCAACATACGCCCTCATCACAGGCGCATCGGACGGCATTGGCAAGGCCCTCGCGAAGGAGCTATACGACCAGGGCTTCAACCTGATCCTTCACGGGCGCAATGAGCAGAAGATTCGCAAGGTTGTGGAGGAGGTTCGCAGAAACGGCGCTCGCGATGTGCTCTACTTCCTCGCAGACGCCTCAGACGTGAATCATGATTTCGAGCGCATGATGGCGCCCTACATGAACCTTAACATCACGCTCGTCGTGCACAATGTAGGAAACCAGGGCTTCACCAAGGAGAGGTGCGTGCTTTTGTGTCCCGTACTCCAGGCAAACTTGAGACACCTAACGCCCTTGTATGTACATCAGAATCGATGGCTTCAGCAACGCAGACGTAGCGGGAATCGTCAACCGCAATGCGATCTTTCCTCTCCACCTCACCCACACCCTCCTGCCCCGACTCAGGCTCTCCGCCAAAACTGGACCCGTCTTAGTGCAATTCATGGGGTCTCTCGCAAGCGAGATTTCCCCGCCGCGGTTCGCCATCTACGGTGCCTCGAAGTCCTTCCTGAAGGCACTCGCCCGTGGTCTCGACACTGACGAGCAGGTATGGACGCCGACGGGTGTGCACTTTGAGTACCTCGTGACGGGCCAGGTGCAGTCCAATAGCATGCGCTTAACTGCATCGCTGGGTACCCCGACGTCGGAGACGTATGCGAAGGCTATTGTGGCGCGGATGGGCTGTGGGTGGAGGAAGTATTGTCCGTTTTGGGTGCATGCCGTCCAGCTATGGTTCTCGGAAGTCATGGGGGAGGGTATGCAAGATAAGTATGCGGCGGGGGCAATCCCGGAGTTGATTGCTTTGCACGAGAAGAAGGCTTGAGAGGGTGAGCAATCGATGATCTGTGTGTATTAGGCGTTGCTCCCATTAGGACTTGAATGATTGTATGAAAGATGCTCATCACATTTTCCGCAAGCTGTGCTATATAGAGAGCTTCATCCGCGCGATAAATCCTTCACCGCATGCGCCGCGGTACCCTGGCTGGGCGCAAAGGAAGAGGTGAATACAGTCCGGCCTTCCATGCAGGTATTTGTGTGCTCATCGATTATCTTAGCTGCAGCCGGGTGACTACGGGCTACCCCACAGCTAATAGACGTTTGAAGCTCAAAGTTAAGACGAGGTCATGACGTCCGCCCTGACAATTGTTCACAGTTCAGGATTGGTTCAGGGTCGTACTATTCGTGTGTGTAAGCCTTGATCACAGGCGGGTCGAACTTCAACTTGCCAGCTCTGTGTGATAATGCTGTAGATGATTGCATCGTCTTTGTAAGTATGATGACAGAATGGCCCCATCCTGTACTGCAAGGATTCGTAGGGTCATGCTCATTTAGACGCATTCTCAGAGTCGCTGCGGCGGATGCGGCTGGTCGGGATATCACGGAATGCGCTCACTGTCACTGTCAGCCATCATGGCTTCAACCTGATCCTGCACGGCCGCAATGAAGCGAAACTGCTCAAGGTCAAAAACGAGTTTCAAGGCTCGGCGCGGACTCGCAACGTGAAACTCATCGTACGCGGACGCCTCTAAAGCGGATCATGACTATGAGCGCGTGCTCGCGCTTTCAAGGATCTGAACATTACCGTGGTCCTCCATAATGTGGGCAGTTCGCAGTTGACCGAAGAGAAGTGCGTTTCAATGCTTCGCAGAAATTGGTTGGATCATTCTAAGTGTCGTTGCGCGCCAGGATCAATGGGCTGAGCAAAACAGAACTCATGAACATCATCAACCTCAACGCGATCTTTCCTCGCATGATCACCCACACCCTTTTGTCGCAGTTGCATCTGTCCTCGAGGACAGGGCCTGTGCTTGTGCAGTTCATGGGGTCTCAAGCGGGGGAGCTGTCGCCGGCCCGACTGGCTGTCTAAGCCGGGTCGAAAGCATTCATGAGGGCACTGGCTCGTGGGGTCGACACAGACGAGCGAGTGTGGGACACGCCCACGGACGTGCATTTCGCGTACCTGAACACGGCCCAGGTGCAGTCCAGCACGCCGCGCGTCCCATCGACGCTGGTCACGCCGACAGCGGAACGCTATGCGAAGGCGGTCGTGGCGAGGATGGGCTGTGGACGGAGACAGTACTGTCCGTATTGGATACACGCCGTTCAGGCGTGGTCCTAGGGGAGAGCATGGCGGACCAGTTCGCGGCGCAGTCGGTTGCGGACCTGATATATCAGGCCTTCCACGAGAAGCAGGATTAACTAGTTGCATCTCGGAGTGCTCTTGTTCAGCCACTGGTACGTGCAGAGCACACCGTTTGTCAGATACCGTGTGATATGCATATAACATGCAGAGTACTTGACTTCGCCATAAAAAGAATCCTACGTATACTGGACGTCACGGAGAGTTAAATTCCGTCATTGAATACGTTGACGCATCATGCAACGTTGCGTCTTCCTCGGATCGCCACAGGACCCAACAAACAATCTCGGATTGCCTCTGTGTTCTTCAGTTGGTCGACGGAACAGAAGAACTAGGGAAATACAAAGCGGGTGGGTACTAGTTCGCGCCTCGCGGGGTGGCAGTGGGAGGAGCGGCCGGGAGCGGCATCGATGCCGATCGGCTTGTTGAGATCCCGATGGGCTGCCGCCATTCAGACGCGTCTGTGGCTGAGCGCCAGCGCGTCCATCTCACCATCTGCCAGCACTATGCCAGCACAGCCGCCACCAGTAAATGGCAAGGCCCTGCACTACTGGACTCTTCGCAACACACGTGCGCAGCAACTATGGCCGTGGTGAGCCCGGAATCCAAACTTAGAGCTAGTTTGTATCGCGGCAGCTTTAATTGGCGTGCCTCTAGTTGATGCGGCGGCGAGCTGATCGCGGGCGCGGATGGGCCGCAGAGCCTTACGTCGTTTGCGTGAAGACTTCCATAACGTGGGGGAAACTCGGGCCTTGACCTTGACTAGGTATAAAGGAGCAGACGTCTCAATGATAGCCAAGAAAATCCTACACTACAATGGGGCTTCGCAAATTGCAAGCGCGACTTCTTTCGACATTCGTTCTTACCTCGCTCATTGTCTCGGGTCGTGCCTGCGATCATATTCCTACCCTTGAATGTTGGTTCTGTCGACATATTCTACCCTAATGACCACCCTAATGACCTCACCTCCAACGCGACCACCGGCGCATTGCTGATCAATACCCAGGCGACATATGCCGGTGCGCTGGTAGCCTGTGCTCGCTTGAGCGAGCAGGTTCTCCCGCAAAGCTCCTTAACTAATGCTTCGTATCCTAGTCTTCTCACATTACTTTACGAACGATCTCCTCTGAATGCATATTGGGTCAACGGCTCGGACTCTTCGGGCGGATGCATCGCATACGTCAAGCGCGCTCAAGGCTTTGCATCGGTGGACTGCAGTTCGGAACTGCCCATTCTATGCACCCAAACGGCGGCACCATTTACCATCGGTGCTGACGACCCGTCGCCTCCTGCGTCGTCCGTTCCAGATGCCTACAAGACGATAGTCTCCTCCGAAGATCTCACTATCACTGGGTACATTGTTCGTTTTTTTGTTGAGGTGTGCAACTACTGACAATCTGCTATTGTTAGGTTCCGCGACGCCCGCACATTCCGATTCTTGGGCATGTAAGTACTATCTGCTGTCCGCGCATCACGTTTCTAACATATTGGTTTGCATCATAGCCCGTACGCTGTGCCTCCTGTCGGCGCTCTTCGCTTCGAGCCCTCTCAAGCATACAATGGCTCGAATAATGTGTCCGCGCTGACTACCGGTGCCTCCTGCATGCAGCCCTACTTCGGCATAGTCGTGCCGGGACCTCGACAGTCCGAAGACTGCCTATTCTTGAACATATTTACGCCATCACTGCGTGCTGCTGACATCCCCACGAACAAAGGAGACGACGAAACTAGACCGGTCATTTTCTGGATTCATGTACGGCCCTCCTTTTAATACTGCACACCCTAGTTGACTAATGCAACCCTTAGGGAGGTGCCTACGTATCCGGAGCTGCCAGCCATCTTGGCTCCTACGACCGTCTTGGGTCCTTGGGTAGTCTCGCCTCCCCGTTTCTTCTTGTCGGCAACCAGACGCTCTCCGATCAGATTCTGGCCCTCGAGTGGGTACAGAAGTACATCTCTGCGTTCGGCGGAGACCCTACGCGCGTGACCATCATGGGCGAGAGCGCGGGTGCTGCCTCTGTCGGTGCGCTTATTTCCTCGCCCGCGGCGAAGGGCCTGTTCCACGCCGCGACTATGGAGTCTTTCCCGGTCGGTCTGCGCGTTCGTTCTACTCCGAGTGGATCACGCCCGTTCTCGCGGACCAGCTGAACTGCTCGATCACGGACGAGGCAAAGTATGTCAGCTGCCTGCGTGCTCTCCCCGAGTCCGCGTTTGCGACGGACGTGATCGTGTACTTCAGCCCGAACCAATCGGTCTACAATGGCCAGCCCCTGTCGGAAGAGGTCTGGCTCCCAAGTATCAACGCGACCATGCTTCTGGGCCAGCTGAACGACCTCTTGGATAACGGGACTTTGCCCAGCCCGGTGCCGATAATGATGGGGACGATGGAGGACGACGGCACGCTCTTCCTGTACGATGATGTGTCGAGCCCGTTTCCCGAGAGCGACTATGACAACTTGTTGTTCGAGGCATTCGGAGGAGATCTCGCCACCACCATCATCAACTCGACGCTAGTCAGTCATACTTCTCTTCGTGTATTCCCTCCGGACGAGCAGCTGATCGTTTTCGACCCAGTTCCCGCTCAACACCTCTGACCCGGACACTGTCCGTAATACAGTCTCCTACATCATCACGCTCTACACCTTCAAGTGTCCCACGCTACAGATCGCGCGCAAGCTCCCGAACACGACCTACCTCTTCGAGTTCCGACGCGGGCTCCCGCGTGAGGGCCTCCCCACAGTCTGCACGCCACAGTCGCCGGGGCGCCAGCAAGTCTGCCACGAGGAAGACCTGCCCTACGTCTTCGGCACCCCAAGCTTGCTCGGCCAGGCGTTCAATACCACCGCAGACCTGGACCTCGCGCAGCTGGTGGAGAGGAGCTGGAATGCGTTTGCGAGAACGCTGGATCCGAGCGCGGATAGCAACGAGTGGCCGGCGTTCAACGCGAGCGCAGAGGCGGCGCAGATTCTGGCGTGGCCGGCGTCGGTGGAGGTCTCGGGTGGGTTGAGTGAGATGCAGGAGCAGCAGTGCAAGGTGACCCGTTGAGCGCGTTTCGTTGTCAGTGCGATTGCTGAGGATGTGTCGGTATATTTAGGTCTTTGACAAGTTCGGCTATGTTTACCAGCACATCAATCCTCTAGAGCAGCAATTTGCTTGGCCCTGAGGCCGAGGTTCATGGCTACTCCAGTCACTCATCGAATTGTATCCTAGTGTCATCCCGCCTATTGCAGTCTAGTCTCCAAATTCACCGCCTGCGGTGATTGACAATCAGGTATTCATACTACTAGTGCTCGTCTCCCCTCCTCATGCTTGTATAGCCCTCGTCCCTTCGACCCAGACGCACCAGAAAGCCTATGTTTCTTCATCGCAGCCAGTGCTATTGACCGGACGTCCAGAACGGGAGACTTTCCTGGCCATTGGAACTGCTCCCTTTCCCCCAGACGCCTATGTACGTGTCCCACTTGTGCGCGTATGTCCCGCCATCGTCCCAGTGCTTCTGCCGCATCTGGCCGGCTTTCTGGGGAGGATTGGCACATCTGCTCGATGAGTGGGTCCAACAGGCTGACATTGCTGTATGTCTGATCGTATGCCCAGTCATGAGTTGAAGGTAGCTAGTCGATGTAGCGGCAAGCATCGCACCTGAGCGAACATACGATTGAAGGCGCACCCCAGGAGCCAGACATCCAACAAGAACGGGTTGTATTGCGTTCTCAGGCCCATATTGACCGCCACAAGTTCTGGTGGTGTCGCGCTGCGCCCGTGCCATGCGTAACTCCCAACGTCTAGCATAGCTGGTTTCGTGCGGTCGTACGGCTCAGGCATCCGCATGGCTGTGCTGAAGTTGATGATGTAGTAGCTGACCCGGGCGCGCCTACGCGACAAAGGACTCGTAGGCGTCACTGCATCGGGCAGACAGTCGTCCTGGACAGGGTGAAAACCTTGCGGGTAGAGTGGCGACGCGTCCAGCGCAAGGTCGCGCATTGTGATGGAGCGGTGAGCGATCCCTTTGGCATGGAGCGCAACGAGGTTCTGAAGTAGCCAGTGAGCTATAGCATATGGAATGTGCTAAAGAAAGAAGAGCCCACCTCCAGCAGCTGCTCTCCGCAGTCTAGGATATCGTCGACCGACTCGAATGGAGGACTGTCCGCACTCCGTAGGAAGGGCGTGACGATGAAGGCATCCTTGTGGTTGTCTTCACTCTCGAAGACGTCAATCACAGGCATTGTGTTTGTGGCATCGTCCCCAAGTAGCATCTTCGCGATTTGGTGCTCAGCACTCTTACTCTTGATGCACTTGATATGTACCAGTTTGCCGTCTGAGATGCGTTTCGCATCAATCGCGCCGCGGACGACATCACTCCTATACTGCTCGACACGGCGTGGTCAACATCTACACGAGGCAGCTCATGTGCGTTACGACATACCTTAGGCAAAGCCTTGGAGTCTTCAAAGTGAAACGGATTGGCGTACTCGCCCGCGAGTCGCCACGATGGCATCCAACCAGGGCGCAGCCGTGGGCGGAGCATATACCCGTGACACCTGAACATGAACTGGCGCAAGCTCCAGGTCTCCTCCTGCTCTGTGAGCTGAGAGCACATGTTGTCGAGTGCGAGCCAGTGCACCGCCTGATCAACGAGGACGGTGTCGAAGGCAACCTCGGGCTCGCGCACGTAGTGCAGTTTGCCGCCTGTGTGGAAGAGGCCAGAGAATGTATGGAGAGACTTGGCGGTGGAGAGGGTCATGGTGCGTTTGTGAAAGTTCCTTGAGGTGCTGATAGCTGGAGCAGTGAAGGCGATGAAGAGTGTACTCGCAAACTCTTGCGTATTTATGGATGTACGCTACGGACACGGATGTCGAGCATGAAGGTCATGCTCTACATCCGTGTCCGTAGCATACATCCGAGGATTGCGCCTCAGTGCGATAGCCGTGTCGGGACGGATGTTCGCGTTGGACTATTTCCTAATGCTCAGGCTGGGCCGCGGGTCTGCTGCTGACCTTTATTAAGTTACCTGGGTTGGCATTCGGCTCTGATTGTTCAGAGTCGGATGCCAATTTATAATGACTGAATGATGGCGAGTTCAGGAATCAGCCTGAGGTCAACCAAAGGTCATTTAAAACGGTGCACTCGAGTCGCGCGTCAATCCCGTGACCGCGTCTGTTCCGATCCCGATGATACCCGATCAGAGGGCATCCGGCAAGGCGCGGGCCTGAGGCCGAGGCCTGAATCGATTCAAGCATTTCTCGTTTGCTTCCGCTCCGCCGTGGTCTCGTGTGGACGCACCCCACCAGGCCCCACCACCGCTCCGGCACACGGATGGGTATGTACGAGACCACTCCGCTGCATAACTTAAATGATGCTATAAGAGGTACTGGGACTTATCACATTCTAACAGTAAATGTGTCTACACCAAATGATAGATAATAATGTCTTCACTCCAAGGAGTCACGGCGAGGATGATATTCAGTGGGTCGTCATTTTTGGGTTCCAGTACGCCTCCGCGTACTTATTGATATACGCAGCCGTAGGGAAGTCGACTGGATCGCATCCGACATTGATCGAGTCGCTTGGCTGGTATACCCGAATGTAGTCCACCCGGAGGTGAACCGGGAAGGGTATGTTCGCGAGGTCCACTTGAGTGAAGCTGTAGGACATCCCGAGGTTCATGATGAGATACTGCGGTTTGACGTGAGATGGATTCAGTGGTGGGCTATGCGATCTCGCGGGATACTCACCATGGGCTCCTGCGGTACCGGACGTTGGGAAATATTCACCCCCGGGTCCGCATTCATGCCTGCGACGTTGAGCGTCCAAGACGCCTGGTTGTTCAATATCCACGTCATATACTATGCCAGCGACGTCAGTTCTCTCCATTTCCTGAGCATCACTAACAAAAGATGACTCGAGCTTACCGCACTGTCGAAGCCGGGTTTGTACTCTACGCCATAGATCGAGAAACACCCTGTCTCGTATTCATAGCAATTCTGGTCGGCCTCTGAGAGTACGCTCGTCGCCTGCTGAATGACACTGCCGGTGTAATTGTTGAAGTATGAGACTGATGCGTTGTAAATAATTTCATTTGCGCTTGTGTTGTACCACTCGTATCCTGCATTGAAGGGCTATGTCCAGCGAATCCCCGAATTAGCCTGACATCTTCCGGGACATATAAGCCAAAGCATACTCACTGCCCATTGTCCACTCTGACTGATCTGCCCTACAGGCGAGCTTCCACTTATGAGTGCTTCTAGGATGTCAATTTCCGGCGCCGAACGCCCAATGAACGTTCCGTCTCTGTGCTTTGGGCCCGGATGACTCTCGTCCGGACATGTACACCGTGACAGACGTTGACCAGACAGATACGACAGCACGCCACCGTATTTAGAGGGCCCAGTTGTCGTGGCTGCGACGGGCTGGCCGTTGACGGACTGATTCGCGACCGTACCCACGTCGCAGGAGTCGTACGTATATGGCCACTATTGCGGAGGATCATGAGTGAGGTATCATCGGTAGGGGACAAATGAACCCACCAAGCCATCGAGGCTTGCGCCATACCCTGCTCTGCCGAGATTCCCGACTGACCAGATCGCAGGCCAGAGCCCAACAACGTTGTTCAAGCCGGGCAGGCTCACGTTCGCTTCCACGTAGCCGCCCGTGAAACAAAACTTGTTCCACGTAGTCATCATTCCGCCAGTGTAGTTCAGACCATTCATCTCCTTCTGCTCCAGCGTGATGACCAAGCTCCCGTTCGCCGTCTGGATTGCGCTGGGGTGACACCACTCGAGGTTTTCGGTTTCCCAGTACCACAGGTTCACCGCCTCCCAGTACGGATCGTCGCCCGGCCAAAACGTGCGCCCGGGTGTGTTGAATTCGTCCGAGAACACGAGTGTCATCTCCGTCTTGCCGTTGTACCACGACGTCTTATAGTACGCGCTCTCTGGAGTATCCCGGTCGATGAGTCCGTAGTTGCCGGGGATGACGGGTACCTGTCCCGACGCATTCGTGCCTCCGATACCATATACACCGAGATGGCCCAAGCGTGCACTACGGTAGTAGGAGATGATCGGGGAGCCTACGCTGTTTGAAAATGCATCAGTATGCCAGTGGCACTCCGGTAATATCAATACGTAGCAAGCTTACAATAGAGCCAGTAATGCGCTTACAACGACGATGAGAAACCCGCCGTTCACGAGGGCACGCCTTGTCAACGTCAATTCGCCGTGAGGAATTTGAGATGGCTTGTCGAGCACGTCTGGCTTGTGGAAATCGTCGTCGACCTCCTCGTCATCTGGCGAAACGCATACGCCCCATTGGCCAGGTTCCTGTTGAGAGAGGCAACTACGATGATGGTCAGTCCAATGATTCGTGATGCAGCCATCTAGTTTCGGATCCCGCAGAACAGCGACATTGGTCTTGTCACAGTCCACCGAGGCATTAGCCTATGATCAAATACGCTCTATGGCTCATGCCATGGTAATTGTGAGAGCGCAGACGCGCGCACTGTTTTCAGTGAGTAAGAACAGCACTCCACGGGTACGAACATTCATATATGCAATATGAAGTCAATGCATATGCTGAGCAATCCGACGGAGACGAGGCGTTGTGACATAGGACGAACACCTACATCACTACCCAGGGATGAGAGCAGTGACCGCCGGCTGGTACTTGAAGTGAAGTACGGGGAGTCAAACTGAACGTGTCGCACATGTTAGTGAGAGATATACTCGGGGACCTGTGAAACAGATACTCACGCCTGAGGAGGATGTAGGTAGGGTGGAAGGTGTGCTGGTGAAACTCGAGAGCCTGGTGTTCGCGAGGCTGGGGAAGACAGTGGATAGCGTGCATCTTCGGGGTTGTCCGTGACAGACATGACGAGGGCACATCACAAGTCCGGTTCTACGAGAAGCACAGGACCGGGAGCCAAGCCGTAGCAACAGAGAGCAGCAGTCGGACATGGCCTGGAAGTCAAGACAGATATAAATCGCGGCCACTTGACGCCTTGCACAGATCCTGAATGCGTGCGACACACGCTTGTAGGAGGTACGAACGACAACGGCCGTGCGTTGTACTCCGAAGTCGAATCCTAGCTTCTCGGTCGTGATCGCACCGCAGTGATCGTGCCCGGGCCGACTTATGACGGTGCGGCCGCGCAGGATGGTAGTGCGGCCGTGCAGGAGACGGAGTGAGACTTCAGGTCCATCTAACCGACGTATACATTGATGGATAGACCAGGAATGTTGACGGAGGCTGCGCCGCGCCGGCCCAGTCTGTTGTACCCAGGGCGCCCCAGTAGTAATGCACGCTTGAAGCCGTTAGATATCAACTCGGTCCAAGCACCGGATTCATGGTGTACGAGCATGAGGTCATTGCGCTGGACCTATGCGTGAGAATGGTGAGTAGGGCGTCAACCTTCACAGGAATCATCGAAGGAATCCCAACATACAAGCAAAGCAGCATTGTCGAGAACAATGGTAGAAACAGGCAGGACGGAGTTGATATGTCAGGGGACGGGGGCACAGTGTCTCCCGAACGCATCTAAAGGCGCTGACATCACTTTGCTGAACTGCTCAAGCCCAGCGTTGATACGCCTCCCCTTCATTATTCTGTCATCCCCGTCAGCCTCTCATACCTCGCTTCAGGCTATAGTATTAGGCATGGTAGGACGTACCGACGCGTAGATGGGAATGGCGACAGCCGGGCAGCGGCCTGGTGTGGGAGCGCAGTCATGTTGTGTCGTTCAGAACAGTGCGTTCAGTGCGTGATGATCTGCCGCGGACTCGTTGGCTTACCACTCTCAAACTCCCGCGAATGATCACCGTATATGATGAGCACCCGCCGGTACGCACTGACAGTGCATACCAGGTGCATACAGTCACTTTCGCTCCGCTCCCGTGTCTGGAATATGCCTCCAAGTCGGCCCGAAGGCGGACAGCTGTCATTGACGTCGATGCTGGTGGCAACTTGAAGCTTGAAGCTTGAAGCTGGAAGGCCCGAGTTGGCACATCTGTGTCGTACATCCCCGACGAACTGCAACTACGTAGCGCGAATAGCATCCTGGTTGTTACTTGATCCTTATCTGCGCCGTGGTCACTATCGCACAAGGTCCGTCAGCTCTCAGAAGCGCAAGAGAGTACAACCAATGGGCGTACGTTCGTTAGCAGAGCGCCAGACCAATGCCGACTCGCGCATAACGACCCTCCTCAGACGACCCACCGACGCCCCGTTCCTCCCAGCATATAAAAGCAGCCCCGCCTCTCCGCTATCTCTCAGTCCTCGACTACACCACACACCAACACACTACCATGTCTGTGAGTAGCGTCCCGAGTCTCCCGCAGCGCGAGAGAGCACGCACATGGCTGACACGGCGGCACGTTCGTTGTACCTTAGGAGAAAGCTTCCTGCGCAAACGTCCAGGCCAACGGCGGCTCTTGCACCTACCCCGCGTGCGGCTGCGCCGAGCCCCCGAAGAGCAAGTAAAGCTCGCCCGCCCCGCGTGCTCTACAGGTGTGTCCTGCTCAACTCTGTAGACCATTGGGGACGCTGACACGGCTGCTTCGAACAGCATGAGAACCTCGGAGCGAGGAGTTCGGGGTTGTTTGTAGACGCGTTTGACGAATAGCATTTGTTCGGAGCTGATCTGACTGTGCTGGCCTGTCCTGTTGAATGCGCGTCGAGCCCGTACTGAATGGCGACGGAGCTTATGTGAGAACGCGTACTGAGAAGAGTGTAACGAATCACATACTGACACGGTCTCCCCCGATGGATGCGGAAAACGCGCAGCGGTTGGCGCGCCGGTAAGGTTTACGTGAGGAGAAGATGGCACCTTGAAAGGGGAAGTGAGTCGGGAGTGGTTGTTCTGGCTGCTATGGCAGTGCTGATTCGCATTGCGCTTTGGTATCAGCCAGTGTGATGTATGCTCCGAGTCGATACTCAAGCTGCGAGGTGGTGAAATCTGATTCCAGGATACTAGAGTGTGCTGTGGGCGATAGTGTATCCAGACCGAGCGGCACGATCCAGGCGCAGGTCTTCATAGTTCATATATCGAGCACGTGGCATATCGAAGACGACAGTTCAATTGCCGGTTGACCGTAGTACGGCGACATCCCTTCGTGTTCCAGAACGAGGCTTCGAGCTCATTTAAGCTGCGCACATACTGCGACAATAACGTTCCTGAGTCACTGCAAGTCGGATCAAGAACACTTACTAACAGGCTAGTGCACCCGGTGCCTTGGTGTCCAGCGGAGTCATCGCGGTGACCACGAGAACTGCTTCCTTTGCAGCGCAGACAGCCTACTCCGAGTCGCCAGCGGAGCCCCAGTGTTGAGGCATCCTGTGAAAGGACTCAGTGTTTTGGTATCATCCGTTACTGGTAGATCAGGCCGAGATACGGTTGACAAGGAAGATCAGCCACGAGGTGGTCGCTGCCTCCACCTCCGAAGCTTCGCTGCGCACGAATAAGGTCCGGACCAACCCTACACAGCGGAGATGTCACGGAAACGTACCTGTGTACTCCTGACGCAGTTCCAGCCGTTCTCAACTAAAGCATCGATCACTATTGGGTGTATGCTGCCCCAATGAGAGCCGGAGCATAACGAGCGCCACGAGGATGTCGCGGTGCATCCTCTGTAGATGCCGTGATACGTCGCGGTATATAATGCCTAGAGACATCGCAGGTTAGTCGTCAGTCCTCGACTACACAAGCCACTTACCCCTCGACCCTCCACAACCCTCGCAAATTACAATGTCTGTGAGTATAGCGCCGCGGTTGTCTGTGAAGCAGGGCGGATACTGAGCGGGCCCGACTGCAGGAAAAGGCCACCTGCGCGAACGTCCAGGCCAACGGCGGCTCCTGCACCTACCCCGCGTGCGGCTGCGCTGAGCCACCAAAGAGCAAGTAGGTGCATAATTGCTCGCTCTGCAGGTACGTGCCTAGCTACATCCGCGAAGTCTGCGGTATGCTGATGAGGGTTTGAGAAACAGCATGGTGCCGGCAATATCGGTTGGGCGGTGACAGGATGAGGCAGACTCAGTTCCGAGTCGTCGGTTGAGTTTGGGTGTTGTAGAGACATAGACGGAATGCATCTGAAAGTTGAAACCGAACTCACTGCCTGCGTGATGAGACCTCGTTGAAAGCACCGTACCATGGATGCAGAGAACAGCGTGGTATGGTTGTCGCTCTGTCCAGACCTAGGTCTCGCTATCGCGGGGTTGCGATTTCGTCAAAGTTGAAGAGACGTCCGAGAGTCCCGAGACCCCGATTTCCTTGAAGTAATACCAGTTCATGAAGTTGCCCTAGCGTATCGTCTCTCGTTGAGACTTAGCATGCGTTGACTAGCTCTGTATGCTATGATAGACCTCGCCGGATTTGACTCGTAGCCTTGACTGAAGGCCCTGCAGCGCGCGAACTCTGGGAGGATCGGGTGTGGCGCCAGACCGGGGATAGCGGCGGCGGTCCAGACCGTGGGCGGGCGCCTAAGCTGGATCTCCGCAGCAGATCGTCCTTCCGAAAAGGGGAGGTTCGCCAGTGGACGTCATCGAAGGCGGGATGGCCTCCTGCTCCACTCCGAACCCTTCTGCTCCAAAATGCGCGTCTCACGCCCACACGGGGCGGCGTCGCGATGGCGGTCTCCAGCCGTCGGGACGCCGGCGAGCGCGGTCGCGAGGGCACCGCTGACGGGGAGACAGACGGAGGACAGAGGCACAGAAGGCTCTCGCGACGCGTCGACGGCAGATGAATTGACGTCACACATTTCTACGCTTCCGGAAGCTGTCTGCGAGCAGGGTGCCTATCAGCCACACCGAGGGTCTGTCCTGCTCGCCTCGGTGTTGCTTCAAGACCGTTCCCAGCCACACTCGTCTCACCTTCCGCCCTCTTCCTCTCCCTCCCCCTCCCTCTCCTCCCTCTCCCGGCCTGGCTCGACCAGCAGGCAGCCATGTCCATCTCAGAACTGCGTCGCGGCACAGGCGACCGCTATCGTCCCATTGCCTCTCTTCCCAGTGCCGCAGGCAGCAGGCTCCAGAGTTTCGTTAGCGTCACCAGCAGCCCATCCTCATCAGGAGTGAGTCACACGCAAACATATGCTGCCTGTGTACTTATTACGCGTCCAGCTCGAGTCTCCCTACTTCAGTCACAGTCGGCCATTATCTCTCGCGTCCCTCGCTCGTGATGTGAGTACTATGTCGCGTCTCGAGACTTCGCTTTCCCGTCCCATGGAATTGCCTTGTGCGCGTTACGAGCGAGCAAGTGGTCGTCGTCGTAGGATGCTCGGTGACATCGAGCCCGCGGTCTCGATGTCTCTGCATGCATGCACTCAAGACATGCTGTGCACGTTTCACATCTCAAAATCACTTCGTTTTCGTACTCTTATGGACCATGAGTGGGACACGACCCTCGGGTGACTACCGCCTCACTCGATGTCGCGCCCCCCATGTCCGCACCGCGAGACGCCCTTGCAGCTCTTTGCGGCTATTTTCGACTTCTTACCACGAGCCCGGGATTCTTCACTCTCGTGACGGTCATATTAGTGCCACTGAATGCCCGCAGCACGAACCTTACTTACCCCTGCCGCAGTTCCCTCTCTCAGCAGATCCAGACCAATGGGGCGCGAACGTCTCACCCGATAACAAGGAAGCCGACGACGACCTCCACCAACCAGACCCCCGTGACAAACCTCGGAGAATAGAACGCGAAGGCCCCATCTTCACATGGCGCGGCTTCGTGAACGTCGGCTTCCTCGTTCTGGTCGTCGGCGCGTTGCTCACCCTCTTGTGAGTTCCGTCGCTATTTCCACCCGCGCGCCCCGTCGGCGATCATCTCCGCTAATGCACGTCCGTCTAGCGCTGGATACCCGATCATTACCCACTTCCGCGACATCCGCATGGGCACCCTCGGCGGGTACAACCTCGGCGGAACGAACGCGTCGGGGCAGGTGCCCACCCTGCCGGGAAACCACGGGCTCATCGACGAGGACACGCCGACGAGCGCGTACCACACGCTGTCGCGGTACGACGGCAAGACGGAGATGACGCTCGTGTTCTCGGACGAGTTCAACACGCCCGGGCGCACGTTCTGGCCGGGCGACGACCCGTACTGGGAGGCGGTCAACCTGCACTACTGGGAGACGAACAACCTCGAGTGGTACCACCCGAACGCGATCCGGACCGCGGACGGCAGTCTGGAGATTACGCTCGAGGAGAAGGCGATCAATAACTTGAACTACCAGGGCGGGATGATCAGCTCGTGGAACAAGTTTTGCTTCACGGGCGGGTATTTCGAGGCGAATGTGAGCCTGCCCGGCTTGAACAACGTCGCGGGGCTCTGGCCGGCCATCTGGACGATGGGCAACCTCGGCAGGGCGGGCTATGGCGCGAGTCTCGATGGCTTGGTACGTACGAGCAAGTCTTGCTTGCCTTGCGCCACTCATCTGTTCTCTTGTATAGTGGCCGTACTCGTACGATTCATGCGACGTCGGTACGGTCGCGAACCAGACCGTCGACGGCAAGCCCATCGCGGCGACGGAGAACGGCGACGCGAGCTACGGGGGTGTGCTTTCGTACCTTCCTGGGCAGCGCCTGTCGAGATGTACGTGCTCGGGCGAGAGCCACCCGGGGCCGAAGCACAGCGACGGGACGTTCGTCGGGCGCGCGGCGCCGGAGATCGACATGTTGGAGGCGCAGGTTGGGGGGACGCCCGCGGTGGGGCAGGTCAGCCAGAGTGCGCAGTGGGCGGTGAGTGCGATGTGCTGCTTGTTCAGTGTGATGGGAGTCTGATGGGCGACGGGCGTACGAAGCCGTTCAACGCGGGATACGAGTGGTTCAACACGAGCGCGAACGAGGTCGTTTATGACACGGCGATCTCGTACCAGAACACGTACACGGGCGGCGTCCTCCAGCAGGCGACGAGCGTCGTGACGGAGACGGATCAGGACTGCTACGAGTACGAGACGGGGTGCTACTCGATCTATGGGGTGGAGTACAAGCCTGGGTTTGACGACGCGGTGAGTGGTGGTGCCGCGCAATTGCGTACGGGTGACGGGAGCTGACGGTTTGGTCACAGTACATAACGTGGATGTCGGATAACAAGCAGGCTTGGACGCTCACCGTCGCTGGCCTCGCGGCGGACTCGAGAGTCGACATCTCCTCACGACCGGTATCACAAGAGCCCATGGTACGTGCCCCTCCTCCCTCCCCCGCACACGCTCACCCCGCGCGCAGTACCTGATCATGAACCTCGGGATGTCGCACAACTTCGGGGACGTCGACCTCGCGGCGATCCCGTTCCCGGTGCACCTGCGCGTGGACTACATCCGGGTGTACCAGCCGAGCGACGCGATCAACATCGGGTGCGACCCGGACGACTTCCCGACCGCGGCGTATATCGCCAGGTATGCGGAGGCGTATGCGAACCCGAACCTGACGACGTGGAAGGACGACTATGCGCAGGAGTGGCCGAAGAACTCGTTTTTGGGCGAGTGTTGAGCGTGCGGGTGCGCGCTGCTCGTGTGCATTGGGAACATCTGCTATGCCCCACGCTCTCTCACTGCGACTGCGACGAGTCCGACGATGCTTCCGATGTCCCGCTTCAGCTGTTCGTGCCTATATGACGAAAATACGCGTGCGCGAAGCGATATCCCTGCCCTGCCCCGATGACCCCCTCTGCCATGATGACCCCAGAAAGCACGGCCCCGTCCGCCCACCACCAGCCACGTCTACCAGCTCTACCGACTACGAGTTCCCTCTCTCGCCTCGTCCCTGCCTTGTATGTGTCCTATCCCTCGCGCCACGCGCGGACCGAATCGTGATCGCCCCGCTTGTATACCACCACCACCTTCATCGTCGCCGACAGGATCGACCATCCACATTTACTACTAGCACTACACATCTCCCCTACCCCCGTACGAAGCCGTAATTTACATGCAGCGCGCGGACTCAGTAGCTTCGTCGGACTCGCTCATTCATTCATTCCACCGTCCATTGTTCCGACTCGGACTCGACTCGAACTCGGACTCTTCTCGCATGTCGCATGTGGTCGTCGCCATTGACAGTGTACGTAGTGTAGCCTGTAGCAGTGAATGTGAGTAGATAAGAGGAGCCTCCTCCGGTGGCGTGGTTGGTTGGTTGGTTGGGGGATGGATGGATGGGATAGGGTGAGTGGGCTTGTTCGGCTGGTTGACTGACCGGTGTGCGAGTCTAGAATGCGTCGGAGAGTGGAGTACGGGCATGGGATGGTTCCGTTGCTGGTCGATCTTCCTACAGGCACTTGGGCCTGGTTCATTATAGGCGGGCCCTGTCAAGCTGTCGACGTCAAGGTACAGGTACAAGTCCGCATGCCCGGGCCCGTCGATAGCTTCAATGGGCGCCAGCGCTAGGTACGTATACGACGTCGGTGAAGACGATTCGCGGAGGCATTCGCGGTCCCCGACAAATGGACGTCTGCCAACCCACGTCGACGTCCGCGGAAGCTGATCGGCACCGCGCCTTGCTGCGCTCCGAGCCTTGTACGATTTGTCTCAGAGCTGTTCACCGCTGGCAGAGGCACGACGTTTGTATGCGGTGCCGCGCCGGGGTGCCTGCTCTCAGACGCTAGATTGGTTGGGGAGTGGATGTTCGATGCTTGGACTGAATAGATAAAGCGGAACGTTCATCCAGCGAACGACATTTTATCCTCTACGCTTCAGAAGGACGCAGAGTGATTTGAACTGTGAGTCGTGCGGTGTCGGTCGGTGTATGATATGCTCACTGATCTTGTCCTAGGAGCATTCATCTCTCTGCGACGCGGAGCGAGTGTTATTGCTGAACCTACCTCATCCCAACATCGGTGCGACGCCTTCAATGCATGTCAGATCGTCTGTTTGCTTACATCGAGACTTCGCAAACGTGGTAGACCATGCCTACCGACGCTTTTGTGGTCTTCACGAACGACTGGCCTCATGACATCACCGTCACGACGGACGAGAACAAGCGCATGGGCGACACCTTCCCCAGTCCTACCGCCGTCCATGCCCACGAGATGGCGCACGCCTACATCAGCGCATCGTGGTGGCCAGGACAGTCGTCGTTCAGGATCATCTTCGGCGAGCGCAGCATCGTGTCGGTCCTGATCGGCCAGGGCCTATACAAGACGGGAGTCGACAGCATCGTTGGCCCGAACACGTACGAGGCCGGAGTTGTTCTCGCCCCGAGGAAGCCGATGTCCAACGGGACGTGCTACAAGTTCTTCTTCTTTTCGGGCCCTAGTATCCTTCCTCCCCTGATCAACAGTGTCATTGAAGCCAACCTCGAGGCGGTGAAGAATTACATCGAGAAGAAGCACGTCACGAAGGCGTTCGGCAACTTCATCCTGACCCTCAGCCGGCTGCAGGTGGACGAACTCGTCTGCACGTACGGGACGATGACTCCCGCGGGCGACCGTCGCTTCAGGGTGAACGTCATTTTGCACTTCACTGGGACCGTCGATGGGACCTTTTCTTGGAAGACGCTCAAGGTCCAAGACTTCAGCTTCTCGACGAAGAAGATGGTCATCCTCTTCCAGGCGACCTTGGACTTCAGTGACCTGTCGAAACCGTCGCTGGTGCTCGATACGCTGCAGGTCTCCATGATGGAATGGAGTCTGTCCGATCGTGCTAAAGCAGGGCTGAGCGCGATCCTCGGGGATATACTCGTCCTTCCTGTGAAAGGCATCTGGGACATCCTAACCACCGCGTACCGGACAGCGGGATTCATCAACACGACCTTCAACGAACGCATCCTGAATGCACTCAACGACACATTCAAGGACGTCATGGCGTCTTCTAAGTTCCCAGCTCCCTTCCCGGTTTCGTCGAATCTGAAGCCGGGTCCTCCTGTTGACTACAGTACGTGGATGTCGGGCGACACCATGCAGGCGAAGACGCTGGACCAGATCATGCTACCTGCAACGCATGATAGCCAGGCGTACACTCTGAGCGACGATCTCTCTCAGTAAAGGTACGGGGACATTGCGTTCCTCTGGAATCTCGATCCAGGCTACGCGCCGCTCAGCGTCGATGTCGCGCCCTGGGCCTCGGAGAAAAAGTATCTCGGCTTCACCCTGTACTCGTACGTGATCTATCGCGTGCGGTATGTCGCGCTCGCACAGCCCGGCGAGCTCCGCCAGCAGCTGAAAGACGGTATCCGTCACTTCGACTTGCGCATCTACCACGACACCCGCGACGGCGAGTTTTACAGCCAGCACGGTCTGCGCGGACCGAAGTTTGCGGAGTTATTGCAAAGCGTCAAGGCCTTCTGCGACGAACACTCGCAGTCGCACGAGCTCATCTTCCTCCGCCTCTCCCACACTGACTTCCCAGATTCCACGCATCCGACCGCCGTCGCTACCATGGTCTCCGACATCCTCGGAGAATATGCCCACGTCCCTCCAAGCGCGGAGAGCTCCAAGCCATTCGATTTCGACCGTTTCGTCGGCACCCGCCTTGGCGAGATCACCGCTGTCGGACCGAGGATCCTCGTGCTCAACGACGATGGATGCATGTATCCGAACCCAGTGCTGAATGCTGGCGGTTTCAAGGACCAGAATACGTACTACAACACGGAGACCCCCGGGGCGATGGACATCGTCTTGAATATCTTGCAGGCGCTCACTGGCGACGAGCAGTTACTGCTGAAGCAGATCTCGGTGCCCAAGAACGAGCAAACTGCCAAGCTCATTGTGGACCACAGCAGTGTCAATGTGTTTGGGATGGACTGGTATAATTCCTTCGGAAGTGCAGGAAAGTGCCCTGTCGAGCTCATCGTGGAACACAACGGCGTAGCGAAGGCGAGTGCGTCTTTGCGGCGCCTAACATGACACTGAACGCGTCTCTCCTCAGCCGTTGGTCGCAAATACGACTAGCTTGACTGCTTCCGAGGTATCTGATGCCTGGCAGCCCGAAGCTTCCAATGCGTTGGAGGCGGAGATCCCCGCCTGGGACGCTAACATTTACACGCAGCAAGGATCCATGGTCAAAGATCTGGTTGGTCACTAAACTATCGGCAAGTTCCCGTGCTGACACAACGACATATCGTAGGCCAACATCGTCAAAACGGTCCCAGGTGATACCTACGTGATACACAGTGCAGACACGTACAACTACTTGATGTTCGACGCACGACTCAATGCCGTGACTTGTTTGACGGAGGCAGACCATCCTACGCGCGTACGTCTATGCTCCGTCGACCACATGTTCATTGCTGATTGGACGACTCGTCCAGTGGACCGCGACAGAGATAGACGATGAAAAGTGGACGTTAAGAACAGACAACGGTCTGTTTTTGGTGGCTTCCTCGCAGAATGCAGAAGACATGCAGCTCTTAGTCGACCACGAAGCATCCGTCTGGGAGCTCGAATTAGACGAGGAGAACGTCAGGCACGTGTTGCACATATCTCACTGTGGGCAAGGCAAGCTAATATGGGCTTGGTTGCAGATTACGGACTCCAGGGACCGATCTCGTCGTTACACATGCCGGACATGCGGAGGGGATTGTAGTCACCCTCACTAGTAGGACGATTGGGCTGGCGCAATTGTGGTGCTTCACCAATGTCGCTGAATGAGTAACACTATGTTGATGCGACTTCAGTACTCAATACTCAGTATGCAGCGACATGTACTCATAATGTGGATCTAAAACACTTAGCGTCGCAGCCATGATCACCTTCTCGGAGTTAACACTTTTTGTGACACCCGTGGTCGTCAATATGCTTCCTACTATTGAGACCAGAGTAACGGGGGACAAGGGCGGCCCTAAATCATTTACCGAACACATCTCACACATTACCAGATCATAAAAGAATGGGAGGTCGGGGTCGATGTGGCGCGAAAAAGCCACGAGAAAGCCACATGGAGCGCACGTTGGCCGCGTGGCAAACCATGTGCGCCCAATCCTTACCACTCTAACGGGCCCGGCGCCTTCCGCTTCCCCGGCGCTTGCGCGGTCCCTGCCCGACGCGTCCCCGACGCGCGCGAAAGGAGCGGCGGGACCTTGAACGGGAAACCCCTTCGGCAAGTCAGGACATTTCAGCGGGTTTCCCGAGGCGTCGCGGCGTGTGTGATGGGCAACGGGCATGATGACGGGAGGTAATGTTGACAGGAAAGCTGCTCTCGGGCGCCCTCCGCTCACCAGTGTATCCTCGCCCGAGGTGTCCCCGGGAAACTTGAGAAACCCATTGGGAAATTTCTTGAGGTGTTCCCGAGGCATCGTGGCGGGTGCGAGGAGGTAAGTACATAACGGGAACCAATATACACACCAGGATATGCCCTCGGGCGCCCTCCGCACTGCAGTTCAAAGGAGTAACATGTAGCATTGAGTACCGGGTACGCCGCCAGCCTGTGGCGGAGCCACAGGCTGGCATGCCAGAGCATCTATTCCAGTAGGTACACAAAGCATTGAATAACGGGTATGCTGCCAGCCTGTGGCGAAGCCGCAGGCTGGCACGCCAAAGCATTTATTACAATAGTTACATGAAGCATTGAATTTTAAAATCGCCTGCAAGACCCGTGGCTTTGCCACGGGTCGGCAATGCCCAAGAATATAACCTTCATAGTAACACAAAGCACAGAATGAAAGAACTGCCGCCAGACCTGAGGCGAAGCCCAGGTCTGGCATTGCATAAGTATGAAATCTTAAAAGTTACATGAAGCATAGAATGAAAAAATCGCCCCGTAAACCCGTGGCGAAGCCACGGGTTTGCGATGCTCGTGACACAAAATGTAGGGGAGGGTAACAAGTACATGTCGTGGTGGAACGGAGTATGCCGTAACTGAAAAGTATGTGATACTATGGATCAATTCCGTATTGGTCTGCAAGCATTAATGGGGTAGTGGTAACCTGGGTCGTTGCCATCGACCCGCCAGGGGTTCGATTCCCCTTTAATGCAGTCGGTCTCGTTTTTTGCTAACTTGAACCAAGTCATTGACAGCGAATTGAGTCACCTACTTATCTAGGAGGGACGCTCGAAAGCCAGAAATAGTGAAACAGCGAGAAGGACAGAAGACATTGCGAGGGGGACATGGATTCAGAGAAGTACAGCTAGTACTACCACCCAGTGACGGCGTCGATGGCCATCTTCTTATACCGCACGATGAGCTTCGCTTCGGCCCGTGACGTTTTGCTACAGACGGTGAGACTGCTCATCAGGTTCGTTGGACTGCAGTACGTACCCAATTCGGAGTGAAGGAAGTTGGGATCGATATCATGGCGAATGATGGCGTATTGTGGCAGTTGCGAGTTCGCGGTTGGCCTCGAAAGCTGGGTGACGCTTGAACGCAATAGATTTAGCATGGACAACGAAAAGCAACGCACACATTCCGTTCAGGACGAGATTCACTGCTGAATCTGGTTTGGAGAGAATAGTGAGATCTGGATCTGGCGAATACATCTTAGCCGATCGCCTCAAGATCGCCTTGTCCATGTACTTCCAATTAACTAGTATGTTCGACGACCTACAGTCATAGGCCTACACCGGGCTGCACTGGCCACCACATGTATATCTGACAGAAATTCACGCCTTCCATGCTGGTCCCAAGAGTCAGTTCCACTCAGGAGTCGAAGAGCAGAACTGCGCAAGAGCACGAGAAACGACTCAGATATGACGATCTAATGTCCCGTCGCCGCCATGCCGGCCCCCGGTGTATCGGAGCGCCATATATACTGCACAACCCGCGCAGTCATCGCCTCTCTTCCCACCTTGACCCGTCTTTGGACCGGTCATTCACGCAACAGGAGCAAGGGCAGCCATGAAGGGCGATGTGGAGAAGGTCGCTTTGCTTCCCACCACTCTCGAACAGGAGGTGCGCGCGGTCGACGCGCTCAAGGAACGCCCCTCAACCCTGAGGCGGTTCTCGCGATGGTTCCTCAAGCAGGTGCTGCTGTTCTACGCATTCGTGACGCTGTATGTCGTCGCGAAGCGGACTTTCCTGAAGCATGATTTCGCTCCACGCGGAGAGAAGGCCGGCATGTGGGCGTTGAAGGCGTTTGGCCCTCATAGTAAGTCCAGTGTTCACAACGCGGAACTTGACACAGAGGAGTTGTTCCTGTGAGTGATCTACCATATACACACTGCATCTTCCGTGGCTCATACCCCTTGTTTGTCCCTCGTAGGTCCGTCCCTAGCACGGACAGTGCCATCGCCTCCTCACGCAAATGGGCTACCCACCCTCACCTCGCCGGCTCTTCTGAAGACTTTGAAGACGCGAAGGACATCCTCGCGCTCTTCCAAGAACACTTCGACATCCCCAAGTCTCCCATCACACCCGTCTTCCCCGCCGGCTCGCCCTTCTCGCGCGCGGCGACCCTGGGCATCAACAAGCTCCACGGGCCGGCCGCTTGGATCGACAAGTACTACCCCGTTATGAACACGCCTGTGAACCACAGTCTCTCAGTACTTGGCGAGGACGGGGAGGCTGTCTGGGAGGCGGACCTCGAGGAGGATGGCGACCCTGCGGACCCCGAGGCGTCGAAGTACAGGACGTCGGTTCTCGCGTGGCATGGCCTGAGCAAGGACGGTGAGGTGGAGGGCGAGCTCATCTATGCGAACTACGGCAGGAAAGAGGACTACGACGCGATCGTAGCTGCCGGTGGTGACCTCACGGGCAAGATCGTCCTCGCGCGGTACGGCGCGATCTTCCGCGGCGTCAAGATACAACTTGCGCAGGAGTATGGCGCCGTCGGCGTGCTCATCTACTCCGACACCCGCGACGACGGCTCCGTAACCGTGGAGAACGGCTTCGAGGCGTACCCTGCCGGGCCCGCGCGCAACCCGACCTCTGTTCAGCGCGGTAGTGTGCAGTTCATCTCCTCCTACCCCGGCGACCCGACTACACCAGGCAAGCCGGCGTATCCCGATGCGGAGCGAACGGAGGGGGCAAATATCCCCAAAATTCCAAGCTTGCCGATCTCGTGGGCGAACGCGCAGACGCTGCTGAAGGAGTTGGGGGATAGTCTGGACGAAGCTAGGACGGTGAATGGGAGATCGAGCGTCCGGAAAGTAAAGTTGGTCAACCATGGTGCGTGCCCGGTGCATATTCAGACGTGGCGACTCGGATACTCATGATTTGTATTAGTTGACGACAGAGTGATCCCTATCTACAACACGATGGCCGCTATCCCGGGACACATCCGCAGCGAGACGGTCGTCCTTGGCTGCCACCGAGATGCCTGGGTTATGGGCGCAGTTGACCCGGTCTCTGGCACAGTCTCCCTGCACGAGATCATCCGCGGCTTCGGCGAACTCCTCAAGAACGGCTGGAAGCCCCTCCGTAACATTGTCATCGCGAGCTGGGATGCTGAGGAGGTATGCATAGACAAAGTGTTTCAATATGTACGTGCTTACATGGGGTGTGCAGTACGGCCTCATTGGTAGCACTGAGTGGGCGGAAGACTTCCCTGATTGGATCCAGAGCAATGTCGTTGCATATCTTAACGTCGGTACGTACAGGATTCAAGCGTCCTGCAGCCGCACATCTAACTATCTCATCTGCAGATGTGTCCGTCAGCGGCTCCGCCTGGGGTGCAAGCGGCTCTCCCTCACTCGCCCACCTCATTCGCGCCGCCGCCCAGGACGTCCCGCACCCCACCGTTGCCGGCAAATCCCTGTGGGACTCCCGTGATGACGAAGGTCCATTCCTCGGCGCAGGCCTCGTCGACGCCGAGACGCTTGCCATATACGAGGCCGCGAAGAAGGCTAGGCTCGGGCCCAGTGACACCGGCGTTGGCCAGCTTGGCTCTGGCAGCGACTTCACGCCGTTCCTGCAGCGGCTAGGCATCGCGAGCATGGACCAGGGCTTTGGGCAAACTCTGGGTGACGCCCCTTACCACTATCACTCGATCTACGACTCGGAGAGGTGGATAGAGCTGTATGCCGACCCTGGGTTCCATCGCCATGTTGCGGTGGCGAAGCACATGGGCCTCACGGCGATTCGCTTGATCGACTCGATCATTCTCCCGCTGAACACGACGCAGTACGCGTTCGAACTGGATGTCTACCTTGACGAGTACGTGTTCATGCTGTGATGCATTGACCAGGCTGCTGACACGCCCTCTGCAGCGTCGAGGAGATCGCTGCGTCGCTGCACCTCGACACCTCCCCCAACTTCTCCGGCCTCCGCAGCTCGATCGAGAGCCTCGAGTCTGCCGCGCTCGCGCTCGCGGACGAGCTCGTCGCTGCTGAGAAAGAGTTCAAGGACGCGCTCGCCGCCTTGCCCAAGCCCGGCAAGAAGGGCCACTGCAAACACGCCCACGGGCACCTCCCAGAGTGGCTCCGCAAAATCCTGCATAAGATTCGGAAGCACTGGAAGCACACGCCCGGGAAGAAGGAGAAGAAGGCCCTGGAGCGCTTCGTGCGTGCGGCGAAGCGCGTGCAGGACGGCAACGCGAAGCTGCGGCTGTTCGAGCAGGGCTTCATCTCGGAGGAGGGCATTGCGGAGAGGGAGTGGTACAGGCACTTAGTTGTGGCTCCCGGGAAGTTCCTTGGTACGTGTTCATGCTTCATGTGGCGGTGTGTCATGGGGAGCTGATGGTCGGTGTGTAGGGTATGGCGCAACAACGTTGCCTGCTGTGACGGAGGCATTGACTATTGAGAAGAACAGCACCTTGGCTGAAATTGAGGCCAGGAGGGTCTCGGACCTCCTTGATAGCTTGTCGCAGACTATCGCCGTGTAAAAGTAGTGCGCTCTTGAATGGCATCTGGAACATCTCGTTGTAACTTATGTTGTTGGGGTGGCCCATTCGAGGGCCCGGGCTACCAGTGCTGTGGCGATTCAACTCCAATGTGCCCGAGAATTGCACCTCCAGCATTCCGTTATGTCGGCGAATGGGACACTAGAAGTGACAACCTTACGGCACGGCTGAGGCTAATGCGCCAAACTTGTCACGATGTCCATACACTTGGACGGCTGGCCCCAGCTGGGTTTTCTCACATACAACTGGGCAATCCTCTACTATGCTCTACCATTCTCGAAGTGGGGGCTGGCACGGTCTTAGGACTGACGGGCTCAAGGGGCCCGACGCAAGCCTTCAATATATGTATCAGTGTTCGGACTGCAAGATGATGCGACGGTACTACATACCTGGTCCGCTGAGCCTGTCCGCGCTGAGCCACCGGAATTCCACTGAAAGTCACTCAAAGACTGACGGCCACCTAGGTCATGGGACATCAGGCGTTCCCGGAACCTGGCGCGCAAGTTCAAGGTTCGCAGGATACCGAGGGTATAGAGCTTCGCTGTGAGTAGGATGAAGAACAGGTCGAGGTGCCTGACTTTGGTAAGCTGCATAGCCATTCGTCGTAGGTAAGACCGCCGGTTGTTAATGTATATTGAAGCTATGGATGCTTGCCTCCTTGCTACAGTAGAAAGCTGCGGCAATGATGGCGCAAGCCGTAGGCAATGACGCGGTTTCCCAGGTGGCGTTAATGATGGTTTGGACGACCTTATCTGTCTGGCTGACGCCAGTTCTGCTTTTGTAGAGACACCATGACACTGTAGTGTGGTTTACAATCAGCCATGCTTGTTTTACGAGCGATATCGCAGCGCAACTCACATATGCCAGTCAAGCCTAGCGACAGCAGGAGAGATCCGAATACCCATAATGGAAAGCACCAATGGCCTGCCCGCAGCGGCTAAGTTATCCCAGGAGTAGTCAAGCTGATCAAGACCAACTTGCCTGCACAAAACAAGACAACGACTTACGTCGGCATATCCACTGTCGGCACCAATGGTTGTCTCGATCCGAACCGCCTGCTGCACTGTCAGCGAAATACGGCATCTGCTTAATGCTCAGTATCATTACCAGAATCACGTTCGCGACAAGCGTAACAAGTACGAGAGTTGCTAATGGGAATAGTACCCATTTGTTCCGGTCTGTGATCTGCCAGCACAACTAGTAAAAGTCTTTCTTCAACGACCATCAAAGCTCGCACCTTCCAACACCTCCGAACGAGGAACACCTCACACCAGGTGCATATGATCCCATTCAGAAGGAATTCAGACCAATGCAATGGGCTTAAGTACTAAGATACGATTCAGCTCAGTCCTTAACTCATAATGATCCATAGCATACCCAGTGCCGGCGGTCAATGACTTCATGCCAGACTTTATACGTTTCGAGACTTGTCTGCAGTCTGCCATGACAAGACAGATGTCTTAGTCGACATCGAATTTCATTGCAAGAGTGGGACTTACATCGAAAGCAAAATCAATGCGACGACGTATATTCGCATTGCGATGCAATCGTTGTGGTCCTCTTGCGAACCCGAAAACTTTATGCCCTGCATGGTAGGAAATGTCAGCCACTCCATGCTTATAGTCACTCTCCAGCTGCGTTGGTGAGACTCGCCTGTGACAAGACAACCCCTTCCCTCCGATTCGTCATATAGGGTCTCTCCAATGACCGTTCGCTAATCACTCACCTTGCAAGAGATACTGGAGAAGTGCTTGGAAAAGTATTGGACCTGAGGTGCCAGTATCCGGCGGTCCAGCGTCGTTGCTGCTGACACTCATGACGGACAAGAGGCATGGGCTGAGCATACGCTCACCGCGGTCGACCCAAATACCGATTTAGATCCAGACCTATGGTACGAACCGGAATACAACCAGTTATAGCACAACCGCCCACGCCGCTAGACTTACTCGAAATGAGACAAGTAGTGTGTCATTTCGAATACGGCCGTAGTGCTAGCTCCCGCACCACACGTACAATGACGTTTGCAACGAAACGATCAGTTGCGCAGAACTCACCGAGTCATGAGGACGTCACGGGTCAAAACACACGGAGTGAGAAGGTAACAATCGCACCTCCTCGTTGACAATTTGAACACCGTCGGACTCGCGCGTAAGAATTTGGCAACCCTGCAACAAAACCCACACGCAAGATCTATTCGTCATCATCAGATTCTTGGTCTTCCATACATCTCTGCAGGAGGAACAGCCATCCCTTCGGGTGCTCTTCTTGACAATGGCGTGCGAGGTCTTCCGTACTAGCTTCGGCGGGGAACGCTTCGGGGACTTTGTTGGAGAGGCCCCTGGCATAACGCAATCTGGAGGATTCATTCATCAGTGACCCCATTGATGTATTCGAAGGTGCGGGAGTGATGAATGCGAAAGACGAAGAACGAGAACGTACTGGCACATCCGACACCAGCGATTCCCGTCGCCAACATTGCGCTCCTGCTCGCCCTCTGCTTCGTCCCCATTCTCGTTGTCCACGAAATTTTCGTCGATACACTGTTGGATAACCTCCGTACTCGGATTGAGAGCCGCCTGTGACGGTTGTTGTATTTCTGCTACAGGCAGTGAGGCTGATGGCACCCCGGCTGTTGACTCGGGATGCGCAAGCGTTTGTATCCCTTCAATCGGTTGATGCTGCATGGATGGTGCGCTCTGTAAAGCTTGCGATTCGTGTTGAACGTCGTCCATGGGTGCGTGTCGCGACGCTTCTTGTCTAGGGGAGTACATTTGTATGTCCCCAATTGTTGATGCCGGCGGGTCCCCATTCGGCTGAGTGCTTCCTCCAGTCCGCGTCACCAGGGGCGCCTGACTGTTTGCCAGCTGGACTTCCGCAAATGTGCTCTGCGGTTGCGGGGTGGACGGACCCGCGACTTTGATCGCTTCGGTCGCATTGGTGACAGGTTCCGAAGCAAGTCGTGGCCTCTTCGCTGCTCGTGGGCCTTCTGCCGAGTCCGGTTCGTCCGTAAGGTCTATAACAGCTTTGTGCTTCTGCATGCCCGCCGTCGGCGCGATGTTCGGGCGCGGCGAGCTCGATGTGCTCGCGTTATGTGCCTGTAAACGCTGCACTTCGCGAGGGTCGTGGCCGATGGCGGGTGTCGTTGGCCCGCCGGAGACTCTGCGGCCATTCATTGAGGGCTGCGCGAACGGGAAGTACGCGTGAGGACTTGGGTAGGCAGCAGGAACTCCAGAAGACTGTCGACGGGCTTGATGAACGGGCGCAGCCTGTGTCGACGTCGGAGCGAACGCCGTGTTTATTGGGGGCAGCTGAGAGTGGCGGAGCCTTTGCGCCTGCCCGGGGTGATGGCCTAGGGAAGAGAGTGCTTGAGTGAGGCTGCGCGGACATGAGAGTGGCGATAGTAATTCACCCAGTGCAACACCAGACTGCGGCATCATTCTTGAGCTTGACGCGCTCGGCACATGATTCTCAACCTCGTACGGGATCCCTTTTGACTGTAGTATCTGGGAGAGGCGGTTCACCTCCGTTCGCAGGGTAATGGCTTCATGTGTCCTACGCCATGCCATATCGCCACTTCAGTCGAACGCAATGGTGACATGACAAGACTCACGCGTGTTCATGCTGCCTCAGTAGCTCCCGCCTACTCATCTCTATCTCCTGTATCCGACCTTGAAGATCGTGTATGATCGCGTTGGGGCCCCCGTTCTGCGCGATGGACGTGAGCCGCTGGTTCTGCATGCCGATTAGCTGAGCGAGCCTCCTGTTGTCTGCGAAGAGGCGTGCATTTTCCTCGCGGAGACGCGTGTTCCATTCGTGTATGGTATGAAGCTGCACGAGATAGTCGGGATGGTAGCCCAACTCCGCGAAGCCACCGTTGAGGGTGCCGGCCAGCATCCCTATGATTCTCGTACGGAGGTCCTCATTAGAATCGCTATGTTTAAGATGAGCCGGGATGTCAGAGTCAAACCTTTGGGAGTCATACGTGCATGCGCTGAAGCACTCACGTTGAAGACGATGCAGTCAGATTGATAGGCGTGCTGCCTGAAGGATCCGCGGCGTTTGCGATGTTCTGATCGGCATCCATGGCAAGCAGTTTTCCAAAAGAGAAGAGAAGGTGAAAACAAAGTAGTGCTCCGCTTTTCGATAGGCTCTACCTCGGCCGCGTAGGATGGTCGTTAGGGCCGTGTCAGCTCGAAAAGAAACTGAGCGCAAAGGCGACCCGCAGCCTCAGGAGTAAGGTATAGCTCAAGCACAACCAAGCTGTATGACAGCCAAGAGTTGTATATAGTTGTGAGTGATCGAAGATACAGGTTCGAGTGTCCCAGAAGAGTGCAATAAGTATCGAAAAATAAACCCCTCGACCGAAGTTGAACGACATTTCGCGATGCGATCACGTGGGCGCGACAACACGTTGTAAACGCACTCGAGCGACTCGGGCGAGCTTTAACGTTCCTTGTCAAGTCGCAAGCGACATTCCGTCCTACACATCGGTTGAGAGTCTCGGTGAACCCCACTCAAGCTATCATGGTTCTGTATGTTATTGCTGAACAAGGCTTGGTACTTGAGCCCAAGTGTTTAGCGATCATCTACATACCGTGCCCCGCGAAGTCTCCAGATGGCACTACGCTTGATGGTCGATCGCTCGAACGTCTCTGGGTCGCATCACGCGAACACTCGAAACAACGCCTAGAAGCAGATGTATGTATGCAAATCTCACTGGTCTTCTCGTACTTACAGGTAAGTGTATGCAGTTAAGTCGAGCGATCTATTGTCTCCATGAGATCAATATAAATCTAGCAATTCCGCTAACACCGCAACCCCAAGCAGACCCGGAGCTGTACGGGTGTTCGTATGTCCAGCTGTTCACGCATCCACCGTTACCGCCCGGCCGACGGTCACTTGAGTCCAATGCGCTCCGCTTTGCTTCTACTGTTCCGATCGACGCACCTGCAGGTGGTTACTGTCAAACTCGTCAACCGTTACAGCACGCTCTTGCAGTCATGCATGCGATTTTACTGTAAAGCCGTACGAGACGGTGAGCGTTATGAAGCCCGTTCAGTCGCCGTCCAACCGCTCACCGATGCGTCATATTGCGTCCTTCCTCGATTTCACAAGGTACGAAGCCGCATGCTATACCTGGTTAGCCATCCGAGAAGCCGACCACCTGCATTTATTGCTCACCAGGGCAAGTCCAAGATCTGTCAGTAGGCACCCTACAGGTCATGAGATTGGTCACATAAGCCTGAGACACAGTCCTAATCCTATCTTGCCGGTCCCACCGGTGCGTCTGTTGTGACAGTGTCGCCCATATAATGGCTGCGTTTCTGACGCGATGCTACCAGGACAGCGAGATTCCACCCAACTGAAACAGCCTGTGCGTAACGTCGTTGACGTGGCATGAGTAAGAAGGAGACGCCCGGATAGGAAGGTACGGGAAGATTCGCTTGACCCGATCCCGATTACGTGACCTCCATCGCATGGGCGCCTAGATGGTCGGCCTGGCAGGCTCAACCTGCCCCGGGTTCCCCATGCTCCTGCAGAAATGTGTAAGACTCTCTTCCGCTAACACAGCCTAGAGCCTTTCACTCCTCTCTTTCCCTACCGGCTACCCTCGTATACCCTCCCTGCGTTCATCGCCTGCCATGGACCTCCTCGACGGCATCACTAAGGGGGTCTCCGACCTCGACCTTCTCGACATGCTTACTGCTCCGGATCTGCGCCCCGCCAAACATGGAATTCGAAGGAGAGACTCCGACCTCGATCCTCTTCTATTAGCGGCAGCGGCCGCCTACGGCCCGCACGTCACTCGCAACCATTACGCCCATGACTTCTTCCCTGCAGTAGGCGACCCCCGAGCGGAGGGGGCGTACGACTGGACCAAGTTTCAGGGGGAGACCACCCAGGCTCGCAGACCGCGGCTAAAGTATGTCAGCAGGCAAGCACCACGGAGCCAGAGGTTGAAGGACCAGGGAATCGTAGTAGATGGGGAGAAGGAGAACGGACGGACGAGGGAAGTGGGGGATCCATTGCGTAGGTCCGACAACCTACCTTCGCCTACTCCGCGCACGGCCCTAGACTCGCCACATGTGCAACGCACGACCTCAGCATCTCATGCCGCTGCAGCTGAGAGTACGAGACCTGCCGCAGCCGTCGAGGTCAAGTGCATGGCTCGCACACGGGTGCCTACTCCCCACGGACCCGTCTTCCTTCACCTTTACCACAACAACCGGGACAACAAAGAGCACCTCGCCATCGTCGTCGACCCCGCCCAATTTGAACAAGATACCCCACGGCGCGCCCCTCCGATCCGTAGCCGTTCCCTAGACGCGGCATGGTCAGACTCCGAGACGGAGGCAGACCGCATAACCCGGGGAGCCTACGTAGGTCGGCTCTCCCCCACTTCTCAACGACCCTCCGTCCCCGGAGCGCACAACAACATTACGACAGACAACATCCCCTCCCCGCTCATCCGCATCCACTCGGAGTGCTTCACCGGCGAGACGATCGGGAGCATGCGCTGCGACTGCGGCGAGCAGCTCGACGAGGCCATCCGGCAGATCTCGCAGCCCATCACGCTCCCACCGGCTACATCCTCCGCGGAGGGCAGGCCGACTACCATCCCCGGGCGGGGCGCCGTCGTCTATCTCCGCCAGGAGGGCCGTGGCATCGGCCTGTTGTCGAAGATTCGCGCGTACAACCTCCAGGACCTCGGCCATGACACTGTCACGGCGAACTTGATGCTCGGACATGGTGCGGACGAGCGCGGGTACGAGGTTGCTGCTGCGATCTTGCGCGACCTCGGCTTGGGCACGGAGGTCGGCGAGGGTGTGCGGCTGCTGACGAACAACCCGGACAAGGTGCAGGCGCTGGAGAAGGAAGGCATCCGGATTGTTGAGCGCGTACCGATGGTACCTCGCGCGTGGCAGCGGCGACAGCACCAGCATGAGCATGGCGAAGACGTGTCTTTGAAGGGGGAGGACGCGAGCGGACTGACGATGATCGGTGGAGGAGAGGTGCATGGGGAGGATCTGGACAGGTACCTGCGCACCAAGGTGTTAAAGATGGGACATATACTGCCCCTTGGCCTTATGGATGAGTCGTCCCCATAGCGTTCAGTTTGTCGTTCTTTTATGGTCGGCAACAGAGACTAGCGTCCAGTGTAGTCTCGCACAGCATCAAGCTAATCAATCTGTAGCGTACTGATATATCAAGTATAACTCTTTTGTATATTTGGTTGCTCCTCGCCTCTCGTCCCCTGTATATAAGTGATAGAAAGCAGAAAGGACCAGCAGGTGGTGAGGTGAACGACAGTGAGAGCGTAGTGACATTTCGCGGCCGACGCGGCAAGGCCCTATTCGCGCCACCGCGCTCGGAGTCGTGGCTGCGACCAAGCTGCGACTCAGTATTACTTCCATCCTCCTCTCCACCTCCCATACCCGCCCTCGTTGTCATTGACGGCGGCAAAGCGCGATGAGCACATTCGACCCGTTGAGCAACGGCTTCGCTGAAGAGCCGCCATGGCCGACGACCCCTCACGTCCCGAACACGCCCATCCCCAACCTACCACGCCCCGCACCTTTGCATACCGACTCCCTGCGCTCTGCGGGCGGATTGTACGGCAAGGAGCCACAGATATACGGACAGCCTGAGCCTGGGCTCATCTCGCCGCGTGTCACGACAGCCTCGAATGGTGCAAAGTATGAGCGGCCAGAGCCATATCTCCGAGTACGGATTACGGGGTTGGACAGAAATAGGCGGGACATCCTGGTGAAATTCGATGCACAGGTGAGCTGCAACCCAGAGGTCGCTGTGTGCGCGAATCTCACTCACATGCGCGCTGCTGCGCGTACCAGACGAATCTAGCAAACTTCACTGGCACGACGTATCGCAATGTGTCGCGCTCCTACGTCGAGTTCCAGCAGTTTTACGAAGCCGTCGTGAACACAACCCCACAGACCATCATACCAGCCCTTCCTCTCCCCCGGACCTCCGCGCCGACTGACGAGGAAGATGACCGCCTGGTCAAAATCATGCTGCAACGGTGGTTGACACGGATTTGCGAGGACCCCATCCTGCTGCAGGAAGAAGAGCTGCGCTCTTTCATCGAGAGCGACTTCGGGTACCAGCCGACACCGAATGTACGGCGAAAAGCGTCGAGCGGGTTCAGCCTGATCAAGCCGCGCGTGCCCGACGAGGACGAGGAGCTGCAGCGCGCACGGTTCGAGCTGACCAAGCTCGAGGGGCAATACTTCGAGGCGGCCAAGGCGATCGACAAGCTCTCGCGGGCTCGGAAGAGTGCGTGCGTTCCGCGGTCTGTGGATCCCTGTGTTGACAACTGACATGCGACGTGTCAGCACTCGGCGCCGTGCGCGCGGAGATGGGCAACAAGCTCGTGAATGTCGCGACGACGGAGGCTCACCCGCCCCTTGGAAACGCGTTCCAAAAGATTGGCAGGGCGTGGCATAGTTTGGCGGACCTCGACCAAGCTCAGGGTATCAGCGAATGTGTCATTGTTGGTGATTCGCTGGGCTATCAGGGTCTTAATGCGCGGTCTGCCAGGGAGACACTGCAGCAACGAACGGCGGTGCTGGAGGACTATCAGACTGCCGTCAAGGCGTCTATCTCCAAGCGCAGGAACTTGGAACGACTCAAGGCGAGTAGCAACATTAGGTCAGAAAGGGTTGATGAGGCGCTCGAGGAGATGGAGGAGGTACGTCCACAAGGTTTTGATGTGCAAATGACTTGCTCATATCACGACTGAAGGCGAACAAATACGAGATGATCTTGGCGAAGCGTGCAGAAGGCATCTCGCAGAACTTGCACCGAGCCCTCGACAGACACAAAAGGCTCGTCACTGAGGATGTGACAACGGCGCTAGTTGAGCACGTACGCTCCTCTATTCTTTACGAGCGTCAGATGCTGCGTGAACTCGAGGCTCTCAAACCCGACGTCAGCAGTGCGAACAAGAAGTTCGTGCCGGCGCCGAAGACGAACGGCGCCCCCCGTCCATCCTATGTCCCTCCTCTCGAAGACTTCACCAAGCCTGCCCCTCGCCCAGCTTCGGCAGCACCCACGGGCTCGTTTAGGGTACCACCAGCACTGGCAACATCGGCGTCCCAGCAGGGGCCCTCGCGTGCCGCCAATGCTTCTCCTCAGCCTCCCCTGCCAGCGTCGCCTGCAACTTCGACTTCAGCGAGCGTCAGATCTCTGCCTCCGCAGTCACCTGGAGCCGGCCCGTCTTCCCCGGCGCCACAGACGACGTTCACTCCTCCCCTCGCGAATGGTCCTCCCCTCGGAGGCCGCTTCGTCGATGGCACCAAGTCGATGTTCGTCAAGCCGCCCTCGTCGCCCCTCGCGGCGGCGTCGACTTTCCCGCGTGCGAGCTCGCCTCTCGCGACGGGGCGGGCCATGCCGGAATCTCCTCTGCACGGGTCGGCACCCTTCAGCGCGGCTGCCGCTCCCCAGCCGTCCCCCCACCCACTAGCGAACTCGATGGGTCCCTTGGGAGGCTCGTTCTCGCGGTCGTCGAGCGGCGTGCCTGCCTCCAGCGGTCCTGCAGCCCCGCAACCGTCGCCGCTGGCCGTGGACCCGCTGACGGGGAGGCCGATCACGATGTCGCAGTCGGTAAGGGTGACGCCACAAAGGCCGAGGCTCGATGCGAGGGAGGCGGCGAGCAAGCTTGCGAATATGTTCTAAGGGAATACCGTGAAATATTGTTCTTCAACTCTCATTATTGTTTGTGCTTCCGGATACAAATGGAATGTTTTGCTCGTTCTCAGGCATGTCGCTTTGGCTCTAGGGAGAAGTGCCATGCAGATTTGTATCAGGCCCACTGATCTGGTGCAATTCTCACCTATCGTTGAGACCAGCCACGGTACTCCTGATACTTATCTACCCGCTCAATCGGCGCACGATGGTCATTCTACGCCTCTTTTATCTATCTGTGGAGGCCCGAAATGCTTGTTCTGCGATGGCACCAGTCGTTCACATCCTGGATCTTCGGACCACCGAAGCGAAACTCGATCACGTGACACCACTTATGCATCGGGAGAACGCTCTCCATGTCCTATGACTCGCGTTCTCTTCTGAACGGCCCTCCGTGGACAGCCCTCTCCGCAAACCATATAACTCGAAGCCGTAGCTGCAGGTAATTCGTAGGACATATTTCCCTCTGACCTCCCTTGTGTGCGTCGATCATGCCCAAGAAATCGTGAGCGCGTCGTTTGTAAACCATGAATGTCCGATTCATTGTGACCATACAGGTTCCGCGTCGTAGTCCTCCCTGGCGATGGGATTGGTATGTAGTATGGCCTGTGAGCAGTTCGGGTTATTCATCACGTCAATCACAGGCCCGGACGTGGTTGCACAGGCAGTCCGCGTGCTTGAGGTCGTCTCCGCTACGTCCCCGGACATCGAGCTTAAGCTCGAGGAGCACCTCTTCGGCGGTTGCGCCATCGACGCTACCGGTGTGCCCCTGCCAGAATCCACCCTTCAGGCTTGTAAGGAGGCCGATGCCATCCTCATGGGTACGAGATAACTTTCGTCGGTCCATAGATCTGCACTGAAACCTGTACATAGGCTCGGTCGGCGGACCCAAATGGGACGTCAACAGCAAAGTGCGCCCGGAGCAGGGCTTGCTGGGCCTGCGCAAGGGCCTCGGCCTCTACGCGAACATCCGGCCTTGCAACTTTGCCTCCGACTCCCTCCTCTCATACTCCCCGCTGAAGGCCTCCGTCGCGCAAGGCACTGACATCATCATCATCCGCGAGCTGATCGGCGGTGCGTACTTCGGCGAGCGCAAGGAGCTCGGCCAGGCAGAGCAGCCCGACGTCGCGTACGACACGATGATCTACAGCATTCCGGAGGTGCAGCGGATCACGCGCGTGGCGGCGCAGATTGCGCTCAACGCGGACCCACCGCTTGCGATCCACTCGATCGACAAGGCCAATGTGCTTGCGAGCTCAAGACTTTGGAGGAAGGTCGTAGTGGAGACGCTGCAGAACGAGTACCCCCAGCTCAAACTCGATCATACCCTGGTCGACTCTGCATCCATGGTCATGGTCGCGAGCCCTAGGAAGCTGAACGGCGTAGTCGTCACAGAGAACCTGTTCGGAGATATGTAAGTCATCATAATTCACTGCTTGTTCGCGCGATGCTGACGTCATTATTGCGCTAGTCTCTCGGACGAGGCCAGTGTTATCCCTGGCTCTCTCGGATTGCTCCCTTCAGCATCTCTGGCCGGCGCGCCCTCTGTTGCAGATGCACTCTCACCCGAGTTCAAGCCCACTCACGGTCTATACGAACCGATCCACGGCTCCGCGCCAGACATCGCTGGGAAGGGCATCGCGAACCCGATCGGCACGATACTCAGTGCGGCACTGCTCCTCCGGTACTCGCTCGGCCTCGACAAATACGCGCAGGCGATTGAGAAGGCCGTGCAGAAGGTGCTCGACAACCAGGATATCGGCGGCTTCGAGCTGCGGACGGCAGACCTCGGCGGGAGCGCGAAGACGACAGAGATCGGCGACAAGATCGTGGAGGTTCTGAAGGCATCATTGGCATAGTAGAGGTGCCGCAGAGAACGCGTACTGATAGTGTAGCCCCAGGTCTCCCTCATGTATCAACTCAAGCTGTACTTTTTGTACCACATTCCAATCGAGTGGAGACCACCACAGTTGCTCGGCTAGCGATTTGAGAGAAGCCTGCGCAACCAAATGCATTTCAGAACGCGCACCGGCGAGATCCTCCCCGACGTGAACCTCCAGGTTGTCAATTCTTGAGCGAAACACGTAATATGGACCTCACCCTATCTACCCGCCAACGACAATGCTACAGAACTGATATCAATGTCCGTCTACGAATGGATTGATAATTTCTCTACCACGATTGCTGTTGTCCAGTACAAGTCCAGTGTCATCTCGATCATGCAACCTCAGTGCGAACATTGCTCGCGCCCCAGGTCCAGGGAAAGTACCAGCGAACTCTTGCGCGGTACACATCGGCTTGCACACGATACAATTTACTTTGAACTTTGTACCGCTCCTTGGTAAGAGAACTCAACTTGCGTTGATATTTCTCAATGGATTGGCCGGCGTCGCGGACATCGCGCTGCGACTGGCGGAGACTCGCGCGCGCTGCCGGGGCCCCTGAAAATGGTGTCGAGGCTCGGTTATGGTCGGTAGGAAGGGATACCATCGGGGGAACGTCGTCGATCGTCGAGCGCATGAGTCAAGAGCCAATTTTGTGTTGCGTTGACGTGATCCATGGCTGTCGCATTGTACACGACGCTGCTCCATTGTCTGCTCAAGCAAGTGGATATGATTGCTGAGCTCTTGTATGCGCGCGGCCATTTGGTGAGGATTCATCCTGCTTGGCCAGTGCAGGATTAGACGATGGAGAGATGGTCAGAACGAAGGGTCGATGTACAACCGGGGATAGACTCACGATGCCCGCATATAAAGCGCCATGCCGACAGTGCAGTATTTCGTCCTTTCCGTGAAACCCGGTATGAGGGCGCCTGGTTCATCATGAATGTGATACCTGGTTGTGGCGTAAGGACCTGGCTGTCAGACAGCACGATATGCTTTCAACCACTGCCAAGGAAGTGGCGACCTACTATGACAATCGACTAGAACGACTTGAGTGGACACCAGGAGATACGACGGTTGTAGTATCGACATTTTCCACCAGTGCGCATCCAATGCTTGAATGTCAAGGATCCCTTTCTACGCAAGTCGCCGAACCGCACAACATATCCCATACACCGCCGTAGATACGGTGGGCGCTGAGCGCTGACCTGTGAAAATGCCCTTCAAAGACAACAACGTACGTCACAAGAGATGTAGTAGTGGCGGACATCGGACGCATCTGATGAGTAGCGAGGCTTCTACCCAACGCAATCTTCTTGACTGCACAAAGGTTCTCACATCAGCCGTAGCACATGATGCCTCTGTGGGCGCAATACGCCCATGAGAGGACACTGCCATAAGTAACGCCTCGAGCCTCGTCGGTCACGAACACCCATCTCGACACACCTATGTGGCAATGACCATAAAATAACACCCACAACCGAGATAGCCATGGACACAGACAATTATCCGCTATACACTACACGCTACAGATATGCTTCAGCGACGCCAGGACACACGACATACAGTCACTCACGATTACGCTGGAGTACAAACCCCTAGTAAGGCCCGTGTCCACGAGGCAGGCATGATGCATAGTTCCCACTGATAAATAGACGTCCGACACTTCTTCACAGCTTCATGTACCTCCGGGTCAGCGGCGAGCCAGAGCGCGTGCATCGCGGTCCCACTGCACTACTCTCGCACGATGTGCGTTCCACTGTTGCACACGCTGTAGATTGGACTGAAGCTGGAAGCGTGCCAGAGTGAGAGACATCATCTGGTCCTGACCGTTCGTGATGTGTACGTTGGCCTCGCGGGACGATGTTCTGCGCCTGGAGAGGCTGACGCACGCGCCTGCTACCACTAGCAGTGGGTTCAGTAGTTGGCGAATACACATAATATGTGTTGAAAGACGTACGAGGATGATTTGATGGATGCGTCAGGAACCAATTCAGCATGTAGTGAGCGCGATTCAAGGGCTGGTCCCGGTGACAATACGACGTTCTGCTCGAGCGAGTGGATCTGGTTGCTCAGCTGCTGGACGCGCTTTTCAGCGAGAGATGTTGCGAACAATTAAGAAATGCTCAGAGCAAAGTGTAGTGCTAATGCCCGACTTGCTTGAACGCACACATGCCAGTGTGAAGTAGGGAAGTTTATTGCCCATGATGACAGAGCCTCAAAGTTCGGCCATGCACTGTTTCGTGTCTGATGGATGTGTCTCCCGCCGGGTCGCTTGCATAACCTTTGCACAATCCAGTCTGCTGAGGCACCTACAGATGAACACATAGCAGCAGCGACGTCACGAACATGCTGAGAGATGATAGTCACAGATCGAGCATTCACTCAGGTCGCCGCTGGCGCCCGGCAACCCATGTGTTGCAGTCAAATTCATCCTACCGAATTTGAAAACACCCTCTGCGATCGAGATCGCGATCCGTCTCCACAGAATTTTTGATCTGCACCTCCTCTGTGCGATCCTGCAGCCACCACAGCACTAACACCCCTCTGAGCCCTATGGCCTCCTCATCGACCACCACAAAACCCACTTGCAAGCACCTCGTGCTCGACGCAGGCCCGCTGCTCTCGCTCTCGCCCCTGCGCGGGCTCGCGGAGACGTACTACACCGTGCCGCAGGTGCTCGACGAGCTGAAGGACAAGCGTGCGCGGGAGCACTTCCAGCAGCTCGGCCTCTCGGCCGGTGTGAGGATCGACGTTAGGGGGCCGGATGCGACGTCGCTGGCACATGGTGAGTGGTGTTCGCTGTGGAGGGAAGGCGGAGGACTGAGAGAAGGATAGTGATACAGTTCGCGAAGAAGACGGGTGACTACTCGGTTCTCTCGCATGCGGATCTGTGTGTGCTGGCCTTGACGTATGCGCTGGATGTCAAGGAGAAGGAGCAGGCAAAGCCGACAGGGGAGAACCCGCAGGTGCGTCTCGATCGCCTTCTCTGGACACCAGACTAATCTGTACGTGAAGACGCAGGATGAAAGTGCCACATCGAGTGCAGCTCAGGGGACACAGGATAAGATCAGCTCTACAGAGGAACATAAACATGATGCGGAGGTAACAGAAAGTGGCACAAACGATGCATTGGATGCAGAGACCGAAGCGGATGAGGAGGAACCTCTAGAGTCGGATACACCATCATCAGATTCGGACGGAGACGACACAGGGGAGGAGACCAAAACCGACACCCACGACGAGGCAGCCGAAAATGACGAGCAACCAAGAGAGCCTCTGGACGTAGAGCTGCACCCAATACAAGATCAGGAGGAGCAACCAAAAGATGCCCCCGCTTCGAGCTCACATCCACCTTCATCTACTTCACCGTCTACCACACCACCCACCACGACCCGCCCCACACAAGCGCCGCCCGAACCGATCTACGACGACCCCTCCGACGAAGAGGATGGCGAGGGCGAGTGGATCACACCATCCAACGTTGCATTGCACAAATCCCGTGCGCTCAACCTCCTTCCGTCCGACGACGCAAGGAAGGGGAAAGCAAAGCAGGAACACATCCCGGTCGGGTGCATGACCGCGGATTTTGCGATGCAGAACGTGCTGCTGCAGATGGGGCTGGGGCTGGTGAGCGTCGACGGAAAGCGGATCGAGAGGGTCAAGAGTTGGGTATTACGGTGTCATGCATGCTTCAAGTACGTTTCTCTCAGATCATCGACGTCGCCCACAACTCACCCCAATCCCAGAATCTGCAAAGACAACGCACGCAAGTTCTGCCCCTCGTGCGGGAACCCCACCCTCCTCCGCACCTCCGTCACCATCTCCTCACCGAACGCAGGGCCAAACACCCCCGCACTGCAAGTGCACCTCAAGAAGAACTTCCAGTACAAAACCCGGGGCACGATCTACTCCATCCCCACGCCCAAGCCGGGCAGCGCCAAGGGCGGGCCAGGCGAGGGCCTCATTCTACGCGAGGACCAGCTCGCGTGGCAGCGCGCGAAGAAGCGCGCGGACGGGAAGCGCGAGCGGGAGGAGAGGCGGATGCTTACCGCGGCGACTCGCGGCGGGATTGGCGAGGGGGGCGCGGTACTCAGTAGTTGGATGGACCCGGATTGGGTGCCGGAGATTCTGAGTGCGGGGGCGGGCGGGAAGGGGAGGAATATGCGGAGTAGGGGCTTTGATGGGGACATGCCAATCATTGGGCACGGGAAGAAGAATCCTAATGAGAGGAGGAGGACGAAGTGAGTATGATTGGACGGGATGTGGCTGAGTGTTAGTATGCATATATGATCGTCGCGGTCTCGGCGGGTCAGCGAGTTGTAAGGTTCCAGAGGATTAATACAGAGTACATCTTTGGATATGCGTACACGATCCACTTGTCCCGCTCAAGCCATGCTTCTGCTCATGAATCGCCTCTTCTGGAACGACATCCACCACTTGCTTGGTTTGCCGGTGCCGTCTGTGTACAGCTTCTCTACCAGGCGCGCAGCGAGCTCTTGCCGTGTCTGAACTAGATATTGCCGCAGGTAGTCTATGCGTTGCAACGGACGCTCGCGTCAACAACAAACAGTGATGGCAGGTAACAAGATCGTACCAGCATCAGCCCTGCTCGCGGGAGGCGCGTAATGGGCGTTCAGAGCGAAGGTGGCGTCACCAGGTATGGGGAGGTTGTCCACCGACAGCGTGTTCAGCATCTTGTTAGCCTCGAGCTGGTTCGGTACCGTCCGCGCAGAGCCAATCTTCGCGAGGCAGTCCGAGACGAAGAGGATGAGGACGATCAGGAGGCGGTCGGCGGGACCCTTGATCTCGAAGTTGCGGAAGAGGGAGTTGGCACGGAAGAGGTCGAGGGTCTCGTCGATGATGTCGGCCTGTGAGTAGTCCGCTGAAAGGCCACGATAGTTGGATGTCAACTGCGTGAATGGCTGAGTGGACACTGCGCACCTAGTGGTGCTGGACCGCGGAACTTTGTCTTGATGGGCAGGACGGCCATGTTGCCGACCTGGCGGATGTCTGGTTCCTCATTGAAGGATGAGTGGTACGCCTAGCAATCTATGTATGAGCAGTCGATCTTCTGAGACGATAGAGGTAGCTCACTGGCATGGTTGTGTGCACGCGTCTGGCTGGTGCAGCACTTGGACTCACAGTCGATCGCCACCGCTGCAGCACGGGCGATGCCGACGGGCTGAGTGCAGTAACGGCCATGTGACCAGAACGCGCTCCTGTGCGTCACTCAGGCACGCCTGCCCCGACACCGCCCACTCAGCTGCTGCGAGTTCCTCTCTGTCTCTATCCCCGTGCTGGTACGAGGCGTGGCTCCCTGCACGCTGCTCAAATGTCTGAGCACAGAAACGGCGATGCAGAGGATGATCGCACGGGTCTCCTACCATCCACTTACTATGCCCGCAATTACCCACAACCAGAGACAGTAACCAGTGCGCGTCGCGCGACCTTACAGAGGCAGACAACTGATGGTCTGAACTAGATTTGATCAAGCGCGTACGCGCACTTACACTCAAGCTGCTACCAGTGGAAGTACCGCCAGAGAGCATCGAGGACCCGACGAGCAGGGTCATCACCCCGCAAGTCATTGACGCATATACTCGGGCTGCAGGAGACTTCGTGCAAGCGGTACGTCAAGCTCACGTCTAGTCACTGAGCTCAGGCTTACAGATACGCTCATAGCTGCCCTATGCCTTGTTGAGGGCCCGGAAAGAGTTCATGTGGGATGCCAATACCAATCCTGCGGACTATGGAGAGAATTTGGGAAGAGGTACGTTCATCTTGCATCCATACGATTTACTAGTCGCTCATATGATACTCAGCTGTTGCATGCGAGGTTCTCGCCCGTCGAGTACTTCATCAAGCACCACCGGACAAGACCGTTGTGATGCTCTCTACCCGATTCAGATTCAAGGAGGTCGACGACGGGGATAGCGAGAAAGCAAGTGCTCTTGAGTTGGCTATTGACTCTCATTGGTGCGCCTCTTGGACCCTTTAAGACAACCGTCTCGTAACTTCCTCGTATAGCACGATCTTCCTGTCTTCGACGGAAGCACAAGACGGTAAGCAAGGCAACCCCCGGACCTCCTCGTTCACTCAGCCTCGCTGTAGTTGTCAACTGCCTATGGCGAGGCCAACTCGTTCAAATACACGAAGGAGACCATGATATTGACTGTATGTGCCTCGCTTACCTGTCATTGCGCTTGACCAATGGTGCTTAATGAAATTTAGTTGTACCATACAAGGAATACGGCTACAACGGCTTCTGGGCCCATTTAGACCCTGGTCGCCTCTCAGTACCCCGATACCAAAACATCTTCCGCATCGTTGTCTGGACACTGTTCCTGTTCGCATATGCACAAGCCGGTAAGGTGTGCCGTACCTCAAGTCTGTTAGCGAGTTTGCTCATGATGATGGCAGTGCGTGAGCCGTTGGACAAGCTGAACCCCGAACATTCCGAATTAGACTTCTGGGAGATCGTCATGTACGTCCTCGGCCTTGCGTTCTCGTTCGAAGGTAGGATTTCCGATTGCGTCGCCAGCGGCCCCAACCTGATCCCTTCTCATTATTCTCCATGCGCCCATAGATCTGCACAAGGTCGGTCTGCCAAGCTCTGCACGTTGCCGCTACTCTGTCATTCCTACTGACCTCGTACCTCAGCTATTCAAGCTTCTCCTCTTTGTCTCTTGGCGCACACTCGGCTTCTGGGACGTCATCGGCGTGACGACCGATTCGCTCCTCACCGCCGCCTTCGTGTTGCGCGTCGCCGGGATTCTCTCCGCGGAGCCACAGAGCCAAGCGCTCCGGTTGCGCGCGTTCCAGTGTCTGAGCTTTGTCGCCCCATTGATCTGGTGAGACGTCTTGAGGCACATATTGTATGACTCAAAGTGACGACTGATGGGGTTCATAGGATGAGTGAGTGAATTGACGTACAAATAGGTACACAGTTGGGGTCGTGCTCACCGACGATACATTACAGAGGTGATCCCTGTATTCGATGGATTCCAGTACGTCGTCCATTTGTTGGTAGCACGATAGGAAGGCCATGCTAACTCGCCTCAAGGCCTGTAGGAACGATGCAGATCTGCGTCGCCCGCATGCTCAAGGAGTCTGGCATATTCTTCGGGGTAAGAACTTAATCTTGCTTCATCTCGTGGCGTTGATCCTAAAAAGAATGCCGCTTGGATATATCGTAGCTATTAGCCCTGCTTGGCATCGGATTTCTGCAAGGATTGTATGCGTTGGATGCTGCAGACGGCCAGAACGACCATCCGCATGAGGTGCGTCTGGCCCGATGCTCTTATATTGCAAGTGGGTGCTGAAGGCATACCCGTTTGATGATGGTGATGATAGGTCGTGCATGTCTTGATACAGGCATTGCTACAGTACATGTCTTGTATACGCCGCAATCGAAATGATGTGCTCACGGTCTCTGTAACAGGGCGCCGAATTATGACATGTTCTCAAGCAGGTGGGAGCGTTTCAGCGCGTCGGTATCCCCAAATTGATGGTCTCGACTTGATACTATGATAGCACTGGAGGGCAATGGCTATACTACGGGTGCGCAGTCTTCTCATTCATTGATGTGAGATCGTGAGCTCAATCTGCGCCCAGCTGGAATGTTGCAACTGCGCTCATCCTCATCAACGTCCTCATCTCGCTGTTCTCATCGGCGTATGACGATGTCAGTCGACATCCGCTTTCCACGTGGGCACTCCTTACTGATGGCGTGGGCATCCACAGGTCGTTGAGGATGCCGCGGCGGAATACCTCACGTATTTTGCTGGCAAGGTTGGAGGTATGATACGTGCGCCAGACGAGTACGTCTACCCGGCGCCATTCAATATCATCGAGATCCTCTTCATTGCACCCCTTGAGTGAGTGCACCTATCACAGAGCGCTACACGAGTGATTGACCTTGGTCGATGCCCAGGTTCTTCGTGAGCAAGCGGACGTACGACAGAGTAAGCCTAGCTCCCCTCATCCCTTCGAAGCAAACACCACTGACTATCCTTCCCCACCAAGATCAACCGCTGCGTTATGATGGTCCTCTTCTGCATTCCGCTCTGCATCATCGCTCTGTACGAGTCCGAGCTGGACCCGTCGAAGAACCGGTGGGTCCGCGATCTGTTCGCGTACTCCGACGAGGGCGGCGAGGACACGCCCGAGTTCGAGAACCCGAGCGTGCACCCGGACGACTTCGCGAAGGGCCTAGAGATCAGCAGGGTGCCATTCGAGGAGCTCGTCAAGATGTTCCCGGATACGACACGCGTGAGTACCGGGAAGTTCGATTCGTTGTGATGTGCTGATGGCGCGAGTTGGCTCTGCGTAGTCGAACGAGGCTTTGATGCTAACCGAGATCGAGACGATGAAGGAGCAGATGAGGGAGTTGAAGGAGCTGTTGTTGGCGAAGCGGTAATGGACACAGAGACGGCAACGCGGTACCTTCTAGGTCCTCGAGTTGGTATGTATACTGTACAGTGCTCGGAGCGCGTGTTGTAGAGCTGTTGTACGCAAGTAGCAGGCGGTGTAGCAATGAGTGCGCCGTACGGCGTCATTCCATCTGGTCCATTCGCCCGGGATCGGGTTGCCGTACGAGTTGTGTCAAGACACCCATCGAGCGCACGAAGAATGGTCGGATTTCGTTGATCTCCATGGCACAAAGATTGGGAAGCTAGTCGCTGTTCGTGAGTCACAAGCTCGGAAGAAGAACGCGACGGGACGTTGCTTACACTGAGCTCGCTGTGGTCGAGTTTTGAAACACCATCCCGGCTCTTAGCTTGACGAGCCTCACGGATGTCTTGCAGTAACGAGCGGACCTTCTCAGGGTTTGAGATGTCGTCTGACGCACTAAAATCATTGTTAGTAGACACAGAAACATCGTGCAGGGAATTGGTGCATACACGTCCAATATGACCTTCGCTACTTCTGCGAAACGGAACGGCAGTTCACTGAACTCTGGCTGCGAGGTTTCGCGAGTCAGTCTGTCCTGCAAGAAGTCTATCGAGTGTGCTCAGCACAACGCCTGTTGATACGGTGAAGAGCATCATACCGACATTGAGCCAGTCCGGCGGGACGATGTGGCATTTCTTTTTGAGCTTCAGGTTAGTGGCCATCCATATGGGCACCTTGCATTTTGCTGGCGGGCGCAGTGGTCCATAGGCTCCCTTAACACGTGTATTAGTTGATTTCAAGAGTAAGGGGCAGGGTCGTACAGATATGAACGCAGTTCGTTCCATTGCGACAAGGGGGATGATGTCGACGAGCTGCTCGCAGGCTATCAGCTCCAGCTCGGCGGGTGTGACGGATGTTCGTAGAGGTGGTGGTAGTGCCATGGTCGAGTAGGCGAGGCAAAGTACAAAGTCTTCAGGAGTGTTGAGGATGTTCGAATGCTCAGGTGGAAGAGCACTGAACCTACGGTGGCAAGTCGCGTCAAGTCGCGTCGCGCGTCCTCATTGCCGCCAGAGCGCGTAAGCGCTGATGTACGCGGCGCGCGTGGCACGTGGTAAGACGCGTCGCGGACGCCGGACAAGTTGAACTCGGGTGGCTGAACAGGTTCAACCCGATCATCACCACCTCGCCTGCCAGTCCGTTATATGCTTTTGGCCCTCGCCAAGTATTGGTGTACGTGTATTTGGACTCTGTGGGTAGCGTGTCGTGTCTACTATTTGTATCTAACAATTATCACCACAGAGTTGTCGCCATGCTTAGCGGACGAACGAAACAGGTTGTCGCCTACGGACGGCGCGGGCGACGCATAGTCAACGCGTCTGACGACCCCCGACGCTCAGAGAATGTTGACGCAGGACTTCTCTTGCAACCCACACCCAAGAAGAACTACATCGACGCCGATTGGGACCTATCTCCGGAAGTCAAGCTTGCGGCGAAGAAGCGGAAACCGCTTGAGGACCCCGGACCATCCATGAAGGCATCTAAGAAGGCGGCAATGAAATCCAAGAAGTCACCAAAGATTGCGAAGGTGGGCAAGGCGGAGGTGTGCGTGCCCGTGCGTCATCCACTAGCGGTCTTTTCGTCCAACACACCTGGGTCGCCTGCCGTGCCTTCACTGGTTGTCAAGAAGAAGCGCAAGACTGCTCTCAGTAAGAACTCGCCGCTGAAGTCCTCATCTCCCATCGTCAATGTCGACATTGTCGTGCTCGACGGCGCAGGCCGACGAGTGAGCCAGGAAAGACGCATATCGAGGACAGATGTACAAGTCAATCGTGCAGACATGGTAGTGGCAGGCGCGTCGAAATCCAGGAAACTCTCAGCCAAACCCCGCCACTCTGACGTTTCGTCCGATGCTAGCGAAATCGTCGTCCCCAAACCAAAGCTGAAGAAAGGGTCTAGGACACGACCCATTGTCATATCCGACGACTCTGATACAGAAGAGGACGATGTTCCGCTGGCCAAGATCCCCAAGCCAGATTTCTCTCGGGAGTCTCCTCGACAAGTCCCGCCGAAGTATAGCACGGGCTCATCGAATGCTTCGCCCCCCACCCGCTTGCATAGAAAGTCAATACGTAACAAATCAGCAGCTCCAAAGGCAGCCCCCACGATATCCGCTCTCCCGCCCCCAGCACCTGCATTCATCCCATGGACGCCCAAACCGGTAATACCCACGTATGTCCCCCCATCCCTGTCGCCAATCCCCCAGCACGTTAAGACCCGCAAAGCTGGATCAAGCCAACAAAGCCGCTCTTTCCTCGTGCCGGGGCATTCTCCCTTTCCACACGCTGCCAAGGAGCGCAAAGTCACGCCCTACCGTGCCCATCGCAATGGGACCTCCCTATTCCTCGCACCTCCGTCTCCACCATCACCTACCACATTCACCGACCTCGATCTATCCTTGGAGTTCGCCAACCTCGCGCTATCTCCGACTTTGCGCCAGTCGGCTGAGGCTGAAGAGGTCTACGCACCTCCCCAGCCAGCGCACCTCATCCCTCTCCTGAAGGAATGTGCGCAGGAAACACCGCACGAGTTCTCCGCCTTCATCGAGCTCTTTCCGCTGGACCCGATTGTGCGCGGTGACTACCTCGACGTCCAATCCACCCAGGGACGAGCACAGGCAAGGTTCCAGAAGATTGGCGAGGCGTCGTACTCGGAGGTATTCGGCATCGGCGACGTCGTCCTGAAGGTCATTCCGCTGCGCGACGAGGAGCAGACCTCTTCCGGGGACGATAACGGACTAGAGTCCCCGGCACCGAGTGACGCGAAGGACGTGCTGAAGGAGATCATAGTCACTCGCGCGATGGGCGAGATATGCCCCGGGTTCGTGAAGCTCTTGAGGACGTACGTCGTACGCGGAAAATATCCTTCGCTGCTACTTGATCTCTGGGACAACTACAACGAGAAGAAGGGCAGCGAGAGCGTGAGGCCAGGTAAGCAATCCAGCATGCGACTGCTCTGCGGACATCCCAGCTCAAGAAACATTCGCAGATACCTTCGGCGTATCGCAGTTGTACGCAATCATCGTCCTACCCAACGGTGGCCCGGACCTTGAGACGTTCACGTTCAAGGCAGCGACCAAGACAGGTTGGAAGCAGGCATGTAGCTTGTTCTGGCAGGTCACGCGAACCTTGGCAGAGGCCGAGGGTCTCGTTCGCTTCGAGGTGCGCCATGACTCTGTGCACGAGACATGGCCTTGAGCTAACGTTCATCTGCAGCATCGCGACCTCCATTGGGGTCAGATCCTCGTGAAGACGGTTGCCAGCTCATCGTCTGCGCACAGAGGTGCGGGCAAGATGGCAATGGACGATGAGTCGCATGGCATAGAGGCTACTGTCATCGACCTCGGGCTTGCGCGCATGGAGACATCGGACGGCGCCGAGACGCATTGGACGCCGTTCGAGGAGGAGGTTTTTGAGGGCGAGGGTATGTTGCTCGCGTCGGTGCAGAGGCCGTGCTTATGGGGGTGTTCCAGGCGATTACCAGTTCGACGTGTATCGGATGATGCGGGTGCACAACGGCGACTCATGGGAGGCATACCGCCCTCTCACGAACGTCATGGTAAGTCTGCCTCAATATTGTCACTGATCAAACATATTGACTTCCCATTCCCTTCAGTGGCTACACTACCTCGCCTCGAAACTCCTCCATTTCAAGCGTCTCCGGCCCCCACCCGCCGCCCGGAAGACCAGCACGCGGACCGCCGAGCTCGCGTTCTCCGAGCGCGAATGCTACAACTGCCTCGTGGAGATCGAAGAGCTCCTCGGGCGATGCGCCGCAGCCTGCAAGCCCCCGCCTGTCAGCCGCAAGTCAAGGCGGAAGACCCAAGCGCCCGTGAAGACGTCTGTGAAGGCAGATCCTTCGGGGCCGAGGTGCGCTGGGGACGTCCTCCAGCTGGCGATAACGAAGGGATGGGTGTATGCTGGATGATATGATGTGTGGAACGCTAGGAATGTCCAGTCTAGTGCAAGTTTATCCTGTAGCAATGGACGATCTAAATTATCACGGTGTACCATGGGGCTATAGAGCCACAAGTGCACAATTCTTCTTTGAAAACCATGCAGTTCGGGAATTATATCTGACATCGATGTATTGTGTTCAAGTCTGCCCGACACGATGTTGCCGACTGCATGAACGTCGAATGAACTGCGTTACCCGGGTCCCGTTGGTGTGCGAGCCCTGAATATTAATATTCTCAACCACGTTCAACGGCGTCGTCGTGTACCGGCTACTGACACGACGGGTCGTTTCCACTCAGAGTTATCACACAGCAGCAGGAGACCGATAAGAGAAATAATTGCGTTCAACGACACCACGCCTATCCCCCCATTAGAGCTACAATTGGGTAACTGGTATGCTAGTACTAACAGCGATCCGAGAGCGGGGCACAGTACAACAAAATAGCAATGTTCAATACACGACTTTCAATGTGTCATCATCTTCAGTGTCCTTCTTTGTGCGATGCGGCGGCGGCGGATGTCGGCGGTCAATGGTGATGGTGGATGGAGAGAGGATGCAGTGGACCGAGAATAGGAATGGAGATTGTGGAGTAATAATTCAAGCGCAATAGGGATGATGAATACTGCGACGACACTTCAGAACACACGCCAACACCGCAAGAAAAGACCGAACCACCCACAAGTTATTCGTGAATTCTTCTGCACTTTCGAGACACCGCGCTATATCACATTCTATGTACTTCTTCGTTTCGCTTTCTTCGTCACTTCATTCTTCAATTTCTCGCGCGGCCGGCCGAGGGTGGGACGGCCTACGCGAGCACCGTCTGCTTCGCCGTCTTCCTCGTCGTCCTTTTTGGCGGGGAGACTTTCGGCGCTCGCTTGGACGGGGAGGAGAGCGACGCCTTGCCCTTCGTCGGTGACGACGCGCCCTTGCCGACGGGCTCCTGGTGCGAGGACATCGCACGCGCGACGCGAGCCTTGGCGTTGGCCATCCCGCGCACGGGTGCGGTCCTCTCGCGGAGGTTGTACCGCGGCGAGCGTGTGGCAGGGGCCGGCTCGGGGACGTCTCGCTGGCGGGTCTTGCGCGTCGACCCGCGCGCAGTGGCCGCGGCGGGCGCGCGGCGCCGCCGAGCGGGGGACGGCGAGGGGGGAGGCTGGGAGGAGCCGCTGGGCGTCCCCGATGTCGGCGAGTACGTCAACGCGCGGATGGGGGACGGCGACGAGCCGCGGTACGTCGCGTCGCTCCCTGGCGACCTGTCGGGCGAGAACCCGAGCTGCGACAGTGACATTGCCTCGGGGACGGGGAGGCGGGACGGGGTGTCGAGCTGCGACGCTGGGAGGGCGCTGCTGTCCTCGACCTCAACCCCGTGGTGCAGAGACCCCTGCGGCGTTACGAGCGGCGTGGGGATCCATGCGTCCGTGTCCTGGGACGTGCCCTGGGACTCCCCCTGAGAGGGGGACGCGTCTCCCGCTGTCTGCGAGGGCCCGGCGTGCGGAGCGCTCGTCGGCGGGGGCAAGCGGCGGGGAGGCGTCGACGGTTGCGCGGAGTTCGGGAATTGTGGTCGACGACGACCAAGGAAGGGCGAGAGGTCGGCGACGCCGTACGTTCGTACTGGCCTTGAAGAAGGGCCGGCGAGAGGAGGCTCCTCGACGTCCGCTGGTTCCGTGGGCGTGCGTTCCACCAGCTTTGGTTTCTTCCTGGGGCGCAAGCCAACCGTGGTCCCCCCATTCTCCGTGTCAAAGTAGTACGTCTTGCCCTCGTACTCCTCCCAAGGACCCTCGTCCACTTCGCGCTTCCGCTTCAGCGGACTTGCGCGTGGCCGTACAACCTGAACTGGCACATACGGCACAGATCGTATCGGCGGGAGCTTGCTCTCGTACGCGAAGTCTCGCGTCTTTATCCCCATCTCAGCAAGGACAGCAGCGTTCTGCTGTACTTGCTCATCGGACCAGACTTTTGCACGTTTTGTGTGCGTGTTCTGTGGCCGCTCTGCGGCGCTTGTGGACTTGCAACAGCCTTGAGGACACACGACTTCTGATGAGATATGTGGCGTTCCACTCACGGTAGATGCAGGCGTCTCCTCATTTCTCTGCGAATCCTCTGACAGCTTTCCCTCGATCCCCTCCGATGATTCTGGCAGGGGGGAGGGGCTCAGGCTTGCAGCAAGCCAACGCGTGAAACGTTGCAATGGTTGCATGATTGGGGCTTGGTCACGGTTGGATTTGAACGCGTTGCAGGAGTTACACTCGGGACCGGATGTGTTCAGCAGTGGCACTGGTGATGGTTGCGGTTGAACATCCGTGAGGGAGAAGAAGCGGAGGAGGTCGCGCTTTATACAGGAGCGCCGCAAGGCTGTTGAGTGGCTGCAGCCACTGGCACGCCCGACCCACGCTCCAAATCGGGCCAACAATTGGCGCAAGCCTGCGCCAATCAGCGCCCTCCGCCAAGAATGGCAATCACCGACTCCAGCCCGACGCTCGACTCCTCCCGCGAACCGTCCCATACGTAAATCCCACTCCCTCTTCGACCCTCACCACCGTCCACTGCGACGCCGCCGCTGCTGTCTGCCATGCTCACATTTTCTCTCGAATTTTCTGCTGCTGAAGGCGTTACATAGCAGGTCCTTTCATGCAAGGTGACTCACCGTGGGCGCGAGCACCGACGAAGCGCCGCCGCGCCTGAGAGGTGCTGTACACAATCCAGCGTCAGGAAGCGGCGAACAATAGATCCCCTTCATGTCCGCCCTCTGACACGTCATCACCGCCCCGGAGGCACTCTCCCAGAACTCTCTGCATTGAGACTCCCGAATTGCACCGCGCGCCGTTACAACTTACTCCGGCCCGCGGTCAAAGTGCGCCGAACACTCATGTGTGGCACCATATCGAGGTGTTCGAGCGGCAGTACGGGCAGCGCTGCTACCGTTCGTGGACAACGTGCGATGCGCTCGGCGGGAGAGCGCCCACTGCGCAATGCAACTCGGTAAGATGGCAGCTACAGGAGATAATGACTCTCAGCCATCTGACGATGCACCCCCTAGTACGTCCTCGAACAGCTCGATTGACTACAAGTGATAGGGTACCTGAATGGATACAAAACGAGGTCGCTGTACTGTTGTCCTGTGCCACTCGAGCCTACGCTCGACTCCAAGCCCATGAACAAGGAGGCACCCGGCGAGGACGACGCAACACGCAGACCGATGAAGAAAGCAAGAAGAAAGCAAACATAGATAATGCAGACATCGGGCCATCCCTTCAACTTTCCGAGTACGACGGGGGGACGTCTGTAGGCGTGCGCGCTTCGTGCGCGCCGCCTGACCCGGAGGCCTGGGGCTGTCCTGAGGCGTCGAATCGCATCCCCGAATCGGCGTGGTACATCGCGTGCTGTGGTTGTGCCACAGAAAGTAATCCCGCCTCCGCTGCCTTGCTGCGCGTCTGGTTGGGCGAGGACGTGACCGCGGGACCACCAATAACGGTGAGTGTCGGCCTAGAGCTACCTGCAGCAGACGAGTAGGCGCTGCTGTCGCCCGCCTCGCTTGCTTGTGCAGGCTGGTTTTGTGCGTTCACGGCTGTGTACTGCGTGGGTGGTGGTCCACGGTAGCTGGACATTTCTGGCGTCCTCTTGTAGGACACGTCGGGCTCAATACCGCTGCCCTGGGTGAAGGGTGTCGGCTTCACTTCTGCAGAGGTGCAGCGTCAGCATCCCATTCTGCACGTGTCGTATGCACCGTAAGACTCACCGTCACGCAGCAGCTCTCCTGCCTCAGCATAGAAGTACGGCCTCTTATTGCGTCCCCTCAACCAGAAGAAACCGAGGATGCCAATGATCGCCAGGCCCGCCACCCCTCCCACAACACCGCCCACGATCGCTCCCACATTCGTGCTGCTCCCACTCGACGCACCGACAGCCGACGGCGTGCTCGCCGCGCCCACATCCGTCGCAAGGGACGTCGCGGTCGCCGACTCACCGGCGACGCCCGACGTCGTGGACCCCGTCCCCTGGTAAAGGACGAACTCGAGAACAAATAGGTTATCGGCCGTGGCGTTCGTGACGTTGAACACGAGCTGATGCTGGCCTGCGCTGAGCATCGGCGAGATGAAGAACTCGACCTCGGACTGCGTCTCCGTCACGTTCGACGGCCCGACGTACGTGTTTGGCGACGCGCCGTCGATCGAGTACGTCGACTCCACGGGCTGCCCGGCCTCGAGCAGGCCGTAGACGGCGATCTGGTTACCTATCCGGGATGGAACGTCAATACGCGCGTGGACATGGAGGACGCGCTGCTCACCCGTGAACGACAAAGACCCGTACGCCCCGGCCACACCGACTGCTATAGTGGAAGACGAGCCTGACTTGCCCTGGATGGTGAGGTCTGTCCAGTTGCCCTGCAGCTTCAGAGCGGAACTCGTAGGATACACCGCGACGACGTTATCCATGGACGACATAATGAGCGACTCGGGCGGACAGAGACTGGGGAACGTTAAGCGCAAGCCTAAGGGGGCACAAGAAAGGGCCCGGGACACGAAGGGAACGAGGGGAAGGGAGAAATATGGGCTGTTCCACCCTTTGTCGGTTTATCTGAACCCGAATGGTCTGCCGACGTCGGACGGGAGTCACCCCGCCCGTGCGCGACACAGCATGAACATGCTACCATTGGCACAATGGGCGCTGATTCGGGCGAATCAAAGGGACGAGGCGGGAAGCAGAGCGTATGTTTCACTTGCCCCTGATGTTGTGGGGCGTTCTTACCCAGAGCCAGACACTACTACTGCTAGTATAAGTACCAGTGTAAGGAACCGGAGACACAACTTCACCGTTCGAGTGCACGGAACCACCTTATGTTCTGTACCGCCTTCCGCAACTGCAATGTCGTCCGAGGAGTGAATCACCTTGCCTATTATTCTACGTACCCATACCTACCTTCAACGCTTAGCTTCAATCTGTAGCCGTATGTTCACTACGGCAATCAAAGTGGGCGACGAACCCCAGAATCAACACGAGCGGCGAGCGTTGTTGACTAAATGCTCACCGGTGATCGACGGGCGTCGTGATCCTCCCCGAGCTCGCATACCGAAAGTTGGTAAGGTCCGGATGCGAGGTGACGTAGACGCTGCTCTAATACTTGGTACCAAGGCCGGGCTTGGACCGGGCGCCGCGGGAGATTCTACGTGGCGACCATTCAGAATGAACGACTCAACGAGGATCTAGAAACGAAAACATGCGACGAGGCCGGGTTTCCTGCTTCCGACTTCGAATTGTCGTGATGGGCTACGAGAAGGCAAGTCCATGTATGCGAGACCATCCCACCAAATACAACAAGCAAGACCGTAAAGCAAATAGCGTGGTGAGTATGTGCGTAGCAAAGTCCCCGATGAGCAATAGTGAATAGGTATGTCGAAAGCAACGAATATGTTCAAGCCGTGTCATCAGTGTTCGGAGTAAGATGGAGGGACATCTGTGGGTACCTCCTCTACAGTGGACGGGCCGTCTCCACGTGCGTTGAATCGCAGCCCCGAGTCCTGGTAGTATGTCGTTTCCTTCCCAATGGAGAGTAAGCCTGCCTCAGCAGCCTTGCCCCGTGGTTGATCCGGCGATGCGTAGTCATCCTCGCGATCGGAGCCGCCGACGAGAGTGAGCGTTGGCCGTTGGCCACTCGTGTGCGACGCGTAGCTGGTCGACTGTGGCGATCGCGGTGCGTCGAGTTGTGAGTGCACACTACCGCCCGCGGGCGCGCCCAGTCCAGGCGGGGCCGCAGGATACGCTGCGGACTCAGACTCGGAGGCGCTGGGCGCGGGATGGTCAGAGTATCGCGAAGGCGCTGAGGAGGACGCTGCGTCGGTCGGATACGGCGTCACTGTGACCGCGGCCATAGGGAGATCTGTGGGCTTGATATCTGCATATTGTGAAGTCAACGGCCTCCTGCAGGGGATTTTGAGACGAACGCACCATCCTGGAGCATCTCCCCGGCCCCGACTTCCTCGTAGAAATACGGTCGCCCCTTCCGCGCTAGCTTCTGCCTCAGGAAGAAGTAGGTCGCCAAACCCAGGATCATCAGTCCCGCGACCCCACCTACTACCCCGCCTACGATGGCCCCCACCGGCGCAGCGCTGCTGGCAGTGGCGTTGGAGACCACGATCGTTGCCGTTGAGCCATGTAGGGAGGTCGACGAGTATGTCGCACCAGACACGTCTGTTGAGGTCGGGATGTAGAGTATGAACTCGAGGATGTAGGGTGCGTTGGAGGTAGCGTTGACAACGTTTATCGAGAGCTCGTGCTGGTCGGAACTGAGTTCCGGAGAGAGGAAGAGAACAACCTCAAACTGTTGGCTCGTCAGGTCCGATGGGCCCGTATAGGACTCTGCTGACGAGCCGTCGATTGAGTAGGTAGACGTGACCGGCTGCCCGGTCTCGAGCACCCCGTAGACTGCTATCTGGGTACCTACAACATCCGTTAGCTCTCGTTCGTACAGACAATATCGGAACGCTCACCATTGAATTTGAGCGTGCCCGACGCGGCTCCTTTCGCGACGGCCAATGTAACATTCGAGCTCGGATATGAGACCGTTGTCCAAGCTGATCGGCTGTAGTTCAAGGACGGGTCATTTGCATACACGACGACCGTGCTGTTCGAAGACATCCTCGGGCCCAGCGGAAAGGAGCGTCACAGCTGAAAGAGGGGCTGGTGGTCAACAATATCGGCGCGCCAGGCACGAGGCCATGACTAGAGCAAATGCAGTAATGTCGGTCACAACATCACAGCTTACGGCGCTATCTGAGATGAAGCCAACGACGAGACCAAGGCGATGTTTCACATCAGGCAACCCGAGGCTCACGTACGGTTCGACAGTCAAGCAACGTGTATAGCGCACGACATCATGACTGAGACAATTCGTTTTTTGTTGGGCTGGGGGAGGTCATACTCAGCACTACGCACGGGTGTCAACTTGACAAGCCAGCGGCATGTAGAGTGTAGACACCGGGGCCAGGGGAAGTAGACCGGCAACGGAGGGGATCATGATGCGGCGGTAGGGACGCGCGCCCATGTTCGCGATCCCACAGGGTTGCCGCATTCGGCGATCGCCAATTGCCGCCACCGACTACGCGTCACGCTGCCGCGTTCGAACCGTGTAAGCAGCTGTAAGCAGCGCGTACTCGTCTGCCACTTCCAACAACGTAAAGGTGCGTGACATCCTGACGGCACGTAGATCCGCTTGAAGTGTCGTTGAACAGATCTTCGCATCTTGTAGAACGCGTACAAGCCTCGGGGAATGTGCCTGCACTTCCTCCGACCCCGTACATTCACGTCGTGTGCGCAACCGTCATAGGTGTCGGTGCCTTGTATCCCGTCCAGCGAATAACTAGCCGTACGTGCCAGCATATATCGCATCTTGTGAGATTTGCTCATCATCCCACTAACAGTGCCCGGCTCGGAGCCACGAGTGGCTTCACCATAATACACTCGCAGACCGCGACAACTCTCGTACACGCACACAATATAATGCTTCGGCGTGCGTGGAAGCCAATCATCGGTACGACGGCGCTAGTTGGCGGACCCACCTACCTCTACTATCGGTACTACTCCCAGCCCAGGTCTGAGACCTTCGACCTCAACGTCCGCGTGCGCGGCGCCGACGGAAAGCCCGCACTCCAGAAACAGACATATCCGATGGTACCTAGCGATCAAGTCAACAAGCGGCTCACGGAGCACGCGACGTCGAAGACGACCGTCAGACCAGGCATCGTGTGGAAGCAAGCCACTGCTCAGCTCTCCTCAAACAACCCCATCGAGGATACGTACTCTAGTGTCTTTGTACAACGAGACCCAACGGACCCTGCGGCTCCCGGGGATCTATTGCTCTTTGCGGTCATGGACGGCCACCGCAGCTATCATACCTCGCAACTCCTCTCTAAGATCCTCCTGCCCGCAGTAGGCCTGCAACTCCAAGAATTGACTAAGGCACCGGGCTCACCCAAGAAGTCAAGCACACTGGAAAGCCTCAAAACCATGATATATCCTACATCTCCGGGACTCTCAGCACCAGCAGACTCGGACCCGCAGAAGGTGGCGCACGCCATCCAGTCGACCTTCGTGAACCTCGACTGGGAGATCACTAACGCGCCTCTGCGCGTACTGACAGAGAACATCGACAAGCTGGCAATAGCGAGCCAGCAGATACCTGATTTAAGCCAGCACCCGATGGCCCTAGCCACGATGCAGCCCGCACTATCCGGTCAGTCTGATAGCTTGCGGGATGTCACACGACACTGACTGCAGTCTTAGGGAGCTGTGCAATCATGGCGCTGTTCGACACGGCACATCAGAACCTCTATGTAGCCTGCACAGGCGACAGCCGTGCCGTCGCCGGCGTGTACGAGGAGACTGACGACGGCAAGGGCTCGTGGCGCGTCGAGGTCCTGAGCGAGGACCAGACGGGGAGGAATCCCAGCGAGCTGAAACGGTACGTAGAACACGAAGCCACTCCCGGGACACTAACGAACAGTGCACAACGACGCGTAGGATGCAGTCGGAACACCCCGCAGACGAAGCCAACACGGTGATCATGCGCGGACGCGTCCTCGGCGGCCTCGAGCCAACACGAGCGTTCGGAGACGCACGCTACAAATGGTCGCGCGACATTCAGCAAGCGTAAGTCGCCCCTCGCCACCTCACAAACTCCTTCACTGACTCCCCGCAGCCTACACAAGGCCTTCATGGAGGGCAACAGCCAAGCACTGCGCGCCGTCCCCTCCGCGCTCAAGACACCTCCCTACGTAACTGCCCGGCCCGAGGTCACGCACCACAAGCTCGCGCTCCCGCCCTACGCCAACCCCGCGTCCAAGCCCAAGTCCACGCTCCGCTTCCTCGTCCTCGCGACGGACGGGCTCTGGGACGAGCTCTCCTCCGAGGAGGTCGTCGGGCTCGTCGGGGGGCACCTAGCCGGTCTCCGGGGCAGCGTGCCCAAGGCCCAGCTGCCCGCGATGGTGCGCACGACCGCCGGCGCACCAACAGTGAACGGCAAGTCGTTCGAGCCCGGGCGCTCGACGGAGGGCGCGTGGGCGTTCGTCGACGACAACGTCTGCACGCACCTGATCAGGAACGCGCTCGGCGGCGCGGACGAGAACAGGCTCAGGAGGCTCCTCAGTATCCCTGCGCCGCTGTCGCGCAGTTACCGCGACGATATCACGGTCACGGTGGTGTGGTGGGAGGATGGTCCCGGGGCCACCCCAGAACAGATCCGAGCGAAACTCTGATGATTGCTCTGAGCGTCTTGTACAGTATGTACAGCGTGTATATACATGAACGATGTAATAACAGGAGCAATGAGGACGGGATGCGGGATGCTACGAGGGATGATCTATGATCGATGAGTGCATACGGATGTAGTGCGATGTGAATGACGATGTGTTATGCGGAGGGGTATCTTACATGATCATTCTTTTCTTCTTCCCGTACCGATGCTGTACAGGTGCAGAGTCGCGGCGGTTGCCTAGCGTATCGCTGCCCTTCAGCCTGCTGTACGGGTTCCAGCTCCCATTACCACTAAAGCGATCGCCGCGCTTCGACGGCGTGTTCGCTTTCCGGGACGGCGTTGACGGGATGGGCGTGCGAGCCCAGTCTTTCAGCGACTGCTCGGCGTCGCTGTCCTCGTCGTCGCTGTCGGGCGACTTCCGCTTCTTCGCGCTGCCACCGTCCTTCCCCTTCCCCTTCTTGACCGGATTGCCGTAAAAGCTGCTGGCAGGGATGGACGTCAGGCCCGATGACGAGGCGGTCTTGGACGCGGGTGTTGAGATCGTCGGGGACGGGAGCAGCGCAGATGTCGTCAAGTCTGACTTCACTTCAGCGCTGGCATCAACAGAGGCTGCCTTCTCCTTCCCCTTGCCATTCACGCCCTTCTCATCCTCCTTCTCCTCGACCTTCTCCCCGATGTCGTCGCTACCATCGCTGTACTGCGCGAGGTCAGCCAGCCCGTTCGTCACGGCCTGCTTGGTCACCTGCCCAATCTTCTTCTGCAGCATCTGCGCCTGCGGATCGGACTTGCCGGGCGTAACAGGTGACGAGGGGAGCTGGGGACCAATGAACGGCGCGCGATCCTTCGACTTCGCAGGTCGAGCCGAGTCCTCGCCCTCACTGTCCGGTGTCTTGCGTTTCTTCATGTTCGCAACGAGCCCGGTCTTGGTGGGCTGGGAGGCTCGGGCGGGGGTACCGACGGCGGCCTCAAGTGCCTGACCCTTGTCGCGAATGTAGAAGAGGATGTATGCGTTCTGCCGACTCATCGGGGGAGGGGTGCGGGTGACAGAGTCGTCGTTCATCTCGTACCACTGGCCATCGCCGCCCTTGACATGCGCGTAGTAATGGCCCGAGTTGGGCCCGCCGCCTGCGTGGGATATGACGCCGTACAGAGAGTAGGTCGGTCCATGCTGCCCTTCGCTCATGACAGGCTGCAATGAGACACGCTCTTCGTACTTGATGCAGTGTCCGATCTTACGACCCATCGGAGAGAAGCGCTTTAGGTGAACGGTCAGCACAAGTGGTGCTTCGTGGACCGTGAACTGCTTGTCCGCGGTAACGGGCTTCTTGCACCTAGTTCGGCAAGATGAGCACCTGAGCACACGCACGAAGAAATATCGCTGCTTACTTCTCGCACTTGTACTTGTCGGCCCCTTTCAGATGATCGACTGCGACGAACTTCCGCAGAGCGTCTTTCAAGGTCTGCACTCCATAGATGTCGATGCTCAGATCCAGGACACTGTCGTATGTATCGCTGTCGTGGCCACACACGAGACATGTAACCCTAGATCGCAATCGGCCACCAAATATTTGGTGGATCCACGAAGTCTCAGCGAGTTTTGGGTCCATTTTCCTGGAGATGAAATTTTCAGCCGCGTCGATCATGAGGACGTGAACAGACTCACGGTGGATGGCCAGCAAGGCAGGATTTCTGAAGGGCGTCGATAGCATATCGCAAGAACTCATGTGAGTCCTCTTGCCGTCCGCGCTTCATATGCTTCGCGATGACTGGGAAGCACATGAGCGTCTGTGAAGCGGGCGGGGCCGTGGCGTTGACAAACCTTGTAGCTTAGTCGTGATGGGGTACGGTGCAAAAGGTCGTTGTTTCTGGTGCGATTCGAACATCACGGTCCGCAAGTTACACGCCATGCAGAATGCGCCCTTGGGTACTCGACCTATCAATATGTATACGTTGAGCACACACAAGGCGAGGAGAGGAGAGGATGAACATACAAGGGTCTGAATCACCATGTCTGATCAAGACATGCAGCAAGGGTGTTGTGTGCAGTAGGCACTGCAAAGCGCTATTGAGGAAACATGTATTCCCCGTATTGTGAAGGCCTGTTCCAATGCTAGCGCCATCCGGCCACGACGTGTGGAGAGGACCATTGTACAGTGCCTTCCCTGACGTTGTCTGAGGGGATTTAGGTGACCTGGAGGACTTCGGATGGGTAGATGAAGTAGCCTTCTTCGTCTCCCGGGGCTACGCGCCACAATGAGACAAGGGCGCAGTACCTATGGACGGATGGAGCGTACCTCGGCTTCTGACGGTGTTGGGGTCGCGTTGATGGGCTGGTATTTGTCTTCGTCCATGAGGAGTGCTCCTTTCGAAGAGCCCTCAACGAATTCGATGGGCGCAGGAAGTAGGCTCTTGAATTCCTCGAGGTCTTTCGCAGGACGGTACTGCGTATTCTCTTCTGAGAAACCCGATGCGGGCCTAATAGCGGTCGCCAGCATTTTCAAGGCTGCCTTTGCCGCTGGTCTCTTGCCAAAAGCGCAGAGAGGACGCGGGAGAGTGCGAGGGAGATGGGGACGCAGTGTGAACGGGGCGGCAGATGGCAGTCGCCTCGGAGGCTCGGGGTGGGCGGTCTCTTCTCAGTCCTGGGTGGCGATGTAACTTTTCCTCACGTGACGTTAAACAACGCCACGGTCCGCTGACGCCACAAGCGCGTTGAATGCGACTATGGATAAACGCGTGGCCGTCTACTACATACTGTTATGTTTTGAAGACTCAAGACTCAGGGGATTTTCGTAGAGCAGACCAGGACATTATGCCGCGCAGGCCAAAAGACGTGCTGTTATGTGTTAGACACCGAGCCAGCACAATGTTATGTATTACATGAACGGCGAAAATGTAGAGATATACAGGGGAAAGCAACTCGTTCGAGGGCCCGTAGTAAACAGTTGTATGCTAGGAGATACAGCCGGGGATCATGGGAAACTAAACGCTACACACCTACCCGAGGAGGTCAGATATTAGACAGGGGTATACATTATTCTACATCAAGCTGGTATAGCCGTTGAAGTGCGAGATGTCCTGACGGCGTACTCGTGGCATCAGCTGCGCACTTTGGCGTGCGCGCCCCAGGCTGCTGATGGACGGGACGCTGAAGTCGTTGTTCGCTGGGACGAGCCCAATAGGGGAGGGAGACCGGCTGGATCCCTGAGAGCTCGGTGTAAGCGGTGACGAGACGGACAAGAGATCGCCCCCTGAAGCGTGATGTGTCGTATCGTAATACAAGTTATCGTCGTGGAACGTTGTTGCAGTGGGCGCGTTGATGTGGGTATATGGATCCGTCCAAGACGGCGTGGAGGACCCGGAGTGGCCGAGGCCCACAGAACCTACGCCGTTCAGATCAAAAACCGTTCTGGGCACACTACAACTGTAGAACCTACCATCAACTGATGTTCCAAGAGCGAAGGCATCAAAGTCGTTAAAGTCAAAGGAAGGTCCCTGGCCCAAGAGAAGACTAAAGTCATCCATCGTCTCGAGCCCCGGGGAAGGGGTGATGGATAGCGTCGGAAGCGTCGAGGAGAAGCCGAGGTAGTCAGAAGAATCGAACGGCAGGGAAAGGCCGAGGGCATTCTGAGAGAGATGGGTACTCGGCTCCGCAAGCACCGGAGCGGGACCATATGTGGACGCATTAAACGAGAGTTGAGTCTCGGTGGTCTGCACAGCGGGAGTGGTCGTGCCAGACGGTCCGGGCCCCCACGCATCGTTACGCGACGCACCGTATGGGGAGATGGTGTAGAGGCCGGAGAAGGTATCCTCGGCAGGGGCAGCGGGAGCGGGAGCAACAGCAGGAGGCTCAGAGGCCACTGCGCTCTTGCGCGACCGCTTGATAGGTCTAGCCGCGCGTGTCGCTGGCTTGTACTCGTCGTCGTCATCGTTGTCCTCGACATCTGCGCGTCGTCTCTTCCTCGAGCGCGTCTTGGGAACCGTGGCCTCATCCTCCTCGGTGTCCTGCTTGATGGCATTGCGCCCCTTCCCCGGAGCGGCCACCTTCTTCCCCTTGTTGGCCCGCACAAAGTCAGCTTCCGCCTCCTCGTCCACGTCGTCTGAGAAGAACAAGGGCTTGTCCCATTCCAGCTGCTCGTGAAGACCCTTCGTCGGGTCCAGCACCCCGCCGTACTTCGTGACCGCGTGGTGCCACGGATCTACGGTGGACTTGCTCACGCCGTGCTGTTTGGACATGTGGTTCTGGAAGCCGTCCTTGCGTTTCATACTGTCGTCCGGGATATGATATTTAGAGGAAATATACACGCCCACCCATAACAAGACTCACACAACTGCGCATCTGGGGGCGGGACATCTGAACCCGCCGAAGGTAGAGTGCTGCTCACGCTCGTGGCGACTCTTGCATGCCGTGTCGTTGAAATTTTTGCCACAATATCTGCAATCGTGAGGACGCTTCCCGGTGCTGGTATGTCTCGGTGAGTACGCGCCACAATAAGAGCGGGACGCCAAAGGCTGCGAGTGTACTCACTGCGTATTCTCGTGGTTGTTGAGCTGTGTGCGCTGCGCAAAGTTCTTGCCACAACCTTTGAATTCGCACACGAACGGTCTGCATCATCGGTGAGACGTTGAGCGCATGTTGACGAGGCTATATGCTTACTTCTCGTTGAGATGTATAGTCTCGTGGCGCTTGAGTTCGCTCTTGTTCTTGAAGGACTTGCCGCAGTCTGGCTCCGAACACATGTGCGGACCCTGCACAGGCTGTTCAACCTCGGTGAGCCTCACGGCCAATGCGACGTGACAAAGAAGGAGTACACACGCTAGTTGCTCTGGGTGCTCTGGGCATCTTCTGGAACGTCGTATGAGGGCAGAGGATGTATGGGAGGGTGTGATGGCTGAGGGTGTTGATTAAAGGAGGCACGCTTTATGCACGGTCGTGGATGAGTGGTGTGAAGGGAGAGAACAAGTGGGCGGCGTCGTTAAGAGTGGCAAAGATTGAGTTCAACAGCCTAATCCGGTAGACAAAGCGAATCAACGCTAACAACAGGCCACAGGCCTGTATAAGGAAATGACAAATCAAAGGGATCGTCAAAGCGTGGTCAGAACGTGGAAGCTCTTGGCCTCAAACGAGCGGCGTAAGTGACGTGTAACGAGCGTGAGTGGAAGGGGCACCCTCACCAGGAAGAGTGGCCGTGTTTTTAAGTGGCCATGAAGCCCCATGATGTCGAGTACCGGGATCGGTGGATAGACGAAACAAGGCGCACCCATTATTGTCTTTGCCAGCGGCGGGCGGGCGGTTCAAAAACCTGGGGCGCAAAGGGCGAGCTCAGGACAATTGTCTCGGACGCCGATGTCTTTCGGGTGACCTAGCAGACAAGGCGAACATCGAGATCCCAGTAGACAGCGGCTTTCCCCAAAAAGGCAATTTTGATCTGAGATGCTTTCGAGAAACGCATCAGCGCGAGGTCTAGCGAGGTTTGCGTGAGGGCTGAGAGGCACGTAGCCTCACGGCCAGAAGGTGCCACACGGCAAGGGAATCGCGAGATCCATGAGGGTGCGCGGTGCGCTCTGGTGCGTTCCATCGGACTGATGCGCATTGACAAAATAAGGCCGCGAAGGCCGGTGTTAGTATCGCCGACTCTGCTCCCGCGTGAGTGGCGATCTCAGTAGGCCTAGGTAGAACTGATATATGCATCAATACACGCGGAACAGATTTCTAGTCGAAGATACAGCAGCCGAGGCGTAGGAGTACAAAGATCCGCTTACAAGTCGTCAACCAAATACAAGGCAGTTGCCTTCGCAGTCCCCCCGGCTTCCTACTCGTCATGTCCGAGCCCGGCCCCTTCTATCCACTTTGTAGGTTCGATCCAGGGCGCGATCGTCTTCAAGTCTTCAAATGTCAGGGACGCATAGTGACTTCTGCTCAGCCCGTCTACTAGTTCTAGGTCTAGAAGCGGCGATGCGCCGAACGGTGGCTTCGTATTCTGACCGATCAGCTGAGCGACGAGCCTAAAGGGATATAAGAGATATGTCGTCGGGACGACGTGGATGCATCCACTCACATCATGCTCCACATCCATTGCATCCCGCTTTCTTCTATGTCCCCATCTGCGAGCCACCGCAGATCTTCGCCACTCGGGGTGAAGAATGGGTAGTTCTCGTAAGCTGGAGCGGGCAACGGGTGGCTTAGACGGCGGTACGTTTCGTTTATCCGCGCTGCTGGCACAGCCGTAAATTCCCGTTATTGTGCGCGTTACAAAACAGACCAACCTCCGCTGCTAGCCCCTGTGCTGAGTGGTATATTGATGATGTGGTCGTGTTCACCGTCCGATTCGTCGGAGGACGATATGTCGAGATTCGTCAATTTCGCTGCGGTGTCTCCGTCCATCCCTGGAGGGTGGAGGAGCGCCTTGGCGAGATGGTTGACACCGAATGCTGTCCGCGGCTTGTTCAGGACGCCAATCGCCAAGATTCGGACATCCGGGAATTCGACGACGACCTGTGATCGTGCTATGTCTGTAAGATATAAGGGGACCTTGTGAAGTGCTCCGACTGACCCTTATGCGGGGCTGGAACTGCATCAGATCGTTTTGTATCCTGCATGGACGTCAGCATGCGATCGACGCCGGATGTACTGTATGACCGCTCCAGAACCCATATTCTATGATAGGCGGCTCGCCCTCAGGCTCGGACGTGCACATGAAAGGCCCGACATAGTCCAGCACTGAGTGGTACAAGGGTATGTCAACGCCCGGACACGTATGGCTCATTGATCACACTCGTCTGGCATCTTACAAATTTGGCTACCATGCATGGGTAGCGGTATGCCCACATGCGCGCATATGCTGCTTCGTGCAGCCAGAGCGTCGAGCACAATGGCGTGATACACAAGCCCAACCACTTGACACTCTCGACGGGGCGGTCTACTCTTGTACTCACCTCATCTGTTCGAAAATAGCTAGCGGGTCGAAACCTCGCGATGTGCCATTAAGCTGATTGGCCGTTCCATTTCTGTTCAGCACAAGGTAGCTAGAGGTGACATCAGACACAACCGTGTACAGGGGCATGGACACGTACTCTGTCCAAGCTTCATCATGGGTGCATGCAGAACTCGTGCGGTGCCAGACGCGGTAGAGAACCCTAACCCATGGTGTAAGTCAATATGCAAGGTCAGGGATAGTAGGACGCCTCAATAGACTGACTTCATGAATGCCTCTTTCCACGTCGCGCCTTCCTTCTTGATTTTCGCCCACGACGGCAAAAACCTCCTCCTGAAGCATTCCTCCCATTCAATGTCCTTCAAATGAGGCAGGGACGCCTCAAGCAGCAGGTAATTGGCCCGCGCAATGCTCAGGATCTCCACAAAGTTATTGCGCGGCACCGTCGAGCGCACACTCAGGTGGCGGAGCGCAGGGTCGTACTCCTGGTCCGGATTGTGGAGCGTGCGTCGGATGGGGCGGCGCCACGGGTTCAGGGAGGGCTCAGAGGAAATCGCCCGCAGGCGGTTCGAGACGTAGGTCGTGGTAACGAGTGATGATAGGTCGAGCTCGCCCAGGATGTCCGCAATCAATTCGACCGGGAGCGACTCGAGTACGTTGAAGTTATTACGATCCATGTGCGTCGTTCGAGAGAGACGCTGCCGTAACGGTCTGTGGCGACTCTGCCGCCGGATGCGCGTCGTCTGAATCTCGATCCGAGAGCGATACTGGAAAAGGAAGGTGTAGTGATTGCTTGCAACGGCGGCTGCCAGTCGATCTCCTTCGCTGGCGAGACTCTCGCAGTACGTCGAGGGGTCTAGGAGTATGCAGTCGAAGGCGAGTGCGTATTCGACGTGCTCTGTACACGCATTTATACACTTAGATTTGACGCTGCCAGCAGGTAGGTGGTCAGTGCTGTGGCACAGCCTCAGCGGTACTCGGCCTTCGAACCCCAGCGGAAGACGTAGAAGTTGCACCTCGTTGTAGTCCCAGGCACAGCATAACTCAGATACCGCTGTCTAAATTGACTGCAACGTACAGCATTGCAGGGCAAATCCCTCATATACCCACTTCCATTCCCGAGACGATAAATAATATCCAGGTATCCAGTACTATTCGCCAGATACATTAGAAATCCTTCCACTCATCCCAATCGTCATCCTTCTTGGCTGCCTTCGCTGCGGGTGCTGGAGAGTGCATAGCCGGAGATATCGGGGAGACCTGCGATGCGAGGCTGCCATGGCCGCGGTTCGGATTATTGTTGTAGTTGTTGAAGAAGTCTTCTTCGTCATCGTAATCCTGGTAGAGTGCGGACGTCTCCCCATCGCCATAGCCACCAGGGCCAACGGAACTGTATCCTCTCCGAGCCGGACCGCCCGTCACCGTGTCTTTCACAGTACCCACCACTCCGCCAACCTGCCCCGCCACGTCGACGCCAAGGGTGCTCCTCCCCCACATGTTCGCGCTGCGTCCTGCGTCAGCCGCGCGCTTGCTTGCTTCGGATACGTAACCCTTGACGCTCTGCTGGAAGTTCGGATCCGTGACTCTCTCCATGCCTGGCTGGATGATGTTCTCGGATACGGCTTTCGTTGCGCCTGCGACAGCAGCGGAAAATAGAGACCACCCTTTGCTCAGGGCTGCAGTGGGATTCTCCTGCAATTCGGAGAGCGAGGGCGCCGCACGTGAAGAGAGACCGTATGCAGGGTGTTGAGAGCCTGGCCCAGGTGCCGGAGTGCTCCCGAAGCCTTGATACCGACCACCCTGAGACGGAGGCAGGTCCTCAGGACGAGAAGCATTGGCGTTGCCAAGACCAGCGAAGTAGGATTCGTTCCTAGCCTTCTGGTCGTCAAACGCGGACGGCGTCATTGGACTACTCGGGGCGGGCGAGTTTCGACTGCCGAAGGAGGCCGGGGAGGCTGAACGACCTGTGCTATTACGGGCAGACGCGCGAGATTTTCGGAGGCCCTGTGCCGAGGATGGACGGCCCGCCGGGCTTGTGGTATTGTTGGGGGACCCAAAGCCCTCAGGAGGTGCTGACGGTGCCCAAGGTTTGCCGGCGAGCTCGGCATCCAGCTAGTGAACACTTGTGTAAAGATCGTCCCCGGAGAATGGGGAAACCACTTCGTACCTTCTCTCTGTATTGTGAAGCGGCCCAGGAGTGATAGGTGTCGTATGAGTTCATGCCCTGCGTATATCCGCCTGTGTCCGCCGGGTACGTCTGTATGAACTCTCTGAAGGGTGCATTCCCACCGAGCTGTAGAATGATATTCAGCGTCGGGTTGTGATCCGGCTTCCCAATGAGTGACCGGTATGAACAGCAATCAATCGCAGCTAAGTTAGCTACAGGATTCGCCGTTATACATTCAATGGCTCTAAATGGAGGTAACCACCTGGTAGCCCCAGTGCGCACGTGAGACGGATTGCAGGGATACTGCCTCTCTATGCACGAGTAGATATCGACCACCAGAGCTCCCTAGTGCAAGGAGCTACTCATCCCGAATTGGAGGGCGGCGACGACTCATGACGAGCGCGGGTATGGCGCGCGCGAAGTTCACATCGTGGTAATGTTCAGTGAACCGACGTACCTGCATTCGCTTTATCTGCTCCTCATGCCATGTGTCCATCGAGACCGAACGAACGAAGCTACGTGTGACAGGTATAAGGCGTGGGTGGTTTAATGGGGACGCGCAGGTACACACACCTGACATGAACGCCGAAGCCCCTGTGGACACCTGCACATTGGAGGCACAAGAAGACGGCGAAGCTAATGCAGCGAATTCGATGACCAGCCCCGAGATCTGAGGCACACGTAGCCTGACCTGAGAGAAGCCCACTGTGGATTCGGGTTCGAGCAATCGATGCACCTCTTGTTGTCGAGCTCTTCGCGCTTTATGAGTTCCTGGAGCGTGCGCTTTGCGACTGCCTGGTCCATGGTGGGCAGTGGGTGGCTGGTGGGCGAGGCGGAGAGAAGGGCGGTGGATGCGGTGAGGAGGCAATGTCGTGGGTCGTCGACGAGACCCGAAGGAGCGGAATGGGAAGGTTCCCACGATCATAGACGAGATTTCCGCACGCTCGCTGGGCTCGGCAGTGCGAGGACGCTACAGGGCGTACCGTACACTCGGGTCTCCCTCGAGATCACAGCCTGCCGTACACCCTGAGTGCTCGCAACGGCCACCTACGCTTGAGCGAAAAAATCCTCAAAGTATAAGCAGCAGCGGAACGGCCCAAATGAGGGCGTGATCCTGCAGGGTCGGACGCGCTTGGTCACCGAGCGCGTACGCTTCCCACTTACGGACGACGGCCATCGTCTCTCCAATCCGCCTGCATCCACGCCGCACATCTCTCTCGTACTTCTCACTCGGAACTTCGAGACGATCTTCGGCGACACTAACGCGACCACACCGCATCTGGGCTTCCCGTTCCGAGGTGCCCAAGTCAGCCATCCGACTAGCTCCAGCTGTACTCGCGACCCAGCTATCCTGGCATGAGCCAGAAGAACAACGCGCGTGCGAGCACGAGCAACGCGCAACCTAATCGTCAGGAGGACGCGCAAGAGTGTCCAGCTCCATGGGGATCATGGGTTGGAACCAAGTACGTGTTTGATGTCGTGACCGTGCGTTCACATCCAACGACTCGTCTCAGGTATTACTCGTTAGAGGTCGCGCAGAATCCTCTGAGAGCTCGTATGTGTGGGTTCGGTGACAAGGTGAGCGTTCTAGCCCATGCGTACAATCTCTCGTCTGGGGTGCCTCGCCCTGTACAACTGTGTGCATGCCTGTGCTTTTATACAAGCCGAAGCGCCGGCCGTGTACTGGAGCGCGTCTGGCCCTGTGAGGCCGTCTGCACGAGCATGAGACGCGTTCAGCTGCCATCACACGAAGCAGCTCTACATAGCTACTGCTGGGTAGAGTCCTGCGACAGAGTTCAGCGGGATACGTCGAAGATGTCGTCAGTCACCCATGATATGGCGGCTGTTCTTCATCAAGAGCTGCAACCACACATCGGTGACGTGGTGTGCGGGCACGCCGGCGATATGTGTTGCAGAGCCTAGGGTGCTTTCTTCAGGTTGCAGTTCGACGGACGCGGCGGGGTGATCGCACCCCACGCTGAGTGGTCTACCGGGATGTGATGTGCGTATGATGTCTACGCGGGTTGTAACCAAACATTGGTGTCAATATCCTGTCCGCTTAGACCCTGGTGTTCACGCGTTTTCTGATCAACTAGCACTTCCCGGCGCTGGTGCGTTGTGGGCACCGCCAGCTCATCACCTCAGGGAATGTGCACTTCGTCCAGGGGCATACAGGTGCATCTATCCCGTGAATCCACCCACGGATCACTGTCCACTTATGCACGGCCTTCTTGTCTTTTGGCCAAGGAAATGTACCGTGGTGAGATGGTGAACCGAGATGGTCACATCGTGCAAGTGCCTATAACTACTCACCTTGTGCAACCATATTTGATCCTGTCACCCTGATTATGCCTGTGTCGGACATATAAATCAATAGTCTGATCGTCCAAGATTATCCGGCAGCGAAGTCTGACTAACTCGAGGATGCATTGACAGGACCGACGTCCTCTGGCTCCTGCAGCGGTAGCCAAGATGATCGTCCGGAGAGAGGACGGAAGTGCTGTAGATGTAGAGTAAGTCTCTGAACAATGTTAGTCACCTAATCGGCTGATTGGGTGCTAGCGACACAGATACGTCCTTTTTCCTGGTGACTGTAGACCTCTGGTCGGCAGACGGGAAGCAGGAAATGAACCTTGTCTTGCACCCTACGTCGGCTGACCGGTACGTGCCTACGAATACCCCCAAACCCAAGCGGCGGGGCACCAACTCGACGGTGCAGCGGTCGAACAGCGGTAGGAAAAGCCCTACTTCGCCCGCACCCGTTGCCTCGGCGCCCACTCCTACTCAAGGCAGCCCGCAGTACATACAGGTACCTCAGTCGCATATAGACGATGCGAGTGGTCAGTAACCACGTGTGTCGCAGCAGCCCTCTTCTGGAATGCCCCCATACATTGGAGCTCCCCAAGGCTATCCCCCTCAGGTGTTTCCCTACACCGCCCACCAGCCGCCAGTTTCGGAACCCTCAAGCTATCAGTCGATGAACACCTACGGAGCGCCGTCCGATGCCCCTCAGTCATGGGCGTATCCCCCTCCTCCGACTTCGATGGAACGCGCTTCGCAGTACCCGCCGGCCCCTGTCCTGCCTCCGATCCACTCTCTCGGGAGAAACGGCTCGTCCAGTAACGGTTCTACGGCGACAGTAGGTTACAACTCCGCCAATGCATCAGGGACCGGAACGGGAGAAGGATGGCATCTCGAGAACCAAGGAAGGGAGGATGCAGGTGGGATGGGATACCGCACATGGCCTCCGGACGCTTCGTATCCCCCGATTGACAACAATGGGGTCGCTCGTCCGCCCGGTGCGATCGAATCGTCCCTTCGGGCCTCGCATGCCTCAGCGTCCAGTTCGGAAGTGCGCGAGAACTCGTACGTGCCGCTTTGCACCCGCGTCCCCTGCCGAAACTCATTTGCATAGTAGATACCCACAGGAACCATACAATCCGATCGGACAGACCGGGGCGGCGCCGTCGCTCGAGGGCTCGGCCTATGCGGCGGCACCGTACCCTTCTCAGCCGCATCAACAGCCACCACCACCATCACAGGCGCATCAGCCGTCATCCCAATACCATGAAGCTCCGTACGCCCAAGATCCTACACCGCCATCCGCTATGCCCCCTTTGCCTCGACATACGTACACGAGAACGCTCGTAGGACCCTTATGCGCGAACGCCTGCCGCCTATTGGACGAACATCGCACGCCTGGCATCTTCTTTCTATTTCAAGACTTGTCTATCCGCACAGAAGGTCCGTAACGTCGTGCAAATCCCATTGAAACGTATTGGTTCCGCTTATCGTGCATCGCTCCTTCACTATGCCTGTTTTGTAGGGTCCTTCCGCCTCCGACTACGCCTTATGAATGTCGGCGCGTAAGCAAACTCTGACTTCGATCTGATGACCGCCGAGCTATACCGCTGACCGCCTTCATCACATCCGATGACAGATCCCCAGCACCTGAGCCTGGATCGCGCTTCATTAACACTGGATTCTCTAAGATTCTTGCTCAAACCTTCACCGAGCCGTTCATTGTCTACTCCGCGAAACGCTTCCCTGGCGTGCCAGGTGAGTACACCTATCGCTACACTACATTGGAAAGGCTCGTCCTAGAGCTTGCGATCCACAGAAACTACCGCCCTCTCGATAGCTCTCGGGAACCAAGGCCAGAAGTTACCTCTCGTGAGTCGACCGCACAGTACCCTCATCCGCACTGTACGACGCTGACGTCGATGCGTGCAGCGTAATCGGAATACCTCCACGAAGCAGAGTCGTAAACGACCGCGCAGCGGCTCCGAGGGGTCGGGCGGGGAGGAGTCCGACGATGCTTGACCGTTGTTGATACCCCGCTATAGTATATGGACAGTTTCCCGTACCAAGCCTTGCCGCTGCCGCTGCCTGTAGCCAGAAGTGCATTGCCACGACTAGTAATTCACCGTGCTATCACGCCGGATCTGCCCTGCTGCCCTCTTCATCCTCGCTGTGCCCTTCCGCGTTGTGGTCTTCTCCAGTAAAGCAACCGCCTGAGGGCATGTTTCGTAGATGCGCTGAAGGATCTGCGAGGCTTGAGCTCTGCGCTGCCTGAGTTCCTGCACAGTAGGGGCATGATCGCGCTCAGCGTCCGCGGGGCGCACAGGTTGGACTAGTCTCCCGCGCGACAGGTGGCGCAAGACCTCGGCGAGCATGGCGAAGACAATCGTGTGAGGCTGCCAATCGTGCCACGTCGACGCTTTTTGGTAGAGCATATGCAGGCCATGCGCGAAGTCATTGTCTTTGCCGACCTCTAGGTCATCACCGCCCTTTCGTGTGGCTGCAATCGCTACTCGCGCTCTGCGCTCTGAGGTGTACGGCCTTTGGAACGGGATGGTGAGGACCCCCCCATCCGGACCTTTGTCCGCGGGGTCCATGTCATCTCCCGACTCCTTATCCTCTTCCAAGACTTGATCGACCGGCCTTTCAAGGATAGGAGAGGTCGGAGTGCGATCGCGTTTTCCTGTGACCGAACGAATCAAGTGTTGTCGAACTGGAATGATGATGTTCTCGACTACCCGAAACGCGCGTTCGGGTTCGCCAGCGCGGATGAGCGCCACGGCGAGATGGTTCCAATTGTGCGCGTCGAAGACGAACTTGGCCTTCTGGAGCTGCGCCCAAGTCTGCGCGACCTCGGCGTGGAAGCCTGCGGCTGACATGGCATCAATGTAGATAGAGAGCGGGGCACATAGTGTGGTTCCAAGGCTTCGGAGGTCGGGTGGACTGTCCTTGACGGAGTCCGTGATCAGGATATTGAGCTGGGTCCGTCTCACGGCGTCCTCGTACATGCGAGTCCACAGTTCACGGACAGCGTTACTGTTCCCCACGCGGCGATATGCATCGAGTATCTGAATGTCGGTCCTAAACGAATGCGAACCGCCCACCTGTTCCATCTGAGCGACGAGTTCTTCCACAACTTCTGGCCGCTCACGACGAGCATACGCTGACAATAGCGGCGCATAGAGAGTGCTCAGCGCATCTCTCCGACTGCGGCTGGTCTTCATCCACGTTTGCGCCTCCGGATCCGCCGTCACAAGGGTGCGAATGAACTCCTGGGCAATCTGCAGGCCAGCGCCACTCCTGTCGCGGGTGTACTCCTTCACGATGACCGCATACGTCGCCGCGCTGGGCTGAATGCCGCGCTTCCGCATGCGGTCGTACACCTGCTTCGCCCGTATCGTATTCCCGGCGCGAAGCCATCCAGCCATCATGATAGTGTGTATGTAGACATTGGTCCGGGCGTGCAACTGCCAGTCCTTCCTGAGCCTCATCATTTCTGCGAAGAGGTCTTTCGCGATCCACATGAGGCCGGAGTCGCACGCAGACTGGATGAGCAAGGCGAACGTATGCGCGTTCGGCCGCAGACCGGTCTCTTCAATCCGCTGGAAGAGATTCGCAACGACGCGGAAAGGCGCCCCGATGGAGACGTAGGCCTGGAGAAGCGTGTTGTATACCCCGATGTTCAGTCGTATACCCAGGTGGCTAGAGGACTTGAGGTAGTCGAAGGTACGAACGACGCCCTGCCAGTCACTGGCCCGCACGTAAACATGCATGAGGGTTTTTATCATCACCCGGTCGGGGACGACCTGCTCGCGAATGGCTTGTTTGTAGAGCTCCTCGGCGGCCAGGGCGTCCTTCCGATCCGCGAGGAGTGTGAACATGATCGTGTAGGCGTGCCGCGACGGAGGAACGCCCGATGCACGCATCTGGGCTAAGACCTCGGCTGCGTGCTCGAGGTCTCCTCGCTGCGCAAGACATTTGAGAATGATAGCATATACGTGGGCGTCCGGTGCTATGCCTGCCTTGACCATGTTCGCAAGCCAGGTGTTCATGCCGGAGAGGTCTGCCCTCCTCGCAAAGGCGAGAACGACAGACGTATAATGATAGATATTCGGCGGTTCTACTTGTGAGTTTGACGATGCGGGGGGGAAGAAGTGGTAGAAGAGCTCCGTGGCGCCATTCGCATTGCCATTGACAGCGTGCGCATGTAGCAGAAGTGCCACGTGTCTTGTGCTGACCTGTTCTCGCTGGATAAGACGTTCATAGTACTCCTGTGCTCGTTCGACGTCGCCCAGGTGGGCATGGAGGTATAAGCCGACCTCCAGATACGTGTCAAAGGCCCTGTCCGTGCCCATGTGCTCCGCCAAAGACGCGAAGAGGACATTGGCCTGCTCGAATAGGTCGTCCCTGACAAGTGCCTTGACGACGTTGAGCTGCAACTGCACTCGAACGCCTAGCTTCTGCATCTTTATGGTTTCCATGATATCGAAGGCGACACCGCCCTCGCTCTTCTCGGAGAAGACGTCTACGAGATACTCCCCCACTTGTTGCCACTGGTGTTGTTGCATTCGAGGTTTCCAGTTGACGAATGTCATCGTTGGCTGCTCTTCGCGGTAGACGATGTCGGCGACCCGTTCGCGAAGTCTCCGCCAATCTCCCCGTGCACGTTCAAGGAGCTCCACGGGCAGCCATTCTGGGAGATACGAGTTGATCCCCGACCAATGTTGCAACAAAATCTCGAAGGCGGACAGAGCGGAATGGTGAATATAGAGAGCAGTGAAATGGACCGCGAGCATCTGGGCGACATGTTTGTAATGGGTGGGCTCGACCGGCGCCGCGAGCAACTTGTCCAGCCTCTCGTTTGCGACGTCAAACGAATCCTTCATAGCGGCGCTGGCGACCGATAAACAGTACATGCGTAACTTGTCAAGGGTCGACGACTCCTTTGTCATTCGTGGAGACAACCGTTCCACAACCTCGGCTAACCTTTCCCCCATCTGAGACAACCACTCCGGGGAGATGCTATCGAGGTCGTGGTTTCCGACCGCGGTGACGATTGCAGACCCAAAATGGAACAAGTCAAGCAGCGATAAAGATGCGCAGCCGTCGCTTCGGCAGAGGTCTTCGAAAGCACGCCAGGCTTCCTCTAGGTCAGATGTGCGCCCTGCGGAGTAGTCCCGTATTGTCTGGTACCATCGATCCGTATGCCGCACTGGCGTGGACGACCCGGAAGCTCCGATGGGTTGTGGGAGGCTCGAAGCGTAACGCTGCTGCACTATGCCCACCGGTCTTGCGAAGGGCTTGAATGAAGGCAGGGGGTCACGAATCGGAGCATGCATAGGCTTCCTAATAGATAGTCGGCGCGCTCGCATTCGACTGGCATTGCTGCGAATGGAAGATGTTCGCTTGACCCCTATACGCCGGCCATCATGAGAGAAGAAGATAAGGGAATGACAAGACAGCTCACCTGTACAAGGCGGTGGCGCATTCGCAGCATTCAATGCAGTCACGTCCACGCACGTCGGGAAGTCAACTCCGGGTGCAGCCCTCTCCTTGCCCTTTACGCGCCTCGGACGAGGTGTGAAGAAATCCGGCGGAAGAGTCGAGCCGACTGTCTTCACTGCCATTCTCATAGATTGGGAAGCGGAAGGGTGTCCAGTGAGAGGTCGTCCAGACAGGAGGGTGTTGATGACGGAGGTGGCCAACGGCTCCAGCATTACAGAACCCGCCTGACTGAGGTCTTGTTCGAGTACCTAGGAGGCCGGCAGTTAGAACACGAGCATCATGCATCCTCTCCATGGACAGACCTCTCACCGGAGCACTTGGAAGACGTAGGGTAGGATGTTGTGGACCACGACATGCAAGTGCTGGAGAAATTCGTGAGCGTAGGACGCAATGGCACGTGCCCGGGGTTGTATGCCGGCGTCTACACGACGTGACCGTGCCGAGACGCGCCCGGTCCCTTTCCCGCCCACTCCAGCCGTACATCGCTCGCGCCTCCTCCCGCCCTCCTCGACGCGTCGGCTGGCTCATCGTCACAGCAGTCTTGGACGCAGATGGACGCCCCTCAACACGAGATAGTCATCGTGCCCCGCGTGGGTGAGCCCGGCCGCGACGAGCTCCGCCAAGAGTGCTACGACGTCCGCATCGACGTCTTCCACCACGAGCAGCAGTTCCCGCTCGACACCGAGATCGATGAGTCCGTCTACCACTACACATCAGCCGCGTGTGTCCGACTCGCGTTCTGGACCATCCTAGCCTCGATTCCACCGCAACCCACATCCTTCTGCGCCTCCTGCCGTCGCTGAAGCCAGTCGGCACCATACGCTGCACGAAGCACGATAACTACTACAAGCTGAGCCGACTGGCCGTGCTCAAGGACTACCGCCAGTACCGCTTCGGGCGTGCGCTCGTCTTGGCGTTGCATGACCATGTGAAGCGCGACGCGAAGCAGTCCGGTCAACATGACTCCGTCACAATAAAATGCCATTCCCAGATCCCTGTGAAGGCTTTCTATGCAAAGTGAGCCCGCATGCCGTATTCGCGTGCCGTGTTGAAATAGGCCGCTAACTATTTGACATGCGCCACAAAGATTTGGATACTCGCCCGAAGTACGTGTCCTTGCTTGCCATCTACGTACTACCATTTCTCCGCCGGCCCATCTCATTTCTATCTCTCGCCCATTGTTTAGGGGGAAGAATTCGACGAAGAGGGTGCTCCTCATCAGTTGATGGTCGCTCGCTTGTCATCATCAGATTGAGGTGCCACGCGTGTATTTGGCGTCGTAAGGTGTCGTGAGGTATGCACAGAGCTCGACGGAGGGGAGAGCTAGCAATACAGCATAGGGGGGTGTGGGGTATGTTGCTACAGAAATGTACATGTCAAGTCCGTAATTGATCGAAGGTCATAAAGTAGTGCAAGCAAGAGCATAATGGACAGAGAACACACTCTATTTGGTGTCCCTATCATCAAGAAGGTATATGGGACGGACACCGGCTGGAATGCGAACCCTCCGCGCAGTAGTGAAAGAAGAGAAAGTGAATGTCATGCAAGAAGATAAAGTCACCGCCGTCCGGAGAGCCGTTCATGAGCGACGCGTCGGCAGATCGGGGCCATCGTCCGTAGTGAAGCCGTCGCTTTCACTCTCCGAGCTGAGGGGTTCCTGCTTCGGCTGTCGCAACGCGCTTCTCGGGAACGGCATCGCATTGATAGAGCTACTGGGCAGGATACTGAAGTTGATACTTGTTCCGTACCCGATTGTGCCCTCCTCGTAAAGCTTTCTGGCGGATTCGTATTCCAGCTTCTCCTGCTCGGCTTGCGCGAGGAACGGCTGTATGACACGGTGACATGATTAATCAACTGATAGCCAACTGTCACAAATTCGTGCTGACACCCACCTTTCGTTCCTCATCGGTCATTGAGCGCCACTTTCCTGCGGCCAGGACGCTCTGCTTTGTCGTCTCGGTTTCATCACCAAAAACCTCCTTAACCAATTCGGGATCCGACCGAATCCGCTGCAAGAACATGAAATACGCGCTCAGCGGCTTCTTCGGTGCGTTCGGGTCCTTGATATTGCCCTTACGTGACTTGCCCGCCCGACGCTGCGCGGTCCGGTACGCGTTCTCGCGTTTGATGTCCTCGGGCGTGAGCGTCTTCATGTATGCAGCAAGCTCGCGCTCGCGGATATCCTTCGCCTCCTGAGATCGGCGCTTGTACGGCTGCAGTGTCGATCGTGTCTAGTCAGTGAACTGCGTCATAGGTCATGCCAGGAACTGCACCGTACCTCTTTCTCAGCATCGCTCAGCTTGGCGTACTCTTGCCCAGCCTCCTTGGCCGCTTGCGCGACGTTCAGCTTCTTCGAGCTGGATGCCTGGTGACGCGCAATCCAATCGGTGAAATACAGCTGCCAAGCAGAAGGCGCGAGCTTAGGGGGCCGAAGTGTCGACTTGAGCGGTGCTAAATTAACGCGCCGCAGTCAGTAACTGAATACGTGCGACGTGGAAGCAGCACGAGCTTACGGGTCTCCGCTCGTTTCTCCACCGGGAGAGTGTCTTCCTCAGAGCCAGCACGCTTCTTCTTCCGGATGGTGGCGTCGTCGTGTTCGCTGATCGAATCCGCGCGGCGGCTGTACCCGCGGGAAAGAGGCGGCGGGCGGGCGTGAGATACCGAGGGAGCGGACGACGATTGGAACAGCTGCGTGACGGGTGTGATCCCACGGCGCGAACTGACCCGTTGCCGCTGTGTCGCGTAAGCGTCGTCGGGAAAAGGTGGGAAGGGCACAGCCGCGAGTGGAGAGAGCGCAGCGGACTGCGCGCCGGGCGAGTCCCACAGCTGCATCGCCCACGCGGGCTTGAATGCCTCTGGCGGGGTCATCGGGGCGTGCGCGTCGCTCCGGAGGGCGTCCGTCATGATGGTGTCTTCGGGCGTGTATGACCGCGGCAGTGGCTGTAGAGCGGCGTAGGCGGTCTGCGGTGAGAACACCGACACGTCTGGGAAGACGGAGGAACTGTCGCTGTACGCGGCATATGGTGAGTGCACAGGGGGCGACGAGAGCGCGTGGTGACTCGGGATCGGGATCGGGATCGGAACCGCCGACGAGTGGTACGCGTGTGGGTCGGGGTCGGCGAGCCAGTTCGCGTAGAGCGCGCTCTCATTGAAGTCAGGCGTTGAGGAGGTCGCGTCCGTCTGACCACCGAGCGCCTCGGGACCAAATCGTCGATCAGCCGGAGGCAAATAGGGCGCCAGGGGGTCTAATTGACTGGATGTAGAGTCGGGGGAGCCAGGGAACGGCACGGAGGACGACATGGTGAAGTCGTTGGCCGGGTCCCAGACGAAGGGCGACTTTGGTTCGTACGCGCGCACGTCGTCGAAGTCGAAGATCATGTTGTCGGAGTCGAAGTGGGCAGGATCGTCGAAGGCGAACATGGGAGAGCGATCGCGGATGGACATGTCCGCGGCGGCAATGGCAATGGACACGGAGTCCCTGTCGTAGTCGTGCTCGCGTATGGCGGGCATGGGCGGGGAGGGGGACGGAAGGGGGGAGGCAAGCGGGGCAGCAGAGAGGTGACGCGCCCTTATATAGGGCGGGGTGGTCGGGGAAGGGCGAGTATGACAGAGGCGAGCGGCCGTCGAGGCGGGGAGGGCTGGGCGGGGGGCGAATTTAAGTGGGTGAATCAGAGGGTCTCGGCAGAGAAGCGCGAGCGGCCTTCGAATGGGTGCTGCCATATGCGATCGCGGTACCTCAACTGACTCGGAGGAATCAGCGGCCAGTCGAAGCAGCGGAACCTCGGACAGTCAGACTTCGGTGACGGATGCCTGTTTGGGCCGGTGTGCCGTCCAGGAATAGGCACGAGAGGGGGCCGAGACAAGGGTGGATCGCCGGGCGATACGACGCCGCGTGACGGGCACGGAGGAGGGCAGCGGGGAGATGGCAGCGGGGCGCACGCTGGCAGACTATCAGATGGGCGCGGGGCTATGACTGAAGGAGACGTGGGCTGGTGGGCGACAGGCGGGCGACTCGACGGGCGACAGAGGCGAAACAGACTACGCAGGAGCCTACGGACGCAGGGCGGTGTGCGCAGGTGGTATGTCCTGGTATGGCGAGTACTGTCGACAGCCGCCCGCTGCCACGCAGATACCACTCCCGCCCCGTCGCCGCCCGTGCCGCCCCGGGGGCTTGCCCTAAACAGGCCGCCGCATCGGTCCGTCGGGCACCGTGCGAACACCCAGAATGGCAGCCCCGTCCCGGCACCCGGTCTCCAGGCTCCCATTGTCCCCCGCCAGCCAATCGCAGCCTAGCGGATGAGCCCGCTCGTCCTCCGGTCACCGTGCCCATTCTCCAGGCCAGACAACTGATCATGTACTGCTGAATGGAAGCTTATTATCGCCCGATACGATTGCTGCAGAAGCAAGTACAGAAATGGTACTACCATCAGAGAACCACAACCCACTCCCCAGACCGGTATTTTGGGTTGTTGTAGACGCTTTTGCCCGCCTGTCATCCACCCGACGCGAACAGGGGTCGCGAGCGTACCGAGGGCGATAACAATCAGCCATCCAGCTCTCGTCACCTCCATCAAGTGATACACTCACCTCCCAGCCCGGCACGTCCTTCATGATCTCCTTCTCGCGCTCCAATGCTGCCTGCTGACGTCGGTACGCATCGCGGTCCCCCTCGGCCAGCAGCAGTGGCACCAGGTGGATGCGGGACCACACCTTCTCTCTCTGTAGCTCTCTGCGCAACACATCAGCACTGAGCCCATCTCGCGCACTCATGTAGCCAAATAGGGCGGGCGCATTGATAAGGGAATCGTGCGGTCGGATCCAAACGGGGCCACGTTCCGCAGCGAGCGGGCCCATATTGCACACGTTTTCCGTCCGCCTGACCCCTCATATCCCGACTGAGTTTCCACGCACCTCTTCTCCAAGTTGCCCTTTCCGACACGGTAGAAACCGTACGCGCACAGCGCCGTCACACCGCCGAGGATGACGATACCACTGGGCCCGCGCAACGGCAGATTGCGCTTGTACTTGATTGCGTCGAACCCCCCTGGCGGGGGCATGTCCCTGCGTACGTGGAGCACAGGTATGTACGTCAACCCTCTCGCAAAAGCAGCGAACAATAGGCGTACTGTCTGTATGGTGCCGACACTGCATGCGACTGTGAGTTCTTCCATTTGCCACGAATGCAGAGAATGTACTCACTCTTGCAGAAGCTGTTCGGAAGTGACTCAGACTTCTGACACTGAGCGTGGCTCACCCGTGCGCGGCGGTGATGTCGGTGACTAGCGTGTGGTGGATGAGGATGGTCGAATGCAAGTCAAACGCCTTGAACACCTCCGGGCCTGATGTCACCCACGTGGCAATGTTGCCTCCTTCCATTCTGGGAGGTGCATGTCGGCGAGCACCGCAGGCCTGTGTCGTAAATCCGCACGTCTTTCCGAATCCCCCGCCATCTGACGGGAGGCTTGGTCATCTATCAGAGTATCAGTGGCATTCCTGAGAATGCATCTGCTTCGGATGGACTTTGCTATCAAGTTCGCTTTCCACATCTCCTGCGGACCATGTAGACGGTTCGACATTTGGTGACTTGTACTGTGGCCATATATCACCCAAATATTCCCTGCGCGAGTCATACCTCCCTAAGCTGACTCTGGTGCGAATTTGCGCGCAGCATCGAATGCTATTTGCGAGCATCGTGGCCTGCGCGATGCAACTGACGGCGGACGCCACTCCTGAAGGTGCCTGCCAGCCGGGGACAGCCGAATGAGCGTCTAAAGGGGGGAGTTTACTGGAACCGGATTCAACGCCGGCCAAACATGACAGCTGTGCTCGAAAGACAGGCGTCCCGCCGCGCACGGCACTGTTCCCGCCACCACCATGTCCCGCCACCCGTCCCCCGGCCCTTCCTACGCGCATGCCCTCCCATCCCAGCATAGCCAACAGATGGAGCTCGCATCGCTCTACCATCCCCCGACCGTCCTCGCAAACCCCGCTTTTCAGGCGAAGATGCGGTCCAAGAACTACCCCGGTGGCATCACTGCCAGCGTGGAGGATGCGAAGTACCATGCCAAGTACAAAGATCTGAAGAGGACGGTGAAGGAAATTGAGGGGGTGAGTGGCATGCGTTGCGTCCATCTTCTGCATTCATCAACTGCCTTTCCAGGACAATGACAGGCTGTACTTCAAACTGCTTCTCGCGAAGAAAAACATACGTCGTATGAACCTTGAAAGAGCGTGAGTCACTGCGGCGCGTGTATCGTTGAACCGTATCGTAAACTGCGTCTGGTGCATTCCTCAGCATTCTGTACGAGCGACTAGCTGCAGTGCCTCCGACTCCCGGACGGCACACGCAAGACCTACCACCCGAACAGGACCCCATCTTCCATCAACAGCCACCGCTCCCTCCGGACCACGCACGCTTCATAGATCCTAATGACCCTGCCATCGCAGAGTACATGCGAACTCGCCCGGATGCCCGGATGGTTCTGGGGCCAGATGGCAGAGTTGTCGCAATTGAGGACATCCTTCCGCATCCACCACCGGGACAGGAAGCGAGACCGGTGCAACCACCGCATGGGATTCCACTTGTTTATGGATTCAGACATGACTCCGGACCTGGCTATGACCCCGACCGCCAATTGCCGCCTATGATACCTGTGATCCCAGTTTCGGCGGAGGGTGTTCCCAACATCGCACCTCCTATCAGCGAGCATCACGGCGGTCCATACCCACTTGCCCAGGCCCACGGACACGTCCACCCACAATCTCACTCACACGGCGGCTCTTCCCACCACTCGCGTTCCAATTCGGCTCGCCCAGATCTAGATTCGCTGAACTCTAGGATCGATGTGGTGCCTCAGGGACCTGCCATCCACGGCCGCAGCCCTCCTGTGGCAGGCGCAGAAGTCCATGGTGACAGATCGAGGAGACACGACCTCCACGAAATGGCCCACGCGCACGGCCACCAGCTACCGCATCCTCATGTCCAGATCCCGACGCAGAACATGCCCACGTCACCGCACTCCCATTCGCCCGCAAGCACGCGCGGTTCTGACCGCAGTACCGGACGCATTCATAACCACCAGCGCGTCGGCCCGGGCGCCAACATCCACCGTGACCGCGAACTGTCGCAGCGCGAATGGGAGCAACGCGAGTACGAACGGGAGCTCGAGCGTGACCGCGAGCGCGAGCGCGAGAGGGAGCTCGCCTATCGCCAACGCCTCGAATTGGAAGAGCAGGAGGAAGACAGCATCGCGTACATGCGCGACAACGGGCGTGTGGCGCCGGCGATGGCGCATGGAGACTCGCGTTCTGGCAGCCCTAATTCTGGCCCCGGAAATGGAGGAAGCAGGGCCCCTTCGCGCCCTGACTCTGGTCAATCCATTCAATACGACGCGGATAGAGCGCGGCCGCGCGTGTCGAACTTACTCGGGATCGAACGGGACCCTGCATTCGACGAGCGCGCTTCTGGTGCGACAGTGCGGGGTAATGCTGGGGAGATGTCCGCCGCATCTGCGGATGCCAGGAGGCGATTCCGCGGCGAGATAGAGGCGAATGAGGAGTATGGTGGCGAGATCCGTTCGCCAGGCGCAGGTGGGCGCGCATCTTCGGGTCAGGATAATCCGTTGCCTGACGGCGGTGCAGGTAAGAGAAGAAGGCCCTCTGTTGATGAGGGCAATGCCAATGACAGCGAATCTGCAAACGACCGGATGGATGAGGACGCATAGTCATAGCCTCTTCGCTCAATCTAGGACGCTAGTGACTTCTAAGCCTCCTATTGTGTACAGCTTCATGGCACCTGCTTCTTTCATAGTGCGTTTCCCATTGATTTCGGGTGTAGTTGACCCGTCTGTATAGTACATTACTTTCTTGGATTTTGGTGCGCAGTTCATCGTGCTTTCGTATATGCAAATGCAGTCACATATGCAGGACGTGTTTGACCGAGAAGCTGTGCTGTCTGTGGCGGCCAGAAAAACATGCGCCATGGCATGATGGTGCCGCGAAGATTGTATTTGCCCACACATAGTTTGCAATTGAGTCAAGATGTCCTCCATTCTCCGGGATCTGAACTGCGATCTACTTACGGTGTGTCATGGGATGATTGGTACTCGGTGGGTGCTAATAGTAAGATAGATTATTCAAGTCACTGTCCATGAACGTGACACATTACATGATAATACAGTACGGTGATGACGGAGTCCGCAAAGCAGGCCAACGCTCCCGGGTGGTCAATCAAAGAGTCACCCACAATCATGATCCGCAGTCTACATGGACAATGTCTGGGTAAGAGCATCCATCCGATGGACGCAATGCCGGTGGAGACATGTCAGCCTCGTGGACACCGTGACGAGGTGTCCTGTTGCAGGTAGCAAGACCACCCGGTGATACGGGTGGTCCATACGCGTACGATGACTGCGCGTCGGACTGCGACGACGCGTCTTCTTCTGCACCCGACGGCCACGATGCCGTAGACCGCTCTGCTGACTCTTGGTATCTGTTCCAGTCCGGAGGTCGTGGTTCCGAGTCGTCTTCGTCGTGCCCTCGCCACATCATGGCCTGGACCGCCCAGTACTGCTCCACTCCATCGCTGTCATCGAAATCAAAGTCATGCATCGCTGGAAATGCGGCTTCGCTGCGTTCCAAGGCTTCCATGACAATGTCCTCGCTGTATGCGGTCACCGGTGCTCTCGCGTTGAGTATCACATCCATTATGGTCGGGCGCTTCCCAAACATTGCTGCGTCCGCCTCGACGACCTTCTGTGCCTTCCTCAGTAACACCCTAGCCGGTGACGGAGGTGGCGTGCGGCTAGATAGCGCTAGCGCGGTCGGGGCACGGTTGCCTCTTGACTGTGCCTGTTTGCGACTGCCTGCAAGGCGTCGAAGGTGGGGCGAAGCATGTTTGGGCGGACGGAGCACTGGCTCGGCGGGCCGATGATCTGGTCGACGAGCCTTGTCGATCTCTCCGATATCTAGCTCGTCTTTGGGCTGCACAGGACGCCTGACACTCCTCGCTGGAGTGCTCCGTCCCGAACGCGGTGTGCGAGCGCCCCGTCTGGATGAGGCTCGTCTAAATGCCCTTAACCCAGTCAGCCTGGCGGCTTTCACGAGACCGCGAACTACGCATGCTTACCTGGGGCTAGGCGCAGCGCTGCTAGCGTAGGCGCTGCCAAGTTCGGGATCCATAGCAGGTTTGAGAATCATACAAGAAGTGGGGCGCCATGCTGTGAGGCTGACGGATCATTTTGAATAGTTGTTTCGATTTGGACTGAAGCACCCGCGATCCGTCAGGTCTGCGGTTGGCGGATCATGAGAAATCCAGCGGTCCGATGAGTACGAGAACTGCTCGCCTCGGAATCAAAGTTCGAACCGCACCCATGGATGAACTGTATCCACAGTGCCTACCTCGACGACCCTGGACTTAGTACGCGGGTTCTTATTTGGCCGCTGGAATTTGCATCCAGGGAGCTAAGCGACGGCAAGAATACACTCGGGATAGGTCAGGAGTGCAATCGGCGAGTGAATAGGGGCTAGGACGTAACTCAAATCTGCCCCCGTCCGCGGTCCGATTCCGAACCGCTGCCATACAAGCCCTCGGGGGAACTCGATAAGAGGAGGATCAAAGAGGAAAACGAGATGGACAAATGCGGACGTACGCGCGGGTGAAGACAATCGGCACGAATCGCGGGCATGGTCGGCCCCCCGCGTCGCGCCCGGAAGCAAACCCGCTACGCGCCAGACCGCCCGCGCCCCGCGCGATGGATCAGTTGCGCTAGCCTTTGGTAGCCTCGTGTATCCTCGACGCTCGACAGGGGCCGTGTAGACCGCCTCGACGTCGTCTCACCGACCCGCGCAGACGCCCTCGGAGCGCTGGCAGGGAGGGGGCGGGTGTGGGGGACGTTTGGTAGCCTCACCGTGGCCACGCCTCGCAGGCTTTCCGCCGATCCGCTGCGTCATCTTGATCAGGAGGTCGAATAGAGTTCATCTGGCCTCGACTTCCTGGATATCGATCTTCGCTGGAATCGCTGGAGGCGAACAATCGGGCGCCAAGCTGGTTCGAGCCAGCAGGAGAGGAGAGCTAGCTCGATATGGAGATGGTCGACTGAAAACGATGTCCGCGAAGGCCACGCCGCAGACAAATACCGTGCCGGCCGCGCACCCACTAGACCATGCTCGGCTGGGCGCCTGTGCTCTGTAGAACCTCTGGAGGGCGCCAGAGGCAGCTCCACCCGCGCATCGCTCCGAGTCGAGCAAGGACACGATAGTAGAGGCTGGACACATACCGTTCTCCCGTGCCGGCGGTTGGGCCCAGTCACAAGGTCAATCTATTCTCGAGCATGTGAGGACACGCGAACGTTCCGTTGACAGGATATGTACACCAAGAGGCAAGGCGGACTTCGAGAACGACAATCTCTCTGCGGCGGCCTCCGTCCCACGCTTCCTGCGCTTACCCACACCGGCCTCAGCTGTCTCCTCACCGATAAACGTGGTCCGCTGCAACAGGCGGGCCCCATCAGCTTGCGCTTTCCCACATGATGAACGCGATGGGAATGAGCGTACCTTGCAGGTTAGCTGCGATCTCTGCCTCCGCTGCGTCGCCGTTCGCAAGGAGCTTTTCTTTGTTGTACATCAGCTCCTCGCGGGTCTCGGTCGAGAACTCCTGGTTTTGCGCTAGAAACGTCAAATCGCGTCGGCAGAAAGGGATGATATCCGACACGATGATGGATGGCAGGACAATGAATCAGCAAAAATGCGAGAAGAATCAAACAGAAGCGGGACGCACTCTCTACGATCGCGTCCACGGGACAAGCCTCCTGACAGAAGCCGCAGTAGATGCACTTCGTCATGTCAATGTCTGCAGACACGAGAGATTCAGTTGCTGTGAGCAACCTTGCGGTCAGAAGTGTCCACTACGCACCATAACGAGTAGTCCGCCTCGAGCCATCCAACCGCGCTTCACTCTCGATGGTGATGGCCTGCGCCGGACAGATGGCCTCGCAAAGCTTGCAGGCTGGTCCCCAGACGTAGATATGAGTTGGACTGAATAGCGGATAACAGGACCAAACTTACCAATACATCGCTCTTCGCCGCTCGGGTATCTCCTCAGAGCATGCTCTCCACGGAAGCGAGGGGATAGGGGGCCCTTCTCAAATGGATACATGATCGTGTACGGTGGTCTGAAGACCTGCTCCAAAACGATCCACATGCCTGGGCACAGGGTTCAGTCCCGCCTAGGAGAGCAACTCGCACATCTATGACGCACCTCTAATAATCTCGGTGAAGAAGAAGAGGTGGACGGCTTTGTCAATGGCACTCGGGCCGTCCTTGTAGGGGTCGAAGTCCTTCCCCGGCTCGTCAGCAGCAGAAAGCATAGCGGTCTTGATGCCCGGTGAGCGAGGCGCAACTGGGTCAGGCAGGTAGTCTCCTGGCTCCGTCCGCTTCAGGTTGGGGTCGACAGCATGGCGGCAGGGTGTTGTAGAAATGAGGCGACGAGCCAGCAGCGCAGAGGTGCGCGGGGTCGCAACGCGGGTCGCGACGACGCGGGCGGACGGGCCTGCAGCCACGAGAGCACGAAGAAGGGTCATGGGTAAGAGCAAGGATGGTGGTGGTCGACTGCGAGGGCAGCGACGGGCGGTCTGTCAGCGATGTGTTCAGCGGCGACGGGGCAAGTCGACGCCAGGCTGGAGCTAGACGCCCAAGCTCGAGCAGCCGGGTTGTGCCGGGCTATGATGCCGACCAATCACCGTGCCAGGATCTCTCATTTTACGGCCGACTCTCCGTCCACCATGTCCGCCACAAAGTCCAAGTCCAAGTCCAAGCCTGCTCCCCCTTCAACTCAGGGTACGCGTGTTCCGCGACATCCGGAGTGCATTCCCGCGCTGAAACTGGCTAGAGATCCAGCAAAATTATAACCGATTGCAGAATGAACTCCAGACGCTGGCTGGCAAGATCGGTGAGCTAGAGCAAGAAGCAGAGGAGCATGCGTACGTCGCTTTGAGTCATACTACTTTTTGCATTGGCCCTGACCGCGAAACCTCAGGCTCGTACTGTCGACATTAGATGAGGCACTCGCAGAGGGGCCCGATCGCAAGTGCTTCCGGTTGGTAGGCGGAGTGTTGGTGGAGAGGACTGTTCAAGATGTTGTGCCTGCGCTACAAACAAACAAGGATGGGGTGCGTGCACCCGTCTCCTCATGATAATGCTAAACTGAGATCCTTTAGATTCTGAAAGTGGTCTCCAGTCTCGCCGAACAGTATAAAAGCAAGGAAGAGGAACTCGAATCGTTCAAGCGCGAGTACAACATCCGGCCTGCATCTGCGGCGTGATGATTGCGATTGAAGGAGGATAGTAGTCGACCGTGCAGCTCTGTAGCTTGGGTGAGTGCTCATGAAGAGTAAAGTCTCAGCGGTCATCCTCACGAACAATTATATTCCGATAGCTACGGACTTGAGTTATGGGATGCGAACGGCGCCCTGCGAGCGCGAGGTAAGCGGTCAGGGCTGCGGGAGAAGAATCGACGATGTATATTATATCATGATGCTGCTCTTTGACCATGCGTTCTGTCGCCGTGTACCATTCCTCCATTGAGACCATCATGCATGCATGTGGTGTCCGTGTGGTTGGTTCATGTGCACTTCACCCGACTCAAGACTTGCCCCGCCTGAGCGTGTAGTCGTCCTTTGCAGGGAGGCCTTGCACACTCGACGCAGGCATTGCCAATGTTGAGCTTGAGCTTGAGCAGAGCTCGAGCACTGTTCCGTTCCGAAGCCGTCGTTCATTTTGGTTTGTGGGCGCATCAAATCCGCGAGGCACGGAACCGGACCCACGTGTATGCTCGATCGCGTCTGTAGCAACGCGCGCGCTCGAGGCCATTCTTCTCACAGCTTGCACTGCTCTCCGTTCTTCACTTTTCCCCCGAGGGCGAGCCTACTGGCACTCCCTGTCTTTTTGTTTCGACAGGCTTGCAGTCACTCCTTTTTCATGACATTCGCTCTCTACAATGGTCTTCGCAATTGAGAAGTGCTTGTGGCTCGTCCTCTCGCTTGCGGTCTTTGTGGCGGCGGCTCCGACTCCGGTGGATTGTACGTGAACGGCATTGTGTGCGAGGAAGACGGCGCAGCTAACTCATGAACGTTGAACAGTTGGTTTTACGCAGTTGCTTCAGCCCGAAGCTGATTCGACCTCTCCCTACGCGATCTTCGGCGCCGGTGTCAAGCCTTTTGGTGCCCTGGCGGAACCTTCGGAGGGCAAACAGTCGTCCTCCGGTGACGATTCCTCGGCCACTACAAACACCGCTCATGCCTCCGAGACTGGAGGCAAGGTGGGCACTACAGGAGGTGCAGCGTCCGCTCAGTCCAGCACTGCCGCCGCAGTATCATCGCGGAGCGCCGACGCTACAACTTCGGCTCGGTCGGACACGTTTGTGAGCGAGTCCACGACCCTACCCACCTCCGCCGTTCCTCCCGCTGCCTCCGACACATTCACTAGCTCGGGTGAGTTTGTCAAATTGTCGTGCCTTCCCATCTCATTCAATCAACCACCGCAGCCTTGTCGTCATCCGTGACGTCGTTTGCACAGGCACCGTCTTCCTCTTTGGCCTCAGTGTCCTCCGGTAGCAACGCGGAATCGTCGGCCTCTGCAGCGTCCAACCAATCCATCGGGCCTAGCGCAACAGCAACAGGCTTAGCTGATCCGTCAAGCTCATCCGTCGCAGCCACATCGTCGGCGCTATCTACCTCGGCTGCCGTAACTTCGGATCCGTCGTCGCAAGTTGCGAGCTCCGTTCCGTCGTTGTCATCGTCTGATACATCCCTTCCCTCCGGCTCGTCCTCGTCCTCTCCTTCCGTGACTGATTCCGGTGCTACCTCTTTGACATCATCGTCTGTGTCGTTGACGTCGTCCTCAGTGTTGAGCACTGCGCTCTCATCGTCCTCTGTTTCTTCGCGATCTCTATCGTCTACTGCTGTCTCTACCTCACTCTCGCAATCAGCATCGGCTGCATCCTCTGCATCATCCCCCGCTACTTCCACTTCCGAGTCGGCATCTACGTCACTTGGTTCCTCGTCAGCCGGGCTGACTTCCTCTGAAACTCTCGCCTCGTCATCTGCTTCTGCGTCAGCATCGGGTTCCGGCTCGGGTGCCTCGTCGTCGGCCGCAGTGACATCTTCGGTAGGCAATTCGACCAATCCGTCGTCCTCGGCTCCTACATCTTCGGCTTCCTTGTCTGTTACGTCTTCGTCGGGAGGCAACGCAACAGCTTCAAGTTCTGTTGCGTCATTGTCTACGACATCTTCTATTGCGGTTTCTTCGTCTGTGTCGTCAGGCAACGCGTCAACGTCGAGCACCATCCTTTCCTCAAGTGGAACGTCCACGGCTTCCTCGTCCGCTGCATCTCCGACTGCAACCACCGGGCCGTCGGAGATCACAAGCTACCTGGATACACACAATTTCTACCGCGCCGAATACAACGCGCCGGCCCTGACGTGGTCAACCGACCTGCAGGCCGCTGCACAGGGCTACGCCGACAGCTGCCTGTTCGCGAACCCCGCAGGCGCGCTCGGTGCTGTGGGCACGAACCTCGCAGCGGGCACGGGCACGTTCGACGCGAAGGCCGCGGTGACGCTGTTCATGAGTGACGCGTCCGCGTACGATCCGGAGAACCCGACGTTCTCGCACTTCACGCAGGTCGTGTGGAAGAATACGACGGAGCTGGGGTGCGCGGCTACGGTGTGTGATGGTATATTTGACGAGCCGGCGACGTACCATGTTTGTGCGTATGCGCCGACTGGCAATGTTATCGGGCAGGCGCAGTGAGTCCCACCTTACGTACTTTCAGCTTGCCAGCTTGAATACTCACGGGCTGCTCCGCATCAGGTTCAACGTGCAAGCATGATGACGGCTGTTCAGCGAAGGTCTGTTTTCTCTACGCCGCAAGTCGACGACTTGCTGCATAATCGACTGTGATCTCCCTGTTTCTGGTCTGTGGTCCCCTGTCCTTGCTCTTCTCTAGTCAGACCCGTCACCTCGGAAGAGGCTAGGCAGTACGGGTATCTCTTGCTCTCTGAATGGCCTCTGAGATGTCGTTAGAACTCGCCGTTATTTTGATGTACTCTATAAATGTATTCATTGCAGATATACGCTGCATGATTTGTGTATGATCTGTGCACTTGCCACTGAGCACTAATCCGAGGATCGACTGGCACTACACACGGGCACGTGCAATGAAGGACGCGTCTGTGGCGTAGCGCGATCCCATCTGGATCGGAGCGCGAATCTCCCTGGACGTGATGGCAGCTGTGTCGCGGGGTGTGAGTGGCACTTGCGGATAACCTCCACGATCGCTCTCCTCCGTCGGGGACACTTATTGGACGTTTAAATCCGAACCATGCCCTCTTGATAACCCCCACGTCTACGAACGATACCCGAATCTGTTGCAACATGAATACGCTTGCTTCACCACCTGAGGGTTCTCGCCAGCTTCAGCAATTGCCACCTTCCACCCAGTCAAAGATTCGGTCGACCCAGATCCTCACGTCTTTGCCTCAGATCATCTCTGAGCTTGTCCAGAACTCACTTGACGCAGGTGCGTTGCACATTGACGTGGGGGTAGATTGTGAGGATTGGGCATGCTGGGTCCGCGATGATGGAAGTGGTATCGGGAGGGACGACTTTGATGCGCTAGCAAGTGGTGGTCAAGCCGTGCGGTATAGTATGTGAAGCCAGCTCATTCATGACGCCTACTGAGACAATGTAGGTACGTCGAAGGCCTACTCACCTGCGTCCTTGGACGAGGTGTCCACTTTTGGTTTTAGAGGCGAAGGTATGGACCTTCACTGTTCAGCTGCGCGTTTTGACCATGTTTCACTTATTGACGTGAACAGCTCTTGCGTCTGCTGCCGATGTATCTCTCCTGGAAATATCCTCCAGGACAGCACGGTCCAGAGAGAGCTGGTCTGTTATCCTGAAGGTATCTAACATCTGCGGCGATGTATTTGAACGGTGCTGAGCTAGTCACATGAAGGAAGGGTCAACACTATATCACGGTCCTTCGCTGAGATGGCGCAGAGACTCGTCAGGCACGGTAGTCTCAGTGCGCGATGCGTTCTACAACGTGAGTCGCCTGTCTCGACACCATGTTACCTCGTTTCGATGCTCAGCGATGGACTGTATGCGCTCGCCTCAGCTTCCAATCCGTAGGCGCTCTCATCCGTCTGCAGCCAGGACCTTAGAACATATCCGGCGGGATATTGAACCATTTGCCCTGATGTTCCCGAACGTCACCTTCTCTGTGGAGAACGTCCACAAGAGCGGGAACGGCACCAGTGGGTCGGGTAAGGTGATGACAGTCCCGAAGGTACTCTTATCCTTCGTCCCGATGCGGCTTTTCCTGACAATCTTCAGACGGCTTCAACACTGGCGGCCTTTCGTCATCTGTACGGCCGTGCATTGGTAGAGGTAAGCAATGCATACATTCGATTGCCGCCTATATCCCATATGCTGTGCAGCATGTGGAAGAAGTGAATGAACAGATGGGTGACATCAGGCTGGAGGGTTTTCTCAGCCTTGATGGTTCGCCCTCCAAGGTAAGAACAGGAATCGGCAATAGTAGAACGGAATACTCATGAACCTGACTCAGGCGCATCAGTACTTGTGTAAGTGGTTCTATGCACGTACTCGCGCTCACGATGACATTAGTCGCCTCTTGCGCGGTACAGATATTAACAAGCACCTGATGTCGCACTGTGACTTGCATCGTGTCATTGAGGCCCAATTCTCCAGAAGCTCATTCGCGAAACATGTAAGTACGACTGGGACACGTCAGACACACTGTGACGTACCGGCCTCAGGCGTTTGATGAGGAAGGAGAGACGAGTCAACCGCGGCCTAGTAAGTGCGGTCTGCCGTTATAATCACCTGTATATACATGAACAGATGAACAGGTACGCGGCGCCTGCCGCGCAAGCCTGAGAAGAAGCCCATCTACGTGTTGAATCTGACGGTTCCTCCGAGACAAGTAGACAACTGCCTAGAGCCAGCCAAAGCAGCTGTGCATCTACAGGTATGTCTGTCTCCTTGGGTTCCTGTGCATGTTGACACAACATAAGTAGAGCCCTGAAGCCGCCGCTGCGTTCCTCTCGTCAGTCGTCGAGGCTTTCCTGGTACGACATGGTTTCCTCCATGCCACAATTCCTAGGCCAAGCCAAGACCGATTCTTGACCAACAGTCCGGCACTCAAGAAGAGGAGGGTGGCGCGTGCTCGCGACGAAAATGACAATATGATGACTGCCAGTACTTCAGGGAACATCGACGTCCAGAACGATAGGTCCCGTCGCACAGTAGCATCACCACCTGTCATAGAACCGCCGGTAAGTAAATTCCATGCAATATACCTCAGTCGCGGCTACTCATCTGCACGGAATTCGTCGCCGTAGAATGGTTGCACTACCGAGCCCGATGGGTTCGCTGAGGGTCTGGAGACAACGTGGACGGATCCTGCCACTGGCGAAATTTTCATTGTCGACAACCGTACTGGCAATTCATATCCTGTGAACGCTCGCATGGCGGAGGAAACAGACGAAGCACCACAAGGAAGAAGGCTCGTTAGAACGGTCGGTCGTTCAAGGGCTAACATGGCAGAAATGCCGGATTGGATAAGAAACGCCCTCGAGGTAGGAACTCCTCTCGACGATGACATATCATCTGACGTGATCGTAGACGAATGAATCCTACGCCATGCTGGAGCCGCGTATACCTGCCGTCTTACTATCGGCCAACTTCGTTGAAGACGTGCAGAACTGGCACGGAGGCAAGCGACGGATGCATGATTGTCTCTCGCACACTACCCATCCGCATGCATCACAAAGTCGGCCTGGAAGGTTCGACAGGGACGATCTCTGGAATGCCGAAGTACTTGGACAGGTAGACAGAAAGTTCATCGCCTGCGTGCTCCAGACAGACGCCGAGATCAATGCTGAAAACGAGGCCAATCAAATGTCAGGCAACAGCAGAGGAAAGGTGCTAGTTCTCATCGACCAACATGCGGCGCATGAGCGAGTCCGGGTGGAGCACTTCCTACAGGAGCTCTGTCTCGGGTACTTGCAACACCGGTCTGCCACGGACGCAGATTATCTAGACGGTTCGCAGTCCGAGTCAGTGGGTGTGCGCACTCGCCTACTGCAGCCTCCTATCACTGTCCTCCTCACCCGACAAGAAGTCGAACGTATACGTAGCGAAGAGGTCCGAGCTGCGTTCCGACGTTGGGGTATCACCCTTTCGGACGCCGACGATAGTAACACCGGACGCACCGAACAAGATCATCCTGAGGATGAAGTGACTGGTAGGAGCAGCTATTCGCAGGTCAACGTGATTACCGTACCGGAATTGCTTGGGGATAAGGTGAAGTGTTCACCGTTGGCTTCCCTGATCCTGGACAGCTGACGACTTCGTGGCAGTTGCTCGCTGATGATGAGCTGCGGGATCTCGTCAAGGGTTACATAGCAAAGCTAGAAGCGGATGGCACTCCGATGTCAACTCCTGCTGAAGAACCCCCGACAGAGGACGGCCACGGAAATGTTGGCTGGCAGAAGGCGATGCGATGGTGTCCGCGCGAGCTGCACGAACTTGTCAACTCCAAAGCTTGTCGAGGTATGGGCCAAAACGTTATATCCTTGTGAGGTGATTCGGACTGAGTGTACATCTCTTTCAGGCGCTATCATGTTCAACGATGCCCTGACAAATGCACAGTGCACTCGCCTCGTACATCAGCTAGCCGAGACTGCACTTCCTTTCCAGTGTGCGCATGGAAGGTGACGGACTTTACCCTCTGGCATGGCACCACGCACTCATAAATATCTTTTTCTAGGCCGTCTCTTGTGCCTCTGACAGAGATCGGCTCAACAGAGTCTAGCTTGGTCGGTAGCCGCGGCGCAAACATCACTACGCGAGTGAGAGCTATAGATTGGGCGACTTGTTCTCTATAAAAATTAAGTGGTGCATTGTTCCCGCGAAACACTACAAGTGCAATCTCTGTAGGACCAACAAGGGTTAATGACGGATAATATCCAATGCTCGTGTAATGACTCATGCGCGTTCGATCGTGAAATCAACGGCGGAAATGACTGCCGGAAATGATCTTGAGATGTGCAATGGTGTGCATAGTGCCTGCTGTGCGAATGCGTCGGGCGGGGGACAAGAATTGCCCAACCGCGCCCCCAATTGATCACGACCCACAACACCGGTGCGCTGTCTGTAGATGAGCAGAACATGGTGTCGATGCGGTAGCGTCTGCTATGTTCATCAAACTCGATGTCTTAATGAGACGCTGGGACCACTGACGAACTTCTCCAAGACAGGGAGAAGGCGAAGACGGCGATCGATTCGGGAGGCCAGGGAGCCGAAGGCTGTCTCGCAAGTTAAGTCGATGTCGACGTCGCGAGCGAACACACTGCAGGCGACAGCGAGAACCGAGTTCCCTCTGCAGGTGGTGAAACCAAGCTGACGATAGTCACTGCGCCGCCAGCGTACGAATAAAACACGGATACTATAACAGCTAGAGAAATGTACGACATTATGGAACTGGGAGAGGATCGATCTACCTATTATCCCTTGAGCCCAGCACGAAGGTAATGACCAAACTGACCAAGGCACCCCCACGGAACGACGTTGTCACCGTCTGCCTCGAGTCTTTCGTAAGCTTTGGCCGGTCCGTGGCTGGCTGAGCGTCCTCAGACGTTTCGAAGACTGAGATGCACCGGCGTCATCCTCCACCTCGTCATCGTCTCCGCGCGTACGAGCCCGCTTGGTCGCACTACTCCCTCTCTTTGACGCCGCGTCGTGCCTACTAGCAAGGCGTCTGGCAGACTGGCTTTGTGAACCAGCAGAGCGGGTTCTTGAAGGCGGGGGAAGTCCGGGCTTGTGAGAATTGCTCCTCGCCGACGGTTGCGACTTATCCGCCTTCTCACTCTTCGCCGAGCGCAGAGCGTATCCGGACGGATGTTGTTTGAGCGAGTCGCTGCCACTGGACGGCGGCGCTTCGTTGGTTCCTGAGGCCTGAGATGTCACGATGGAGGTGTGCTGCACGGCAACCCGTCGTTGGGCCTGCCTACCGCGCACCATCCGCCTACTGGGACCTGCTTGATCCTCCACATCGGTATCCGTGTCGGTCTGCTCTTCGTCAGGTGCATCTGCGGCGGGCGGCGGACGTATAGGACGCTTTGGCTGACGCCGGCTACCCGGAAGAGACGCACTGCGCAATGCTGCCTGCGAGCTGTAGGTCATGGTGCCTTTGGTCCGAGATTGACCTGAGGGCTCGTTCAGGCCCGGATCCGACCTGTCACTTTTCGGTAGAGTCCAGGGCTTTGCACTGTCGCCCTGGGGCCACAGGTCGCGGTTTTCCAGAGCTTTGTTGAAGATCTTCAAGACGTCCTCATGCGTCATGCACTTGGTTTTCAACTCCGCGTTGTCAAAGTTCGTGCGGCAGAGCTGTCGGAAATCCTCCAGAAGGCCAGTGAGCGGCGCGTTCCGCATGATCAAGACAGGAGGATAGTCCAATTTCAACCACGACTCCTTGGCCTCTCGGCATTTCTTGATAGTATCAGCAACGAATAGCCCGTGCCAGGCCCCGTCTTCGTCCTCGTGAATGAATGCAGTGTGCCGAAGGACTATCCATACGAGTAGCCAATAAAACGATTCCAGGTCATGTCGAGCTTCATGCGTAACAGACCCGGAGAGAACCTCGACGGACATAAAGTGCAACGTCCCCTATCGTCATGCGTAAGCAATCAGTCGTGTAAACCAAATGGTGTTCATTACCGTGCGTTGCTTATTCTGTGCCTTTGGGTCCTCTACCGTTGCGGCCTTCCCCTTGTTGCCCCCCTCTGCTTCACGGGCCGCCAACATTCGCATCATGTTCTCTAGGATGCGTGTCCGCATAGGTGCATATTGGTCGCGGGCGTACTGTATCCAACTCTCCAAATCCACAGGCTTTCCCTCGCTTACCAAGAAGCGCTTCCAACTGGACGCATAGTCGAAGTCGTGAACAAAGCCAGTAGACGGATCGCCATCCCTTCTTGCAATCATCACGTTGCCTTTGCTGATGTCTCGATGAACAATTCCGGCCATGTATGCCTGCCTGTGACCTGCCAGAGAAGGTGTCAATCGTGCATATATACTCATCAAGCAGGTAGGCGGCGCACCTTCAATGGCGTCACACATAGCGCGTATCAGCTCATAGGTCGACTCGAACTCCGTGATCGGTGTACCAATCGACTTCAAAACCAGGCGCATATGACCGCGCTCGTGGTCCTCGTGCACCGCATCTCTGCAGCGGGCGGTAACAGTGCGATGCCCGAACACGCGCTGGTAGGGGAGCCTTAACCGGGGGAATGTATCCGGGTCATTCGGCTCTTCAGACTGCACGCCGGCGTCAGCACCGTCGTAGCTGGCGTCAGGGTCTTCAAGGCGTGCTAGATCATCAAGGTCTCTTGCCTCGCGCAAGCCGAGGTCGTCGCCGTACTCGAACTCGGCAATACCGCGCAGAGACAACGCTGCGCCCTCCTCTGCCTTCTCTACGACCTCTTGCATGGCCCGGTAGAAGCCTATCTCTGACGGACGTACAAACTGCCGCCAGGCCTCCTTGATGATGACACGCTTGCCCGTCGCTTCGCCATCCTCGTCGAGCTCGAAAGCCTCCCAGATCGTCGTCGCGCGCGAAAACAGCCGAGGGTTAACGGAGATGAGCTTGTACGCCAGATACTGCGTCTTGTTCTTCTGGTCGTTCGTAACAACAAATCGACGTACGGCCTTTCTGTTCTCCGCGGTGTACGTATAGGAAGGGTCATATTCGCTCGCCCATTCCTGGACTAGCGCACGATCCTTGTGCGTACCGAGGCTAGATGTCGGATCATCACCGACCACAACACAGTCCTTTTCTGTGGGGTTGAGAAAGCGCCACAAGAACTCGTGTAGGATGTCGGGACGTTTCACGTAATCGAAACGCGGAGAGCACACAGCGCCCGCGTGGTCGAAGCGGAATATGCGAGCCTGATGCCCATAGATGCCAACAACGAAAGCGTACAATCTGCCCTGAGCGAGCATGATGTTGCGCGCGCTCTTCGCCAGCTGGATGAGAGTTTCCTCGTGCGTGTCCGTGGTCGTCAACATGGGGTCGTCCGCCGCTCGGGGCTTCGCCTCAAAAACGAGGGCGACGTGTCGCCAGCGATGCAAAGGAGGGATTATTGGGAGTCCAGGGATGGTCGCGATGATGTCCGGCATCGTAACGTGCTGTTCCTCGTCGCACAGAGCAAACGGAAACCGCATGATATTGTGGGCGTGGTTGAGAAACTGCGGGCGGATTCTAAGGGGAAACCTTTGGACCAGACTGGTGAGGCCCTGTATCTACGGATCTGTGTGAATAGCGGGCAGTGCATTCAACCGAAGCACACTCACCAGAGGCTCATACATGTCGTGCTCCTTCCCTTTCCCGGTCGGCACAACGCCATTGAACTTAGTGTCGGGACAAGCGGGCATTCGTTTCTTAGAGTGGACGAACTCTGCCAGGAAGAAGTCTATCTCGTCCGTAGGCTCGACGATGCGGTCGCGGATCTCGTTCTTCCATGCCTTTGCATCCCTCTCGCTCTGCTGTCGTTTGTCCGCGGCGTTCGTGGGTTCCACTTGCACGGGACCCTTGTGAGGCGTGGCTTTGTCGGCCATGTCGGTCTGATCAGCGGTATAGCAGGCGGCTCGAGGACAGTCGTGGTAAGAAGAGAGGGGTTGCGAGGGATGGCCCCGCATCACCGACGCTTTTGAGCGGCGAGACATATCAGTTTCTGTGGACAAGCAACACGCCCGAAGAGGAATCGTTATCTGATTAGCCACAGGGAAGTGTGGCAAGTCAGCGGCGCGTCCGACTTCGCCAAATTCCAGCACTGTAATGCTTACCTGCAGCGCGTACTCAGCACAGTTGTCCTTCGCCGCACTATCTGCAACAACAGAGGGCAATGCGGCTGTATCGGCGCGTTGTACGGCTCGAGCAGTGACGGTCTGTCGCGTCAGCGAGCAAGAGGACGAGCAGGAGGCGCCCGACTTCGCCACCAACGCGCGATGCACGTGTTGATGGACCTGCCATTTTTGGACGATGTTTCACCACCCACATCAATGCCGTAGCCATTGTCCGCCCGATATGGTATGTACCTCGTTCAGCCCTTGTATTTTCTGGCTCAGCGGTCGTTGCAAGAAGCACAGAGCATGTGCTGGCTCGGGCCAATCCGCCCGTGTCTCCTCGGATAACGGAAGGCTATGCCCTCGGAGGGCATGTTGAAGAGCGTCCGTCGTAAGCAAAGCGGCCGTATGTCCCTTGAGATAATTCCGTTGGCCACTGAGTACCGTCAATTCGACGAGCACAGTAGGATATAATAACACATTCATCTTCTGAACCCAGTCGCTGGCCCTTGGAGAGCCAGGTGAGTGGAGCAAGTTCACAAATGTGCCAATTCCCGGAGCTGAATATCTTTCACACGGCGGCGGAACCCCAACTTGAACATCGACGCCTGCCAGATTGCTGAGTATTATTCACGTCGGCCATCATCTTCACGGAGAGAACAGCTATTTACTCGCACTTCGAACGTGCTACGAACAGTGAGCCCGCAGGCAACCTTTTCTGACATTTGACGGACTCAGAAAAGGCTTCGAAAAATCACACATGGATGTTCGAAACCCGAACGTTCTTAGAAAAGGTTCCTAGGGATCACCAATTTTCGTAGGAGTTTGCAGTCTCAAAAAGCTGGTTTGTCCGCGGTATCCTCAGGGTGCGAAGGTCAAAAGACGGACTATCGTATCATACATACTTTACATTGAGAATAATCCCTTAATACCTAGTGCCTCTGGATGTCATCGATTTCACGAAGCACGGCGCCCACAGGAACCACACCGGTCACCCGGCATCGCTGAGGTTCTATAAAGTATCAACAATCGACAGTCTGTAGTCATCGGCGACCGTGAGTCGACAGTGCGGCCATTGCAATGGTCGGACGCGCTACGAAGCCTCCTCTGACGAATTGCACATCATCTCTGGTTCAATCGATGCAATGAAGCCAGCGATGTATAATGGAAGGCATAAGTAATAATACACACAGATTGTTTTCTACATCATCGGGCAAAATGTCTTTTACATAGTCTGGCGCATCCGAGCCATCATGCGGGCTTCTAACGCCTCCTCCGTAGCGTCGTAACATAGCATTGACAGTGTGCGCGTAGTCTTGAGTCGTCAATCCTCTCTCCGAAAATGATGTCGGCGTACAGTGTTGCCCCCGCCTTACCATTTCCCCAGAGTCTTCACATCCGCGCTCGTCTCCCGCCCAAGGATCATCTCCGACACCACCAAGCCCGTCCCCAACGACATACTAATCCCCCACGGCCCATGCCCCGCCGCGACGTACACCCCTCCAGGCACGTCCGCGCCCGGCCGCGCGCGCGGTACGACGCCGCCCCCAAGCCTCTCCTCGCCCACCCGCGAGATGACCGGCTTCCTACTCGGCGTCACCGGCCGGAAGCACACGCCCGAGTCGATCACCTCGATGTCCTCCCCGCAGAGCTCGCGCCCGACCGCAAGCATGCGCTCTACCGCCTCGGGGTCCGGCTGCGCGTCCATCGGGTCCGCGGGCAGCGCGAGCTCCGCGTCGTTCAGCCCGCCGATCCAGAGCTCGCTCCCCACGCGCGTGAACAGCTCCGGGCTGAACCCGCTCGGGTCCGACGTGAAAATCGCGTGGCACGGCCCCGGGTACGGCTCCGCAGCTGAGGGGGGCGCGGGTTTCCAGTGCCGCGAATGTACGCGCAGGCTGAACCCTGCGTGTCGGTCGATTGGCGGTCGGCGGGGCGCGTTGGGGAAAAATGCGCTGAACGCGTCGGGCGTCCAGCACCCCGCGGCGATGACGAGGCTGTCGCACGCGACGTTGTAGCAGCCCGTGCGGATCGTGCGCCCCACGCTGGTCCTGGAGATGCAGGTGATTTCAAGCATGGTCTGGGAGGACGGGTCTTTGGCATCGGAGTGGAAGAGACGCGTCGCTTGCGCGGGGTGGTGGAGGCGGACGCCCATGGCGAGGCACGAGTCGAGCAGGAATTCGCACAGCTGGTGTGGATTGCTGTTCCGAAACGCCCAGAGTCAGTGCCGGTGAGCGCGGGCGATGTAAAAGGGAGAGGGAGAGGGCGCGCCAGAAGTGTGCCCCATCTGGCGAGCGACGATTGCGGCCGCGTTCACACGACACGAAGATCCTCACCATTGGGCAGTCGTAGTCTTGTCGGAAATGGCCTGCACTGTATGCGGCTTCGTGCGCAGCCAGAACGGTTCATCAAGCTTAGCAAGGTCGGCAGCCGCTGCGTCCTCCTTTGCCAGTGCCGCCATCTCCGCGTCCGCATTTGCTTGCGCAAGTTCGGCCGCTGCCTGTTCTTCCGCGCCCGCGCCGACAGGCCGCTCTTCCTCTGCCTCCGCGGCGGCGGTTGAAGCTGCCACAGCCTCCGCAATCCGCTGTTCAGCGGCAGCCAGGCGACTCTCGCCGCTCTCCATCCAGTCTTCCCCCGCAGCACTCTTCTTCCTGTGGTGTCGCGGGACAGCCTCGGTGGTATTGGTCTGCCCCGCCGTATAGCCATTGCTTCCCGCTTCTTCGCGCACCTCCTGCTCGCCTTCGACCGAGCGGTGTTCGGACCTGGGGGTCAAGGGTGGCTCTGAGTCTAAGTCTCGCTCAGATTCGACGTCCGAATCCCCTTTGACACTCCCATTCCGGTCAAGAGAGTACGAGATGCTCGGTGAATAGCCCCATCTCGCCCGCCCGTTGTGCTTCTCCGCGAGCTCCCTGTGTAGCCGGAATGAGAGGTCGCCAAGAGGCGCCATAGTAGGGTTAAACCAGTCCTTGGCGAGGAAGCCGCCTGCCTTGCCCGACGCGGAGGAAAAAAGCTGCGGACATGGTTCTACGATGTGGATAGTGTGTTCGGTTCCGCTCTCACGGGAGAGCTGGGCTAGATAGTAGGCTGTAGAAAGGCCGATGATGCCGCCACCGAGGACGACGGTGTCGGGCATGGCGTCGGGGGTCAGCGGGGGTGTCGCGGAGGATAATGAAAGGACGTGCGAGAGACTCCCGGAGGCTGGCGGGCAGGGCAGGCGGGCAGGGGGACTCGGGGCGACATGATGAGCAGGCGATAAACTATTTAAGCTCCCAATCCAGAAAGAGCGTGACGTAACGCCGCCTGGGCCTGCGTCACACTCTGCGGGCTGCTCAGCCGCTGCTCCTTCCAGACTCCTTCGCGAGCCTCGACGCCGTTCGACGACTGCACACACTTACAGTTCACTGCGATAACGTACATTGCTTGTCCTGCCTGCGTATCTTTACACTGCCAAGAAAATGTCCGCTTGTGCAATCATCACCGTCCGCCTCCAGACTGCACGCCGCTTAGCGACTTGCCCTTCGTGTCGACCGCGAACGAGCCCTTCGACTGGTTCGTCGCCACCATGCCCGACGCAACGGCCTTCCCAGTCTGCTCCTTGCCCTTCTCGAGGATCTGCTTGACAACGTCCGTGTCTACGTGCGTGCCAAAGTCGTTCTCGAGCTGCTGTCGTGACGGCGTGGAGAGGATGCCCTGGTTCCCTTGGTTCGACCAGAGGACCTGGAAGGCTGCCGACGAAGCACGTCAGATTGGCACACGAACACAGCAAGGGACTAGATCGGCATACAATCTACCACGTCCACGAGCGGAATCGTACTACAGAGACGAGTCGGTGTCAGATGTGGCAAAAGGCACCAGAGGGAAGACTGCATTTACGTGTCTGGCGTTCTAGAGTCAGCCTATCATTTCAGGAGACGTATGAGAAGTACGTACCTCCTTCTTTCCACTTGTGGTACTGCAAAGCACAACATCCCGTCACTACTTGCACTTTGCTTGACCGCAAAGCAACGTACCTCTTCGGGGTTGACCACGATGACATACTCGTTGGACGACTCGCGTTCGGGCTGGAAGACAACCTTCGTCAAGGGTCGGACCATGATGTCGAGAGATTGTTGGGTGGTCGTGAACTGAGAGAAAGTGGACGTGAAGAGAAGAATGCGTGTGCAAGAGTCGAATCGATGGCAGCGCTGCGTATATGAGGGCCAAGTGACACGGTGACGTCACCGGCCAGTGACTCTCCGCGTCTCGCGCTCCCGCTTTGGGGGCAGTGACATCACCCACCAGCGGTGGTCGCGTGCACGGCGCGGCTGGCGAGCTGCAGCCAGGTCGCAGCTAGATCCTCATCCCGTATAGGCTGTAGGCTGTCTCAAGTTGCCGGGCAGAATTCTAGAGACGAACTTCGTGCGTACACTCGGTTCAGCGAGGAAGAATCGTCGATGGAAAAGTCTCACAAGCTGTAAGCTGCTCTTCATTCAGGAATTGTTACATCGTATGCTCTTGGAGCGTGACCAACAATACATACGTAAGTACGTTAGGGAGCATGCGCCGCGAGCCATCGAGATGCCATCGTAGCTCCATGCAAGCTGCCGTAAATCATCCATTTCTCAGGACTGCACTCTATCGGCCATACGTACGTACATACCTCATGATGGCAACGCAGCTTGTCATGCAGTCAATTATGAGTGCATTGCGCCTTACATGGGCTGCATCGTGCGTATTATGCGCGATACATTACGTTCGGGATTTACCACTACCAAAGTCCAGATCTTGTCCAGATCTAGACTGCCAACTGGGACGTCTGTTGCCGCGCCACAACACGGTCACATGCACTCGAGGCGCGTATCCGATCTCACCAGGCGTGCAACCATAATGTCCTTCTTCTTAACACTGCAACACTACAAACTATACGAACAACTCACTCATGACATACACTAAGCTAGGAGTGACTTAGGAACGACGTACTCAGGATGTCGTCTTCACAGGACGGTCTCGGCGAACTTCTTCATCCCGAAGCCGCCCAATATAGTTGCCTCCTTCAGTAGAAACAACTCCCTCCCTCCGCCGTACTCGACGTCGTCCACTAATGCAAACATCAGCACCCCCGCATCATGTACCTGAAAGGAGATTGCACATCCACTCACCCTTTTGCGCCGCCTTCAGCCACCTCTTCGCCTGGACAACATTCGCCTCTGCCCTGAACTGCTGCGCGATCCTCAACATCGCAGTCAAGCCCCTCTCCACGTCCACACAGATCGACAGATCCGCCGTGTCCACCGGCAACACGTCCTTAAGCTTTCGCTTCAGGCTCGCATCGGACCGCGTGTCCGTCACCCGGAAGCCCTGACGCACGAGCCCGCGAATGTTGGTCTCGAGCGCCCCTGCCCTCGTCGCGTTGTCCCTGCGGAGCTGCTCGCCGATGCTATGAACGAGACGCACGAGCGCGGGGCGGAACGGCCCTCGGGATGGCGCGTGCGTCGCTTCGAGCGCGCTCTCCCATGTGCGAAGGAGGACCATGGGCTCTTTGAACAGCGGCCCGGACGGCAGTTGCACGAGCAGCTCCTCGCGCGTGTCCAGCTTTTCTTCTCCATCTGCCCTGTCCATTTCACATACACTGCACTCACATGCCTGCCCCTCCGGGAAGTACTTCTTCAAGGCTGCCACGCGGTCGCGATACCCCTTCTCTGTCGAGACGTACGGCACGGTCACCTCCTCGCCCGCCCGGATCGGGGCGACCGCGCGCACGGCGAGCACGTCTCCGAACGCCCGTGCACGCGCGTTCCCCGCACAGGAGTGGTTCAGCAGACTGGGCAGCAGATGCAGCGCGTTGGGCGAGCGCCGGATGCGGTCATCTTCGATGACTTCGCTACCAGTTGGGCAAAGGGAGTACTGGTCAAAGGTGTTGTACAGACAAATCGCCTCGAGGTGGTCGATGTCGATGTCGACCGTTGGCTGGAGAGGGTCGACGCGTTGGGGGTCGAGACGTGCAGGAGGAGGCGTTGCCGGAGGAAGGGGGTAGTCCGGGCCCGCGTAGAGATGTAAGAGCTGGTCATAGATGTCCGGGTTCCCATAGACCGTCTGCGCAACCTTCGCAACGTTGGCGGACTGCGCGCGGGTCATGAAGCGGGACGTCTTGAAATTGAGGGCAGTCCGCCACACGTCGGCGCGGAAGTCCTTCTCTTCGACGAACGAGAGTGCCTTTGAGACCATCTATTACCGGTGGTTAAGCCATACCCATGGCATAGACGTTCGCATGTATCAATAGTACGTACCAGGAGCTCCCCAGCAGAAACATCTCTTGTTACGACGATACCCCGTCCGCGGCCGGGGATCGTCTTGACTTCCACCGGTCCAGTGTAGTCTGCAGCATCCAATCTGCTGTCATGTTGGCACTCCTCGAAAAGCCTCGCCCAGTCATACTTCCCTATCGAGTTTTCTCGCAGTCGTTCTTCACACCTGCGGATCCAGGTGGCGTCTTCAGCATTATTACTGCTCGACACCCGATGTTGCTGAAACAACTGCCTAGCACTCGCGTAGTTGCGCCTCCCATACTCCGCACGCGCCGCACGGAGGAGAGCCTTGTTCCGGAACGCAGGAGATAGATCAGGTGTAGACAAGACAGATTGAGCATCGTAGAGGGTACCAGAGTAGAACTCGAGACGCAAGTAAGCCTCAGCACGGTTCAGGCGGAGCACCAGCGAGTCCGGGTGGACCTCAAGTCCACGAGAGTAAGCCACAGCAGCAGGGAACCATTGAGAGTACTTGAAGAGGTCGTTTCCTTTGACCCGCCAGTAGTCCTCTGTCTGCATGGTCTCTAGGGGTTCAGAAGGACTTGTAGGCGCTTCTGTGGCGAAGTGGACATCAGGGAGCATCTGGGTGTACGGTGCGAAGACTACCAGATCAGTCGGCGAGTCTACGCGTATGAGCGGGTTGGTGTTTTGTTGCGATGGCATCAGAACGGGATCGCGGATCAAGAGTACGGCACCCTTGGGGAAGAGGATGTCCATGTATTGCGGGGAGGCCTCGAAGGTCGTCGGATAATTGTAGAAGGAGAGATCATAGGCCGTTCCTTGTTGGTCTTCGACGACCGTTTGGACGGAATACAGAGACGCTGGGCCGAAGTCAGCAATGCGGAACTGACATGAAAGGGCTACACACAGCAAGGCGCGATAATTCGACATGTCAGAGCACGGCCCTATGCAATGTATGTCAGGTCAAGCCGCATCAATTAACGAGTCGTATATGCGTACAAATGTAACCTGGCGCATCATCATCTCCGAGAATAGCACTGGAGGCTAATCAATATATCGAGCATAGTGGGTGTCGAAATGCATACTTACCTGGTTCGAGCTCGTTCCATGGGGCTTTGCTTGTGTGCTTCCGAAACCCAGTCACCACAGCTATGGTGCGAGCCTTGACCTTCGACGCCGGCGCAGCAAACTGCTTCTCCTGTTCCTTCCGTGCAGCGATCTGCGCCGCCACGAGCGTCGCGCGGGACGATGTCTTAGGCTTGTACACGGGCCCACCGTCCGACTCGCCTTCGAGCCACTCCTTGTACTTGATCGCCGCCTCTGCTTGTTCTTCAGGCGGCATCGACAATATCAAACGCGGGAGCCGCTCGATGCCCATCACGGTCTTCGACCCCTGCTCTTCGGCGATGTCAGAGAGATGCCTGTAGTTGATGTCTGCATCGGCCAGGACATCGCCCATGGCTTCCGGGGTGAGGCCCAGGTGGACGGCAAGATCAATCATCTGTTCGATGTCCAATGTGTGCAGGAAGTCGGGATCCTGCGGGTTGAAAGCCATTGCGGAGGCTGAGTATGAAGCAGTGCGAGCGTTTGCAGCAGCCTTGCATGCCGCCTTTATACAGGCAAGCACTAAGGTTCGTGCCACTGCCAGTGGCACTGGCCGCATTGCTGTATCGGGCCAGGATCTCGGCCAGACACCCCAGTCGGCCGCTCGGTGCATTGCTCCTCAACTGGGTCATGATCAACAATGGCTGGCTTTCTCTTGACGAAAGGTACGGCACTATGTAGGCACTCGTCTCAATAATAGCTTTTGATTGGTGTATTGACCGGAAGAAACGGATGAAAAGTCCACCGTCAAGACCTGGTCAAGTGAAGACTCCACTGACCGAGCTCCCTGACAGTAACTCAGCCACTGGGCAAGGAGCCGATATTGTTCAAGTTGAACTTGTTCTAGCCCCCAAGCAACTTATCCCTGATACTTACGACGAACAATGACAGAAAGCACACAACGACGTCCGCGCGGTGATAGAATCCTGTCGTCATGTCATAGAATACACATACTTTATAAACTCTTCTTGAACTCTTCTCGGTGGTTTGTGGACAGCTAGGTAGTCAGACCGCATCACTTGCACCTATGGCTGAAAGTCTCAATCTCATCTGCCGCCACTTTCTAGCAGGCTGGGAGACGCACCCGATGAACCTCACGCGCTGCTTGATAGCTCGCGCACGCGCCCGACCTCCTCTCCATCAGCGTGCACAATCCCCACTCCCTTAGCCTTCAACTCTTCCACAGCCTTCTCCCATCCCTCCTGGCCCCCGACGCTCCTCGTCGCCTCCTCAACGACATACGTCTTCCACCCGTCCTCCGCACAGTCCAGCGCACTATGGAACACGCAATAGTCCCCCGCCAAGCCCGTCACGAACACCTCCGTCACCTGCCGGTCCCTCAACAGCGCCGCGAGCGAGCTCACCGCCGACACGAGCGGCGGGTCGCGCAGCGGGCTGCGGAACGCGGAGTACATCTCGACGCGCGGGTCCATGCCCTTGAGAATGACGCCGTCGAGCCTGTCCGCAGCGAGCTCGCGCACGAGCGCGTTCCCCGGCGTGCCCGCGACGCAGTGGTCCGGCCACAGGCGCGTCTGGTACGTCTCGCGCGCGTTCGTGGGGTTCGTGACCGTGGCGAAGGACGTGTACGGCTGCGCGTCCGGCCCGTGGTTCGACGCGAAGCTGATGTGGTTCGGCGGGTGGTGGTCCTTCGTCGCGATCTTGAGGACGAAGGGGAGCGCGAGGAGGTCGTTGATAACGGGGACGACCGCCCGCCCGTCGGGCACAGCGAGCGCACCGTTCTGAGCGCAGACTCGGCGTCAGTATGTCAGGTCGCCGGAGACATAGTGAACGTTTGTACGGGTGGGCAGAAGTCCTCTTGGACGTCCACGATGAGGAGCGCAGGACGAAAAGCCGTCTCGGACATGGTAGGCTAGAGATAAGATGCGTCGAACACCGCTGGACTGCGCACCCATGCTCAAGTAGGAAGATAGACGCTGCTATGTTCGTTATATTGACATACACGAGCAATAGCCAGGTGCTCAGTCCATTAAGATGTAGCAAGTGGTCAATAGTGTGCTATACAAGGTCGCCAGCTCTGCGTATGTCAGTATATCATACAAGCATCCGAGTCATGTCTCGCTATGATGCACCAGCGGTCTCCGCCCACTCCTTGCTGCCCATCTGCACAAGCCGCGAGCAACACCGCGCGAACGCAAACAACTCTTCGTCTCCGCTGAAGACCGAACTTGAGATGACCATGTCGCTCGGAAGACCCTAATGCACATGCTCAGCGCCAGGCGCATTTGTGTTATCTCAGCGCGTCCACTCACCAAGTCGTCCATCATCTGCCGCATCTGGTCCGACACCGCATCGCTGGCATTGTCCCCATCCTCAGAGAATATCTGGGCTATCGGTGCCTCGGAAGTGATAAATAACTTCGCTTTGCTTTCGTAGCATGCTGTTAGGGTATTAGGCTCTACTCAACGCACATATAGACAGTAAAGGGCGCACCATCAATGAAGGTGATGAATCTCCGCGCCTTGTCCTTCTGATTCATCCCCATCTTCGGCACGTCGAAAATGAATATCGTCTTGAAGTGCTTCACGATCTCCAGATAGTCCGCCGCGCTCAGCGGCATCCCACAGAGCTCGTCGAACTGGAACTTGGCCACTGTGCTCGAGCTCTCCGGCACGGTGATCGTCCGTCCCCATGTCGTGAGCTTGCGGTGGTGCTGCACGGGATCTGACGGGTCGGATGTGATCGCCTTGAAGATCTTCTCGACCTCAGCTGTATTCTCAGGCGTGAGGGGGTCGTAGTATACATGCGAGAGCGTGCGGGGTATTCGTCGATAATCTGTTTTCAGTATGAGCGTGTAATCGGAGGTAAGGGGAGTTAGTGGGGGACTCACCTGTGCCTGAGTCAAGGTCTGTGACGTCGAACTGGGTGTTAAGAAGCTCTATACAAGGAACGAAGCTCGATCGCTGGATCCCGTTCTTATATAGTTCGTCTGGATGACGACTAAACGACCAATCAAGAGACCTTCTCGCACACGAAAGTGGATAACTCACTTGGATGTAATAACACAGATGACACCATAGCTCAGGAGACGCTCAAAGAGCTGCCTCAAGATCATAGCGTCCGCGATATCAGTGACCTGAATCAAGGAGCTCAGTCCTCGTTCCCTCATAGCTGCCATGCCACGTACCTGGAACTCGTCGAAGCATAGGATGTACGCCTCGTTCGCCAGCTCCCGCGCAACAGGGCCGATCACATCGCCTCCCTGGTATCCAAGCTTCGCCTTCGTCGCATGTACCCGCTTGTGTACGTCGATCATGAAGGCATGAAAGTGGACTCGCCGCTTGCGCTTGATGTGCGGGGGGATGGTCTCGTAGAAGAGGTCCATGAGCATGGTCTTGCCCGTGCCAACGTCGCCGTAGAGGTACAGGCCCTTTGGCTTGTTCTCTGTTGTTGCTGACCCATGCTCAACTTGCGCTGATCGACCGAGGAAGCGGGAGAACTACGGTGCGTGAGCACAAGTGTCTGGCAGCGGAGGTCGGGACTTACTAGGGATGGACGCGGCGGCTCATGAGGGACGGGTGGTGGATGGTAGTTCGCTACCTCGTCATGCAGCTTCTGCAACTTCCCGATGATCCTCTCCTGGTGTTCATCATACCTGAGGACGCCAGAATCGACGAGTTTGTGGTATCTGGCCAGGGGTGATGATGTTGCTACAGGATGGTCCGTTGTCACCTTCACCCTTCCTCTTGCGATCGCGCTACTAGACTCACCTTGCTCCGACTGCGACTGTGGTGCATACTTCGCGTGGAGGATAGCAGCCTCGCGGTCACTGAGGCCCTGCCTCTCGGTTGTCCGATCGGCTGCTAATGAGGAATTGAGCCGCCTTCTGTGAGCGATCGACCGGTTAACGATGGAACGAACAGCGAGACGGCGGTGTGGCAGAGCGGTCAGTCGGTGTCGGGTAGATGCAATGTACGGCCGCAGAGACAGAATGGGCCTCATATTGCTGCGTGTTTAGTCTGTGGTCGAGCCCGTGTAAGATGAGCCCAGCGAGTTGGAGAAGCCCCTGCAAACGAGCCTACATAAGGATAAAGATGTCATCCAGCGGTCGGCCGACGCTGCGGGACAGTCGCGTCCACGGCACGTGAATTCTCCTCCGAGAACCTCGGGATACTACTCGGGTTCGAACGGAGCGCCGCTTCTTCGCACCGTCTCTCGCTCGGACTCGGAGCTCGGAGGAGCACTCGGGTCGGCGAGGTTTGGGGGAACAGAAATACGACGACCAGACTGGGGGAGGATCCCGGTATGTCAGCGCGCGAAGTTTGTACATCGACGTGTATATCAATTCATTCCGAACGTTCCGTTAGTCCAATCCCTTGTTAATATTGTCAGTAGTACTCGAACACGAGCCGTACAAGCACAGTAGATGCTGGTACATGCAACATATTAATGAAATAAAGCAAAGGGCATGAGATCCCGCATTCAGTCAAATATACGACTCGTCCGTGCACCGTCAACGAAGATCTTGCTGATTGGTTGCTTCTGCGTCCGAGGGCGCAGCCGGCCTGTCCGTACGGTGAGAATGGCCTGATCGAAGTCGCCGCGACCGATAGACCGTCCGCCTGCGCGGCCTTGCGAGCTCGGAGGTGCCAATAATGCTGGTGAGGAAGAAGGCGTAGCATCTTGCTTGATGGTCTGACATAATTTAGTAAGTGGGCTGACGGCGGAGCGGAGAAGAACAGTGCTCACCGCTTCTGAGTCAGTACGAGGATGCCCCAGGGGCGTAGCCTTGGGTGCGATTTCCTTGTTCTTCTCCTCGGCATCATGTACGTCCAGAGCGGCTTTCTGTGAGCGGAGTGAGACGATGAAAATTTCATAGAACATGAGCATATTACCTGCAATGACGACGAGAACGATAGGATGAGACCAAAGAACTCTTCCGGCTTCGGTGCATCTTGGCCATCAGGTTTCTCCCCATAGAAGGCGAGCAACGATCGTAGCTCATTGTCTAGTGCCACGGCCATGTTCTTGAGAGCGTCTACACTAGGGCTCACTGTCTTGACGAAGGGCTTATAGACGAGGCGTCAGATGAATACGCGAGCGAGTCCACGATTACTCACTTGCATGACTGCAACAAACCTATCACCAGGTGCCTGGGGTGTACCCTGCATCACGCGGATCTCTTCCGCGACGCGCTTCATACCCTCAACGAGGGATTGCACAGAGGCGTTGAGCGTCTGGACTGACACTGAGAGCAAAGCCGACGGACGTCAGAAAGTGATGAGATACATGGCTTATCCACACTGACCTCGTGCAGCCGCTTCCAGGTGCGGCATATCTTCGACGAAGAGGACAAGATTTGCATCACTTCTCAAGAGCACCTTGGCTAGATAATGCAGGAGAGTTGGACAGTCAGGGCCTCCCTTGGCCGTCCTCGTCTCTTTCATCTGCTCTCATCTCAGCGAGTCTGTCATGTGCATAGTGAGACTGACCACCTCACCTTTGACAGTGCCTCAAGTTGGAAGCCCCTCGCGCCGCCTCGGAACGTCGACCCGTTCAGCGCATTCCCGACAGCGAGAACAGCCTACAGATTGGGTGAGTTCGACACCATAAAAACATTGTATCACTGACCTGCAAGACGTTCTTGAACCTAGAGGACGATTGCAACTCACGGGACGCATTCCTGACGATGTTGAGTTCCGGCCGAATCTCCTCAATCTCAAGCTCCAGTTTCTGCCGGTAGAGCATGCAATCTAGCCGCTGTGACAACCTCGGTATCGACATGATCTACGAGCTTTCGGTTCAGTAACAGCAGTAACATGCCAGTCACAATGTATCTTGACCTGGTAGAAGTACTGATCTGCCTTGGCCAACTTGCTGATATCGCCGAAGTCCTTGAGCCTGGCGACCTATGCCATCACATCGTAAGACGATGCGCCGCACGGCAGACGCCTACACACACCTCTTCAGCTGTTGGCAGTTGTCGGCCAATAGCCCTCAGGTCGTCGACGGATAGTTTGCTGTCGTCAAGCGTAAGGAGAGCAAGTCGAATCTCAGGTAACTCCCTCTTGATACCAGACAGCATAATAGCTGTCCACTACACATCAGAAGATCCCCAGCATCCAACCTGAACGCAAAAGCACTCACCGACATTGTTCGCCCTCGTGATGTCCAACAAAGTCGTCACCGACTGTTTGCGGGGCGACGTCACCGACATCTGTGACGGACTCGTAGGTGTATTGTCAATCGCGAACGTCGCCTCCAGATCCGTTAGGTCGAACGCCGCATCCGGCTGTATCTGCGTCCACACCGTAGAGCCCAACGCGGGAGCGGAGAGCTTGTTCCAGAAGAACGGCTTGAGACGCTTCGCGGGCTTGGCGACTTTGAGCGGACGTTTGTAGGCTGATGGAGGCGGCGGTGGTCCGGGCGGAGGTGGTGGTGCGACGCCCGGAGGTGGCGGCGGCGGCGGAGGGGGCGCAGGGATATTTAGCGCAGGAGGTGGAGGGGGCGGGGGCGCGGGAGGCTGCGGGAATGGGTTAGAAGGGTCGTGGCCATTGACTAGGCCCATGTGTGGGCTTGTCGGAGGCGGTGGAGGCGGTGGAGGCGGTGGAGGCGGCGGTGCTGGTACCAAAGGTATGGATGTGGGTGCGGTCTCTGCGGTCGGAATGGAGGCTGTCGAGGAAGGGATGCGTGGAGGTGGCGGCGGTGGCGGGGGAGGCGGTGGCGGGGGAGGAGGAGGAGGAGACACAGCAGGCAGACCTGGAATGCCATTCGCAGTCGCGGCAGCCGACCAAGTCTTGGGAGGGCCGGGAGGTGGAGGTGGAGGAGCAACCTGTCGCTTGAAGGCGGACTCGGTGATGAACTTTGGCTTCGCCGCCAGCTGGGATTCCATCTCCTGAATCTTGATGCGTAAGGCCGAGATCTCCTCGTCCTTTTCAGTGAGACTAGCGATGGCCTGCGTAGCCATCATCTCCGCATCGACTTCGAGTTCCCTCGTCTCCTCTCTAGTCTCCTCTCGTGAGCGGAAACGCGAGTATACAGATTCGAGTGCACGCTTCAAGTACACAATCTCCTTGTCCTTCATGCCCAATGAGGATTCAAATTCCCCGTTCTACTAGCACTCAGTAATGTTGTTGTTGTGCTTATGTTTCATCTGACGACTTGCCTGTATCTTGAGCTTCGCGATCTCCTCCATGAGCGTGTTCCACTTGACTCGATCACGCTCGCGCTTCGCGCGTTCGTCCTGTCCAATACGGTCAGAACACAGCACACGAAGACAAACTCAGTGACACTCACTGCATCTCTACCTTCACTAGGATTCTGAGCCTTCAGCCGCTCGAGCTCTGCTTGAAGTTGAGAGGCTTCCTTCTCCTTTTGGACAAGACGCTGCACGACGCCATGGAAGCTCTGCTTGGACTGCACACAATGAACAGCGAGTCAGAATGAGGTTCGCTTGTCATACCTCGGTACCTAGACTACTGCCACCACGTCCACCTGAGGCTGGACCTGAACTGAGGGCGCGAAGCGTCTTGATTTCAGCGGCCTGCTCTGCAACTTGATTCCGAAGGTCGCTCCTCTATGTGCATATGAGAGACGGATAACAATGATCGGAAGATATGCACATTACCTCTTGACTCAACGAATCAACACTAGCACGAAGCGACTCCAGGTCTTCCGACAGGATAGATTCGTGCCCTTCAAGATGTGCTCTGACCTCAAGGATCTCACCGGTGACATGCTGAACAGAGGCAATGAACTTGTTCAAACATGGCGTCCAGCTACCTTCACTACGTCCGGAGTCAGTGATACCCACGATGAGGAGGATGCGTTCGTACAGGTCATCCAGCGTCGCTATCTGTTCGACAAACTTGTCGACAATAATAAGGAGATCGCCCTTCAGTTGGCTGGGAATGTCAGCTGAGACGCGCGCAACGCTACTCAGACGCGAACTTACCTATCGACATCCCGCTCCAGCAGCGAGCTCAGAGCACTCATGATCTGCAGGACAGTCGCATAGTATGACTGTTCATCCCGCGCGATACGTAAGAGATGCTCAACGACTGGCTCAGAGCTTGACTGAGGGTGGTCGTCGCCTACGAGGTTACGAGCGCGTTCCCGCATGTCCTCCTCATCTTCGAACTTCTCTTCAGTATACACGTCGAGCTGAGTGACCAAAGAATCTGGAGGCTTGATGTACCGCAGCGTCTGAGAATATTGTCAATTACTAGCCACACGTGATAGCACAAGACAACATACTACAATCACTTCGTTCAAGCCACGCCGGCCGAGCTCTTCTCTGAGGAGTATGCGCTCTTCCAAGGCATCAGGACAATTTGTCAGGGCATTGATCAGAGCCATGGACGCGGTTCGAGCTTCCCACACGCCATCTTCCTCGTTGGAGTAGCCAAACTCATTCGTGATCGTCCCGTCGTCGGTGGCCTCGGGAAGACGTAGCGAGGCAATGAGCTCCTGAAAGCGGAAGGCTTCCTCGAACTCCACCCTGTAGTCGGACATCGCGGCTAGTACAGCTTTGTGACCTTCTGTCAGCGAGAGCACACAGATTGCTGCCAGGACCTCGGAAGTCAAGGTGCGAAGTCGGACGGAGGAGCCGTGGAGGGAGTAGGCAATGTGCGTAATCAGCGTTGGTGCTCTGAGTACTTCGTTGAAGCCGGGCTTCATATAGAGGTCAGTCATCATGGTTGTTGCTGAACGAATGAACTTACCTCGGTGTTCAACAACACCCGCAGGCACTTGATGATCTCGAGGAGCACAGTCTCCTCGATATCGCTCAGCTTCCTCCGTTTCCCACCTTTGCTCACCAGTCCACTCAGCAGCCTCCCGATCGCATCCATGCCATTCTCGTCCGCAACGAACTCCTCGATCCACACCAGACTCGCCGTCGATAGATGCACTCGGAGTGAGATCAGATGCTTGACGAGCTTCATGTCCGTGGCTCTCCCATACCGGATACCGTCAACATACCACTTCGGCGTCTTCTCCGTCTCCTTGGCCCCTCCCTTCTCCCCGCCAGATGATGCCCACCAACTACTCCAAAGACCACCCGTAGATTGGGATTGTAGCGTCGGCGCGGTGATACTCTCTGCCTGCGACTTCGTGGACCCGGCTGAGTCCCGCCTTCTGTGGCTGAAGTCGACACTTCCGCGTTGATCAGGGCTTGGCGTAGGAGAGCCCGCGCTTCCCCAGCTAGCGATGGAAAGACGCTTCATGAAACCAGAGTCGCCGGTAAGTTGAGGGACCAAACGCGGCAGGAATGATGCCGCACTGGCGGGCCCGTAGGTGGACGGCACTGCAGTATGTACAGCAGTCTGCCTTGTGCCGGCGGCCCGTGACATGGTCAAGCTACGAGAGATTGTTTGGTTGCGGAGCAGGTACTGCTTCTTCTCCAGTGGGAGTTGGTACATCTGTTCCCGCTTGGCTCCTTTCAACCCAAGCTCGTCCTTGAAGGACAGATCAGTCATGGTAACGCCGTATGTGGAATACTGTTATACATACGAGTACGTGTTCAAACTCTTGTTCATCGAAGCCATTCGGATCCTGCTCTTCTCCTGAATCGAAGGGAGTACCTACTATAGTCCCGCCAGTGTGCTGTTCAACAAGCTTAGGTTCGCTAACAGCCTTCTCCTTCGTGGAAATCGTGCCTGTATTGGCCTCGGGGCTGGTGGGATGCATCCAGCTCTCGAAGATACTAGAGAATCTGTTCTGCGAGATCGATGCACGCCAATCAGTGGTCATGCTAGAGCTAGGGCTTGCAGGTGCCTCCGCTTGTGCGAGATCTTTCTGTTTCGCTGTACCCTCGGCTTCCTCGCTCTCGTCTGCCTCCTCGAGATCTGCGAGCCGTCTGATGGTGTCTTCCGAAGGTTCAGTGGACGTGGAAGAGACTTGTCTGCTCTTCGACCGACGGTACCATTCATCTGGCACACAAAAGCGGAAGCTGCGAGACGCCGTAGAGAGAGATGAAACGAAAGGGTTGGGCATATGCGGGGATTCGAGGATACTCGACATTGCGCTCGTGAATGGTAACCTGGCGGACTCTGGGCCATGCCATGAGTGAGTGTCCAGGGTACAGAAACGAGGAGAGCTCACTCTCGGCGTCATCCTGAGCCCATACCTCCTCCAGTACGTAGTCTAAGGCACCACCACCCGGGATTGGGAGTGTCTTCATGAGCCCTAGCTGCTCAATGACCAGGTCAACAGCCTCTCGGACCGTCATGGACTTGGAGACAAATAGTTTCCATTGGAATCCGTCGTGGACCTCAGGGACGCGTAGAAAACTGCATGTGAGCGCGAGGAAAGGGTGAAGGGACACCAGCCGTAGCACCGGGGTATGTAGATGGGATGTAAGCGGGAACGCTGAGAAGTGCCTTTCGGAACGAGCGGTAGGGGAAGGCGCATTGAGCAACGGGGCGACGAGAGCCGTGGGCGATACAATCCCTAGGGAAGTCGAGGTAAGCTCAGACGCAGCATAGACAGTGAACCTCACCGTTTCCGAGCTCTTCCAACTCTTCCTCTGTCCATCGTCGTCCGCCCGACTCCCTCCGTATCTTCTGCAGAGCCCAGCCATAGTTCTCGAGGTCACCGAGCACTTCGCTGTGGACCTCCGGGTCTTGAAGGAGAACGTCTGTGACTTCCTGGACAGTAGCAGACGCGCCAACGGTCGCGAAGTGTAGCGACCCAGATGGTAGTATGCAGGGCACGATTAACGCGTCATCGGACATTATGCTTCGTGAGGGCCTCTGCTGAGGTCGCTGGGGTTCATACGCATGGAATGGCAGGTGCCTGTGTTACGGAATGCAGCTCTGATTCCCAGGCTTCGCGAAAGTGGGTACTGGCTATAGATGGCGACAGAGACGAGAGCCTTCGTAAGGGACAGTACTAGTCAAGGCGCCGCCTAGTTCAAGGAGAGAATAGAGGCTGAGTAGCCCGACCGCAGTGAAGCTATCCTCGGGCCTCGAAGTGGTCGCGTTGCGCGTAATGCCAGTGCTGCAGCTGATCCAGAGCTGATCTCCCCCCGCGACGACACAGGCCTCGTGACGTAGTCGCTCGGCCACGGACCAATCCAGTTCGGTTTGATCGTGCCGTTTGTCGCAAGTTCCCTGCAGTCAATGAGTCATGACCGTTGCCCTTGGCTGCAGCCAAGCTGACATCCTTCTCAGACACATAACGCGAAGAGGAGATCCAGATAGCATATAGCAATGTCGACAGACAACCGGACGCAAACTAGCAACACCAAATGAGACCTCTCACGACACCGATATGCTCATGGCCATACTCCCTGGCCGGTACGGACTGATGCTCATGCCACCGAAAGACTCTCCCAACCCATCTGCCTCGTCCTCCCCATCAGCAGCCTTCCCGCCTGTCATCAGGATACCATCGACTCCAGGGCCGTCGACCACCTCGTCATCTTCCTCGTCGTCGCCGTGCTCGTCATCTTCGTCATCTTCGTCTTCATCGTCATCGATTGCCACAGACGACCACTCCCGATATACGCCCTGTATGTATGACCCAGAGCGCGGAAGCTTGTAGGGGTCGAATGGGAAGAACGTATTGAGCTCTGCGGTCATCGAGTGTCCGAGCATGGAGGGATGGATCGCGGAACGCTTCGCATTCTGAAGGATGTTACCTCCAGGAGTGGGAGGCTGAGGCGCGTAGTCGGACCGTCGATTCGACTCCATGATAGTATAGCAGTAGATGAAGTCCGTAGCGTGCGCGACACGGGCGAACTGCATTACGACGTTTGAAGAGCAGACCTGCGGACCGTGATCAGTTCACACCAGCGCGTTGTATGTTATCGTCGCACATACCTTAAGGGGATTGAGGTCTGACTGTATAACCCGCTGTATAACATCCAGCTCTGCCATCCACTTCTTGGCAGGAGCGCTCGCAGCTGTGAACTCATCCACATCTTCCTGGTCCTCGAGGAGGTCCCTCCAACGGAAACAAAAGATTAAGAACACAGCCTGCACCACAGCGTAGAATATGCTATGATGTGCCATGCTCGGCGGAACGGCGCCTGCAGTGTTAACCGCATCGAAGATATCGAGTCTACTTCGCAGGAAGTTGCATAGGCACGCGACCACTCTGCGAGCGCTCTCCCGGTCGACGAACTGGGCCCGACTGACGAAACTCGCGATGTAGCTCGCAGCGGCAGCTCGGGTCACTGCGGGTTGATCCTCCTCCAACAGCGATTTCGAGACCAACATGCCCTGAAAGAGGTCGCTGAACTCGGGATCGAGGGAAGAATACCAGAAGACGAGGAACTGTGTGTAGCGTGACTTGAAAGTGCGGAGGATGGTGCGGTCGAAGATGGCTAAGAGCATGTGGAACTGTTGACGTCGCAATAAGCGGCCTTCTTCGAGAATCGTGGGTGATAGGGGACGGATGGGTTCAAAAGGGGTTAATGGCGAGTCGGAGCGAGATGATGGTGTTCCAGGCGTGGAGAGGTGAAGTGTGGGTGTTTCGGCGTGTACTTGGTTGAAGTGGTCGAACAGATTCTTCAGGATAGCGTCGAGCTTATCCACCATGTCTTGGACGTGCTTGAAGTTAGTCGGCACATCTTCGACCGGGTGCGCTTCGTCATCCACCTCGCCTCCCGCGTCGGATGACAAATCACTAAGATTGTCCCCATCGCCGTCGTCATCCTCGTCATCGGACTCTTCGCCTTCTTGACCGACTATGGTATCAAACGGGTCAAGCTCGAAGACACCCTGTTGCTCCTCTTCTGCGAGCCTCTCTTCGAGTTCTTCAAGTTCTACTTGAATCTCGACCTTAAAACACTACGTCAGTTCGTCTTCACCCAGAAACCGGCAAATGACCATACATCGATCTGAATGGCTCGATCAACTATGGTGCCCAAGACACCCTCGGCTAGCTCAGGGCAATACTCTGTTACTTTGAGGATATTGCGAATATACGTGATCTGGGAGGCTTGGCTCTGTCGCTTATGCGGGAAGCTGTGCACTAGCAAGGGGTGCAAGGTCGATGGCAAGGTGGGAATTAGAGAGTAGATGTGTTGCAGCAGATAGTGTATGCGATCGTACACAACCCGTCGTGTGAGAGGACTGGTAGAGGTTGAGGGTAACCTCGAGTCCAATGCTGTGAGACCAGACTCTAGGAGGCCATCAAACAGGGGACTAGGATCCTGAGAGGGGGGTACGCACGGTAGGTGAAACCGTGCGCAATCCTGCCGAGCACGAGCGACAGATACTCGGGGCGTGCACTAATAAGCATGCCGATGAAGGAGGTGTACGACTTGACGAAACTGGTGTCCATGACTGTCCATGGCATGTTTACGATGGCTTCTACAAGAGCGGAGTGACAGCGTTCGAGTCGAGAGACGGCGTGTGACAACGCTAGGATCCAGTCTCGTAATTGAGGCAGGGGTAAGGACGCATCTACTGTGCTCTTCTTTGGGTTGAACTGGTCGACCAATTCGTCAAACGCATCGCTGTTGCCCTATTACTGGTGTCAGGGACGGCATGAGACCAATACTGTTACACTCACATTCTTCTTCTGTTGCAAAGCGTTGTTCACGAACACGAGGTAACCACGCTGCCTATACTGTTCACCTGCACAAACTTTTAGCAACCTAGCTCATCTGCGTGGACCTATAAGCAGACCTTGCTTGACCCGAGAGTTTGTGGCGATAGGTCTTGAGACGTAGAGGGAAGATGAAGAGGATGAAGAGGACCTCCGCGACGGTCCGTCTGGGCGCTTTTTGAAGTTCTCCAGAGGGTCGGTCGGCTTTTGCTGCGACTCCATATAGCGTAGGTTGGAGAATGCTGGTCCCGCCTTTGGCTGCCTGACGTTGAACTGAGATAGACGAGAGTGAGGTTCCATTGTCCGGCGGCACTCAGCGAGATGAGCAAAAGTCAAGACCTGCCTGTGCAGGACGGGAGCGACGGAGCAAAATTGGCTGACTAAGCTGATGGCAGCGCCGGGTCAGATCACATCTCACGCTCACCAGATCCCAATCGCGATTGGTGGCATCGTCCGATCAGGCTGCTTAAGGCTGCTTAGCCTCGACAGAAGCGCCCACTTACTACTCGATTCCATCGGCCACTACAGGGCCACTAGCTTGAGTGCAGTCCACGCACTGTACCACTCGCTCAGGACTGTTTGAGTGCGCTCCATACGTAGACCGCCGCGTCATCTTATACCTGGCATAGCAGGCGGCCGCGAACATGACACACCGAAACATCTGGCTTGACTGTGACCCAGTGAGGCGATAGGTGACATAGGTAGCGTCTCATCTCATGAAGCTGTAGGGACACGATGACGCAACTGCAATTCTGCTCGCGGTGCATACCCCAGGAGTGAGCTTACTGGGCATCTCTACGGTGAATCGCGCGCAACTCAGAAGCGGCGATCGGTGTCATTGACAACGAATGCAGGTGCATGGCAATGCAAGTGCAGAAAACACCAACAACAACGCGGCGCGATGCCTCTATGCCTTTGCTGCTCCCGAGGATATCAAGATCTATCCTGGGTCTACTAAGCCGTTGATTAGACCAACAAGACACGACCCCGAGATACACGGGATCGATGGGTTAGGAGGGGTAGAGGGACTTCCGCCAGGAACATACAAACCTGTTCAAGAGCGGCTGAAGCACCCAGGACGAGTCCCCAAGGCTATCGATGCCATTGCGAGGGCCGTCGAGCAGACCTGGAAGGATGGCGCAGGTGACAAAGTTACGATCATCTCGTCTGGCCCGATGACAAATATCGCGCTCTTCGTGAGTGTGTATCCGGAACTACTAGGGGGAATAGGTAAGCAAATTACTCAATATGCGTACCCTGAGTATCAACGTACTGTGAAAGAGGAGTTCGTCTTCATGGGTGGTGGTGTTGGTATCGGCAACCGCTCTGCATCAGCCGGTACGCCTTCCAGAGCTCCCAGACAGACCCCTTTGAACTGTTTAACATATCTTAGAATTCAATATCCTCTGTGATCGTGAGTTTGGCATGCCTTAGATACCGGCATCACTCACTCACTCCTAGTGTACAGCTGAAGCTGCCCAGATCGTTTTAGACGTCCCGGTCAAGAAAACCATGATTCCCCTCAATGTCACCCACACCGCGATCGTTACACTGGAGACTCTTCGCAAACTGCTCTCATCCGACGCGCCATACTCTCCAGGCGTCGCACCGGTCAAAGCGTCCACGAATCTTCGCCACATGCTATGGACGCTTATCTGGTACTTCGCCGAGTCATACAAGTCGACTTTTGGCTTCATGCACGGCCCGCCCCTGCACGATGCGCTCACCATCGCGTATGTGTCTAACCCGGAGTTGTTCAAGTGCAAGAGGTATCGAGTGGACGTAGAGCTCAGCGGGACGCACACTGCCGGAGAGACTGTAGTTGACATATGGAATTATCGGTCCTGCGATGACTCCTGGGGACGCGATGGGAAGAATTGCATGGTTGCAGAGTCTTTAGATGTAAGCACGATGCAATTGCCCCCGGTAGCCTCTATCGCTGATGCCTGAACAGGTTTCCGGCTTCTTCCAGCTTTTCCTGGACTGCGTTTCCCGTTGCGATGCGGTTTCGCCATTGAATCAATAGATCTCGCTCCCGGTATATAGGATAACCATAGATGCGGACGTAAGTTCAGTTTCCTTGGTCAGAGAAGCTACACTCCAGCTGTACACCGACTAGCCGCTGCCCGTGGATCGCTCACATGTCGTCGCCGAATATATCAATGGACTGTCTGACCGCTCCAGAGCTGTCCACCAGAAGATTGTCCTATCAAGCCGACGCATGAGCAATGCTACTGCTTCAATCCGATGCAGATCACTTACAGAGCAGGACGAGCCCAGGGCAGCATTCCCAATCCATCCAGGCTCCCAGTAGTCTGTAAAATCGACTCAGTCGGTGAAGATGAACCGCGCATAAGATGTTCGATCCCTACATATTCCCTGCCCCAGCCCATTGGGAAGGCTGGTCAATACGCTCTTGATATCCCCCGTCCACTCCTCTTGTCCCTGCACTGACACAGGGATTTCCGGCTCACTAAGAGTCACGCCCGAACAGCTGGCCGGCCAGTTTGTCTCAGCCACAACGACAGGCTTGCCAAACTCGTTGACCAAATTCGTCAAAGAAGACGACAGGTTGGCGAGGGTCGCATTCGTGCCGTAGAATGGATAGAACGACACGCCCATGATGTCGACTTCCGACGGTGTCAGCGCGCCCTGGATACCAAAGACACCTTCCCAGAAGTACTGCAGGTCCGACCAATCCCAGCCGTTGGCAAGGTGTATCAGGATCTTGGGCGTGCCCGCTGAGAGACCACCGTGGGCAGCTGAGTTCAATAGCTGGGAAAGGCCGTCGAAGCCATTGACCGAGATCTCGCCGACGGGCCACAACAACCCGTTGTTAATCTCATTCCCGACCTAAAGTATATAGATCGTACGGTCAGGTGAAGGAGGTTCGGAGGGCAGAACGTGCTGACCTGGAGAATGTCGATAGGCGTCTCTTGATCTGCGAACGCTTGTACAACGCTCTGCGTGTAGCTACCATATGATCAGAGTCACGCCGTGCTGATGACGACTGTTGATACTTGCTCGTATATCTGAGTGTTCAGTCCCGACAGGTCGGTCGGCCATCCTGAGGGAATGGCCTGATGACCAGGGTCGGCCCCTGGGTATTATAGAGATAAGCAGTGGTATGCGGTCAGTTAGGAGATGTCTTACACGTATCACTGAAGTGAAGATCGACGTGAAGCGTCAATCCCGCATCCTTAATGCGCTTGCCCACAGCCAACCCATAGGTCAAGTTGTACTGCCCGGCGGTCCAAATCCGCACGCGCGCCGCGGTCATCCCATTCGCGACGAGGATGTCTTCGAAGGGCATACCAACGCCATTCTGAGAGTATTGGACGCCAGAATCTTCGACTACGATGAGCGAGGAGATATCTGCGGCTCGATAAGTCAGAGCCGACGCGACAGTGACGAAAGCTGCAAGCAGGAGATATATCGCACGCATTTTGCTGCTGGGAGTTTCCCTGGGTTCATTGTAGAGCATTTATAGGTGCGTCATGGTCGTGTATACAAGATCGCGAGCCGGGATCACCAGTCAGCTGTTCCCGTTGAGCCGGCCCTACAAGCCGTTGACGTTCCCAAGCTGATATGTAAGTATTCAGGCTGATCAGATGCTTGTAGGTACCATGAGGACTCGCGAGCACGGGAGGACCAAGGATGCAGTCGCGGCGCCCAGAGGCTCCGAGTCGCTCTAGCCAATTTCGACTCTCGAGGAACGCGTCCGAGAACCTCGGGGTTGCGCGTCATGCACGTGATAAGTACGGGACGCGTTCCTCGTTGGGCGCTTGGGCGCGTCGACCCTGTTCATCCAACGACGTCGGAACGAATCCATCCTGGCCGGCATACTGGAGGCTTCGGCAAGCACTGCACGGAGATCGCGTACACCGGAGAACACATCGCTAGCCCCCAAGCTTCCCATCATGTCGGCCACCAGAAGTACGAGGTGCGCATCGTCTGCTGCAGCGCCAGGCTGTGATCGAGACTGGGCGCTAAGAGGTTACATCCTATAGCAAAGGCAAGAAGAGGGCGAGGGACGCACCACCGAAAGAAGGGAAGGAAGCCGGGAGTGACAGAGAGTCCGAAATCCCTGGAGAGGCCCCAGCGAAGAGATGTGAGCACCCTTCATGTTGCGCTAGCAGTGTAACCGACACTCGCTCAGCCAAACGTGCCGAAACAAGGCCTTGTCCAATATGCCATGAATCTATACCGATTCGACTTCTCGGGAAACATGGCGAACTCGAAATGGCGCGGGTGGACGAGATAGTGAACCAGATTGGTTCCACGGACGTTCTCGCTGACGCAGAGCCGGATGACGGGTATGGGTTTCCCTACGTTCGGCAAGCCACGTACAATGTGCTGACAGTTCCTCAGCATGACCAGTCGGTCGCGTCGTTCGGCAGTGAAGGCTCGGAAAAGCATGAGCAATCGCCGTTCCAGCTCGGGCTTCGCCTCTACGTCCGAGTTGACTCTGGATCAGATCAACAAGACCGTTCGTAGCATTCGGAACCGCCGCAAGCAGCGACATGCCAAGCTACGAGAGCTGACGCGAGAGGAGGATGAGCAACAGTGGTGGGGTGCTAGCCGTCGAAGTGATTGCGAGGAGGGAACGGTCTGTCCTGTCTGCGGAAAAGTCGTTGCCGGCGATTCGGATGTGGTGGAAGCACACGTCGATTCTTGCTTGGCACATGCCAGTATCCTGGAACAGGATGCAGCACACAGAAGCACCCCAGACGATGATGACGGCGACATAGACATTGATATTGACGGAGAAGGCGTTGTCGAGAGTGTTACCGCTGGCGTAAGCTTCCGAGGTATGTCGCCGTTTTTCCATTTCCGAAGTCGTCGCCAATGAATCTGTCCAAGGAACGGGTTTCGACACTCGAGATCGAACCTTGCAAGACATTGATGACGAAATTGACATCGACGGAGAGGATGATGTATTGTTCGGTGCAGCACAATTCACGGAAGGCGATACTATTCCGCTTGCCAAAGATCCTCGGGAAGAAGACCCAGGGTCCGATGCCGAAGACGGTACTGGAAGTCTACCCACTAGACGGAAAGAAGTCGACAGGACGACGTTCAAGGACTTACTCGAGAATGGTAAGCTCCTGCGCAAGGTGCAGGCGGCGGGCGACTTGAAGCAGACCATGGACGAGGTGATGGGGGTCGGCGAAGCTGAGGAGGTGGAGAGGGCCATTGAGGAGGCAAGACGAGACGGAGATGACGCAGCATTGATCAAAGCCCTAGAGAGCAAAGTGCAGCTGATGGTGATTACAGTGGCACTCACCGTTACACCAAGAGAGCTCAATTATCGCGTATAGGTCTCCACACGAGTCTCGTCGTCGACATCCCTCCTATGCCGCATATGTCTGGATCCGTATACGGAACCTACAGCGTCGACGGGTTGCTGGCATACATGCTGTCGTGAGTGCTGGTTGCGTTGCCTTGGAGCGACCAAGCTCTGTCCTATCTGCAAACGCATCACTGGAGCAGGCGAACTCCGGAGAGTTTACCTGTGAGACTGCCTGTTTACTTCGCTTAGTTTGCTATCGTTCTTTGCGTTGCTCTGCCATGTTTTGCTCTCATGTACCATCTCGGGTTCCTGCGTGATAGCGGATTGGGATAAGTCGGAAGTGCATGCTAAAGGGAAGAGTGAAACGGAAATAGAAGAGCTCATATCTGGCCTTGTCAAAGTCCTCATGTACCACGTTTGCGTAAACCGGCCCAACAGCGAGCGGTTACAACATGCGGCCTCCACGCCAATGTGCAGGAGTGCATCAGAGCACCAAAGGTGCCACCACGACATGTAATCAACGCAGCCAGCAGAAATAGATTGCTCACCATGTCTAGCACATTGAAATACGCCCAGAAGCTCAGAATCACTCAGGCAGATAGCAGGACTTGCAAGGAGAGCGAATGCAAACGATCAATTAGGTGTACAGACTGAAGCTCGAGATCATGCAAGGGGACTAATCAACCTGCGGCAACGTCAGCACCGCGCAGTGTAAAGTTCATACCGACGTACTTGATCAGTGATGGCTGCGGGTTGCTCCTCGAGTACCCAATGTAAATGATGAAAGGAATCCAGCCATAGTGGATGACAGTCTGTATGCGATGTTAACGCTGCTTTCACGACCGAACGTGGCACCAAGGGAGACCTACGCGTCCGAGCTCGACAGCCTTAAAGATCCTTTCCTACACACGCGACCGTCAGCATCATAGCAGCGCGGACAGAGGGGTGCGACTGACCTTTGTCTCTTCCGAGGGCATTTTGGGAGTTCGTGTCACGGAGGAAAGGCGTGTCGGGAATAGCCGACGACTTTTCACGGTGGTCAAGCGCTGTGGCTGATCTTGTCCTCGCTTGCGATCTACGCTTCCAAAATGCCTCTCGCTGCAGAATCCTCTGCAGTCTACATCCAAAACACCGCTCCTGGATTCATCTCGACACCAGGGTAAGGATGCGATCCTCAAAATACGCGATTTTCTCACTTATCACGGACCGTCAGGCGGGCCCCGACCTCGGTTACGGTCCACCCTGTGGCTCTATTCTCCATACTCGACCATTATCTTCGGCGCACAGAATCTCAAGAGCGAGTGATTGGTACCCTCCTCGGGAAGCGCTCCGACAATGGAGAAGTCGAAGTGCGCTCGTCATTCGCCGTCCTGCACAGCGAGACGGAGGAACAAGTCGCGGTAGACATGGACTACCTGAAGACGATGTACGATCTGCACCACAAAGTGAACCCGAAGGAGGTCATCGTAGGATGGTAAGTATACAGCTACACACTCAATACAGCTGCTTGACACATCGCAGGTACTCCACCGGGTCGAACCTTAACACGTACTCTGCCCTCATCCACAACTTCTACTCGCAAGAGGCGGCACCCCACCAGGTAGTGCACCTGGCTGTCAACACGGGCATAGTGGAGGGCGAGAAGGCGGGTGTGAAGGCATACGTCGGGTACGTGCTCTGCAAATGTGACAGCGAATCAGGACCGCTTGATTAAATGGCGACGAATTGTAGGTCGCCCGTTGGTGTCTACCCTAAGCCGGAAAACTGCGTCTTCGCACCCATCCCATGCGAGCTCCGATTCCACGACGCCGAGCGCAGTGGCCGTACGTCCAATGCTGAGGTGTCCAATACATGACGCTGATAGTTGGCCCACAGTCGATTTGCTGACCACAACATCCGTCGCCCTCAACTCTACAACCCCCCATCCCGTAACAGATCTCGAAGTCCTTGAGCAATCCCTCAAGTCCGTTGCGGAGATGCTCGACCGTGTACTGTCATACGTGCAGTCGGTCCTCGCAGGCGAGGTCAAGGGAGATGCTGCCGTCGGGCGATACCTCATGGACAGACTTGGCGCAAGCACAGAAGATCTAGAGAAAGGAGGATTCAACTCAAGTCTGCAGGTACGGAACCATGAAGCTCGGATGATAAGCAGCGTGGCTCACCTATACTCCCTTCAGGATACACTGATGGTGTCGTATCTCGCCAGCCTCGTGCGCTCGCAGGCGGAAGTGTCGGCACGACTCGCACTTGTTACATCAACGTAGTCGCTCGGCCAACTGTATGATATTTCTTGTAGTGATCTTTGGCTACCGGGGTGTACGAGAGCCATATTGTAGTCTTGCAGCAGCGTCAGCTGTTGAAAATCCGCGAATGTTGGAGGTCATGCCGTGCAGCTAGGATCTCGCCCAACGGCCAGGTGACTGCAGGTCCATGGTGAACTTCGTCAATAGGATGCCTCCAGTCACCACCGGCGATACCCGTGCGTAGTGTCTTGCTCTTCAGGGCTTCTGCCTCGACAAGAGGCTTGACGGTGTGCAATAGGAGCTGTTGGGCAGCATATGGTCCTATCGTATTGAGACGTATGGATGCTGACAGTAGACTGCGTGCGTGGAGAAAGAGGTGAAGGAATTGGCTGCGTTCTGAATATAGAATAAGCTCAAGGCAGTTCGAGACAAGGGACGCGGGACGTACCCAAGGACAGTCCCAGGCAAGCAGTGAGAACGCCCCAACAGATGGGTAGGTGCCCATGAGTCTTCTCTTGCCTGATGCGCAACTTCAGCTTCTCGACGAATGCTCCGGCATAGGTTTCCCAAGACAGCTCATCGTCAGCGGGATGCGACATGATAACTTGTGCCTGGCGCTGCCTTCGAGTAGACGGTTTCGAGAAGCCTTTAGAGTATAGCGTGAGGAGAGCTACGCCTTGTGACTTGGATGCACGGCGGGCGACGTGATTCAGGGTCATAGACTCGTAGAGATCGTCCAAAGCCGTGACTGCCTCGAGCACAGAGTCTAGGGACGCGTCTCGGGAATCGGCAAGAAGCTTGCGGATGACATCGTGCGTATCAGAGACAAAGGGAAGCGCACTTCTCGCGTAGGACCTAAGGCTATCTTGCAAGAAATCCATCGTCGCGTCCATCTTGTCGCGCGGCGTCGACGGGGTGGGAGACGAGTAGAAACCGTGGGTCACATAGGACTCCAAACCTGCTGATGCCACGAAGGACCCCGTAGGCAGGTTACTGTCGGACAGCAAGAGTAGAAGGTAGGCCTCGGTGTCGCTGTCCATGGCCTTGTAGCGCAAAGGGACGATGAGGAGGTTTGGGAGAAGGATCGACTCGCGAGATGCACGACGCAGGTCGGCTCACGTGGTCAGGCGCGGACTGCGAGGCGCGACGCGCTTGCTCGCAGCTTGTCAGTACTTGTGCGTCGCGCTCTGCTCGCCTGCTTCCATGCTCGTCACCCTGCCCGCGAAAGGCAGACATCGTCCAGAACATAGCATAGGAGCTCTGCATATTAACAATGGGTATGGCAAATGCACAGTCATAAGGAACGGGGGCTCATAGACACTGCGTGATAGAGTCCAGCATCTCGAAACAGTTGGTCGACAAGATGTACGAGAAGCGGAAGGCGGCCGCGCTTGAGCTCGAAAAGTGAGTAACACGATTGACTACTACAGTGGTATTCTCAAACACTTGGGACACAGGCAGATTCGCGAATGCCATCAGCAGGGCGACCACCGGCGTATTGGCCAAATCATCGACCAACTTGTGGACATGTTCAACAACCCATCAAACCCATTGCATGTCCGCAACGGAGGACTCATTGGCCTCGCCGGGACCGCGATTGCTCTCGGTGTGGAGATCGCTCCCTACATGGAGAAGTTCATCGAACCTCTACTCGTGTGCTTCACGGATCCCGAGAACAGAGTACGGTACTTCTCTGCCGAATGTCTCTATAACATCGCCAAGGTCTCGAAGGGGGAGATACTGGTGTACTTCAATCCTATATTTGACGCATTGAGCAAGGTTCGTCTGTCCGTTTGCAACAAGACCCAAAGCATGAAATGCTGTGCAGCTTGCCGCAGACTCCGAGCTGTCCGTCAAGAATGGTGCCGAGCTACTGGATCGATTGCTTAAAGACATAGTAGCGGAGACGGCCTCCGTTTATATACCCCAATACCCGGAGACAGAGAAGGCACAGAAAGCACTCGAGGATGGGAACGATTTGAACATATTGGTGCCACACCCGGGCGATGTCGCCAGTGGTGCGGATATCAACGGCGCACGCAAAGCATTCTCACTCGCACGTTTCATACCGCTGCTTTCGGAGAGGATATACGTCTTGAGTCCCTTCACCAGGAGCTACCTTGTTTCATGGATTACTGTGCTCGACTCGGTTCCAGAACTTGAGCTGATCACATACTTGCCGGAGTTCCTCGACGGTCTGCTGTACGTCCTCCTGACCGCGCTCCTGATGACTACATTCATGTCGTCCCTCTAGGAAGTACCTCTCAGACCCCACCGAGGACGTACGTGTAGCCACGGAAAACTTGCTCGCGGACGTCCTCCGCGAGATCCGGGACGTGACTGCTGTGCAACGTCAGCACGAAGAACAGCTCAAGGCCAAACGTGAAGCCGCTGAACAAGCTCGTCGTACTGATACCGATAAAGAGAGGCCGCAGGAAATCATTATACCTGGCTCAGATCGTGGTGGCCCATTCTTGGAGGGCGACGATTTCGTTTTTGATGACAGCTCTCTGGCGTCGCCAGAGGAGAAGCAGCCTGACCAGGCAGGACGCGATGTCGGCCGTACGTTGCATGCAAAGTACAATGTGCTATTGTAGCTAATTCCATGCTAGATTGGGTACCTGGGCAAGGGGTGAAGATCGACTATGCCGCAATCGTTGAGATTCTACTACAACAACTGGATGACCAACGTTAGCATCCTTAATTGTCCTCTGCCCCGGTACTGATGCCGTCTCAGACGATGTGATCCAACAGTCTACCGCTCTACGGTGGCTCACCGAGTTCCTCACTATCGTCCAAGACGTTATGGTCCCATTTACACCCCGACTTATTTTCGTCATCCTGCCCAACCTTTCTCACCACGTACCCATGATCCAATCTGCTGCTCTCCGCACGAACAAGGCACTCTTGAACGTGATACAGTCCTTGCCTCCCCCAGTTGACGCACCAGCACGCCAAGGGACAGACAAATCATCCTCGTCCGCCTCTCAGGTTGCTCCCGGCTCACCCACTCCTGTTGCTGCTACTCTAGCGCCTTCCAGACAATCCACTGCAAGCAAGGACGGTGTCGCAGCCCGTGACTTGACCTCTCCGGAAGCGGTGTCGCCGCCCGAAACGGGGACAGCGTCCGATCGACCTTCTACCGCTTCGTCTCAGAGAACTCGGACAAATGCCTTGCAGGGAAGCGTCACTCTGGCGACGGCAGAGGCTGTCCAGTCCGGCGCACAGACCAGCCGTCCTGCTTCTCCCATTTCGGCTATCAGCATGCCCCAAGTGCAAACGTCACCGGAAGCCTCCTTGCTGCAGGAAAAGTCGGACCAGTTCGACTACCAGGCTACTGTGAATGCGCTCACCATTCAGTTCCTGAGTGAACACGAGGACACGCGAGTGGCAGCGTTGAAGTGGTTGATCATGTTGCACCAGAAGGCACCGAAGAAGGTTAGTGCCGCGTCCTCATGTCTCTTGTGGTGCTGACGTATTCCTGTAGATCCTCGCGATAGATGACGGTACATTCCCTGCGTTGCTGAAGACGCTCTCGGATCCGTCGGAAGAGGTTTGTACCTTAGCTCTGCCTATGTACTCGATGGGTCTAATATTTCTGTATCCAGGTTGTCAAGAGCGATCTTCAGCTCATTGCTCAGATATCATCAAGCTCGGATGAAAGTTACTTCAAGGCTTTCATGGTCAACCTCTTGGATCTTTTCAGCACGGACAGAGGGCTGTTGGAAGCTCGAGGGAGCCTCATCATTCGTCAGCTGTGTTTGAACCTCAATACCGAGAGGATATACCGGACATTTGCGGAGATCCTGGAGAAGGAAGAGGTAAGGACGAACAGCCCTAAGTGTGCTTGCGGACTGACGAGTATCTTCCAGGATCTCGAGTTCGCCAGTGGCATGGTCCAGAAACTGAACATGATCCTCATTACATCACCAGAATTGGCGGAATTCCGCAGACGACTGAAGAGTCTTGAGACTCGCGTAAGCCGCCCGTCTCGTCTCCGCCTAGCGAAGTTGTACTCACAGACAATAGCAAGACGGCCAAGCATTATTCACCACCTTGTATCGATCGTGGTGTCACAATGCAGTTGCGGTCTTCTCCCTCTGTCTACTCGCGCAAGCATATGAACATGCGTCAAACCTCTTGTATATCTTGTGCGTCCGTAAAGCTGTTTTATTCGCAGGCTCGGCTCACCGTTGCTTCCGACACTAGTGCGGACCTTGAGATCACAGTACCACTGCTCGTCCAAATAGACAAGCTTGTGCAGCTGATTGAATCACCGGTCTTCACATGTATGTCCATCGTTTTGAGCGAGCACACGTCGTACTCAAGGACGGGGCCACGTCAGATCTTCGATTACAACTACTGGAGCCCGAAAAACATCCACATCTATTCAAGTGCTTGTACGGACTGCTCATGCTGCTGCCACAAAGCTCCGCTTTCGTATCGCTGCGGAATCGACTGAGTGCGGTAAACTCGGCAGGTTTCTTGCACATTGCTCCGAAGTCGTGAGTTGTTACGCTGTGGCCTCCATCTCTAGACTGACACTCTCTGCTAGTACGGTTGCAAGCATTTCGTCGACCCGATCAAAGCTAGGCCGCGATGATATCAAATGGCAAGAACTATTATCACACTTCCGAATGGTCCAGGGCCGGCACGAGAAGGCACGGCGACAGGCTCTCGGGACGGACACTACGCCCTTCGCGGGCTTCACTATGAATGAGAAGCCTGCGACGAACGGACCAACGACGTCGACACCTGCGGCGCCATCGTCATTACGTCCACAGATCCGTCGGAAGGTTACGGGAGGAGAAGGCCCTGCTAGGCCGCCCTCGCGGTCGAGTGGTGTCCTGTCTCCGCTCAACCCGAAGGCCCGTGCACAGAGCGGGCTCCTCGCGTCGAACCTGGCGCATCCGCCTACGAGCCCGACGTTGTCCGCTCAGGCGCCGATGAAGCAGCCACCACGGACGTTGACCTTGAATAAGAAGTCGTGATAGTGTGCGGCGATTCCGCACTTACGTTGTCCTTACAGTCGATTGCAGAAATCATGGCACTCGCGGATTTTTTTCGACGCGCGCAATGACGCGCGTGAATCTTCCGACCCAAAGTTCCGAGCTTCCTTACCAGTGTCTCTAGCTATGATGATGCAGCATAACTTCGCTTCTCTGTTCTGGAAATGGCAATAACACTACCAGATAAGGTGTCGAAAAATTCTGTGAGTGCCAACATATTCGCAATTGACTGTAAGTCTGTACATACCCCTTGCAAGGTTCCGGCCTTAATCGCACAGTCCATATGTCCATATGCCTCACTTCGCATCAGACTTGTCAATTCAACTATAGTCTTCTAGGACAGATTATGATACATTGATTTATGATGATTCCGGAGTTCGTATGGTAATGACGGGATTGTGTGAGGCACGGGTATCATGAAGGCACGTCCGAATGGCTGTCCATGATGGGGACGAGAAGGTTTGTGCGAATCCGCTGAATGTCTTCGGGAGATAGCCCGACATGGGTGTTGATGTATTCCTCGACGCCTCCATAACGGTCCCGTAGTAACATCAGAAACGCCAGCATAGTTTCATGTCTTTGCAGCATTTGCTTTGAGCCGCCGTCATTGAGATGTCTCTATTTACGTACCGACAAGTGAACATGTTGAGTGCTGCTTCACTGTTCGTAGCGAACATGGGCATCTGCGAGAGGCGTGCCATGACCATCTGACGGGCAGGCTCCCGCCCGACACGCGTTAAGGCGTAATCTTCGGCAATTGCATCGTCATTGACGCCTGCTACCTATACGCATAGCAACTTGCGTTATTGCTGACCATACACATCGAAGCCATGCTCGGTGCTCACTTTCAGAAGGAGGGCAGCAGCAACGCCGGTCCGATCCTTGCCAGCTAGCCAACAAATATTCAACTCCGGACGCGGGCAAGATAGAGTTAGCTCACGGACCTGTGCAGTGGAATATGAACGTGTCGTTTGGTCGGTCGCGAACATGACGCAGTATGGTCGCGAACGCCGGACCACCGTTGTCTAATACTTGCGAGTACAATTCCATGAAAGCCTTTGAAGGGACATTCAATCAAAGATGACAGGCTCATGAAGAAGACATACTTCTGTCTTGCCACTTGCATACAATGCAAACCGCCTGATGGCAAGCCAGCACATGATAAATCATGGTCGTTCACTTGGGACACATGCTGACGCACTTGGCCATCATTTCCGGACTGTAATCCTCCGTCTTGAAGACAGGAAGATGCACAATCTCCACGCCGTCCACATGAGGAGATGGCGTTTCATATCTTTCAATCTCTGTATCCGAGCGCAGATCGTAGATAGTCGTTACACCTAGCTCCTTGAGCCTCGCTTTGCCTGTGCTGCGATCAGACTGGTATGCACCTCTGGAAGAATGCAAGCACGCTGTTTACACACCCTCTTCTGTGATAGACGAGATCTCGCTGGAACGAAAGATGAAGCCGGGTCGTGTCATAGAGCCAGAGAACGTCTCGCTGGGGTAGGAACCGAGGTCCCGGACATTCACGACTCCTGGAATAGTGACGAACGGGGGTTTGGACAGCCTGTCATTGACATAGACGGGATCAAGCGGATCTACTTCCATGGCCGGAAGGGTAGAGAAAGACCAGAAAGCAGAGCAGCCGACGTTGTGCGAGAGTAAGTAGGTAAGTTACCGGGTGCCAAGTACTGCAGTGGCAAGGCCGCCTCGAGCCACACCACGCGTCGCTTTAGGGCAGGCCTTCTCGTGTCTCATTTCGCCAGACGCGTCTTTGCAACCCCTCACCGGTCACCATCTCCCTCCCTTCGCATCATCATGGACGTCGACGGCATACCCTCCTCACCACCCCTTCGCCACTCATCCTTGCCACCTAGTAGCGCGCCGCCTGGTTCAGAGGCGTCAAATGGTCGCCTCACGCCGCGAAGAGGAACACCCCAGCGCAACCGCGCGCCGGTCGACGCGCTCAATCTCGGTGATGACGAAGCCGAGGACGTGGATGATACTCAGCAGCGAGCAGCACGTAGACGGCGAAGACCGAGGAATCAGATAGAAGGCGACGTGCCGATGGTGAAAGACGCGGTTGGTGAAAGTGTGCAGGAGAGTTTCGAGGCGTTCCTTCGAACGTGAGTAGTCATCTAGACATATTTTCTCCCCCAAGGCGGTAAAGGGTGTGCTCGAACATGTTGCGTGCTCTCTTCCGCCCGCTCTGCTGTGCTCGCGGCTATGCGACCGACGAGTAGATCTGGCGTCTGTATTTACGAAGGCGGCTTGAGGATGCCGCATTGTGTCCGTATGGCTGAAACACATAGTTCTGTGCAGAACATGCAGAACCGTGCTTCATCTCACCTGAATAACAAACGGTCCCACTCTATGCAAATGCTGATCTCACTCTACTTAGATTCACCGAGGAAGTCACACTGGCACCCACCCCTGCGTCAGACGGGGGTATCCCAGCAGCGCCAGACGGGGAGCTCATCTACATTGAACAGATCCATACCATGCGGGAGTACGAGTTGACAACCCTATACGTGGACTATGGGCACCTATTACAAAAGGACGACGTTCTCGCCGACGCAATGCAGAAGCAGTACTACCGTTTTCTTCCCTACATCCGCCGCGCTCTGCACAACCTTGTCGCCGAGTTCGAACCGGAGTACCTCAAGCTGAACCCTACGGCCGCAGCCACAGACTCCGTCAACCTGCAATCACGCGAATTCAACGTCGCGTTCTATCATCTACCCCTAGTCTCAGGTATCCGAGATCTCAGGACAGACAAGATCGGTACACTCATGAGCATCAGTGGGACGGTGACACGGACCAGCGAGGTGCGACCTGAACTGCTTTACGGCAGCTTCATCTGTGAGGTCTGTGGAGGACTGGTCAACGAAATCGAACAGCAGTTCAAATACACTGAGGTTCGTCCAAGCCTTACGCAAGTATTTGTCTATATTCACCATCTCGTCAGCCGAGCCTTTGCCCCAACCCGACATGCGGGAATCGGATAGCGTGGCAACTACAGATTGACAGCTCAAAGTTCACCGACTGGCAAAAGGTCCGTATTCAGGAAAATCCGTCAGAGATCCCCACTGGGTCGATGCCACGGTCGCTAGACGTCATCCTCCGCTCTGAGCTCGTAGAACGTGCCAAGGCAGGAGATAAATGCGTCTTCACGGGAACGTTCATTGTCGTGCCGGACGTAAGCCAGCTTGGGCTGCCCGGTGGTAACAAGGCAGAGCTCATGCGCGAGGCGGCACGGGCAGGAGCTAACTCAGGCGCCGCTGCTGTCGGTGGCGCAGGGGTAACTGGGCTGAAAAGTCTGGGTGTACGGGACCTGCAGTACAAGACAGCGTTCCTGGCTTGTATGGCTCACGATGTTGACGGCCGGGTGAGTGTGGCTCGGTTGTTTCTTGTGGGAAGGTATTGAACCGTCCTAGGCTGGTACAAACATACGCGGAGAGGATCTTTCTGGCGAGGACGATGCGCAGGCGTTCGCGCGATCGCTCACCGAGCCGGAGTTCGAGGAGCTCAAGCGCATGATCGAGTCGGACCACATCTATTCGCGGTTAGTGGAGAGTATTGCGCCGACGGTATACGGACACGACATCGTCAAGAAAGGATTGCTACTGCAGCTCATGGGAGGTGTGCACAAGCAGACGGCTGAAGGGATGCATCTGCGTGGAGATATCAACATCTGCATCGTTGGCGATCCCTCAACCTCCAAGTCGCAGTTCCTCAAGTAAGCATTTCATTTCGCTGCTATCTCGAGTTGATCTAAGCTGCTGCATAGGTACATCTGTTCTTTCCTTCCCCGCGCAGTCTACACCTCCGGAAAGGCCTCGTCTGCTGCAGGTCTTACGGCTGCAGTCGTCAAAGACGAAGAGACCGGGGACTTCACGATCGAGGCTGGTGCCCTCATGCTGGCGGACAACGGCATCTGCGCCATTGACGAGTTCGACAAGATGGATATCTCCGACCAAGTCGCCATTCACGAGGCCATGGAACAGCAGACGATCTCCATCGCGAAGGCAGGCATCCATGCTACGCTCAACGCACGTACGTCCATCCTCGCCGCGGCGAACCCTATCGGAGGGCGTTACGACCGGAAGAAGTCGTTGAGGGCGAATGTTGCGATGACAGCGCCCATCATGAGTCGGTTTGACTTGTTCTTTGTGGTGCTCGACGAGTGCGACGAGAAGTCCGACCTCAACATTGCGAAGCACATCGTGAACGTGCACCGGTTCCGGGACGATGCGATTCATCCTGAGTTCAGCACGGAGGCTCTGCAGCGGTATATTCGCTATGCCAGAACATTCAATCCTAAGGTCAGCCACGTCTTTTGTATAGCCTAAGAAACCGGGATTGACGGTGCTCGATAGCTCACACCAGAGGCAGCGGATGTCCTCGTCGACAAGTACCGCATTCTCCGTCAAGACGACGCATCTGGTACTGGCAAGAATTCCTATCGTATTACGGTCCGTCAGCTAGAAAGTATGATACGGCTGAGCGAGGCCATCGCCCGAGCGAACTGTACAGCAGAGGTGATGACACATAGACCTTTTTGTCGGACTTGGATTTACGCATTGATGCGCAGATCACTCCGGCTTTCGTACGGGAGGCCTATAGCCTGCTGCGGCAGTCGATCATTCACGTAGACCAAGATGACATTGACTTCGACGAGGAAGAGCTCGAGGGCGAACGCGAAGGCGACCGGCGCCCACGAAACGGGCAGGACGACGAGGAAAGCCAGGACGTCGAGATGTCGGCAGCGGAAGTGGCCGCCATGGAAGAGACCGAGCAGAGCTACAACGAAGCCAGCGGTTCCGGTGGTGCCAGCTCGGGCGGTGCCCATGGTGCGACATCATCAGACCCTGCCTCGAGAGCGGCGAGCATGGCACCTGCTCCGGCTGCACGTCCAAAGAAGAGGATGGTCATCACGCACGACAAGTACATGACCCTACAGAGCCTCATCGTCCTTCACCTTTCCCAAGCGGAACGGGACACCGGAAAGGGTGTGGACCGCGATGAACTCATCGACTGGTATCTGGAATTCAAGGAGGCGGAGGTCCAAGACGTCGAGGAGCTCGAATACGAGAAGGAACTCATCACCAAGATGCTGAAGAAACTTGTCAAGGTGAGATGGGTATGTCTTGTGATACGAGCCTGAAGACTCACTGGTCTTGCTAGGACAACTATCTCATCGAGATCAAAGGCGATGTCCAAGACTCACTGCCGGAGTCGATGGAAGAGAGCAGTGCTCAGCCCTCGTTTGACGGCCAAGGCGGTGATGTCCGTGTCTACTACATGGTGCACCCATCTGTGGATACGGAAGGCTCTTCATCTGTTCCGTAGACATCATGGCTCAGATACGCTTGACGTTCACTCTGTCATTGATTGCTGTTGTGCATTTTGTCTGGTTGCTTTCGCGTTCATTCAATTCTGCTCTGTATTGTCTGTAGGTATACAAGCAATGGTCGAAGATGTATATTGGTTCCCTGTCGACTCCGAGCACTGTTTGTTTCAGTCACAGTCGAGCCCCGAAGCTCTGGCGTAGGTGGTCCCAGGCCTAATGCGTCGGGTCGACCGGAGGAGTTGCAATGGACTTGAAGTTGAACTGAGCGTGAAGTGCGTCGAGCACGTGCTACGACCTTCGCAAGCGCCTGGGTGCAGACCGCGAACGCGATCCTCAGCCACTACCCCGACCGTGACCATGTCTGTTCCCTCGCCGTTCACGACTGCCCACAGGAAATACGTGCAAGGCCTCTACAGGCGATATTTGAACAATGAGCTGAACTGGCATGTCAGCCGCGACGTTTGGAGGGGGAGGGCCATCGCCGTCCGTGCTGAATTTGAGCGGAACCGGTGCGTTGCTAAACGACTGTATGTTTGACGTTCATTCACAAACCATATTCTCGCGGTTGAAGGAACGTACATGATCCACGAGAGCTGGCTGTGATCCTGCAGAAGGCTGAGGCGGACTTGGCCGAACGGTTGCACCCCGATCCTTACCGGCGTGAGTGCTGGCAACTTACCAGTCGTTATAACCGTCTGACCGCGATGCAGCGCCCGAGGCCGTCGACGGAACGAAATGGTATTTGTTGCATAAATTTGTATCTGTAGTTCCCTGCATCTCACACGGCATCCTAGGGAGCGCAACCTGCCTCCTCCCATCGGCCCTCTCTTCGATCACGAGAAGTTCAACTACGATCATGCTCATGGACACGGTGACAGTCATGGAGAAGGGCACCACTGACCGCGGTTGTACCAGTGTACCCATTCGCACTGTCAATGATTCATGCAGTCGCTGGGCTATTCCACGCTGCACTTTTCCGTACCCAAACACCGGCGAGGCTTCATGCCGGAATAACATGCCGGATACGTTGAATTGCGACGCCAAATGCTATCGAGCGGATCATGTACAATTGCTCACACGTTGCACAGTGCAGTTGGACAATTTCCTCCTCGAAGCCGCGAATAATGATATACACTTATAGGTTCGCTGCGGTGAGCGCCATTCCCCATGTGGTACACCCTTGGGTGGACAGTGATTCGCAGTAGACCCCGTGCTTGCTCATAAAACCTTATTACCGCGAGGCAATGGTCGATATAAGAACGGGAAGATTCCCAGAGGCACCAGAGCCCGTTCCTCCCTCACCCATTCTACGATGGATCCTCAGATGCTAACCCGCATGATGGCCCAAATGGGAATCACTCCAGAAGAGCTTGCCGGCTTTATGTCTCAGTTCGACCCTAGCGCCACGGCAGCGAGGGATAGTCTGGACGATAGTCCGTACGATCATCCTCCCCAGCTGTCGTTCGCTGCGACTCCTGAGACTATCAAGAAATACAAGGCGTGGTACGAAAGAGACAGCAAGAAATCGCCGACGGCAGCACCAACTGTACCGCCACGTTTACTGGTGCAGGCTCAGGAGCAACAACGTGAAGAACAGGAGAGAGAGGCCCTCGCCGCGGAAAACGGCATATCGACACGTATGACCGTGATTGGCTTCCCGAAACATTCGTGCAAGGTCCAGCTCGGGGCATTGAAACCCAGTTAGTACCAGTTACACCGATTTGTGCTTCGAGTGTTGATGTATGGCGTAGTTACTCGCTCGACGATGCTTGTGCGCAAGACACACACCGTGCGGTCACAGTCTCTCGCCCGTATGCATATATTAAAGTCTCATCATTCCATAGGGATCCTATTTCTTGTGTCGCTCAATCGCGCCATGCAGTGAGTCTATGATAGTGACATACGGTAACTGTGTATTGATGCTTCGTACAGCGAAGTCTATTTCTATACAGACCATTGTGGAGGACGTCAACGGAGCTGCGCAAGTCCTATCGATATACAACTTCCCCACAACATATGAAGCTTCGCTCGCCTACATCGATTTCCTCTTCCCTGTGGGAATCGCGATGGCTATACTCGAGCCAACCTTCAAAGTTGTGACACAAGGCGGGAATCCTCATATCCGTGTAGACTCCCCTACCGACATCGTGTTTCTCGATCCGCGGAGCGATGTACTACGTGACGTACATTGGAAGACGGGTTCGCAAGTATCCCGGTTCAACGCTTGGCCCTCGGATTCCGACCACTGGAAGGCACGCGGCAATAACTACTTTGCAGCTGGTCATTGGCTACCTGCCGCATTTGCCTATTCTCGTGGGCTACAGTGTGACCCGGATTCCCTTGCACTCCGTTCGAATCGCTCCGAAGCCTATCTTCGACTCAACTTCTACTCAGCCGCTTCAGCGGACGCTCGGTATGTCCGTTGTGCCGCGGGAGCGGAGCTGCTGCTTCGCCAAAAAGCTTTGTTCAGAGAGGCCAAGGCCGAGTATGGGAGAGGCAGGTATCAGAAGGCAAAGTCATTGCTTGAACAGCTGCATTCGTCGCATGCCGATGATAGTGACATCGTGAAGTGGATTGCTCGCTGCACGCAGCGACTTCACGAGTCCCTTACTGGCGTCTACGACTGGACGTTGCTGTACAAGCAGTCGCAGACCGATCCTCATTTGGATGTTGCGGAGTACACGGGGCCTATTGAGGTGAGACCAATGTCCAACCGTGGAGGAGGACGAGGCATTGCAGCAACGAGGGTCATCGACGTGGGCGAATTACTGGTAAGTGACGAGTGCGTCTTCTGCATATACTCGTTGACTTGTGAGTCGGTAGGTCGTCGCCAAACCCCTCTCACTTGCAACCGATGCCGAGCTGCAATCCCTCGTCCTCCAGATGACCGTGAACTTGCTAACTTCAAAGATGGACAAACGGTCGCAAAGCGCCAACGTCGCGTATGCTGCTCAAGCGATCTATGGCAACCCAGATCTGCATGATCATGCTTTCCATCTATATGCAGGCCCCGACTATCCGCCTCCACCCTCCAGTTTCCCGCCTCCACCGGTCGACGAGCCTACTGAACTCGATCCTTTGAAACCAAGACATCGCATTGATCTGGCTCAACTGGAGTCGATCTGTACCCACAATGCTTTTGGAGTAATGCCTCTTCGACCCGAGGACAGGCGGAAGCCGGACGACCTAGACAAGCTCGATTCGTCAACCGGCCTCTACCCGTTACCCTCTCTGTTCAACCATTCCTGTGCACCTAACTCGCATATTGTCTTTATCGGCGACATCATGATGATGAGGGCGTCGCGTACGATTCATCGAGACGAGGAAGTCACGTCGGCGTACATGACACCAACCACGTCGTACTTCGAGCGTCGTAGAACGCTTCAAGAGGGCTGGCTCATGTCAGATATATGTGACTGCCGCCAATGTCAGTATGACCGCGCGGACGGAGAAGCCAATCTTCGCCATAGAGGTAGAATCGCCGAGGGGTTCTCTGTGGACCTCTTCAGCAAACCGCTCGCCAAATTGCGCTCTTTACAGAAAAAGCTCTCCGCCACCTACGTCGCGGCAAGGGGGCCATCACACCCAAGCCCCGCGCTCTATCCACTACACCACGCCATCGCAGAAACCCTACGGTCATCTCATACCACAGCAGGCATGAAAGACGCGATCAAGGAGGACATGAAGGCCCTGGAGTATCGAGGCTGGAGCGTCACAGACGATGACATAGGACGCCGTTCAAAGAAGGCTCGTACTCTGACCCGGAGAGGGGAGGAATTGGCCGTCGATACTAGTTTCCTTGGAGATCCGGCCGAGCCACTGCAAGCGATCCCACCGATGCTCAGAGTTGCACAGACATATTTCCTCTGTGATGATATGATGAATGCGACCCGATGGATCAAGACGGCACAATGGGGTACGTCGATTGCCATTCATGCTCTCGCGGCACGATACTCATGGTGCATCAATCAGTGCTCAATACCTCCGTAGGGGGCGGAAAGGAACTTTTCATGATGATTGAGCGTCCTCTTCTGAAACAGTTCGACCTGCTGGACGTTGCAACCCGAGTCCTGTGAATCAACTCTTCCACTTTGGTGAGCTTGATGCCAACCCAGGCCGGACTTCCTCATCTGACGCGTCGTCGCTCTCATGCATAGTGGACTTCGGCTTTGAAATTTTATTGCTTGGATCTCATACGATAGTAGGCACAAAGTGAATATCGGTCAAGGAAATTGGACATAAAATATCAGTATAGCCATGCAAACCATCGTCTCGACGTATGTACGTAGGTACGCTAGTTGAATTACCCGCTCCATACCATAGCAAGTATGGCAATGTTCCGTGTTCAGTTCTCTGATGTCCGTTATCCCAGCGGAGTGTTATGTCGGCCTATTGTATCGGCATGCTCGAATTATCCGGTCTCTCTGGCCAGGCCCTCTGAAGTCCCTCCCAGATCGACACATTCCTGAACTCGACTTGTCCATCACCTATCCCGACAACGCATCCCACTTCCAGAGAATCGTTCCGGGCCGGGTAGGTGTGGCCGGTCATCACGATACGAGAATTGGCGAAGACTTCAACGACCGAATTGTCGAGGACAATATCGAAAGTGAGAGGTTCGCGGATGGTGTCAGAGCTGTTGGCCGAGACGTACGTCTCGAGGAGGAAAAGCGGTGCGATGTGATTTGCAGTGCCAACGAACGTCGAGTTGAGAAGGGTCGAGGACGTCAAGTTCATAGTGAGCGTCTCGCGGACGGGGTCATACGTGATCAAGGTCTGCTCTTCGCCGTCCGGACTGCGGCGGAGGACAAAACCAACGTCTGATGTGGCATTCGTAGGTATGTCGATCTCCGCGTGGATGATGATAGAGTCGCTGCTGACATTGAGGCTGTAGAACTGCAATTGGGTACTCGCAGACATGGGGATGCTCTCCGCACGGGTTACCGTCGCGTTCTGTTGCAACGCGGCAACGACGTCTGGCGCAGGGCGCATAGCGAGTGTGGTCATGCTCCACCGGTTGTTCGAATCCTGGACAGCTGTCCAGGAGCCGTGCTGCGACAGAATGCCGTTCGTGTTCGCGAGATTCTGGTATACCTGTACGTATAACTCCCGAGGAAGTGTAGTAGCCCCGACCCAACCTTGCGGGCGCAACGCGGGTGCGCCCAAGTCCTCGGGAATCCAACCGAAGCCGATGCGGCGGTCATGAGGCTTGTCGTAGAAAGAGTTCCACGCGTAGGACTGTCCCCAGTCAATGACTCCCGATGACAGTATGGTGCCTTCTGCAGAGCCGTTTGTGGAGCGCGTGATGTTGATCTCGGACCAGAGCGGCCAATTGGTGAGCGGGTGTAAGAAAGTGCTCGCGTCCGAACCCATGGTGACGAAGTAATGAAGAGTCACACCGTCGCCTCCGTTCTCGACCAGCTCGGGGAGCGAGAATGCCCCCGGAACCTCGAAGTTGTATCCGTAGGTACCGGAATACGTCTCGGACCACGATGCGTTTCCGGCAGCAGAGAACAGAGGGCCGAGGTATGTCCACTGGGTCATATTGGACGCTGGCGCGGTGTAGAACTGCAGACGTGGCCCAACATCCGTGATTCCAGATCCGATGACTGCATAGAAATGGGGCTCGTCGGCGTCGAGGATAGAGTCCATCTCGGGCCATGGTTCAAGATGAGGATCACGGAATCCGGTGACGCTGAGATTAGGGGGTGGATTGGCGATGACAGGGTTGATGTTGATGCCTGTGCCCTCCAACTTGGAAAAGGTATACCCTCCATCGTAGGACATTGCGAGGGTCTGCGTCTCATTGCTGCCATTCACAGCAGTGTAGAAGATCAGCATCAGGTCCTGCTCGCTGTTATCGGCTTCTTCCTGTGTTGGCAAGCCCCAGGACTCGTTTGTCGCCAGGAACTGGGCGGATCCTGTGTATACTCCGCTGCCGTCCAAAGACCCCTGCGGACCGGGGGCAAGAGCGACTGAGTCGTACGCTTGCCACCCGTTGATGTCTGTCCATGTCACGAGGTCCTCTGATGTGGCATGGCCCCAGGATATGTTACCCCAGACGATGTATCCAGGGTGATACTGGTAGAACAAGTGATAGAGCCCGGAGGAGGGATCGTAGGATGGCCCGCACGGGTCGTTCATCCACGAGTGCGGCGCCATGAAATGAGATATCGGACGCCACCGCGTAAAGAGAGAATTGTCCGGTAACCTAGTACACGTTTTCGATGAGCATCGGGCCGCTTTATCGGTCTATTGCGACGCACGTAGATAAGTCAATGCCTGCTAGATTGAGAGTAGAGTAGTTCTGTTGCGTCGCTTTCACCGATGGCATGACAGCCGTCAGGGCGGAAAGCAGCCTGATATAGACAGCTCGACGCATCGCGCTCTTCAACCTAGATGATTAACAACCGTCAGCTTGAAACTCCCATGCGGATACACGCTACTGCTGCAAGTCTGATGGTCACTGGGATCGGGTTGAATGGAAGAAAGCTCACCGCACGCTTTCCCCGGTCCCAATGTGAGTATATAACGAACGAGACTTCACGTCGACCTGTAGGGGCGTTCGCGGGATTTGGCTATGTCCATAGAGTGCTGCAAAAAGGCGTATATAAGGGTACGCCGCAGTGACGTCGAGCGGATTTACATCTGTCATCTACCTTTCACGAGCACTGGTTTTTGCGGGCTCATCATGAGATGGTGATTCTGCCATCCGGAAGGCGTCTGTCGAGGGTACTTGGCCCGGGAGGCTGGAACCTAGTACTGAGTACTGAACATCCGACAGCTAACCCTATATCTCTGTTTCCCTTCTTCTTGACAAGAAGTACTTACTAGCAGGATCGGAGTCGGTTGGTTTCGATGAAGTATCGTTTTGACGCTCCCAGAGACGATTTGCTGTAAAGGGAAGCCAGATCGGACTTTATGGCCTTGAAGGTTGCCCGGCAGCGCGTGCGTATTACTTGAAAGTTGAAAGTGAAGGCCTTACTCTCCCCGCCTGTGCATTTCTTTTGGGAGATGCAGATGTTGTTTGAATGATAGCGGCTGCCAGCAGCTGAGGCACAATGGCACTGCTACAACTTTCTCCGGTATGTACTTGGTCTGGATCTACCAATGGTTTTGCGAATGCGACAGTCATGAAACCGCCCGACGTACCGAGTTCAACGTCGAATCCGGATCGTTTCACTAGTCACTGAGCGTTCTTCCATGTGAGTGGCTGAGTCGCGCGTGCAAGATGGAATCAAGAAATGCATCGAATGCCATGAGGAAACGATGAACAGCGCGGTACACTGATGAACTGCCAAGGACTCGGAGCTGCGGATCCGGATGTACGCATAGTACATAGTAGCAGTACTTGCCTCAGTCCGGGCGCGTTCAGCCTGCTCACGCAACTGCAAGATACTCACGGTACAGCCCCTGAGAGGACCCAAGTACGCCGTGTACTGGGGGCCCGGCGCGTTCCCATGCAACAAGCGCAGCTACAAAGCCGACCTTCGACAGACAGATCTTGTAAATTAGTACGTGCCAGTGATGCGCTCTACAGTAATATCTATTCCGTCACAAGAATGGGACTTTCTCCATCTCTCCGGCGGCGAGGAAGTCTTCGTCGAATGCTTCCTCGGCGGCCTCCACTTCTCTCTCCCCATCGTAAGCACCATCTCCCGCGTCGTCCACGCCGAAGTGTATGTCTTCGTCCGAACCCGAGCCATCCGACCCGGGCAACGAGCCAGGCATACTCTCCCGTCGCCGCCTCCGTCGTTTCTGCTTCTCAACATCAGGCTCGTCGCCTTCGTCTTCCGACCCTGAGTCGATGAAGGTAGGCGTGCTCGAGCGTGGACTACTGATCGGGGATGCGGACTGTGCCAGAGCAGACAGCGTACTGCTCAGCCGCTCGAAGGACGACATCTGGCGCAGGTGGGTCTCGTTCCGACGCTCCTGCGCTGTGGCGTCCTTGTCAGTCGCCCTCGTCGCCGGTGGCGGTAGGGTGAACCTGTCCATATTGTTCGTCTGCCGACCTCCCATGAGACTGAAGTGCCTGAGGCGGGCAAGCGTACTCTGATTCGACGTGTCGGATCGAGCACTCAGAGCGGGTGAGGGTGGTGTGAGGTCGGGAAGCGGGAAATCCTGCATGGGTTGTTTCCAGTAGTTGAAGTCGGTGAACTCTGCGGCCCATGTACGGTTGATCGGAGGGAACATCTGGTCGACCAGGTCTGTCATATGGATGTACCTATACGACACAAAACATGAGTACGGCATACATGTCAGCAGAAGGGATGGTGCATACGAAGACTTGTAACCTGCTAGCTCGAGTAGCTCCATCCGCACTTCACTATTTGAGTCAATCGTGAAGATCCTAGAGCTAGGCACGCCAACACTGCGATATGAGAGCGCGTCGGTAATGCGGTTGCCAAACCCAGCGTAGAATGGGTTCTTCGCAGTCGTCCCGAACAGCTTCTGGATGTCCCGCAAAGCGGCCATCTTGAATACCTCGGGTTTGCGCATAATCACCTCACTGGCACACCGCCAATCAGTTGGGAGTCCACTCAAGCTCACTATGCGACGCACCGATGTAACGACGTCAGCAGCCGATCGGGGCTCATGATGACGGGGCCCTCCGGTAGCTGGTAGTCATTCTGCTTGACCCCTTTCAGGTAATCACGCGTCGAATCCGCTTGGCCGATGGCACGCGAGGTGAGGTACAAGATCTTGTAGCCGTTGCGACAGATGTCCGTGTACAGCTTCGCGACGCCGAGGTGCGTCCAGTCGCGACCGATCATCGTGAAGACGTGGCCTAGCGCATCTGACCTATCGCACACGCTCAATGTCTGAAGTATAACAGTCAGTACAAGAACGGACATACTTCGTGATCGTTCCGTCAATGTCCGAGATGACGACCTGGTCGGTGTGCTCCCAGACGAAGAGGCGTGCGGTACACGCAGCAGCCCCTGTCGCTGATAGAGAGAAAGTGATGCTGTTCGCTCCTGGCTTCAAATCGAGTGATTTCTGCAGAAACGGCGTCAGCAATTATGCTTGCTTTCTTACGATGTTCACTTACTAGCTGCTCTGAGGTAAGCCGTAAGGTCTTCGCGTACCGTTTGGGTTGATCGTCTTCAGAGGATGTGTCAGACGACGGCGACCCGGGCATCCCGCGTTCAGTCGAGCGAAGTGGGACAGAGATCGGCGTAACAGACGAGGATCGCTTTGTAGGCGACGGTCCCCGTTGCAGCGCTTGCGTGTCGCTTCTTTGCTGTGCAGAGCCCTCAGGACCACCCTCCAGATCACGAAGCCGGGTGACTCACCACGGTGGACGGCGCTGTATTCATCGACTTGAAGTTCGGTCGTTGAGTCGGCTCCTCATTGCGGCTTCGGCTCCACCAGCGTACCCACGACGACGATGAAGGGGGAGGGGTCTTCTCTGTAACTGTTGAGCCCGACATGTCGGATTTTGTGCGATCCATATGCAGTGGCTCCTCATCCGAAGCATAAGGAACCTCTTCGTCTATGTTCTTCAGTCTACTGCGACGTTCCTCCCAGCTTAGTGACGGCGATCGGGACGGCGAGCGAGCGAGCTTGCCGCGCAGTGCAGCATCCCGCCACAGGACGAGCGCGTCCATCAACGGAGACCCATCCTGCCGTGTGATGTACCTGCAAATACAGATGTAAGTTCTCAATGCTCAACATCACCACACATGACGGAACTCACATGTCTCCAGCCCATCTCAAGACCAAGTCCTGGTCGCTGATGACCTTATCATCATTGATGAATCTCTCAAAGTCTACCCTCCCCTCCTCGAAGTGCTGCATATCCACCACCTCATCCTCACCACCTAACGGCCCCTTCCCACTCTGCCTGTCTCGCCTACCCGCGCCAGACACGATACTCAACTCAAAGTCTACCACCCGCCGTTCGATCGACACCCTGAAGCGCGTCGGATTCCGCCGATCAATGGCCAAGCGCCCGCCCTTCCCAAACGTCAGCTCACCCTTACCCTCCTCCTCCATAGACACGGGGGATGACACCATTTCCCCCTCGCGCTCCTTCCCGTTAATATTCGTGTCCAGTATCAAGTCTGACATGCGCTCCTTGCCCTTACGGCTCGGGCCCAGGCCGTCCATAGACGGAAACGTAGTGCGCACCGGGGTCCGCTGCGGGAAGTTGCCCCACTCCCACATGTACTCCTCCGTCTCCGGAGCACGCCGCACCGGGATTGTCGCGTGCGGGCCCACTTTGGCTTTCGTCGCGTGCATCCGCGACATGGATGGCGAGCGTGTAGGGGGGGTTGTCGGTGGGGTGAGTGCGGCTAGTGGAGGCGTCATGCCGGTCGGGTGCTCGAAGGGAGGTTCGGAGGTGGCCCGCATGGTAGGGAAGGGGATAGGCGCATTGACAGGCGGTGATGGTGTGCCTGCGCAATGGGCCAAGTCTATAAGTAGAAGGGACATATGGGATGTGAGGGCTTACGGGAGGGCCCTGGTGTACTCGGCGGGCTAGGAACTTGAGAGCTCGACGAACCACGCGGGGTGATGGATCCACCTGATCGACTCCTTTGGTGCGAGTGATATCCCTCCATATCAAACACCATATCTGCGATTATTGTTCGAGTATGTCCACTCTTAGGTGTATGTCGTGCTTACCGTCGGTATATACAACGTCAGGACCCTCCACGTTGTCCGTGTCTGGCAAAACCTCATCGCCCTTGTTACTGCGGAAGCTGTCAACGGGGTGCTTCGCAGCGTTGTGAGCTGCAAGGGCCTTCTCCCTCAGAAACGTCTCTTTGTCCTTCTCGACCTCGGTGACGGCCTCTGTCAACGTTTCATCCTTGAGTTTGTCGCTTTCAGACTTCCCTGCCTCCACAGTTGCGCCAACGATTGCCTTTCCGAGCTGCGCAGTTTGTGTAAGGAGTGATGCTTTGCCCTCAGCATCTTCGAACCTTTGATGCTCGGCATGCAGGGAGAGGTCTTCTTGTGGTTCGGGAGCGTTGAGGTCAAGGAACTCGGGCTCTTGGGTTTCCGCGCCAGGCTCTTCGGGTTGTTTCTCGGACCCTTCTTTGGCTCCGAATCTCCCGGCGCGCTGCACGTCTGCATTTGTCTGCCCAGGCTGGGTCGCCTCCAGAAGAGGACTGGTAACAAGGCTGTCGGGGACGTCCTCGTCGGTCTCAAAAATGAAGAAGGCCTCTCCAGCCTCACCAATCTTCATGGGAAACGGGACTTGGTTCCCATTGACAAACATATTGACCTATCCAATGTAGATCGAGATCATGAACTCGCCGCAGTCGTCGTCTCACGCACCTTCTTGTCGCCCGGCCTGAGCACCTGCCACTTTCCAAACCTGACATGGAACGGCGAGCAGACGAGCTCATGGCCGTCCTCTGCTGGGTGTGCATTGTTCGACTGGCCATCCTGCTGCCTCGGTCGTCTCACTACGATGACGTCTATAGCGCCCGTGAGGGTGGCGGGGTTGAGATCCTTGTAGTACTGGTAGGGGGCACTGATGGCGCTGACTGCACCCCGCAGGTAGTTCATCGGGCAGGCGGGGGACGTCGAGCGGGGGTGGTGGTACGCTGGAGAGCGCTGCGAGCATGCCCAGAAGCTTGTTCGCCCCAGAGCTCTCTGTCCAGCCGGGGCAGTGGGGACTCGCCACCCACGTGGGCCACAAGCATATGATTCCCCGACCGCACGCTGCCTCCGTCGTTACGTCGCTCCTGAACTCATCCCAGCCACACTCACCTCTCGCACCTTTGCTGATGGCATTCCGAGAGACGAAGGCAAACTTCAGTCACTGATATTGACAACCAACACGGGTTTACGTTTGGACCACGTAAGTGATCGGTCTCAAGTGACGATGTACGGTCTCAACACAAGAAGTACCACCCAAGGGGGTTGCCCGCGACAACGATGAGACCATTGCGCACAAGTCGACGACCGACGACACCAGTTCGACGGTGCTGACGGGACAATCCTCGAAGTGAGGCGACAAGAAAGGGCTGAAGTCGCTGCAGCGATCTGGATTCGTCTCATGCGGCCGGGTCCTTGTTTTCCTGCAAGACGATAGTCAGACGTGAGTTTCGGCAAGTTTGAACTGCAGCGACCAGAGGCCTACGTCGTAGGAACCGTATAACTTGCCCTCTGGGACAGAGCTCGGACACCCCTCGTTCAACAGCCTACGGAAGATTGCTTTCTCGGCACCTGCGAAGCCGCAGGATGCGTCGGCCATTTCATACAGCCTTCCTTTGGCAGCTGCCCGATGCAAGACAAGTGGGTCGATACGCTTCTCGATGAACAGCCGCCTATACAAGGCCTTGAGGTCGGCGCTCTCGTCTCCGCCGCGACAGTACGCAAAGCCGAAGGTCTTGGCCAGGAAGTCGTGCAAGGTTGCATTCTCGCAGAGCACGTACTGTTTGAGGAGATAGACGATGCGGAAGCGCCAGGGGGATCCACGGAGCATGTCCTCCAGGTTCGGGAACGACCGCATCCCCGCTCCTAGGCCATGAGTGTCGAACAAGGAGATCAAGGATGCGGTCTTGGTGGCGGTGTATAACTCGTCGAAGGTGCAGCGATACATAAGCTCGACGTAGAGGTCACGCAGCCGTCTTTCCGCGTCCTCGTCGAAGCAAGTGCAGAAGCCAAAAAATATCCAAGGGAACTGCGTCTTGGGGATGTGGAGAACCGGAGAATGCACCGTGACGCGCAGGTCGAAACAACAATGCCAAACGCCTGCCATCCCAGCATTCTTGATGTGGTCGGCGGTGTACCATTCGGGAAGGCCCGCATAGCGAATGGCGGGTTGGAGCACTTCTTGGGTCAGCTCCCGCGATGCGACAATGGGTCCGTCTAAGCCTTCGAGGGTCCAAGGCGCCTTCTCGAGCCATGCACGGAGATACTGTTGGCGTTCCCCCGGATGCTGCTCGAGCTGTTTCACGAGCTCTCCATGCAGCCGGCCAGACACGCGCCACTGGTGTATCTTCCTGGCCGGGACCGCGAGGTCGCGGATGACGCTGACGTATATCTCGAAGAGGTTCGCCACCGGCTCTGTCCCTGCGCAGATCAAGCCGTACTGGAACACGGTAGGAATGTCGTCGGGCATGCGTCCTCGGTGAACGGCACGGACCAGGTGGTCAGCAGTCGTCAACTCGCGCGTCGGGCCACATACGTAGCGGTGCTCGGGCCAGTGAGTCTTCTGACATTGCGCTGCACAGTACCAAGCAGGGGACTCGAGCGAGGTACAACCGCTGCATCGCCGCGTCGCAGGGCCTTTACATTTTGCACATGTGTTTGGCATGTTGAGCTGTCGCGCCCGCGAATTTGTAGGGTAGCATCGGGTCAGTGAGTGGTTCCGTCGCCCTCAGCCACGCATATGATGCTCACCTCCAGGGTGACGTGCAATTGCAGTAGGATGACGCTCTGCGTGAAGAATCAATCGGCGAGTTGAGCGCGTGCATTTGAAGCCAGGGCGACGTCCGTACCTTCCTACAGCTTCGACTGTGGGCGTGCCCGCGGAGAGGGTTGAGACCGGCAGACAAAGAGGCCTGCAACCTTTTTGAGTGCATCTGCGTTTGCATGGGTGCGCATGGCGCTGTCATATGTATCCATTAGAGGTAGCCTCGTAGACTTGATCTGCGTTCGCTGGTGGCATGCGCAACGCTCGGCTTCGCTGCCTGGCCACCTTCAATCAAAGTTCAATTCATGCCCAACGGCCCCAGCCCCATTCCTGGCCATATACACGCTGCCCACGCATCTCGCAATATTACGAGAGACAAAGTTCAAGTCCAGTCACTTGTATACGAGGACAAGTGTTTCAACTGAGTACGGGATCGGTTGTTGATGTACGAGTCGCGCAGCGCTACGATTTTAGTACCACCATCTCAGCCTCCTGCATCCCCATACCACTCCCGGTGCTTCGGACCCCAGACGCAAGACATTGATATACCTAGCCATTATTTTGTACAGGTCGAACGTGATCAAGACGCAGGAGAGTTGGCGATTCGTTACACCTTCGTCACAAAATTATCGAGGCCGTCCCATTGATGAGGTCGAGTAGGTCGATTTCCGGCTTGCTCTGCAACGCAAGGGCAAGATGAGGCGTCCGGAGAGGTATGCAATTGAATGCTCTTACCGTGCCATAGTAGTAACCGTAAAGCTCATCCTCAGGGACGAATCTCGGACACCCTTCCTTCAACAACCTGCGGAAGAGCGCCTTCTCGGCACCTCTGAAACCGCAGGATTCGTCGGCTACTTCGTAGAGCCTCCCCTTCGCAGCCGCCTGATGTAAGACCAGTGGATCGACGCGTTTCTCGACGAACAGCCGTCTGTACAAGCCCTTGAGCTCAGTCATCTCTCTCTCGCCGCGGCAGTATGCGAAGCCAAAGGTCCTGGCCACATGGTCGTACAATTTGACGTTCTCCCAGAGCACGTATTGTTTGAGGAGGTAGACAATGCGGTATGACACGGGAGATGTGCGGAGCATGTCCTCCAAATTCGGGAATGATCGCATCCCTGCCCCTAGACCGTGCTTGTTGAACAAGGAGGCCAGGGAAGCGGTTCTAGTGGCGGCGTAGAATTCATCGAAGGAGCAGCGATCCAGGAGCTCGCCATAGAGATCACATAACCGCATCTCTGCCTCGTCGTCGTAGCAGGTGCAGAACCCGAAACAGACCCAGTCGAATAGGTTTCCAGGCACACGTTGAAGGTGCGGTGGAAGCAGCACAACGTAGAGGCAGAAACAATAATACCAGAAGTCTGGCATGCCAGAATTCCTGATGTCATCGGCGGTATACCACTCGGGAAGTCCCGCGTAGCGAAGGGCAGGCGATGCATATTGGCGAATGAGCTCGGGAGGTATGCCAGCCAACATCGTAGTCGGCTCGCGATCGCTGCTGAGGCGTTCGAAGATCCAAGGCTTCTGCGCAAGCCAGGTATGGAGGAATCGTTGCCGTTCGCCCGGATGCAGTTCGAGCCGTTTCACGAGCTCGCTGTGCAGTCGGCGTGGACCAGACAGACGCCACTGGTGCATCTTCTTCGCTGAGACTCCGAGGTCGCGGATGACGCTGACGTACACCTCGAAGAGGATTGCGGCCGACTTCGTCCATGCGGCGGCTAGGCCATACTGGAACACGGTAGCGGTGTCGTCGGGCATGCGTCCTCGGTGAACAGCGCGGACCAGGTGGTCAGCGGTCGTCAATTCGCGCGTTGGGCCGCATTCGTAGCGGTGCTCGGGCCAGTGAGTCTTCTGACACTGCGGTGTGCAGTACCAAGCAGGGGACTCGGATGCGGTACAGCCACTGCATCTGCGCATCGCAGGGCCTTTGCATTTCGCACATGTATTGGGCATGTTGGGCTATCATAGCCGTGAAATTAGAAGGGTGCATCAGTAAGTGGTACCGTCGCCATCAACCACGCATACAACACTCACCTGGAGATTGGCATGCAATCACAGAGAGAAACGACGTGGATCGTGCGTCTGGATGACACTCTGCATGAAGGAGTGATCCACAGACGAGATGAATCAGTGTTGGGGCAAGTAGCCTGAGGGCGACGTCCGCACCTTCGTACAGCCTCAACTGTAGGTGTACCCACGGAGAGGGTTGGATCCGGCGGAGAAAGAGGCTTGAGGTCTTCTTGAGTGCTTTTCTGCGTCTGTATGGGTGCACATGGCGCTGTCATATATATCCATACCCGGTAGCTTCGTAGACCTGATCTGCGTTCGCGGAGAGCGGCTTCGCTATCAGACCAGCTGCACCTTCATTCATATAGCCCAACGGCCCCGGTCCCAATTCCAGCCACATCCGCGTTGCCCAAACATCTCGCATCGTCACTGTACAGCTGAGAGACGAAGTTCAACCTCAGTCACGCGTATTCACGATATATGGACACGTTTATATATCGACTGGGTCCATGATCGGTCATGTATACGGCGATGCTGATCGTGAATGGAAAGGGGCACTGAGGCGAATGACATTGCTGATTTGGTACCTCGTCGTTGCAAGAAAACAGAAGATGACGACATCATCAATGCGGCTAGTTCGATGTGGACCTGTTTGAGTTCTCCTGTGAGATGATAGGTGAGAGAAGTCGGGAAGATCAGCAAGTAGCTGGAGACTCTTACTATGTACCGAACGTAGAGCTCCTTCTCGGGGACAGAGCGCGGACACTCTTCCTTCAACAGTCTACGGAAGAGCGCCTTTTCTGCACCCTTGAACTTGAAGCCACAGGCCGTCTCGGCTGCTTCATAGAGTCGACCTTGAGCGGCCGCGTGTTGCAAGACTAGCGGGTCAACGTGCATCTCGTCGAACAGCCGCCTGTATAGGGCCCTGAGGTCTGCCTTCTCCGTCTCTCCGCGACAAGATGCGAAGCCGAAGTTGTTTGCCACGTGCTCGTGCAACTTTATGCTCTCGCAGAGCACGTATTGTTTGAGGAGATAGACGACGCGGAATGACAGCGGGGTTGTACGGAGCATGTCCTCTAGGTTCGGTAGCGAGCGCATCTCCGCCCCAAGGAAGTTGGCGTCGAACAGGGAGATTAACGACGCGTTTCGGGTGGCGGCATAGAACTCGTCGAAGGTGCAGCGATCCATGAGATCCGCGTAGAGGTCGCGCATCCGCCTCTCTCCATCTTCGTCGTTGGTAGTGCAAAAGCCAAAACAGATCCAATCAAATCCGTACTTGGGGACGCGCATAAGGTGGAGGGGAGTCAGGAGGACGCGAAGGTCGAAACAATACTGCCACAAGTCTGGCATGTCAGCCTGTCTGACGTCGTCGATGGTATACCATTCGGGAAGTCCTGCGTAGCGCATGGCAGGCGATAACATTTGGGTGGCGACCTGGGTAGTGATGCCTGCGGTCTTGATAGGGTTACCGAAGATGAGTGGCCTTCGTTCGAGCCAGGTGTGGAGATACCGCTGACGCTCGCCTGGATGCTGCTCGAGCTGTTTCAAGAGCTCTTGGTGCAGTCGGCCAGACCTGCGCCACTGGTGGATCTTCTTTGCTGGGACGCCGAGATCCCGAATGACGCTGGTGTAGACCTCGAAGAGGGTTGTGGCTGGCTCCGTCCACGGGCCCAACAAGCCGTAATTCAGCATCGTAGCAACGTCATCGGGCATGCGGCCTCGATACACAGCGCGGGCCAGGTAGTCGGCAGGCGTCAACTCGCGCGTCGGGCCGCATTCGTAGCGGTGCTCGGCCCAGTGGGTTTTCTGACACTGCGGTGTGCAGTACCAGACAGAGAACTCGGATGCGGTGCAGCCAGTGCATCGCCGCGTTGCAGGACCTTTGCAGTTCGCGCATGTATTAGGCATCTTGTACTAGGGCGTCCGAGAATTTGGACATCGCGTCAGTGAATACTATCGTCGCCTTTAAGCACGGCACTCACCCGGTGAAAGACGTGCAATTGTGGCGAGAGACAGTGCGGATTGTCTGTCCGGATAACGCTCTGCATGAAGAAGCGATTCGCGAGTGAGCTGAACCAATACTAGGGAGTATAGGGCGACGTCCGTACCTTCGTACAGCTTCGATTGTAGGAGGGGATGAAGGTGCAGCGGGGCCTGGGAGAGAAAGACACCTGGCCGCTGCTGGTCTGCACGCCGGGCGCACAATATGGTAGCATGGTGCTGTCATATGTATCCATTCCAGGTAGCTTCGTAGACCTGATCTGCGTTTGCTGGTGGTGCACACAACTTCGCTGTCAGACGATCTTCCATTTACGTAGCACAGCGTATGAGGCCTTCAGTATGGAGGATGGTGATTGAGTAATGTGTTTGTCCTGGGACGCAGCTAGAGTGATCGTACTAGTTGGTTGTGGACTAGGCATGATTCTACGTTCGTACTACGGCTAGGAATGCGCGCGTTCGCGGATACGGCCTCATGATGTGACGAGTGCATCGACCGCACGGTGGAAGACCCGAAGAAGGAGTAGATGAGCTGTGGTAGTCGACCCGGTGACAAGCATCGAGCTGAAGTGGAAGCCGAGTGGCGTCGACGCGTTCAAGTTGGTGCCGCCAGTGCTAGGCGCCCTGAGAAGACGCGCTCACGTGACCTTTGGCGTGTCGCGCGGTGTTGTGGGGGTGTATGCTTGTGTGGGTCCACCGTTGAAGGCAAATGCGGCAATTTACCACGGTTCGAGAGGTAGAGAAGAAGGGCGACGGAGTTCCTGCTCTTTGTCCTCTTCGTTCTCCTCACCCTCGACTTCGGTTCTGCTCGACGGTTCACGAAGGCCTTACGCCCCTCACGCTCAAGCAAACGACGCTCCCTCAAGACCCTAGGACAATCTACGAACAGTATGATACCTCTCATCCCCGCTCTTGCCCTCGCCTTCTTGTCTTTTCTCTCTTCCGCCTTCGTCATTCTCCGCATTATCATCCCCATTTTGCCACCACATCCTCTCAGCCGTCGAGTCCGTCCAGTGAGTTCTCTCCGCATCTTTTCAAGTGGAACAGCACTGACAGCGCACCCAGTCTGAATTTGGTCTTCCTGACTTCCGTTCTCTTTCCCCGGCAGACAAGAGCCACGTATGGCTCGCAGTGTGCGACGTCATCTCCCTCATCCTCTTCACATGGCAAGTTGTGAATGAGTATCTCAGCGCGTCCAAGGATTACGATGCCGCTTCGGACCCTGCCTCTGCTGTCAGGCTTTGGCTAGCCTTGACTCTTAGGCAGACATGCCTCTTCGTTGTCGCGTTGCTCACTCTCGTCCACGTCCGCATGGGCCGCTCCGTGGCCCTTGGCAAGTCCCACTGGATGGTCTGGGCACCGACCGTCCTCCTGGTCGTCACTGGGACTGCAATCTCTGCAGTGCTCGCTGCAACGAACGTCCCGAGCTTCTTCATTGGCCTGTTCGCGTACTCGACCACCATCTCCGTTGCCAGCACCGTTGCCTTCGGATGCCTCATGGGCACCTTTGTCATGATTAGGCGCAACCTTGCCGCCCTCAACGACATCCGGGATCCCTGGCCCCCGGCCACGGGGGTTGAGGAGAAGCCCCGTCCCTCCTTCGCGACCGAAGACATTGATGCTCTGAAGGATGGCAGCTCCTGGATCACGTCTCGAGCGAGCTCCCGCCGCGAGTCCATTTCCGCGTTCTCATTGTCGACCCACCACTCCGCGAGGCCATCCAACGGTAGCGTGCGCATCATGCAGAACCCCATGGGCACAGCGTCTCACCCGTCCATCCCGCCGAAGTCGTCCTTCTGGTTCAACCCTGCTACACCGTACAGCAACGGCCGTGACTCACCCGTCCCTCCGGTGCCCCCGCTCCCGTCGCCGTACCGCCATGCGCCAGACTGTCTTGATAGCCTCCACAACAACCCGGATCCGTTCAGACGCGCGGAGACTCCAGTCGAGCTTGGCTGTGAGCCCCGGGATCGGTTGGGCTCCCAGACGTCTTGGCTCACGGAGCCCTCGACTTACCAGCCTAGTATGTCGGCGTGGTCGTTCCCTGCGACCCGTCCAGGCTCGCCGCCGATGACCTCTCCCAGCACTCCCAACCCTGAGACGGGCTTGCTTCCGTCTACGACTGCCCGGTCCACGCCCGTTATGACTGAGACCCCGGTTTTGGGCGGTTACGGGTATGATGCTGAGAAAGTGCAAGCAAGCATGACTTATAGTTCTGCTTGCGACGTCGATGTTTCTGTGTCACGTACTATCGCATGGCTGGTGTCGATCTGGGTGCCATTCGTGAGTTGGATTTATCATTTCTAGGAAGCACCCAGCTAACCGCGACCGTCTTCCAGGTGTTCTCGACCCCGTACTTGCTGATCTCGAATCTCTCTTCCCCGGTTGCATCATCCGCAGTGTCCATCCTGTTTGTTCTTTCGGTTACGATGTCCTCTCCGCTCCTCGCCCTGCACGTCCTGTGCCGGTCGCCTTTGCCCATGCCATCCGGCCTCTTCGATTCCTACAGCGAGCCCCCCTCTGCCGCCAACCGTGCACCCTCACCCACGAGCCTCGCGCCGTCGTTCAAGTTTTCGCACGAGTATAAGCGCAGCGGTAGCGTTACCGTCGTCGAGGGTCGTCGCAGCGGCGACGTCTGGGTGTCAAATGGAGACGCAGTTGACGGGAAGGGTAAGCTACAGCGTGCCGTCGGCCTCCTGCAGCCCGTCCCCAAGCTGTCTGTTCTCCCGATGCACGACGCAGTGCCCGAGCCGGAGCTTACGCCGCCGCTCCCCATCCAGAATGCGGAGGACTCCCCGACCATCCCGCCCACGCCGCAGTCGGAGAACTACGCAGAGTTCGGGCAGCACCGCACGCGCAAGGAGTCGAAGGCGTCGTCCTACTACTCGGGTGCCTCTGCTGATGCGCACTTGCAGTCGCAGATCATGATGGCGCAGAAGCACTACTCAACCCTTGCGATGACCATGGTGGTCCCCCCGTCGCCCGATCGACGTGCCTCCCTCGACGACGCGGCTGCGGAAGCTGCTGCTACTGGTGTAGAGGCTACGCCTAAGGAAGCATCCCGTACATCTCAGCATCTGCGCACGCGCTCGGTGACCTCGATCAAGGACCCTCGCGAGACTCACTTCCCGATGAGCCCGCCACCGTCTCTGCCTCTCCCGCCTACTCCCCCGTCCATGAGGGAGCTCCGGGAGCGTCAGGCGAAGATCCTGACTCACCGCAAGACGCAGTCGCACGCGTCGTCCGTGATCGACTACTCGTTCCGCCCTGTGGAAGACGTCAACGGCACCGAGATCGACGCGCTGTCCGCTGGTGTCCTGCCGATCCTCGTGCCCGGCTTGACCGTCGGGTCCGACGTCAGGGTGCGCGAGTGGACCTGGGACTCGCCTGCGTCTATCATGAGCAGGACGAGCAGCAAGTACACGAAGTTGTGGAAGACGTCCAAGGGCCGCCAGGATGTGCCATTTGAGATGGGCGGCATCTCGTCCGAATTCTCATCGCCCGAGTTGCACTCGACACCGCCGGCGCGTCGTGCGAAGACTATGCAACGTGACAGGAAGATCTCCGCTCACAAGAGGAACCATTTCAGTCTTCCTAGGTGCGTTGACATTGAGTGATCGCGTTTATCATTAAGGAAGTTGACTTCATGACTAGTCTTAGCGTTGGCAAGGAAGGTCTGCACGCCCTGTCCATGTGGCGCAACGAGCTGAACCTGGCCATCGAGGGTGCAGTACGTCACTACACTGCTGCGACCACAAGCGATAGCAACGGCAACAGGAGGAACACCGTCTACGGCGGCGAGATGCCCAACAACGCGACTTCGGCTCTGAACATGGTTGACGAGCGCGAGGAACTTCTGCGGCCCAAATCTTCTGCTGACGCGGAGGAGAGGGAGAAGACTGCGGTGCGTCCGTTCTCGACTGGCACTTTCGGCCAGCCGCCTCCCACTCCAGACGACGTGCCTGCCAATGTGAACACGGCTCGCAACTCTCTCGCGACGCTGATCACTGCCCTGGACCAGGAGCTGCGCCTCCCGCCACCGTCCTCGGCGGCGTCGGACGTCACGCTGTTTGACTTTGACACCACGAACGGTCCTGTCGCGGAGAGCACACCGCACGAGTCGAAAGCACGCTCCAGGCCCTCGTCCTACCAGCCTCCTCCGCCCGTTCCTCAGCTCCCCATGGGCGCGAAGTCCTCTCGGCGCTCGAGTATCATCTACATCAAGTCTGACGAGAACTCGCCACCCGAGTCGAAGCCTGCGGCAGCAGCATCCAAACCCATCTCGCAGTGGCCGTCTCGTGCAGTCAAGCCGCTCGTGCCGAAGTCGAGGGCGCACAAGGTAGCAAAGGACTCCCTCGACGTCGTGCCAGGGTCTCCTCAGGGCCTGCGCCCGCTTTCGCTCCTGCAGGACAGGGACGTGAACTCGCCGGCCAAAGACACGCGTGCGCTGAGCATCGGGAAGAAGAACAAACATGTCAACGACGAGAACGCCGGCCCCCACCCGAAAGCCAGGGGCTTGAAGCCCCTCAGGCTCGGGAGAAAAGACACGACGAAAGAACGCGCTGCGCTGCGGAAGACCGAGACGCTCCCCGACGTGATCGTCCGCCCGCCTTCGCAAAGCCAGCACAACGGATTCGCATACACGTTCGCCCAGTGATGATGAACGCTCTACTCACGCTGAACTCTGATTCTTGTTGATACCATTATGTTGTGAGTTATGTTCGTCTGATACGCTCTGATTTTCGCTTTTGGCGCTTTCACGCTTTCCACGCTTGCCAAATGTCCCTATGATATATGCTCTCCTCTCCTCGGTTTTCGTGCAAATCGCTATAGCTCTACTGTGAAGTACTCCCGTATGCTCTCTCCCCTCTCGTCTTGTTCTTGCTGTCGATACTCGCTACTGCTTGCTTTCTATCCCGCTGTGCCGGAGCTCTCAATCTCGACGATAGAAGTTGTTCCAGGTAGACAAAGCGTACAGTGTTCGCCGAAGTCCATAGAAACCCTACTGTACAATAGTCTCGCGATTGTTGAGCGTCTGGACGCCCGTCGCTCCTTAGCGTGCTGAAGCACGAGTTATACATCTGTTTTATATGCCTTCACGAAGTCCAGCCTCGTCGAGCGAAACGGTAACACTGATTACAGCGTATACTTACATGGTGATGCGAAGAGCCTTTACATCCCAGGACCGAAGAGACTGATCCACGCAGACGGCGCGGGGCCGCCCTCGCGGATCTTCGTCTGCCCGCAGTATGCAATCACGTATTTTGACGGATGCCAGGACACAGTCGGCGAAGACCCAATGGCAGGCACTCGATGCAATGGCATGCCTGTCTCTGTAGCGCACTGAGGAAAAGTTAGCCAGAGTTAGCTCGGAAACTACTCAATGGAGCTTACGATGTCAATGTACGAGCCCGCGTTTGCGATGGCGAGGAACTCTCCATCGTGTGAGAAGCTGAGCGAGTTGATAGCGTTGCTGCGAGGGGAGTAGCATGAATGGATGTCGATCTCGTCTTAGTGGACATGGGCTCACTCGCAGGCGGTGATCGTGCGCGTGCAGATCCACTCTGACAGGTCGAAGAGATTCACGATAGAATCATGACCTCCTGAAGCAAGGTATCTACGCCCTGAATCAACATTGCAGTCCTTGAGTATGAGACGCATGAAGAAACTGACCTCCCTCGTGGATCCAAAGCAGCCGCGACGCATCCTCCAACATGCGCAGGTGTCGCATGCACGATCGACAAGGAGGGGTAGTCCAGAATTCGAATCGTTGCCTCGGACTGATGCGTCAGGACGAGTCCATCTCCGGCGTGGTTGAACGTGACGGTGGAAGCGGGTATCTAGAGGTAGACGGGATGAGCACTGTTGCGGATGTTGAGAAAACGCAAATACGTACCGGATCCTTGTCCCAGAGATGCCATTGCTCTTTTGTCTCTTCGCCTTGTTTGCTGTATGTGAGCCCGTACAGCTGCTTCCCCGAAGTTGTGAACAGTACAGTCTTGCCATCAGGCGCATAGTTGAGCTGGGCCGGGGAGATTTTCAACTGCAGAGACTGCACAGAGCGACTCTCTACAACACAAGTTAAGTCAGTGAGGACGACTGGTCAAGCTTCAAGGTGAATCTCACGTCGTGTGTCGAAGAACACAATCTTGCGATCTTTCTGCCCGGAAGTGCAAAAGAGGTCGGGGTGTGTGGGATTCCATGCTATGTAGTCTACCTCGTCCTGGTACCCACCCGAGAACATGGATGCTGCTCGTAGCTCCATCTGACCTTCAAAGACGCGTCAAATGCCTGAGTACGATTTGACTGAGGCTCGCGGACGTACGCTTTTCTCTGGGTGCCAGAGACGAATGGCCTTGTCTATGCCGACCGCGCCTAGTCGTTTTCCGTCACAGCTCCAAGCGACATGGTTCATAGACTGGGGTGACTGTATCCGTACGTCGCGCGGTCGAAACGCAGAGAACGTAGGGGGCTAAGCGCATGTCAGAGCAGCCGTTCAGCAGAAGTAATAGTGACTTACATGAACACCTCTTGCGGTGAAGGTAGTGTGTGGAGGCGGCGAGGGCGGTCGTTGAGGAGGGGCAATCTCATCCTCCTCTTTACTCGCAACTGGCTGGTTAGACATTGAAAGACTTGGTCTTCAACGCTTATGACAGTATTGGGGCTGAATGAGCTGCGTTGTTGAGAACAAACTGGGACAGTGACCCGGAAATACAGGGGCTTTCAAGTTAACAGTGGACAGCCTGGGGAAGTGACTGTTGCTCAGATTCATGTACGCGTCCCACAGCAATAGCTCTGACCAGAAGTGCCTACTTCAACTTCAGAATAGCGTAGGATGATTCACCGCGCTGGCAGAGGAAAGGTATGTTCGACGATGTCGGGGCTAAGTGACAAGTCCGTGCAGGCATCCACCAGCGATGTTTGCGGTACAAGCGCTCGTCATGCGTCATGAACGTTTGAACATTGAAAATATTGTCCACGCGTGCAAACTAATACACAGCAGACATGGACGACAAGCTGGGACAGCAGCTCTCAGACTTGCGACACGTCCCGCGTAGATTTCTCAGCGTCCAATGAACGATCTATGTATTGAACCCTTAACATGGATGCGACAAGAATGTAAAGCCAACAGTAGCAGAGAGCAGGTGCAGAAGTTCAGGGAGAAACCGGAAGACAGAAGTATAAGCGTCACGTCATGAGGGGGGCTTGCAGGCCTGCGAACAAACATGGGGAGTACTAGAGGGTATGACAGCAACTACCAGGACCGTATAATAGTATTTACGGGGCATGAGAGACAGGAACCTCTGACGATGTATGGATGAGTACGGAGTGGAGTATGCGCGACACAAGCATGATAGAGCACTTTGCAGGATCGGGGACAAGAACGGGAACAGTAGTGGAGAACGCGACGTGTAGAGCGTGCAGAGTAGAGCGACTAGTAGTAGATCATGGGGGGCTGGGGTTGGTGGTGACTGCGTTGGTCCGAAGGGTACACCTCATACGGCATGACCTGCGGGGACACCTCCATGTACGGAGGATAGGCATAAGGGTCGGGATAGTAGTACTGCTGCGGGTAGTACGCCATCGCTGCCGCAGGCTCTCCCTGGGGCACGGCAAGTGGGTTCGCGTGTAGCGCATCGCCGTTTGGTACTGCGGCTTCCAACCGTGCGTCAGAGAAAGCTCCCTCTAGCCCGGATTGAGAGGCTCCCGCCGACTCAGAGCTTGAGACGCGCAGCCCAGAGGGTCGCACAGGAGGGTTCTTCCCATCCGTCGGGTCCACCGGCGCACGGATCTCGATTCGACTGCTCTGACGCGCAGGCGTGAAGATGGGCACGCCAGTCGAGGGGTCGATGAACTGCACTGGCGGCGTGTGCGAATGCACGAAAGGGTCTGGCGATGCAACCGAATGCGAGTGGTGGTGCATGTGGGCAGGGACGAAGGGGGCGCTCATGGAAGGGTGCGGAGTATGCGTGTACACCACGGGACGTGGCGTGAACATCGGGGGCGGAGGCGTCGGTTGGTGGAGGTAGACCGGACGGCCAGTCGCGAGCTCATAAGGCATGCCGTGTTGGTTGAGACCCACGCCTGGAGGGAGGGCAGGCGCATATGCGTAGGGCGAGCCGTAAGGGGGAGGGGAGGTCTGAGGTACGGGCGAGAAGCTCGTTTGCAGAGGGGCCAGGACTGGTGGCGCAGGGCGTTCAGCTTGGGGCGCAGGTACGGCAGGAATCGAGGACGATTGCGTCGATATCGAGGCGCGACGAAGGACGGTCTCTTTGATCTGGGGACTCGGCGACGCACTGCTTGGGCGCACCACCGGCGGCTGAAGGGCGAATGGATCAGAGCGAGGGGCATTTGATGCGGTTATTGAAGGTGCTGAAGGGAGCCTTGGACTCGACAGTGACCTCTTTGGCGGGGTCGGTATGCCCGGAGGTGGCGCCATTGTTGATGAAGGTCCGGCTGTCGACGTTGGGAGGGTCTGGTTCGCCGGAGGCTGCGACTGCGACTTCGACAGATCGACCCTCCTGTTTGGAACCAAATTCGGCCGTACAGTGAAGACCTCCTCTATGCTGAGCTCTGCCATTGTCGTCGCTGGTTCCTCGGCAACAACCTCTGGCACAGGTACAGGCGCAGGTTCTTCCACGGCCTTCTCCTTGCCTGCAGGACGCGGTAGGCGAATGACAAATCCCGTCTTGTCCCCATCCTCCGACGAAGCATTCACAGGACTGGCGAAGCCAACCTGGCTACGATAGTAGGGCCTCGGGGGTGCTCTGACGACGTGGTCCTCGCTGCCTGGCAACTTGACACGGTAGCCTGGTCCCATGCCTGGACGCGGCTTCAGAGCCGTGTCGAAGTAGAGGAACGCTTCGTGCTGCTTTGTCCACATGCGCTCAGGTTTCATTGCATACCAGATGCGATCGGCGGCAGGCATGTTAGACGCCGCATGTACCGGTGAGGCACTGTCACTGCCGCCACGCGCGAACCCTCCGCGACCGCGGCCACCGAAGAAAACACCTCTCCCGCGGAAGCCAAATCCGCGTTGAGGACCAAAGCGCACCTGCGGTGACTGTTGCTGCTCTGGTTGCTGTTCTTGTTCCTGCGTACGCTGTAGTTGCATCTCCCGGCGCTTCTCATCTCGACGCTTCATCTCCTCGAAGCCGTCGTGGGTCCACGCCTTCTCTACTGGGGGCACGTCCTCAGCAGGGGTAGGCTCGCCCTCGTCAATCCTTGCGGGATCAGAGCGACCACCAAAGAACCCCCGCCCCCTCCCGCGCGTTGCGAACGCACCTCGGCCTCGGCCTCGTGACTGCCAGCGCCCTCTCCACCACCCACTCAAGCTCCGAAGGTCTTTGTCGAGCAGTCGATCGTCGTGCCCCCAGAATTCACCAACCTTCGGCACAAACGATGGGTCGGTTTCGAGACGCTGTTGGTATGCTTGGCGAGCGGTTTGCCCTCGAGGTCGAGGCGGGGCAGACTCTTGTGGGGGATGCTCCGAGTCAGGTGGCGCCTGCTCTTCTTCTGGCGGAATCTCTCGTGTAGGAGGCGATGTGGGTGGGGCTGAGGACGCGCGGTCAGGCTGCGCGCGCTTGGCTTGTTTGCGAGGTTTCTTCGGCGCGGAATGGGGCGAGATGAGGTGCTGGTCGATGCGCTGCCGGTCAAGGTCAGCGAAATCAATCACAGGTAGTTCCTCCGCGCCATTGGCATGTTCAGCAGTGACCATGTCCGCCCAGTCAGTAGCCGCAACAAAAGGACCAGCATCGCCGACTAGAGACGTAGGCTTGGGCCCGGCAAGAGGCGTACGACCGCCGATATCGAGAGGAGGAGGGCTCTGAGTTGTACTTGGGGTGACAACCTCTGAGCGTCCGTTGAGATGACCATCCTCTGAGAGGGATTCAGACTCTGAAGCCGATCCCAGAGAAGAGTGGTCGTCATCAGAATCATCATCTGAAGTCACCTCCCGCTCGATCTCCTCGTCGCTCTCGTCGATCTTGGCACGGCCCCGCCGCCGAACAATGCGAGTCTTCCTGGACCGCAGGTGTGATGGTTTGTTGAGAGAGTTTCCGGGCTGCTCTGGGACGGACGCGACGGTTGTGGGCATGGCTGAAAGACTGCGAGACGAGAATCAGACTTCGAGCTCTGCGCCGGAGAGAAAAGCAGCAGAGAATCACTGACGTTGAGCAAGAACAGAGGGAACAGCAATGGTGATGAGAGGATCGTTGCGAACGTCGACGAAGGACGGGAGCAGAACGAGGGAGACGTCGAGAAGGAGAGCCGCGGTGTGAAGGCACAAGTGGCACGCTTTGTCAGCAGGCACCCAGTTGTATTGCGAAGGCGCCCGTCGGCTGTGCGACTGACTCTACTCAACGCCCGCCACCCGCGACCTCGCCCACTGGCTCCCCAGGATTTCATGCGTTGGCCGACCCCATAATCTCTGCTGTACCACGGCTTCAGTATCTTGACCAAAGACTGACACGAAGCAGTGGAGGCGTGTTGGAGGTGACTCGGAAGCGTTCGCTTGTGGGATTGTGACGCACCCCTCGTATGTGCTGCATTTCTGTAACCTGCTCAAGCGGACGTCTGCGCCCTACATGTAGCTCCCGTGGCAAAATATACACGAAAAATGGTGTCCAGCGTTCATGGCGCCCCATCTTCATCTAGCTGCATGTCGTCTGATGCATGCGTGAATCAACGCTTGACACGACACTGCGGTCGACGATGTTTTACTCAGCAACTCTGATCTTCGAAGCCACTCTTATCCAGACAAGGCAGCTTGTCACAAACCGTCGCCTCGGGACCTAACGACAACAACTATGGTCCAGGCTATGATACCGCTGTGGTGCTCCCATGCAGCTGTGTGCATTGCTTGACTGCGATGGGACTTGGGGTTGACAGCAGCTTCTGGTCAGGTGTGGAATATGGGTTGGTGTCGCATTCGAGCGGGTATATGCTACTTATATACTCTTCTCGACGCTGTTCAGGTGTGTCAATCAAGCATATGGTGCATGAAGTGACAGCGTTCGACCGTACAGTCCGGCGGGGCCGTTCGGGTACGCCCAGGTAGTGATATCAAGCATCGATGAACTCGTCGTGTCTGGATCATTGCGCACGAGTAGAACAGTGCCGGTATGACCGGTCGCTCTCAGGCGTTCTCTCACTTTCGTGCTTGTTATCCCTGCAGACCGTCGAATCCTTCATTCATCGGCAACAAAGGCAATGTCCCAGATGTCTCGAGGCTGCATTTGAATGAGGATGTAGGTACTGATTGAAGTCGAGACATCCAGCTCCAGCAACCATCGTGTTCTTGGACCTGGCGGGATGACGACGGCCGCCCGAAGCTCACACATCCTAGTCGATGAGAATAACTGAATCTGCTTGAAGCATTCGTCAAGTCGGTGAGTACAGATGCAAAGTCTGTCAAGCAGGATCGGCGGCGGCGGTGTCGGTGAGCGATACCTTCGTGCAATGTTAAAGATGTTGCTCAATGAATCGATGAAGTGTTAGGGTACAGGACGTCGGAGGCCGCGGCTCTACATCGAGCCTCGGAGGTCTCACTGATCGTTCTCATCGTCGCGGTTTGTTCTCACTACTTAACTTGTGTCTCGAGGCCGTGGCGCCTTCACTCATATCATAGCTCATCTAGCTGCGAACATATTCTTTAATGTCATACTCATTAGCGATGTCTACCGCTGTCTATCGACGTTGTCAGATGGCCAAGTGCCACGAGGGCTGTGACAGCTGTGGGTAGACTTCCTCGCCATGACAGATCATGACACGCCGTTGTATAACCTACAGTGGTGCCTGGTAGTGAAAAACAGATCCTCGGCAGCATATACACTGGTGAGTACGCGATCGTCACTACGTATGTACATGATGGGTGTCCTCGAGTAGCTCATGCAATAGTTTCTTGGCGACAACACCGCGTGTTGTCGTCTTCCATATCGCAACATAGTCTCGGCTGAGAGACCATGGACGAGTTGCGTCGCCGACCTTACAGGGCCCGAGCAAAACTCTGTATGACTGACGTCTTCAAACCGCGATGAACATCTGGACGACATGCCCATGATCTGCCATGAGTGCACAGACCGCATGCCCATATCTTTTGCCGACCCCCGGGTTGCCACAGCTGTCAATTCCATAGCACCTGCTCATGTTGCATATGCAATGTCCTCCGGGTCCAGGATGCGCCCCCGTTCAAGCTTATATAGACCCCCACACCCAGGTGAGACGTGGCAACCCAAGACTGCGTCGTGTACTGACTCCTCTCAAGCAAGCCCAGATCCCGTACCACCATGGTATTGATTCTCGCTCTGCTCGGGGCAGGGGCTGCCATGCTTCAGCTTCAGGTGGCAGAAGCTGCGAGTGTCTTCGCCCATTTTATGGTAAGCCGACCTGCTTCGCTACGTAACTCATGAAATTTGACACTTGCTAGGTGCAAAACTCGTACTCCTACGCAGCATCTGACTGGGAGAGCGACATAACCACTGCAGCTGGTATTGGTATCGACGGCTTTGGTAGGGAACTGCGTCTCTGCTTTCGATGGACACTGACGTCCGGCAGCCCTGAACATCGCGCAAAATGACTATGAGGTTGATCGTCTCGCCGATGCCTTCAGTGTTGCCGAACAACAACACTTCAAGCTGTTCTTCTCTTTTGACATGTCCTACTCTTGGGCAAGCAGCGACATGGTTAGCATCGTCCAGACGTACGCTACCAGCTCCGCGATGTATACATGGAACAACGCCGTCCTGGTGTCTACTTACTCCGGCGAATCGTACGGCGACTCATTCTGGTCTGCCTTCAAGTCCACTCTGGCTGCTGACGGCATCACGGTCATCCTCACGCCTGCTTTCACGAGCTACCGCGACCCGAGCGACGCGGACTCATTGATGTCTAGTTTCCCGTCCATTGATGGCTTCTTTAACTGGTGGTCCTGGTACGTCCACTGACGCTCTCGGATTGACCCGTAATGACACCGTGGACAGGCCCGCCGATGTTGATGCCAACCTCACCACCGCCACGGACCTGGCATATCAAGCAGTGGTGAAGTCTGACCGTACCGGCCCCTTCATCATGTGTGAGGGACCTAACCTATATTGCTCGATATCTCGTCCTGATCTGCGTGTAGCTGTGTCTCCGTGGCAGTTCAAGAACCTCGGTACGAACGACTCTGACTGGGTCGAGCTGAGCGATACGCTGTGGTACTACCGGTGGTTGCAAGCCATCCAAGACGTGAAACCAGATATCGTTGAGATCGTAACGTGCGCCGTCCCAGTGCAGAGATCCGATGTATGCCCTAACCCGACATTAATTTGGTGTAGCTGGAACGACTACGCCGAGTCTCATTACATTGGAGAGATCAACCCGAACGTCGATCTTGGCGATCAGGCCCCGAACTACGTACGTGGATGCATACTTGCTGCACTCTCGCGATGTTGATACGTCATGCAGGTCGATGGCTTCCCTCATACCTACTGGAGGAACGTAGCGCAGTACTTCATCAGTTGGTATAAGAACGGTAGCACGCCGACGGTCACGGTACGTCTGGTTGACCCCTTGATTATCGTTGGTTATTTGTGACACGCAGAAAGGACGACCAAGTCATATTCTGGTACCGCGGCTGGCCGAAGGACACAACCTGCAGCACTGGTTCTCTGCCTCGCAACTACGAGTATCCCGTCGATGCTGTCTTTGCACTGTCATTGCTGAGCTCCGAGGCCACCGTGGGCCTGTACATTGGGTCGAACTCGTTCACCTGGGACGCACCCGCTGGTGCTAGCATTGGCAGCGTACCATTCCCTAGTGAGGACGCGCAGATCCCGTACATAGAGATTGTACGCGATGGCACCACCACCAAGAGTGGCTACGGCAGCCTCAATGTCACCCAGTCTGACTGCTCTTACTACAACTTCAATCCTTGGGTGGGCATCATCGACTAAGTAGTCAAGGTCTGATCAATGGTCTATTGGAAAGGATCTACGCCTACGGAACAAATGTCTACGGGCTATCTATGTGCGGGGATTGATGTATTTCTTTGTCTATATTCTTTTGATACGCAGAAAATGGACACTCATTCCTTGCTCACTCCGTCCTCCGTGTTACACGCGGCACCAGCGCCCAGCAGATGCCTTGCGCTCCTAGAAGTGCCACCACAGTCGGCTCTACGACCCAAATGCCGCTCCTCGTACTCATAACACCCACGACGAGCGGCCATAACGCGCTGCCGCTCTGTCCGATGGAGCTAATGAGCGCAAACGCGTCCGCATGCATGCTGCGAGGGATCAGCTTCCCGCCAGTGGTGATCGCCGCTGTGTAGAAAGTAGAGATGGCAAGGCCGACGAAGGCCGTGCACACCGCTGTCGATGCGAAGACGGGAATCCACCATGCCAAGAATTCGAGGCCGATGGCGCAAAGTAGGTAGATGAAGACCGCGAGACGTTCCCCCATGAGTATGTTCAGAGCGGGAAGTGCGATCCTACCAACGGCGACACCTACAACGCAGGAAGAGGTAGTAGTGAGATCACAACAAGGGCAAAATCATAAATGGCTCACCGAGGTAGAAAGCAGACGCAACCCAGGACGCCCCTTCCGGACTGCCCTTCCTCACCTCCAAAATGTAAGATACAATCCAACCGCCGCTACATGGGAACTTAGTTCACAAAGACGCTCAAAAGAGACTGCGACGAACATAGACTCCTCAGCCCTGTGATCATGATGAGTATTGTTTCGTGAGCGATAGAAACTGCGTATACGCACCCGACGTAGAAGAGGAGGAACATGGACAGTGTCCATACAGCGCGGCTCTTCAATATCGTACCGCTGATAGCAGAGTTGGTCATGTTCTCGCTATTCTCCGGCCCGTTCTCAGCGGGATGCTTCGGCAGGGCCTGCAGATCGTGGAACGCGAGCCATGCCAGGGCGAGAACGGGGACGTTCATCCCAACGTTGGTCAGGTAGAAGAAGTGGTACTGTAGAAAGGTAGAGCGTCAGTAGACATATATAGATGGAAAAAAGGGATCGTACAGGGACACCGTGGGTGGTCATGGCAGTCGCTACCAACGGGCTGGCAAATGCGCCTAGTCCATAGATGCCGTGCAAAATGCCTGTCCACATAAGGGGCTTGGGTAGAGCGGCGAAGTACGCGTTGCAAAGCCCGAGCTGTCGAATGCAATGAGCCCCGGTTCGTAGCATTCACTTCAGAGGATAAGAACCTGCGTCGCGAAAGCCATCCCTACAACGAGGAAACCAAAGCACATCAGAGGGAAACTCTTCTGCTGTGAGCTATTGATGATATTCTGACGGAATGAATTGTCGTTCAGCACCCAATGTCGTCCGCACAGCCCAATGCAAGAATATTGCATACCCCTGTCAACTCAACGATCACGGAAATACAGAGGGCGTAGCCGAAACCGACCCTCCGCGCGAGGGCCCCAGCTCCAGCGGCCGCTACCAGATAGCCAATAAATGTGCAGACGAAGAGGATGGCGACGTGTGCATAGGTAATCGCAAATGCCTTCTCGATGTATGGGATCAAAGCCCCCGTAGAGCCTCCACTAGAAACAAGAATTCAAATGTTCGATGAGCCTGGATTCCACGAGCTGAGACATAAGAAGCAGTAGACTGACTTCCATCCGGCGAGAAACAACGTAAGGAACGAAGAGCACATGCGCAACATGCGCAGCCTCTTACTCTCGATGAGAGGTTCAAGTGGCGGGACCACAGACTCATGAAGGGCGGGAGGATAAGTATAAGCCTCATTCACACTTCCTGCCGTGCCAGAGTTGATTGGATGGACATCTTCCGCTGCAGCAGAAGCTCCTGGCTTGCAGTTAATATCCTCTTTATCACGTGGTTCAGACGCAGCGATGGTTGCGTCAGACAGCCCTCTTCTGAACGTGGGGCGCACAGACAAGGACGGTTCGGCCCCTGTCGACACGGTCGTCAGTCTCGAGCCGTCTGGCAGCTCGATCCTGGGATCGGACAAAAGAGATTGATGGCCCATGCCCACAGAAGCCTCGCCTTGGGCCTGCGTCTTGGCGAGGTCGTGGAGTACCAGGTCTGCTTGCATAGAACCAGTCAGAATTGGGGAGAGGATGAGTTGAGGACGAGAGGGGTAAACCAGACATCATCCGAATCGCACTGACGTTTTGTAGGACCGCCAGCGCTCGCACTCAACCGAGGAGCGGCAAGACATGGTCCAGGTCGCTCTTCTGATTCAGCTGGTCACCAGTCCACTGTCCTCTGCGGAGTCATCGATAAGTCGCTGGTGCCAAGCCCATTTGTTCGCCGATCTTGCGCGTATGTGATGGTCATTGGCCCATCCAAGTGTGAACCTAGATTAGGCAGGTCCTGTAGAACGCACCTTCACAACTGGCACCAGACTGGCACTCGGCAGCACTCACAAGAGTTTACGTGCACAGAATATCGAATGGTATCGCATAATCCCAACCTAGAGAAGTGTTACAAACGGTATACTTCGCTTTCTTAGGTCCCTTCGTCTGTGCCGCTGGCATTGCCATTTGACTTCGAGTTTGGCGAAGTCGTCCGGCCCGTGGCCGCGGCAGCAGACGCTCTGTCCTTATTGGACAACAGGCTCTGGAAGAAGTTCTGCAGGACCTCATGCTGCGTTTGGCCGCCCGTCGGACTTGGCGACCCAGCAGACAAAGTGGGCGACGCTGCACTTGACCGAGAGTTGGAAGCCGATACAGGCACTGCCAGCGTTGACGGAGGCCGACCGGACGTTCGGCTGGCATGTTTCCGCCCACCATCTGGAGCTGTGCTCATGCCCAATGAACTCGAGCCACCACCAACGATGCCCTCCATCTCTGTGAGAGCACGCTCGACGTTCGGCAGCGTGAAGCTGCTGCTGCCCATGGGACCAACGATACCTGCAGCGATGTTCTCGTTGGGGTTCCGGAACGCTCCTCGAGGATCGCGGTCTGGTTTCTTCGAGTTCTCGTCGTAGTTCCTCGCCAAAAACGCCTGCTCTGGTGTAGGGTTGTTGAACGGTGGTAATGGCGGTGGCTGTATGCAGTTTTGTGTCAGAAGTATACGGGATCCAGCGCAACATCGACAAACGTACCTTTGCACCCTGGTCAGGTACAAGGGTGGCATACAACTTCTTCGCGCCTGGCTCAGTCTCGCCCTCGTCGCGATCAAGATCACGTTCCAAAGCTTCTCCCCAAGTCTTTGCGTCGAAGCCATCTCTGAGTACGCCAATCTTCCCCCAACTATCCCATCCTGCAGGAACGACGATTCGGTCTCGGTCGAGAGCGTTCGGCTTGTGTTGGAAGGGGAAAGGATTCCGTACGGGCGCAGGTGCTTCTGAGCCAGCCATAGCAGGCGACGGCGCCGGAGGCATAAACAGAAGATGGAGTGCATACTGTCGCAAGACCTGCAGCGTATCCGGAAGCGGTGTTGTGTAGAACAGTCCCGCCCCGTCTAGATATCCAGGTCAGCTGTTAGACTTTTGAGCATAAAACAGCACATACATTTCAGGCAGATCGTCCGCAAGATCTGCATGATGCTGTCTGTCCGCTCCTCCCACTCCCCACCCTTGCCCTTCACCATACCACCCATTCCTGAAGTTCCAGGCCCGAGCACGTCGTTGTTCTCGTCAATGAGGTCGGCCTTCGTACACGCTACAATGATCGGTACACCGGCTGAGTTATGCGTCAGGGTGCCAGGCCCCAGTGGCAACACCGTTCCGGACATGGTCGACGTCGTAGGTATTGGATCGGCGGTAGGTTCCGCGTAATGTTGTAGATATGCCTGCACTGAACTGCATGGTCAGGCTGTCAAACGGGACCAGTGGTTGCAGTCTTACATCGTTCATGGTTCTCCTCACGCACTATCTCCAGTTCTCGACCACTATCTCCCTTCACCCACTTCTCGACCCACTCTAACCATGTTTCCAGTTCCTCGACGAAGGTCCACGGTCGCGTCCAGTCAAGCACGACGAGTATGACTGTATGTGGTAGTGATGCTCGTGGTGGGAGGAAGTGAGGTAGTAGCGCGGTGTATGAGGCTGCTGACGAAGGAACGGTGTAGATTGATAGTCGTGCAAGGATATCTAAGCTCGAAGACGCGTCCATAAGCTTGACTAGCTGCCAATGAAGGAACTTGCTTACCTTCGTCTGCATCGTCCTTCACGTCAGCCCAGTCGTAGCCTAGCGCGAAATCTGAACGATGATCTTCTTTGTCCGCATCCGCGGGTGGTTTCTTGAGCAAAGCGGAAACCAATGTTGACTTTCCCGTGGACGGTTGTCCAAGCACTAGGACCTGTTTCGCTGGGATTGACCGCGACTTAGACACGGAGTCGAGAATTGACGACCATAGGTCTTGTGGGGGGGCGTCCGGCGAGGATGGACGCGAATTATCCATATTTCTTCCCCCTAGTATCGAGACAGACTCCTCCGTGAACCAAAAGTAAGTATGGAGGATGAGAGCAGTGTACTTAGCACGAGCGCAGACACCGGAGTCGTGCACTGCTACCAAGTCTACAGCCAAAGTGGCAGGTCTCTCTTTCAAACCCCGCAACGCGTCTCTTTCGACGCGCACTCCATCCGCGACGGCGTACATACAGCGATCCAGCTCTCCTTCCGCCGTCCGTCCTCCGACGTACCGCGAGGTCATTATGGCGGCAGCAGTACCGGTCCCATACCACACACTCGAGGAATCCCCTAATTCGCGAACCATCAAGATCGGAGACTGGGAGATCACTGCGCGCACGAATCCTATCTCCAATGCGGGCGAACTGGACGCGTTACAGGCGGCGGTCGGTGGGATACCGCTTCCCGAAATGACATTTGGAAACAATGGGCTGAAGCTTCTGCACAAGCCCAGTGGATGGCAGTATGGCTTTGGTACGGAGGAAGCCTTGAAAGGCGTGAAGAACGGTGAACTGGAGCACGGAGACGGAGGTGTCAAAGTCGGATATGCGGATGCATGGCTGAAAAGCAGGTGCGTAAAGAAATGCTCTATGTGTCTACGGGATCATTTCACTGACGGATTGGCAGAACAGGACCATCTTCTCAACTTCCGATGCCTAAAACCGTCCCGACCAAGCCGTATGACTGGACGTACACGACGATCTACGGCGGCCATACACTCTCGTCTTCGTCCAGCACCACCCAGTGGACACCCGCAGATCCTGATAACCCGAAGCATACCATCCCCCTGGCCGAGCTTACGCGCCATGACCCTATTCTGTTCTATGCTGAGATCCCGCTATACGAAGATGAACTACACGACAACGGTTCATCACATCTGCTTGTCAGAATCGTGAGTACGTCTCGCTCAGGCATACGTTCTCAAGGGCCTCAATATACAGGTTTGGTAGCGTGTGATGCCGACGTGTGTCTTCATCCTGTCACGCTTCACCCTTCGAGTGGATAACGTCCTCTTCCGGGCACTCGACACTCGAATATACCAAGCCTTTTCCTCCTCACCACCTCTCGTGGTTCGAGAGACAAGTGGATGGGAGGCACCATATGCCTGGGTCCAGAAAGTGGATACAATACCTCCCCTTTAAACATCGCTATCGCTGACATATGGGATTAGCGACTACCGAAGCGTGATGACTTGACACCGTTGACCGACCCCATGTGGATCGCCAAGATCCTCAGTGAGATGTCCTCAGAGGTCTCGCAGCAAGCTGGGGCCGGTACGAAGTGGAGGGGACTTGGCACGAGAACCGAAGTTGCGGTTCTGAATAATTGATGAAGGTGAGTGACGATGTGGTGCCTGTTTCGTTGTTCCTCATAGCTCTGTGACAAGATAGGCGAGAGGTTGTACGATTAAGAATAAGATCGTTCATCTGCATTGTGATTTACACATGCATTCTCAGATGTATGCGTGTCCTTGAGGAGTCCGAGAGGCACCCTGTCACTGAAGCATGAAGATGACCACCGCGTTGAGGGATCCCGGCTTCCGCTGCTCACGGAGGGTTCGGTGGACGGATCCGAGGAAGGTGGGGTATAAGAAGACGGCCTCGTGAGGTTGCTGTGGCGCAGTAGACATACTGCTAACCGCCTAATGAAGGGTCACAAGCGCATATATGATTGAAGCCTCTACAGTCAGAGAAGCATGTAGCAGTTCTCTTGTCACTGCCGTCAGTACTTCCAGTCAGTACGACGAGGCAAGACAATTGCTGGCAATGCCTGGCATCCTATGTGTAGCAATTTCCACGTGACGTAATGCAATGAGGTCCGCATGTGGGCGCCTCGCGTTCTGGCAAGTCGCCGACTTCGAGCCGGATGAAGACCCTCCACCTCCACTTGACCTCGAACGCTCATCCTCCCTGACTACGAACCACACTTTAGCGCAACTCTTTCTCTTACATACATCATTCGGCGCGCATCATATATCTGTCGATCGAGTTGATACACCGGAACCGCCATGTCTACTGAAGTCATGTCCGGGTCTGCTACTTCCCCTCACCAGCCCCCCATGTCGCGCTCGAATTCCAAGCCTAAGGGCATCCTGAAGAACGCTCCTCCAGCGCACCCCAACCCCCAGCAGTGAGTTTGCATGTGGCGTTTCTATCTGTGTGGGTGCTGATCGCTCGATGCATTGCTCAGCCTTCAATGGGATGAGGAGAATCTCGCGCTCACGGAAGCACAGAAGGATAGTCAGATGAAGATCACCGAGCCAAAGACTCCCTATGTCAGGTACAACGCAGAGACAGATACAGTCGAGGGTGGTGAGCACACTCATCGCGGTACTGTACGCGCAATAAACCAACGATGCCGGGTGCAGATATCCCTACCCTTGATCTCAACGCCAGAACCACAAGCCCCACCGTATTGTCTCCCGAGCGCGCTGCGTCGCCAACGAGTAGCACCGGCGCAACAGGCGGCGGCTCGGCTCCCTCGTCCCGCAGGACGTCCTTCTCGAGCACAGGCCGAACCTCAACGCCATCAGGCCGCCCTGGCAGCGGGCGATCCAGCCGGAGCACGAGCTTCAACCTCCCTGATGCTGCCCGTGAGACGATTAGAATGGACGACCGGCAGCCCGGGGATGAGATCGAGTTTGAGGAGATGGACGAAGAGAGTGCGTCACGGTGTTCTTGGCAATTGCGCTGATTCTCATTACATGCGCAATTCACAGCGGCCGCAAAGCACGCTGCGTTCGTTCGGGCGCGGGGAAGACACTACTCAAATGAGGCAGAAGCTATGAAGGTTCGTGCCTCTGCTCGATCGTCACTGCTATGCATCTCATGCTATCTGTTCGGTCGATTTCAACAGTTGGCCGCGAAGCTCATGGAACAGGATGATGATGAGGACGAGGAGATTGCCTCGGTCGCCCATAGCATCGATGAGGACAGTCTGATGTCCACCGATGAGGAAGTGCCGGCGAAGATGAACGGGGTTATCCACGGCGGGAACTGAATACCAATACCACGACCTTGTAGCTAATGATGAAAGACAGATTCTGTAGCTTGATTGCGTTGTAAGATTTCGAGTACTCATCGGACGTTCTTGCTGGCTTTGTATCTGCGTTGTTTTCTCAGCGCATAAACTTTGCTACGTTCTATTCCTATATACTTTCAGGGCACTAGACTTCGTATCTCGTCTATTTGAGTGGGGCTGTTCGTGAAGTTCTTCAGGCTTCGACTTCGACTTCGTGTGCCTGCCCCCGAAGCGAGACGCGTGTCATGTGACTCGTGTCTCATTAGTTGACGCGTCCGATTTGACTCGACCATGTTCGCGTCGAGCAATTTGTTTCCTGCTCTCCTGTCTCGCACACACGCTCATCCCACCACCAGGTTCTGACCAGGTCTCTATCCTTACCTACCACGATGTCTGCAGAGGCCAGCGGCAAGGGTATCCTCCTCAAGGCCGATCCCATCGCCAACGTCTTCCGCGACGAGATCAAGGCGACGCTCACAACGCGTCCGCGCCCTTCAAAACTTGTCGGTATCCTTGCAACTTCTGCGGCGCCGAGCAAGTTCTATGCGGAGTTCACGCAGAAGCAGTGTCTCGCGCTCGGTATCGAATTCGTGCTGAGGCGGATTGGGGCCGCTGCGGACCCGGCACTGGGCGAGGGAGATGGAGTGGAGGAGGCCATTATTGAGGCGAATGAGGACGAAAGCGTGGATGGGATCATGGTAGGCTACTTGCCTGTTCTTGTTCTTCGTATTCGAGTTCATGTAAATCGCTCGTAATGAAGGTTTATTACCCGATTTTTGGTGTGCAGCAGGTTTGTTTGAGTTGCAACGGTGTGTAGCTGTGAGATTGAAGGAATGTTGTCTGTAGGATCACTATTTGCAGCAGGTAAGCTGGTGACGACACATTCCTGGGTTCCCTGGACTCGAATGAACGACTTCTAAGGTCGTGTCTCCCTTCAAAGACGTTGAGGGCCTGCACTTCAAGTTCCATTATAATCTGTACCACAAGTAGGTTCATCCTCGCTAGCGGAGGCTCGGGAATTCCCTGATTACTTGCACCACAGCATTCGATACCTGGACCCGAAGTCCTTGATCTCCTCAGTCCCTCCCACTACGGCACCCGAACCCGCAGTCGAGGATCAGCCGCCACCGGGTGCGGTGAAGTCCATTCTGCCTTGCACACCCCTGGCCGTCGTCAAGTGTCTGGAACACATAGGCGTGTACAACAAGATCCTCCCTTACGGCGACCGTGCTTACGGGAAGACCATTACGGTCATTAACCGGTATGTCATCCTACGAGCCCTACCTCTCCATCTGGTTCGACAGACAGGGATTGATGAGGTACACGTAGGTCTGAGGTCGTCGGTCGCCCACTAGCAGCTCTGCTAGCAAACGATGGTGCACGCGTTTTCTCCATCGACATTGACTCCATCCAAGTGAGTCTGCCTCACACAAATGTTCCGCCTGCTCACTCAGTCTCTCATCTTCTGCACATCATAGGAATACACCAAGCGTCCGCAACAGAGCTCCGAGTCCGACGCCCAGCGCCGCTTCCACCCACGGCACGTCGTACACCCCTGCTCCCTATCCCCCCAAGACTGCCTCGCGCTCTCAGACGTCGTGGTCTCCGCCGTCCCGAGCGCGCAGTACAAGGTCAAAACTGCGTGGCTCAAGGACGGATGCGTCTGCGTGAATGTCGCGGCGGACAAAAACTTCGAGGCAGATGTTCGCGAGAAGGTAAGTCACCCTTTCTAGTGCGGTGCGTCGCCTGTGCGCGTTGCTGACGGCGCATGGCGGACACAGGCATCGGTGTATATGCCGACGATTGGCAAGGTCACGATCATGATGCTGCTCAGGAACCTGTGCGTGAGCTTGCGTCGTCCAATTGACATCATAGCTGACGACTTTGGTGTGCACTGTGCAGGTTGCGCCTTCAGCAATATGGTGAGTTGACGAAGGCGCAGGCGTAGGCAGGTGCGACGTATCCGCGTGATGCGATGAGAAGTCCCTTGCGGCCGCTTACACGTTGATGTGTAAGGCCTTGTATTACACCAAGTGAATAGACGACAGTGTTGGGCATTATAGAGACGACAGTTAACGTTCAAATGCCATGGAAGGCATTGCGATAGTGATAGATAGTGATAGGGGGACTGGCAGCATGCACAACCAAAGTATGGAGAAAAAATGCAAGGGAGTGCAGATGCGGCATTACTTCTCCGTGCCAAAGCTGTTGGCGTCGGGCGTCCTGATTTGTGGGATGTTGAAGTGCGACTCGCTCGTTGGAGTGCACGAGCCTGAACGCGGCGTGGCAGGAGCAGAGGGCGTGCCTGCATGCGATAGATCTTCGTCCTCGACCATGAAACGCACGCGGCGGCGGTGCAGCTGGTGTGAAGTCGTACGATCAGCGATATCACGGGCTGAGTACCCCGATCTGGCGCTCACCTGTGGCAGCTTCGGGATGAGCACGAAGAGGAGAGCTGTAAGGTTGATGGCAAACATCCATGGGTTGTACTCTGAGTAGTGAGTCGAGGCGAGGAAGCTGAGTCGAGGGTCAGCGACACTGTGCTTGGCGGAGAGCGCCAGCCAAAAACGCACAGAAGAATGGGCACCACCATTAGCCACTTCTTGGCTGGGGTGTACTGGGCACCCTGATCAATTTGCTCCCAGAGAGTCAGCTCGTCATACACGCCGCCATGCAGATCGGACTGGAAGGGTATCCCTGTGACCCAGTGAAACATCAGGTATGTTAACTGAGCGCCTGTTAGTGAAGGTACTGCGGGCGGACACAGGTCGGACGACGTACGCTTAGATACGTGAGGTTCACCACGAACCAGCTGATGTCCTGTCTCATGCCTGGGACGGTGTCGATGACCATCTTGCCCGCGAAGATAAGGGCGGGATGGATGAGCCATGCACCTATGCAAATTCTGTCAGTCGCTGCGACCGCGGTGGCGGTGCACTCGTACAGCAGGTCGCCGAAGAAGTGCTCACCTTTGCGGTTGACCCATTCCACATTCATGTTTTCATACGCTGCGGAGTCGAGCGCATCCTCCTGCGAATTATCACCAACCTGTTCGACTTTGACGAGACTGCTGCTGCGGGCGCGGGTGGGGATGCGGACAGAGAGGCCCTGGATGGGCTGGGGGATGGGCAGAGTGGGCGAGGCCATGCTGCTCGCCATGGCGGGTGTTCTGGCTGCGTGCGGGCGATGCGAGCGAGCGGGAGATGCTGGACGCAGCTTGAAGGTTCGCACTGGCAGAGGAACTTGAAGTCGTGGCGGCTCCGAGCAGAATAGGCGCCCGCTATATGGGCGCATGCGCGCTAATCGTCAGACGGAGCCACTAGACGCCCGCACTCGTCTGCTGCCGCCACAGAACCCACACCCGGTCAATGCACCCGCGCCATGCTCCTTCACTGGTGCACCCTTGAGCCTTCTGGCGACGGAAACCTCGCCGCCATCCGCTTCTCCTCGCCTGTGCGCGTCCAGTCCATCCGCATCTTCCCAAAGGACGCTCGTCCGTTTGCGCAGCACCATGAGATAGTCAGGTTAGTTCACTCGTACAAGGCTAAATGGTCGCGCATTACTCACTCCATGAACAGTGAGACGGAGCCGCAGGCCTTCCTTCTGCACTTGTACTTCAGCGCATACCGCGTAGCTAGGCCAGATAGCAAAGAGAAGCCGAAGCCGACCAATGCCTTAGCACCGACGGCGCTCGCCTATGCAGGCGGCGAGATGGAATTCGCCGTCCCTATGGGCAATGAGGTGCGTTGTGTGCTGTCGTATTTCGTACCTGCTGGGGACAGGTGTGTGCATGTGGACGTCTGTGGGCGATGCACGGCGTTAAGGGGTCATGCGGCCACACAGTGCTGTGCTACCGTGTATGCCCACCGCCGGTGCCCTTGTGTTCGCTCTTGGGCATTGGTAGATGTGGCAGGCACAGTAGCTTAACAGTAATGGCTGTTGAACCGGCTCCCAAAGTGCCCCGCATATATGCGCGCAGAACTGTCGCATGCATACTCCTCGCTCCCGGGTGATCTACAACTGAAATATCTGACGAGCAATATGACAGTATGCCACGCGCTTGATCATCGTGAGGGGAAACTTCGAGCGCGTCTCCATGGCTATTTATGGCGACGTCATGTCAGAGCTGCCTCCCCCACCCACGACATACGAACCCAAGCCTCTGCCAACGTTTGAACCTACTCAGATCTCGCGAGCGTTAGACCCGTCCAACTCGCTCGACCCATCTGCACTCGCGCGCGAGCTGTTGAACCTCATTCCAGACGCTCCACCGCTTCCACTCGCTATTCGGCTTGTATTCTGTCTCAAACCTCCAAGTGACGATTGGGATCTGCCTGAATTCCCGTACATCTTCGCTGAGCTCGACGCTGATACTGCGGATCTTGACCTAGAAAAAGCATCCGCACTGACCACAAGACCTGTCTCCGACGATGTCGAGGATGAGGTTCTGCTTCGCTTTGCGGATAGTATGGGTCAACTGACCCGTGAGAAGGTATGAACTAGCCATTGCGTTATCCAGCAGCGTGCATACTTACCCTCGTCTTCGACCAGGGTGACAACCAGGCCTTTCGTGTGGCCAGCATTCTGAGCAATGCCGCATCACAGCACCCCAATATGGCAAAGTCTCTTCTGGTGCGTGTCTTGTTCAACGGTCGTCATGGGTGCTCACTGCCATGTAGGACAAGCTGGATGTCCCTGCCATCTTTGACTCAAACAACATGGACGAGAGCATACTGATTCGGTTGCGGGACGCCGCAACGAATGCCGACATTGCACGGCATCTCAATAGTGACTACTTCTTGCAAACCCTCCACACTATCACGAAAGACGCAAACGCCGACCCCGAGACCCAGTCCGCAGCCACCAAACTCATCGCGCGCATCCAAGGCTGGGCTGTCCTCGAAGATACGCTCTCCAATACCCAGGGTGACTTCGTCACTGCTGCCACGCTGCTCAAAGAGAATGGTACAGAGGAGGCCGCACTCGGCGTCTGGCTCGAATCTATGATCACACATGAAGACATTGCTGCGACTCTCCGCGAGATTCCGCTTATGCCCATCCCACTGCCGCATCCCCCGTACCTGTTTGGAAGCCTGAAGTCGTCGATATCGCACGACGAATTTGTAGCGTTTTTGAGGGCTGTCATTGGCGTTGCTGCAGTGTTGGCTGTGTACGCGTTCGCCGATGCGTGGCCACATACACTTTGTCGCGAACGAGCCCTAGCGATCATCCGGCTCTGGCAGGGCGTCAATGGGTATCGGGAGGTACGTCTCTACGACTTTCATCTTTATGTGGGCTTGACAATGCAATGTGTCAGATCGTGAACCATCTATTAGTCTTGAAGCAGATGATCTTCCGCCTTGACTGCATGATGGATAGTGATCCTCCGCGACGAGCCGGCGTTGACGCGGAGCACATCCTGGTCAACCTTGCCAAAGACCCCCAGGCCATTTTGCAACCTGACTTCATTGATTGCATCCTCGGACTCAAGGCCCCTCTTGCAGTCATCACCGAGGAGGAACGGATGTCTATGAGACGCGCTGCCATTGTAGCTGACGACGGTCTGCCCGGAGCAGTCGATGAACTCCTTCGTCCCATGGACCGCCCACCAACGCTCAAGCACCTCCGTGCTATGCGAGTGGCGTTCGCCGTCATCGACGACGAACTGCGTAAGGACCGCGAGTACGATGTCCTCCGGGATTTCTGGCATGAAGGCTCTCGTGGTCTTGTTGGCCACCTCGCGGACATCTTCGGGCCCCTCGTGAACGAGATCAAAAGCCATTTTGCGCTGATTCCTCCAGCTCGCAAATCGCAGGAGGTCATGAGCGGCCTGTTCCGCGTGGCAGACGAGCTGCTCAAGCTGCTCTTGCGGCTGTTCCCTTCCTATTCCCTCCCAAGCCGCGCTGTCCGCGTTCTTACAGCAAGTGTCGCCGACCTCTTTGTCTGCACGGATGCGGCGGATGTGCTCTATTCCCAAACCAGTCCCCCCTGCGTCGCTGCGGAGGAGACGCGCCAATCATGCATCGATGTCGTGCGCATGCTCTCCACTACCTCAGCTCAAGAAGGCGTTCAGCTTGGCGCAGAAGTCGTCCTAAAGACCCTCCTCCGGCACGGCCTGCACGTCGAACAACGCGACCCGGTCCACCACCTCCTGCAGGTTCTCTGCTTGATCGACTACCTCCTACCGATGCCCGATGCCGGCGACGAGAATGAGACGATGTGGACGCAGCGCGTGATGCCGCTCGTGCTGCAGGAACTCTGGCAGTTCTGCAGGGTGCTCGATACCGAGAACAAGGTTCACTTCGTCAAGCGGCTGAGCAGCCTCGACCGAGGCGTGATCGGAGTCGCAGAGTGGTTGATCGTCGAGGAGCTGAAGGAGCTCCTCCATGTGCTTAGGTTGCTGGAAGACCCCACTGTGCAGCTGCACGAGCGAGTTGTGCGACAATATCAGGTCACAATGGCCCTGAACTTCCTCCTCGATCTTGCCCAACCTTCCTCGACTGCGTCTAGGATCCTCACTGACTGTCTGGCTACGGTTCCAGAGGCAACGTCCACTATGACAAGTTGCATACTGTCGATCCTCGATCAGCGCTTGTCTGCGCCTGGTCTCACCGAAGTGGTACAGACTGTGACAACACAGTGGCACCGGTTGGACGCAGCTCTTCGCGCCGTCCTCGCTATTGCGATGATGCGCTTTGTAGGTTCCGATGACAACCCAGACACGTCTACACTTGACGATGCCGTCGCTATTCTTACATCGACCTCGATCCCGGACAACCTCCTGGATCTTGTTCATCAAGAACTCGATGCTGTCCTCGACCGTTACGGGAGAAACACAGATGCTTGGGACGCGACTTCGTGCCAAAGGAGATGCCTGCCGCTGTTGGATTGGCGCATCAGCACGTCAAAATCCACGTCCGAGTCAATCACGTTGAACATCACAGCCTCAGCCTGGACGGACTTCAGCAATCGCATGCAGAACACCGTCTCGACGGGGGACAGTGGGCACTGGGATTCATTGAAGGAGAGAGTAACCGTACAGCATATCAATTTGCCTAGTCCACCGATACCCCTGCCGGAGTCTATCGAGCTTTCACTCGAAGATGTTGAAGACCTCCTGCAACCCCAGATACCCGTACCATCTACACCGCCACGTAGGGCACTCAACCAGGATGTACTAGGGCTCGTGACAATCTCCCCACCCGCCCTCATCCGCTCGCCCGCATCCACAGGGCTTACAAAAACGTACAGTAACAACGATTTCAGGCAGCTACGGCAGACGCCCTCGGCGAGGCAGAACACAAGTCGGTTGCCGAGTATGCACGTAGACGTAGGTGTAGCAATGGTCGTTTGACCTTTAACCCTTCACACTGATGGCGCGTTCGGGGGGCGCGTTTAGGACTTCGAGATCGGCGCGTCGACGTCGCCTACCTTAGTACCATTGCAAACAATGCCAGTGCCCGTGACGATACCGCCGATGAACATGCCGTTTGCCGCGGACGGCTTCCAATCCATCGCGCCGCCGTTTAACCCGATGTGAACAATTCGGAACGAAACAAAGGATACACAAGCACAGAAGATGCAGATCTACAACTGAGTGACTACGGTAAAGACTAGAGGCTAAAGCAGCTGACATACATGGACAGGGCACGGGCGAGGCGGCAGCAGTAAGGTACGCGAGATACAGGTCCAGATTACGATTGGTACGGAACTCGTCGGCGGGCGTTAGGCGGGGCGATGTGATCGGGGTAGCGGGGGAGGAGGTCATCATTGGAACGGAAGTAACGGTCCATCTCGGAGACGTCAAATTCGGAGAGCGGCACAGGCGATGACGGTGGTTGGGGATGAAGATCCACGTCCACGACAGCAGCGCCGCCAGGGCCAGGAGTCTTTGCAGGCTTGCCGCCAAGACGATGCATGCGCTTCCGCTTGGCCTTGATGGGTTGTTTCTCGACGCTCGAAGCAGGACCGGTAGACGACGCGTCGCGGGGTGGAACACTACGGACAGTGAAGTGCTCAAGTGTGCGGGTGTAGGGCGAGAGCGTGTGGTTCGAATGGGAGAGCGTGGAGAGCTTCGAAATGGAATTGTTGATGAAAGGACGGAGGACAATTTTTGGGTCGTGGTCTGTGTAGTCGGATCCCATAGGAGAACTGGGCTGGAATCTATCGAGAGTGGAGGAGGCGGCTGACAACCGACGCGGGCGGGTGATTCGGATGCCTGCTTCGCCTTCAGAGGGCGGTGGCGTTGGGACGGAGCGTGTCATGTCGCTGGAGAGACGGCTCTGCAAGCTCGACGGGCTTCCTGGGCGTGAAGGAGGAGAGCGATAGAGTGGTGGCACCGGAGGTACGGCGGAGAAAGACCGGCTTGCTTCCATGGTGTCTTCGCGCCATGAGTCCACGCCCAATCTTGACGGTGTCCTGCTAGTGAAAGGCGTTGCTCCGGCGAAGTACGGGTTGTAGTTAGGTCCGTAGCGCGACGACCCCGAGGACGAAGGGATGTTCAGCGGTGGGGGTCGCACAGCAGTACGACTTGCAGGTCTGCCGACGATGCTCGACATCTCTCCTGACGGTGAATCCTCCCCCATGGGCGAGAGGATCTGCGACTGCGAATGGTACACCCGTGGTCGCATGATCGTGCCACCTCCGACGGCAGGAACTGTCTCGTACTCCACCGCATCTTCTTCTGGCTCTGCCACAGATGGCGGCGGCGGGGGGTTGTAGTCCGAGAGGAAATCGTCCCACTGGCCAGTGCCAAACGATCCGGTCTCGTCCATAGAGTCGTCAACGTCGCTCGGCTCCTCCGCAAGGTCTGCCAAACCTTTGCTTGGCGCAAAAAGGCTCCGGAACCCGCTGAAAACGCTCTTCTTCGGTAATCCCTCAGGACGCAGGCCATATGTCGGGTCGAAATTCTCGATGTCAGGGAATGAAGACGTCGCGCTGTCAGGAGCAGGTGTCGGCATCGGTGTCGCGGAGGCTGGCGAAGAGGCAACAGAAGGTGTCGGCCTGCGACTCGCACTAAGGCCAGACACCACCGACGCGGTGCGAGGGCGGGTAAAGCTAGGTGACCCGAGCGACGTCCGTGGCATCAGGCTGGGCTGCAGGCCTACTGGCGGCGGGAACTGTGAGTACGACGAATAGTACGACGGCGCATTGGACATCGTCGACATCGAGTCTAGGTCCCGCTCTTGCTCGCGCTCGCGCTGCCGCTGCCGGACAGCAGCAGCAGTAGTCGGGCTTGGACGCTTCGCCAAGTACGGCGCCTCGACCTTGGCCTTGACCCACTGCTGGCTGAGGCGATGTATGATGCCCGGCAAATCCTCCCTAAACATCTGGCGAAGCTGCCCCTCGATCTCGCGCTGGATGAACTTCTGGATGACGGCGATGGAGTCGAACGTGCTGTTGATGTCGACGTTCTGGAGCGGGTCCGTCTTGAAGACGAGCGTGATGCCCTTCTGGCGCGAGACGACGAGGACGACGTACGAGTTGAGCTTGAAGCCAGAGAGGCGGAGCAGCATGGGCACGACCAGCGGCTGTTTGGCTGCGAGCATGCCTCTCGAGCCGCCCATGAGGTGGATATCTGGTTGTTTATGGTTGAGCGGGTTTGCCTGGGTGTAGCTGTGAACGGGACGCGCACGGGTTACTAGGGTGCGGGATGCGCACCTGGACCTTTGTCCGGAGGACTATGTGTGCGTCGCCGGAGTAGGTGAGGCGGAATATACCGCGAAACTGGTCCATGGTGAGCTCGCCGATGTCTCTAATCTCGAGTTCTGGTGGCTGGGCGGAAGTCAGCGCTCGGAGGCGGGGAACGGGGGTAATGGAGACGGACTTGGGTACCCATCTCGAGCTCGACGACCTCTATCTTGTCGGCTATGACGGGCGGTTTGTTGCCCTTGTTGAGGGCGGAGGTGAGCATCTGGATGGCATCGGCGTGAAACTGGTCAGAGAAACGGGGCCACTTGAACGTGAAGGACATCGGTGGCTAGGAGAGAGAAACGGTGTGCAAAGCATGAGCGCAGGTGTCTGTGAGAGCTTGCTGACTGGCAGAAGGTCTTGAACAAAGCAGAGTGGGAACTATGGAAGAAACATAGGGAGAGGAAGGTGGCAAAGAGAAACTTGAGACGACCTTGCCTCGTCTGCCGGGCTCCCGCGTCGCCTGCGTGCGATCCTCCGCCTGCGCCACTTGTCGCGCCGCGGGCCGCGTCTAGCCCATGCCGCGGGTTCGAGACTGCCTCGTGTATACTGAACGCCAGTGAATACATATGGCAGTGACACGATACATCATTGTCCAGTTCCGTTACGTCTATGGATACACTAGATCTTACATGCCCAGTCCCATCAGTGACTGCGTCAGTCTCTCTGCAGTCTCATCCGGCTCCTGGCGCGACATCTCCGCAATACTCAACAATTTCTTCACACCAATGTTCAGTCTCGACGACTCTTCGTCATCGGGTGTGTCCAAGCTGCCCAGGCCCGCCTGCTGCAGCATGCTGATCGCCTGGTGGCGCTCGTTGTCGTTCGGGAATATCTCGAGCTCGTCCAGCACGCGGACGACCGCACGCAGGCTGGAGATCGGCGGGACGCGCAGCTCGGAGTCAAACACCTCTGACACACCCAGGTCCGTGAGGACTGGCCGGAGGGATGACGTAGCGAGAATCAGCAGGCGACGGCCCTTCGGCGGTCTGCGCGCGAGAAGCACGAGCAGGGTCTGCAGGACCGTGTTGGAGAACCGCGGCCCGATGGCCGTGAAGTCTGAGAGAACGGTCAGCCATCGTATCGTGCACAGGCCGGATGGCGCTCACCCAGCAGTCGCTCGATGTTGTCGATGACGATGACACTCAAAGGACTCTTGTAGCTGTCGGCGAATACCTTGTGTATCGCTGCGACCTTCTGTGACTCCGAGAAGCCGACCATGCTGTCTGGCGTGAGCAGCTTCATGAACGGATATTGTGAGGCCTGCGCGATCGTCGCCGCCAATGCCGTCTTGCCGGATCCCGGGGGGCCGTGCAGGAGGACGCTGACGAGCGGCGTGCGCGTGGATGTCCGCACTTGGTCAACGAAGAGCTTGCCAGAGCGGAGGATGTCCTGTGCGAATGTCATCAGCCTCCGAAGTGCATGCGCACAGCTGAAAACTCACGTCGATGACAGAGGAGAAGTGGATGATACCGTTCTCGACGACCTGCTCGAGCTCTCCCTTCGATACACCGAACGCAGGCTGCACTTCGTCCAGCGCGTTCATGAAGTCATCCCGGTTGACGAGCAGGTCTTCGATATCATCCGATATCCCCGCGAGCGTGCCGACCTTCACATGCCTGCTGAATGCGAAACTCGTCGCGCTCTTGACCAACCCGTTGATCTCCGCACCCGAGAAGTTCTTCGTCAGCGCAGCAAGCTCCTCGATGTTCACGTCCGGTGCCATCACGTTGTTCTGGCGCATCTTTGCGGTGTGGATGCTCAGGATTTGCAAACGGCCCCTTTCGTCGGGTAGCGATATTTCCATGTGCACTTCAAGACGGCCGGGACGGAGGAGCGCCTCGTCGATCATGTCGAGACGGTTCGTCATACCGATGATGAGGATGTTGTTCAATTGGTCAACACCATCCATCTAAAGGCATCGATCTTTAGTCTTGCACAGCACAAGTCAAGATACTTGCACACCTTCGAGAGCAGTTGGTTGACAACGCTGTCCCCGACACCAGTGCCACCACCAGTCGAGCCACGCTGCTTGCAAATGGCATCCAACTCATCAAAGATGATGATGTGCAGTCCACTCTCGTCACCTTTGGCCTTGTACTAGTATTGTATTTCTTTCAGCATCAGTCCGAGCGGCGGCTGAGAATTACGTACCTCTTTCTCAGCGTCCGCGAAGAGTTTACGAATGTTCTCTTCCGAGGCACCGACAAACTTGTTCAGAATTTCAGGACCGTTGACGATCTTAGGCTCGCGGGCATTGAGCATTTTGCCAATTTGCCTTGCCATCAGGGTCTTACCCGTTCCCGGTGGGCCGTGGAGAAGAATACCCTTGACGTGCGTGATACCGAGCTTCTCCACCAGAGCAGGCGGGAACACGCGCGAGGCGAAAGCACGACGGAAGATAGCGCTGAACTCCGTGTCAAGACCACCAATACCCATATCCTCGAACTTGAAGTTGGGAGCGAGAATAGCATTTGGGGGCGCCCTGTATGCAGCATGATGAGCGTACGAAACATGGAATGTAAAAATGGTCGTACTTCTTTGCGCTCGACTTGATCTTAATCGAGCTGTCGCTGGCCTTGATGAAGGTTATGTCCGTCTTCTCCATCACGACACCATGCGCGTGGTGTGTATGTGCGTGTCCCTCCGCCGCGCCGCCCTTCGCAGGCAGGTCGAGTGTATGCAGTCCCTTCACGACGGCCTTCAAATTCTGGCCGTGGAACTCGAACACAAGAATCTCGCCGAGGGCGAGCACGATGCCGCTAAACGCCTTCGTGAAGTTGTGCACCATCTCGTCCGCGGAGAACTGCTCGGCGACCTCGTGTCCGCGGCGGAGGAAGCCGACCTCGATGTCGACGGACTGGAGGTAGGGCGGCGTGTTCATGGGCTCGACGGTCACCTCGTCGCCGGTGAGCGAGAGCCCAATCCATTGCCGCTGAGTGGCGGAGGCACCGATCGTGCCTTGGGCGAGCTTGCCCGTGTTATCATGCCTGGTGCGCGGGGAGGTCAATTCATTTGACTGGCAAGTTTCAATGGAGACGGTCAATGAGTTTGGGTACGCACCGAGTCGTGAGCGGGAATTGCTGCTTGACGAGGACGTGCTGTCCCTGGGTAAAGTCGGAAGGGTGTACAATGAGGCAGTTGGACAGAGCCAGTATATCGCTCGGTGCTGATGCTACAGCATAGCTAAACAAGCCAGTCAGGAATGCATCACATCAAGCTTGACGTCCGCGGCGTACCTTCCGTGCGATTGCGCCGGACGTCTAGAAGATTCATATCCTCCTCGTTTCTCATACGCCGTGGGATCATCGTATCTTGGCGGCACTCTGTGCGACCTCGCTGCGGGCTCCTGATCGCGGTAGCTCCCTCCCGGAGGGACGCGAGAGTATGGCGTTTGCCCGGGTTGCGGGGTGTTGCTGCCTGAGCGGAAGAAACTCATGGTAGGAGTAGAAGCTGTGGGTATGGACCGTCTATTTCGTGGTGTAGATGGAGGTCTGGAGCAAGTGTAGTACGTGGAGACGAGATGCTGAGCGGTCGTGGCTGAGCATGCGCGGGTGCACCGCGACGCATCTCAGATCTGGGTCCTATCAAGCACGTGGTTATCTAGAGTGATGCGGGTTAGGGTTGGCTGTGGAATTTGCAGATTTGAGATCTCCCACGCCTGCTTCCTCCATACATCGACTCGACAAAATGGCTACTGCAGACGCAGTGTCCGTCTTCGCAGAGGGGACCTTTCAGGAGCAGGCGAGTGACTCCTACGTTAATTCTTATCTTTTAAGCTCACCAAGCTCGTGTCGTCTAGATTCGCGAGCTCGTAGACTACATTGCACGCACTCGATCCGAGGAAGAACGCCCGCTTTTCGTGCAGCCTTTCGCCGACCTCCTTGAGACCACTGAGGGCCAGAAGCCAATTGAGGAAGATGAACCCCGGAGAGCAAAGGTGTTCACCACCGTGTTGGGAGAGGTGAAGGGCTTGGGAGATGGCGCAGACAAGGGTGCGTGCTCAAATCCGTTAACGTTATACCATCCGCTGAGCACCACGAATGCAGAGATTGAAGGATTCTTCAACCTCCTTGTCTCACATTTCGTCAGCTTGCTGCCCCTCGATGCCCCCGAGACCAAGGACCACCTTGCCGTTCTGCTCCAGACGATCGCCACCGCCGACCACCAAGCATTCGTGAAATATCGGATGTACGTTCGTTTCTATACGCGCCAGTAGTACGTCTGTTAACGCGAAAAGCAGATTGTCCAATCTATACAACGCGCTTCCTCGCCGATCGAGTCTGCGGCTACCGGTGTACAAGACTCTCCTCCAACTCGCCAGCGACAACGAAGAGATCGAGCTCCTCAGCCTCGACCGCTCAGACGTGGAGAAGTGGGTTGCTGAATGGGACGTCCCCTCAGAGGACAAGAGCAGCTTCCTGCAGCTCGTAGCTACGTCCTTCGCCAAGTGCGGGCAACTGTACGTGCCGTTATTCGCTTCCGTCCATTGCTTCCCTTAACTAAACATGGCCTGACGCCTCAGGGCAACATCATACGACTACACCCTCTCATACATCCGTTCACTCCCTTCCGACTCCCCCGTCGCCCAGGCCGCCGCAGTCGACGCTATTGCAGCTGCGCTCCGCCTCCCCTCCCTCTTCGACTTCGACACGCTCTTCCGGTTAGATGCCGTTGTCGCCGCACAGGATCATGAGCTCTTCTCCCTGCTCAGAATATTCATCAACGAGGGTCTCCCCGAGTTCCAGGCATGGGCGGGTAGTCACGCAGACGCCTTCGCGAAATATGGTCAGTGCAATTGGTTGCACGCTCTGTCCATTCAGGAGATACTCATTATGCCTGCAGATTTCGACCAGGCACAGCTCGAGCGCAAAATCCGTCTGCTTGGGCTGACCAGCCTCGCCTACCAAAACATTGGAAAGGAGCTGTCATATTCCACCATCGCCACTACCATCCAGATCGAACCCTCGCAGGTGGAACGATGGGTTATTGATGGTAAGGGCTTCCATTCATGGCATTCTCGCACAGACCTTCATGCCGCTCTGTAGTCATCCGTGCTGGCCTGGTCTCAGGCCGTCTCTCGCAAAAGGCACAAACCTGGCACGTCACACGCGCAACTGCACGCTCGTTTGAACGTTCACAGTGGGAGCTCCTCGAACAGCGCTTGCATACGTGGAAAACAGGCATCGCGAGCGTGCTCGACGTCGTCGCAACCGCAAGGCGACGAGGCGGCGTTGAGGCCGTGGCGACTGCGACCACCGCTGAGGCACCTGCGGCAGTTCCACAGGCAGCTGCAGCTGCAGCTTGAAGCCTGTAGTTCAGAGCCAAGGGATGTAGTGCTAGTCTAGGAAAAGGGAAATGCTTCCCAGGTGGCTGTATCATGTTGCTCTAGATGCTGTTTGTGCTATGCTGTATTGTAGTACAGATGCGGGGTAGGAACTCTATGCACGGCGGTCCATATTCGAATGAGGCGACGCGAGTAACACAGAGCAGTGCGACAGACGGATCTAAAGCATGGCGCAGAGTGTTTACCACTCTCCGTCGAAACCAATGAAACCTGCGTGAACAGTCATCAGTCCTCAGCAAACCGCACCGATTGTTGTCAAGATAGCTCACCGGTAAGCAAGAACACGGGGAAGAAGCGCTTCTTCTCCAGCTCCGAACACCAATTCCACGCACTCGTAAGCCGGCCGTCGATGCACGAGCCAGCATCGAAGTAGTTGCCCGCACCCGAGCCGTCGAACCCGTGGCGGAAGAAGTCGCCCAGGATCTCTTTGCAGCAGTTGTCCACGCCGCCGAACTCGTCGTCGAAGTATGATCGGAGCGCGGGGCTATTCTCGGCGACTTTGGGGAGTTGCTGGAGGGCGTTGCAGATAGGGAGCAGGATGCGGTAGATTTGTGAATATTTGTCTTCGCACGCACGAGAGTTAGCAATGCGTTCTGTATCGTTGGAGGCAGTGATAGGAGCGCTCACCAATGAACATGAGCGCATTGGGCACGTTGTGGTCACCCATATGGATGACAGACGAGCCGACCCACGATCCAATGCTCTTCTGCGCGCGATTGAGAATGACATGCATCATGCGGGACGTCTTGGGCGCGGCTTGGACGCGGTTCAGGCCCTGACCAGTGTCACGCAGGCGGTATGATGCGTTTTCTGATAGCAGGTCCTGCTCGGCAAGGGACCAGAGATGGAACATATCTACACGCTGCTTAGATCCGAAGGACACTACGGGCTGAGAAAGCGGACGGACCATGCAGGACTTCACGCCAGAGCGTCAGACTTTGTATAACATAGGCATACTGCTTCGAATGGTCGTGCGTGAGACGAGCCCCGCCCTTGCCGCTCCTGATCGCCAGGCTGCTCTTCGAGTCCTTCGCGCTGTTCGGGCTGAAGTACTTTTTGAGGTATGAGATCATCTTGTCGCACGGATCGCGGTTGACGCGCAGGAACGCATGGTTGTCGCCGATGCTGTATAGGCACTGGCGGATCTGCTCCTGGCTGAGACCTTCGCGGACGTACTTGGCCGAGAGTGACTCGATGGCGCGTTCCTTCGACTTGATGTCCTTCTGGATTTCTCGTCTTGAACGGTCCTCCGAGTATATCTCTTTCGTTGCGGTCGCAATGAGGTCGTCACGCAGGATGTCCAATGCGTCGTGCTCTTCGAGGATGGCGTACACAGTCTTAATAGGCTGGACACACGTAAAACCGAGGAGATCTCTGACTTCGGGTGTTTGACTGTCCTGTATAACACAAGTTTGTACACGTGCCAGAACTAAGTGGGGATATGCTGACCTGCAGGAGATACATCAGTTTACCGTATGTGGAGCGCATCTTGTCTGGGCTCATGATTTTATGGCGACGGCCCAACTCAAAGATCTGCTGGTAGAACTCCTCGTTCGCTGCGAAGTCACGGTCTTGGAAGAGCTCCTGGCCCTGCTTGTAGTCTGCCGACAGGACGAGCCCGGACATGATCGCGCACAGCTCGCGGATTTGGTGTACGATTCGCTTCGCCTTCGAGAGGCCGCCGCCAAGGGTATCAATCTTGTCGGTGTACTCTGACACGTTGAGGGCGGCTTCTAGCAGCCGGAGATACTTGCGCTCGCCGAGGGTCAGACGCATGGGAACGAACTTCGCCCGGTCGACGAACCACTCGCCAACCGTGGACTCATCCGCGACGGTACTCTTCTCCCCGGCGGCCGCTGTTGAAGAGCTGTCCGGCTCGTCATCGGATTCGTCATCGACATGCATCTATGTGACGCGATTCATGATTCTCTGTCAAAGGTAGGACATATTATCAATGTGCATGGACTTACTGCATCCCCATTCGAGGCCTGCGTACCCGGCGCTGGAACCGCCGTCTCGCCTGACGCACCCTCGTCTAGTTTGGCTTTCTTGTCTCTCCGCGCATTTTTCAAAGGTTTAGTCGCATGACGTTTCCGGGTTCCTTTGCGATGTTGCGCAGCGAAACAGACTTCACAGAATTCGTCGTTACACGTCTCGCAGAAAAGCTGTGCAGGCTGGTCTGAAGAGTGCTTGTAAACACCGTTGATTCCACTATAGCTAACAACTCACCTTCACACTCAACACAGAACCCTTGAGCGACCACGCCCTCAATAGTTTCCTCCTCTGGAGCTTCGTCTTTGGACACCGAAGGCTCTAGGTTGTCGTGGTCGCCATCCAGGATGCTGTCAAGCGAGAGACCATGACCATTGGCTTTTGGGTGAGATTGATCGTGTCCCATGGTCATGTCGTCTGCCATTTTGGTCCAGAGCAGCACCTATCAGGGTGCCCGTGGGTTCGATAACTTTAAGTAGTGATGTAAAGACCAAGGAGAAAGTGGCGCCGAGGAACGGGTATGTATGTACACGCGCTGTACACGCGTGCCACAACGGCGCTCTCGGTGGTGGCTTTGTCATTGACAACATATCGACCACCCTACGGTGGCCCACATCGGGAACGTTGGACAGGTTGTGTTGGAAGGCGGCGAGGGAGACGCGTCGCGCAGAAGTCCGAGGCCGCCTTCTATACCGCTGAGGCCAGCCAAGACAACTCAGAAGTTAATGCCCATTACACTGTAGCTGTCATTTCTACGATACATGTCCAAGCCAATCTACGTTCCGGACGGCCTACTCGACTGTTAAAACGTTAAGGGCGTACAATCCCGTCAGGCGGCTTCATATACTATACAAGTTGTGTACAAGAAACACGACTCGAGCTCGAATCTTCCCGTAGCCAATGTTACCCTATGTCAGATCGCGGAAGAGATTATCAGCAGGTCATATAGGGCGATGTGGTTGTCTGAACAATGACATAGGTTGCTCATGCATGACGAGTCGTATTCACTTCCGCATCCTCTTCTTGAAGCGTTCCATCACCTTCGGAGAGATGTGAGATACAGCCAATCGGTCGTATGTTTAAACGTACCATCTCGTCCGTAGCCCTTTGCGGCCGGTCATTTCTTTGTGAGCGGGGTTCATGGTCTTCAGGGAGCAGGCCCAAAGCTTCCAGTTTCGCGTCCCGAATGATGTCTGCATCAGACTTTGCTTTGAGATTTGGTCGGTAGACTAGCAGGAACGTCAACGTCGCCCCCCAAGGTATTGTGGTTATGAGATACGTACAGCGAGCAGCAACAAGATGCTCCTCATCGTTGCCCGTCTTCTTTCGTCGGTCTTTGCGCTCTTCCGTCAATATTCGCTTCGCCTTCTCAGTATCCTCAATATTCTTCAGCCGAGTACTACGCGAGACGTGGTCAGCGAGCCATAACTTGCAGGAGCTTGAAGAATCTGCTCACTCCATTCCGAGGTCGACCTCCGGTATAGCCGTAAGCATCGCCATGCTATTCGTGACACTTCCTTCATCCTGCTCCTTTTCTTGGATCAACTTGTACTTGTCCGCTATGTTGAACAATTCTGCATATGGGTCTCGCGGCCCTTCGTCCTCCAGTGGCTCGTTAGAGGACCCTGTCCGCAGCTTCATGTTCTCCTCAATGTAGGCCATCCTGTGACATACATTATTACTGCGGAACGAAGCTGCGAAGCATAGCGCGTACATATGTTTATCCACGTCGAGCACGTTCGTCTGCTGCGTGAAGTTGTTCGTTCGTACGACCCTCCTCGCCTTCGCGTCTGCATCTTCCCCTTCGCTGCGCATATGATGAGTATTGACAGGCACAGTTGAGTAGCAGATATCACGCACTCCTCATCCTCATCCTTGCTCGTGCTGCCCTTCCTCAAACCCCCGACATCCTCCTCCTCCCTTGGTCTCTTCTTTTTCTTCTTCACGTCGCCCTTAACGAGTTTCTGTACATCAATACCCTCTCTTGACCGCCTGAGCCTTCGAAGCTCTATGAGGTCAGCTAACCTGCAGAGAAAGCAAACACCGGTCAATCCACTAAGACGAGACAATCGTAGAGAGACCGCCCAGAGGACCTACTCTAGCTTGTCCTCCCCTCCTTGCAGCTGCTCTTCGGGTTCCTCAATTTCCTCGACCTCTGGGGATTTCTGGCGGAGATGTGGGCGGGGTGCAGTACGTTTCCTAATCATGGCGCAAAGGGACGTTCAAGGCAGGGTACAATGTTCGACAGTGCAGTAGCGCCCACGCATGGCACACCAAAGAAGTAATCACACCAAGAAGATCACAAGCGGGGCCGCGATTATATTTGCATGGAACATACGAAAGCATTATAGGAGTAGTACGCGAAACTCGCATGCACTTTTACATACACAAGCAAAAGGACGACAGCGACAATGCACATGTGAACATGAAGACTACAAGACCTAAACTATGATTCGTCCATGGGATCCGACATCCTTTGATGTCAGCATCTTCCCTTGGCCAGTTACCAAGGATTTTCGTGCGCTTCGGCCGGGTCAAGAACCGGTGTCACCGACCTAGGTGTGGGAAGCTGTGAGGTGCTCCCTCCGTCGGGCTGCTCCCGCCTGCCCAAGAAGCTTGCGAGCATCTCGCGACTGGTGTCGCTCATCTCAGGTCTAGAATGTCGTAGCACATTGAGAATCGAATCGGCAGGCGGAGGGTGGAGGTCGGGTGGAGGAGGCGAGGGCGGCATGGCTTCGAATGCCGCCGGAGAGGCGTATCGAGAGAGCAGCGTTTCGGGCGGGCGGATACCCCCACGCCTGAGACGAGGAGCAATGACCTGACGTCTTGCCTCGTTGATGTCCGAGATGCTCGACCGACGTGTCGTGAGAGTGTTGGTATCGTCGACTGCGGTCGACTGGCCAGTCGTGAGTGCATACCAAGTCTGCGATGAACTCGGGCCACTGGACGATGAAGAGGCAGCGCTTGGCAGATCCGCGTTGCTGTCCGAGTGTCCTTCAGAGGTGTCGAGTGTCCGAGGAATTTCTCCTCGGAGGAGGAGGTGGGCAGGCACAACGGCCGGAGTGTGGGCACTAGAGGGTGATGCTAGAGGAGGCTGCCCGTCCCGCAGTGAGCCACCTCTGGTGAGCCTGAACCGCCAAGTTCCATCTGTGGATTCTTCCGGTTCAGCTCTGACTTGAGTCTGCTCTTGCGAGGTCTGTCGTATGGATGATCGCCGACGCGCCGTGAATTCGTTGAAGTCGACAGTGCGTGAGCGTGCTGGGCGACGTGTGGAGTCGCTCCGAGACAAGCTTGCACCAATGCCTGTGCCGTGTGATCGAGAACCCGAGCGATGAGACAAAGACCGTAGAGGTGGGGAGACAGACCGCGGACTGACGGGTAGGACAATCGGTTCGCCTACGTCAGAATCTCCCGTAGTCTCCGAGTGTCTCAGTCTATCCAGCAGCTGAGGAGACGGGGCGAATGAAGGCGCCGCATACGAAGTGGGTACGTACGCCTCGTACAACTCGGTGTTAAGACGGGCGCCCTCACCGTCCCACAGTGTGTCAACGTGCTGCGAGTCACGAGTATCCGTAGGTTCGTCCTCTTCGTCTGTGATCTCGGCCACGAGATCGGCAACAGTGTATCCAGACCTATTGCGATTGTTGTGTCGACGGCTGGAATAAACGTGTAGTGGAGCAGCTTGCATTCGAAGCGACTTGGCGGTGCGCTCAGAGATGAGCCGACGGTCGAGCTGGCTGGTTCGCGTACGCCGGTCGGCCATTTCCTGCGAGATGCTGTGAGCGGTCCACAGGGTGGAAAACATCAAAAGGTAGAGGCGCAAAAGTTCGAGATACGGGATCGGCAGCTTTGCACTGTATGTGCGCCTGCCGCGTTGGTAATCAAACGACAGAGTACTTCTGTCGCCGTACAGTGTAACGGTAGCTCGAAGATCGTCCCATATTGGCCCTAATATAACGAACGATGGAGTCATTGGCGTGGAGGCCTATTGGCTTCGATGCCGACCGCGACTCGCCAAGGTAGTGTTGCGATGTGTCCTGCCCACGAAGGAAACATCCCCATGTGAATGGAAATGCACGAACCTTAACAAGGACTTCAACAAGTGTTGCCGTGAAGGAGTCGCCTTCATCCAACCCCTCCACAAACGTTTCGTAACTGATGGGCGGCTCTCCGGCTTCCAGCTTGATTCGCTGTACCGCTCCGATTCTGTGATCCAAGAATGAGCCCGACTGGTAGGGTGCGAAGGTACTTAGTGCGGGTACTCACACCAGATTCTTCATTTTGGATTGTAGCACCTCGTCATGGTGACCTAGTGTCCTACGCGAGCGTAAGATACGTGAAATAGGGTAGGTTCACGGATATGTACCATTTGCCCATGGCTGAGAGGGGTTGACGGCTGCGAAGAGGCGGTGGTGGGACCAGTCCAAGAGACAAGACGCATACGGTACGAGCGCTCGTAGGCCGGGGTTTGTTTGCATGTGTTTGTCTTCACCGCCGAATCGAGAGTTGACTTGCGGTGGGAGAGCCACACGGTGTGTCATCTTCTTTCTCCGTCTCCCTCCATCGTCGCAGGGACAGGTGTGCCATTTATTCATCAAACCATACGAAAATAGTTCTTGGTACGTCCGTGCACGCCTCGCATCACACGAGGTCAATTCAACAGTGCTTTGGAATAGTCCACAAAAGCGTCTGAGGAAGTGCTGACGAGTCCGACCTCTCTGCTGCGACTTACTGTCCATTCTTGATTCCCCCCAACCCACCCACACGTACCATGGCCACGGCGTACGCTCAGCCGTTTCCGCTCGCCAATCCTGTGCACAAAGTCGAGAAGCCGACCTTCGGGCCAGACCTCGCTGTCCGGCTTATCTGCCCCGAATGCAAAGACCCGAACCCCAACATCGTTGAGCAGTTCAGCAGCGGCGATCTTGTATGTGGTACGTGTGGGCTGGTACTGGGAGATCGAGTGGTGGACACTCGTAGCGAATGGAGGGTAAGTAGTGCACCGCGTGCCATCCCCGTCCTGTCATGATCCGCATGCTTCTCTCGCTCACCTCCTTCAGACGTTCGCCAACGACGAGGGCGATGACCCGTCGCGTGTTGGAGCGGCATCAGACCCCCTCTTGGAGGGCATGGAGCAGCTGGACACCACCATATCCTTCCGGGATGGTGGCTCTGGCATCGCCCGCGAACTACAGCGCGCAGCATCTCGCTCCTCCGCCTCGCGCGCGGAGCGTAACCTCCTACAAGCATTCCGCGACATCTCGTCGTGGTGCGACCAGTTCTCCCTTCCTAAAACGATTTCGGACATAGCGAAGCAGCTGTACAAGCGAACTGACGAGGAAAAGCTCCTCCGCGGGAAGCCGTCCGAAGCCATCATCGCTGCATGTATCTTCATTGCGTGTCGACAAGCTCACGTCCCGCGTACCTTCCGCGAAATTTGCAGTCTCACCGGTGTGAGCAAGAAGACCCTCGGGCAGTGCTACAAGGCAATGGAGCAGGCGTTCAACCTCACGCCGGGTGCGTCCGCTCAGGGCGGCCGCCACATTACCACGCCCGCTGCGGCTCGCGGCCCAGAGGACCTGCTAGTGCGGTACTGCAACCACCTCGATTTGCCCCCTAACGTCCAGCCCATTTGCTCCGACATCATCATCAAGGCGCGCGAGCTGGGCATTGCGGACGGTCGCTCGCCTGTATCTATCGCAGGCGGCGCCATCTACTTCACTTGCCATTTGCTTGGTAAAGTGAAGAGCGCGCGGGAGATCAGCACGGTCGCAGGTGTTAGCGAGGGCACGATCAAGCTCGTGTACCGGCTGTACTACGCCGACAGGGAGAAGCTGGTCAAGGAAGAGTGGATAAAGGAAGGGAAGGCCGATGTAAGGCGGCTTCCTATGGACCAGACGAAGTAGAGGAAGATGGGGCAGAGAAAAGGAGATAACATCGTATGGACATGGCCACCGTCGTATACCATATGCATCCGTAATACAGTGTTGTACATATAGCCTTATGATATGACAATGTTATGTCACTCGTTATGATCTAAATCCCTGAGCAAGGCACGGATGGAATAGCGGAGCGAGGATTGATAGGTACATGAGCATCATCTTCTACCTTTGTTCATCTTGCCGCCGCCGCCTTCTCTGGCTAATGCTGCGCTGCCCTTGCCCTTGCTGGCAGACCGTATGGCCTTGCGAACGTTCAGCACGTCGTGCCCACCAGAAGACTTCGCCTTCTTCATCGCTGGCTCGCGATCAAGCTTTTGTAAGATGGCAAGATTATGCGACTTTTCCGCCGAGGCAGAGACTTCCGTTGGGTCAAACTTCGCGATAAAGCGCATGTAATTAGTCATGCGCATGAGCCTGTACTCTGACGACTCGACGCACCTTCCGCTTGACACCCTTCAGCTTCTTCTCACCCTCCAGCGTCTTGTCGAACTTGCCCATGCTCGCCGTACTTGCACGCGTAGTTGCGAGTGTCCTGTCAATCTGTTTCTTCCGCTCACTATTGGCCGGAGCAGCGCTGCTCGCATTTGAACCCTGTGCGCGCGCGACGTTCTGCTTGTGTTGCCGCTCGTTCTTGGCAACCTTGGTTTTGCGGGCGTCGCGTGCGGCTTTGACAGGGTCATGGTCTGCGTCTGCGGGCCGACAAACCCAGCGTCAACTCTCCACCGATATACTGAGCTTCCATGAGACGCACCTGCGTTTGCTGGGACCTCAGTAATCCATTGCTGCTCTTCCTTCTTGTTTGACCCCTTCCATCCCCAGCGGTCAACCCATTCCTGCTTCTCCTCATCCCACACCTTCTTTTCCTTCCGCTTCTTTTGAATCCCCTTCGCCTTTGCGAACTGCTCCCACTTCGTTGGGGGCTTCGGCTTCGGAAGAGGCTTGGCGCGAGGGAGCTGTGTTGTTGGTGGCGGTAGTTTTGCGAGGGGTCCGTCAGGGGAAGAGGTAGTAGGGAGGGAGAAGAGGGCAGAGACTAGTGCTTGGACGCCATCGCGAGCAGTCGCCTTGAGATAGTCCTCGACATCCTCACTATGCGATTGTATAAGAGGCGAGCATGATCATACCCATAGATGCACTCACTTGTAGCTCTCTGCGTCAATGGGGTTCAAGTCCGTTACAGTGAGGAACCCGGCGTCGACTTCGAGTGGAATTTCTTTCTCGACAGTGACGGCTTTTCTGCACGAAAGGACTTCTCAGTCAGGGTGGCTGGGAGCGTAAGTCCAGAGCACGTACTGCTTTGCTGCCTGCGCAGCCAAGATGTCTGAAACGTCCATGGAAGACTCGCCGGAGAAAGAGGTGGGTAACCGTACAGCGTGGATGCAGTGGATGTATCGACGAAAAGAGTGTGCAGACGGATCGGGCCATATCTCAGATCTAAGATTAAGATTCGGGAAGCCAGAGGACCAGCCTGAGCGGGCGCCACCAAGAACGACCTCATCGAGACACATATACTTATACGCACATCTGCATCGTGTATGTATACGTGTAAGTGCCTCGTTCTCATGATAAGATGTCAGTGTTGCCTTGGTCATGATTATTTCTTGCTGCCTTGCTCGACGAAGATCACACGCGCACGCCAAAGGAGTTGAACGGATGGCATCCTCGGTCTGGCAGCGAAGTAGCTACTTGATGTCACCAACGACCTCACAAAGCCTACGAGATTGCTCTAGATGCATTCGCACATCAGCACCATGTGAATTAACCCGGCTCAGATAAGTATCATGATGTAGGTCAGCGATTTTCTTCCCGAGTTCCCTTGCTCCTCCCAGTGGTCCTGGGCCCCTTCAACGACCCGATCTACACATCCGAAACGCAGTGCGTATGGAGGCCTGCTTCTGTCGAAAATAACATGGCTAACTCATTCTCTTTGCTTAGAGCGTTATCCAGCCGTACTACTCACTCCGTTGTCATTGCCGTCGTCGCCATCGTATGTGGCACCAGGTCGGTGTTCAACCAGGCGTACTCGAACGGTCACCAGATTATTGACTGACACAAGCTTTCTTGTTACAGCGACCGACAGCTTCCGATGCCCGGTACATGTGCACACTGTCAGGGGCCTGCGACCCGCCAATGCAAGGGTTGTGTCGCGTCTACTGCCTGGTACTGCACAGCGGATTGTCAAAAGATCCACTGGCCCGAACATCGCTTCGAATGCGCGCCGACCCGCGAATTGACGACGGCTGATGAACTAGCGCGAGCCGTCTACCGGCGACGCGCTCCCGACGACGACGATACGCTTCAGCAGTATGGCTTCGCCTATCTCTGGACGCACCAGGGAGACACCCTCTTCCAGGTGTATATCAGCGTGCTCAGCGATACTGGAGTCCCAGCGAAGAGGCTTCATCAGTGGCGGGTGTCAGGGCGACTGTTCGATGAACTGAAGACGGAACTCGGGCGCCATCCTGGTGAACCTCACCAGTATTTATACACGTGGCTACTGCAAAACCCCTGGATCTTCGACAACGAAGCGGTCATGCGTCCAGATTTCCTTATTTTCCGTCCGCACAAAACACCCATAATCGAGTACGTTGGGCTTCCCAAATGGTACACCGACGAGCATCTCAAAAATGCCAACATGTCCAAGCTTTGGCAGCAGTGCTTCAGCTTGCACGTACAGGTGCTTGCTGATCTCGACCATCGCGCCCGCATCTTCGGACACCATGACGAATGGGTTGTATTCGGCTTTGCCGCATGCATTACCGAAGACGTCGAGGCTGAACTACTGGCTGTCTATGACATGCTCATGTGGGACTGTACTTTTGAGGAGTACTACACGGCATACAGGTCCGCATCGCTATTAGCACTCTTCGACGCCAAGGGTCTCGGGGATAGTATTCGGGAGTTCGATTGCCTAGAGGATCTCCTCAGCACATCCCCCTCCGCGATTCGTCTCGTCTACTTCCTCAAACAATCCGTTCTTTGGGATAATGTACCACTTCGTCCAGACGTAGCCAAGTACTTCGGCTTCGTCAACTGCCGGACTACGGAGGAGAGGGCTCAGCTCAAGAGTCTATACAAGCGATTGTTCGTCGAGGTGCTGGTGGACCCGGTGCACTTACACCTGGCTGCTGCACGCGGGAAGCTGTACGACGTGGCCTGCCTATTGGTCGCTATGAGTGACACCGAAGGCACGCTCTTCCATAGACTGCTGAAGGAAGAGTGCCCTAGTTCGGTCGCCGAGCATTTGCTGTTCGCCCGCTACACGGTAAGTGTTGCTAGTTATACGTCGTGATTAACATCCGACTTCAGCGCCATCCTACAGGAGGGCGTGGACATGACTGCATCGGGTAACTTATCTTGATACAGTACGCTGACATTCAGTGTGATTTTGGGAGGACCAGCTTACCGACTGCGGGCCGTACTTGGTAGTAATGATCGTCCACTGTGCTGTATTTCCGAAGTAGTCGTATCACGACATTGGTTTCTCTCAGCTGTATGCACATCGTTGAGAACCGAGCAATCTCGGCCATGATGCTAAAAAAAAACCGTCAAACAGCGCTGCATATGAATCAGGGAGATGATTGAGGTTTGTGGGATCTCATTCTACCATACTTGCCAAATTCGGAGGAGGGCCGAGTCGTTGTGGCTACGCCACCCGCGAAATGATCGCTGTTCACTACCACAACCATTCAATATTCAATCCTCGAGACGAGGCAAGTGAGGCTTCCTTGGTTGTTTGACATGATCTAACTTTGCGAGATCATCAAACGTTTCTTAGCCTGACCTGGCCGAATTCGATTCCAAGGTCCTGAGGAACGCTTGAGTCGATCCCTTTCAAGAGAGTGACTCTGATACAGGCGCAGCCACTGCTGGCACCGTTAGTACGTTCGCGTCAATCCTCGAAAGGGGGATATTGTCATTGAGTTCCTCTCTCTAGGAATAGTATATAGGGGCACAAATCCACCTAGAGCCAATTGCAAGACTTTGAAGTAGTATCGTTTCGCCGTCTATCACTGCTGCGATGGTCCTGTTCTGCGCGAAGTGTCCGAAATACGCCAAGCGAAGATGCAAAGCCTGTCATATCTCAAGTGCCCATTACTGTAGCAAAGATTGTCAGGAGCAAGACTGGCCTGAACACAAGTTCGAATGCGCCTCGAAGTCGTCGTCCGATATAGACACTGCCGATCGATTGGTGCGCGCGGCCCATCGCCGCCGCCTACCGCACGACATGGACACTCTCAAGGACTACGGCTTCGTGCGAGCTGCGATGGTGGATAATATTCATGAGCTTATGGACTTCTGGGCGGAGTTCATCGTCTCGCTGGAGATCTCCTCGGGGTCGATACGGAACTGGCGGCGGGACGGGATCTTGTGCCAGATCATCGAGTTGGGATACAACGAGACGGGCCGTGCCAGCAGGAGCCAGGCGTTCAAATGGTTCCAGGGTCACCAATGGATCATCGACCCCAGGATGGGTCCTCCCCGGAACCTTGGACAGGAACGGCAAGCCGTCGACGCACGTTTTCGCCTGTGGACTGGTCTTCCGGAGGTTGCTTTCCGCGACCACGACGCTGTCAGACCGACATGGTCCCAGAACAAACGCACATGCTACGACTTCAGCTCGCAGGTGTTCAACCACTTCGCGCTGCTCCCTCCTGCGGCGATCTGGATCGACTTTGGTTTCTGCGTCTGCAGTAATGGTCGACAGGAGAAGAAGCTCGAGGACATCTACAAACGCTTCTTCGAACTGCACACGTTCGAGGAGTTCTGCAGTGCCCGCGAGAACGGCACGCTTGTGTCCCTCATCGACCCGCTTCTGCCGGCTTTCGGGTGGCGCAAACGCACGGAGCTGTTGGACGTCCTGCAGAACCATTCATCGTCGAGCAACTTTAAGTTGGTCTGGTCTCTGAAGGCAGCTATTTTGTCCGACTTCCCTCCGGCCTTCCTGCAGGAACCATGCAAACCGATGTTGAGGGAATACGGGTTCTACAATGTGCGGACCGCTGACGAGGCGAAGGAGCTCAAGCGGTTGTATAGGCGGCTGTTCCTGGATGCCAATGTCCGTCCATTGAAGTTGCATGAGGTCGCGACGGCAGGCGAACTCTACAGTTTTGCCAATTACGTTCTGGGATTCGGGAAAGAAGAGAGGGCGCTGTTCGGGAGGTTGCTCAGGAAGCGAGCTGCAGACTCGCCTGCACACTGTGTACGTGCGTACTGTTTCTTCTGGAGCTTAGACGAGCTGACGGATTTGTCGCAGTCCAGCACTCAAGAACTCAATCGGTGTCCATGGGAAGTTTTACAATACCTACCATCCAATCATTACCACTAGCCCCGTGTCATCCGTGACGTTCCGCATGCAGGCTTGCAAGCAGTGCGCGGAGACTCCTAGGACTATATTCCACGATCGATCTCGGGAACGACTTCAGGCGCAGGGCAACTGCAGTCATTCCATACAATCATAATACGAACCCCTCCACTGCTCTCCTTATCCTACACTAAATTCTAGACGCGAACCATCCCCGGATAATTTGCTGCTATGATAGTACAATGCCCGCGATCGTCATCGTCACACAAGTACTTCCTTCAGGCACCTATGTATTATATGTTCGTCATCTTCCCTCTGCGCTTTGGCGTATGTTTTGGCGATAAATGCGACGAGTCATAGCATGTGCATGTGAGGTCCGGTATACCTGAGCGATGTTACTGTGTTAGCCGCTCACGACTAAGTAAGGAGATCACAAATTCGTATGAAGCGACTCTATTGGCAGTAAGTAGGCAGTGTAAAACATTTCAGCTAAGTATCCCGTTGGAGCGCGCTCAGTTTGCCCGAACGTCATGTTCTCTTGCCAGGCTGCCACGGTGACCACGCCCTCCCCCGCCGTCGTCAGCGACCCCAGGCTCCGGATAGTCGCCTCGCCTCGCTTGCTACGCTCTTGATCACTCGTGTTTCCTTTGCTTGGACCTCGCTGGTGAAGCAACGCGCCCGAGGGGCAACCGGTCGATTGGAAGGAAGTGAGCAACCTCGGTTCGAAGCGGGGTGTACATCGGTTCCTTTGGCTTTCAACGTAAGTCCGACCACGTTCACGGTGCGCTCTAGTTGCGTACGATCATCGGCTCGATACGTTTGCTAAGTTGTCCTCTCCTTTGACCCCGTAGAGGTGCCGCAATGGCTTCCCCAGACGCCCCCTCAGTGTTGACGAACTCCATCACAAGCTCCCCTATCCCTATCGGCACCTCCCCCGAACGATCCCATTCTCATTCTCCCGTTCGCCTTCGAAGGAGCAATAGTGACATTGCAGACGTCGACCCTACCGTCTCGCACTCTCGCCCCCGCCTCTCGCCGACGTTGACTAGAGCATACAACCACAATGACCCCGAGGTACGCGAACGTCAGCGCACCATGGATGCTGACATGGCTATGCATCTCTCCCGTGCTCGGAGCAACACCGTCACCTCGCCTACTACATCGCCCATCGCTCCCGTTCCGCGTCCCCTGTCCCCGTCGGACAGCCCCGTGAACTTCCCCGTTCTTTCTCTGCAAGAGGAGCAGGACGTCAACGATGCACAAGGACGTCTGCACATAACCTCCGACCCAGACCGCGCAGAACACTACCATCCGGGCCCAGCACCAGACGCGCATCTCAACCACCTGAGTGCGGCTCACGACCCTTCCCTTCTTGTCTCGATGGAGACGGCGGACATGGAGGCTGGGCTTCCCATGTACCAGGCGAGCGTCGGTGGGCCAACCCCAGAACAGCAGCAGTATGATTTCAGTCCGCTGGAGGCGTTCGCTCGGGAGGAGAAGGCGCGACTCGGTATCCAGACTCCCGCGAGCCCTACAGGTCCTCACTTTGGCCGGCCGCCCATCATGCCTGCGCCCCACAACCAGGGTCAGGGCGAGACGGACCCGAGTCCAAGTGGGAGCCATTTCACGATCCCACGTGTGCGGCATCGCAAACTTTCGCAGAGCGCACCCACTCCGCGACGGGGGAAGCTCGCGCTATTCGAGCAACCAGGTTCAGGAGCCGCGCCACCGACATCTGGTACGACGCTCAGTGCGGTTCCGTCGTACGACAACTTCAATGACCTCGTGGACGGCGGGCCTCCGGGGGCTGGGGGTACTCATGGACCTGGGACGGGGCACGACCGACCATATCGCTTCTCCTTCTATTCGAATGCGCTGAGTGCAACCATCCACGCACGAAGTCTCAGCGAGTTGCCTGCGGAGGGGCAGAACTTCGAGGATCTGTTCTTTGGACGAGAGCCGGCGCCGCAGAAGCCTCCTGGGCCTAGGCCAGCGGCCAACGGCAAGCCTTCTTACGCCCAGGCGAACAACCTCGGGTCGAATCCTGGATCACTGCTCACTTCGCCAAGGTTGAACCCTATTGGTCCTGGGACATCGAAAGTGTTCAGCGGTAGCGAGAGGAGAATACCTGGAGACGCGGCGGTGGATGGTTGCACATGGTGGTTGGACGTACTTTCGCCTACTGACGATGAGATGAAGCTGCTCAGTAAAGTGAGTAGGAACGACGGCCAATTCCGTGTGCGGGATCTGACGAAGATTAAATCCAGGTCTTCTCCATCCACCCTCTCACGACAGAAGATATTCAGATGGAGGAAACCCGGGAGAAGATCGAGCTGTTCCGGAACTACTACCTGGTTTGCTTCCGTGGCTTTGACCAGGATCCGTATAGCCCGACGTATCTCGAGCCTCTCAACATGTATATCATCGTCTTCCGTGAAGGCATCCTCTCGGTGCGTTCCCATGACATGTGGCTACGTGAGCTGAGTTCTGATCGTACCGTCGCTTTTGATTAGTTTCACTTCCGCCCGACCCCACATCCACAGAACGTCCGACGGCGAATCAAGCAGCTCAAGGACTACATCAGCGTCACCTCCGACTGGATCTCTTACGCACTCATTGACGACATCACCGATGCCTTTGGTCCCCTCATCCAGAGTATCGAGTACGAAGTCGACAGCATCGATGAGCTTGTGCTTATCTTGAAGGAGGCAGAGCAGAGCGACATGTTGCGGAGGTACGTCACATCTTGTGTACTCGGCTCTGGCAGTGGTTTTGACATGGTTTCGTGTAGAATCGGTACATGCCGCAAGAAAGTCATGGGTCTGCTGAGACTCATGGGCAACAAGGCTGACGTCGTGAAGGGTCTTGCCAAGCGGTGCAATGAGAACTGGCGCGTCGCACCGACATCCGATATTGTGAGTCAGTTCCTCCGCATATCCGGTCCATTTGCTCATTCATATCCAGGGCCTCTACCTCTCCGACATCCAGGACCATCTGATCACGATGACGCAGAATCTGAATCACTACGAGAAGATTCTGTCCCGCTCACACTCCAACTACCTCGCGCAGATCTCAATCGAGATGACGGAAGCGAACAACCAGATCAACGACGTGCTCTCCAAGCTCACCGCGCTCGGTACGGTGCTCATTCCTATGAACCTCGTCACTGGTCTGTGGGGTATGAACGTCCATGTGCCTGGCCAGGAAGTGGAAGGGTACGCGTGGTTTTGTTCTATCATCGGGGCCTTGGCTGCGTTCGCCGTCATCGCCGGCTGGTCGACGTACAAGTTGATGGTTCATCGTTGACCGATGGATGCTTGGACATCTTGGCGGTCTTGTTTTCATCTGGAAAATTCGGAGACTATCGCATCATCGTTCCCACTGGTTCGCGACATGGCATTGTTATACAGTCATCGCAGCATTAGTTTGACATACAGTATTCTTATCCTCAGTAGTACTTGGCATCTTACGCAATAGACGACCCTATGTCTGCATTCATTTCCCTGGTCGGCGCATCAGCAGTGAGCGGAGCGTACGGAAATCCAGGTCGTCCGTCCCAGGCCCGACACTAGTGCGAATGCTTGCAAAGTCAGTCGTTGCTGTCATCACGACAAATTGCGCATGTACCAGAGCACGGAGTACACAAACCATCAATTGCGAGAACGAGAATGCGGAGATACCAGTCCATCCTCATCCTCGCCCTCGGAACTGAAAAACCAAACTATACAACAGCAAGTGACGTGACGCAGCCTAGCTACAGTCGCGTGAAGACACGTCGGACGGTGGTGAATGCGTCTTGCTGAACAGCGCGACGACAAAGAGAATGCCGGCCAGATGGCATCACTGCAGCGGATTCGTGAGCTTGTGTCACTTCGAGGGACAGTACGCACCGCACGCACTCATTCCACAGATTCCTCAACTATCTCTCCGAGCAACCACCCGAAAATTTCCTTTTCCCTCTTCCCAAACCCGAGGATGGACTTGGCGAAGCGGTAGAGCTCCCCTTTGACAGCGATCTCGTGCAGTCTCAGTGGGCGGATGTTGGCATCCCAGAGCAGCCGCCTGTATAACCTCTTGAGTTCCCTGATGTCGCCGATGGACTCCGCGTTGCAGAACCCATACAGCTTCGACAGCGGAAGATGCGACTCGTGCACCAGATACGTGTCAGAGTCAATAGCGATGACCCCTTTGAGTTGCCAGATCGCCATTGAGCGACCGAGATAGGAAGGGATTTGAAGAACGTCCAACAGCTCCTCGCGTTTGTGCCACCCGCAAGACGACAGTAACGGCTCGACTAGGGACCCGAGCGCACTCTCCTCGTAGGTGAGCCATATTTCGTCGAAGGTATGCAGTTGGCAGAGGCGCCTGTAGACATCTTCGAGCGTCCTCACTTCGTGGTCGTTTCTGCAGACGCAGAATCCAAACTGAGTCCAGATATCTGTCGGGGGCAAAAAACCGATATGACGGAAGATATGTTCACAAAGGTCAAAGCAGAGTTTCTGCGATACGGGCCAGGTTCTCTTGATTGCATCTATGTCGGGATGATCAGGGTCTGGCAGTCCGGTCCAACGACAGAACCGTGCGATGGCAGCTTGCTGCTTCTGTTCAACATCCCGGCGTGGGATACCCAGAGATGGTTCGACTATCCATCGATGCCTCTGGTACCATTTGAAAGGCTGACTCCTGCCTGCAAGACCGGTCTTGGCGTATCCCAACTCGATGACCTGGCACAAGACTCGATTACGCCGCCATTGTCGAAGTGACTTCGCAGGGATCTCCAGGGTGACTATGAAATCGACCCAGAAGTCGAAGAGTTCGTGAAGATTGCCGATTCTGGCAGCAAGGACGAAGCCATACTCCTCGAGTGTGTCGATGTCGTCGGGGATGTGGTGGCGATGGACGGCGCGCACCAACCGGTCAGCTTCATCGAGCTGGCCGCATTTGGCGTTGCATTCGAACTTGTGTTCAGGCCAGTCGTGCTCTTGACAATCTCTGCCGCAATAGTTGGCACTCGACAATGTGCAACCTTTGCACCTCTTTGTGGCGTATCTCGCACACTTCGCGCAGTATGTGACCATGCTTGGCAACTGAGTCGACCGTAATTGGAGCGTGGCAAACTGTGTTCGCGGTTAAATCTACCGGCCCAGGTTGATGAGGCAGTAAGCCAATAGAGTAAGCCTTTCATTGGGATGTATACACGACGCACCAATGCTGACAGCTGAATTATTTCCCAACCTGAGCCTTGAGGCGAGTCTACGACTCTCGGCACTCAAGGGCACCGTGAGTAAGAAGTATCACTGGAATGGAACAACACGTAGCGTCAGTTTCCATGCTGGCGGATGAGATTTCAGCACCTTAGAGCTCACCTTGTGTTGTTGTAGTCGTGTGCCAACCCTGAGGCCTGAGGCCTGAGGGCCGAGGCGTTGCACTGGTGGCGCAGATCAACTCGCGTAACGAGGATCTTACCCTTTTGGGAGGCAAGTACTTCAGGTTCATCAAACCTAGGGAACCCACGTATGTACTGAGTGGACGCCTGAATGGTAGTAATGAAGCACGTTTACTACTAGTGATCACCGCGACGCTAAGGCTCGCGCGCCTGTACACCCTAAATTTAAAAAGCAACCCCTTCTGAGATATAACTTCGCGGCCGGTCGTCATCTACTAATGATCGCGGTCCGACGCTTCACTCAGCACTGCGAGTGTGCGTGAAGCTGATCAGCCCTATTATCTGATACCGTGCACCAGATTGAAGAGTGCGACAATCCAACGAGAACGAAAGGGTCCGAAAACATCCTTGGCATCGTCCTCTCTACTACTACTATTAGTAGTACCGGGATTGAGGCCCACTGCCGCCCAGCAAGTGACAAAAGACGGAGTAGTATAGCCACAGTCACGCAAAGACGCGTTCTAACTGCTAAGGAGGTGCAATGAAGGCCGGCGGCGGCGGGCAGTCGGATTCGCCGAAAATATAGCTGCAGCAAGTTTGTAAGCTTGTATTGGGTCGAGAGGTGGCAGGGATAATGTACGTACTCGTACCGCCTGAGCAGCCGCCGAAATAGTCTCTGTTCTCTTCTCTCGAACCCAAGGATGGAGTCGACAAAACGGTAGAGTTCCCATTTGACGGCCGCCCTGTGCAATTCCGTCGGTATGACATTGTCATCCCGAAATAACCGCCTGTACAATCGTTTGAGCTCCCTGACGTCGTCCATGGACTCTGCATTGCCGAAACCGTAGAATATCCGCAGGGGATGACCCGGCTGGTTGATAAGGTACGGCTCCTCGATCAAGACCGCTGCTTTGAGCCGCCAAACCAGCTCCCAATTGTAGCCAGGAAAGCGAGGGGCTTCCAGAACGTACAGCAGCTCCCTGCGTCTGCCCCACCCAGGCTCGTAAGCTGACAGCAGTGGCTCGATGAGGTCTCCCAGCACGCCGGTGTCGTAGGCGCGCCATATTTCTTCGAATGGGTGTAGTTGAAAAAGACGCTTGTAGATCTCTTCGAGCGTCCTTTCCTCGGAGTCACTTTTGCAGACGCCGAATCCGAAGAGGATCCAGAGGTGCGTGGGAGGGAAAATCGAGATATGACAGAAGATGCCCTGGCATAGATCGTAGCATATTGCCTGCGAGTTCGGCAACGCCGCTCTGATTTCGCGTAGGTTGGGATCTCTAGGATGTGGGAGCCCGGTGTATTGACAGACACGCGCGACGTCGGCATCCTGTTCATCTTCAAAACGCCGCGGGATGGGCAAGCACTGTTCGACGATCCATTGGTTCGCTTGAAACCACTCAAAGGCTTGACTCGTGCTGACGCGACCCGAATTCGCGTATGCCAACTTGATCTCCTGGCACAAGACCCAATTCCGCCTCCATACACGAAGTGACCTCGCAGGGATCTCCAACGTGACGATGACTTCGACCCAGAAGTCGAAAAGTTCATGTAAGGTACCAGCCTTGGTAGCACGCACGAAGCCGTACTCGTGGAGGGTGTCGGTGTCGTGAGGCATGTGGCCGCGGTGGGCGGCCCGCACTAGCTGGTCGGCTGTGTCAAAGTGGGACGAAGACATCGACTTGCATTCGAATTTGTGTTCAGGCCAATCTTTCCCCTGACAGTCTTTGCTGCAGTAGTTGACGCCCGATAGTTGACACCCATCGCATCTCTTCGTGGCGATGTTCGGACACATCGCGCAGTAAAGGACCATGATGAGGCGATGGTGCAAATTTGAAGGCGCGTGAGTCGAAGGGTTTGGCCGGGTCCAAATGCGTTGTAGATCAACGCTCCTCTAGATCTGGAGGGAGGGGGCAAGTCAACAGAGTAGTCTGGCAGTGTCGCCGCAATCGGCGCACCAGCAACGTTATCTCGGCTCGGATGTGCGTGGAACTGCTCGGACCTCGGGTATGTTCTTGGCACGCCGCGATGCCTATGCAATGCCACGGAGTCCGGATCGGGTCAGTCATGTACTACGCTCGTCGAAGGAAACCCCACCTAGGCTTCAAGCTTCAAAGCTTCACGGCTGAGCGTAAACACCACTGAGCTGAGTGGTGGTACGGTACGGTACAGTGATCCCGGTCGCGCAGGTCAGTATGGCCTCGATCTCGTCGCAACCGTGGCAACGGTTCATCAGCCCATTATGGTAGCTATAGTGGTTGGTACCGGGCAGTCCTGGCCGACGTAAGGCTTCAGCGGAGGCGATCTCGAACCCTGAGTTGCATGTTGTCAGGAATGGAGCACTGTCTGCATATAAGCAGACGTTATCTCCGAGCTACTGCCTGACCAGCAGGTTGACTGGCGTAGTCACCATAGTCGGGTACCCCGATCTGGTACCGGACTTACAACGGAACGCCCCCAAGGTGAGGGTTCTACTCTCGCCCCGAGACGAAGCATATTGTCCGAATAGACATACCGTCTGATGAGTTCGGTGCTCGAAGTCAGCGGGTCTCTGGAAAGGCATGCCATTGTGTCAAGAATGCCCAACAAAAGATGAAGTCGTGAGAAGTCGTCGGACGTACGTGATACAGTAGGTATAATGTATGGTGCAATGATTGTCTGCAAACGTGAGAAACCAAGAGAACTGACGAAGAAATACTAAACCAGCAAGCAGGATAGTGTGGACGGAACGCCTGTCCAACGCCCGTCAGAGAAGACCATCACACGGTCGAACGCGAAGGCCACAGGTCGCTTTATCTCTTGCGTAGTTGCTCGCGCAGAGTTGAGTTCTCCGTCTGCACGTTGTTCAACTCCTCCAAAAGGGCCATCTGCTGTATCTGCTGAGAGCCCCGTATAGACTCGATCTCTTCCTTCGCCCGAGCGAGCGATGCGTTGCACTCCGCAAGCTGCGCCTCCAGCTGCTTGTTGGCATTGGCAGAGCCACCAGCAGATGCTGACTCTTCCGCCAGAGCGAGCATACGCGCACTGAGGGCGTTGTTGGCGTCCGTGAGCTGACGGCAGGTCTCGGCTTGCTCTGCAGCTTGTGTCTCGATCTCGAGCTTTTCGGCAGTGATGCGCTCCATCGCCTCAAGCAGCTGCTGCACCTCCTCCTCCCTGGACTACAGTGTGAGCACATCGTATAAAAGCAATACAGATGTCGTGACTTACATGGCTTGTTGCTTGGCCATCATCGTGAGATTGCGGTCCTCGAGCATGTTGACCTGCTTTTGGTACGTCTCGAGCGCGTTGCTACTCTCCTGAGCCAGCTTCTGAGCGCGCTCCGCGTTCTTCTTCAGCAGATCGTGCGCTTGTGCGAACCGGATGAGGCGCTCGATGAGCGCGCGGTCGTCTGCGATGAGAGCCTGCACTCTGGTCACGAAACCTTCCACACTGAACGCGCCGGAGGGCTGCGCGGCAGTAACTCTTGGGTCGTGCAATGTCTTGAGCGACCGCACATCCATGTCCGACAACGATGGGTTGCTGCGGCTCGCGAGGATGGGACTGGCAGGAGCACCTGGGCGAATGTTTTTCACACTTAGCTTGCTAGCGCGAGCTTCTGGGGACGGTAGAACGGCCCAGAGAGGCTGCAACAACGCGACGATTGATGCAGCATCGGTTGCAAAGTCGAGAGGTCCTCGCGGTGCTTGCAGGTTGGCCACTGCCATCTGCGCTATGGATTGTTCCTAGATGTAGTTGAAAACGTCGTTATTCCAGCGTCGCTGACGTGAATTCTTAACTCACCCTGAGCTGCGTTTCGAAGTCCCGCGCCTGCGCTTTCGCCTCGTCTCGTACTCGTCGTGCCTCCTCGACCTCTTCGAACAGCGCCTCCCGCTTATCGAGACCTACGCGGACGTCCATCTCGAGTTTCGTCCGCAATGCGACCCACTCATCTTCCGCACGGGCATGTGCTTCGGCCTTGGCATGCATATCTTCAATATGCCGTGCGACGGATGCAACCAGGCCGATGAGCGAGACGTCCCGCGACGTAAGCACAATACCATTGGTATGCATGAGATCCCGCAGGGCGTCTGAGCACTCTGCCAACACCACCTTGCTCTGCGCGCCGTCTTGCAGTGCAGTCTTCTCCGCCTCCCATGACGACCGGTCTATGTCCCATTGGAGCTTCAGGTCTGCCATCTGCCTCTGTGTCTCCTCCATCTTCTTCTCCCTCGCCGCCAGCATGCCCCGGAGCTCTTCTCGCTCGTGCGCGAACACTGCCTCCATCTCTGCAACCTCCCCGCTCTGCTCCTCCAGTACCTCCAACCTCCTCTCAAGGGTGTCGACCTCCCTCCGTCGTTCCTCGAGTTCCGCGCGATCCTGCCTCCACACCGCCCTCTCTGCCTCGAGTTCCTGCAGCCGCACATCGACATCTCCCGCCCTTCCTGCAGATTGCTCGAGCGTCGCGATCGTCTCCTCTGCCGCTTGGAGGTCCATGCCCAGCGATGTTTCTATCTGCTCTTTCTCTAGACGTAGGTGGGAGAGCTCGCGTGCCATCTCGCCTTGCTTCGCGGTCGCGGCCTCGAGAGTGGCAGTAGCGGCCTTGAGCTTCTCCTCTAGCGCAGTGACTTCTGCTGTTGTCGGTGGTAATCGAGGTGTAGTGGGGGTGACGGCATCTGAGTGGCCCGCGAAGAAGTGTTCGAAGCGGCCTCTCGATGATACTGTGGTCATGCTCGTCGCGGAGGATGGTGTTGGGCTCATCTGCGCACTACGGCTTGGAGAACTGTACCCGGACGCGCTGGAGTCGCCATCCGGGGGTGCGGCCTTCTTCTCCAGACTGCGTACTGAGTAGCTGAGTACCCCTGCGCGGTGCTCGAACAGCTTGCGCTGTATTTCGTTCGCGCGTTCTGAGACACGCCATAAGTCCCTCTGGGCCTGCTCAACCTTCCGGTTCGCTGCCTCCAGTTGCTCGCTTGACTGCTTCGATACGTTCTTGTAGGACGCGTTCGCCTTGTAGAGCGAGGCTGCTGCGTCACGGATTTTGGTCTCAAGAGCGAGCTTCTTCGTCATGGCCGCGAGCCGGGAAGAGAGCACTTGGTGCTCCTGAGCGCATAATGGACGATTCTAGCGAGAAGCAGTGGGACATGAACATAACAAACGCACCTTCTTTAGCTCTTCCACCTCCTCCGCACTTAGGATCTCGCATCCTCGGCTATCCACGATCGCCTCGCTCGCGAGGAGACTGATGAGGAGGTCGTCCCGGGCATTGTATACGACCGACGCAGGTCGTAGTTCCATATTGACAGGTTTTCTCGCGAGCTCTGAAACACGGCTAGGGAGCGGGCGAGGCGATGACGGGCCCGCGCCCGGTGAGGAAAGCTGTCCGGACGACCCGTTGCTTCGTGCGGGGGAGACGCCGTTCGACTCACGCGATGATTGTGGGGAATGGAAAGAGCCATTGCCCGGGACGCCCTCATCAGTGGTCGAGGCCGTGGGGAGCGGTCGCTGCCTATCCTTCCGGAAGAACAGTGCTGCAGTTGTCGTTTTGGGACTGTCTAGCGGGTTTGGCGACGAGGATTCCGTTGGGCTCTGGAGCGGCGAGGGCGGCGAGGGCGGCCATGACGGCTTGGGCGTGACAGCGAGGGGCGCAGGACTTTGAGTAGGTGACTGGAAGGCCGAAGTCGGTGGAGGAGTTGACGGAGAGACGGGGAACTGCTGGGCGGTCGGAGTGGTGGGAGTGCCTCCACCGGCGAGGAATCGACGTACGCCGTTCATGAACGATTTGTATCGCTAGGGCAGAATGCCCGTTTCGAGATGGAGGGGCCCAATAACGAACACAGGGGGCCAGTCGCTGGTCAAGAGAGGAAAGCGCAGCCGAGCAGATGTCGGGAGTGCTGTTGCGAAATCCGAAGCGGTCACCAGTGGCAGATCGAAGTCGCTGGGACGGACGTAGCTCCTTGCAGCGAGATGCAACCCACTACTCAAAACGAATCACCCTCGGATGATACCTGGGTATATTCGCGGGTGCATTGCGCCAGGAATATCCCATCATGTTGAAGTTACGCTTCGCGAAGTACTACATACATGCCTCGTGATGTTCGCACCATATAAATTAGTTCCCGCGTTATAATGCTATACTATGTTCTAGCAGCCGTCGTTCCCTTGCAAGAATGAACACACTACACTATACAAGGCTTCCCGAGAGGATGTGTCAATATTTATAGCACGATGTCGTACATAGGTAGCAGCCACGATCATGGATGCAACCGCCATCTTGACGCGTTCCATGCCCATGCCATGCCAAAGCCCTGCATTTATAATGACGCGATCGACGGACCAGCCGATGGTAGTTCTGGCAGGTCAGGAACCGCATCTGCTCGCCCATGCTGATGGCTAGATGCTAGGAGTGAGGAGTCCAACGACCTCATCCTCTGCCCCAGTAACGCGGCCCGATCGCAACCGCACACACGAACATCATCGCCACGCTCCCTACCTCGAAGACGAAGTAGGGCGACCGAGGTCCAGCAAAGAATGCAGCGAGCGCGATGGCTAGCATGCCGTGTCTTGGGCGCAACATTGGTCCGCCGAAACTACATATCCATACGACATTCAGTGGCGAAAGTAAAGACGACGGAGCAATGTGACACTTACGAAGGGCCAAGTAACGAACCGCCTACACCTGCCCATTCAACCAATACGAGCCATGGCGCGACAATCAGCACGTTTCGGTCTGAGCTCCAGCCCCACCCCGAGCCGGCGCCCCATACAGCCTGAAGTCCGGATCCCGCGAGCGTACGCACCCAAACTGCGAGTACAGGGGCGGCTATAGGAAGTAGCCATGTCATGAGCAGGAGGATGTGTCTGTTCATGTTGTGTTTTGACATCAAAGCATCGAATGAGCCAAGTGTGGGGCTAGTAATAGGCGATGTCGGTGATGTAGGAACAGGAGATGACGGATTGCTAGGCCCTTCACGGGACATGAGTGGAATCGAGGTTTCTTTCGGGTTCCTCGATGCTGAACGGACGACAGCGCCGCTAGTTGCGCACGTGTAGAAGTGGTAGATCCACGCACACAGGAAGGCGACCTGCCATGGTATGAATACCACAATCAGGATGAAGACGAAGAGCATCGAGAAAAGGGCATTCCTTCGTGCTCCGATGACCTCTTTTGACCTGCAAATGTGTCAGCAATGCAGTCGGCATTATGATCATGACCCTCAGAACTCACCTTGCTGGTCTGCGAGGACCGCATGACAGCGCTCTTGACGCAGCTGCGAGAACAACACTCATCACAGCCCAACTGACACACGCCAGCCCCGCCACCACAAGCAGCAACAAAGGGGCAACGCCCGCCAACACCGGCGCGCCGACATTCCCAAGCCACATCCCCGCCGGAAGTGGTAGGAAGGACACAACAACACTGGACACAAGCATCCTCGGCAGCCATCGGGCCGCCAGATGGGCTAGCGATTTACTGACACTTGGTACTGGGCTGGGTCCCTCTCCAGCGCCCCAAGCATGGTGCAGCGCGAGCGCGACGCCGCCGACTCCCCAGGCGACGACTGCCTGCGCGTATCGTGTACCCCATCTCCCGAGTGTGCCCCACCAGCTAACGGAGATGTGCAGGCTCTCCACCGCGCATGACTGGTCGTGGGAGGTATAAACGGTTAGGTTGAACCCGTAGAGAGGGGCGGAGACGAATGGGCCTGAGGAGTGGGAGTGGAGGAGTATGTCGTGGTGTGGCTGGGACTGGAGGAGAGAGAAGTAGTGCGTCTCAATGTGGCCGGAGGTATGCTCGAGAAGTGGCGGCAAGAGTGCATCTATACCCTCATGTCAGTCTCTATAAAGGAGCCGAGCCTTCTGTATATCGCACCTGTACATGTTGTGGGTTCCTTCAACGTAGGTAACACCTTGTACACTATCAATGAGTCGGAGAGTAGGTTCGGGAATGCTATCTTCGCGCGGGGTGAACTTGCTAGGGTATCGATCTTCGACCCCGCCCAGAGCAACCCTGCGATGATATATTAAGACAGCTAATAACTGTTGCGAGAACGGAGAGTCTACTCACCGAACATCCCCAAGTCATTTACAGCCGGTTCATTGTGAACAAAGCTCGCTGTCAACCAACCTCGCCCATCCGCACCCTCAATCGTCACCGCGACATGCTGATGCTGTTCTGAGGTACCAGCTGTGATGTCTGCCACGAACACAACCACTCCCTCGCTCTCGTCAGACCCTTCATCGGGCACGGGGAACGGCTTTCCCGGCACTGGCTCCGGTACGAGCTTGAGCTCCGTAGGCACAAGACGCGTACACGGCGTGTGAGCAGACGAGGGGCAGAGGTAGACGGAGACTCGAAGGGGGAGAGGATGGTGAGGCGATACGGGGGCGATTGACCCACGGGACATGTAGAGAACAAATGGGCTGCTCGATTGTGCGGGTACCTCGGGGACTGGGAGGAGATAGGTGCGCGGCTGGGTAGGTCCTCGAAGGAGTAGCGCGTCGGAGTATTGCACTTCCTCTGGTCGAAGTGCCCTCAAGTCTAGGTTGTCTTTGTAGCCGTCCGTAACAGGCGTAGGGGGGACGTGCCCGTCCCGGAGCCATCTATCCAGAACCTGTCCGCGGACCTCTGGCGGATGCCCTGCCACAGCAGCCACTTCGATCGCCGCTCTCGCGACGCGCCAGCGCACCTGGTGGCACCAGACCATCTCTTTATGTCCGACGCCAGTCCAGGCCCCCTCCAGAGCGCTGGTGAACACTGTCCGTCGATAGGGACCTGAAACGCCTCCGCTTGCTTCTGGAACAGGCAGAATACACGACTCGGCCGGTACGAGCAGATCGGTCGCACCCCCACATAATGATAGAACGGGCGTAGGGTCTTCTCGCAGGATCTGGAGGTTTCTTGCCAGTATGCTGTCTATGCGGCGATCGAGCCGAGCAGGAGGAAGTGTTTGCGCAGTAGACATTGTAATGAGAGCGGAGACGTTCGGGTGCGGAAGCAGAGAGACCGCAACGGTGCCGCCCATGGAGTGACCCAAAATGATGATGGACGTAGGTTTTTCGTAGAGGGAGAGGATGTAGTCGACGGCAGCACGAGCATAGTCCGTCTCGGCATCCAAAGTATGACCGTCAAATGCGGACAAGTCCTCGTTGAATTCGACTGTCATAAAGAGGCGTGAAAGGCTGCGCGTAGACTCAAGTGGAACACATACGAGCAAAGAAGTCCACAGGCTGCTGGGGACCGGGCTCGAAGACGGGCGAAACATGGTATGGAGAAGAGAAGTACTGGCGCGTCGCAGAGGATGCTATCGAGCGCACTTGATGCGACGAACCAGCATTGCCGGGGATGAAGAGTACTGGAGAGCCACGGAGCTGTGCTATTGCTTAATGAAACCTTCGGCAATACACCTTTCACAGCGATGTAGCCCACCTCAACAGGGCCCTCCCAGCCAACTTCGCGGTACAGGAAGAGTGAGTAGCGGGATGCGAGAGGCGTCCAGCTGGTATTCAAGCCAGCCTGCAGGACATAGGATGGTGACATCCACGACATGCGACATCCCTGCGGTGAGAGGGTCTTCACGACGTCGAGACCAGCGCGGTAGAAGGTAAGCACGCAGAGAAGCGCGAGTACTCCGAGAGAGACGAGAGAGCGCATGCCGAGTACCACACTGGGGTTAGTGCTCGTCGCCTGCTAGCCTCAGGGCATGCACAGAATGCAACGTTAGTTGATGTACGCGAGCTCAGGTCGTCATCGAACAGTCGTCGTTTGGTCGACGGTCGTCGCATACAGGTCGCATATGCCTGCAGACGCTCCGAGGCCAGGTCCGAGCTGGCAGCTGCCGCCCCGTCTATGAAAGCCTGCCCTAGACCTATTACACGTGATCGCGTCGCTGGGAGACGTCGCGTCGAAACCTGAAAGGACTCTCGAATCCATCCGGCTGAGTACTGGGAGCCGCCTCCATTCCCGCACGCGGGGTCGAGAGTCTCGGGAAATACCCCGTACAGTTTCACATAATTAGTGTGTCTCTTTTCTGCCCGTTGTCGAACAATTTACCGGTGCACTGGCAGCAACGAGGCAGGCGGCAAGCGGTCGCACTAGGACAGACTAGGACGCGCCAGGCTACGCGACTGTAGTCTTTGATCGGTGTCTACGGTTGCTTCCGCTGATGCCAAGGTTGACAAACATGAAAGCCACTATGTGTCGAGCTCACAAATATTTTGTTATGACAGATGAAGGACGTACACTCACTGGCACACATTGACCCACAAGCCGTCTTGTAGATCAAACCCGTGACATCGACAAAGTCGCTCACGGAAAGAACATACGCAGCCGCCCGCGGTCGCGAACGGGTCAGCAGTGGTGAGCTGCTGCTCACCTACGACAATACGGTGAGAATTGCAACCCGTTTCATTCGGTGGCGTCTGACGCACGACGTTTGTAGCGAGAAAGGCCTTCCAGGATGGTATGCTGAATTCGACCTACGCGTCGGTCATCTTCCAGGCCTCGTCAGGCTGTAGCCACGGCGCCAGAGGGACAATCAAACATACTCTGACTGGGGCATCGTCACACTGCCTGCAAAAGTTCTAATATGTACGCAGCCGCAGCGACTATGCATGCATTTCAATCAAGGACACATAGGTCCCATAGGTCCCTTCGAGGTGGTGCTACGATCTTCAGTCGTTTGCGGCCGTAGACTGAGAGACACGCACCCGCATCTTGCTTGTGATCTATGACCGAGTCGAACGCTAACTCTGAATTGCAGTGAGGATGTCTCCCAGACGTCCCACCTATTATGTCGGGTCTATGACATGATGTGATGGCTACGACAATGCAACTTTTGGTCAGATGAACAGGCGAGTGCACCGTCTTCTACACGGCCACTCCAGAGTGCGCAGCCCTGCTGATCAGAAGCCCCGATTTTTTGGCGGCAGGTCGTTGCGCCTCGACGAGTATCATACTTACGGTGGACGAGTCAAATCATTGAGTCACCCGCTGGATAGCCCGGGGCCGCAGTCCTGCGGTACTTTCTCGGTGAGGTATCACACTAGTGGGCCTCCCCAACGGGCGCCGGATGTTGTGTTTAATATGCTCACTATTCCTGCTCCAGTCGCCGATGGTGCCTGCCCCGACTATGTAGCGTCGGGATGAACAGGCCGGCACTACGAACTATTTCACCTGCCGAGATCAGCATTGGGTCCTCGGCTTGCCGTCTGCCACGGCTACGACTTATCCCACAGAGTCGCCAGGCCTACAAGCGCAAGGGTGCATCTAGGCTATCAGCACAAGGTTCGCGACTAGGATCAAACAGACAGAGCTGCATACGCTGTGCAGAACATAAAAGGCGAGTGCACTGCCGTGGGTCCTTTGGCGCTCTAGGTACTATTGAAAAACATCCGGCCGGTGCGGAGAGATTCTCCGACGCTCGCTATACCCAGTGATCGTTGTGCAACGACGACTGAAAGCGCTCCTCCGCGATCTTTGCGAACGGCCGTCATGGACCATTTTCGTGATCGTGCTTCTCAGTTCGATGACGGTTTGGTCACGGCCGTTAGAGGCCCTCTGAATTACGACGGCCAGTTGACCGTGTTCAAATCGGCACTGTTCAGGGTGGTGCAACCGTGAAGACTTCCAGACTGTCCATGGCATTGTCGACGCTCCTCCATCGGTATTCTGATGGAGTAAGCCTTCGTCAGCAACTCGGGGTTCGGAGTCTGGACATGTTGTGCGTACCTGCTCCTGCCGCTCATTGTGCTCAGGAACCATGCAACAATCCCGACAGATTTGATGTTTTAATCTTGCGTCGTCCCCAAGGCATCACATCTTCAAGTTGGCCGCGACAAGAGGGCCACTTGTTCCGAATCCAAGACTGCGCGAAGTAATAATAGCGTGGCACCCGCGATTACGAGTTCTCCATCTGCTCAGCGTATCCTTCCACGACGTGCTGCGGGTTGAAATAGCATGCACGGCCCGCTCATCATCAAATTCGAGTGTCCGAGAAAAGACTGCGATCCATACGGCGACAGGGCTCATAACGAGTAAGTGAGTCACGGATCAAGTGCGTCTGCTGACAACATTGCTCTTCAGATCATGACGGTGTTCTTTGTGGAACGGACTCGCGTCTGTGATCGGTAGCATCGCACTCGCGAATGGCAGTCCTTGTTGGCCTCCTCATGGAACTGCTTTGTGGACGGGCCGTATTTGACTGCCGTTAGCGTGTTCGTAAGTATAAAAGGGCGAGTATGCTATGATGTTCCAACACTCCTGAACACTGCGTCGACAACCGCATACCTCAACGCTACTGCAGCTTCACTGCTTGCTACCGTCGTCCCTCATCAATATGTTCAAGCCTTACTTCGTCGTCGTGTTTGTGGCCACGCTTCTGCTGCCAATCGCCACGGCGGTCCCGAGCCCTGTGAGCAAAATTTCTGTCACCTACAAGCGAGATTGCTGACTCTGAACCGTGCAGGCCGCCGGCGCAGAGGATTCCGCTCCTAGCGCGCCTGACGTACGTATCTTCCCGTCTCTGGGCCTGACCAGACGTCCTCATCATGATATGTGATCAGTGGCGCCGCACGGACGAGTCCCTCGTGCGCAAGAGCCCTGTGAGCCATCCTTTTGTTCTTTCACCGTGGGGCCCGCAGAATCACTCACAGGGAATTGTGCAGGTTGCTGGCGCAGAGTACGCCACCCCTAGCGCGCCCGATGTACGTACTTGAATTTTTGCAGCTCGGCGACCAAGTTGAGCAGAGGGGCATGTTGTTAGTGGCGCCGTACGGATGGGTCCCTCGTACACAGAAGCCCTGTGAGTCGTATGTTGTCAGATGCCCGCAGGATGACTGACCAAAAATCGAGTAGGCTGCTGGCGCGGAGGATGTTGCCCTATAGCGCGTACGTTGGTGTTGACGTGACCAGTACTAGAGGTTATTATATCTGAATGATAGTGGCGCTGTATGAATGAATCCCTCATACGCTCGAACGATGCACACGTTGATTTCATTCGATGAACACCCTATATAAAGAGGCGCAATGGCCAGGTTTGGAGAAAGTTATGAGTGCTCGTGTGAAAGGCTAGTGTTATTCATTCGTAGTACGTTATCAGTGTGCCGGGCATGGCTGACACTTGCTACTATAGACCTCCGTCCGCTTGATTCGGGGAACAACGGGAAGGGGGTGTTGGTCCGCCTGCAACACTGTAGTTTGTACCTGTATACGACTACTGCCTGGCGATCAGAAGGAATGCCATGTGTATCGTTCGAATAGTTGATCCCACTACTTGGAATTAAAGGGTAGTCTACCCGTGGAAGACCACACAAACAGCGCGAGCGATAGAGGCCCAAGCTGCAAGCGCAGGAGTTCAAGTTGCAGAAGGCGGCGGCGGCTCGGGCGATCGAGCGAAGACGGCGGTGCTCGGGCAGTGCACGTGAAACTGACGACGAGTGCCAAGTGGCGGCAACTTGCCATTCCTGGACGACCCCACTCTACGATCCCACCGGCTCTCAGTGCGAGCCTCCCAGCCACCGCGGGCCTCCTCCCACCTCCTCCCCCTCCTTCTCCTCGTCGGAATGGCCGACAAACCAGACAGCTTTTTTGACGACTACCCCGATGTCGACCAGTCAGGGTGCAGGCTTCTTGGCCCAACAGCTCTGGTACGCTCCCAGGCACGCCTGTTCCGTGCTAGTTCTTGCGAACTTAGTCGCTGCGCAGGTCACTCAGGGTCTCATGGGCGTGCTGGTCGTTGCCTCCCTTATCTACAAGAGACATCGAGAGAGCCCGAGACGCCCCTGGCGGATATGGTGCGTCTTCCTGATCAGCGCACGGACGTTCAGTTGCTGACTGACTGGTGGCTGGCCACAGGCTCTTCGATGTCTCGAAGCAGGTCATCGGACAAATGGTCATACACGGAGTTAATGTTCTCGTATCCGACACTATTGCCCACCTATCCTCCGGCAATGCGTGTGTGTTCTACTTCCTCAATATCCTTCTCGACACCACAATAGGTACGTCCTACCACCGGTCCTTCTGAACAGTCATGTCTTAACCAAGCCCGCTCCGCAGGTGTCGGCATCATCTACTTTATTTTGCACATTACGACATGGCTCCTCAGCGAGAAATGTCAACTCAAAGGTTTCGAGTCTGGGCAGTACGGCTCACCACCCTCCTTCAATTATTGGATTCGCCAGGCTACAGTCTACATCTTCTCCCTCCTTTCCATGAAGATGCTTGTCATCGCGCTCTTCGCCGTCTGGCCTGGCATCTTCATGCTCGGCGATTGGCTCCTCACCTTCCTTGGTCCAAGCGATGCCGTCCAGGTCATCTTGTACGTACCGCCAGTCTCAACCTCGGGTTATTTGCAGACACTGACGGACATGCAGCACCATGGGCCTTTTCCCTATAATGATGAACATCATCCAGTTCTGGCTCATCGACTCCATCGTCAAGTCCTCGCAAGCCGCCGCCGTCGCCCTCCCCACGCTCACCCCCCGCTCCTCCACCGATGGCGAGCACGAGCACGAGCCGCTCTTCCGCGCCTCCTCAGACGACGAAGATAACGACGGCGCCTTCCCCGCGCGGCACGACATCGAGAACCCGCGGCCGCGCTCGCGCTCGCTCTCCGCGGACGCAGACAGGCTCGGTCTCCCCGACGAGCCCAAGTCGCTCGGCTCGGGCACCTCGACCGCCGTCGGCTCGACCCCGGGCACGCCCAAGCCAAAACCGATCGACATCAAGCGCGGCGTGGAGGCGCACGCGTACCCGCCGAGCCTCGCTGGCTCGAGCGTCGACACGAGCTCATCGGCTGCAAGCTCGTTGCACGGGCGGTCCAGGTCTCCGCGGGCGAAGCGAAAACACTCGCCGCCGCCGGCACTCCCGCTCCAGCCGATGTCGCCGCAAGCTGAACGCCAGGCGACACGCCGGCATACCCACAGCGATAGCCTCACCCCTAAGCCCGCCGATACTCAATATGATGAGAAGGAGTGGGCGGACTGGGGTGATGAGGGTGATAACTGGGCAGAACGGGTGGGCGAGGAGGAATGGACAGGTAGGCGTATGGAGGCGCGCAAAGGGGAGCTAGACAACGTATGGGCACGACAGCATAGTGCGGCTCTATCTATCTCGTAGTACCATAAGTATGGGCCAGTCTGGGTTTGCTTGCTGTCTGCGCACTTTGCTGTCGTCTATTGTGTACCATACCCTGTCACCATTAGTTCATCTTCACACGGAATGATAGAGGACCACACTGCTACGATTTACACGAGGAGTGAAACGGATGCTATTGAGAACTGCACAACGGCAACCATGTACATGCGAGACAGTTACGTTCGAACCTGCCAGCGAGCAACCAGGAAACGTTCACTGCGTCTAACCCAGGAAGAGCATACCCTACATAACATTTAGTGCATATGACGACAGGAAGAGTGAAAGACTGCGATGGAGAGACTAAAAGTACACAAGGTTGAGCATAGACAGTTGTAAAGCAAAAGACAGCAGGGGATGGCTTTACCGCCGCGGATGCATAGGAGGTATGGACCGGTAGTCGTCTGGCGGCGAACCGTGTCCGCCATGACCGAACTCGCCAGCCCTGTCAGTGTGAACCTCCGTGTAGACCAGCTTGCGAACGTTCTGGTGAGGAACATGTGGAGATGTGTGAGGCTGGGCATGGGGAGATGCATGAGGGTGAGAGCGAGGCAGCCGGTCATCGACCATCCGACTGCTAGCACCTGCGGGTAGTGCGTTCGGTGCGATAGGTCGACTTGAGTAAGACGGCGGAGCAGCTCGAGATTGAGGCGGCGTGCGGATATCGTTGGGTCCAGGCGACAGCATCATCGCGAGAGATGGGGAGAGACCTTGATTTGAACGGGGCGTAGTGGCAGCAGGCTGTGGCGTGTCAGATGCTTGTCTGCGCTTCGGCGGTCCTGGCGAGAAGCCCGGACCCAGACGTTCGTCCGGTGTGTGCGGTGGTACGTCGTCTGGATACTTGCGCTTCCGAGGAGCCGCCGACTGAGGTGGTGTGTGCCCAACGTGGGGACTAGTGATATGCGGCGAGCGGGCGTCTTGATGAACTCGCGCTCCCGGTGGCGGGGCAGTCGCGCCAGCGTTGCTCCAGATCTGATTAGACCACGGTGGTGGTGGAGGAACATGCCTGCTGCTACTGGGATCAGCGATACCAATCGGTTTGCCGTTCTCATAGGGATTTGGAGGAGGAACAGGAGCCGACCTATGAGAATGGTGGTGTGCGTGAGGCACTGGTGGGTGCGGCGCTCGAGGATGTGGTGCTTGAGACGAACTGCCGTTGGTGAGAGGCAGACCTCGGGGGAGCATCTCTTCCACTGGCTGGCCTGCAGGAGGCGATCGCCTGCCGCCCGAGTTCTCCGGTACACCAGGTGTGAATCGGATGAGCTCCACGAAGAGCGTCTGCGTGTATGGCGGCGGCAGCTTCATGTAGATCATCTCCTTGCTGAAGTTCTGTAGCATCTCCTTTGTGTTCACATACACATCCGGATCCGGACTCTCTGCGAAGCAAGTGAGCAAGCTGTGCATGACTGACACATGAAATTTACATACCTCCGTACTTCACGCGCACCTCCGAAAAGGGGTATGACCGATTCTTGCGAATGCAGCACAACGGACACATGAACCTTCGCACTCCACTCGCGCTGTCCACTGGGAAGAACACGCAGCCAGCGTGGTAGAGCTTCTCACAGACCTCGCACTGCACGGTAGGGTAGTTCAGCAGATAGCTTGTCCTCCCTCTGCATATGCATCGCGTGTTATCACGCCAATCGGGGTCGACGTCCTGACCGAAAACAAACTTCGGCCGTCTTCGCTTCTTGATTCGCACAGGGACCGGCTGTCCTGCGAGGATACGATGAAGACCTGCGAGGTCCAAACCAAACGACACCTCGGGGTTAGGCGAGACAGCGAACTGAATCTTATACAGCTTGCGCATGTAGTGCCGCACTTGTGGAATGTACTCTGCACGCTGATTGGCCGGCTGCGAGGCGAACGACAGGAACTGTCCGATGACACCTGCCAGGCGATCGACACGGTGGACGACAATCTCGAGCTGCTTCCACTCCTCGGAGTAGTTCTTCGTCACTTCGGGTGCGTGAAGAAGGATGGTGGGCAGATAGCAGAAGTGCCAGTTCCGCTCCTTATGGATGGTGCCGTTCCAGTGGTGGTGATCGCAGAACGGACACGAACCGCCGTTGGCAGCGCAGACGCCGTGGAATCGAGCGAAGCAGTGATCACACTGAACAGCATCCGACACGGTGCCCTGGGCAGGAGGACGCACAGGAGTCGTACAGATACAAGTGAAGTACTCGTCGTTAGGAGGGAGGTCGTCCTCGGGCCGCGTTGACTCGATCACGTCCTCCATGAGGTTATGTGCGTGAACCTCCTGGTGCTGCCGACAGAACCATGGCAGGCTCTCCAGCCAACGGAAGTGGGCGGACAACTGCTTGTCGAGCCGCTCGAAGTTCGGGAGGGTGAACATCGTTAAGTGCTCCTTTGCGTACTTGCGCCACTGCAGCATCGTCTGGAAGATATCACCTTCATCCGTATGCTGGTAGCGATGCTTCAGTACAGCATCGCAGCGCGTCTCGAGGTCCATGGCGAAGTCGACCGTTCGCTTCAAGTCCGAGACAGCAGGAATGTTGAAGTCCTTGTCCGCCCTAGCCACCAGCTTGACAGCGTCCTGGACCTTCGGTTTAATCGTGCTCGCCTCCGGACTCAGCCACAGCTTCGCCTGCTTCTCGTAATCCTTAGCGCGAGCACGGGCGTCAAGCAGGCGGTCCAACAGATCAGGGTTCATCGGGATGCCAGAACCAGGGTGCGCGAACTCCTCGAGTTGCTCGATCGTCCGCTGTGGTTTGGTGAGTAGATCCTTCACACGCCTCTCCCATTCGTCGCCCAGTCGAAGGAGCCTGTCGAGCCGCTTCATGAACGGGTTATCAGGGGGCAGGTCGCACTGACGAGCGCGCGCCACCCAGCCCCGCACATGCTCCAAGAGCACCCCGTTGGACTCGTCGAGGTCCTCATCGAGATCTTTCAGGAGTTGTTCGCGCAGGACTATCTTCTCGACCTCCAGGAGCTCCTCGACGAGTACGTTTAGCGACAACCCGTGCAGTAGCAACCGGTCGCACTCCTGGATGTATGCGTCCCGATCGCGCGGAGACGGAGTGGTGTTCAGCAAGACGCGTGCCTTCGCCTTCGTCTCTTCCGATTCTTTGGCGAGGTTCCTGAGGAAGCCGATCTCCTGGCAGTCAAACCCGAGGTTCTCGACTTCCTTGAGAACAGCGTACAGGTCGTCAAGGCTGTGTTCTGGCCTGTCGGGAGCGTCGTCGATTATGTTCATGCCGTTCGCGCTGTCGGACGACGAGCGCGGCCCACGGATCTTGCGCGGCCGCTTGCGACTGGGCTTGCGGACGAGGAAGGCGTTCGCCGCATCAACCCACTCGTTTGCCCGCGCGACGCACTTGCGCAGCGAGTGCAGCTCCGGGAGATGGAAGTTGATGCGATCACCCTCAGCAAGGACTGCACGCAGACTGCGCAGAGATGGTCTCGCCGTCTCGGTGAGGATCTTGTTCAGCTTCGCTCTCCATGCACCAGGGACCGCCGCGCGCTCCGACACCTTCACCTGGATTTCCTGCAACTCCGCGTCCTCAAACCGTTTCCTGAGGATCCTGCTCTTCGGGTCGCACTTGCAGAGGTCGTCGATGTGGTCTATGCATACGACCTTGGTCGTGCACGTACACGTGATCTGCGAGAGGTAGCAGAAGACCTTGCACTTGGTGCACTGGCACTGGTCCTCGGCCCGGTCCATGCCTTCGAGAACCTCGCCCATCTGCAGTGATCGGGCCTTGTCCCGAATGCGCATCTCACGCACCATCATCTCCTGGAGGCTGTCATTGAGCCTGACGAAGTCGCATCAGCGCTAGCTCCCGCTGCCACAACGAACGAGGAACACGCACCAGAGGGCGGTCTGAATGGAGTGGTTCTGCTGCGTTATCGTAATCAGAAGCTCGTCGTGCGAGAACACCGCGAGCTTCCGGTGCTCCTGGTACCGCTTCACACAATCGAGGCCGAATGGCAGCCAGTCGGAGAGTGCGAAGTTGACAGCTTCATTGAAGTTGAACTAATGGCGGCTATAGTTAGCGAACCAAGCCACGCACGCGCACACACGCTGCGCCTGCAGGCAAACTAAAACGCACCCCATGATTGAACCCCGCGTGGTACGCCTTCGGGAACGTAATCACGAACTCGCCGGCGCGCTGGTTGCATGAGTACACATCGACGCCGGTCTCCTTGAGTCGGCTGGGGTTCATCAGGGTGACGAGCTGGAACAGCAGATCGGGCTGGACCTCGAAAAGATCCGGAGCTTCTCTTCTGATGGCCGCCTCGAATTTCTCCGCATCGTCGCCGGGGATACTGTACCAGGTCTTTGTCTCGCCCCAATGCACTGTGGTTATCCCGTGAATGTGAGAACACCAGATTCGGAGATGAAAGAAAACTTCTTACTGTAGTTGATGCTGTAGGTGTAGTGGTCCTGTTCCGCCGATAGTGATCAGCTACGATCTTCCAAATGCGTCATAGACTGTCATACCTCGTTGTGCCAGCAGAATGTTGAGAAAACCATGCCCACGTATGTCCAAGGCACAGTCATACCCGAGATGTCGCTCTTGATGTATCTGAGCAAGCTGTCAGAGAGAATCGGGATATTGTTCAAGTTCCACGGATCCTTAGAGTACGGGTCCAGTGGATGAGTCTCTAGCGTCGGCATCCCACTGCGATAGCCAGAATATCTGAGTCAATGTAGAGGAAGTCCACCACAACCGTCTGACTCACCTCCCGTGCGTCGTCGAGTGCACGTCCGCGCCGTACTCGACCTCGACGGTCTCCTGTTGGCTCTGCACGAGGCGCCAGAACTCGTTCTCGACATCCGTCTCGGTCACAACGACGTCATCGAGAACATTTACTGTCGGGTCGTTGGGGTCGGGCTTCTTCGTCATCTTCACGTCCCCGTCGCTTTCCAACTGCGATGCAGGCCGGTGCGACTTGAACCACAACCGGCGGAACTCACGGTCACGCGCCTGAAAGCTGGCTAGACTGTGCTCCTCGCCCTCATCGAAGCCAAAGTCGCCACCGGTGCCCATGAGACACGTATGGCAGAACCACTGGCCTTTAGGTATCGTGTTCAGCGGCGGATCGAGGCAGAACATATGGAAGCCTGTGCGTGCGCGATACATGAAGCGAAAAGGAAAATAAGCTAAGATACGCCACATACCGCAATCGCATCCGTCACACAACAACATTTCCTCGCCGCGGTCTTTCTTCAGGCATACCTCACAATGTAGCTGGACGACCGTGAGCCACCGACGAGATGCATACGGGCCACTCGCACACACCTCTGGGTTGCCGTCCTTGTCGGCCTGGCTGGCTGCGGATCGTGCGAATGGCAGGTTGTCGTCATTTGCGGCTGTCGCTCGACGAGCTGTGACGTATGTTAAGCCAGGTGGCTCAACAGCGCGGTGAAAAGCGAGCCACTCACGGCCTGGGTGTTCCAGGGATGACTGCCTGGTATTCCGGCGAGGCCGTCCCGACGCCTCTTCTGGCGGCTCTGACAGAGGGCTACTGGTCGCCGTCAACGGGCTGGACGGCTCGCTCACGTCATCCTCTCCTGTTGTCGGCTTCACTGCCTTCCCCGGAGCGTGCGTCTTGAGCTGCGGATCCCCTTGTTTCTTCGGCGAGAGGGTAGGCGAATTTCGCACCCGCTCACGATAAAGTTCGTACGGCAGGATGACACGGGCATATGAGTTCTTCATTTGGGTCGATAGGCCGGGGATGCCAGTGTAGCCCAGTAGGCGACCAAGGTCTGCCCACTTCTTGTTGCGGGTGACCTGAGTGAGCCACACCTTCAGGCGGACATCCGATGACGAACTCAAGAGCGACTTACCGCATCATAGCCACCCAACTTCTGGACCTCCTTCCGCAGCGACCAGAGATCGAGGGGCTTGTGATTGATGGTGGGCACGGTAACACGCGAGTTGCCCTGCTGTTTGTGATACCTGTACAGCTGCTCGAGGAAATTGACTTTTGCACGGGACGAGGCCTCGATTGAATTGAGGCACTGCAGGCGCGTCTTGAAGCGGAAGCGCTATCGCGGAAAGTTAAATGGCACGCTCGAGCGGCCGCAGTAGCCAGCAGACGTACCTCGGTGTCAGTCACAAACGGCATGTCCCATCCTGCGGGTGGCACAATCTTACACATCCCATACTTCTTCGCATTGTCCGAAATGGACCTGATGTAGCCCAGTGGGTCTTTCCACTGTTCGGGAGTAGGATGGAATACCGGGCAATCAGTGAGGCCAAACGGGCGATCGGTGGCATTGGGGATATTGAGGCTGCGGTCCGGCGTCTTGACAGTGGTCAAGTCGAGAAAGGGCGTCACGCGGATGGGGGGTCCGTCCCTGAGATTAATACGAACCGCACCTTCCTCGGTGACAGAGTCGGGCGCGTCGTCAGAATTGGACTGGGCATGGTTGTGGAGGGCGGCGATGGCGTCTGTCTTGGATTTGCGCGGGGCACGCTTGCTTTCCGACGGATAGCTCTGGGAGGCCTCACCTGTGGAAGCGGAGGGTGCGGCGGCGTCGGGGCGCTCGATCGGGGTGGTGCCCTCGACTGCGATAGAGAGGCAGGAGGTAAAGGTTGTAGAGGGCCTGTTGGGAATATCGACGGGCATGGCGGATGCGCCGGGGCTGTTGGTGCTGGCGCGGGGCGAGCGACCTCGACGGGCGGGGGTGCCGCGAGGAGTGGGACTCGCATGCATGGTGGTCGTGGAAACGGAACCCGAAGAAAGGACAGAGCGCCGTGAGTTAGAGGCCGAGGAGCGGTGCTTCAATATAGCCACCACCCATCGCCCTTCCCCGTGGGAGCCACAATCGTCGCGGAGTTTCCAATTCACACCCCGATCCGCGCCCTCCCATGCTCGCCGCGCCGCTCGCGCCCCCCAGCGCAGGTCGCGATGCCAGGACAAGTCCCCGCCACCGCCGCTGCGACCGGTGCAGCGGCTGGGGGGCAGGCGCGGCCGGGGGCGGCGAGGGCGCAGGCGCGGGATCAATACAGGAGATCCAGCCCGATCCAACTGTGGCGGGAGCATCACGATGAAACAAACACCGCGCCACACGTGCCGGAACTTTGTGGGTGCTTCGCCATATCCGGCATCTTCTCAGCCGTCTGCATCCACGTCGCCAGACGCCAGGCCCTGGCCATGCCGCACACACAACCCACACACCTGGCCTCGCCCAGCCACGTCCCCCTCCGTCCCCCCTTCCCCTCCCACTCCCCCGTGCTGCCACGCGAATCGTGCACTGGCCGTGGAGTCGCGGCGCGCACGCGGAAGCATCACGACCAACTGCCCAACAAGTGCGACTGCGATAACGAACCCCGTCGCCTGATCGGACGTCCAGCGACCCGGGCGCGCCCATCAGCGCACTGTGGGCGCATCGGCCGCCACGCCCCGCCTCTCCCTGTTTGGCGGGCGTTACCTGGGCGTTTCGCCGGATCCCTGCAGATTCGTCCTGTGGCTCCTTCTGATGCCCCCTTCCGATGATGATCACAGGGCGCGATGGAGCAAACTTGCTGATCAGTCCGCGAACCTAGCTGATCTGTCACCTTGTTGCCGCACTACCTCCCGTCCACCCCGTTTCCCCGTGAGACCTCTGCGCGGTTTCAATCGGTTCGGTGCAGCAGTGTCTGTCTCAGTCGCTACGATCCTTCCTGGAGTCGTGCTCTGGCGTGACGGCCGCCCTGCTCTCAGAGCCTCAACCAACCTGAGCGGCATGTAACTATATCCGGTATGGCTCCCACACGTACAGGCAGCCTTACGTGACAAACACGAAGGAGTGAGAACGATATATCGCCCCTATCTGATGGCGTCTACGAGTTGTATTTGTCATGACAGAACCTTTGCTTCGGCGACGCCGCGACGGCGACCTTCCCGAACACGGCCGCAACTGCTCCGGCGGATCATGGAGGACAAAATGAGACAAAAGGAATTGCGGGAGTACAAGTAGTAACTTCTGTAGCGCCTCCGGAAAGCGACTGCAATGAAATGAGAGCTAGAGATGTCGCAGGCAGACGCCCGCTAGCCAGTGCCCAACTTTACCGTCTTACTTATTTCAAGTGGCTCGGAATATACGCTCGCTGTCTCGTCTACAAGAATGCCGAGTAGGACACATCCGTCGAGCGTCCTTTCGGGGGGACAATGGAACGACTACGTAATTGTGCGCTAGGGCGGACTATCCACTCTGGTTGTGGGTCTTGCATCTATGAGACAGGTCTCAAACATGCATACTACTAAGGCAAATCTATGCAATAGGTGTTTCGCAACGGTATAGCTTTGTGAATGAAGTAAATCCGATGTTAGCCACACAATCCTCCAGGCAGCAGACACTAAACTTCAAGCCCTTCGACAGAGGACATACAGACCGTAAAAGAATTGCATCTTCATACGACTAAAGTATAGCATGCCTAACGCACAGTTGCAAACTGTAAAACAAAGATATCACCACTCGACATACAGGAAGATGATACCTTAAGAAAGCTGAAACCACGCTGTCTAAACAAAAACAAAAGCTCAAACGCACTGGCTCACGGTCGCGAGACAACTTCACCGGAACCAAGGAATACAAAACTATAACGCCGCTCCCAAACGAGATTGAAAGAGAGGTCCTGACGCAACAGATTAGCCACCATCTCAGGATGAATGTTGGGATGGCAAAACATAAGCCCCAGGAAGTTAACCTCTACCCCCGGCGGGACTCGAACCCGCAACCTCCAGATTAGGACGAGTCTGTGCGACGTGTCTAGAAGTCTGACGTCATAGCCATTAGACAACGGGGGCTTGCTATCACTGCGGCACATTAGCCACATGACGTGTCCCGCACCAATACGGTACCATTCGTCTCCTCGAGGTTTTTGGCGTGAGCGGTGCAATTGATCTATGGTTGTACCACGAACAAAGTCGAGTCATGATACAATGGGCTCGTGGCAGCCGCGCCGAATATGCACTGCCTCAGTCATGTCAACGACGCTGCAGTGCGACGAGCTTCAGCTGCTCTCAGACTGCGAAATAACCGACCGTCTGTGCCAATCAGCAGCAAAATTGCACATTAGACTCTACTGTCCTCGAAACCTACCCTGGAGCTCAGAACTCGTCAATCCTGCCTGTCAACCACAGAGCAGAACGGTTGTTCGTACCAGTCAGGTACATGACGGTCATCGGCTGTATCCATGTGACGCTGACATCTGAACATATGGTTCCTGCCGGATGTCAAGGGAAACCTGTCTTCAGTAGTTGCAACGGCACAAAAGGACGGCCAGTGAGCACGCACCAATTCGTCATCCATCCTACGATCCCCTTACGGTAGTATCCGGGTCGCTTTCGACGCGCCAACGGCATGTCAGAGTAGGATTTTTATCTCGCCCTCCGTCGCTCCGGTGAGGGTACGTCTAAAATTCACCACGAGATCCGGTGGGCTTGTTTTCGAGCTCGAGCACCACGGATGAGAGCGTATATCAAGCGGTGTGTATCGCGCCACGCGGATATAAGCTGATTGTTGGCTTTGATTTATACCGAGAAATCTGTTCTATCGGCAACCAGACCATTGCGGCGGTACCATTTGCCTGGGATACCTAACTGAAACAACGCATGAGCGCGTGGCCTAGTCACGTCGGACAGTCAACGTACCTCGCCCTAGGCGATAGCCCATTGGCCAACAACGAATTGTCAGGACGCCCCTGGTACATCTCTGCCAGTGTATTAATTGCTTGGGCATAGTTGGAGCTTTTGTCGCATCAAACAGGTATGTTTTCATGCTCACGCCAGCAGCCGAGCAGGTGCTGGAACACACGTAACTCGGCCCGTTGCGACAGGGTTGATTTCGGTTGGATCGCTGTCGTCACAAGCAACATATAGATGGACACGAAGGCAGTGCCGTACGATCAGAATCTAGGATACATAGCACAGCATAGAGGCCGACGTGTACAGCTGAGGAAACCGGCTGGAACTTCGCACTGTTAAGCCGAGATACCCGCGACCCGATCAGATCACTCACCGTGTTTTATTTCAGTGAATATAGAACGCCATCTCGGTGGATATTGAAAAAGTAGCGCGCGTACAGAACAGAAACAGGATGCCCGTCTCTCACGAATGACGAGCCTTTCATGGCCGCAGAATCATGTTCCGCTGGGCAAGCGCAAAGTGAGCTTGTCAAAATACGAATCATCAATTTCATTACGGTTGCTAAGCCGAGAACTCACCGCGCCAGCCAACCGCGACATCCCTCCATACTCCCGACGGTTATACCCTAAACGCAAACATTGCCACCGACTACCGAGCCCTGAGGAGCTGGTTGTGACCATCGACCATAGAAACAGATCAGGCTCAGACGCGCTAGGTATGCTCAGAAATTTGTGGGCCCCTTCACCATAGGCTGCCACGGTATCCACTACGCGAACGAGTTCTTCAGCGTTGAAGTTACAGCGCCGAACAAGTCAGACGACATGGCAACGGCGCACCATTAACATGTCACTGCGGACCTTACTTGCAGAAAACCCACAGTGGCCCCTCGCTGGTACCGGTATCGCCGGCACATATTTGCCGCGAGTCTGGGTGACACTGGGCTATCGACTTCATGTTCGCACCGCGCCCCAACACAGCGCCACAGAGGGGATGACATCTACACTACAAGACTGATGGTTATCAGCCAGAACGATGATCGGGACATGCCGACCACTATCCAGAACGTTCTCACTTCCGTATCGAAGCCAAACAATGTCCCTCTTCGTCTCCTAGGCAAGGCCGTGGTCGCGCTTGAGACCAACAAGAGCGTTCCAACTCGGCTTTTGAGTCCGGTGAGATTAAAGGCTGCGACGCGCGGATCGATCCGCGGAAGTCATTGAGGAAATGAACCGCCTGGAACCCAGCCTGGTTTCAACTCGTCGCGGTATTCAATTGGCACCCGCACGCCGTCGATATACTGTACGCCAGTCAGCGCTATGAATCATCCGTTTCATGTTCAAATATATGCACATACCGTGATGTTTCAGTCAATAACGGCGAACCCACAAGTGCGTCCGCCCGACAAATCCTTAAATAGGTATGACTCGCCTGCCATCTATGTCAGACTCTATTCATCTGCATCGCTGAGCGTTCAAGTTCGGCAGCGACGCCCGACAGATCATGCCCAACAGAAACTCACCACCGAGCCCAGAACAGACGCCACAGCCGCCACCACGTCGCGATGTGTCCCTAACAAACATAATATGCAGCCACACATTCTTGTCTGAGACCGCGACGCACCTGTGTTCGTAGTAACAGGTACGGTCCAGCCACTGGGATCGCGTAGGCCGCTGCAGGCCTACTGAATCCTACTGCGATGATGGGGCCGTAAAAGATCGGCGCGCGCCCTTAAAATTTCGAACCTCGAGGCTAGACTGGCCGGTGTAACAGACGAGGAATGCGACTGCCTGAACGAAACACTTCAGCAATAACAAACGCGTGGACAGCTTCCCGCAACTCACATTGCCTTGTCTCGAACCACCTAGTACATAATCATCAGAGACAACTTGCTTTGCAGTGATCGACGCTGTGGAAGTACTCACCACCACCACGGATCTTGTATCATGGTTCGTGCAAGGTAGTCTCGCCCACCCCACATGCACATCTACACCTCAGATCACAGTCATTTGCAAAATGATTGTCGTTTTGGGTTTCCCGGCGTACAGGTGGGGCTGCGGCTCCCCACCCCACCTATGCCACGGTACTCCCCGGCAGGACGACCACACCACCGCCGCCCCTCGTCCATATTATTCGGAATACCTGGCATTGCGTTAGATGCCCTCCATATTGCGTGACGAGGGTGCAGGCTAGGTGTCTTGAGTGTCGAGGCTAGGTTGGAGAATATCATCACGAACTTGCTCGTCGCGCGCATGCGACAGCCATCATGCAAACAACTGTGCACAGCACCCTACTTCCCAAATGCAGATGTATACTGAGCAAGAAGACAACTCAACAAGCATCACACACCAATATTCGTGACTAGACGAGGGATTCCTTTTCATTTCACTTCGACAAAAGAGCCCACTACGACGCTACCTGATGTCCCCCGGCTCTACGGCAGACCATCTGGTATCACGAGAAAAAGTAGAGACAACGAGAAAATAGAACGATGAAATAATGGATGTGCGACGACAGTGTAGGTGCGGATATGATACTGTGACAATGATGCAAGGGGACGACATTAAAGCAGGCGACACAAGCTACCCGGACAAGAGGATGGCGAGACGGCCCAAGCGCGGATAGGTGGTACAAGACGTTTACTCCTCGGCGGCAGCCTCATCCTCCTTGTCACCGGGCTTCTCTGTAGCAAATGTTAACACTGCAAGACTTGTGGAGTAGGTATCACAACATACCAGACTCCTGCATATCCGAAGTCCAGAGCGTGAGGTTGTCACGGAGGAGCTGCATGATGAGGGTCGAATCCTTGTAGCTCTCTTCCGAGAGCGTGTCGAGCTCAGCGATGGCGTCGTCGAACGCCTGCTTCGCGAGGTGGCACGCACGGTCGGGGGAGTTGAGGATCTCGTAGTAGAAGACGGAGAAGTTGAGCGCGAGACCGAGACGGATGGGGTGCGTGGGGGGGAGCTCGGTCACGGCAACGTCAGACGCAGCCTTGTAAGCCTCAAGAGACTTGTCCGCAGAGTCCTTGCGCTTGTCGCCGGTGGCGAACTCGGCAAGGTAGCGGTGGTAGTCACCCATCCTGATTGGACTTCATCAGGATCACGTGAAGATAACGGAGCCGAATTACGTACATCTTGTGGTAGAAGACCTTCGACTCGCCAGACGCGGCTGAAGGGATGAGGTGCTTGTCGAGGACGTCAAGAATGTCTTCGCAGATCTTGGCGAGCTCGCTCTCAATCTTCTCCCGGTAGCCCTTGATCATGGAGACTTGGGCCTCGTTGCCCTTGGACTCCTCCTTCTGCTCGATGGAGGAGACGATGCGCCATGATGCACGGCGCGCGCCGATGACGTTCTTGTATGCAACAGAGAGGAGGTTACGCTCCTCGACGGTGAGCTCCTGGTCGGAGGACGCGACACGCTTCATGTTCTCAACCATCTCTGCAAAAATCGCGTCGCGTCACACGATGTCACGGTGCTGCGGAGACGCGACCACTCACCCTCATAGCGCTCCGCCTGCTCAGCGAGCTTGGCGAGGTAGACGGAATCTTCACGCGACTGAGTGGCCATCTGGCAGGAAGAGGGGTCAGTGGCAAGGAACAACGCGTCTGACGCGTCACAACTCACTGCGATAGACGAGAGATGGGGTGGTGGTAAGTTGCAAACTGCAGGGAGGCAGAAGCACGGTGAGCACGACGCGACGGGCAACGAGGACGGGCACGTACGTGACGGGGGGTGAGGAGGCGAGGGTGGTGCAGGTTGAAGATGGAAAGACGAGACTCGGGAATAAATGGGAAATCCTAAAGTGGCCAGGGCAAAGGGTTGTGGGCAGAGGGTTTGCACGTGACTTCCCACGCCAGCGCCTCTCTCGGCATCCTTTGTCGCGACCACAGCCGCCCGGCCGGCCTCCTGCCTGTTCTGGCAGCCCGCCCCGGATGGCAGTGGCTGGCGAGCCGCTGCGTTGTCCTCCGAGTCCGAGTCGCGTGCGGGCTGTCGGCCATGGCAACCACGCCCCGCCTCCGCCAGGCCTTGCCGCGTGCGTGGGGGCCCCTCCAATTCTCGCGAGTGGCGGGCCCCCGCCGTGTTCGCGGTCGACGTCGCGGCGACGGAGACAGCGCGGTGCGGACGACGGAACTGATGGGGCTTGGAGTGGGCTTGGAGTCTCCACGCCCGTCGCCCGCGCTCCATCGATGCATCACCGCTGCGAAAACAGTCACTGCAACACAGGCTTCGCGACTCGGATGCCTCGTATCGCCCCAGTCACCTGCGTAGCGCCCGCGACATCAGAAGTACATCAGACTCGCAAATTCAGAAGGCCTCAGCAGCAGCCTCAAGGCCTCCCCCCTCAGCTATCTCGGCTCACAGAGCGCACGGATTCTGCGGACTCTACGCCCTCAGATCGATACAGGCACACTTGCTGTCATTCTACCCTCAACACGAAACTGCAGCCAGCTCCTTGGGTGGATGTCTCAGTGGCAGGCTGCGCCAGCTTCACTGTGGCTCAATGGATACAAAGGATCCTACGCTGCTCCGCCTACGTCAGTCCGACTGCCAAATGCGAACACCATTACCTAGGAAGCCTACTTGAAGGGCTTCGTGGCTCCGACAGTGCGCCTTCTTGTCAGAGCTCGCTATTCACTCGGGCCAAACCCTCAGACCAGGCTGCTCTATCCGGGGAGTCACAATGAGAGATGCACCCAGCACTGCCAATTTCATCATACAACTTCTGTCAGTAACAGTGGTCCCGTGAGACACAGACAGCATCGCGCGGAACGCGCAACCACCTGCATACAACTCAGAACAGACTGTTTCGGTTCATAGCGCGTGTCCGCTCGTGGGCAGATTACTTGCGGCTCGAGCTTGATGGTTCCCATCCGGCGAGCCACTCCTTCATCGACGCTAGAGCCTGTTCCTGTACCTCTGCAACGGTCTCGTCCACCAGCGCGTTCTCCGTCAAGAGGTCCGAGCAGTGGTACCCGTCGCCCTCTGCAATCGGCTGCCACGACGTGCTCTCGAAGTTCGTCCCATCCGCAGATTTGGTCGCCTCGCGCCACGGATCGCCTGTCATCCCGGAGGAAAGAGTGGAGAAGTCTATCAGCCCCGGACCCAGGGCACGAGCGGAGATTGATGATACGTACGTTGTCCGTTCGCGAAGAAGAGATTGGTGACGTTCGCGAACCACCCAGCATACGCTGAGTTCGTCGCGTTGACATCGGGCGTCACTGGGCCGTTAGGGAACTGCTCGGGGAAGTAATACGTGCATTGACGCTACACAAAGGCCGGCTCAGCGATGCGCGATGAGCGAGACATGAGTTTGGAAGCGTACCTCGTCAGAGCTTGGCTGCACGAGGCGAGTGACGATGGTAGGCCAGTCCTCGGGTGCACCATCTTGGAAGAAGCCGACTTCGTTGCATCTGTAGACGGTAAATACTCGTGCATCAATGGCAGCGGCGAAGCACATGCATCGAAGGAAACATACACAATCCACTCCCAAGACCGCCCAGAATCATTGATCTCGATATCCGTGTAGTAGGACTGCGTTGGATCATAGGTTCCCAAGCACGTCACAGGGTCATAATCTCCGCAAACTGCACGAAGGCCTCATCAGCTTCTGTGGAACACTGCCTCAGGAAACACTCACTCAGTGGGTAGTACGTCGTCGCCCAGTACGTCCCCCAAGCGTTCAGCGCATAGTCGACGCCCCAACCCCCGGATCCCGCACTAACACCGTCCTTGACCTCCAGCGCGTCGCAGAACTGGAAGAACTGCTGGCCCGGACCCTCGTCCGGCTGCAGCGACTGCCAGTCCCACAGGTTGTTCCGAAGGGCGCCGGCGAAGTCGTCGAGGTGCGTGAGCTCGGTCATGTTGAAGAGCTCCTTGATGTTGTTGATCTCGTCGGTGGTCCCGTTGGTGAAAGTCTCGTCGATGTAGGTGATCACCGCCTCGACGTCGGCGGAGCAGTTGGCCGGCATGTATTGGCGGATGGGATCGAAGTAGCCCCAGTAGTCACTGGGCATTCGTGTCAGGAAATGAACTCGGGGTCAAGGAAGGCGAACTTACACAATGCTCTCCACCACGGCGGACGACGCGTAACCAGCATAGAACACACCGGGTTGGTTCACCATCGTCCAGCTCGTCAGCGCACCCGAGTAGCTACCACCAATCAAGACCCAGGGAGCCTCGCCAGGCTCCACACTGTCCCCGCCTGGCATCGGCAAATCGACATTGTACGCGAAGTACACAAGATCATCGATTGCCTGCTGAATTGTGTGCAACTGGAGGGACTCTACGGAGAGGTTGTTGTACGGGTTGGAGTAACCATAGAACCGGTGCTCGACCACGATCGTCGCGCCGTTCTGCTGCTGGGCGATCTGACCATTGATGGTGCCGTTCGTGAGGTAGCCGTAGTAACCTTCGCGAGGAACACCATTAGCCAGTACACGGTACGGAATGACCAGCTACTCACCATCCGCATTCACCTCGCCCGGTGTCATTAAGATGATCGGCCCGCCCTCCTCGTAGAACTCCCATGTGTGCCAGTACCGCTGCACAAACGTTCCCTTGCTCGGGTCGTTATGGTCGATCAGCTGGTCGAAGTAGTACGTCGTGTTGTACGGCGGCAGCGCCGTGCCGTCCCTGCTCGTCACCGCGTCCTCCGGGACCGCAGGCGGCACCGGGACGATCGGGCGCGGCGGCATGTTCGCATGGGCCCTCCCATCCGGGAGGCGTGCGCCCGCGACGGAGGCCAGCAGGCACGCTAAGACACTGGCGATCCAGAGGGGCGTCATCCTGGCCGACGCGAGACGACTCAGGTTGGAGAGAGCTCGAGGGTGAGTGGATCCCGCTGGAGGAGCACAGCGGCCGTCCGTCCGTGCATCGCGACCATTATAAAGGCTTTATGATGACGGGAGCTCTACGCCCGAGCCAAACATAGGTGCTTCTGTGTCCCCTGATCACACGCCGCGATGGGATTCCCTCGCACGACCTCGACGAACGGCATGTGCGACCCGGTATCGCTGAAAACCTGCCAATGGACGCACTTGGGATGGAAGCTACCGCGCTGAATGCAGGGGTATTTTTGTGGCTATCACCTCATGGGATTGCAGCACGCGGTCAAGGAGGACGATGACAGGTTATCATCATTGGATGCGACCGCAACGATGTAAGAAGGGGTTGAGCTTCCATAAATCTGATGCAGCTGCAGGTTGACCAGCTCATGGGCCGCCGAAGAAGGATACAGGTAATCGTTTTGGCTTTGAGATTCGGAAACATAGTTGCAGCCAAGAGCTCGAGCCTGCGCTGCCAGTGCAAGGATAAGTCAGAAACGATGAGAGAACTGATCGCGCTCGCTCTGCACAGGCGGGCGCCAAGTCACACGTGGCTACCGACCGCTCGCGCATTCTCCATTTCACAAGTGGCTGTCCGATAGAATACGGACTTGATACGGACGGGACACCGCCGCACGATAGATTTGATTCGCCGCTGTCTCCTCAATGTGTTCCAGACATCATGGATCATATAACCAGTCATTACCAGGGTTCGTCTCGCATGTGGCACTTCGAGCTGGATCAGTCTTGGAGGGCACGAAGATGAGCAGGACCACAAACTAGTAATGCATCATCCAGACCAATAGTCCATATTCCAAATTGGGAGTAAGCATCTACGTGTTTGAACGCGTGGTTGCCTAGTAGATCCTCGTGTACATTGCAAGCATCCTCGGCATCCACCCAGGCGCCGCGTGGGCTGTCTCGACACGAGACTCCCTATCTCCTCTTGAACACCAACGGAGCCTTGATCGGACTACACAGCCACCAATCATCAGCGCCTCCCACCAAACCACACGGAACGCCACGACTCACTACAACGTCAGCGCCGTGCGACACCGGAGGAGCCTCCTCTTGCGCTGCTCGAACGTCTCCCCCGCGTACTGCGGCTCCTCGAGGACCTCCACGCGGAAATACTTGATGATGTACGTGAGGATCGCGACGCCCTCCGTCTCCGAGAACCGCCGCCCGAGGCACGACCGTGCGCCGGCGCTGAAGGGCAGGAACGCGTCGCGCGGCCAGTCCTCCAGGAACCGAGAGGGGTTGAAAGTGTGTGGGTCCTTCCAATATCGTGCTATAGACGAGGTGTCAGCTGGCAAATCTGAGTTGAGGATTGCAGTTACGCACGATTGTAATGCAGCCCGGGTGTGTGGATCATGATGGCGGTGCCCTTTGGGCAAGGTACGGTCAGCTTGTCGCCCGACATATTCTGGGTGGGGAGCGTCATGTCTTCTTCTGCGTGTTTCGGTATGTTGATGACCTGCTCCAGAATTGAACGCTGACATCGATCAGGGATTGGCTGGAACACGTACAGGAGGGAACATCCGCATCGTCTCTTGGATCACGGCCAGCACATATGATAGCTTGCCCAAATCCTCGTATCTCTATTGAAACTAGAGGTGAGTTCGTGCGAGGACGACAGACGGTAGGTGATCTTACGGGTGGTCTATCTCCCGGCGCAACACTCATGATATGTTGGTATAGCTTCTCCTGTTCCTCTTGGTATAGGGCCAGCATGACGAAGGCGAACGCGAGGGTGTGCGCAGTGGTCTGACAGCACGTTTCAGACACACCGTTACCAAACATTACGTGCACGACGCACCTCATGCCCAGCTATCAGGTAGATGAAAATGTTGCCCATGAGCTCGCCGTCGCTCAGCTTCGCCGTCCCATCACCCTCCTCCTCGTTCGCGTCAAGCAAGCTGCTGAACAAGTCGTACCGCTCCTCCTTCTTCTCCGAGCCCCTGCGTCTGTCAATCATGGCGCGCATGTAGTTCTGCAGGCCCCTTGCGTCAAGAATGATCAAGGTCACTGCACATGCAATGGGCTCGTACCTCAAGGTCCACATACGCCTGCCAGAAGTCTCGTAGGCGCTTCGAGGGGCCAAGCTTGAGCAACCACTCCGGCACGAAGAGCTTGAGGCGGAGATCGGTCGACACTACGTGGAGGGCATCCTGCGGGCATCCTACACTCAATTCTCGGCGACGGGGACACAGCCCTCCAGACAGTCAGATACACACCTTGAACGTGAAGTGGTATCCCTCCGGGACGTTCAGATCCTCGGACCAGCTCATCCGCTTGCCGAAACCGGCCACGCCGATCACGAACAGCGCGATCGGAACTGTCAAGTCAACGACGTTCGACACGGCGACCTCGCTCTTGCCCGCCCACACGCCCTGGCAGAGCTCGGTGACGATGTGCATGGTCTCGTCCCACACGAGCCGGTTGTTGCGCTCCGAGAACGACGGCGCGGAGATCTTGCGGTGGCGCTTCCATTCGTCGCCCTCGGTCACGACGACGTTCGAGCCATAGAACATGAGGATCTTGTACACCGCGAGCGGTTTCGTGAATCTCACACGATCGGACGTTACTTCCTGCGGCGGACATGCTGAGTGTCGGCGCTAGAGGAAAGCTGTGGGGTAGACACATACCTTGATTGCCGTGGCGTCTGCGAGCATAAGGAGGCGACTCGGCGTCGGGAACCATGACACCTGGGTTGCTGCGGTCAGTGCAGTGTTGCACTGACCATATCAATGGCACGCACCGAAGACACAATGTCCGAATCAAACTCCTCAAAGTCGCGGTGCTTCCTCGTGAACACGTTGAAGTAGCCCGCCGATAAGTACGGTACGCGCGACTTGACTGCTAGGCTGTCCGGGCCGAAGGCGTAGCGCAGGCCGGGGTAGTTCCTGATCGAGGCGACAAGGTTGCAAAACACGTAAGCTTCTCGAGCCCGGGAGAAGCTGGGCGGGGCGGACGTGGACGTACCGAAGCGCATTTACTGCGGCGCGCCAGTCGAGGACATATTTGACGGCCCATATAGCGGTGACGGCCAGGGCGAAGGCGAGGTAGACAGCCATGACGGGTCGGACGGCCTGCGCGCGTTCCCGGCGCTGGAGGGAGGGGGAAGAGGGACGGGGTGATGGGACGGTTTTGAATGGGCTGGATAGCGCTTCGCTGTCCCCGCAAAGCTTGTGGGCGCCGTGTCATGTGCAGGCCGTTCGTCGACCCGCGCACCCCCGCCGATGGCAGCCTAGCCAGCGCTTGGCTTTTGTCAGCGGGCGTATCGACGCCGTGGCCCTGTCTCGGTATTGCGCTTCTTCGGGCAGAAGTTACACGTCCCATGCGCTCGAATTCCGCACGACCAGCGAGATCGCTCGGCGAGAAGGGCGCGAGCCTATCTGCACAAGAAGGAATGTCCGGATCAGGCCTCTCTCCACAAATAAACGAGGGCTCGGGCCCCATATGCTCGCTTGGGCATCAGGTCGCACGCGTGGGACATTTGTAGATGCTGGCCCCTCGGAAATAAGGACGCTGGCACCCCGCATGGACGAGGCAGCCGTGAAACGACACGAAGAACGGGATGCGGGGGCGGAATACATTGAATGCTGTAGGTGTGGACGTGTGCGCGTGGTTGCGATCTGAACATTGCACGCAACTCACGATTGACACAATTCGCATCGCACCGATCGGCGAGCGCCCCACCTCCTCTCAGATCTCAACACCTGTACACGTGACTGCTGCACCGATCTAAATTACGTACATGAACCGGGTGCCTCGGCGCCGCTTCTCGCCTTTTCCTGAACACGCCGACTGGCATTGGCAATGGCGCAGAAGCCCGGAAGCACACGAGTCACCATACCAAATGCTGCAATGGGCTGGCCGAATGTCGTGCATTCAGTCGAGGACCGCCGACTGTAACTGCTAGTATGTAGTGCTAGCACTGATGCTCTCATAGCAAAAAATCATATCTGTCTAGCGTCACGGGTGTCAATCGAAACCCTTTTCAAAAGTCAAACGTCGAGGCCACGAGGACTGGCATCCCTAGATCAGTGGCGACGCTGTTGCTATTGTATAGAGTAGTGATACATAGATAGACAAAAATGGACAAACTACATGGAATAGATCCGTCACGTCAATCACCCCGCCTCCCCAGCTATCTGCGCTTGAACACAAGCGGCGCCTTCACGGGACTATCCACCACGTCAGCACTGTGCCGCACCGAGCGGGGAACAGAACAACTCACTAAAGCGTGATGGCGCTCTTGCACCTCAGCAGCCGCTCCTTGCGCTGCGCGAACGTCTCGCCCGCGTACTGCGGGTCGTCCACGACGTCGACGCGGAAGTGCTTGATGATGTATGTCAGAATCGCGACGCCCTCCGTCTCAGAGAACCGCCTGCCGAGGCACGACCGCGGGCCGCCGCTGAACGGGAGGAACGCGTCGCGCGGCCAGTCGCCGAGGAACCGCGAGGGCTTGAACGCGTAGGGGTCGTCCCAGTACCGTGCTGTCGGGTGTGAGCGGAGAGAACAGAGGGTGCAGGAGGATGACGTACGGTTGTAGTGCAGCCCGGGCGTGTGCAGGACGAGCCCTGTGCCTTTCGGGCAGGGGACGCTCAGTTTCTCGCCCGCCATGTTCTGGGTGACGAGCACGCTGTCTTCCTCGGCGCACTTGGGGATGGCGTTCACCTGAATGTACACGTTAGCGATCGACTCGACGTTGCCATGCACTGAGTGCGCACCGGAGGGAACATCCGCAGTGTCTCCAAAAAGACCGCCATCGAATACGTGAGCTTGCCCATCTCTTCGTAGCTCTGCAGCAGTAAGAACGCGGCACCATGAGTAGGTGAGGTGATCGAGATGCAGAAATGCTCACCGGAACCCTGTCCTCGGGGACGACACTCTGGATATGCTGATACAGGATCTCCTGCTCGTCCTGGTAAAGGGCGAGCATGATGAACGTGAATGCGAGTGTGTGCGCCGTAGTCTACGCGACCGTGTTCCTTGTCAACCGGTGGCAGCCAACATAGAAAGTATGGCTGCGAACCTCGTGTCCAGCAATGAGGTAAACGAAGATATTGCCTGTGGTGATTCGCGTGATCGTCAATGCCAGAAGTGTCTGAGCATCCATGGATGGTACTCACCCATAAGCTCGCTGTCGCTCAGCTTGCTTTGCCCGTCGCTCTCATCTTCGTTCGCATCGAGCAGACTGCTGAACAGGTCGTACCGCTCCTGTTTCATCTCGGCGTTCCTGCGTTGCTGGATCATCTCCGTCATGTATTTCTGTCGCAGGAGATGCAGTCAATACCGAACCGACATCTAATCAGGAAGACGACAACGCACCTCGAGGTCCTCATACGCCGTCTGGAAATTGCGCACGCGCTTGGTGGGCCCGAACTTGAGCAGCCACGGCGGGAGTAGAACCTTGAAGAACAGATCATTCGAGACGATATGCAGCGCGTCCTGCGAACCAGCACCTCAGCACCTAACATCCCGGCGACTAAACTAAACGCACCTTGAACGGCATCGCATGCCCCTTCGGCACCGACAGATCCTCCTTCCAGCTCATCCGTCGCCCAAAGCCCGCCACGCCGATCACGAAGAGGGCCATCGGAACAGTCAGGTCCACGACGTTCTCGACACGCACCTCCGATTGGCCCGCCCAGAGCACCTCGGAGAGCTCCTTGACGATAAGCATTGTCTCGTCCCACACGAGCCGGTTGTTGCGCTCCGAGAAGGACGGCGCGGAGATCTTGCGGTGCCGTTTCCACTCGTCGCCCTCCGTGACGACGATGTTCGAGCCGTAGAAGGTCAGGATCTTGTATTGTTGCAGCGGCTTGGGGAAGCGCGCCCGGGCGGATGTGACTTCCTGTGTAGGGATCGGTCAGTAGGGAACATGGGGACAGAGGAAAGGGAGGGCTGACCTTGATGGCGTCGGCGTCGGCGAGCAAGAGCAGCTTGCCAGGACTGGGGAGCCATTTAACCTAGGCGAGGGATGTCAATTTTAGTCTTCCAGCTGTGGTCGGTGCGAACCAGGGGAGAAGCGGTGCGGCTCTGTAGCGCTATGGCATGGCTGCCAGAAGTGAACGCCAGGCGGGAACGAATCCCCCTTCAGCTCGATGCGGTCATCTTCGTGCGCGTCTCTCGCGGATACATGACTTGATAGCCGTATCGCAACACGCCGGGACACAAAGTGTCGTCGAGAAGCTGATGTCCAGCACCAGAGTAGGCAGCAGGCATGCCATTGCAGCTCGGGTCGAGACCGTAGCCTGACACGTGCGCACCAAGATGGCTAATGCATGCACATACCGAGGATATGACATCCGAATCGAAGTGCTCAAAGTCCCGATGCTTCTCCATCCACAGGCTGAAATTGCCTGCCATCAGGTACGGGATGCGCCACTGTAACATGAAGCTCTCCGGGCCAAACACATAACGCAGGCCGGGATAGTTCCTAGTTGTCGGTCAGGGCGTATCAGTAGGCGCCATCGGACAGGAGAAGCTGGAGGCGCACTGGATAGAGTTGACTACGGCACGCCAGCCGAGGTAAAGTTTGGCGAACCAGAGGGCGCCGACCGCGATGGCGAGGGCGACGTAAGACTGCATGGAGGTTGCGGATGGGCAGATGCGGCTGCGCTGCGCTGTATGAGGGATGCTAGGAGAGGTACTAGTAGCTGCCAGGCACGGGTCGGCGGCCCACATCCCCCTGTTGCGATTTCTCATCCTACGCCTCGAGAAAGTCACCGTCGTCATGTCACGCACGATTCATCAGCGGGCCCACCGGCATTCCACACTTTCAGTGGATTGGTTTAATTGCCGTGCGAGTTAGAAGTCTGTTGTGCTAGTCGATGAACACAAGCAAAACACAAGGCCTGTAATGACGAGTCCGGTCTGTTGCAGAGTCATGGTCTGTGCATTGTCGGCATATAATGCGATACACTGGACGAACGACGGGCAGCACTGTGCGGGAGGCTGGAGGAAATGGATGACGGCAGAGTACTCAAGTACTCAGTACTCACGAGGTGCCACTGCGGCTGCTCTTGCCCGCGCGGGCCAAGCGCGGGCCGGCCAATGCGCGACAGGCACGTCCCACGGCTGCCCAAATCAGGCAGACTGGGAACTGCCGCGGTCACTGCCGACGTGACTGGTTGACCCTGGGCTGACTGGGACCTCCCGTGTGATGTATTGGCTCAACCGAGCGTTCTACTCTGTTCTACTTTGGTTCTCCTTTCAATTGTGGATGTCCTCCACGGCCACCAATCTCGGGCTCTTGGCGCGCGCGATCAGGTCTCGATCACTGTGGAATCACAAGTGATCGAATCGCTCCTGCCGAGTCCTGCGTCATTCTCCGCCGCGTCTGCGGCCTCTCCTCGACAATAAGTCCTTATTCTGCGCTCGCATTCTCGGATCCGAATTCTTCAAAGAGAGTTCGAAATATTATGGGCGCCCCCGAATTGGCAGCCCACAATGTCGTTCGCTCTGTCTTCAACTTGAAGACGCGCGAGTTCGGCTTGACCGCACGAGAGATACTGCATACCGCACCGCACTCGCCCTCATGCCGACAGTGGTCGGTCGGCCTGACCGTCCATTGCCCCAGCGCTACATCCTGTTGCGCATGCAGCATGAGGTGCGTCGCCCGTCTCCCACAGAAGTTCAAATCCAGAGTTGACAACCACACCATGCAGCCTTGCAGGCACCTGAAGGATTCTATTGCAGAAATAGCAGCGGGAGAGCTTACATCTCCCGTCGTCCAGAACGCTATCGTCGTTTTCATACAATCACTCGGGCATTACAACATCTACCATACATGTACACTACCATCCATCCTCATATCTCGTATCGTTCCTGGAGTTCGGGCCCCATATGCAAAGCTTACAGTACATCACATATATTTCACCCGCAAAACATCGCACGCTCTACCCAACCCGACTCGAGCTCACATAGCTCAGCGCACTCGAACTACGCACATGCGGGTCGCCGGGGCCCATCTGCACGCTCACGTTCTGCCTCGTATTCGCCCACGTCCCCGGGCTTTGCCCCGCGGCGGCAGCGCGCAAGTTCTCAGAGCTCGCGAGGTACGCGACGTCCTTGTACGAGTTCGGGTTGAAGTGCGAGTACCCCGAGTGTCGCGACTGCGCGCTGCCTACCGAGCTCGCGGACGGCACCCGCCGCAGCTCGGGCACCGCGCCTTTGAACGAGAGCGGCCGGGACGTTGTCGCGGGCGTCAGCCCCGCGTTGAGGCTCAGGCTGCGCTGGTGGCCGTTCCCGCCCGCGAGAGACAGGCGCGAGGTCGACGAGCGCGGGCTGAACGTCGCCCCGGGGAGCTGCATGTTCCCGGGCTTGGGGCTCCACCTCGAGCCGCCTGAGTAGATCGACGCGCCGGGCACGGGCGGGGGAACCATGCGAGGAGAGCTGGGCGCAGGAATGTACTTGGGTTCGCTCGGGCCTGGGATGGGCAGGGGCGCGTCGTTCGGGCGTGGGCTCCACCGCGAGCCGTCGGGGTAGATCTGGGTAGCCGGAGCGGGCGGCGGGATCATACGCATACGCGGGGAACTGGGCGGAGGGATATGCTGCGGCTGGGTGGGAGTGTAAGGCCTGCTAGGCGCCGCGACGTAGTCCGCCGAGGGATGCGTGGGTGGCTGTATGTTCGGGGTCCTCGAGCGGGAGCCTGGCGCGTCGTAACTCACGCTTCCAGAGGCACGACTGGATGCCCGGGTGAGTGCAGGGGCAGGTCCTCGCGCAGGTCTAGCCTTTGAACCTGAAGACGAATTTGACGGCATCATCGGAACGACAGGTCCCTCCTCAAGTTCTGGCTGCGAGTAGAAGCGGCGGTGTGACGCCCTCGGCGAGCTGTAGGCTGCAGAGGGGGGCATAGACTGGTTGTACGCCGCAGGGGGCATAGACTGGTTGTACACAACCGGAGGTGCGCCCATAGGCATGAAACCACTTGGCATCTGGGGCATAGACTGGAGAGTGCTCATTGAAGGCGCATCCCTCATCATAGGAGAGGTAGGCATTGGTATTGGGGGGATGACGAAATGTTGTTGCGGCGTGCGCGAACGTCGTACAGAACCATCTGGAGCCAGCTTGCCCGACTCGAGTGGATGTGCAGGTGATGTCTGGGACGCGGTTCCGGACTGTGTAGACAATGCAATGCGTCAAATATGGACTGAATCAAACTGTTCGTAGTGAAGACATACCGGAAGCTGAATGCTGATTTCGATTGAATCATCCGGAGAGGCACCTCTCCTGTCGTCGTCAAGTGGTAAGGGCGGCGGTACGAACGGGCGATTCAACGAGCCAGACCTAGACCTGTGATGCCGCGTTGCAGACCCAGTAGCTGAAGAGGGCGGTCTCTCATACGGCGACGGAAGCCTATCTTCCTCCGTCACGTCCGTCACGTATGGTTGTCGGTAGCGTGAACGCTGATCAGGAATAGGCGAAGCCCGATGTTCCTAATGAAGGAACAAGCATAATATGAAGCGCTGCATCAGATACAGAAACGTCATACGCACATGTTCGGGGGATGACTGCTTCTCAAGCCACTCCGCGACACTTGCATTCGAGTGCCGCACATTCTCTGGTGCCTCATCCTGAATGGGCGGCGGTTTCCTCCTCCGGGAGCTACCAGCAGCAGATACGTCATCTCGCCTCGAGTGCCGCGAACTGGGACGCCTTCCAGCATCGCTGCCCATGTAACCAGATTCTGGCCTCGATGATGGGACGGGAAAGGTGACAGGCTCGGGCATCGCGCCGCCTCTCGCGCGTGCATCGGATGAAGGCGGGCTGAATTCAGCCTCAGGGATAGCGCTGAGGATGGGCCCGCGCTCGCGAGTGCTCGGACGCGTGCGTGGTGCACTGACCAGGTCAAAGTCGGAAATCGTCATGTTCGTCGACGGAAGCGACTCCGTCATGGACCTAGGAGAGGCGGGCCTCCTGTAGGCATAGTCTCGGGATGTACTTTGCGACGGGCCTGAACGAGAGTCTGGTGGTCCCCGCGAAGGATCGTCGACTTGCCCTATAGCTGGAGGTGCACGGGCCAGTTCATGAGGAGGAGGCAACGAGATGTAGTTGTCACTGTCGACGGATGGTACATAGTTGTCCGGAGGGATGCTGTAGTCGGGATGGTGTGGCGCTGGCGACGCAGTTCGTATTGGGATCGGTCGAGGGAAGCCTTCCTCATCGATGTCCCTGCTCGGAGGTGGTGGCCAGGACTGAGGGCCAGATGACTGACGTCGATCAGGTAGGGGAATAGATGCCATGGTCGCTGGGGTCATGTTCTCCATGAACCGCGAACCTTGCGCGCCAGTGTTAGCGTAGTCTCCGTTCTGTCGCCGTCTTGAAGGGCCGGGATCATCGAGCGTATCGACGTCAGACGGTGGAATAGGAGGAGCACCAGTCGGAGGTGAGGGAAGGTTCAATACACCAGATGTATATTGCCCGGGGGGTGTAATGCGCCCAGTATCATCGCCATCGTCGTCGTATTCGCCCTGCATCGCGCGACCCGGAGGCACGCGGGCATCTATCCGAGATGGGGGAGTGACACCCACCTCTTCGTAGCCTCTCCGCAACCCCTCCTGGTAGCCCATGCGCCTTCCGTCCTCTCGTGCCAAAGTGACCAGCTGCTGTTCCCTCAACCGCCTTGCAGTAGAACGTGCTCTTGCCGCCACTGCCTCCGCATCGTCCCTCTGTGCCTCCAGATCCCTCATGAGGTCCTGACCTTTCAGCAGCTCTTTCTGCGCCACATCGAGTTGGTCTCTGTACAGCCGCAGCTCCTGGGACAAGCGGTCTGCCTCGCGCTGTGCAACGATCCGCGCGTCGTTCACTTGCTTGAACCGTGCAGCCATTTCGAGGGCTCGTTGTTCGGCTAGTTGTGCCCGTTGGTTTTCAGTTTGCAACCGTTCGAGCGCCACTTCGAGGGTCCGACGAGACTGCTTGGCCTCAGCGTCCTCGCTGACGAGCAGTTTGAGGAGCTCGCGGTATGTACTACTCCGGCGACGTTCGCGCTCTCGCCTGCTAGGCCGCCTGAGGCTATTACGATCCGCAATGCTCAGGCTGTCTCGGCTTTGGTCTATGGCAGACAACAATGCGGTTCTTGGAGAGTCGGAATGCACATTCCCGTCTTCGTCCGATTCTCTGCGTACGACGAAAGCGCCACCGTTGTCGCTACAGGAGATATATTCAGGCCATATGGTGCCACAGTGAACGCGAACGCATACCCGTCCAAGATCTCGTCCTCCTCGTCATGCATGGATCCAAACCGTGACATGTTGAGTAAAGAAGCGGTCTGTAAGATGAAGCAAGTGGTTGTGGTGGAGTAAGATAGCGGTGTGAAGTGAGATGTGCCGGTGTATATCGTCCTGGTGCCGGGGCGGGTGCGGTGTCTAAGACGCGTAGGAGGGTCTCCGATTTGTATACAAGGAGGGCGTCTAGCGATACCGTGGCCCGGAGTCACGTCATGAGCGCAAGGCAGTGAAAAAGCAAGAGCGTAACGGGCGAACGGCCACTGGACGCAGCGGCGAGCGAGGGACGCGAGCAAGGGGTTCAACGACCGCCACAAACGCGGACACCTGACGAGAAAGGCAACTCTTGTTTATTCAAGAATGCTTCCGCTCGTCCATCTCCTCCCGCGTCCCCTTTCCCTCGGTCATGCCGCCTGCCGGTCCTTCTTCACCCTACCCGACCTCTCGAAGCTCTCACCGTTCTCCCAGCCTGGCGGCTCGGAACCAGAGCCACAAACATATCATGAGCGCAAGATTCTGCCGTACGTCTCGCGTTTGCGCGCTTGTAGCAACTCTCAATTTCAGTGGTCTTGCAGCTACAAACCGAGCGAACTGTACAAAGTCGTGACAGATGTAGATTCGTACCCAAAGTTTCTGCCCTTCTGTGTTTCTGCGCGCGTCCTTGACCGCAGCGTGCCGACTTCGGCTGACAAGCCGCTCACCATGCGCGCCGAAATGACTGTCGGATTCCTCTCCTTCAAAGAGAGTTATGTGAGCGATGTGATCTGTCGTCCAAATCAGTCCGTGGAGGTACGTTCTTGCCCCGATTGCGACGCATCCTTCTCAAATTCAACTGGGCTAGATTGCGGCATCGACGTCGACCCCGCTATTCCGGACGCTGAACACAGTCTGGCGGTTCCAGCCCGCATCGCCCAATTCCCCACACCCCAGTGGCAGACTTCCACTCTCTGGACCATCACCGTCAGCAATTGCGTTACAAACCTCCCAGGAGACGGCTGACGATAACGGCCCGACGTTGATCACCCTCGATCTGGCGTTCTCCTTTGCAAACCCGATACATGCTGCGGTGTCTACGGCGTTCTTCGGCCAGGTCTCGAGGATGATGGTCAAGGCCTTTGAAGAGCGATGCCTTGACATATACGGCCCAGGAGAAAAGTAGGAAACGCAACGAAGCCATACGTCCACGGAATGTATACGCATATGACTCGCCCGTTCCATAGCAACGTAACACGAAGACAATGGATGGATACATGAATTCGGTAGGATTTAATCCCGCGTGAGATTCCGGGCCCTTAGTCAATTCATGGGTAGGGGCGATTGACGCGAAACAGCCTCTGCCTTAGTGCTCATGCAGTCAACTTGGTTCAACAACAACAGACATAAATTTCCACTACAACCGCATGAATGAGGGGTCCCTAGATCGTATCAGAAGCCATCGAGATCCAAGACTTCACACTAGGTAATCCTGTCTCATGACAGTGGCAGGGCGACCTAATGATGAACTGAGCAACTATCTGCATACTGCGACATGACTGTCACTTACCTCCACAGTATGGAGTTCACCCACGCCCATGCGAGTGTCCACTTCTTGCCTGGCTGAGCAAAGAGCTCGATTACAGGTATGCCCCTACGTATAATTGATCAGATGAGAGCAACGAGCGTCAACCAGCAGAAATCTCACTCGGGCGAGGCCGTCATGCAGCCATACAAGAAGCATGATGGAAGCCGCAGTAGACGTGGCTGACCTTGTACACCGGGAAGTGCGGGCAAGGACAGACCTGAGCAGGTGTAGTGAGCAGAGAACAACCGGAAGTGTTTACAGGAGATGCTCACCGAGAAATTAGCGAGAAGTGATAGAGTACTGAAGATCGAGTGTCGGGTGCCGGCATATATAGGTCCATGGCCCGAGGCTTACGACCCTGACTAGCTCCGCCGGACGCCGTACCCGCCTTCTGTCAGCATCGTTCTTTGCGGGGAGATAGGCTGAAAACCTCTCCTTGGAGCAGAAAGAAGGCGAGACGGCGCTCTCATTGACGACCGCCCTGAATGCGACCGCCTTCAACGCGGCACGAGGCTACCCTATTTCATGACAATGACCGCCACGGTTAACTGAGTGTGCGAGCAGCTCAGGCGAAGATAGAAGGTCTGGACATTCGGTGCGGACTCTGACTCGCACCTTAAACTGACACTACCTGACAGGGTGCGCGACGACCACATCATCAAGCCGCAAAGCCGGTAGGTTAGGCACCGGAAACCCTTACAGAAGTACGATCCTATCGATTAGTCGAGCGTGCAGATATTCATCTCTGTATAAGTACACACCACTCACCAGTCCCATAGGCCATGATACGATCACTATGCGCTGCGGCTGCGTCCCGCGTCAGTTACTCAGTACCACGCAATGGGTATGATCGCACAATGCCAAGGCCAACTGGAGGTGCGGGATGTCGTAACAAAAGTGGTCTAGTCGAGTTTGTCACGTCGCCAAATGAATCTTCGGTTCTATTGACACGCGCCTTCATAGCACCCACACACTGCACGGAACTCGCGCGCGTCTTCAGGCCATTTAAACAACACTCAGCTTCTACGACAGCCCAGACCCCACGCTAGTCGATGTTCTAACCAACGAAGAGGCAAATGGCGTCAACGAACACCGACTTCGATCATTGTGCGGTTCCGAGCAGCATGCCAGTCGAGTTGACCCATGGGGGATGCTAAGATTGTCTCGCGCGACCCTGCGCGATAGCGTTCTCGATAGGCGTGAGCCGCCCTAGAGTAGAAGGCGGAGACGAGGTGAGCGGAGATAGCAATTGAATAGAATGTGTCACTGACTGCACCCGGCAGCGAGACGCTCTCTAGGTTTGACTGAGCTCCCGGACGCAGACCCTAGCTACGATCTTCATTGATTGAGGGGAGGAACAGTCGCAACAGGTCTCAACAGCTGTATGTACAGCCCGCTAGAGGGAGTTGGCGGTGAGACGGAGTCACGGCCTTCCGTTAATGCAGAATCGGGACTTCGGCTCGGTCGTGGGCTTCTTAGATTGAAGGCGGCATGATGACAAGCGCAGCAAGATGGGCCTTCGCGAGGACGCATGCTAGGAAGATTTAGATGGGGACTTCGATGAGCAGCGTTTGCGTAATCACAACGACTGGATGAGGATCAAAGGTTCCGTCAAAGGTCTGGAGCCTGCTATGCAGAATGCAATTTTGAGCCGTTATGCACGCGGTGGCCAGTGCGCACCCACCTTCTGTGTCAAGGGCTACCTTTTGGTACTCTTCTCACAAGGATCCACAAAGAAGCGGCAAGCGGTCATGGAAATGATGAGCAACGTAACAATCAAATAAGACAACAGTCAATAGACGATAAATACGTGCGTCATAGACATGGCTACAGATCATCTTTTGATTACTTCGGCATGGTATCAACCTCTGACAAGCTTCCAACACACTCATCGACGGAGTCATCGGGGCACACGAGGGTCTCCTATTCAGGCGACGTACTCAGCGTTCTCAGGGCAATCACGAGCGATCTGCGGGTGGACGTCAGGGTCTACGATGAACGGGATGACATGCGTCAGATAGGCTCACATGTCCCTCCTGCTGGCATTTGTAGCAGGTCTTGTTCTTGTTTGGGTTGCCGACAGCAACCGGTGTGTCCACGGTCGTGCCGGGAGCAGCCAGGCAGTCCCTATCCATTAAGTCTGATAAGCTCAATTTGATTGATACAAGAACGATAAAGACGGACCTCGCCATATGGTTGGGACCCCCGCAACGGTAGCACTTCACAGGGGGGAGGGTAGATGTGTTCAGGGTGCGGCCTGGGGGAGGGGCGCGGGAAGCGAATCCCGCACCGCCTGCATTGGGGCACGCCCTCGCGATATGGCCGAAGCGTCCACAGTTCTGCCATGGGCAATGGGTATTACACACGTTTGTGTAGACGGGGGACGTACATAGCACTTCTGGCCTGAACCCTGCACTCGCAAGCTCGGACACTCCGCCTGGATATGGCCGACACCCCCACAAGAGTAGCATTGCTTCGCAGCGACAGAGCGGGGCTGGGGGCATGCAGACGACTCGTGTCCAGGCTGACGGCAATTGTAGCAGAGACGCTGCTCCGACGTACAATTCTCCGCTATGTGTCCGACTATACCGGAGCTTGTGTTAGACCCTGCAGGTCGGAGAGGATAGAAGTCACGCACGGTTCCCGCACTTGAAACAACCTTTCCTACTGAACTGGTACGCCATCCTGACCAATCGTCGACTCTTATCCTGGGGGCAGGGCAGTCAGCGACTGGTGCGGTTGCGCCGTTCGCACATATAGGTGCATTGTGCGATATAGCAGGACATACCTCGCTTCTTCCCTCGTCCAACGACTAAACCTCTCACTTACCTTCCCTCCTCCTGCGTAGGATAAGGACTGACGAGCAAGATGGGTGATCGAAATCAAGTGGGATTCTACGGTGCAAGAACGATCATCTGCGGTGTCCTTCAAGCCGGCCCTAAATTGCCGCTTACTGAGCACACTCTCGATAAGTATCTCCCGTTACTATGTTACTATGCCACTATAGTGGTTACTATGATGTCTGGCTGCAGTGACGCGCACGGCGCACCAGGATTTCCAGTGCTACCAGCGACCACTGCCTTCGCAGACTAGACTGCTTGCTGCATGTACTACGCGCGAGCCGCGTGCTTCTGATACCTTTCACGACCCTATCCACGCGTGGGTCATGAGACCCCTCCAAGAGCAACACTGGCCCTTCACATCGATAGTCGGTTTCGTATATGGGCGAAAACCCACGAATGAAGCTCCGTAATGATTGCGTTAGGACACTGACCCGGCGGTTGTAAAAACCCGGTCAACGGTCAGGCCGGTAAGGACCTTTTCCTCAATTGCAAGGAGTGCCTGTAGCTCGTCGATGGAATCGTTGTTCCCGGACACAGATATCCTCAGATATCAACGGAACTTCCTTTGCTAGCCTCTGCTGCAGACGCCTCGTGCTGCTGTCCGCTCGGAGGCTGTCAGGCAGCGCAAGTCAGCGGCGCACCGCAGACAGGCTTGGGGCGAGGAGGACGGGCTGATGATATCGTGATCTGGATCTCCGCGCGCGCACTAGGCACTCGAGGACGTATTTAAGGTGCGGCGCGGTAGCCTCGTTTCGTTGCGATTACCGCCACACACCCCAGGTCAAGAAGGGGGATGGCAAGGTGAGCTCCTCCTCCCTTGGCCAAATTACGCCCCTCTAGAGCCACTGACTCACGGTCGTCGGACTAGGAGCGCATAGCGTCCGGCCTATAGGATCTCCCAGCGTGCAGCCCAACCTCGCCCACCTGCATCCATCACGCTTCTTGTTGGGGGGGAGATTGGTTTCGCTCGAGGTGCGCGCAGCTATCGTGCGTATGCTGCGTCGAGACTGACCGTGAAGCCTAGGCGAGCTGCACGGCCGGGCTGTTGCGAAATCGTCAGACATCCTAACAAGACGTGTAGTAACAAGCGCGCGACGCGGGGCTCTATGCATGGCAGGCCTGATATGTCGCATTCTATACGGTCGCTCCGGTGGTGAGTGTGATTCAATCTCTTGGGATGCCGTTACCCATGCTTCTCTTGATGGATTCTGTAGGTGGTTCTTCCGCCGTTCTTCCACATGTAGTCTATGTTTGATATGCGACATATGTTGATTCCCCTGCCTATGGTGAATCGTGGACAGTCCTCAGTACACAATCTCGACTCGTGAGCGAGCAAGGAGCCTCTCGCAGCTCTGAGCATTACGTTCCTCGACCTCTACTGAACTTCGATGTGGCATGACAGGTGACGCTTACGCAGTCCCCAGCCGATCTGTCGGAACGCTAGGTCCATTGCTACGATATCGACGTTCGTGTCCTCGCTATTCGCTCCAGTTCTTAGAAGGTCCATCGGTGATGGCATTTGGGTTTGAGCAGACGAAGTCTATGTTGGCCTCTGTTCAGCAAATCACTGCAACGAAATGAATGCTGCACAGATGTGGGTACTATGCATGCACACATCTGGCTCGGTGTGTTGATACATACTAGGTGTGCTTGAGCGGCATATGCAGCGCCCTTCTCAAACAGACATGGGCGACCCACTGTCCTCCGTCGCCATTTCTGCTTTCCATCTTGATTGTGCTGAGCGTGTCGATGGCGCCGACTGCTCTGAAAATTCGCTCTTGGTAAGTGTGACCCGTTGGCTCATTCATGCACCCGCCTGGGGCGTCCCGTCCAGACCTCCGCGTCGTACTATGCGCTATATCCCAATGAAATAGTCACTGTGATGTCAGTGGTATGCCTGGGACGATCACCGATTTGAATCTCTACGCCCGATCCAGGATCCTTACGTATCGCCATTCGATGGAACAACTTGCCACGCATAAGCATTGCATAAGCAGAAAGGTTTGAACCCAAGTTTAGCTCACGCTTGTGAACTCACGCTGTTGATTCGATCCTCAAACTATCGAGACCCATGGTACACTCCTCTGTATCGGGCCGGGCTCTCGGCCGGACACAGTATTACTTACTACTGATATAAGTCGAGTCTTGACAGCGGAGGCCACATCCATTTTCTACAGTAGATACACCAATATGTAGCTCAGAAGGGGGGGGATACAGTAACATACCTTTTGTGGGAAATGACCCAGGGGTTGTCGAGCAATGCACCGGGTGGCCGACTGGGGACCGCGGGTATCAAATATTAGATGTTCAAGCGCCCAGACAGGCTGATGGTCACCCGAATTGCGTGATAGCACACTAGATGGCGTCGGGCGATCCTACCTACCTTCGTCGAGGACGTTGCGACATCCCCATATTCTCTTTGACGGTCTACTTTGAGCGAGTGGCTCGCCCCGTGCTGCGTCGGAAGTCTGCACATGCTATTGCCACGCATATATTTGACCGTGATCTCGATGCCGTGCCGTTAGTCATGCACTCGTTGCCCGGACTTGGAGTCATAGATACGCTGCCGCACCCCGCAGAGCCGCACCCCGCTTGTCCTCCTCCCCACGACCAGCGACAACGTCCAAGATGGCCTCGGAGAAGCGTCAGAAGGCGATTGATCTCTCTCACCACCTCTCTGACATCTCGCGGGCGAGGGAGACGTCACCGTTGAAGGGCCTCGGGAAGTACTTCGGTCGGCCTGGCCTGATAAGCCTCGCTGGAGGTACGTCCCGAGCTCATCTCCCTGGGTTGCGTGATTTTGAGTTCGCCCAGGCCTACCGAGCGAGGCGTATTTCCCTTTCAGCGGGATAAGCGGTGACGGTAAGTTGTCATAGAACCCCGTCAAGTGACATCGATCCTTGAGCTTCGTCCACATAGCGCTCGTCGCGGATTCGTTCTCCTTGAAGCCGACTGAGCAGGAATCCTCTTTGTCCTGGATCTGGAAGTTGTTCAGCAGGACGAACAAGGAGAAGACAAACACGATCACCATCCCGAAGTATGTCGAGCACCCGGCCGAAGATGTTAATCTCGCTGTCGCCCTGCAGTATGGGATGGCCACAGGGCTTCCACAGCTCCAGAAGTTCATCAAGGAGTTCGTAGAGAAGATTTACCAGCCCGCATATGAGGATTGCACCGTCATGGTACACACTGGGAACACCGATGGGTGAGTGAGTAACCATATAGATTGCGGAGGGGCGCTCAGACAACCTAGGTGGTCACGGTGCATGCAGACCCTCATGAACCCGGGCGAAGCCTTCTTGACGGAGGAGTGGACATACCCATCGGCCGTAGCATCGAGTAAGCCGTATGGCATGCATGCTGTTCCAGTCGCCATGGACAAGGATGGCATGAACCCTGCTGCGCTGCGCAAGGTTCTCGCTGAGTGGGACACCACGACTCAGGGCAAGCGGTATGTCCCACTACCGTCACAACAGAAGCTCTGGACTGAGTTCGCGCAGCCCTCATGTTCTGTACACCGTACCCGTCGGCCAGAACCCCGTCGGCTCCGTCAGTACCTCCGTTACGTGCGTTGTATGTCGTCATCTAACTGGTTGATAGACCATGGGTGCTACTCGCAAGAAGGCTATCTATGATGTCTGCGTCGAATTTGGTAAACCCCACTGCACCCTCAGGGAACTTCGAAAGCTTTAATCACCTCGTTCTCAGACATCATCATCGTAGAGGACGATCCGTATTTCTTCTTGCAGCAGGGCGAGTATGTCCCTAAGGCAAGCCGCGCAGATACCGCGGACGCCTCGTCCGAGGACGCTTGGCTTGCTGGACTCGCACCGAGTTTCCTGAGGTTCGACTATCAGGGACGTGTGGTGCGCCTGGACACCTTCTCCAAGGTACTTACACATACAAGCGCCTATAGTGCGTATACTTACGCAGCTGTATATCAGTACATCGCTCCAGGATCGCGACTCGGTTGGCACACTTGCAACCCGCTGTTTGCGGAGAGGCTCGAGAGGCAGGGCGAGACCTCCGCACAAGCACCGTGCGGCTTTGGTCAGGTATGCACCACACGTACCACTGTGTAGCGCTAAACTCACTCGTCTCCATTCGTGTAGTCGTTGATAACCACGCTCTTGAACCACTGGCAGATGGATGGCTACACGCGCTGGCTGCACGGGCTGGCCATTCAATACAAGGCCCGCCGTGACTGGTTCATCGACTGCCTCGCGGAGGAGCTCCACATCGAGGCAGCCACCTCGAGCACGGTCAGCTTCTGGAAGGACTGCGTCGTGTATGACGCGTATCCGAAGCGCAGCACCGGGTGGTTGATGTCGGAGAAGGGTTCGGTCGATACGAAGATGTTGAGCTTCGTCCCGCCGACCTCTGGGATGTTCGTCTGGGTGCGTGACCGCCGTCGTGTTTCCCTTCGCTTTTGCGCAGTACTGAGAAGTCATCCGTGACGTAGATTAAGGTTCACTTTGACAACCTCCCTGCGTATAGGAGGATTGGTGAAGGCGACGAGAGCCCTGAGATTCAACTCTGGACCAAGATCGCAGACGCGGGTGTTCTCATCTCCCCTGGATGGTTCTTCGCTGCGGACGTCGAGAACCCACCCACGGACGAGATGGAGGGCCACTTCCGTATTAGCTTCAGCAACGCCGACGTATGTCCACATACCTCTTGTGTTGTCGCTGCCTTACTCACCGCCCAACTCCCATGCAGTTCGACACGTTGAAGAAGGCCGCGCAGATTATCGCTAGGGAGACGGACAAGTTCTTCAAGGCGTAGATTGATGAAATGTAGACACTGTTTGGTTTAGACCTGCTGTACATTGCTATGTTATATGTACTGTGTCTTGGTGGAAGGTTTCTCTCAGAGACATGTTCGAGACAAAAGCGAGGTCGTATGGCGGCCCGTTTGTGGAAATAATCGGATCGCACGAAATGTAATAGTACCTACGAAAAGTATAATAAATGCACGAAATGTGTATTCACGAAATATTTGGAACCACTCACGAAAAGTTTGGATGATCACGAAACTCGGAAGGGTACACGAAATGTATGCTCACGAAAGTCGGCCTGCACGAAATGCGCGCGCAGTGTGACGCGAGTGTGATCGAGTGACCGTTTGTCACCGAGTGTGACATGTGAGTGCGTGGCCTTAGCCCGCCTCCGGCACTCAGCTTCGAATTTTAGCGGCCAAGATTTTCTAGGTACATTCAGAACACATAAAACACGCGTTTTGCGCACGGAAACATCCTGGGGAAGTCGCTCTTCCGCCACGAGTTGAATAAAGACATCGCACTCGCGCGCCACCGTGCCACCGCGCCACCGCGCCGCCGCGCCGGCGCTTGTGGCTGTGGCTGCGCGCGTACCACTGCGCGCAGTCACATTGACTGCTGTAGTCCAAGTCAGTAGATCCCCTAGGCAGCTAGGTTCTAGCTTTATCTTACGTTCTTGGCCCCTTGGCCCTCGCACATCCATGTATCTAGTGACTAATGAAAGAAATATAGCCGGTGCCACATGTCATGAAGTTGCGAAACTTCAAACAAGTTGATCTTTGTGTCTTCTACCTGCTATGTTCGGTCAACAGACTCGCCGTGTAATATATCGCACTTCTAAAGCATGTGGACCACTCATGATCTTGGCTTTGCTCTAATTGGCCATCTTCCGGAAACACAGTTCGATTCGTGTGTAATATGTTGCGTACTAGTAAATGCATATGTCTCGAGGTGATTTCAAGTTCACTGCTTTGTCTTGATGATTCGAGTCACTGGGAGCATTTCCGCTTTTCACAATCACCTGCGTTTTTTTGATTCCATTCCACAGGTCAAGCTTAAAGCCGTATAAAAGCTGGCTTTTCCTACCGGAAGTTCTTTAGTACTAGTAGTCAATACATTGCATTTGCCACTCCGAGTATGCTACTATTGTACAAGACAGAAGCGCATAATACACCCGCCAGCTTCAAGATGCTCTGAGGTGGCGACAAGTGATGGCCTGCAGTCCATCTGCAGGACCGCGAGCAACAGCAGTCCGTCAGCGCAAACACCTTGTCGACGTCCGGCTTCAGGCCCGTCGTGTTGACCAGCCGCAGGCGCGCACAAGGTCCTCGAACCTGCCGCTCCTCTCCACCAATGAGGCTCTCCCTACCCGAGTCTCGCCGCCGTCTAGATTGACCGCTTGCGCGTATCAGCTGTGCAGCCCGCATATGCTCGCGGTGTGTCTACATACCATTCAGCATAAGACAGAGTCCGCCATCATGAGATTACACAAACACACGGACTCACCAGTCATACTGCAAACAGTGCAAAGGTCCCAGCCGCATACTAGACGGCGGTGCAGCGCAATTGCGGTGCTGCTTTCACAAAATGGCTTTGCCCCGGTCAACGCAACCACGTCGAGCTGCAACTAGACAACTCATCGTACAGTACATGTACTTTACATCCTACTCTCAGAATTGACACCCTCACTGCTTGACCACATCCCTCATTGCGGGCCGCAGAGGCAGCCCTGCCACCTAATACACCATATCGATCAACTTCATCTACAGTCACCACAATCGTCAGTACCCCATCGTCCGCAGAAACACAGGCTAGAAAATGCGCACCTGGTCGATTGAGCTCTGGTTCGTGACAGTGCGCAGACTCGCGCCCGCGGAGCCTGTCGACGAAGACCTCGAGCTGCCAGCAGTACGTGCTCCAGTACTCCTCCGAGCACCGTGCGCGCCCGTCTTCCCGGAGTACTTGTAGTGCTTCTCGTACTGCGTCTCGCCCGTCGCCTTGTCCTTTGTCGCAATGTAGTGGTACAGCTGTTAGTGCCATAGCCGTCAGCGCCGGGACCCGGGACCCTCTCTCAGACGAGCGGGGCACGTACGTGGTGGGGCATCGTGAAGTTATAGAGCGTCACGACTGCACGCTCCGTCTCGACATCGATCGTAGGGAGCTCCCACACGCGCGGAACGAGCCCGGCGACGTTCGCGCGGCGCATGTCCGCATACACTGTCGCCTCGACATTGTACTCACCCTCTGCGCTCTCCGCGGAGCCCTCACGGTACACGAGCGTCGTGTCCATCGCCTCGTCGACACGCTCATCCCATGGCGACGGCCGCGTGTGCGCAGACTTGACGCACAAGGAGGCACCCGCGTCGAGCGCGAAGCGCGTGCTCAAGAGGACGTACGTCACGTCCATCAGCGCGCCGCCCGCGAGGTCGAACTGCCAGCGGATGTCCGACGCGGAGATCGAGCAGACGGGCGAGGTCATGATCGCGTGTGTCCGCAGGACCTTGCCGTGCTGCGGGCCGGTGAGCATAAGGGAGAGCAAAGGGAGGGCAGACACACTTTTGACACGACGTCCTTGAACGCGTGTGCGGCGGGGTGGCACTGCCAGTGGAACGCCTCCATTACGTGCGCTGCGCGGTCTCGATGACGCGCCGCGCCTCCGCATCGTTAGCGGTGAAGGCCTTCTCGAGGAGGACGTGCTTGCACTTCTCGAGCGCCTTGATCGCCCACTTGCCGTGCTGCCCGTTCGGGAGCGAGATGTAGACGAAGTCGACGAGCGGGCTGTAGCAGCTCGTCGTACGACCCGAAGGCGTGTGCGATGTTAGCCTTGAAAGGCTTGAAGCCCACAGACATGTGTAAGTAATTACTGAATACAACTACAAGCAAGTACTTACCTTGTACCAGCAATAAAACACGTTCAGACAAGGACGCGAGCAGACTGAGACCGACGCGACGCGTTCAACATCGAACACGGTCACATGAGGGCTCGGGCAGTTCTTCGTTCCACAAGCGCCGGCGCGGTGGCGCGGTGGCGCGCGAGTGCGATGTCTTTATTCAACTCGTGGCGGAAGAGCGACTTCCCCAAGATGTTTCCGTGCGCAAAACGCGTGTTTTATGTGTTCTGAATGTACCTAGAAAATATTGGCCGCTACAATTCGAAGCTGAGTGCCGGAGGTGGGCTAAGGCCACACACTCACGTGTCACACTCGGTGACAAACGGTCACTCGATCACACTCGCGTCACACTGCGCGCGCACTGATTCATGCAAGCCGACTTTCGTGAGCATACATTTCGTGTACCCTTCCGAGTTTCGTGATCATCCAAACTTTTCGTGAGTGGTTCCAAACTTTTCGTGAATGCACATTTCGTGCATTTATTATACTTTTTGTAGGTACTATTACATTTCGTGCGATCCGATTATTTCCACAAACGGGCCGCCATAAGGTCGGACGTCATATCAGACTCTTCGACACCCGCGAAATCCACTGACATGCCATCAAGCTTCAATATTTGATGCCTGTTGGTCCAAGTGTGATCCCGAGGCTGTGCTGTTCCATCGCCAGTTCGTCGGCTCGATATAAGCTCACAACTTAGCGCTGCCAGTGCGTGGGTAGTAGAAGCTCTAGATCTTTCCGGGAGCGCGAAGTGAAAAATTGCCAGACCTCACTTCCGTTGGTGTACGACGCCTAGCTGCGGAGTTCGCTAACGCTAGGAATGACTTCGTTCCCGTACATCAGTATGATTGGCCCAGCCTGAGCCTTGTCCGATTTTCGTTGTATGGGAATTGAGCAAGCAAATCGTCTCTCAGTTGACACCAACATGGCAGCGAGTCAACTTCACTTCTCACACAGGCACTGCAGAGCCGTCGCTCGAGCATCATGCACAATAACGCCTGATGGTCGGTGGGCGAATCGGTCTGTGCATTCTAGACGAGCTGAACACAGATGCTGAGGCAGACCGGGCAGACAGTGATTTGAAGTTATTTGGCATCGCCCTTCACGACCAGTAGTATTCGAGCATCTCTAAGCCGTCTATACAATACAAGACTACGTTTGACTCAGTATTAGTAGTACTCAAAGTCGTACGCCCGCTTGCCGACCTTCTTCTTGGGAGGAGGAGGCGGAGGAGCAGCGGACCTGCACAGGTGAGCGAACTGCTGTTCCATAACGGCTTGAAGCGACGACAGGTTGGGCTAAGAGGAGCGGGTAAGTACAAGCCCCCAGCGCCGCAACAGCAGGAAAACTTACAGTGGAGCCGACGGCGACCTTCTTTGCCTTGCCCCAGTCGATGAGGTGTGCCTCGGTGAGGTGGTCGTCGAACAGGATGTTGTGCACGTGAGGGTCGTCGTGCAACCAGCCCTTGCTGTGCGCAATCTCGCCGATCTTCTTGATTCCGACCTTGACTGCCTCGGCGACATGCTCCTTGCACTTGGCAGCGTTGGCCTTGTCCGCCGCGAATTTTGTCGTCTTGTCGAGCTCCTTTCCAGGTGACTTCTTGATGATGAGCCAACTGACGCCCTCGTCTTTGCCGCTCGTTATGGCCTCACCAACCTGCAAGGAATCGCATCAGCAAACGCATCGAGCTCAGCAATGAACATGAACGCACAGCTTTGGTGGCCTCGATTTCTTGTTCCGTCACTTTCTTCTTGGCGAAAGCACCCGCATGAGGTCCCGATTCGACCTGGAAGACTTCGGAGCTTTCGCCTTGCTCGCCGGCTGGCAACTTCTTCAGCTTGAACTCCTCAGTCCCGAGTTTGATCGTTGCGTCCGACGTGGCTGCAATCAAGCGTAAGCGGGAAAAATCATAATGCGTACTTGCAAGGAGACTTACTGCGCTCGTACAGCGTGAGTAGGGCATGCGCGAGCTCGCGAGCAACAGGGTTTGGTGCAGAGCGAGCGATGATCTCGCGAGCCTAAGAGCAACATGGTGTGAGCGATATGCGTACAGTATACGTGGAGAAACTTACCCTATAGAATTCTGAGACAGGTGCACTGCTGACAAGCAGCGCAAGGCAAGAGAAGATGACTGGAAGGATAACGAAACGCATGACGAAAGAAGAAGTCGAGTCGTAAGTCGTAAACGGGGATGAGAGAAGGTCGTTACTCGAGTACTAAGGAAGGGCGAGGAGAATGGACCAGCCAGCTCGGATTGTTCGCCATCTCAGCTCGCTCTTTTATAGCAGTCAGCGGGGCTGGAGGTTCGGGTATGTTTCATCCACGCGCCGAGGACCGCGGGGTGGGAATGAGGAGGCGTCCTGGCAAAGTTCTCAGCCAGCTTCGATGAACAGTGGCCGCCGCCTGAAACCCGGTTTAGGCGGCGTAACTGCCGACTCGGATGCGGCTAGGCACTATTGGCATAATCGATTCCGCTCGAACACACAAGCTCGGCGCTCACGCGTTCACGCGAGCCCCAGGCGATTTGGCAAGTCTCCCCTTTTGACGTGCCTCTAGATTGGATATGGCAAGTGCCCTAGTACTAGTGAGAAGACATTGCAGGCAGGAGATCCAGAACTGCTACGCACACTGCTGCACACTCCTCAGGCGAGGGGCGCGGATCTGCTTCCGGTTCCGGGGTCAGTAGCTGGTAGCTCCGAGGTCATCGCTCATCTGCAAGAGGACGGATCTTGGACCGGATCGGAAGGTACAGCTTAGGCACAGCATCTGGCATTAGCGGGATGTACATGGAGCCGGTCAAGACGCCGACGCCCACCAACGGTCGAAGGAACTGATGTTGATCGCTCTTAAAAGATCCGCAGAGCAGTTCACAACATTTTTGCCTCCGGCCTCGACGAATGTAAGACGGATGCGGCCTTGAGCTATGTTGAGTCGGTAAACATTCAATCATCCGTTAGCCTGCGTGCGCGCTCGTACGCAAGTGACGCGGCCGATTCTACATCTTTCTAAGTACCTGTGGTGCAACTGCGTCAGCCAATCCCCTATGAGTGACTATGAGCGCGGGTATACGTATCGGTGGACTCACCGTGCATCAATCCATCTGCAAGCAGACAGCACTCTGAACTTCTAACGCGTTTCGCCTGGCTTCGCACCGGGACCCCCTTGATGCACTTGTGGGCATACCCTAAGTCCTGGCTCGGGGAGGAGTCGGCGATTGATAGATCAAGGCGGGAATTGCGCGGGAATGACATTATATCTTCAAGAACATACGGGAGCATCGAGGTGCATAGCATGTCGGGGACATTGATCGAGTTGCTTGTGTCGATTGTGGACGTGGACCGGCAAGATTACTTCAGGCAAGTTTAGGCCTGAGCGCTGCATACTACTAAGTAATTCAAACGGCGCGTAAGCGAGCCCCCCAATGGCGAAGGCTTTTGAGCGTTTCGAAAACGGATTTGAACGTTGTAACGGTCGATCGGTGGCTGTGCAAGTGGCAACGGGTACATTACTTATGTTTGCATTAGATCGTTACACAGCGATCACAAGCCATTGAAGCCGTGGGAATAGCGGCGAATAGCGGGCAGTCCTGACGCCAATTTGCTTGCCCTCATCTTCATCGACCCGCCCTAAACGACCGCGTCGCGCCGTATCATGTCCAACGCGTCTGCCCCACTTCCCGCCGATCTTCACCACGCTCTCGAGCAGGCTATTGGCAATGCGAATAATGCTGTGGACATCTCCAGGAAGAAGAAATCCAAGCGTGTGCGGGACGACGACAACGTGGCCGACGTCTCTGGCGCGGAAACGCCCTTGAAGAAGAAAAAGAAAGGCAGAGGACATGAACACCAAGATGCATCGCCGGGTGAGGAGCAAGTGACCGTCGCTCAAGTTGATCCCGCTTTGTCTGCGGCGGAAGCAGGTGATGCAGACGTATCTGAAGAACCGGGTAAGAAGAAGAAAAAGAAGAGCAAGAAAGGAAAGGAGAAGGAGACGTCGGAGGTGTCGTCTCGGGATGTTTCTGAGTCGCAGCCAGAGGCTGCCTCAAGCGCAGACATTGCGGCCTCGTCTGCGGACTTTCTCAATGCCGTCGTCGCCGCCGCGTCTGCAACTTCGGGCCAGACTGCGCCTCCCGGCCAACCGTATGACCCGTCCATGGCCTCTCCTTCTCATTGTCTACCGTACCCTCCTCAACAGCCTGACTATGGGATATACCAGTATGGGCCTCCCCCAGGTCACCCTGCTCCATTCGCCCCCCATGCGCACGGCCAGGCGGCACCGTCGATGTTCCCCGACCCTAATGGAATGCTGCCCGATCTCCAGTTCACCTCCAGCGAGGATTTGCTTCGCACTTTGCAGGAGTTCGACCTGAGTAAGGTCATGCACGTTCTCCGATCCCTTGGGGACGCTGCAAACGCCGCGAACGTCTCGGTGACCATGCCCCCGCACATGGCTCCTCCGCAGATGCCTCCGCCTGTCGTTAACAAACCGGTGAGGTCTGAAGCGATACTCGGACGGCCGCCCAAGCAGAGAAGACCACCGCAGCCACAAGAACAAGGCCCGGCGCAAAGTCTTGCGTCCATCGCCTCTGCTGTTGCGCATGTGCCATCTCATGCACCGATGGTTGCTCCTGTTGCTGCGCCAATGCCGCCGCCGCCACCACCCGCGCCGCCCAGCCAAGAGGGGAATGTGGAGCATGCACATATGCTGGCGAATGTGTGGATGAACGCGCAAAAGCTTGCCGATATGGTCAAGCAGGAGGGCAAGTCTTTCTGGTATCGCCAGCCATATCACTCTGGTTGACGTATCTCCCTTGCATAGGCCTGGTCTACAAGAAAGGGAAGTTCTCGGTCATCGAGGAAGCTCAGCTAAACGCAGCAATTGAGCACTATCGAGTGGTGTGTTGTCGCGGACAGATGTGTGACGGTCGATATCTTACGCGCATGCAGGCGAAAGGCCTCACACAAGATCAGTTGAACGATCTCATCTTCTCCAAGGAGCGCGGTCGAGACACGTTTTGGCAGGAGATCAGTAAGTGACCGGCTATCACGGGGGCCTTGCATGTATTCATTATTTCTAGCATCTGCGTTGCATTTGCGTCCCATTATCGCTGTGTACCACCACGTACGCCGGAACCGCCACCCTCTCAGTCAACAAGGCAAATGGATGGAGACAGAGGACGAACTTCTAACACAGTCAGTGATGGTCCTATCCAGGAACTGATTTTTTTTGTTGACAAGGTAGTTTAGGGCTGTGGCTGATCTCGGTCAGCAGTGGGAGCGAGTCAGTCAACGAGTTGGCCGTATGGCGGGTGACTGCCGTGATCGCTGGCGCAACCACCTCGAAGACCGTGGCAGGCGTAAAGCGGGCTCATGGTCAAAAGCAGAGGAGGAGGAACTGACGCAGATCGTCACGGAGATGACCGTCGAGCAGGGCAGAGACTTCGACAGCGAAGTGTTCTGGGGCGTCGTGAGTCAGAGAATGGGGGGCAAACGTGGAAGGCAGCAGTGTAGGATCAAGTGGTACGTTGTCCCGTTAGCCGTTGCATGGTCTTTGCACTGATCATTCGCTTAGGACGGACACGCTGAGCTCGCAGATCAAGAACTCAGGAGAGCGGCCGAGGTGGAGCCAACTGGACGCCTACATCCTTGTACACAAGTGCGTTGTTGGAAGATCCGTACGAGTCGTGCATTGACCTGCTGCAAAGGGTTGACTCGTTGAACGTTCGAGACGACACAGAAATCGACTGGAAGTTGCTTCCGGACGAGAATTGGAATGTCTGGAGTGCCCATGCGCTGCAGAGGCGTTGGCTCACGATGAAGCGGAGCATCAAGGGTCATGAAGAGATGTCGCACGCAGGCTGGTCCTTGTCCGCTCGCTACGTGGGCTAAGTACTGACGTAGATTGACAGAGATGATGGAGATTCTAAAGACTAAAAAGTCTCATGTACCGGGCTCCTCCACTAGCCGGAAGAAGAAGAGCAAAGTTACTAGTGCCGAAGCAGTCGTGGAGGTGGATGATGTAGAGGGAAACATGGGTCCAGTTGCAGGACCTAGTACTGGCATCGCGATCAATGGCGTCGTATGAACGATTTTGTGCTCAATCTAATCTATTCAATAATGTAGAATCAAGGAAGTACGTTTGTTTGAGTGTCATGATCCCTTCAGTATCTAAGTAGTCTTGTAGTGACCACTGTCACTGCCCATGCCAGTGGTATTACTATGATGATGATGATGAACTCTATGTATGTACGAGGTAGTGTAGTATGCGTATGTAGTAATGGGGAGGTGACGATAATTTCTAGGGGGCGAGTCGTTCAGCGGGCGCATCTATGTGCGGCTACAGACCATAAAGCATGTGCAGTAGAAATAAAAGACAGTGGTATTACTATGTACGCGCTGCCGTCAGTCTGAGTGCGTTCCGCATGAACGCGTCCACGTGATTCGCGTTGAGACGCGTTAGGACAAACAGTGACACACAGAGCGTGACGGTTGGGTTTCGCGTGCCCTCGACGCGTGCGACGCGCTTCTTGCCTTCTTCGTCTTCGTTTGTTCCCTGTGGCCACCCTTCTCTACGCGCCTGTGCTACCTCTTCCCCACTCTGTGCTAACCTATTTATGCTGCCATGGCTCTGAATCTTTCCCCACGCAAGGTGGTTCCGTTGGCCAGCGGCGACGACCCGCGGCCCCGACTAAGGACAAGGTCGACGCTGCCCAGCCTGACGAAGCGTGTTTTCCTGTGCGGAGTGGTCGTGGAGGGTGCGGGTAATGGACCAATTCCGGAAGGTATGTCTGCCCTTCTCACACTGCTTTGTGGTTCCGCTGGAACACACTCGTGTCTACCCGTGTCGGCTCAGCATGGTTGGCTGTTAATGGCCAAGCACGCGATGCGATCTGTGGTGCCGAAGCATGCTAGAACTACCTTGTTGGGAGGAATTGTGAGTGAGGGCTACTTAGAGCCCGCAGACTCTGCTCAGGTTCCAGGCGGGGATTGCGCAGGATAAGTCTGGGCCTCCCCGATTGCGACCGTCATGTAATTTTACCGTACCCCATATATCTGTCAATACAGATGCCGTCGAAACCATGCGTCTTTGACAAGACCACCATGCTGAGCTATTCACTGGCAGACGCGGGCGTCCACCTTGAGATTTCGCATTCTTGATAAGTGAGACTGACAACCATGACAGATGTGCAAGACATGCTAGCCTCTTTCGGCGAATACCTAGAAGCCGAGTCAGAGGCGAACTCTACACCATCACTATCTTCAACAAGTGCTGATACGTTCACTACAGTGAGTCGTTGAAATATGATTGGATCTCGCAGGACTGCTGAACATTCCGCGTGCAGGGTACTCGCAAGCTCGCAGCCGCGAACGCTTCGGCTCTCGCCCAAAACATCAAGGAGCTCCTCACTACCGAACAATCCTATGTGGAACGCCTCAGGGCGCTCAAGCGTGACTATGCCGATCCTCTGAGGAAATTCGCACGGAACAAGGATACCTCTATTTTGCCGGCATACGAAGCCAATACCTTGTTCGGCAACGTTGACAATCTCCTACCGGTAAACGAGTCCTTCCTAGTAGATCTTGAACGTATGGGCACACCCGGGGGACCTGGCGTCGGAGACGTCGCCTTGAAGCACTTCAAGACTTTCCGCGGATTCGAACATTACAAGATGTACTATTCGAAACGAGAAGAGGCACAGCGTATCTTTGAGGCTCAAGTCAAGAAATCCTCCAGCTTTGCAGCCTACATTGACGTAAGCCTGCTGTCGTGCCCTGGCTAGAGACGTACTTCATGGCTTCACAGCGCGTCAAGTATCATGGTCCCAATAACGGCCGGAGCTGTGTTGGGCTGCGTGAGTTGCTCATGGAGCCCGTGCAGCGCATCCCTCGGTACACGCTGCTGTTTCGCTTGATGATCAAGCATATGGCCCCTGACGATCCGCAGCGAGCGAAGCTCGTAGAGGCGGACAAGATCGCGTCTCAAATCGCATTAGCAGAGACGGACGAGAACACTAAGCGCGCAGAGAGGATGTTCTGCCTACGGAATAGTATCGAAGACTTTCCACCGGCTCTGCTGTCGAACAGTCGCCGCTTCATTGACTGCATCGATGTCGAAGACGTTGCCGATGCGGGATTTGGCCCTGGAGGTGATGCACAGCCCACGACCACGCTGCACTGTACTCTCTTCCTGTTCGATGACAAGTTGATGATCGTCCGGCGACCCAATGACAAGTGTGGCAGAGCGCTCACCGGCCTTGATGATATGGACAAGCCGACCACGAAGGCGCATCCCCTCTCGATGAGGAAGCTGAAGAAGGCTCAGATGAGCTGCAAGGGTGTTGTGAACGTCATGGACGTCGTTGCGACAGACGTCGGGGGCAGTGGTACGAGGAGGCCTTATAGTCTCGATGCGAAATGTACTCAACATGGTGTTTAGATATGCATATGTACCTCGAAAACCCTCCTCATGATCAAGGCGATCGTTGGTCTGGTCGTCCATTCCGTTCGCTGGTTGCTGTACATCCTCCGTCGAACCAACGCGATACGAAGCTCACGGAGGAGCGCAAGGCACAGTTTCTAGAGAACCTCTGGAATGCGCAGGCTTGGTATAGGACTCGGAATAGCCTCTCTGTGGTGATTCAAGCGGAAGAACGAGAGGTCGAGAGCTACGCTGGAAAGAAGACCATTGCTCGGACGTATTTTAATGTCTACACGAGGCCGGGATATCTCAGCGAGGACAAGAAGGTAAAGATGTCCGTCGTGCATGCACAGAGAAGCGTGTTTGACTGTTGGTTCAGCCCAAGGTTGTTGTGCACATCGATCCTTTAGGATCCGCGGACCGGATTCCGTTTGGTGGTCGCAGTCCACCTTATGTTGTCATCACGGTCCAACCAATGCCTGGAGCGCTTTCGCGATATGAGGTCACCTCTAATGATCCCGACGACGAAACGGAGAGCGACATAGTCCATAACACTGTTGTCCCTGCAAGGGTCGTACAAACAAGTAGGTTCGGTCCGCTTTCTTCGCTAATTGTGCTGACTTCCATTAGTCCACCAATACGGATTGTTCAAGTTTAGTACCGGACAAAACTCGAGGCCTTCGACACCCACCGCGACTAGATCTCGCGCAGCTATCTTCGGACTCGACGTCATCTCCCGGAATCTCTTCAATTCTCGTCCAGGATCTGCTACGAACGATGTCTTCGGTGGATCGACAAACAGCAGCAGACGCACGAGGACGACCGCCAGCCATTCGTCCATGTATACAGGCTCTATGTCCACAGCTGGCCACGGTAGTAGCTTGTCCCGCTTCTCACAGGCACCTTCGACCCTGACGGCCGCTACGTCCATCGAAGACGAACAGTCCTTCAGGGGATCCAAGAGTAGCAGAAGGTCGCGTTCCCTATCGCAATCAAAGAAGCTTGTCAAGAGGCCCAAGTCACCAAGGGTAGACGACTCAGTCAGCGAGCCTGACTCGTCTGTGTCTGAGCGAAGCAACCGGTGGCCAATTTCGCGAACTCGTAGCGAACCGGCGGAACTTGTAGACGACGAAGACGACGCTGCCATTCTTCACTGCGCGTTTGCAGACGAAGAGGACCCGGACCTCGAGGGCCAGCTTGAGCTCGCGCAGCTCAATGGACAGACTCACAGTGAGCAACATTGGGCGCATCTCAAGCTAGATGACCCTATCGACGAAGACATTTACGATGGTAAGTCATCACCTCAGTCTTGGCAGTTGTTCGTTGCCTCACATCGAATCTAGAGCAGCCCAATGTCACGCGGCCTCTGTCGCGGGCATCTCGTACTACTCGACATCTACCAGATATTCCTATGAGCTTGCACGATCGACGCTCTCCTTCGCCGCGACCTGAATCCAGCCTAGACACCCGGACGATTACTCCCGACATCCACAGGGCTCGCTCCCTATCAAGACACTCGTCCGATCGACGACCCCTGGGTCCTCGATCACCTTCGCCCTTGCCCCCGCGGACGCCGTCGCCCATGCCTGCGCGAGCGCTATCCCCTATTCTGGCTGCTGTCGATGCTCATGCCTACATGCTTGACACGGCGCCTTCTGTCGATGCTGACTTGGCACACGAAACCACATTGGTGAATTCGTCGCAATCTCCTGGCGCGTCTCCTGGTGGTCCTCTAGTCACCCCTGTCAAACCGCGCATCCCGCGTAGCAAGCGCCAGCCGTTCGAGCCCACACAGAATCTGGAGACAACCCCGAAAGCTGAGCGTCATGCGCTATCACAGACGACGGTCACGCCAATAGAGCCTCTGTCAATCAAGAAGAAGAGCTCGGTGGCATCGTCCACGCGCAGCTCGCCCTCCCGTTCTCGGCCTACGTCTTCTCAGACTGTCCGTGGCTCGCCAAGGGGCAAACGAAATGGTGGGTTCAAGTCCTCCCCGGGTAGCCCAGGGCCAGTCATGCCGCCGTCAATCGCCCTCCCTGTGTCGAGCGAAGAAAGTGCGCGTTTGATGAGGCTCGTGGAGACAACGAAAGAGGATGTCAGTCGAACTATGTACTCCTATCATCGTCTTGCTGATATATTCGTGCTAGTTGGAATCCTCTAGACGAGCCGTTAAGCGTATCCGGCTAGAGACGGAAAGATTGCGTTATCTTGCACCTACCGCCGAATCACCGACACGACAGACGGATCCCTTCGCTAGAGCTGCGTCGCCGTTTGGTTCGCCTATCAAGACTCGTATTCCCCGGTTCCCAGAATTTAAAGCTGAGGTTAGTCTTCCGTCGGTACATCATCCGCCTTGTTCATCTATGGTTGTGCAGTCGAAAGACCGGGAGGCGCGACTGAAGGAGTTGCAGCTAGTGATCAATCGCCGTAAGGAGCGCGGAGGCGTACAGTCTTGGCAGAAGCAGGAAGAAGGTTGTTCGCGCTCGCAGACTCCTGCGAGCCCTGGAACGCCGACGAATGTGCAGGATATTGCCGACTCGATCGACGATCTTCTTGAACAAGCCGATCGCGCACTTGAGAATGCCGTGGCGAACGAGCAGTCCGTCCAGGTCGACGTGGACGAAGTGGTGGCACTGCTGAACCAGGTAAGCACTGTGCACTCTGTGTTTAGTTCTCCAAACTGACGACTTGATCGACAGAGAACGTCGGAGCTGATCACAGCCCAGACGCAGCTGAAGAGTACTCGGGTTCAGCTCGAGACAGTCAAGGCGCTCGTTGACCACTCCAGGGACGAGAAGGACTACTTGTTTGATGTGAGTCTAGATGAGATGGGTGTACACAACGCAAGGCTTGACGAGTCGCTGAAGGCCTTCAACGATGAACTGCTCAAGATGTATGACGACGCGAGCCTCGATTCAGAAGACGCGTGGTCTGCTATGACGAAGGACCTTCGAGACACCAAGAAGTCCCAGAAGCTGGCAGCTCAGGAAAATTCGTGAGTACAGTGTTGCCAGTTTGGTGTGTTCAACTGTGCTGATAGGTTTCGCAGACGTTTGAAGCGACGAATTGGGGATTTGGAGATGCAGCAAGAAGAGTGAGTGGCTGAACATCCGTCTGATGGCGATTCTGACTGCGTGTACAGATGGGGAGCCCTCTTGAGGGCGCATGGGCTGATTCCATGATGATTGGTTCGACTGAGGTCGACATGCTTGATATACTGACGTACACCCTAAGACTCGTTGACTGTATTATGTTTCTCTCCCTCTGCCGATTGATATGTATCATTGATTTCGTAGATCTATGGGGCCTGGTCACGGTATGCTATTGCCTGAAGTGAACTTGTGTTCGCCTGTGGTGCCGCGCGAAAGCTTCGACACGACCTTGGACGCAATTGACATTGGCAAATGTCACTCAGAAGAGCATTATTGTCAGACGACATATTCTACAACGCAATATATACAGTACACATGAGGCTACGCAGTGACACTAGGCTCAATCTCGCCCAGAAGCATAGTAGCATCCTTGCTACCGGTCAAAACTAAGGAGCACGTCAGTGCTCGGCACGGAAATGATCGACATGAACACGTACTGATAGGTTCTTTTGGATGGAAGTCGACAGAGGTGACGGTACCCTTGTGTCCAGGAAGCTACGACGACAGCCGATGAGTACTAAGCCATACCATGACGGGCGAACAGACATACCTTGTAGAGCACCTTCGCATTCTCCACGTCCCATATGCAGACAGTTCTGTCCGCACCTCCCACAGCAACACGCCTGCCACCATCGTCCCTGCTCCAGGCTCCACGTAACAGGGTGTTCTCGAACCCTGCTGGCGCACCCATGAGGACGCGGTGCACGCGCGCCGGCGACGGCGAGAATGGTCGGACGTCGTGGATAATCGTTTGTGAAGACAAGGAGGGGGACAGGAGGAAGTTGCCATTGGGTGAGAGGGACAGCGACGTGGGCGTGTCTGTGTGCCCTGTAAGAGTGTACACTTGCTCGTTTTTGCGAAGGTCGAGAACCTGGTAGAGTGCCCGCGGTAAGGATCGCGTGGCACCATCAAGCCGAGGATGACTCACATGGATCTCGTTGTCCAGCGCACCAGCATAGATGTTCATGCCATCTGCGCTCCAACACACTGAAGTGACGGGGCACCCAATCTCGAATACGCTCACAGGGGCCTTCGGACCCTCATCGCCGCCCTCCCATACCCTCACCGTCCCGTCATCAGCACAAGTTACCACCAGCTCTACTCCAGCACCACCCGCCATCGTCCTGTCAAGAGAATTGATGATGCCCCGGTGAGAGCGAAGTTTGCGCAGACGCTGCCCAGTGGTGAGGTCCGTCACGTTGAGGGTCTGGTCGGCGGACACCGTGTAGAGGAGCGGAGAGAATAGCGACCATTGCAGATCTAGTATAGGGGCTTTGTGAAGGCTAGAGAGAAGGCCGTAGTTTTCATTCGGTGCATATGTTCGCCAGAGTGCTATTCGGGAGCTAGTGGTGAGTTGACGTTTTGGGCACAAATGTCCTCCACGTACAGACACTCCTATCCGCGGAGCACGCGGCTATATTTTGGCCTGTAGGATCGAACCTACAGCTGAGAATTTCTGCCTAGATACTCGCGTCAACTACGCTCGTGAACGACGCGTTCTGGCAACACCACGAGTGACACCTACCGAGTGTGAGCCTGAAAGACTGACGATGGGGGCCTCCAAGCTACTTGTGCGCTGCACAGTACGGATAAGGGCCTGCTGCCGTTCATCGTTTGACGAGGAAATGGCAATTTGGTTTTGAGCAGGCTCATTGGAACGCGCTCGCTTTATGAGCGCACCTCCGGGAGGGGGAGAAGCACCACGCTTGGACATGTCGCACGACTAGTTAGCTTGCACGGGGAAGGATGACAGAAGATAGGGCAAGAAAGCTCAGGTGCTGAAGCAGCAGTGGCGGCAGGAGTGGCGGATTGGTTGCAGCCACAATGGTCTAAGGCGCCCGGCGTTGAAAGATTCAACGCAGTGGTATTGCCGTAAATGGGAACATCGGTTGAATCGCACGCGGACGTACGTTGTATCATACTAGTAACTTGCTACTGAATTGCAACATCATGCGCTTGAGCGTAGAACAACATATTTTACACGAACTACTGTACAGGGTCGTGAATGCAGTGCAGAGGATTCAAAAGGGAAAAGCAGTGAAAAAGGCGTGTGATGTCAACCAAGAAGGGGCTCCAGGATTCAGTTCAAGTAATTTTCGGTGTGGTAGCTTGGCAGAATGGACGTAAGCTGCTCTACGTACCAGAAGCCAGTTGGCTCTCCAGCTTCGTCCTTGTCACCTTCGCCCGGGTTCTGACGGACAATCTGAACCCACGCGCCACCGAGGTGCATACCAATGAGCATCTTGTCTGCTACCGCGGGATCGAGGAGCACAGTGATCGTGTCCTTGAACGGGTTGTGTGGTCTGGGTGTTGCGGACTGATCGACTGTCGCGGACGCCTCTTTCACCACAGGACCCCGAGAAGACTGCATGATCTCCGGTGGCAAGATATCACTTGGTCCCTGCGGTTCCGAGACGGGACACGGCGCGAGCGACATCTTCGCGAACCGCGCATTCAGGTCGTCCTCGACGAATCCGACCTCGTTGAGGCCCCTGAGTCTCTTCTTCTCCGCCTTGGTCGTCGCGAGGCCAATGACAGGTGCGATCGAGACGATCCTGCGAGTCGAGCGCTCCACAACACCAGTGGTATGGGTGAAGGGCAGGGCTGTCGCGCCGAGATGGGCCATGAGCGGGTTCGGCTGGGGCTCAACGTCCCATGTGCTCCCGCCCTCGCCCGCCCATGCATCCGCCTCGGCGCTGTTCCAACCTTCGTTAGTGTCGCCGTTGGTGTCGCCGTTGGTGTCGCCGACGTCGCCCCAGCCACTGGCGCCCCATCCACCATCAGAGGTGCCGTTGGCATCGGGATTCGCAGTAGCCTCATCCTTGCGTACGTCCTTCTCGATGGCGGCGACAGTCTCGGGGGTCAATACCTCCACTTTCGCATCGTCCCCGATCACGTCCTTGAGCACGTTCGCGGTTTCGTCCTCATCGAGCTTCCGCCGCTTCGCGTCTGGCTCCTCCGTACCTTCCTGCGTACCAGCAGCGGTTTCCCCCTTGTCATCGCTGGCAGGCTCGTTAACCCAGTATATCGTTTGGCCTTTGCACCCCCAGATCGCCTCGCAGCCTACGCCCACGTGATCTGGGAGAGCCTTGCCCATGACGAATGTCTGCGGGAGCTCCTTCCGCGCCTGCTCGACCACGAGGAGGGCCTTGCGCAGACCCTTCTCGTGTTCGGGCTCGGGGAGGACGCGGCTACGCAGCAGGAAGTTCAGGAAGAAGCCAATGAGGTAGGGGCCGTCGCGCGCCCTCTGCTCGGACCTATGTCGCATAGGCAATCGTGAGGGTGGGCACACGGGACGATAACGAAAGCATACCAGATCAGGCCCTTGTCGCGGTAGAAGCCCGAGAAGAATACTTTGATGCAGGTCTCGGTCTCGTTGAAGAAGAAGTCCATGCGCGAATCCTTCGCCTCGCGGAAGTCCTCGCGCCGGAGCTGACGCTGCTCATCAGTGAAAGGACTCTTCTTTTTTGGCGCGGTGCGGATTGCCTCGTCCTGGATGACACGCGCTTTCTCCTCGTCAACTATAGTGATCGGCTTGACGGGCTTGGTGCTGCCGTCCATTGCATCGTCCGAATCATCACCCGACTCGCCTCCGTCGTCGGCGGCTTCGGTCATGGCTTGCAGTTGCTTCATGCGTTTGACACCCGGTGGCGGCTGGATGCTGCTGATAAGCCCAATGTACAGCCGGAACTGGGAAACTACAGGGTCAGTCGCTGTGAGAGCAGCAGAAACATGCACGCATACGTGGTCCCATAGCTGAGGAACACCGTTGGTCAAGGCAGGCCAAGGGCGGCCATTCTTGAAGTCATGGGATGCCTGATGCAAGCGATCTACCCGCAACATCGACCTACATAGAACACACAATCAGCGTCCCCATGAGCATCTACCACAGTGCGCGCAGCAGGCAAACGCCACTCACGGATCGACCATCGTCCTCCTCTGGCCCTCGCCCGCCTCCCACTCCTCGAACCAGAACAAGCGGCGCACCGTGCCGTCCTGGCCCTTCTCGACCTTCCTGAGCCGCTTGTTCGTGCGCTTCTTGCGCTCCGCCGCCGTGAGACTGTGCTGCGACGCGAGCATCACCGTCGGGATGCCCATCGCGTCGTGTTCGACGCGCTGCAGATCGGGCGGGGCATCGCCCTCCCCGTCCTTGACGACGTAGATGCCCTTCGGCTTGAAGGATTTGAACGGGATGATCGTCACGCCCGGAGGCGACTTGGGGAACGGCGGGAACGTGAACCACGGCGCGTCTGTGGCGGCGCCGATCTCGCCTTCAAGCTGGGTTGCGGCCGCGGCCGCGTCTGGCAATACGCCGTTCTGCGGGGTGGTCGTCGACATATCAAGGGGGGCCGACATGGCTGTTGAGGAGAAAGGAACAAGGTTCGACGGGTAGCTTGGGTGGACCCTAGCTTTGGCCGCGAGCTATTATATACTGGAACGGCGATTCGAGATCTTCGACGACTTCTCAATCGGCGGCGCGTGCCACTGGCATGCCACCCGCGCATAATGCACCAAGACTAAGCTACCGTGACCCCTGGGTCAAAGCAATCCTGGTTGTAATACATCATGCTATAGAGAGAACCGACGAGATTTCTCGCGCAAACATGTGTGGACTAGCAAAGGGGCAATATCCAGGAAGAATGAAGGGAAAGGGCGATGAAGTCGGCAGTATCCAGAAAGAGTGAAGGGAAAGGTCGATCAGCACGGACCAACCATTGCAAAAAGAAACCTAATCGGTACACGGCGATCTGACGAAGACGATGCAATGCCATAGTGATAGGCAATTAGTCCTTGATAAGTTAGCCCGATGTGCTTCAGGAGCCAGGAGCCATGGGCAGTGGAATACACATAGATACCTGACCAGTGAAGTGAGGACGTCGCGATTGCATGACATACATGAGAGTACTCACCAAAGAGATGTAGCATATGCAACAGCCTAACAACCCAGAGACGAAAGCGAGCGATCGACGCACGTCCATTCATGCGGCCGTCTTCCGTTTCTTCTTCGGCAACTCGTCCTCCTCATCCTCAGCACTCTTTGTCCCATTGATGTTCTCATCCCTCGTCTTCCGCGCCTTACTCTTCGGCTTCACTTCCGCACCCCTCGTCCTGCTCTGGCTACGCGTTCGCGGGCCCTTCTCTCTCCGCGCCCTATTCCGCTCGCGCTCCATCTCGCTATCCTCCACGCGCATCTCCGCGTCCGAGTCGTCGATATAGGCCTTGCTCTTAGGCTTCCTGCCCCTTCGCTTCGGCGCTGCTGCAGGTGCGACGGACGAGCGCACGGACATGGTGTCGTCCACATCCGCATCCGCTCCTTCCATGTCTGTCGCCTCCTGCACCTTGGACTTCGGTGGACGGCCGCGCCGCTTAGGTGCGCCAGCTCCGGAGGGCGTGTTAGTGGCCGATTTAGGCGGGCGTCCTCTGCCCCGTCCGCGTATGCTGCCCGCGCGACTTGCGCTATCATCGACCTCCATCTGCTCGTTCACGTCGTTCTTCTGCTTCTCCTTTGCTTTGCCCTTGCCCTTCCTGTCCTTCGTTCGCCCCATGATCTCGTCCACTCCGCTGTCCGCCTCACCCTCGCTCATGTCGTCATCTTCTGTGGAGGCTTCCTTGAGGTTTACTTCGCGTCTGCGCTTGCGCTGGGACGCTCGCGGCAGCTGGTCACGGATGCCATGGCAGTTGAGACGGAGACAAGATACCAGCTTGTCGTTTGTCGGTGTGGAATCTGCGCGGAAGCGGGCGCGCTTGATGTCGGTCTACGAGAGGTTAAGAGGTGCAGCATTGAAGAGGGTCTTGTTGCACTCACCGTGTGCTTCCCTTCATAACACCAGCCATCCGGCGGCCCCTGGTCGCCATCGCCTTCTGTCACCTTTCCGCAACAGCCCCATATCGTCTCGTACGTCGTTCCAGGATCGCCTGCAGGACGTCCGCCCTTTGCACCGCGCCCCACACGCTCGACCTCCGCACTCTCGTCGTCATGCGCAACGAGGCAACTGCGATCGTCGTTCTCGACCTCGACGTACTCCTTGTGGCAGCGCAGGCAGTGCAGCTTCTCAGGTGGTGAAAGTTCAGCGAAGAATGTCGCGAGGGCGGGGAGGAGCACTTCGGGTACGCGGGGGATGTGGGAGAGTATATATGCGTGCAGGGTCTTTGCGGGGATAGCCATTAAATGTGTCGTGAGGGACTCTACCGTCGCCTCCGGTGGAGCAAATGCGGGTTGCCCCAGTATCTGTGCTGAGTTACTCGGTCCGGCCTGCCTGGTGGGAGAGCCCTGGCGGCCGCGTTCATCGACGGAAAGGCGCGCCATTCGCGCGGCAGGCGACGGAGATTGTGGTGCGCCATGAGCGGCAGATGCAGATTCAGCGGATGGAGAGGGTGTTCTCAATTGTGTCTGAGCCTGCTTAGTTGGTTCCGGCGGCGGTAGAAGGTCTGCCTTGGAGGGTGATGGTGAAGGAGGGAGAGGGATCGACTCGGGCGGAGGCGGAGGTTTCTTGCTGAAAAGGCCAAATACCATTGTCGCGTATACTGTAGTGCGCAAGCGCAGTGAAGAGAGGGAGAAGGAGTGTGCAGCGAGGCTCGCTCGCGGACGGCTGAGGTCTGTGTCTGTGCGTGCACGCAGCAGACACGCGCAAGCCGCCGAATGTGAGCGCGTGAGAAAACCGCGACGCGCCCTTGACGCGTGCTGTCACGCCTGTCACTGATCCCCGTCACCAAGGGCGCGATCAGTGCGCATGCGCCCGATCGCCTCACACAGCCAGATCCAGTCGAGTCGATGTTCCACTCCCTCCTGCATCACCGTACTATTCCTCTCTTGAACCGTGTTGCGATAGTATCCCAGATGGCAATATATTGTCACTATCCCCACAACTGCGATTAGACTCGGCGCAGACGCGGGCCCTGACAGCGCTGTCGGACCTCGCCCAAGGTACAGGTCGTCACAGGACCATCAAGGCCCGTCGCGCGAGCGCATGTGTATCTCCTTGCATATGCAGCCTCTATCTCGTTATCTACATTACTGCTCCCACTAGGCCCCAGATGTCCACGCTCTGATAAGTCGCCGGCTAGTCCCTGAGAACTCTGGTGCTTCAAATATCGGCGCTCTGTACGCCGCAAGATGGAGCCAGGTTGTCCTCTCCGCACTCGTGTCCTTCCCTAAGGCGATCTCTGCGCGGAATGTCACAGCCCTTGCGAGCGAAGGCGGTCACTGCTGTCCAGGACGCGGACGTAGTGGAGGTGAACAACCTCAGCAAGGTCCCGGATGCGGATGCGGAGGTCGAGGTAGCAGCGGTCACTCCGGCGAAGAGGGAAGAACCTGTGGTTACTCGTAGGGTGCGTGCATACTCTCCTTTGCTAGTGTCAAACTATCTGACCAAGCATCGTTCATTCAGGAACTGTGGAGTTACTACTGTACGTTGAACTCCGAATGTTCTAGTTCATCTGCAGGTCGCTGAGTATGCTGTTCAGTGTACTACAATGGAGACAACGTGAGTCTGCTATGTCCCTCATCATGATAATCCGATTTTGACTGTACATCAAGGGAGTTGGACCCAACGGTCAGTTGATATTCTAGTACTCACCGAATCCTCAGTATTGACCGTACTTGACCGCCCCAGGTTACTCCATGACACTGTTTCAGAACCTGGCGACTTCCGCTGGTTGGGACCCCTCCCAAGGACCCGGGTCCACTTGCACGACTTCCGAACAATGTGTACTCCCTTGGGGAGGCGGGACGAAGTCTGTCAGCTCCATCGTGCTCATCGCGAATGGTCTCAGCTTCGCGGTACGTATGTACACAGGACTGTATATGTATATTACTGAACTCCGTCAAGATCATGACCCTCATATTCACCACAATCGGCTCAGCTGCAGACTATGGCACGTTCGGACGCTGGCTGCTACTAGTCATTACGGTCATCTGCTGGGCTGCCCAGTTCGCGAGCATGGCCCTGACAAGTAAGCTTACAGTATGTTCTTCTGACGCATACAAGCTCATTACGGGATTGTGTAGCGCCCTCACGCTGGGGCGCGGCCATGGCCATCTACATTATCTCCTTCGTCTCCTACGGCGCCACCCTCGTCTTCTACGCCGCAGCCTTCCCGCGCCTTGCGCGCAACACTCCACATGCACGCCATCTGCGCGAGAAGCTCGAGAACAAGGAGATCTCCCCGGAAGAGTACGAGCTTGAGGAGAGTCTGGAGAAGAACCGAGTCAGCAACATCAGCACGGTGCGTGCCGCTTGGGTGTCGAAGCGCGTATTGACAAGCTGATGAACGATATGTAGTGGCACAGCAATATTGGGTATATCTTTGTGCTGTGTCTGAACCTGTCGATTTTGCTGCCGCTCGTGAATAACCCGTTGGTCGACAACTACACGATGGTCCTGTAAGTGGAGGCGGATACGCTCTCTATGTTTCGATCTCATCTTGATCCAGGACGAACATGTACTGGATCATCCTCGGCATATGGTGGTGTGCGTACCCGCACTGACGCATACATTCCGTGCTAACATTTCGTAGTTATCTTCCAACAGCCCCGACCAGGCCCGCCGTTGCCAAAGGGCGAGCACTACGTGACCGTTGGCTGGAAACAGGTAACCACGGTTGTTCTCCACTGTCTGTGTTTTCGTTGAAACACCCTACAATAGATCTGGATCGCTCTGAGGCAATGGAAGAAATTGCCGTACACCTTCGTGTACCTCTTCGCGTTCTTCCTACTGTCTGACGTAAATCCGCCCATTGATGTTTCAGTCGTTGCGATTGACTCATGACCCTGACCACTCTGTAGGGTCTTAACACCACGGGCACGCTCATCTCCATCTGCCAGAATGACCAGTTCCAGTTCTCTTTCCTCAAGAACACGTACCTCGGCCTTGCGCAGGCTTTCACCTCCACAGCTAGGTACATCAAACACCTATTCAATATCGCACGTACTCATGCTTTTTGGCTCAAACAGCACGATTGGCTTCTGGTGGATTCAGAAGTATTGGAAGATCCCGACCAAGAGGATGGTGAGTCTCGGTTTCCTTCATAATCACCGATTGGTGCTCAACGATATGCTGGACAGTTCGTGTTCACGAACGTCGTCACGATCCTGATCCCATTGTGGGGCATGATCGGCTTGTGGACAATGAAGTTCGGTTTCCATAATACTTGGGAATTCTGGTAAGGAGACAATCTCCTCACGTACTCGACTTACTCAAGCTCCGGCGTAGGGCATACAACGTCGTCTTCGGCCTATTCCAAGCCCCGTACTACGCCTTCTCGCAAACCATGATGGCGGAGCTCGCGCCGCCCGGCTTTGACAACATGGTGCGTCTGCCGTCGCTCGTTCATCAGTGCATGGGCTCACCACTTCCGCCTGGCGTCCATCAGTTCTTCGGGCTGTTTGGCCTGTCAAACCGTGCGTCGTCGATGATCGGGCCGAACGTCATCCAGGCGATCATCAACAACACGCAGAACAACTGGATGGGCTTCCCCTTCCTCTTCGCGCTGTGTACCGCCGCGAGTCTCGTCATCTGGTTCGGTGCGTCTTGCTCACTCAGTATTCCCTCGCTGGGTGTCATGCTGATGGGCGGCATAGGTGTGGACGTGGAGAAGGGCCGCAGGGATGCTGTCGTGTGGGCGGAGCAGAACCGCTCATACGCAGAGACGGGGGTGTATGTCGAGGACGACGCGTCGCTTGACTCGAAGGATTACGGGAAGAAGTCATGACGTTACGTTGTCTTTCTTGGGATCTATATGATCTGGGATGGTAATACTATATAGAGATGCCGTCAGAGCCGATGCACCAGTCGTGGCATGATGTTGGCCATGGTAGGTATGCTAACCCCATGTCTCCCACTTCAGCTGAATATTCTTCACTCTCGAGCTGACCGTACTGCAGACGCCCCTCATGTCATCTGCTGAGGCTTGCGTATATGCATGAATTGTCGTACGGTTTGCGCACTTACGATGCTGCTTGAATGTACTCAGCCCTAGAATGGCATTACGTGATTGATGCAGGATACGTTCGCGGCGCCGGGCGCGCACTAATACTAATACTCATAGTAAGTAGTGCTTCATTCTGATCTATGCACATGCTGATCTGTACTACACTTGCTACATTTCGATGGCTTAGGCAACCGATGCACCGTCGTTTGTACGTCGGCGTGTAACCACAGACAACTTACCAACCACAGCTGGGCGGGGAAGCGAACTCACCGAGCGCCGGAGCCCACTTGTCTTTGAGCGGTTCGATAGTCCCTCCTCACCATGTTCCGCTGAACCCCACCAGGAGGCCCGACAATCCTCGATGACTTTGCCATACGTGATCCCCTTACAGACATAAGGTAGGTTTCGGTCGCCCCTTATGGCAGTTCAGTAGCCATATTGGGAGTGGCTCGAGCCGGTGAGGTGCCTCGGGCAGTGAATGCGTACCTCGACGATGGCTTACAAGGGTCCGCGCGTATGTAAAGAGCTTAGTATGCCAGCGGAGACACCTGTGTCGTGTTAGGCGTGGTCTTGTACGCCGGCAGTGGTATATAAGTGGTGGGCTCGCAGCGTTCACCCCATCAACGTTGTCAACCCCCAGCCTCTTCATTCACAGCTCAGCTCGACTCGAAGCAGTAAAACCACAAGCAGCATGTCTCTTCCCCAGCGTACGATTGGCAAGCACATCGTTTCCGCCATTGGCTATGGCTGCATGGGCATCTCTGCCTTCTACGCAAAGCCTCTCCCGGACGAGGAACGTCTCCAGGTAAGCCGGTTTTTGAATTAGATGGAAGACAAATGTCTGATAGTGTCTTTTAGATCCTAGACGAGGTGTACAAGAGCGGTGTCACGCACTGGGACACTGCAGATGTCTATGCAGACTCCGAAGACCTTCTCAGTAAATGGTATGCTAGCCCGATAATTGTGTCTAGTAGGCATGCACTCATCGCCCGTCTTCCATTACTAGGTTCAAGCGCAGTGGCAAGCGCTCCGAGATTTTCCTTGCCACCAAGTTCGGTCTTGGCTCAGGTGTCCCCGGGAGGACCGTTAACGGCGACCCGGCGTATGTCCGCAAGGCGGCAGAGCGCTCTCTGCACAGGCTCGGCGTAGACTCCGTTGATCTCTACTACCTTCATCGGCACGTACAACCTCCCGTATGTTATATCAGACATGAGCTGATTTATTCCGACCTTCAGTGCCGACCCCAATGTTCCTATCGAGAAGACGGTCGAGGCTATGGCTGAGCTTGTCAAGTAGGCATATTCGTCTGCCTGTCTGGTGCCCTCATCTAACCCATCCTCCGACTTACAGGGAAGGCAAGGTCAAGTACCTCGGACTCTCCGAGATTTCTGAGTCGACCCTCCGTCGCGCGCACGCCGTGCATCCCATCACCGCCATTCAGGTCGAGTACTCGCCCTTCACGCTCGACATCGAGGACCCGAAGTTCGCACTCCTCAAGGCCGCACACGAGCTCGGTGTCGCCGTTGTTGCATACGCCCCGCTGGGACGTGGCTTGATCACTGGCGAATACGTACGTCTGGCGCTACCTCCGATCATAATGATGGTGCTGAGCTAACTCCTCTTACAGACGAAGCCAGAGGACTTCGATGAGAGCGACTACCGCCGTGCGATCCCCCGCTACAGCCACGAGAACTTTCCCCGCATCCTTAAGCTCGCTGCCGGCCTCAAGGCGATCGGCCAGCGGCACAACGCGACGGCTGGCCAAGTCTCCCTCGCCTGGCTCCTGGCACAGGGCCCTGACATACTCCCTATCCCTGGTACCACGAAGATCCACGTACGTACTCTCCGAGTCAACGCGTAAGCGAGCACCGCTCATCGGTGTGACTTTTAGCGTCTGCACGAGAACTTGGGCGCAGCCAGCTTGAAGCTCACCCCCGGGGACATCGCAGAGGTGCGCAAAGTCGCCCAGGATGCGGACGCTGCGAGCGGCGAGCGGTACCCGCCGCACTTGGCGAGGGCGCTCTTCGGTGACACGCCTGCGCTCGAGGGCTGGGTCCCGCAAGCGGCTCCTGAAGCACCGGTGGGGAGCTCGTACGGCAAGGATAACTGGTAAACTGTACTCCGCGCGTGTTTCACGTATTTGATACGCAATGATGAATCGATTGAATTGAACACGAATGGCGAAGTTGTGACTAGACTCGTATTTGTGGCACTGTGAAATGCGATCGTCACGCCTGTTCTCCGCAAAGTGCACACTTCAGATTGAATATTCCTACGCCGCTCCCTCATACTCCGTGGATACGATGAGTAGATACGTCAGCCTGCCAGACTACTAGTAGGTAGTCACACGCGCGCCGCGTAATAACTCCGTTTATCTATCTATGACCTCTTCCTCGAGCCACTTCCACAGCTGAGCAATGACTTCGTCGTTCGACGCGTCCTCGGGTGGATCCTCGCCCGTGCGTGCCCACGGGACAACGGAAAGGATAGCTTGTGTAGTATGTACGATCGTACCTCGCCGTTGTGCTCGAACGCTTCCGCCATGGTGCCAGCCCATAATGATGACAAGCGCAATATTCTACAGAATACTGTTTTGCGAACCATCGCTGCGATTCGGTGATATGAGGTGCTCTGCAGTATGAGGCGGGACCTAGGTAGACTCACTTTCCATAAGGCGTCAACATACTCCGTCGCGTAGCGCCGGAGGTCTCAGTGTTGCCTGTCATGTAACATGGTCTGTGTTCTGACAAGCATCTGATCATGAGACGAGTCTACCTGGGTTGACAGACAGGAGACGATGCCCTCCTCTCCATAGCGCTTCGCGAACCCCCGTGCTAATATGATATTCCCATAAAGTAATGCTGCTGATCGTGAACCATCCCGATGTAACTGTGTGTACAGACTTTTTGCGAGACCCACCATGCTACAGCGAAAAAGGGAGTGCGATTGAGTGAATCGCATGAGTCTGGTATGTCTCACTGGAAGGATGGTCCTCTGACCTAAAGACTGCGCAAGCGGTCCGTGCCACTTGCCATGATAGCTTCTTCATGGGGTGTATAAATGCTTCTCTGATACAATTGCAATAACCTTTCGCTGCTTCGTTCTATGATGTTACATTGCGTGACGTCCATGCTGCCTGTTCCTCGTGCCCAGATGTAATGCGAATGAATTAGACGGTCACTGCAATAGTCTAATGCGCATACAATCATCAGCTGACACTCCTTGTGACATTGGAGCGCGACAGTTTACTCACGTTGGCGTCGGTGTTGATAGGGACAGCCCTGTTGGGGGGCGAATGCGACACCGCAGCAGAGCTTCGAGCAATCGAACCCAAGTCGATGTCTGTGAGAATTCTCATGAGCACGACCTTCGCAGAACCTTCAATAGAGTTTGCGTTACTTACCGTTGCTGTGGGCTGCCTTCTTCCTCAGTGCGAGGGCTTGCTGGAGCTCGTCATCAGTGAGCTGGCTGGTGCGACGCCCAGTGATGGGGCGCGGCTGCGTCTCGGTCTGAACTTTGCCTGCCCCAGACGTGAGCCTACCGCCTACACATACAGTTCAAAGAGATGTACTCACGTCCCTCGTCGGCCAGTTCGGCCTCTTCATCGTATGAAGCAGCCTCCTCGAGGTACTGCTCGCCCAAGAGGTTGCCCCAGTTGTGACCGCCCGCGCCACCCTTCGGCAGCCTGGTGTCCATACCGTTCTTGGACACGGAGCGGTCCTTGACGAGGGCGTGAGGGTGTACGGCGCGCTCGGTGCGGGTCATGGTGGTTGCTTGGACGGTAAATAAAAATATGAGTGGGTGTATGCAGGTTGGGGAGAGGCGGGACACGCAGGGCGGGTTCTTATATGGACTAGGCGAGCGCTGTGGCGCACTCGGAGCTGGGGGCTGGGAGTGCGCTCGCGTGACCGATGGGGACAGGACCCGCTGAATTGCGTCTGCAAGTGGACTCGGTTGTCCTCGGTCTGTTCCAGCCGCTTCGAGCCGCTTCCTGAGCCTCCCCAACTCGAACAGTCTGGTGCGCCCCGCAGCTGTCGCATCCCTTCGTCGTCGCCATGGCCGCGTCGCTATGGTCGTGCTCTTTCTAGGCCTGCGCGTACGCCGCATTGGGAATGTGGCGGGTGGCGGGTAGGAGCGCCTCCGAGTCGGCGGGCGGCGGATGGCGGCGTGGCGAGGCGGGTCGCGAAGAAATGACCAAACGATGACATTTACCGTCGATGACCTATGCGGGGAACCGTGCGAATCCGTCCCACCGGCCCGCTGTGGCCTCTGCAACGCGGTCTCGTGATCGTGGACAAGTGGGCCGCACTGTGGCTTCACCGCGTCTGGAGTCAAACAACGCGTCGCAGCAACTCACCTTTTCACCATTGTGACCTTCCTTGGCTGTTGCGGCAGGAGCTACTCCAGCCTCTATAATTGCCTAGTTTACCGCACTTATCAGCTTGGACATCGAGTTGGTAAGTCTGCCCTTGGTTGTAGCTTGGCCAGCCATAAATCCAGTTTCTTGGAGCGATCTGGCTGACATCCGAACTATCCAGGTCTGGGAACTCTGTCATCTTCACAATGTCTGAACTGTCTTACGTGGACGCCGAAGAAATCGCCGAAGCCTGCAAGTCAGCAGACTACTTCGACGGCTCTTCATCCAATTCCCGGAACCAACCCCTACACGAGTGTCATTACATTGACAATGCCGTGGGGCGACGCCCAGAAAACTTGCCCGCAGAGCTTCTAGTGGAGGCCATGACCTACATCGTAGACGGGGACACGGACGCCTCCTGGTGGCAGTCAATCTCCCTCGTTTCCCGGTACTGGCACGGAGTTGCGCGCGAGGCTGCCGTTCTGTGGTCTAGCCCGTGGGCATCTTACAATCCCAAGCTTTTCCGCGCAGCAATCGAAAGATCACGCACCTTCCCGCTTGACGTCAACATCGCCGGCCCATTCTCTTGGTGTCTCGCAGCGTTGGACGCTGTCCGGCCGCACGCCGACCGCGTTTGGCGCCTTGCCTTCGGTCCCGGCCCCGAGCAGTCTGAGAACATCCCCCTTCCAGACATAATCGACATGTCGTATCTTGATTTTGAAGTGCCCAACTTGACAGACCTCCACCTCGACCTGCAGCACTTCGCGGAGCAGACACCGTTCGTGATCACCCACTCGCGCTACCCCCGCCTCCGCGACCTCACCCTGGAAGCCGCGACGACGCCGTGCGACAAGGAGGCCTATGCGGCGCTCACGAACCTGACGCTCTTGGATCAGCACCACATCGAGGGATTTGAGCAGACGCTGGAGGATTTCGCCGCCATGCTCCGCGCTTGCACTCACCTGCAATACCTGCACATCGAGGAATCTGGCCCGGACGGCCGGAACGACCATGAACTGATGATGCGCCCAACCGATCCCCGGACGACTGTCCGCCTCTCTCGCCTCCGCGTACTGGGCCTCCGGGATGAGGACAAGAATACGGCCCTCATCTTGAAGCACATCACCTTCCCCCGGAGGACCTGTATCTATATCACGATGATTCACGAGGAACACCTACCGTCGGGGAACATGCAGGGTTTCTGCGTCACGCCGAGCGTTGAGAAGGTCCTCTCCAAGGTGGAGGTCATTCGCGTCGTCACATGGCCCTCGTTCCGCATCCGCATCGAGCTGCAACCGAGCATAGACAAGAAATTCGAATGGGACTCGTGCGAGCAGCGATCGTGCATCGGCCTCGATCTCGAGGGCCCATCGGCCGACGGCGAGCTGGACATCTGCTGGAGCGTTATGGCGTTGACGACGAATCCGCAGAAGCTCGCTGCCGCGCCGCTGAAGTGCCTGATTATCCAGGGCAGATACTGGGACACCCATTGGCGGCGCTTCTTGATGGCGTTCCCTTCCCTCGAGGAGATCCGCATCGAGGACTACGAACGCCTGCATCGCGAGTTCTACGAGGCCCTGACAGTCAGGGACCCCCGCACGGATCAAATCGCCTGTCCGAACCTCCAGGTCTTCGTGGTCACCGGGCGGTGGAACGTGGACCTCGTCCACGACGTGATGGCGTGTTTCGGCATACGCAAGGCGTACGTCCCCATGCTGAAGAAGTTGGTCTTTGAGACGGACGAGCGGGACATTGGTTTGCCATTGGGCCCGAACAGGTTCATCTATCTGCGCGCGATGCGACGCGTGGCGGAGGTCGTCGAGGTGTGGACGGGGATGGTCCCGGAGCTCGGGAGGCGAGACATGGTGCGTGTGCATGAGCTGACCGACGAGGAGTGGGACCGTGCCTTGCTGTTCGGTACGAAGTGGTGGGAACCTCCCTTCTAGTATGAGTATGACCTTCAATATTTGATTCTCCGTGGAACAGGGTTTAGACTGTATTGTTGTATGACATACTGAGAATGGATAGCACACAGTTATACCTAGCATTGAATTTCTGCATAACAAGGGACAGCAACGATAGCAATATACGACGATATCCAGACTCACAAATCCGTCCATGCCAAGTTCAAGCGTCCTTCAGTAGCCAAAGTTACCCGCATCAAATCCCCGCTGGCAAGCCCCAAATACCTTGCTGCCGCACTCCCGCGACCAGCACCTCTACGTTCCCGAGAAGTGTGCCCAGTAGTTCCTTCTTTTCCTGTGTCGTCTTGGCATAGGTTGCCTTCCGATGCGTGGCGCGCTGTAGAACTGCAGCCGAGGATGTCGCTCGTCCCTGCGCAGGCGGCATTGTCGCCGGCGTACCGAGCACGTCGAGTTCACTCCGCGCTCGGCGATGTTTGCTCAGCGGCACGGGGGTCTTGGGAACTTCGGTCGACGAGGACGCAGAGGGCATTGAAATCGCCCCCGGTTGTACCGACTCTGCCCGTTTGTGTGAGGGAGCAGTGACCTTTGCACGCGGTGTCGCGGCGGGCTGCAACAGAGGATCGGAATTATCGTCCGTCTCAGATGCCTCGGACGACAGGATGTCTTCCAAACCCCGTAGCTTCGATTGAATCCGCATCGGTGTCGCAGACCTCGGTGTGCCAACTCCGAGCCCGGCTATCTGTGCTTTCTTGGGACTTTGTGGGGTATATTCTACTTCCTTCTTGAGCATCATGAGGTTTCGCTGTTGTGGACGTTGGCTCGGCGGTGTCACGAGACGGCTGGCAGGTGGGAAGGGAACGCGCGGGGCCGGGGTAGGCGACTCGTTTTCCAAAGGATAGTACGCCGACGGCTTCGGTGTGTTCTGCACGGAGGGGAGGGACGTTGCCGCGGTGGAGGCAGAAGAGGCAGCGGAGAAAATCGAGGAGCCGGAAGGATCCCTGGAGCCTAGGCTAGACATGGATGGCCCAGAGCGGTGTGGTGTCCTAAGTTGAGCGGCGGGGGATGTCGGTGAGTTGGGGACGCTGCTCAGAGGCGTTTCGACTTCCGCCTGCGGTAGGCCGTCGGCATTTGTCATCGTGAAGCCGCTGGTCTCGTCCAGTAGATAGAAGTATAGGAACTCCATACACTTCATCCTGCTTCAGAAGGTCGGCATGAGCCACAGAAGTCAAAGCAGTCACGACCAGCTGGCCGCGTCATATGACTGACCTGATCTCCCTCGATGAGCCTGTCCGCTTCAGTAATTTGACCATAACCTGTAAGCCACCCAACTCCTCGAAGACACGAATGGCTTGCGAAGAATCCACAAGAATGCAGAGAACGGTGTCCATTGTGACGCATGTGAGGTGCATGAATGGATTTGCACCAGATGAGGCGCTGCTGTCGCCGCTGGCATTCGATGCCGAGGATGGTGTTCGGCCACTGTCTTTTGTGGATATACGTGGCACATATCGCGAAGTAAGAAGTACGTCGAGTATGGTCTGCCAGTCGTCCGTCAGACATGTCGCGGAGTCGGAGGGTGTGACGCACCCCCATAGCATAGTGTCTCCCCAGGAATCGTTTACTACCTTTGTGCGTGAGGGCTACACCCTGGATGATTGAGAGTGCTTGCACAAGCTGTCCGGAAATAGTCGACATCTCGCGCTTGTGGTCATCTTAATGAATTTAAGTGTAAGCTTTGAACAGCTGGTGGACGCCATCTACGTACGATAGTCGGAAGAGGACCTATCTGTGGCAGCGACCTCTTCTAGGCGTTTCTGCGCACACGCCATCCATTGCAGAATGCGCGAGGGGACTGCGCCACACTCACTCAGGACATCTGTTGCAGCGTCAAGCTGTGGCACGCACCGTTGCATTCGAACGTATCCTGCAATCTGGTGAACACGAACAACCTCTCCGCGGACTCTTGATCGGTATGTGGGTGAGAGCACAGCTCTGCCATAAAGCGCTCTAGCTCAGAGAGCACTTCGCCCACGCGTGTAGAGGATGATCGCGTGGACACCAGCTGCAGGCAACCGTTCTCAGCACGACCACGCACGACCGTTCTAGTCACTCACCTCGTCCAGCGCATCCTGGAGCACGTCTTTCATCGCTTGCTCGTCATCCATGGTCGCGATACGCAGCAGAGAGTCATGGGCCTTGTCTTTGTAGAATGCAGCGGAGGCACGCCCTTTGCCGCACAATGCTGCAGCTGCGCGTTTGTGGCAGTTCGAGATGGTATCGCTTACGTAACACACGCGTCGCGTCTCCTGCAACTGCCATCCCGTGACCGATCGCTGCGAGACGGGCCACGGCGGACGCGCGAGTCCGGCACGCGTGGGTCGCGGAGCTCCGCCGTAGTACATGCGTGCGATGTACTCTCCCATCGTCACTCAGCTTAGCACCGGTAGGCTAGTCTTGCTTTCCCTTCAACCACCACCATGTCTCCCATCAGGACGGTACGTCGACCTACCGGCATGCGGAGTCGTAGACATTCAGCTCATGCGTCGGTCGTCGGTCCTGTAGCAATGGACCCGCTTGATTCGCTTCGTAGCGGCAGAGACAGGGAATGTCCACCTCGGTGAGCCTGTGGACCCCAAGCTAGACGGTACGTCCCCTCGCGCTCTATCGCTTCCTTTTGCTGAATGCTGACCGCCGCGATACAGTCGGTATGGCATTCCAGCTTCGGCAACCCATCAGGGCGTACGAGATACTTGGTTCTGTCACGGACCTTGGCTCGCAGGTCACCGAGAATGTGCTGACCGTCAAGGAGCTGCTCGCCCCTCTCGCCCGTCACGAAGTGGGCGGCATCGTGCGTTGCTTGGGTCTGAACTACGCGGACCACGCGGTGAGTACCACCGCCGCCAATCACCGCTTGTATCTCAACCAACGACAAATACTCTTTGTAGGCGGAGGCGAACTTGCAGAAGCCCTCGTAAGTTCCCCATTGTTGGGATACGTTCTGATATCCTTACAAAGCGTAGGGTACCCGTGATCTTTTACAAGCCTCCGACTACTCTCATCGGGCCGAGCTCGCTTGTGACCATCCCGCGCTTCGCGCAACCAGTTGAGGAGCACATTCCTGACTACGAGGTTGAGCTTGTCATTGTAATTGGCAAGGCGGCGAAAGACGTGCCGGAGTCCGAGGCCCTCGACTATGTCTTAGGTTACACTGGTGCGAACGATGTGCGTATCCAGGAATAGGAAGCGGGTACTCTATTGACACGATGCAAAACTAGGTTTCGTTCCGCAAGCTCCAGATGACTGCTGGCGGTGGTCAATGGGGTTTCTCGAAGAGCTTCGGTGAGAGTATCGTGACCTGCGGTTATGTCGCAGTATTGACAATGTCCGTAGATAACACCAACCCTGTCGGCCCGTGCATTGTTGCGGCTCACGCCATCCCTGACCCTCAGGACCTTCCCCTCAAGACGGTCGTCAATGGGCAGACTCTCCAGAATGGCAGCACCTCGTACGTATTGCTCGATCTTCTGCCCTGCACCCACGCTCATACTATCGCTTTCTCAGCGCCCAGATTTTCAGCGTCAAACAAACCATTGCCTACATGTCCAAGGGCACCACACTGCTCCCTGGCTCCCTCATTCTCACCGGAACACCCGCAGGTGTTGGCTTCGTCAAGAAGCCACCTCTCTATCTCAAGGGTGGCGATTACATGACGACCTATGTCGGCGGCGGTGTTGGTACGCTCGCTAACATGGTCGTCGAGGAGGCTGCGCTGGGCAAGGCGAAGCTCTAAGGACCGTTTTTGTAGTATCAATATATGTTGTGCATTATACATTGTGTTCCTCTGGTGTCTTATGCCATATTCGAGCGTCGCCGTCCAGAATGCGTCGGGGCGGGGCTTAGGCGGAGCGCCGGGCGCGAGAACGCGTCGGGGTACGCGTCAATGTTACAAGTCACGCCCCACGCGTCGGGCTCCCACGTGCACCTCTTTACCTTTACCCGCCATGGCCTCCCGGGGACGAGAGCACGACGCGAGCTCTCCTGCCGCAGAGACACCCGCGCCCCAGCCCCCGCCAAAAATGTCGACGGCCAAGAAGGCGTTCTTCGACGCGGGCACGCGCGAGTACAAGTACTCGCAAGAGATCTCGCAGATGATGTTCGTCTTCGGCGAGGTGCAGGACCCGAACCCGGAGACTGTCAATTTGGTCGAGGATATCATCCGGAGCCAGATTATTGAGCTTGTGAGTGTGTCCGTTGAGGGAACTGGTGGCTTGTCGCCGACAATGCAGTAGATCGTACAGGCGCGCGCGCTGGCTACGCGCCGGGGTGCACGATACTTGTCCGCGGAAGACCTCATCTTTCTTATTCGCCACGATCGAGCGAAGGTCAATCGACTGAGAACATATTTATCCTGGAAAGACGTTCGGAAGCACGCAAAGGACTCCGGAGGGGATGGTGGTGGCGGTGTTGAGGTCGAGAACCTTGAGGACGGTGCAGACGGTACGTCGTTATATCTGCGAGTGTCACTACAATAGATCTGACATCACGGCCTCCGTAGACAAACTCACAGCCAAGGCTCAGAAGATCACCATCAAGCTGCCCTGGGAGATTATGACAATATACTCAGACGTTATACAGACCGACGACGAAGAGGACGAGGACGACATTGAGGCACACGAGGCCTCTGTCCAGCGTCTCAAAGAGGCGGACGACGCTACGCGACAGATGACACGAGAAGAGTACCAGCATTACTCCGACTGCCGACAAGCCTCCTTCACCTACCGCAAGGCGAAGCGCTTCCGCGAGTTCCTCAACCTCCCAGTATCACTCGACCTCAAGCAGAATGATGACACCGTCGATATCGTCGGTTTCCTCGCCTTCGAAATGGTGCGCTCTCTGACGATCGCCGGTTTGGAAGTCAAGAAGTCGCTAGAGGAGTCGTACCTGCGCGAGGTCGTGCACACCGCCTCGCCCGTACTGGGCAAGCGGAAGGCCGGCGGGGGGCTTGGTGGGGACTCGAAGCGGATGCGCAGGGAGGACTCTCCGGACAGGGACAACGAATCGCCACTTCCGACGTGTTCGCTATTCCTTCCACCTCCCGAAGCGCGAACAGCGTTACGGCCGGAACATATCCAGGATGCCTTCGGCAGGATGCAGACTGACTGGGCGCACCGCCGCTCAGCTGGTATGCGCAACTGGAGGGGTGGCCTTGTTCGGACTACTGTCAGCCTCATCTAGTATACATCACTGTCTTCCACTGTCGTCGCTCTGCTATCGCTATCGTTATTGAGTACCCATTCCGTATGTATTGCGTATATCCCAAGGTCCGTTTGTATTCTCGCACCGCTGTATATCTAGCCATACATAATGTACAACGCAACTTTTGGTTTTGATGCCTGCTTGTCCTATCCATTCAGCCCGACCCGCTCGAGATCATGGGCCTGTCTCTTCAACTTGCAGCTAGAAGAGCAGCGACGCTGCGACATCTAGGTTGCCACCTGCCGCATCCAGTGTCTGTATGGCCTGTTCCATGGATGCACCGAGGCCCATCAGGGTGTCGATCGCTGCTTGCGAGTGCCCGCTCTGGGCTGCCGCAGGAGACTGACCACGTCCCGCACCTGCGCTCGCCGGCGCAGGTACGACCCCAATTGTCTGACCTGTACCGGGAAAGTGCGTCGCCTCTGAAGAACCCGAGCCCGAGCCCGACGCCTGAGGCGCGACGCCCGCGGACGTGGACGTCCCCTCGTCGGTGGGGAGACCCGCGTTCATGAAGCGCGCCTTCTCGGGGAGCTCGTGCTCCGCGAGGAAGCGCACCTCGCGACCCTGGATGCGCAGGCAGTCCTTCTGGAGGTCGATGCATGCCTGGTGCGCCTTGAGCATGTCGAGCCCGAAGAGCAGGTCGACGTCGCGGCCCTCCATGACCGTGAAGGAGCAGGGAAGGTACAGATCGGCGAGTTTGAGCTGCGCGCTGTGTATTCGGCCGAGAATTTGGGCTGTGCCGACGCCGCGGGCAACGCCGGCGAAGCGACGGTCGAGCAATCGCATGAGACTGCAAAGTGGAGTTAGTGCCACTGTAAACCAGTCGCCTTTGTGGCCAGTACTTACCCGCACGCTTCTGCGCATTCCGGACTCACTGTGGGGTAGGGTTAGTAACGGGTAAAATAAGACATTGTTAATCTGACGTACTGATGGTAGACTGAGCACCGCTGTCTACGAAGGCCTTTACAGCGTGTCCATTGACCTCAATAGGAATGCTACTTCCTGTTAGCCACTTGCCACACCAAGTAGGAATGCACACATACTAAAGCATCGTCACGCGCCCAAAGACCTCGGGCGAGTACTCAAGCGCATGCTCAAGGTTCTCCATAACCGCTTGCTGATGGATAGCCTCCTCTATCCGGCGCTGAGCCTCGATGTCGAAGGGGTTCGCCTCCATCGCAGCGAGCTCGCGCTCAGCCTCCACGTGCCGGGAGCGCGTTTGCCGCAGGAGCTCAGCGAATCGGTGGGGGTCCGTCTGTGCAGCGTGAGCGAGTTCCGGGTTTGTCTGTAGAATTTCAGTCAGTGAAGGAACATTTCATGAACATCATGAATGCAAACGTACTTGTTGTATCTGTGACATGAGCGCAGGGTCACCCAAGAGTTGTAGCCGCATCATTTCAGCGTCCTGCTCTATTGTCCTGAGGAGAAATGCATCACGAGAGGATCGAAACAGTCATTAGACTGGTTACGAACCTTCCTGCGACATTGACCTTTCTCCGAAGGAGCAACATCGCGCTGTCTCCAACACCGAGTTGTGCCATTGTCGCTTTGGGATTGCTCAGCTCACGACCTTCGTAAGAGATACTCTGTTCCTGTACCGGGATATCGGACTAGCGAGTGGCGAACACCAAGTCAATATCCGCGGAACAGATATCAATGAAAGACAGAGTGGCTTGTAAGATCGACTAAGCCGGACCGAGACAAGCGTTAGCAACTCACCTCAGCCTCGAGCAGGGCCATGACGTTCTCCAGTTCCATGTTCGGGTCGATCTCGACCACGAACGACTGTCCGAGGTCCGTTACGAAGGTGAGCTCCATGCTCAGAGTTGACTGGTCGAGAGTTCGGGAGGAGGGAGCTTCTGTAGAAAACAAGCAGTGGTGTCACTGTGTGGCGGTAGGACGGTGTGGCACAAAGGTGGGTGCAAAGGTGAGAGGCTCGGGCGAGGCTATTTAGATCGCCGAGGCTTCCGGAAACTCAATCTCGGTTCGAGCCTTCGAGGTCGGGCGGAATTGACGTAGCGCGTGGTTGGGAGAAGGGATACTCTCCCAGTCGCAATACCATCTCTTATATACTCCTCTGCAGGGCTTGCGCGTACATGGACGCGTAACTTACCACTCGACGCGCAGCCTGCGTCGCGCTTCTGGCCGCGGTTGACAAATGCTATACGCGGAACATGCGAGAAGGCACTAGGGCACCAGTTACACAAGCAGACTACGTAAGTACAAGTGGACTGGGTGTGCAGATCATTGTCCACACGTTCATATTATACACACATCGGAGGTATCTCGAGCACTGAACAGGGCACACCAGAGGATGCTATCGTACACCCCGCTTCCCCGTGAGATGACTCCGAGCAAACGAAGAGCTGTGCATACCACTGTCAGGACAGTTCACAAGACAATCTTGGATAAACTCACAGCCGTGAACCGTTTCCCCGTATGTTTGATGCCAATGCACTCTCGAGTGCGGACGCCGACAGACTCGCATCTTTGTATGTTGGTCGTGAACCTCAATAACAGCTCAGAGGGGATGATACATACCACTCAGGTCGCTGAAGCTCGAAGCCTCACTTCCTTGCGAGCTCACCCTGCCACCGTTCACGGGAGCTCCCACGTCCATCCGCCAGCCCAGTCCTCCACTAGTTCGGGGTGGTGTCCGGCCCACGTACGTCTGTCCCACAGCCCGGTTCGGCGATATTGCAGGTGGGCTATGCGACTGCCCCGGTGGGCTCAGGTGTCTTGGAATGGGCGATGCCACGCGAGGCGACGAAGACGTGGGCGAGAGTGACTCCTCGTGTCTCTGCGAGTATGGCACCCGCGCGTCCGCATATGAATACCGCCGTGCATGAGTCTCTGCGCGGGGTGGAGACGAGGGGATGGACGGTATAGATCCGTGCGGCGAGCCACGCGAGCTGAGACTCGACAAGCTCTGCTGACTCCGCGACGCGCGGTGCGGCGCACTCGAGAGCGACGCCATGGAAGACGAGAGCGGACGTGTGCGCCCACGATCCGCAACCTGCTTGCCCTTGTCTCTGTCCCTCGGCGCAGCGGGCGAGGACACCAGCCCAAGCGCGTCCGTCGTCATCATCAGCTGCAGTTTCTCTAGCTTGCGCTCGAGCTCCTTCGCCTCCGCCTCACGCTCGTCTTCCTCCTCCCTCTTAGCCGCCTCGTCCTCGTCGCTCCCGTCGCTCCCCTCGTCGTCCCCCATCTCGTCCGCCTCCGCTTCCAACGCAGCGTGCGATGATGTCGGCGAGAGCGGGCGGTGCGGGCTCCCGCGGCTCCTTCGCGGGCCCTGGAGCGTGAGCGTCGAGGACGACGACACCTTCTTCGAGGCGCGCACCTGCACACCGCCGCTCCCCGACGCCAGCGCATTCCCATTTCCGTTCCCATTCGTGGTGGCCTGCCCGACGAGGGACAGTCGCTGGCTCGTGACCCGATTGAGCGATCCGCGCCGTGCGCGCAGGCTACCGAGCGAGCTGAGGCGTGCGCGCACGCCGAGGGGGCGGGAGGCGTTCCCAGAGGTGGAGAGCCTGCGGGAGGCGACTTCGGGGAGGCGCGGGAAGTATTCGTTGCCTTGTGGCGGCTGTTGGGCGGCGGGGGAGAAGGGGACGGTGGGTGTGGAGACGGTGCGGATGCCTTGCAGCCCGCGGAGGCCCTCTTCGAAGCGCGTGCGAGTGCGGTGGATGAGGTACGGGATGGGCACCTCGAGGTGCGCAGCGAGACCTTCCCCTGAGCGTGTGCATAGTGATGAGATGCGTGCTATGCCCGGGAGCGTGCGGACTGGACGTACAGTCTGTGGTCGCGCCCTTGGTCGCGCTGGACTTGTCGACGACCTCCCAGAGCATGTGCTCCTTCTCTGGAGTCCATTCTACCTAGACTTTCGTGTGTGTGATCAGTGTTTGTGCACAAAAAAGACGCGTTGCGGTGGACGCACCCGAGGAGGGTCGGGTGGCGGGTCCTCGGGACGGTTGTATGGGAGGCGTACGATGACGCGCACAGGCTGGTTAGTAGCCATGATAGAGAATGTGCGGGAGGCTGAACAGGTCTATATCAGTGACAAGACATCGAGTTGACTGGATCGTCAAACGCAGAGTCAGAGTGGGAGTGCCGCAAGAACCTGAGATGGGATGAGGCCGGAACGGCAGTGAACCACCATGTAATACGTTATGATTATCAATCAGTACGCGATTCTAAGCACCATTTACCACATTGTATGCCATGTCCAGAAGGCTGGTAATGCAACTTAGTACGATTTAATGATCTTTGTCAGTACTTTGATAAGTCAATCAGTACGGCATACCGATCACGTTATGATTTGAGGGCTCGATCACACTGGTGACTGATCTTGTCCGAGTCGTCTATGCCGGAGTGCGTACGTGCACGGTCTCGTACAAAATCAGCTCACCCACAGCATCACCCGAATGCACTTCTATGACCATTGAATCCACACCCATTGTCATCATCATAACTACCGCGGCAGAGTATCTCTGCGTGAATCTTGAATAGCACCCTACTTACCAGCACCCGTCTACACCTCACCAGGAGGACACACCCAACTAGTCGAGCATGTCCCGGACACCTTCCCCGCACTTCCCCACCCTTGAAGCACTCATAGAGCACCTCTCCGCCGACCCAGAGCGCGAGGAGCTCGCAGCAGAACTAGGCGGTGCGCGCGCGCGTCCTCCCTCCTCCCGGCCCGTGCCCTCACACCGTGACGCCGCGTGCAGCTCTCCAGTCGATCTACGGCGACGACGCGGTCCGGCCTTGGGGTCGCGACTCCGACAGTACTAGCGATGGCGACGGGCAAGAGAGGAGGAGGGTGAATGGCGGAGAGCGCGGGACGATACGGTACGAGGTTGCCGTCACGTATGTACCATTCACTGCAGTGCTTTTCTTGATACTTACCTGCGGTACAAAGCATCTCATCCTCCCTCGACCCCTCGACCACCCACCCACTCACCCTGATCGTCTCGCTCCCGCCCTCCTACCCCATCTCTTCTCCGCCGCAGCTACAGCTCCTCTCGCGGTACGTCGGACCATATGGCGTCGACGCGGCGCTCTTCGGCGCCGTCCTCCGGACGTACATCTCGCGCGACGGCGTGGAGTGGGCACCCGGTGGCGTGTGTGTATTCGATGGTGTGGAGTGGGTCCGGGAGACGTGTGCGCGGTGGCTCGAGGAGCGGATGAGCGAGCGGAGGGCGGGCGAGATTCTGAGGGAGGACGAGCGCGCGGATGGAAGAGATGAACCAGAGGAGGCGGAAGGGAGGGTGAAGGCGGTGGAGGAGAGGGTGAAGAGCGCGGAGCAGCTTGAGGCGGAGGCGAGGATGCCGGAGGGCGTCGAGTTTGTGGTTGCGGAGCCGATTGTGGACAGGAAGAGTGTATTCATTGGGCGCGCATGTCAAATCACGCATCCGTCCCAGGTGAGTGCGAGGAAGGGCTGGTTCGTGCGCAGGGTACTGACGCACAGCGTAGGTTTCGACGATCCTCGCACACCTGATGTCGGATCGGAAGATCGCTCGAGCAGCGCATCCAATCATTAATGCCTGGCGATGTCGGGTAGTAGCAAACTTACACCAAGGTGAGAGAGAGATATTGCTACTCGGGCAGGTCATGGCTCTGAGCATGAGGATGTAGATAACGATGATGACGGAGAGACTGCTGCGGGAGGCCGGCTAGCCCATCTACTGCAAATTCTGGTAAGCCGTCACGGTCATTGTGCATGACGAGGCGCATCTGCTTACGACCCGAGCAGGATGTCGAGAATGTCCTGGTCGTGGTGACCCGATATTTTGGCGGAATCCACTTGGGTCCAGACCGGTTCAAGCACATCAACCAAGCAGCGCGTAACGCGCTCGAACTGGGTGGATTCCTGGATGCGCCGGCGACAGACAGTCTCAGTGGAAGGAAAAAAGGGAGAGGTGCGCACAAGTAGTACAATACTCGTTCGCCTTCACGGTGCTATGCAATGCTTTGACATTGCTATATGTGCGGCGCCACCTAGACAACATGCATCACATACAGTGGACCTTGTCTAAGAATGTTTGCGTAGATTATTATGAGAGGTGATGTATGACCTAGAGCTTCATACGAGGTAAGTAGAAAGGAACGGAAGTTCACGGCGTCGACCCTCTTCTTCCTTGCATATCCGATCTACACAGGCGTGGGAAACGCGTCGTTCACCAAGGCTCGTTATATTGGGAGGCTACGGAGGTTGGTGCCCACGGATGAAGATGTGGGACAAGACAAGTCGGGGACAAGTCCGAGCCTAGGGTTAGGGATGAGGTCATATGCCCTGCGCGCGGCCAGGCGTGGCCCGTTCGACGTCGTCCTCGCCGGACAGCGTTCCCCCTCCCACACCCGCCATGGCCACCCCCCGACTGGCCTTTGCCGCCCTCAGACTATCCGCCACCTCCCCACCCAACGCCAGACTCGTCGCCAAGACGGCCATCGCCTACAGGATGGCTAGCACGTCCGCAGCGAGCGTGAGTCCAGCTTATGTACCATCGCGGCGACGCTGAGGCATCATCGTGCAACAGTTCGCCCTGAAGGATGCCTCGCTCATCCACAACCACGGCTACATCGACGGAAAGTGGGTCGACGCCCACGATGGCGCAGTCATCAAAGTAACGAGTACGTACCACTACTCTGCCGTCTCTACACCACGCATAACGCGCCTTGAAGACCCTGCGACGGAGGAAGAACTGGGCACAGTCCCCGAGATGGGCCTCGCTGAGACGAAGCAGGCCATCGCCGCCGCGTCGCGCGCATTCAAGTCGTGGGGCAAGACAACTGCAAAGGTATAATCTGACCCTCATGTATGTGGCGCAGATGACGCTGACGTACTTCATGTCCTCAAGCAACGACACGATATTCTCATGAAGTTCTACGCGCTGATGCAGGAGAACACGGAGGACCTCGCCCGTATCATCGTACGCTCGTGCTACGGCCTGCTACTTCGTCTGGCAACTGACAACTAGCGTAGACTTTGGAGAACGGGAAGCCCCTTGCGGAGGCAAAGGTTGGCTAGATGCGGTTGCCTGTGCGCGCATATACTCACCCCTTTGTCACAGGGCGAGCATGCATACTCCTCGTCCTTCATTGAGGTTCGTCTCACTGAATGCATAGCTGAACGGTAGCATTGACGCATCTCTGTAGTGGTTCGGTAATGCGCTGCATCTTGGATGGTGGACTCATACTGAGGTACGATGATAACAGCTGAGGAAGCAATCCGCACATACGGAGGTGCGTCATACCACACATTAGCCAGCATACAGTGACCGAACACAGCCTGACTACGCGTACTTCAGAGGTAGTCCCATCAGCGTTCCCGCACATCCGCAACGTCGTCATCAAGCAACCCATCGGTGCGCGTTCTCGTCACATTGAGACATGCATCTCACAAACCTGTTCCTCACAGGTGTCGTGTAAGCATGCCCCAGGCTGCACAGGACAGTAGTCAATGAACCCCCCTATATTTCTGTATAGGTCCATCCTCACACCATGGAACTTCCCCTCCGCCATGATCACCCGCAAGCTCGGCGCCGCCCTCGCAGCCGGGTGCACCACCGTGATCAAGCCCCCGCCGGAGACGCCCTTCTCCGCTTTGGCCCTTACTGAGGTGCGTCCCACCCAGCCACCCTCCTCAACTGAGTGAACGCCGACATGAGCATGTGTAGCTCGCGACGCGCGCAGGCGTCCCGCCAGGCGTGATCAACGTCGTGACGACGCAAGCGAACGTCGCGGACGTTGGGCGCGAGATGTGTGAGAACGATGCGGTCCGGAAGGTCACGTTCACCGGGAGCACGCCCGTGGCGAAGATGCTGTACGGCATGGCCGCGAAGGGCATGAAGAAGTGCGTGGTCCCTGCGCTGATGGGTGTTGCGGGCGGCTGACTGGAGTGTATGGGGACTTGAAGGATGTCGATCGAGGCGGGCGGGAACGCGCCGTTCATCGTGTTTGACGATGCGGATATCCCGGCGGCCGTCGAGGGTCAGTGACATGTCGGGTCTCCTCGAGCGGTCAATCACTGAGGCCTGAGGCATCGTGTCTAGGTGCTATTGCGTGCAAGTTCCGCGGGACCGGCCAGACCTGCGTGTGCGCGAACCGGATATACGTGCAGGACTCTGTGTATGCGGACTTCGCCTCGCGGCTCGCCGAGAAGGTCGCCGCATTCAGGGTCGGGAACGGACTCGAGGACGGGACGTACGTCTCCCTGCTCACCTCCCCAACTCACGTTCACACTCGCACTGACCCCGCAGCACGCACGGGCCCCTGATCCACGAAAAGGCCATCGAGAAGGTGCAGCGCCACGTCGATGACGCGCTCGCGCAGGGCGCGCAGCTGCTCATGGGCGGGACGCGGCTGCCGGGCAAGGGCGCGTTCTTCCAGCCGACGCTGCTCGCGGACGTGCCGCCGGACGCGCTCGTGAACAGCGAGGAGACGTTCGGGCCGCTCGCGGCGCTCACGCGCTTCGCGACGGAGGACGAGGTGCTCCGCTGGGCGAACGACTCTGCGGTCGGGCTCGCGGGGTACTTCTACTCGCGCGACGTCGGGCGCGTGTGGCGCGTCGCGGAGGCGTTGGAGGTCGGCATGGTGGGCACGAATACGGGCTTGATTAGTCAGGCTGTTATTCCGTTTGGAGGGGTGAAGGAGAGCGGGCTCGGTGAGTCGGGCTTTTGGGGTTCGTGTGGGTAATGGATGTGTGGATGGCTGACTGTGGGATGGTTCATAGGGCGGGAGGGCGCACACGGCATCGAGGAGTACATGAATGTCAAGTTTGTCGCGTTTGGCGGCCTGTGATTCAATGACGGGGACACACGCGCGCTGAGGTTGGTGGCCTTGTGAGTCTGACTCTGGATATGGAACAGTGTTGTATACATAGCTCTCGTATCACATTTTGCTCTACATGTTTGTGCCGCTTGCCGCGGAGGATGAGCAGGGCTAGGTGAGTGGATGGTACGCCGCGGTGGAAAGCCTGGCCATCTCTAGCCAATCTCTGGTCATGACATACAATGTCCGGACACATGTGGCGATTCTGGTCTTCCGGAGTCGTTGCATAGCCTTAGGGCGGGGCCGCGCTCCGGGAATAGAAGGCTTGTCGGAACCTTATGGGTGAATGGGTGGTACAGTACGGGAAGTGCAATCTCGTCCACAGAGTGGATCGGACGAGCTGCGGAACTCTAGGAGCGTTGGCAGCGTGAATGGGTTTTGCTTCTCCGAAGTGACCGTGACATGGCTGTACTAGCGACTACGATGCATGTTCCAGGACTTTTGAAGAACTGTATGTAGGCGTGGACGGCCTCGTACTATGATACTGCGTTTGCATCCACCTCGTGGATTGTTCCACCGTAAACAATAATGATCACCTATGGCAGTTCAAGTACGTTCTTCCATGGTAGCGGCTAGCCTGAGCGGACATACTTTCCGAAGCCGTGTTCCGGTGCCACTGGACTGCCCGTCTGAGCAGGTTGGCTTCGAAGTGTGGCCCAGCGGGCCACTCGTATACGGTGCTCACTGGGACCCAAGTGAGGTAGATGGTCTCGCAGCCTGAGATTGTCCCTATACTGTCCCATGTGGCACGGGAGAATCCACTCGAAGTCGCACACAAAAGCTGATAGCGTAGGGTTCAAACATATCAACTCGGTCACTGGCAAGCGAAGCGCGGAAACTGCTTATCTGCGCTAGGTTACCGATGAGGGGGGAAAGGTTGAAGAGTCAACTGAATAGCCATGATCATTGGGAGGACAGCCTGCCCTGTGGACTCAGAAGAAGGCTTTGGAGTGAGCTGGGTTGGGCGAGTAGTCTCTGAGACCTTACACTAGGCACCCGCAGTAAGGACACTGACATGACTCAGTAGGAAAATTTGCATGTGGTCACTGAAGAACTTGGATGAGGGGGACGTACTGGTGTTTACAGACGTTGCAGACATGACCACGAGTGGTGCAAGCGTCGACTGCTGTACCCACTCACGGTCGAACTCCAACGATCGGATCGGTTAAACGGACGCAGGGAACTGAGGCACAGTTACAGAATTTGACCCGTCAACCTGTTGCTCGGTAGTCGGTAAAGTGTCTAGCCGTAATCGTTGGGCGCGAAGGCTACTAGTCAATCCCGAGCATTGCCGCCTCGGAAGGGGGAGGGGGATTGCTGTTGTGGGTGTCTGGAGAGGTCCAAAGGACCGGGTGATATGCCACATAATGCCAGCTATGATCCGTACGCTGCGCCGCTCAGTCTGGCTCAGCCTGGCTGTCCAGGTTCGCTGCGTCCGGAGTGATTCCATGCCAAACCCGCCTGACTCCGCCTATGTGCATGTCGAAGGGGCAGGGCCCAACGACATGGCCTTAGCTGTCATCGAGATGAAGAGTCGTTGCGCAGCAGTACTTCCGAGTGATGCTCCGTATATGAACTTTGTTTCAAGGGGCAATTTGGCACATAGTCATCTGAGGAGCTGGCACTGTAGCACAGGGACTACGTCAATCGGTGGCTAGCTGTTGTCGCACTGAGCAGCATGTCCCAA